CCACGAGCCTAACCGCGAATCTGTGCCCATGCTCCAACCTGCGATCCCTTCCGTATCAGTGACGGCCGCGGCGAATCAAATAATCGTGGACGGAGTGGTGACGCAGCTTCCAGCCCATCCGTGGTTTAACGCGGCTTTCGGCACCCCCTTCGATTGCTACGGAGGAGTCACGCGATAGGTCGGCACCGACGGATTCTTCTGTCGACAACGTGGCAATGGAAGTGGATGACCCGGAATCGAGAACGACATTGGAGGGCATAGCAGCCTCGGCTCCTTGGGCAGCATCCGTGCTGGGGAGGACACAAGACAACAGCGGAAGCATATGAACGACTCTTCGTCGTGGGGGGCTCTGTGACGGGTATACCTGCGGTACCTACGGCTAACGACTCAGAATCGCTCTATCAGATATCGAGAATCACCTGATCTTCAGTAATTACATCAGCCATCAGTTTGTAACAGTAAACGTGACCACAGTCACGCAGCAGCAATCTTAACCAAAGTCCTCATTCTTCTTGTGTCTCGTCTTCGTCTCGCCTCTTTCCCTTCTCGCGGCCCCGTCCCGACTGCCTGAGTACGCACCACTGCTCCCTCCCGCCGTAGGTTACGGGTCAGCTCGCGGACAAACATTGGATTCCAATGGTTGTCTGACTATCATCATCATCTCTTCTCTTCCCTTCCGCCCAGCGTAAGCCCCTCGAACCACAGTGTCACACTGAAGTACTCCAAATTCTTATGGTCAGTCCAAATCTCGACAGGGTGCGCGGCGCCCTCGAGGAAGTGTCTATACTCCTCGAGTGCGCGGATGATCGCGAGCATCTCCTTGTCGTGGATTTCGTAGTTGCGCTGGACATCATTTAAGCTTTTGGAATAGAATGCTACAGGATGCCACTTCCCGTCCGGGGCGGATTGTGAAAGAACCGCCCCCGTTGCATAATCAGAGCTGTCCGCCTCGAGTCGGAAAGGGCGTGCGTCATCCGGAATCGCCAGGACCGGTTCCGAGGTGACTGCGTCCTTGATCGCTTGGAACGCGGAGGCCTCCACGTCGCCCCAAGTCCACTGCTGGTCCTTCTTGGTGAGCACGAAAAGAGGGCGCGCAAGGGTCGAGAAGTCCCGAATGAACCTGCGGTAGAAATTAGCGAACCCAAGGAACTGCTGAATGTCCTTCTTGTTTTCTGGAGTCGGCCAAGCGGAGACGCCTGCGACCTTGACGGGGTCCATTTTCGACGTGGTTGTGGGAGATGATGACTCCAAGGTACTCGATTGACGATTTTTCAAAGTCGCACTTCTCCGCTCGGAGGTACAACTTGTGCTCTCGGAGTCGCCGCAAGACCTCCTGAACGATCTGCCGGTGTTTCCGGAGGTCGGAATGGGCGATCAGGATGTCGTCAAGGTAGATCATGACATCTCCGGAGAGGATGAGGTCCTGGAAAATGTCATTCATCATCGTCTGGAACGTCGCAGGGAGAGTTCGTCAGCAGGCCGAAATACATCACCAAGGGCTCGAACAGGCCTCGGTTAGTCCGGAAAGCCGCTTTCCACTCGTCACCTTCCTTGATCCGGACGTTGTTGAAGCCCCAACGGACATCGAGTTTGGTGAAGTAACGAGCGCCTTTGAGCCGGTTGATGAGGTCGTTGATCAGCGGAAGGGGGTACCGGTTTTTGACAGTCATCGCATTGAGAGCACGGTAGTCCTGGACGAGCGGAGTCCGCCGTCCTTCTTCTTGACGAAGAAGACCGGAGACGCCATCGGAGACTTGGAGGGCGAATCCGGCCCGTCGAAAGCCCTTCCTCGATGAACGCGTCGAGCTCGCGTTGCTCGAGGGGCGAGATGGGGTACACCTTGCAGTTGGTGGGCTTAGCGTCGGGGACGAGTTCAATGGCGTGGTCCCAGGCTCTCCGTTCCGGTAGCGTATCGAAGGACTCCTTGTTGAAGACGTCCTGGAACTCCTTAGCCCAGTCCGGGATTTCGGAGGGCGGAGGGGCAGAGTTCCTGGCAAAGGCTTCGGCCAGGCGCTGTGAGACAGTGCTACCTACGCGTATCTCCTCCGAGGGACGAAACGAGGTGTAGAAGATGCGGTCACCATCATCAAGCTGGTCATCCTCGTCATCCGAGTCCGAGTCCGGTGTCAGATCAGGCAGGTCGGAATCGAGACCAGAGTCGGAATCGTCTCCATCCTCAGGGCCAGAGAGGTCTATAGTGCAAACCGAGGGGAACGGGCCGGAGCGGAGACGTTTCTGAGCGACCGGAGTCGCCGCAACTCGGTCCGTTCGACACTCCTCCTCGCGGCAGGTCGAGCAATTGCAGGGGACACCGTGTCATCTTGACCTCCTTGGTTTCCCAATTGATCTCTGGGTTGTGTTTCCGCAACCAGGAGTACCCCAGGATGAGGTCTTGCTTGCCAAGATGGGTGACGGCCAGTTGAACTCGTTCAGCATGGCCTCTGTAGCGCAGGACCAAGTCCGCAATCTGTTTGATGGAGCCGGCATCATTAGGGGTGCCGTCAACATTGAAGACCGGGATCGGCTGATCAAGAGTGCGGACCGGAATGCCATTCCGAGCGACATAGTTTGTGTCAATGAAGTCAGAGGTGGCACCACAGTCGACAAGCCCAGAGAGCGAGAGCTTCAACACACTGGTGGTGGACTCGAGCTCCAACGGGAGGTGGAGGGAGTTCGCCCCAGGGGTAGCGGTAACAGTGTACTGCTTGGGCAGTTTCTTTTCCCAGGCAGTGAGGCGGCGAAGGACGATGACCGGAGTCACAGGCGGAGTCGGAGACAGAGTCGAGGCGGGGGGCAGGAGAGGGTGTGTCTTTCGTTTCGGGCTCATTGTAGGGCAAGGAACTGCATTTATCATACAAAGAGGCAAAACGATTTATAGACGCGAACGAGGACACACCGGTACTCGTCGCGGGGACAAAATCCTCTCCGGCCATCAACTCCGCTACCGTCTCCGGCAGGGCAGCTGTGTCCGTGTAGCGGGCGATCAACTCCGCTAACATCTCGTCACCGAGTTGTTGGATCACCTCGTCAAGGATGTCCATCGAGCGGACATCGGTGGGGAGGGGGCAATCCCGGGCGAGATGGTTTGGGTCGCCGCACCTGAAGCAGGCGCGACGAGGGGCACCCCGAGCCCTGGTGTGATCCAACTCCATAGGGATGGGAGCTGGAGGTGCCGGAGCAGGGGCGCGGGCCGCGGGTGGCACGACCAGAGCCACCGGGCGGAAAGGGCCGGAGCCGGGATGCAGTTGACCGGAAACGGAGTCCGAATCAAACCGCCAGGCGTCTTGGAGGCGGCTGACTTGATCAGCTTGGCCCGGACCAGGGCCTCGTATTGACGGAAGGCCTGGGTGTGCCAGCTGAGGTAATCCCGGAGGTCCGGGGGGTCGTTCGAGGACGTGATTCCATTGTTGATCAAGGGGTCAAGTCCGTGGCGGAACTTGGTCACCTTGACCAGCGGGTCTTCGAATCCGGCGAGGTCCATCAGGTCCTCGAAGTCGTCAGTGTACTGGTAGACATCCTTTGTACCCATGTGATAGGCGGAAGTCTCCAGCTTGGAGAGAGCGTGATCTTGCTCGTTCTCCTCGACGAACCGGAGTCGAAACTCGGAAACGAACGAGCCCCAGGACGGAAACGGAAACGGGGCTTTGCTTCCGTGGTGCTCCGCCCATTGCTGAGCGGGTCCTTCTGCCATAAACGACATGGCATAGCGGACGGCCTTTTCCTTGCTCGCCTCTCCATTGACCACAAAGGCCTCAGGGGCAAGGCGGGCGCAGGTGCGGACCGCGTAGAGGAATGCGCGGCCGCGTTTCCAATCGCCGTTGAAGGTGAACGGGGGGTTTGGTCGCAAGACCAATTTTGAGGCGAGGTTGATGTCGCCAAAAAGGGCTTCGGAGTCGCCCTGGACCGGAGTCGGAGTCGGAATCGACGTCTCCGGCGATTGTGTTTGGGGTCCGCCAGCATTATTAGCGGCGGCAGCGGCAGCGGAAGCCTGGTTGGTGAGTAAAGCAAGGGCCTCAGTTAGGCTATCGATTTTCGCCTCGAGTGAGTCCAGCCGGGCATCTGCGGTAGGAGTGACTCCGGACGGCATGACGGGTGCGGGGACCACAGGAGCAGAGGAGGAGGGGACAAGTGGCAGGGGCGGTGACGAGGGCGGAACGGACTCATACTCCGAGCCTGAGTCAGCGCCGAACCTGGCAATCTTGTCCGGTTGATCCTGTAGAGAGTTTCTTCTGCTGTAAGGGCAACCCCGGAGGCCTGAGATCAAGGTCCTAGCAGGGGAGGATCCAAAGCATGAACATTGGTAAGCGAATACAAATGAAGCTGACCTAGCAGGGGAGGATCCAAAGAGAAGAAACTCTAAGGGTCCGCCTGCTAGGGAGCTGACTATATACTGCTTGTCCGTAGCTGCCGCTGTCGGGCACAGAAGGCTTGGGTGGCGTCGCAGGCGAGGTCCCAGGGCGACCGTCGGGAGGGCGTTGACGGATCGGTGATTGTGCGGGCGAGATGGAGGGCCGGACCGGAGTCGGAACTGGAATCGGACCGGAATCGGGCGCGTCTCCGGGCCGAAAGGGAGGTTCCCCTGACAGGATGTAAGCCAGAGTGGTGAGGAAAAGTGGGCCACAATATTGAATAAATTATATTCTCTCTCATGATTCATCTTTCCTATATATATTTATAAGCAAGCAAACTTGAATATCAGGTTTAAGTAGTGTTTTGCTGATATCCTGGAACTGCATTCCAGGTTTTGAGCCTCACCCAAATATTTTCCAAAAAGGGAATTTATTTTCAGAATATATTTGTTACAATTTTACAATATTGCCCATCATTGCCTGGTTGGAACACTGACAAGCCAGATCACTGACAAAAATACATAGAAAGTGAAGCAAGGTCTTAGTCTCAGGCGCAGGCGCCAGAGGCCCTTGTCTAATAGTCCATTACTAAAGTGGCTAGAATACATCATCATAATCCTGACTAAGCGTACACGTGCGTCTACTTTTTCGATGCTCGCGTCGTCGTCGTCGTCGCGTGTGTCGGCACTCCGTTATACTAGCCGACTGCGCGGTCTGGCAACTATAGCGGAAGCTCCTGTGCGGCGCTATGGGGGACTCAAAGACCAAGACCGCATCTTCACCAACGCGTATTGTCGACATGACCATGGAATCAAGGGGGCCAAATCCCGCGGCGACTGGCATCGAACGAAAGATATATTGCTCAAGGGCGACTCTTGGATTATCCAGACCATCAAGGATTCGGGTTTGCGAGGTCGCGGTGGAGCTGGATTCCCAAGTGGACTGAAGTGGAGTTTTATGAATAAGCCCAATTGGCAGGCAGATAAGAGGTGTGTCGTCCCGCTTTGGTTCTCTTGCTTTAAACTCATCAAGAAAAGACCGAGATATCTGGTCGTCAACGCTGACGAAGGCGAACCGGGAACTTGCAAGGACAGAGAAATTCTACGTGGCGACCCGCACAAACTTGTTGAGGGCTGTCTTGTAGCTGGCAGAGGGATGAACGCCAGCGCCGCGTATATCTATATCCGTGGAGAGTTTGTGCAAGAGGCCGCTCATCTTAACCAGGCCATAGCAGAAGCCTACAAAGACGGTCTCCTTGGACCAAATGCATGCGGTAGTGGCTACTCCTTCGATGTTTACGTTCACCGTGGCGCCGGAGCGTATATCTGCGGCGAGGAGACTGCACTCATAGAGAGTATCGAGGGCAAGCAGGGCAAGCCTCGTCTCAAGCCTCCCTTTCCCGCTGACGTTGGTCTTTTCGGCTGTCCGACCACGGTGGCCAACGTTGAGACGGTAGCAGTTGCGCCTACGATCTGTAGACGTGGTGCTTCTTGGTTTGCAGGATTTGGGCGAGAGCGCAACCAAGGCACCAAGTTATTCTGCATCAGTGGCCACGTTAACAACCCCTGCGTTGTCGAAGAGGAAATGAGTATTCCACTTCGAGAGCTCATTGAAAAGCACTGTGGGGGTATCCGTGGGGGATGGGACAATTTACTCGGCATCATTCCTGGCGGCTGCTCAGTTCCCGTACTTCCAATCCAAAAATGCAACGAGGTTCTTATGGACTACGATTCACTCAAGGATGCCCAATCTGGTCTAGGAACCGGGGCAGTTATCGTCATGGACAAGTCGACTGATATCGTTGCTGCCATTGCACGGTTCTCTTCATTCTACAAGCACGAATCCTGCGGTCAATGTACACCTTGCCGTGAAGGGACAACTTGGATGATGAATATGATGAATCGGATGGTGGAGGGACGCGGTCACAAACGGGAAATTGATATGCTTTTAGAACTGACGTTGGTTTTTCGTTTTTTACCTTTTCTCGTGACTAACTAAAATCTCTTTTAGCAAACAAGTCGAAGGGCGGACTATCTGTGCATTGGGCGATGCAGCAGCTTGGCCGATCCAGGGTTTGATGCGTCACTTTAGACCACAGGTCGAAGCTCGCATTGATGCTTTCCGCACTCAACACGGTTCTGTGGGTTTTGGTGGTCACCTTGCGAGTGAAGTTGATGATACTCTCGCACTTCCGGATAATCTTGGTGTTAGACTTCCCGTGGATGCGCCAGCCATTGTGTAGCAGACACATTTTATTCAGAATGTTTTTTCGTAGTGACTAGCCCCATGCTGCTGTCGTGCTGTTACACCAAGTTAAAGACTGCCGGACTTGGCGTAAAATGCGAGTGTACTACCTGTAATTGACGATCAAATGTCCATCCGTGCAAAACGACTGTTGAACTCGATTAACAGTCACCATGATGAAGGGCGTATGACAGACTTTGAAGAGATTAGACACTGTATCATCCGGCGCTGGTGAGAAGGCGAGGTTAATGTAGGTGAACTGTGGCTTGTTGAGCACCAGCTGGGGGGACGCGAAACGAGGAGGAGTGTGTGGTACCAAGGGATCGCCTGCCTTCCAGCCCAATTCTTTGCGTAAGAACTGGATGACAGCCTGAAATCGGTTGGAAGCTGTGATTTTATAGAAGTTTTGCTTCATGATGGGTGCATTTCCGACAGCCTTAAAGCGGACGACGACTAGAAGAACAGGTAGTGAGAGTCTATCGAGCCGCGTGAACGGCAGCTAACCCTTGGACGGGTCGCGTTTCTTGTATGACTCGAGAGCAGCCAAGGCCTCTGGGTTGATATCGACGATAGGCCATGGTCTTGCTGTCCCACCACCACTCGTCACATCGGTGTCTACATCCATGAGGGTCGATCACGTCATCTAGATTTCAAAACCATGCAAAGTTGTGATCCCATTTCCTTCGTACATCATGGAAGCCTCCCCACTCACGGCTCTCGTTCGAATCATTGCCTCTTGTGTGCAAAGCATCGAGCAAGCCTATGCGAAACAAGGCATTCCATATCCAACGCTCGATGCCCCGTTCCAACCATCTGCTCTCGATCTTGACCCCGCCCTTCTACAAACGGCCTCTCTTATCGTAGCAGCGGCTGACCAGCTCATAGCCACTGTTCGCTCTCCAATGCAGACACTTCAGCTGTACTCTGGAAGCATGCATCTGACCTCTACACTTGGTTTTGTTGTCGACTCCGATGTTCCGGATGTCCTCTCCAATGCTGGGCCCCAAGTGCGTAGTTGTCATCGCGGCAGATTCTTATTCCAACCAGCACTAGGGTTTGCACGTCAACGAGATCGCTGCTGCCACTGGCGTCGACGCAGACCACCAAGGTATAAATATCCCCTCTGAATGAATGCCGGAAATAGTAAATTCCGTTTATGCAGCCCGCATCTTGCGCTTCCTTGCGACGCGCCATGTGTTCAAGGAGATCTCTCCCAATACCTTTTGCAACAATCGTATTTCGTCGTTACTGGTAAAGGCAAAATCTCTTGCAGAAATCAAGGCAGAGTTAGCGCTTTCACTCAATTTCCGACGTGCACTCACTTGAGAGCTTTTAACAGTCCGGAAGCAAAGTATGATGGGGCCCCCCTTGCAGCCGTGGCAGCCAGCATGTGCGCTCGTTCTTGTCCTCAAAGTAACCAAAGCCGCTTACTATTGCTTCAGCGGGGACGAGTCACTCAAGTCGAGTGCCTATCTTTCCGAGTTTTTGCGCCAGCCAGGAGATAATGCATCACCTTTCAATATTGCCTATAACACCAAGAAGACCATGTGGGAATGGCGCCAGGAACCCCAAAACGTCTGGCGTGCTCGTCGCTTCGCTGTTGGTATGAAAGGTGGTGGAGAAATGTTTCCGACGAGCATCTTTACAGAGGGTATTGATCGTGGTTTTCCTTGACGAGACGAGTTTAAGCATCGCTACAGGTATCTCCGGCGACAAGCTACCGAAGGATTCTCTAGTCGTTGATGTGGGAGGGAGCGTTGGTTCAGTTACCCTCAAGTTGGCTGAGGCATTCCCACATCTTCGTTTCGTGGTCCAGGATTTGCACAAGGAGATCACAGAGGGAGAAAAGGTTTGCCTGGAATTTGCCATCCTTCAATCTTATCTGACTCCCTCGTCCAGTTTTGGGCAGACTTGAACCCAACAGCCATTGCGAATGGGCAGGTAAAGCTCCAGGTTCACAATTTCTTCGAGCCACAGCCTGTGGAGAACGCCGCAGTCTACTTCATGCGGGTCATCATCCACGACTGGCCGGATTCCAATGCAAAAAGTATTCTGGCCAACACCAGAAAGGCGGCCGGGCCCCACTCAAAACTTGTCTTGTTTGACCTTGTAATGCCATACGCTTGCCCAACTGCAGATGCACCACCAGTACCCGCACCTCTCCTTGCCAATCTTGGCGTCGCGGGTGGCGGCTTCGTGACTGCGTTGGACCTTGAGGTATATTTTCTCAACCTTCAGACTTGTTCATTCAAATTCGATAGATGATGACCGTTTTCAATGGTAAAGAACGGACCGTAGATCAGTTCAGAACTCTGGGTGAAGCAACAGGATGGAAGTTGGAGGAAGTCAAACCAGGAATGCTGTTTGCCTTTGTGTTTTCGGCGATTTGATACGGGAATCAATGTTAACATTCATTCGGCAACCGGTGGAGGTGCATTAACTAAATTTTGAATACCAAGAAATTCGCAGAAATTCACGGTTTGAGCATTGGTGTACCATGGAGCTGCAGGGGTCCGTTAGTTGATGAGATCATAGCGCGCCAATAATAGACGATACGTTGACTTCGTTTCCCTCCCATAGTGTCCTCCAGCCCTGGCCCCGGTGCAGTCATGGCAAATCGTTGTATTTTGGCGACTTCGATATCTTCAATGTCGTCATGACGATCTGCCAACCATGACCGCGCATCTGCAACCAGAGCACGAACGGCAGTTTCCGAGGGATAAGCACGTTGTCTTTGCTCTAGCGAAAAAAATGGATGCATAGCACGCGAGATGGCCAGCCATTCAGCATCGTACGCCAGCCGAGGTGGGTCATACTTTGCTGATGTGGGGATATCAACCACCTGCAATGTTTAGGTGAATGATGATGCAGGCTCGACAAAGAATGAACCTCAAGATGTTGGCGATTACCACCACATTTGTCAAGCGCGAGGAAGTTGGTCGAATGTTGGGGTAAGTTTCTAGGTGGTGCAATGACTTCGTCGTCTAGATCAGAAAGCGCGATTTCGTCTGGGTTGGTTGGCAATGCTGATATCGACGCCTCATCCTTGACAGCGTTCATAGCTTCGGCTGGTTGTTCGTGGACGACGCGGGCTTCGAAACGCGTGTGTAAATGCGCGGCAAACCACCAGTCTGGTTGAAGGGTGCGGAGAAGATTGAGTAAAGGGGGTGATCCAAGCTTTCCTGTTCTAATATCATCTGCAAGGAAACCTTTACGTTTGAGAAGTCCAGGTAAATCACCGTGCTCTGTGATCTTCTGCGGCCAGTCGTGCGATAGGAAGACTTGTGGCCGAGGAGTCAGCTATTCGACGATGAACGTAGAGGTTGGAAGGGAAAGAAGATTAGTTACCAGAGATAATTTACGGAACGCATGTTCACGAATATGATAGACACTACGAAGCGTGCTCCGATCATAGGGGAGGGTTTCAAAGTAGCCTGGAAGAAATCGGTCAGTGTTTTTACCTCTTTACAGTAGGCAGACTCACCGCGAGAATAGTCGGTCGGCTTGAATATTCCCGAAGCGCCGGCAATTCTGATTTCGTTCACGCGTACACATCCAGCTGCGCCGAGGTAGTACATGTTGGGAGCAAGCCATCCGCCGTGATAGAGCTCCCACATGTAGTTGGACGCTTCATGGTTGCCACCGATGATGATGGTTAGAAGAGGAGCGAGTTTCTCGCCAGTGTAGTACTTGTGGAACCCCCCGAGTTGCTTGTATTTATCTGGCACGGCCATGCACTGAAGGTCTTGGTGGTTCCGCATTGCTTGAAAGTCGCCACAAATCAGAAGAAGATTTACTTTATAGCGATTTCGTGTCTCCAGGTCGCGTATACGAGCATAGATTCCATCGAGCTCGCCGTGACAGCAGCCTTGGATTGCCACTCGCATCATGTTCGAGTTGAGCTGAGCGTGAGTGTCACACACAAAGTCTTCTTTTGTCTTTCCTCAATGGACGTTGAAGAGCGCGATGAAAAGAAAGCCTTTGAAGATGCTCCGGACGACCAAATGCCTGACCCAGACGAGACCTTGATGCTAGACCAAGGTGACTGCATTGTTAGCTTTTGCACTTCTGGACTTGATGAATGTCTATATCTAGGTCATGGCAGGGTCTGGCTCGTCAAAGTGGTCATTTTAACGTGCTATTTTCTTCTCTCAACATGCCACTCAGATTCCAAAATTCCTCCTTGAACGTTGGGCTGCAGTCAATGCAGAAGATATCCATCTCGCCTCGATCCGCGTCTACACCTACCCTGATGGACGTCATCGCATGTTTTTGTTCCTACCCCCCAACATCGACCCCAACTCGAAGCAAGCAATCTCAGCTCCACAAAGACCCAACTACCCTCAATTTGCCCACACGACTTCATATTCTATTGATGGTGGTGCAGAACCCGATTGCTATGAACTCGACATGGTCAACGACAACGTTGAAAATCAGGTTGTCATCGCAGAACGCCCGAAAGACTCTAGTCTCAGCATATCAAGCTCAACGGCAGCTACTACGGCCAACACACGAGCACGGACTACTATTCTGACAGGACGCATAAAACACGACTGTAATTTGCGCCCAGCACTCTCTTCTAGTTATCGTCGGCAGATGCGTGACCGTCATATCAAGTATAATACGCCTCAACGACAGATTATGCGTATCGAGGATGCGGGGGTTGCGGGTGGTCGTGGTGGCATCAACCAAATGACGAGTGGTGTTGGCGTTAACGCTGGCGGTGGCTTCAGGGAACTAGTGGTGCGCTTTTTAATCAATATCTGGCAAATACTCACCATGGTCAGAAAACCAAACAAAAACCGGCTAAAGGTCAATTTGAACGCATGGCGCGTATTCCCCGGAACCAGCTGTTGGACCTTATTTTCGGGCTATTTCGGGAACAGCCTCATTGGGGAATCAAGCCATTGCGCGAACGAACCCAGCAACCAGAGGCATATCTCAAAGAAGTCTTGTCGGAAGTCGCATTCCTCAATCGGGCTGGCGAGTATGCTTCTATGTGGGAGCTGAAAGACACATTCAAAGATAATTCTGTACGTGGCTTGCCCTATTTAGAACCAGTGGTGACCTTGGAATGCCAGCAAAACCTGCCAGAGTTACCGAGGGCTGCTGGGCTGATATCATTCAATGATGTGAAGATGGAGGAGGGAGTTGAGGAGGAGGATGACGAGGATGAAGATATGGAGGAAGTAAACTGAGTCTGTTGTACACACATATAGCTAGCATTTCTACTCTAAAGCATGTAGTTACCAGAAATAGAAATCCCCTAATTTTACATCATCGAGTCACATTTGGATTATTTGGATGTTCTCTCATCGATTGCTTCTTTCTCTTGGACGACGACCTTTTAGTATGACTTCACTGGAAGAGCAAGTTTCAACCCAGAAAGCCCTTTTCAATCAACTCCGGTCATCGAATGCGGAGCCATCTTATCTCGAGGCGGCCAAAAAGAAACTCGGTGAACTGCAAAAGTCTCTAGCACAATCCAAGGCTGCGACAAACGCGTCCGGTGATGATGGAGGAAAAAAACGCGAGCGTTTGCTGCTAAAGACTGCCAAGGTGTGTTGTTTGGAATGACATCTCTGCCCGTGTTAAGGCTAAACGCAAGCTTACAGGGCACCCGCGACTTTGGTCCCGCAGAGATGGCTTGCCGAGAAAGTATTGAGCGCACGGTTAAGGATTGCTTCAAATCCTTCGGTGGGAGCTGTCTGGACACACCCGTCTTCGAGCGCAAAGACATTTTAACGGGAAAATATGGGGAAGACGCGAAACTTATTTTCGATCTGATGGACCAAGGAGGGGAACAACTGGCACTCCGATATGATCATACGGTGCCACTCGCTCGATACCTGGCCATGGCTGGGGGAACGAGCGCACAGTCAAAAATTTGGCAGGTCGGCAAAGTCTACCGCAGAGACAATCCCGTCATGTCCAAAGGACGCATGCGTGAATTTTCACAAGCAGTAGGTCGTCTTTTTCGTCTTTGGATCCTCCTCAGATTCAGTAAAGGACTTCGATATTCACGGTTCATGGGACCCAATGATTCCAGATGCTGAGATCATCAGTCTTGTCTGTAATGTTCTCACCAAGCTAAATGTTGGCGAATTTACTATCAAGGCGTGTTATGTGCCCTTCGTCCTCGAATCCTTACGTCTGACACCATCTGAACAGATAAATCACCGTAAAATTCTAGACGGCATCTTCGAAGTCTGCGGTGTCCCAGCGGAAAAAATTCGTTCAATATCGTCCGCCGTGGACAAACTTGATAAGGTAGTGGTCATCTCATTGTCTTGTCTCTTTAACCTTTTCTAGTCACCTTGGTCCGAGGTGAAGAAGGAAATGACGGCGGACAAGGGACTGGATGAAGCTGTCGCAGATGAGATTGGAGAATATGTCAAGTTGAAAGGTATGCCAAATGCTCTCTCAATGTGCCGTACTAATACGTTGGTTAGGCGGTCCGGCTCTCATCGACCAGTTGTCTGCTGACCCGAGGTTGGCGAACAATGCAAGCGCTCAACAAGGACTCGCAGACATGACTCTCCTCTTTTCCTTCTTGAAAGCATACGACGTCGTTGACAAGCTCTCATTCGATCTTTCTCTCGCCCGTGGGCTAGACTACTATACTGGAGTTATATATGAAGCAGTTGTCGCAGCGTCCGCTCCACCCTCCTTCGATGCATCCACCACCACCCCAAAACCAAAAAAAAACAAAGCAAACCCCGATGAAGAAGAAGAAATTGATGAATCGCAAGTCGGCGTTGGGTCCATCGCCGCAGGCGGTCGATATGATAATTTGGTCGGAATGTTTACGGCCGCTGCAGCAGCGGAGGGTAAAAAAGCCCCAAGCATACCGTGTATCGGAATCAGTTTCGGACTCGACCGAATATTCGCCTTACTTTGGCCGACATGGGTTGAACGAGGTGGCCGGACAAAAGAAACGGTGGCCTATGTTATGTCAGCGGGAGACGGGTTGTTGGAGGAGCGCATCAAGCTGGTCAAGGAACTGCGGGAAGGTGGAATCCAGGCCGATTTTTTGGCCAAGAGCAAACCCAAGGTCAAGCCGCAATTCGATGCTGTTGAAGCTGATGAGGTCCCGTTTGCGATCATCATTGGCGTTGACGAGGTCAAGCGCGGCGAGGTCAAAGTTAAGCAGCAGACTTGGATGTTTGTTGACGGGCAGAAGAAGAAGGTCGAGAACAAGGACGACGGCAAGGTTATCCTGCGTTCAGAGTTGATTACATGGCTCAAGCGAACGATGGAGACACAATAGAAGTTGCTTCGTGTGGTAAATGGAATATACGGTTGTGAATTCAAGTTGGAAGGTAAGGTATCGTTCCAAGTCAATAATGAGGGTGCAGCTTCTCTGTCGGTCACAGTAAGTTACCTTATCATGCACCAATAGGCACCAATTCCACTCACCTTTGCTCATGAACTGTCTGTTATATATTGTACGCTCCCATCCTTTTCCAAGACGAGTTTAGCCCGCGGCTGGAGCCAAGGTGGCGTCACAATCGTTGGTGGAGACGGACATCTCTCCTTCAGGCTGCTTAGACTTTTCTTGGACTTTCTGGGACTTGACCGGCCAGCGTCCTGCGCAGTTTTCGCTTTGCTAGGTATGCAGCCCATCAGCCTTTAACTGAAAAGTATTTAAGCAAAGCGAAGGAGATAAGTAGTAGATGACCCACAGGCAAAAGAGCTGGCAGTATTCGTAGAGGGCAGAAGATCTTCACATTTTTGGACTAGCGTTGACTCCTAAGTATCTCAAACATCTGATGGGATAAAATATTTCTCCCTCACAGCAATTGAGCAAGGAGTTAGAGCAAAGTTAGAGACTAACTTAGAGTCGCTGTGATCAACAAACTGAATGAACTGGAAATGGTTTCTTGACATGTAATGAAAAGATTGGAGGAACTATGGAGTAGCTTATATGTCAGCATTCTGAAGGTACTACGAGGTCGAGAATAAAGGTTTCCGTTTTGTGTCGAGTCCAAAGCATTATTTACAGCCCTTTGTGTAAGTACTGTTTCGGCGGTAAGTTGACGCACATAACATAGCATAATATTAATTACTGTAGTCTGTAGAGATCTGTGACATCGATCACGTGTCAACTACTCATCTCCCTTCTTATCCAACAAAAAATCCAGCAATGGCAACAGGTTGGTGTCTGTACGCATCGTTAACAGCGACCCGACTAAGACTTTGTTCAATAGGTGGTGGCGCGTCTGGCACGAAATTTCGGATGACTCTTGGTCTGCCAGTGGGAGCTGTGATTAACTGCGCAGACAACAGCGGCGCAAAGAGCTTGTTTATCATCGAGCCTTTCGGATTTGGCGCCCATCTAAACAGACTACCCGATGCTGGTGTTGGCGACATGGTTGTGGCCAGTGTTAAAAAGGGCAAGCCTGAGTTGCGCAAAAAGAGTGTGTAGTCTTGTTTCTCAACGGCGAAGCCTAATGCGGTGGATAGCGATGCCTGCTGTGGTGATTCGTCAACGAAAGGCATGGCGGCGGAGGGACGGCGTATTTCTCTACTTCGAGGTATAGTCTCCAGGAATTCCGTATCACTCCTAACACTTATCTCTCTTAGGACAACGCTGGTGTCATCGTCAACCCGAAGGGTGAGATGAAAGGCTCTGCGATCACCGGTCCCGTCGCGAAAGAATGTGTACGTTCACATCCCCTCTTATCCAAGCAACTTGTTAATTTTTATTCTCTTAGGCTGACCTTTGGCCCCGTATTGCGTCGAATGCAGGAACAGTAGTCTGATATTTTCCTTATGTCGTACCATGAATCAACTATGTTCCAAATGCCACCTATACCCTCGCCAAGAAGCCCATCCAAACAACCTGGGTCGCTGCCTCGAAGAGCAAGAAGCCGATACGTCTTCGTCGTTGTCGAGGAGGTGGTGCAGTGGCATATGGGTCGGCAGAGGCAGCACGAGAGGCAGCACTAGGCAAGATTATAGACCCTAAAGATCGTAGCTGTGGGCATATGAGAAATTGCCCCAATGACGGTGGACGGCTTACAAGGAAGAAGGAGTTGGCGGCAATGAAATAGACGGAGGTCACCCATCCCAAAGTTCGACCCAAGTTGAGAAATCCGGTCAGAATGATTGCGATGACGCTGACTCGGGGTGAACAAACAGCTGCTAGCCAGCAAAGAAAATTTACCCAACAAATTTATAACCCGCGTATGCAACAATGTCGACTGATTGACTGGTGCTCTGCACGTTCAAAAAATAGCAGCCTAGCAAAACGACGAAAAAGTCAAGTATCAGCACCATGATCGCACGGCTCGCAGACTCTCCGAGCACTTGAGGTTGGAAACGGGCAGTCACTCCCGAGTAAAATGCCGAGAGCAACACATAAGTGACAAGCGCCATAACTTTGCAGGTATTCATTAGACGAAAGAACAGAAGAAGAAGAAAGCGTAACACACCTGGAATGTACAAATCCGGACTGTTGAGGTCGTCCCTCGGCGTCAGATATTCCGTCTGCCCAGCATCGGTTCGGTGCGACTTGCGTCCCCATTGTTTATGGCTCCACGGGAAAAGTAAGACGCGTAACTTTCGTATCACATAAGAATTAGACACGTTAAAGTGTGGCTTGACACGTGTATTAGGGAAGACGCCGCCCCACTACCAAAGGATAAGCAAAGCTCTGTCGCAGACAGACAGAGCTTCCTTACCGTTCTTTGAACATAGTCTTGACCAGCTGCTACAGCACTCTGACCTAGCTGCATTCCAAATTGAGCAGTCGCATCGTTTACTCCCCAAGCTCCAAATTGCGGCTGAGCAAACATGGGAGGGGGTGGAGGCATCTCGCCATGTTGGTGGGAGTTTTGAAAGTGTGAAGCATAGGCGGGAACAGGTGCTGGCTGATAATTTTGCGACTGTTGTGGTGCGGGACCAGGGGATGACGAAAAACGTTGGTAACCTTGCGGAGAGCCAGGCGTCGAAGGAGGCTCTGGAATAAAAGTGGGGTAGTTCGGGACAGGATGAGCCAATGGTACAAAGGGGGGACTATTCCTTGCCATGAAGGAAGATGCAAACTTGGTCGAGATCAACGATACTAAAACTACTGACTACGTAATAAAACGATCAAGAGCACTCCGTGTGCTGGACTCGTTGACTCCTTTGCTTGCCCTCTGCTGTTTCTCTTGTTTCTGTTTTTCCAACTTGGCTCGGATTGCGACGGTAGTCGGGTCGATGACATTCTTGCGATGCTTCCGTAGATATCGCTTCAAGCTCTTGTTTTTGCCTCGCATTTTCTTCCGTTGTTTTTCTTCGGGGGTGCGCTTGGTCCCATCCGGAGCGAAGTCATCGGGATCAACCACTTCTGTCTCATCTGCCTTTCCCTGAACCCGGAGACGTTCTATTCGAGGGAGTCTGGCAAATGGTACCGATTGGGAGCGCTTGCTGTCCAAAGTTGTGCCATGCGTAGGCGCAAGGGATCCGACAAACTCGGGATTCAATGTGATCATATCTGGTTGCAACTTGTCAAGGAGGCCTTTCACCTCCTTCTCACGACGTGCTTTGCTGTTCTCGAATGGATCCGCCTCTGTCGAGTCGAAATTCGGTTCTCCAGCACCTGGTATCAAGATGCTAGACAGACCATCAACGTGGCCAACGGTTAACACGTCATGAAATGGTGCAAAAGCCACTGAAGTCAATGGTCTGTGGGGGAGTGGGTGGGTGAGGTATAGTGGCGGTTGGGTATTGCCGTGTATGGGTTTTTGTATAGTGGGTGATGCGTAAACCTGGGGTTGGATTAGTCTGGGTTACTACTCACGGAAAGAAATGTTGTGGTACGTTGACTGTGCCTCCACTTGCGACAGCAAGAGATCCTCGCTCACTCCAATTGATTTCGGCTGGCCCACCTCGACTCGACCATTCTCGGACCGCACCCTTCCAATTCCTACAATCCCAAACTTTAACGATGCTGTCGCGTCCTGCGGTTGCCATATAGCGACCCCCAGTACTGGGGTCAACCGCCACACTGCAAACAGGGCCGAGGTGAGCCAGTAATTGCACGGCTGGGTGGGGTAAATTTGGCGTCCAAAGTGTTACACATCCATTCGAGTGACCCAAATGGATAACAGCGTTATGGAGATTCTGGGTCATCGCATGACAGGCCCCGAGTTTGGTCCTGTGTTCCACGAGCAGTTGTCCCGTCGACGTGTCTTGATATTTTAAATATCCAGCATTCCCCTAGGGAAATGGTTCAGATGTGCAACAATGGACAATGGAAACAAGAGCTCACTATGGTGGCAAGCAACCAATGATACGGAAGGAATTCAATTCTCGTGGGTTCAATGTGCGACTTGAGGCAATGCAACTCAACACCGTCCCGGTCATAGACGTAAACGTACTTGTTTTGCGCAATGGCAAAAAGGGAATGATCTTGGAGGAAACTAGTGAATCCATGTGAGAAAACAGTTGCCCAAGGTAATCCAACGCTTACGTGATATCGCGGCATGTTTCTTGTAGTTGAAGTTCGGCGTGAAGAGTCCCAGTCAGCCAGTCGAATGTTGCAGCATGCCCAGAGTTTCCAACGATGGCGAGATGCCGACCATTTCGGGTATATCTGAAGCGGTATGGCCCTCCGTCTAGTTTCCACTCTTTTCTCCCTTGTGCAGCCTGGCCACCTGCGCTCACCTCGATTTCCGCTTGCGCAACTCGCCAAGTGCGTTCCAATTCCCCTTCCACCTGTATGAGCCCCGTGTCTTCTAAAAGTAGCAGCTCTGCATCCTCAGCAAGATGTTTTGCTCGCGTTGACTGAGCAGAGGTGCGGTTGAGCTGCTTTCGTAGCTTTGGGTTTGTGATATGCCTAAACCCATTTTGGTCGTGATCAGTTTTGTCTTGCAGAGATCGTGGTATAGCGGAGTTATGCTTTATTGAATCTGCAGTTTTGTCCTGGTGGTTTATTTTGCGTCGTTTGCGGCGTTCGTTGGCTTTGGCGATGAGAGCGTCCATTACTGTGTGACGTGCGTGATCAAGTTTTTTTGGCTCTTCTCCAATTGCAACTATGGCGGAGTGGGATCTCACACAACGAATTATGCCGCACCTGGACCGCCATCTGGCTTTCCCACTACTGGTTCATCTTGCCGAAACGCCACTTTTTGCGGTGAAGGACATTCAGCTTGCGCAGTATGAACTTGCCAAAGGGACCAACATGCTCGACTATGCTGTCAACCTCTTCCAACAACTACATCCTGATCAAGACGTCCCTCCTGGTACGCTGTTACCACTTCCTTAGTTTCCGATTAACCTATATCTCATGCAGAATTCGAGGAAAAACGACGCAACACGTTATTAACTCATGAACGCCTGCGAGATGAAGCACAAGCCGTGCTTGATGTAATCGAGAATCCAGACGTCGCTCAAGCGCTTCGCCAGGACAAAGAACACAACCTCCAGTACTTGAAAGATAACTACAATGTGCGCGATCTCTGCCTTCTGATTTGTCTACCTAATTCCAACCCACATATAGCTAACTCTCGAACAAATTACGGCTCTCTATCATTTTGGGCAATTCCAGTTTTCATATGGGTTTGTCTCTGCTCATCAGACTCAATTCTGACACTCAATGAGATATCTTTGTAGCAACTATAGTGGTGCTGCCGACTACCTTTATCATTTCCGTGTGTTGTCAACGGATACTGAGCTCAATACCTCCGCTCAATGGGGAAAGCTTGCCTCAGATATTCTGTCCGGTAAATGGGATGCCGCTCTCCAAGAACTCGACACGCTTCGAGATTCGATTGACTCTCGAGCACTACCAGGACCTGCTATCAATCAGCTACATTCCCGGACGTGGTTACTTCACTGGTCACTATTCGTCTATTTCAACCACCCATCTGGTCGTACCCTTCTCCTCGAAACTTTCCTGTCCCCCGTCTACCTCAACACAATCCAAACGGCATGTCCATGGATACTACGTTACCTAGCTGCTGCCGCTGTCCTCTCCCGCTCCCCTCCGCCAGGTGCCTCCGCGCGTGTGCGCTCTGCCATACGTGAAATCATCAAGGTTGTTCAAATGGAGGAGTACCAATATCAGGACCCTGTCACCTCGTTTCTAAAAGAGCTCTACCTCGAATTTGACTTCGAGGCTGCTCAACAGCAACTCAGTCTCGCAGAGCAGGTACTTAGCGATGACTTCTTCCTCAATGATTTCACCGCCGACTTCCTTGACAACGCTCGTTATCTCATCAGCGAGGCCTATTGCAGAACCCACCAAAAAATCGACATTCGTGATCTTTCCCAACGACTAAATCTCTCAGCCGATGAGGGTGAAAAATGGATCGTGAATCTAATCCGCGAGTCACGAATGGGGGCTGACGCTAAAATTGATTTGGACAAGGTATTTGAATCGACTCTTACATGTTACTTGGCTTGACACACTCTCCAAAGAATGTCATCGAGATTTTCCGGCCAGCAGCGCCAGTATATCAAGCTGTCATCGACAAAACTCGCGGTCTTCATTTACGGACTTCGGGTTTGGGGACAGCCATCTCTCGAATGGGTGCTGGAGCGCTCCCAGTAACTGAAGCTGTTCGTTGACGGCTTTAAAAGTACAACTACTACATCTGTTCTGCAACAACAAGCTTTTTGCGCTCTGCTTTTGGCTTGCTTTCACCTTGTCGTGTATGCTTCCTTCTCCGCTCCTCTTTGACTCTTTCGGCATCAAGCATAGTCCGTTTGAGTTTCGCCGCTTGGTAAATCGGTTTAGGAACATGTCGACTGCGAACCACCTTGCCGATTTGTTTGTCCATTTTCCAGCGTTCTTTGAGGGCATCTCGATATTCAATTGCCGCGCGCTCTCTGCCAGTGATGATCCCGAGGCGCTCTGACGCATTGGCCTTCCATACCCGAACGTTGCCATCGTCAGAACCTGAAAGCACAAACCGAGCATCATGCGTGAAAAGAGCACACGAAACACTTTTTTGTCTACGTTAGCCAACTGTAGGAGTCAATCATGAGACTGACTAACCGTTGCATTCGTTTTGTGTGATATACCTCTGATCCCTGGCCCCGTCCTTCCTTCCATATCCTCACGGTCCGATCCCAGCCACCACTCACAAATTCGAGACCAGTGGGAGCCCAGTCGCAGCTCATCGCTGCTGCAACGTGACCCTTGTAGATTTGTGTAGGTTTACCGAGATTCCGAACATCGAATGTGTAGAGATTGTGGTCTTCGGACGCGAGCAGGACCGTTGTTGGAAAAGTCGGCGACCACGATAGGTCGTTACTGCTCATAGCCATGACCACTCGCCGCTCCGCCTTCCCAGTTCGAATGTCATATAAGGTAAAAGTGCGGTCAGAGCCGATGCTGCCCAAAACTGATCTCTCAGCAAGGTTGAACCGTACAGCAGTCACTGTTTCGGTGGAGGTAGGGAAAGTGAGGTTGGATATTGGAAAGGTTCTTGGGTGTCGGATAAGCAGGCAACACCAGTCTAGCTCATAGAAACACTGACTTGGTTTCGTCCCATAATTGTATTGCATTCGAGGCGGTAACGAATTGCGAGTCAGAGTAATGGTGGTCGATGCAACTACGAGAAAGTTAGCCAGAGAAGGATGAAATGGTAACGAACTTGAGAGGAGCTTTGCTAGTGAAAACAGATAACGGCTTGTCGTCTAGACTCTCCACACTCCACAACTTGATAGTGGCATCCGTACTGCAGCTGAACAATCGGCCGTCGCGTGAAAAACACAGACCCGAAACCTTCTTGTTCTTTTTATGCGCTTGCGGTAGATGCAGCAGCTTAGTTCTTCGTGCAAGATGGTGAACGACAATTCCTATGAGTTTTTTTCCGTTATCCGAGCAACACGATTATGTGCACGCACCTCCGTCCCAGCTACCACTTGCGACAGTTGTGAGCTCGCCTGGTTGTTTCGCCATTGCTTCCACAGGCCCAACATGACCTTCCAGACTTGCTATAAACGGCTTTGCAAACATTCGATCCATTTTGGCAGCGTTCAAAGCTCGCGTGCGCTCTCGAGCTCGGGCAAATGGATGCATCAATGGATTGAGATTCCTTGCCATCGGAGTTGGGTCGCCAGGCCGTTGTGGAAGATGACTCGCGAGGTCATGTTGGAGAACGCGAATTTTCTGGCGACAGGCGTGAATAGACTTGTCGCAGACGGTCAAAAAAACTAGCCATGTAGGTGAAGGTCTAATTTAGGTTGTGATGTGTGACATGGGTGATTACTACATCTAGAAATTATCTATCGACGCCTCTAATCAATGTCCATTTCAGACGGCCCAGATGCTTCTTGTTCGGGTTTGGGACTCGAATTGGCTGCGGGGTCAGGCGTGTCCTTGCCACTTTGAGGTGTCTGCGTGCCAGGAGTTCCTCCAGGAATAACGGGCGGCTTGGGCTTAGGCTTTGTTAGAATCGGAGTTGCGAAGTAGATCACTTCGTCTCTCTTCTTCTCGATATCGGCGCTCTTGAGCACGGGGTCGACATTCTTGGGACTTTCTGCCTGTCGAACAATCTGGTCCTCCAACCATTTCTGGATCGTCGCAACTTTCTCAACCACACTTTGCTTGTCCTTCTCGTCGATATGAGCATATTTCTCCTCTCCCGATGTTGCTTGCGCCATGTATGAGTTGAGCGTTTCCCGTAGTTGAGCAATACTGCTTTGTCGCGACTCGGATTCACGGTAACGGATCGTGATGGGATCGCCAAGGACCTTGAGGGCATCAAGACGACTGACATAAGCAGATTTAGTGGCATCTTCGCCCTCTTCCGTGTAAAGCCAATCTTCGGATTCTTGAAGAGCTGAGAGCAGCTTGGACTTCTCCTCCGCCTTGACAAATGATGCATATCGATCATCAAGTTTGCCGCGCATATCGTAAACATATTCTTCCAGCGCATTTTTACGGTCCTGCAAAAGAAAAGAAGGTTCAGCATAGATCCAAAGAGAACGAATGGGTTCTGACCTCCGTGTCCATCACTAGTTTATCGGCACTGTGCATAGCGTTCTCTTGCTCTCGCCAACCTTCCACTATTGACTTGTCGAGAGAAGTGGAGGCGACAACGAAGGGTATCTCCTTCTTCTTAATCCTCCTCTTTTTCGCGACTGGCGCGGCAGGCTCCCCACCAGCATCCACATCCATTGGCGCAGCCTCTTCTTCGATACTCTCCTCGACATATGCAGACTCGAAAGAAACCACCCCATGCTGGTTAACCCTCGTTTTGACGCGAACACAGGTCGAGTCACCATTGGCTTCAGCTGGGACCTCTTTGACAGTAATTCGACCAATCCAGGGGTTGGTAGCGCCAGGAAGCCCAGCAGGGTCGGCATAAACGGCCTCTATGTCGAAAGGCTCGCGTCGGTAAAAAGTCAACGCTTTAGTTGATGGAACTTTGTCACCAGGTTGGAAGACAGTGAGCTCTGTGTCTTCTTCTGGATCGGAGGGGGAAGAAACCCATTGAACCTTGACTGGGTAATGGGTGATGTCTTGCATATGGAACTCCCGCACTCGGAATACGGGAGATAGCATGGCGCAGCAGAAAGTGGCACCTCGAGCTACGGCTTCATCTTGATTGAGGGTCGTAGACAACACTTTGCCAGCGAAAACTTCCTGGATCTTGGCACGAACGGCAGGGACACGAGTCGAACCGCCAACGAGTTCAATAGCGTCAATTTCGTCCAATGAGAGTCCAGAATCGGCAAGAGCGCGTTTGAGGGGGGCCGTGATACGGTCGAGGACCGGTGCGACCAGCTCTTCCAGACTTTCCCGAGAAAGTTTGGATGCAGCGTCGATATCGTTCATGATGGACTCGACGTTTATGGGGGCGTCAGCGTTCGCAGACAAGACCTTTTTCAGTTTCTCGCAACCTGCTGCCAACCGAAAAGTGGCTTTAGGGTTGGAGAGGACATCGATTTTATATTTCTCCTTGAATTCGTTTGCGAAGTGGTTGACCAACGCGAAATCGATGTCACGGCCACCAAGATGACGATCGTATGCGGTACTTTTAACGACCAGTTGACCTTTTGAGAATGCGACGACAGCCACAGAAAGGCTTGAGTGACCAACGTCGACGAACACAACGTGCCGAGGATTCTCTGCTTCTGGCAGGTCGGATTTGGTGATGCCATAACCAAGCGCAACCGCCGTGGTATCGTTGATAAGGCGTAGAGGATTGAGTCCAGCAACAGTTGCAGCGTCGAGGAGAGCTCTACGCTGGACTTCTGAATACCATCCCGGAACAGCGATAACAATGTCCGTCACGCCAACTTTCAGTTCAGCAGAGGCAATGTCACGCAGTTTTCCAAGGTACATTCCAACCAGTTGAGTGGCAGAGAAACTTTGTCGTTCGCCCACATAACTGACCTGTTGTCGTTAATTTTCACTTAAACCAAAATGCTATTATTTGTTCACTCGCCTCGACCCCAACGCTGCCTTGAACATCCACAAGGCTTGCGTTCAAGAACTTTTTCTCGATCTGCTGAACATCTGGATCGTTGACCGTGCGACCGATGAGCCGCTTCAGAGAGCCGATGGTGTTCTTGAAATTAGAGGTTTCCTGTGTCTTTGCCGATTCGCCGATCGAACGTTGTTTTGGGCCAAACGCCACCAGAGAACTGAGAAGGGAGGATAAGTTGTGTTGTACGCGACGACCAGAGCCAGGACGCACGGTGTTGCGCGGTTAGAGACTTCGTTGGTGATAATATCGATGCCTCGATGCCTTGCGACACCAATCTGAATGTTCGTTCAACACGAATCGGCAAGAGAATGGACTGAAGGACTGACTTTCGAGGCAAGCGTGCCAAAGTCGACGCCGACAACAGCCATTTTCTTAGAACGCGTGTAGCAAGGAAAAAAAGAGCCTTGTAAGGGTGGGCGATTTGGCCGATATAAGTAGACGTTGGAAGAAAGAAGAAATTTGGCGCGGCAGTGCTGTCATCACCTAATCACCACCTTCTACCACATTCTGGGATCTTCTACAAGAGATCTACCCATAATCTCGAGTTCGGAGAAGAAATTTTATTCTGAATCAACTCCCGGAGCGTCGCGATGAGAAGAAGATGTGAAAAAAAAAAACTGATCACTCAAGAATCTACAGTATTGAATGAAAAAGAGAATTCAACTCTCGACCTGGGAGTCGAACCCAGCTTTCGCGCGCGGAGAGTACAATGACAGGCGCGTGTACTAACCGATATACTAGTCGAGATTACGTTGAGTAAGCTTGTAATATGGCCAATACTTGACGCCATCTCGAGCAACTAACTACGAATTACTTCACTTATTCATCCTCCGAAAAGCAAAACAAAACGGGCAACATTTATGACATTGATTTTGTTGTTACAACATACATGAACACAATCTTGTTGTTTCAAACTTCCCCAGATTTTTATGCCTATTATTTGACTATTATTTTTTAGAGCCTCGACGCAGGAATGCTACTCGCCTTGACATCGAAACGATCCAAGTTAGCGACCTTGACCCATGCGGCTACAAAGTCCTTGACAAATTTATCATTTCCGTCGGCCTGGCCGTACACCTCGGAGACAGCACGGAGTTCAGCCTGTGATCCAAAGATAAGGTCGGCTCGAGTGGCAGTGAATTTCTTTGCTCCAGTGTTGCGATCTGTGCCTTGGAAGAGCTCATTGTCGGTGCCAGTAGGCTTCCATTCAGTGTTGAAGTCGAGGAGGTTGACGAAGAAATCGTTGGTCAGTTTGCCAGGGCGTTGAGTGAAGACGCCGTGTGCGGAACCATCCCAGTTGGCGTTGAGGACGCGGAGGCCGCCAACCAATACGGTCATCTCCACTGCAGAAAGGGTGAGCAAGTGGGCCTTGTCAACGAGCCAATCTTCAGTGCGTGCATTGGAAGCTTTTTTGGGAGGGAGGTTGCGGAAACCATCGGCGAAAGGTTCGAGATAAGCATAAGACGATACTTCAGTCTGTTCCTGTGTTGCATCGACGCGGCCAGGGGTGAAAGGAACTGGGATGCCAGCTGCCTGTTCGACCGCTGCAGTGCCGGCGAGAACGATGAGATCAGCGATCGAGACAGGTTTGCTAGACTGTTTTTGGACGCTTTCTAGAGCGGCGAGGACTTTGGGCAGCTCAAGATGCTTGTTGGAACTCCAATCCTTAGCGGGAGAAAGGCGGATGCGAGCGCCGTTGGCACCCCCACGTTTGTCGGTGCCACGGAAACTGGAAGCCGAAGCCCATGCAACACGAATGAACAACGCGGGATCGATACCGGTAGCGAGGATAGCTTTCTTCAGGGAAGCGACATCGCTTTCGCCGAGCGCGGGCCCGGTGGCGGTAGGGAGAGGGTCTTGCCAAAGGAGGTCCTCCTTCGGAATTTCGGGGCCGAGATATCGAGACTTGGGACCAAGGTCACGATGGAGAAGCTTGAACCAAGCACGACCGAAGGCATCAGCAAACTCGTCGGGGTTTTCCAAGAAGCGGCGGGAAATCTTCTCATAAATCGGGTCATATCGAAGGGCCAGGTCAGAGGTGAGCATGGTAGGGAGTTGCTTCTTGGAGGGGTCAAAGGCGTGAGGAATGATAGGCTCAGCATTCTTGGCGACCCACTGGTTCGCACCAGCAGGGCTCTTCGTCAGCTCCCAGTCGAATTTGAAGAGGTACTCGAAGAAGTTGTGGCTCCACTTGTTTGGTGTGCTTGTCCAAGTAACCTCTAGACCACTGGTAATGGTGTCTTGTCCCTTTCCTGTCCCGAAGCTGCTGTTCCAGCCCAGGCCTTGCAGTTCAATCGGTGCACCTTCCGGCTCTGGGCCAACGTGGCTTGCAGGACCAGCGCCGTGCGTCTTCCCAAAGGTGTGACCACCTGCGATAAGGGCTACAGTCTCTTCATCGTTCATGGCCATGCGACCGAAAGTAACACGAATGTCATGACCAGAAGCAACCGGATCCGGTACCCCATCCGGGCCTTCGGGGTTGACTGATGGTTGAGAATTAAGAGGATGAACTCGTACAGAAGTCAACTTTTCTTACCGTAGATGAGTCCCATATGAGCAGCACCAAGAGGTTCCTGGAGCTTGTAGGAATGAGCTTGCGCCTTGTTGTCGACGTCCATGTCTGAACTCCCTTTGGCATATCGAATATCGTTCCCGAGCCAAGTGGTCTCCCCTCCCCAGTAGGTTGCCTCATCGGCTTCCCACGTGTCAGGTCGGCCACCAGCGAACCCGAAAGGCTTGAAACCTTGACCAATATCAGTTGGTTTCTTGTGAGTATTTTCGCCCCATCTTACCCATCGATTCAAGAGCAACATTCCCAGTTAGAAGAAGAAGATCGGCCCACGAGATCTTGTTGCCGTACTTTTGCTTGATGGGCCAGAGAAGGCGACGAGCTTTGTCGAGGCTGACATTGTCTGGCCAGCTGTTGAGGGGTGCGAAGCGTTGTTGCCCCTGTCCACCACCTCCTCGTCCATCAAACACACGATAAGTACCTGCACTATGCCATGCCATGCGGATAAAAAGGCCGCCATAGTGACCATGATCTGCTGGCCAAGCCGGGTTACTCTCTGTCATGAGAGCGGTGAGGTCCTTCTTGAGAGCATTGTAATCGAGCGACTTAAACGCTTCAGCATAATCGAAAGCTTCGCCGAGAGGATTCGTTATCGATGTGTGTTGACGAAGGATATTGAGCTTAAGCTTGAGGGGCTTTAGTTGAAGCTATGAATAGACGAAGACACATCTAACCTGCGTAGGCCACCAGTCCTTGTTGCGAGTGCCACCGCCAGCAGCATGGCCGGCTGGGCATTTACTGTCTCCAACGTTAAACTCAGTGGACATGGTGGTAGTGTGGTGGAAAGAGCGGAAGGTCGGATGACGCAAGGGGGTCAAAATCTGGGGTCTCAGTAAAGATCGCGACATTATTGGCTGGACTAGGGCTGGATCCGGGGAATCGATTCAATTTATAAGAAAGATGTGTCATGAGAAGACATGCATGTGACCGCCTCGTCCGATCAGATCAGGTATGGATATCTTTCAGCAGCCTCTTGAGGTAGTGAACAGAACAGCAGGGCCGGTCCACCATCTGCTTTCTGGTTCTTTTCGCTCTATTTCCCTGTTTCTTCTTGCATTTTCTCCTCTCCAACGTTCAATCGAGCTCGTTCAGACTATTCCTGCATTCGGACCCCATCAATATATCGCACTCAGTCCTTCTGGGGGTGACACACGTTATGCCTTCACAACAACCTGGGCGCAACCTCCGAAACTTCATAGTTGGGCTATTGATCAAGGGCCACACGTACGCCTCGTCAATAGCGTCGAAATAAGTCAGTATGCATCCATAAAAAACTGCCAGTTGCTCAGTGTTTTGCAGCGGCAACTTCGTCATACATTACAGTTCCACCCCCATTCTCACACATTTACTCCGCAGGAGGTCCAACCGCACAAGTTCATACTGTGGATAGCCATCGCGGCTTTGGCCCTCATCTGCAAGAAATCTATTTCGTTGCCGAGGAAGAGTGGGAGACAGCTGATAAAACTCGAAAGGCTTTGGTTATTTCCCTCCTGTTGGACAGGAAACGCAAAACTGACGGTTGTAATCAGCGATATGGATCCCATGGGATCGAGTTTGCCTTCCCCATTGGATCAATACCACTGGCATTCATCCCAGTCCTCGGACGGTCAACCATCGAGATCTATCGACTAGAAGATGGAGGGAAATTGAGATTTATCGAGTCCAGCTCCTCTCCACAACGAGCCGACGGTATTTCCAAAGAGGATGGCCCCCGCCACGTCAAAATCCATCCAAATGGTCGTGTTCTGTATTGTGTCACTGAACATTGTACGTTGTGCATCTCCTTACGACCGTGTTTCATCCAAAATTTGCACCAGCCAACTATCTCGACGTCTATACCATCAATGGTGAGGGGGAAACCCCTATCTTGACCTATGTGGCTTCCCGGTCACTCCTTCCGCCCTATGTTCGCGAAGAAGTGGATGTCATTCACGATTATCGGGGTGATACTTTAATTCTGGCACCTTCCACAGCTGGACAACCTGCTCCCCAGAGTATCTTCGTTTCAACGCGAGGCACTACAGCTTGTGGTTGGGTCAGCGTTTTCCGACTTGACGATCAAGGCATGTTCGCAGGTGACATCGAAAATAACCCCTACCTCGTCGAACGTTATGAAGCGCTCACTGGTGGTGGCAAAGCACACGCTCTTGACATTATTCCCAAGCAAGACGATGCTGACGGTGGTTGTTGGCTTGTCCTGACTGACGACTCACCTCCCCATCCTGGTGTGCGAGTTTTGGAATGGGATGGTTGGCTATGGCGTGGTGGTGGAACTAGACTGAGAGAAGTGGCCTCTTGGCCACCAACAAGCTACAAGCCTAGTGACGGGGACGAAAGAATGGAGGGTGGCAGTCATGCCGTGTGGCTCTAGTAGCTATACGATTAGATAACAGTTGACATAGCATAGCCACAGAATGTGACAGGCAGCGATCACGTTGCTTTCTGCCACAACCAACTCAAGCGGGTTTCGTCCCCACACGCGGCTCAATGCCTTCTACCCACACGATTCCCATTCCTATTGAACGGATTGGCTTGGTGTCACGAACGGAGAATGGCCCACCCGGTTATTTCCACCCTACCAACCACACAAAAGACAAACTCATGCTTAACAGAACAAGCAACTGTCATCTCAACCCGTGGAAGCGGAGATGAACAGGAGCTCTACGTTCACTTTGTTGCTCAAGACAAGCGTATGGATAGATGGATTAAGGAGTCTGAATTCTCCCCCCTTTCCAATGAACCACGCAAGAGAAAGCGAAGCGATAACGATTCAGATGCAGAAGATGGGTTTACAATGGTCGTGACAGAGGAGGAGTATGACTTGGATCAGCATAAAAAGATTGGCGCGCAGCGAAATTTCGACAGGGTCCTATTTGGGCAGTGGGCTATCCGAACATGGTATTTTGGACATTCCACTTGTATTGTTATGACTAATGCTACTCAGGTACTTCTCCCCATATCCTCTTGTCGAAGGAGATGACATTGAGCTACCTGCGGTCACTCCCAATGGCCAACCAGCTACGACCGTGGCCTCAGTTCCCAAGATACCAGGCGTCAGGCATACGGCCGGTCGTTCTCATGCCCGCGTCTTGGATCTGCTAGCAGGCAGTTTGACTCGCGTTGAACGGCCCATGCTGTGGGTTTGCGAATATTGCTTCAAATATATGTCCGATCCTCAACTCTACGAAGCACATCAGACGCGCTGTACCGTCTCCCGCCCCCCCGGTCGACGAATATACCACAAGGGTGCCTGCTCTGTCTGGGAGGTAGACGGCGCCAAAGAGAAGGTTCACTTTCGTATGACACGTCCCATATGACCCTTACATCGCTCAGCTCTACTGCCAAAACTTGGCGCTCTTTGGTAAACTATTCATCGATGTCAAAACCCTCTTTTTCGACTGTGATAACTGTACGTAAACCATTTCCCGTTCAAGTGCTGCCTCATCATTGGACAGTCATGTTCTATGTTGCAACAGAGTCAGATTCCAAATATCCGCCGGATTCCCAATGCCATCATTTTTGCGGTTTCTTCTCTAAAGAAAAACTGTCCTTTGACGATTACAATCTTGCTTGCATCGTCACGTTGCCACCACGACAGCGAAAGGGCTGGGGAATGCTTATGATTGAGATAAGCTACGAGTTGTCGTATCGTGCAAACAAAGTTGGTACTCCCGAACGACCACTTTCCGACCTTGGTCTCAGAAGTTATCTGGCGTATTGGGTCGCAACATTGCTTCGCTTTTTCCGGTGAGGCATCATAGTGACTCAGCTCCAGACCTAATGATGTAGCCGGATTCTAACCGTCGTCGTTCCATTCGGAGCCTCGGTCACAAAAGAACTCGACGGTCCCCGTTCTCCTTCCCATGACAGAGAAGAGGCAGGGACACCGAGCGTCGTCAACGGCAATACACCTGGCGTGGTCACCGCGAAACGGAGGAAGCGTGCTCCTACTATCTCGTCTAGCGAGGTAAATGACGCGGAGGCACTATTACGAGACGAAGAGCAGAGAACGAGCCGTATAGGTCTGTCAGCTATCTCTCTCTCTCTTCTTTCGGTGAACTTTCGACAGCACACATTCTCTCTGCTCAAAAACAAAGATGGACGGCGAATTCCAATGGTACAGCAACCGTCAATGCTGAGATCCAACTCACGATCAAGGAAATTGCCCAAGCCACCCATCTGCGAGTAGATGACACTGCATTTGCTCTGAGCGAGATAGGTTTGCTTGGTTTGCGTCTTGCAAGTGAAGACGAAGCGGAACTGAGACGATTGGCAACTAGTCCACCAGAGTATTCCAACGCAAATCCCAACACCTTCGTGTTCATCTCCCGTGCAACTGTAGACCGGTTAATAAGAGAAAGGAGAATAAAGATCCCGTCTCTAAATCTTATGCATTATCTCGACACTTAGCAGCACAATTTATCTTGTTTTTTCTAATTATGACATAACGGTCAGGTGATTTTATGAACCTTGTCTTCACATTTTCCCTTGTCTGGATCGTTCTCCATGGTGCAAATTACTTTTGGCGACGCAGGGAGCTCAAGCCACTTCTTCCACTTAGTTCAAACAGAGGTCGGAACCATACGCAAGTCATTGTTGAGAAGTTGCACTTTCGGATCCAAACATCAGCGTTAAATGGACATCAAGACGCGCTCTCCCATTCACTTGGATCTAGGAGACATCTTCGCTGGATATTAACCCTATTTTATCACACCGGAGTAATTGTAGCCATTCTGGGGGCAATCACCTCTTTTACACTCCTCTTGCTGAATTGCGCCCACATGCTAGCGCCATGGGTGTATGCTCCCCCTCCTGACTTGCAACCATCTCTACTGGCAAAGCGACTGGTGCAAAGTACTCCAGTCACTGTGGTGAAACCCGTCGTATGCTCTTCTCATGAACCAACACATGCAGACCGACTGACTGGAGCTAGATTCCGGGACTCACCACCCCTTTGAGTCATCTTCCCGCCATCCTCTCTGCTGTCTTTATTTCTCAAGTGATCCATGAAGTGGGTCACGCCATCTCTGCGGCCCTGTAGGTCAGATCAATCTTCCAGCTTCCACGACTGAAATGCATAGTGACGCAGTGCCAATAGTGTCCGCTGGCGCATCATTTACTATCGCCATCCCTGCGGCATTTGTTTCTTTTCCGGCGACCACACTACAGGCCCTTCAGCCTTACTCACGTGCTCGCATCATCGCTGCGGGACCATTCCATAATCTGGTATTCTGGACTGTTCTTCTAACCGTAGACTGGCTTGGGTTGGCAAACTCGTTCAATCGAGACGTCTCTGATATCGGGCGTGTTGTCGTGAATATCGACAAGGTAAATCTGCCCTTTGCCAGTGGCACGCGAACGCCATTCAAGATTATTAGGATTCGGACTTGGGCAGCTACATTGAACTAGGTTCCATCATTACCAAGATAGACGACGTCTCTCTTGGGTCGCCTGAAGATATATGGACCTCGTATCTGACATCAATTTCGCCTCCATCGCCCGGTTGGTGCGTCAAACACGCTGAACTGACCAGTAAGGAAGCCTTCGGGTACCGAGTTCTATGAAGCTTATTGAAACAATAGCGAATCCACATTCCTGTTGCCAATCAACGACTTCATCTCCACTAGCGTGTTTCTCCTCCACCATGCACCATGACCACGGCTGTCTTGACCCAGTTTCTGTTCTAACAAGTGACCGACACCGATGCCAGGTCGATGAAGAATGCCCGTCTGAGATGCTATGTGTACGACCCCGCGATTCTGCCAACTTTGTTCGAATCGGCGTAGGAGACAAAACGATACTCTGGAGTGGTCCAAAGAACGAAATTTACGACCAAGGTTTGCCTGTCTTCTCTTTTCTGACTTGCAACTGAATCCCTCCAGTCGAGATTGGCTCGAGGATCCCTCTATTGTGTCCCTTTTGGCTGGTGCAGCACCTGACTCTATTTTGGAGGTAAGTTACCCTTCTGCATGCGCAACGACGGACCATGAACCAAGTTCAGCTATCTCAAAATGGCAACGCTGTCATTGTTCTTATTCAACCTGCTTCCGCTGCCCTATCTGGACGGAACGCAATTCATGCAAGCTTTGCTCGACATGTCACTTCCGGAAGAACACGAAGAGTATGATATGAATGCATTAGAGTCTGGAGACAGAAGGCAGAGATCAAGGCGAGATCGGTGGAAAGAGCGTGCTGGGCGAAGCATTGGGACCGTGACGAGCGGACTTTTTGTACTGAGTGTAGTATTTGCGCTCATTGACATGCGTTGATAGTGGAATCAATTCAGGCATAAGTTTGGGTGCCATACAGAAATCCAATCTACTTTTTCGACTTTTTCTTCTGGATCTCGACAACCTCAAGACCTAAGGAGAAATCAGCTTCGCAACAAAGACAAGGCATGGATGACAACGCACCTGGAGGGAGTCCAAGCTGGAGTTTCTCAGCCTTGTCTGGGTCGTCGAGGGAGAGTGTGTACAGGTATCGAGAACACCGCAGTTTAAACTTGGTGAGGGCTTTGCCGTTGGGTGTCTTGGACGCGATTTTCTTTATGCGCGCCTCTGTGCAAGAACAGATGGTCAGCAAGGTGAAAAAAAAATGGAAAAGGCAAGCCCGAAACGCACGACGGGCATCCTTCCTCCGAGCAATCTCGATAAACTGTTTTATGTCCCGGATCTCCTTAGGCTAATGCAGGCGTCAGTAGCGGAATGGCCCATATTTCTCTAGCACAGACCATGGTCGTTGTTTTGAGGTAGTCACGCGTCACACGCACACCTGGTCAGTCGTAGACATCAAATTGATTGGATTATAATGATAGTATTAGTCTACAATCTCTACTCCTCCTTGCTCTCCTCCAGCATCCGACGCGCTTCTCGTCGTTCTCGGCCTCGTGTGACCATCTCTTTGGGCTCCAAGTCCGCAAATAGATATTTACAAGTCTTTTCAATTGCGTAGCATCCAGCAAAGTCTATGACCATACTTGCCGTCAAACGCGCTCGGAACTACGAGTCAAGTTAGTCGCTAACAGTGAAAGAACTAGAGAGGAAAGCGCACAGAGATGGACATCTCGACAATTTGCAACCACCGATTGAGTTCAGGAACGAAATCGGTAGCGCCACAGAAAGCGACTGCGCTTGCTCCGACAAGACCCCAGTAAAGATACTGGTTTTCTCGGATACCTTCACGGAAAGGACGACCTTGAAAGTTAATCGCGAATGTTGAAACTTGTTGTGAAAGGCCGAGGAGATATATGGCGGTATTTAGTAAGCTGGGCTCAAATTTGGCCTCCAAATCGATAGGTCCTTCGCGACTGGAAGTGTGGTTATAGCAATGAGGTGACGATCAGATAAGTAACATACGGTTCAAGTGCATGAGAGAGGTCGGTCATATATACCAAGGTCACAATATGCAAGGCGAACTGCAGGACAATGGAGAGAAAGACGTAGAGATTGAAGATGTTGCCCAGAGGTCGCTCACGGGAGAGTTTTTCAACCGGCTGTTGACTGGATAAGATTTCGATGTCAAAATGAGGAGGAAAGGTCACCTTGGCACGAGAGATACACAGGAAACAAACGGACATCATGACGCCAGTAATGGTATACTGGTAGTCTCCAAATTTGATCCCGTCTAGATATTGAACGCTCAGAGAATATGCCGTAATCAAGCAGTTCAACGCCAGAATTTTGTACATTTGGATAGTGGCAACAAGCGTGCATCGTCCCTGGCGAATGATGTGGGAGACTACAACATGAGTTGTCGAGTTGAACAGAAAAGAAGAGACTTACCAGCTGCAACATGAGAGAGCTTTGAAGTGAACGGTGCCGCACAAGATGCATCACCCAGTTTGATCTTCGGGACCTCTTCCTCATCGTCCATCTCAGCCATCTTACTAGTGATGGCCTCGAGGTTGAACTAACATGTGTCACAGTGGGGAAAGGATTTTGAACGTGATTGACGAACCTTTTCCATAGGATTTCTTTTGCGGGCCACAGCGAGGTCGGCAGCAGCTCGTTGCTGGGCGGCTACTGCATCTGGGAATAAGTGGGCGATTGCGGCAGGGACTGCTGGGGGTGGCTGGTTGAACCTTGCTGAAATGGAAAGCTGACTCTCATAGACCTTCTTGATACGCTCGATTTGCTGTCGTTGGGCGATCTTCTTGAGATCTTCCTCGGTACCATCCAGAAGGGCAACTCCGATATGTGCCTGTTTGAGAGCGCCAACATCATTTGTCCCATCACCCGCCATTAGCGTGATGTATCCAAGCGTCTTGAGGGTCGTCAAGATGAGTTCCTTCTGAGCAGGCGAGACTCGTGCATAGACCCAGGTATTTTGGACAAGCTGCTTCCAGCCAGGGCGATCCTGATATTGCTTCATGGCCGCACCGGTGATGCAAATGTCGTATTGTTTGAACAGAGATTCGTCGAGAGGTTGAGATGGGTCAACGGGAATGATTGTAGTTTCATCAACATTGCGCCAGATAAGGTCACCATCATGAGCAGGATTCTCTCTGAGGTCGAGAATTAGAGCATCACGGTCCATTATTTCGACGTCGTGAGCTACGTGGACGGCGGTCAGCGGGTTGTCGCCAGTGATCATCACACACTAGGATCGGTCAGCTAAAGCAGATAGCCAGGTAGCATTTCACATACGCGATGCGAGGAGTCCGCGAGCATCTTGAGAGTTTCAACGGCATCCGGTTTGAGAGGACAATGGAACACCAGGAACCCGGCAAAGCTGAGATTGCTCTCCACTTGATCTCGTGACATTTTGTTGATCTTGGTCAAGTTAGCAAGACAGGGTTAAGAAGCGGCGACTCGCCTTATCCACCGACAAGGACTCCATGTCCTTGATTGCAAGAGCCAAAACACGACTGCCTTTGCGAGTAAAATACTTGTATGTCGCGTCGTAATGCGCAGGAACATCACCAAGCATGCCCTTGATGGTCTCCGGAGCGCCTTTGACAGCCGAAATAGTCTTGCCGCCAGGCATAGTCGAGATGGTCGACATACGCTTTAACGCGGAAGAAAACTGGAACCGACGACGAATAGATAATTGTGTACGATGTGGTGCATTGTTGCTGGCAGGGGTAACCGAATCGCCTATAATGATCAGTCTCACGTATGGCCCTCCTCACACAAACAGACCTTTAGCAAGATTCCACTCCAATGCTGCCAAGGTGGTCTTTTCCATAGGGTCGCCTACAACCGTTCCATCATCCAAACGAACCAACGCGTGAGCAGCAGCTAGACACAGAGTCGTTTCCCTTGATGTTTGCTTAACATCGACTAGTTGGAGATTGTTGGCTGGACTGTCCAAGAAAGTCAACACCAGGAGCTAGGCTTGGCCATTCAGCTACTCACTCGACACCCGCAACTCCTTCCAACACAAGATCTTCGGCAGTGATCGTACCCGTTTTATCAAAGCAGCAGACATCGACTCGGCCAGCAAAGGGGATTCTAAACGGCTCCGTACAATAGATTGCTATCTCTTCTTTGAGCGAAGGCCTATTTGTATTAGAGCACGTACCGAACTTCGAAAGAGCGACTAAAGACGCGTTCACCGCTAAAGATAGTTCCATCGGCAGTTCCGGCGGAACGACACTGGTGATGATGAGAACACAATCGAGCAATAGCTTGCTCTTCTTGAGATCGCGCTCAATACCCTTGGTCCAGACATACCAACTGGCAGCAATAGCAAACACCAGAAGAAAACCAATGAATAGGAAGCTTTCGAGGTTGTTGGCGGAAACACGTTCAGTGCTAAAAATCATGGTTCGGACTAATTGTCCCTGAGCAGTCCCAAAGCCGGTACGCAAAACAACACCCAGACAGCCGCCGTCCGGTGTTTTAATCGGGGCAGCAAGACCAGTTTGCGAGGTGGCAGAAGCTTGTAAGACCTTGGTGCCGCTGAAAAGGACGCCGTTTTTATGAGAGCCATCAACATCGAGTTGCTCCTTGGAATCAAGTAGCTGGATAGATTCCTTCAACAGTGGTGTGGATTCACCCGACAGCATCGCCTCATTAACGATGCAAGTTCCATGAACAAGAAGGACGTCAGCAGGTACAATCAACTCGTTCTGCTGGGGCGCTGAATTTCGGTTAGAACAATGCGACGATTATGAAGTTTCTAAAACAGGCAACATACCAAGAGAGATGACATCGCCGGGCAGAAGTTTGTCTGTCTGGATTTCTTGCCATTTGTTGTCACGATAGCACTGGATAGGATAGGGTTCGACAGACATGGTCCTGAACTCAGTAAGAGTGCGGACACGCTGGGGAGAATTGATATCAGTCGTCTTTGCAGACTGGTAGACGATAATCACCTGCCAGACAACAGTACACTCAAACATCACAAGCATGAAGAGGGTGAAGATGCTGTAGTACCAATACTCATCCAAACACCAAAGGGCAACACAGAATATCTGAAACACAAAGAAGGGGGCGGTTGCGTGCTCTCCAAAGAGCTCAGTGAAGGAAGGGATAGGGATATTGAATTCGTTTCCGCCATAGAGAGAGATGAGGCTTGAAACGTCGGCGGTGGCGAGGCTTTTGGGCTGGAGAAAATCTCCAAGGGGCGGACGGCTAGTGGAAGGATACGGGAGGCGGGCGAATACCAATGGTTCCAATGATTGCACGACGTAGGTGTCTCTTTGGTAACTGAATGTACACGTAGACAAGTCGGATTCGTTTTTCTTTGTCAATGGCACGATTTCGCCCTGACCTCGGTGCTGGTGAGGCACAATTCTGATACAGTCAGCTTCCTTGAGTGATTTTGCGGTGTTGGTAGTTATCCATGCTCTTGCGCCGCCATTCCAACGAGTGACTAGGAAGCTAAGGGCATGCGCAGAGCCCAATGTTACGCAAGCAAGGAAAGTCCATTCTTCCGAAACGAGCCATTCGTCGTATTTGACGTAGTAGGCATAGGCCAGAAGTGGATAAAGAGACAGGAATGGGACAGCGTATAGGTGGGCAGCGAAGGGGAGGCGAACATGGAGACTGGCTCGTGCGATATCAGGCGACTCGACGGCAACAGCGACCCTAGAATTGGTCAGTCAGTAATTGCGACTCAAAAAACATGATGACGGCGCGTACATGGGGGCAAGTCACGGCGCGTCACATTCGGATTCAAGCCTCAAGCCTCCAAAGTCAAAAACGGTCTCCAGCAACGTAGACCTTACAGATATTTGTAATCAACACAAAACCCTCTTCTCTCTTTCAGAGAGAGTCGGGGATAACAATACTAGTGTAGCTCTATCTACTCGCGACTAGTTCCAAATTCAGAACGCTCGTATCTCCTCAACAATAATCCATAAACTCCGCAGAGAGGAGATGACAAAGATGAATTGCGGCTTGACACTAACGAGGTGGCTTGGTAACATGATAGTTGACCGTGTTGAATACAAGTCTTGGAGAGCAGGATAGGATGACCCAAGATAAAAACGACCAGTGATTTAGCCTTTGACAGAGCCGTCAATACTATTTGTCAGCCGTCCCTTCTCAGCCCCATATCGTCATGACCATTCACGAATCCTTCCTCACTGTCTTGCTTCCTACATCTCCATTTATTCTTGCCTATGCCATCCCCATGCTACTTCTCTCCCTCCTCCTGACCCTCGCTGGCGCATTCCTAACCCTCGATCGCACACGGTCCTTTCCTGTTGAGCGTTATGGTGTCCTGCCCGGCGCATTCGAACAGAGAAAGCGCATCCACTTTCTGTTGGAAGGTGGTGTCGGTGGACTTGCTGCAGGTTATGCCTTTGGAGGTGCCTTATATACTGTTGATATGAGTTTCCGCGGCTAACTTCGACTGTATCAGTGCACTTATCGACGTTCCTCAGTTTACTCGTTCCGGCGATATCCTCATCTTCCTCCCTCAGCCCTAGGTCTTTCGTGCCTATTTGGCTACTTTCCGGTCTAATCACGACATTTTTGGCCGGTCGATGGAGATATTGCGCACTCACCTTCATTGGGTTGTCCGGCGGGTGAGTCTTAGCGTCAAGCTCATAACCCGGCTAAGTTCCATAGGGCTGCCTTCTCTCTCGGGGTTTCTGTCGTTATACATCCTTCGCTACTGGCTCGAATCATCATTACCGCCATCTTCGTTCCCACCTCAACTCTGTTCGTTCTCCTTCCAATCCCCAAGATTCAGCGCTCTGCAGTCCGTTTTGGCGCTTCTGTGACGGGTGCCTTCGGTGTCGTTCTCTCGATAGCATTACTCGCAAATATACCATCATGGGCTAATGTCTGGGATCGCCTATGGGAGGCTCAAGACGAGACTGGGACCTGGGGAACGACCAAAGAGAAGGGCCTCAGTGCAGGCTTCTTCCTTTTCCTTACCGCCGGCATTGTTTGTGACTTCTTTTTACGGCGCACTTTCGGAGAATGCCCAGACGAGGTGCGTACCCGGCTTTCTGTCTTGGGACGAACTGACTTTGGCCACAAAGAAATGGGACAGTTATCTTGCAACGTATGCGTCAAATTTACCCAACGCCGCTGACCGTGCTGGTACATTCGTTCCCGTCAAATCTTTCTGGGATCGTGTGCTCGGCAGTTCTCCCGCCACCAAGCCTCCCAGGGACATAGTCTTTCCTGATGATGACGCAGACGATGTCAAGTTGACGCCAGGAAAGGGTTCAGAGTCTTTTGAGTTCCAACAAAGTCCTGCTTTCCTCAAGAAGGGGAGGTCAGTGGGTCATACACGCTTCAAGGCACGCATGTCTAGCAAAAAGCGTGATGGGGTTAAATTCAAGCCTGTTGGAGATTCCTACTCTGACGACGACGACGACGATCCGCTTAACTCGCCGCCCTTAAGTCCAACTAGCAAAGTCCCGCGACCATGGCTACGCCAGAAGACATCTATTGCCTCCACAACGCCCACACTCGTTGATGACCTTTCGCCCAAAGGGGGGAAACTGGATTTTGACAGGGAAGTCAAAAAGGTTCGGGAGGGGAAAAAGCTGAGGGACGGAGAAGCGCCAGAGTACTCTGACTTCGAAGATGATGTGACAAATATGGGAGGTAAACATAGCGGAGAAGAGTGGAAACCAGGTTTCCTCAAGCGGCACACATCCGGTGCCAACTCCACATCAAGCACATCTCAGCAAACAATAGTCAAGTCAAAATCTCCTCCATTGGGGGCTGTACCTGCAACCCCGTCGCTGATCAAAGCGTTGGACCGGATAGCAGTCGCACAGAAAGATGCGTTCAGCCAGCCGCCCTCGCCTGAGGAGAAAGGTGCACGATGGGATGAATTCTGGAAGGATGTCCGGGACAAGGCACGATGACTTACGAACAGAAACCTAATTATTGCTATCCTATCGCTTACGACCTTGACGCGTTTTAATGACTAGATACCCTTGATGAACTTTATTAGCACAGTCCATCAACTCGTGATCGCATTGCTTTCATCCAACAGCCATGGTCAAGATATTCAGCATAAGCATAATCCAGGCTCCCCAGTCAGGAGCGAGTACCCTACTTGCGACCGCAAACGACCTTTCTTCGTTCTCGTTCTACCAGCGAGGATCGGTCGGCGAATTCATGACATTCTTCTCCAAGACGGTGGCGGAACGAACTGGAGCTGGTCAACGACAAAGCGTTCAGGAGAATAATTATACTGCGCATGTCTACAACCGAGGAGGGTCAGAGCAACTTGCGGGTAAGTTAATTTGGATTGGCAATTGTTGCTCATTCTTCACAGCGGTGATCATAACCGACCAGGAGTATCCTGTTCGACCAGCATTCTCCCTATTGACCAAAGTTTTGGATGAATTTGTGGCCAAGGTGCCGCAATCGTCGTGGGATAACCCGTCATCCATTTCCTTCTCGGAGCTCTCCACCTATATCAGCCGATACCAAGACCCACGCCAGGCAGACACTATTATGCGAGTCCAGGCGGAACTGGACGAGACTAAGATTGTTCTGGTAAGCCTACTCGGCGAGTCAGTTCCATCCGTGGCTAACATTTTCTGGTTCAGCACAAGACAATCGAGTCAGTGCTTGAACGAGGCGAACGCTTAGACACACTGGTGGATCGGTCAAACCAGCTCTCTGCTCAGAGCAAGATGTTCTACAAGACTGCCAAGAAGCAGAATAGCTGTTGTGTTATCATGTAGACTAGGCGTAGTTTTATCTCGTTTCACTTTGCCTCCGACCCCGATGTCCAAACGCCGTGATCCAAAATCTAGTCTCTTTTTATTTTACATAAATGCTAGACAACCACACTCTACCCTCCATCCACCATGACTCTAGTCGACATCTCCCCAAACACCCTCGATGCCCGCACTAGAACCGATGCTGTCGAGCTCAGTGATCTGGTGGAATCAACTTCATGTTGAGCTTAACTTGCTCTTACCTTTGACTTTTTAGTCCAGTTATCTCGATGCAGTCACTCACTTCTCCTCGATTGATGACCGCAAGTTCCTGGCAAGTTGTGTTCTATTCGCTCTCCTGTGCAGATAAACGACGTTTTGCTAGCTCGAGAATATCGTGACGCTCATGAGCAGGCTCTCGACGCATCCAACACTGGGTTCAATAACCGCGAAGCTCCAGGACGCGCTAATCGACATCCTTTACAAAGACTTGCCACACCCTCCAAGCAGTTATCTGAGCATCATGCCACAAACTACGCCACCAATAGACTCTAATCCCTTCGTTTATGCATTCCGAAGCGCCAACGGCTCTAATTATAACCCTCTCATTCCTACCTTGGGAGCTGCTGGTTCCCCATATGCTCGATCAGTTCCTTCAACCTCCCACATCCCTCCCGCGACATTACCCGATGCAGGACTTGTCTTTGACACCCTCTTGAAACGCGAAAAATTTATTCCCCACCCGGGAGGCATCAGTGCTCTATTTTTCGCCTTTGCAGATCTCGTTATTCATAGCATCTTCCACACGGACAGCCACAACCCCACGGTAAACTTGACAAGCAGCTACCTTGATTTAAGTATTCTCTATGGCGATTCGCAGGCTCAATGCGATGGTGTGCGCAGCAAAGATGGGCGTGGTCAACTACACAAAGACGTGTTTGCAGACAGCCGACTGCTGTTCATGCCTCCTGCAAGTTGTGCTCTATTGGTTCTATTGAATCGCAACCACAATGTTCGTCGAGTCTTTCTACTGGCCTTTGAGACTGATGATCTGCTGAAAGTATATTGCCCAAAAAATCCGGGACATCAACGAGAACGGCACCTACAAATCCGAGTTCAAGGACAAAAAGGAAAGATTGGGACAAGAGTATGGGCTTCCCAACCACCCGACTACATCTCATCCCCGACAGTGACGAGATCTTCAACCGAGCAAGGCTTGTGAACTGTGGTTACTTCATGAAAATTATTCTGGGAGGTGTGAGCTCTGTGCAAGCGTCGAGACGTTCAATCTAAAGGAGGCGACAGACTACGTTGGTGCAATTCTCGGCCTTGTTCGAGATGGTTACAGCTGGCGTCTCGACCCTTTGTCTCAATCGCGTTCAGCGAACCACGCTTTGTCACCGAGAGGGGAGGGTAATGTGGTCTCTATTGAGTTTAATCTGCTGTACCGCTGGCATGCAACACTATCTGAGAAGGACACGCAATGGACGGAAGATCTCTTCAAAGGAATCTTCGAGAGAGATGATGTTGAGAACGTAATCATCACATGATATACTTGGTCCTTGTGTGCTCATATTGTTGGCAGATTTCCATCCGCGAGTTCATTCAGGCTGCGCACACAAAGCTGACTGCAGATCCGGATCCCAGAAAGTGGACATTCGACAAGTGACTGGCCTTCCTTATCAGGGAATTTCTGGACTAAATACTATCAGGCTGGAACGTCGCCCTGACGGTCGTTTTCAAGACTCTGATCTTGCCCAAATCTTGCAAGATTCGACATCCTGGCGGGCTGGCTCTTACAAGGCTCGAGGAATTCCCAAGGTTCTGCGTGTCATAGAAGTTCTCGGGATTGAACAAGCTCGTCGATGGGGAACATGTTCCGTGAGTGAGCGTTTGTCGTCAGCTAAATTTTTGAACGCCTGTACCAGATGAACGATTTTCGTCGCTTCCTTGGCCTGAAACGTATGACATGTCTTGCTCTCGATTCCTGACTAGAATGACCAACAGCCTTTGCTACTTTTGAGGAGTGGAATGCCGACAAGGAAGTCAGCGTGAGGATTGCGTTCTCTGGTCAATGCTCCTATACTCAAGTCTGCGCAGACTGCGGCGAAGGCGCTGTATAAGGATATTGAAAACCTTGAACTCTATGTCGGTTTACAAGCAGAAGAAGCTAAACCCCCTATGGCAGGTGCTGGACTTTGCCCTGGTTACACGATCTCGCGGTCGATCTTGGCCGACGCTGTTTGTCTGACACGCGGTGACCGCTACCTTACGGTGGAATTCACGCGTACGTCCGAGTTACAGTGCTGGTATCCTCCAGCTTATGCGAGGCAGCGTTTAACTTAACTGCCTGGGGTTATCATGACTGTCAATTCGACACTCAGGATGGTTCATATGGCGGTATGCTCACCAAGCTTCTCTTTCGCACTCTTCCAGACCACTACCCGCCACGCTCCGCATATGCCCACTTTCCTTTCCTTGATCCAGAGTACATGCGCAAGAATCTTCACGAAAACAACCCTGAACTAGAGACAAAGTACACTTGGACACGACCCATCATCTCACCCGGGGCAGAAAATGTCATCGTTATTAAATCTCCTGCAGGAGTTCGTCAGGTTCTTGAAGACAAGACTGTATTCCCAAGGCCATACGCACATCGACTAAAAGCAGTGGTCGGTCCGCGTGATGTCGACAGTTCCTTTGTACGGATGGCGTTTCAATGCTCTCGGAGGCTGAACCAGCTGTGTTAGGTGCAACGCATATTACTCTCGGAACTCCACAAATGGTCAGACTATTTCGCTGCCAAAACTCAGTGGTTGGTTAAGAGGCACTGTCTTGATCACATCGGAAGTCCCAAACCGTTACAATATGTCGACATTGTTCAAGACGTTATCAATCTGCTTCCTGTTCATTGGATCTGCGAGGATTTGGTCAGCATTTCCTCTTTCTTGTTGGCACATCTCTAAAGCAAGTAGGCTGGACTGCCTCTTCTCGGTGGAGCCAAAGGAGAACAAGCCCAATATCAATCGTTCTCTGATGTATGCCGGTTAGTGTTATATTCTGTGCCTTTGCTTCCCATTCATTGGCTGGTCAGATACGTCTTTTTGAACACAGAGCCCTCGCACGATTGGCGTCTGCATGAAAGCTCTCTCAAGACCTTTCATGACTTCAGCAGCACAGTCAAGAAGCACCTGGGCTCATGGCTCTTTGATCCTGACCGTTCATCACGTGTGGCGGTCCTCAACAAACTCTACTCCGAAAAGAGCGATGTGGATGTTGTTGCGACCGCGCTATTCATGGAAGTTGTCCCCACAGCAGCGCACTGGTCACAGGCCGTCGCTCATATTGTCGATTTCTACCTGGATGACGCCCGAATTGAAGATAGACGGCGCATCGTGGCTTTGTCCAAAGTCAAATCATCGGAGGCCACTGTAGAAATAGGCGCACTTATCCGCTCAGCTCTAGGTGCGTATCATTCGTCGGAAAATCAATCGACTCAGGGAAAACAAAAGTCGCCAATCCACCTGTCTGGGGGGTCTATCGCACTGCGGCGCAAGCAGACACAGTGGTCGACTTTATCAAGATTACCCAGGGCTCACGAATATTCGTCAGCCTTAAGGAAGCTAATGTAATGTCGCTTCCCATCTCGAAACACTGGATTCATGTTCCTTTTTCCAAGGCTGCTAACCCACATAGTCCAATTTTGGGTATCGGAGAGAATGGGTATGTCACTGCGGGTCCCAGGAACGTTGTTGTTTGGTCATGATCCTGATCTTTTGTAGGCTATTGGCTTCTCAGTTTTTCGAGGCTGTGAGTGTGAATCATGAAATTCATTGCGTCTTCTAATGCGTTGCGTCAGACAGCAGCGCAAACTATTGGTCATATTCTAGGGTTGAAGGATCTAGAACGGGCTCCTGGGTCGTCAGGAAAGTTCAATCGCTTTGTTGAATCGGTTCATGGGGCAGAGCAACAATGGTATGTTGGTGCACACTCAGAACTGATTCCTTGGCCGGAATCCCTCTTCGTCCAGGTGAGTAACTCTTGTGCGATTGGTGCAACACTGAAACGTTCAAACCGTCTAGTTTTCCACGTAATCGATCTGTGCAATTATGTATTTTAAATCATCGGATCATTCACTCTTCTGATCCGTCGAACGCTGAGCCTCTCAGAGAAGAGCAAGAGAAAAGGCTCGGTCATTTCAGCAAAAAGGACTTTAAAGAAACCAAAGCCATGGCGTTTCGGCCTTGAAGTACATAACTGCCATCACTTGGCCAAGTAATCGGACTGTATTGTCGTGAGGGTACCATCAGGCGATCATGTGTTGAGTTTGCCGCCGTCGATATAAGAGTTCAGTTGATGAGTCTGGGTTCCTTCGTTTAGGCTGTGCCCACCCTTCCCTTCGACCTCACCGTTTTTTTCTCCTCCCGCCTCTTTCTTTGCTTTTGTGTTCTTCAGCAAAGTTTTACTAGGCATCCTCGACGGATTCTTCTATTATAACCGACTTTATCTACGATGGCCTACGTTCGTACTCGTCATTTTTGTTGCTGCTTGCCTGTTCGACTCGGTAAGCACATTACCCTTTGTTTGAATTGGGCTGACCCACCACAGGAGTATTTGTACGTCGAGATCGCCTTCAGGAGTATCTAGCTGACCAAACATCCAGCTTCTGAGTCTGGGTATTGCGCTTTTGGGAGGAGCGGTTTCCGTCTTGGCATGGATGGAGGTGACAAAACTCCGTGCGCCCCCCTCTTTCATCCTCATGCGCTTCCTGCTCTAACTGTGAATCAGATGAAAATCCCCTGCCTAAAAATGATGAAATCTCGCTCTATATCCATGCTGTGATGTTCTCCGTCCTCTGCATTGTCGGCGCCTTTGGGTGGGTGTTACCTCCCATTAACTGCCCAACGCATCCGACCAAATTTGCAGGTTCTTTGGTGCCTTGACTAAGCAACGTGGACTTGTTTCAGTCTTCGGGACGATGTTGGCTTTGCATCTCGGATTCAGCATTGCGACGGGTATCTATACGCTCTATACGCTTTTCAAGCGTAGCAATCAAGCTGCCCTGATTGTCTGCATCAACAATTCGGTGGACCCGACGGATCCCGCGGCCGCAGTCCGTTGCCAAAATGGCTTCAAGTATCTGAAGATAGTCTCTATCGTCTCCTACTGCTTGAGTTGGTTGATCGAACTCTGTGAGCCCCCGCAACCATCAAAAGTGTTATTTTTTCCTTATGTTTCCTCTCTAGACGCTGTTTTGGTTGTCACCAGCTACGTGAAGCAACTTAAAGAGGAAGAGGAAGCCAATGTGATGCATCCTTCCGCCTCCGCCTCAATGAGCAGCTACTATCAACCCAATGCCACCTATGCGCCTCCCGCGACCCAACCAAACGCGTACCCCTTCAATCAACCCAGTCAGGCATATGGACACCAAGCTTGAACGACAAGAGTGACGATATGACGACGTTTACGGTGGAACCCGATAAATAGGTTATAATTTAAGTTTCCAATAGGATTTTTCATTTTTTTGGGAAGACCACAACGTCTAGTAGATGTTCTAAGCTCAGCCCCATTTTTCCGTGAAGTCAACATGGAATTTCTCCAGTTTCCCAACATACTCTTCCACTCCAGGACATAGACAAGTCAGTCGATAGTGCCATTCACCCTCCTTTTGACCAAAGCCGCTGCCTGGTACAACACATATACCGGTCGCATCCAATAAAGCAAGTGCATAGAATGCGTCTGGTTCCTTGCCTGCGTCCCGAGCAGCCTTCACAGCTTTCTCTGGGATGTTAATCTTGGGGAACAAATAGAGGGCCCCGGGACTCTCAACACAGGACACACCCGGAAGAGCATTAAGACGCTCCGCCATTAACCGAGTTCGTGATGCGAGCGCAGCATGGATTGTGTCCGTTTCCTTCTTCCACATATCATAGCTCGGCTCACCCTCTTTCGGTGGGCGGACCATGCTATCAACTCCAATTTGGCCTGCGAGAGGTGGACAAAGACCAACTGACACGAGCTTGTAGACTAGAGCACGGACTTCAGCCGACACATTCGTCAGCTCGAAGTAACCTCCGCGACGACCACACTCTCCAGAAACACCTTTCGAGATGGAGTGGAAGGAAACCAGCGGCACGGGAGATTGCAGCTCCCGTACAACCTTCTTAAAACTGGTGAAAGGGTATTGGGCGGCACGATGAAGGTTGTTTTGGTAGACTTCGTCTGCGAGAAGCACGAGGGAGTGCTCTTCGCATAGCTTGACTAGATCGGCCATCGTATCGCGCGTGAGCAAGGCGCCAGTGGGATTTCCAGGGTTGATAATAACGAGTGCTTTGGGGGATGTTCCCTCAGCACGGGCTTTAGCAAGTCCTTCCGCAATGGATGCTACGGATGTAGACCAGCCTGATGACTCGTCAAGGAGGTATGGAATTGCGCGACCATGATGTTGAGCGAGAGCGGCAGTGTAAAGTGGGTATTGAGGAATGGGAATAAGAATGCCAGCCGACGGGTCGGTGATGAGCATATTGATGAGGAGAGACACGCCAGCAGAGGCACCAGCAGTTAAGAATATGTCATCAGGATCGGAAGGAAAGCCATCGCGGTCTAGTTTCAGCTTGAATACAATTCAGACGCGTCTCAAAGTAATCTACTCACCTGAAATGAACTTTGCGACATTTTTGCGGATGAAGGGTACGCCTTGACTGTGCGAATAGGCCCCAATTGAGCCGATTTCATGATAAAGCTCTTTAGCACGGGCAACGACGTCAGACGGAAAGACACCCGGAGCAAGTTGCGCGAGTTCCGGCCATTCCGACAACGCGGCGATCTACAAATCTGAACGGAATATACGAGAGGCAGAACATCGAGCTACCTGACGCGTGAAGGTGATGGGTGGTTGGTCGAGTCCCTTCTGTTGTGGGTTGCCAATATTCGAGGATATAACTTTGTCGAACCCAAGGTCGTGGCTGCCAGACTTGAGCTGGTCGCGGTAGAGTTCGGCCTTTATTGCTAGTTCCCCCCGTACCGCATATTGAACCTCTTGTAGCTGGGGATTCAAGGCATCGAGTGTGAGGGGACGCATTGTCGTGCGGAAAACGCGAGATGAGTGGCGGAAGGAACCTAGTAAGGGCATCACAACGTGGGTTGTGTGACGGGTATATGCTTTTAAAGCTAGGTCAAACGCGACTTGCACACCTCGCTGCGGCTGTTGGACTCAGCAAAAAACTTGAACTGTTGGTGTCTTCAAAGGAAAACGTGGGTCCGAAAAACTCCGATCGGCTGTTTGACGTCGTTTAGGCACTTGATGAGCAAAATGTGCTCCAATATAGAGAATTTCTGTATAATAAAAAGCTACATGCTAAAACAGCCCTGCTAGATCCGCGAATGGGTCCTTTCCTTGCACCTGAGAAGTCGTAGGTTGAGATTGTTGATGTGGGGTCGGCATACTATGTCCATTCATGACCCCATTAGAATGCGATTGTTGGAAGTGACCGAACATTGTTGGCTGCTGTGCTGCTACTCCTGGGGTTGGCGTGCTAGGGAGCATGATAGACCCGCCAAGCTGTGCATTCGTGGGTCGTGTCGCAGGATTTATCGGAGGTGGTGAGGATGTTGGCGTTGATAGCGTGCCCAGTCCAAACAGTCCATCGAGCTCATTGGCTGGGTTAGAGGATGTTGCGGGAGGTGCAATATCGTCAAAGTCTATCAATGACGTGGCATTCGCAGCTTGACTTGAATATTGCGAAGGTACTGGATTAGCTGCGGCCGCGTAGTCTCCACGTTTGAACGCGTCGTAGCGGCTAAGCACAGTGTTCATGTGATCATTGAGCTGGAGTAAAGTGTCTAATACCGCATGAGAGACGTGGAAGCAACCAGCAACGACTCACCGAGAGATTCTGAATCGTCCTCATTTTGTTCTGCATCAGATATCCATTTTTGGATCTTTGGACGAGAAGTAGTGAGAATGTTGGCAACTTGCTGAAGAGTGTGAATTAATTAGCAGGGATGGAACGAGGCAGGCAAACGCACCTCATAGACATCACCCGGAACTGTTCGCTCGCCACCAGCCATATTGGCGTTATCAAGCATTTCGCCCAAAAGAATGACTTTGCTCTCCAAACGCTCGAGATCAGAGAGAGCCTGACCACGATAATCTGGCTGTTTGGCGGGATCGGCACCCGCAAGTGATTTCATAAGCTCTTGGGCAACCAACAAGTCCTTTGGCGTTCCTCGTCGGATAAGCTCTTGTAGCTTAGCACTCTGCGCCTCCCTATCCTCTGCCTCCAGTTCTGACGCACTCTTTAGGTTGGCAGCAACGGTATTAGCGCTCGATGAGGCGGAAGGAGCTGCGCGTGGTACGTGTCGAAAACGATAGCCTTTGTGCATTAAGAGTCGGTGCATATCGAGGATATTAGTCAGGTCTTCCCGCCAACGCGATTCAACACAAATTGTCTCCTTCCAACTCTGAATTGTCTCCAATATACGCGACATGACTGGCCCGGGAAAGGGTGGTGGCCGGTCGGGGAACCTGCGGACAAGTTCGTTAAGGAATTCCTTGGTGCTGATTTGGAGGTGAAATGGGTAGCCGCATGACTGGACTAGAGTTTCTAGCAGGGCAAGGGCGAGTAGAGCGACATGGGGATTGCGGTTACATGCGAGTCTGGCAATAAGCATCGCAGCATCTCGGGGATTGTTGGCCTTTTTTTGGTTGATGTATTCCGCTACTTCAAGGTGGAGTGCATAGTTGGCTTCGTGCAGTGAGGCGTCGCAAGCTCTTGTCACCAAGAGCTCGATGGGCGATACAGTCGTAGCCCATTGCGGATTGAGCATCGTCGCAAGTGTGACCGTGACGTGATTTAAGAGAAATAACTCTCAATCCAAAAAAATTGTCAAGAAACTCAAGGTCGTTGCGTGGTCTTGATGTAGTACATTACTGGATTATAAATATCGTGTTATAGTGTCCATGCCTCAATTGTAGAATTTGCGATTCGAGTTAGCCCCGAATAGGTCTGTGCGTATCTCGGGTAGCATCTGAAGCACGTGAGCTGGAAAGTGTCCCAGGAAGTAAGTGCTAACTTACACGATCCTCCAACAAATGCAAGCGTTCATCCAAAGTGTTGTCGAGAGTGATCCTCCTAGACCCACTCACAAGCTTCACTCCACCAGCACTACGCAACGTAAGCTCAGAAGGAAAGGCAAGACAAGGACCAACCTATCATTTCCGAGACTCCCATCGACCTCAAACTTGATATCCCGTCCACTGAGCTCCTTGAAAGTATTGGCAGCACTGGTGGCAGCCTGTTCGGCGAGTTGGACATCGCGGTTGCGGCAATGAACTGTCACAGTTGACTCGTATACTTGCAGAAATCCTTGAACAATGACCCCTTCGAGGAACTGAACATATCGGGAGTCATCTTTTGCAAGTTGAAGAGCAAGAGTACGAGTTGAAGAGAAGAGCTCTTGGAGATGTTCTTCTCGGCGATGCAAAAGCTTCAAACGAGATTTGTTGGTCAGTGTGGATTGTGCACTACGACGGAATGAGTGGGTATTAGCTAAAAGGGACAAATATACTCACATCTTCTGCGAAACCTCAGCGCCTTTGCGCTTCTTCTCATATTGTGCGTCGATAGCCTGCTGCTCCTGCTTGACCAGTTTCGCCTCAACGATCTTGTTAGCATCGGCACCAGATTGCGGCAGCCATGTCTCTCACCTTCTCTATAGCGAATTCCTCGTCGGCCTTGACACGTATCTCCCGCGCTTTCTCCATCGCTTCCTGCTTGATGAAAGCAACCTAGAGACCTCAATACGGTTGGAGTTTGAAGAGGGGTTCAATTATTCACCATCTTGTTCATCTCATTGAGAACCTCTTCATCATTCATCGCTCGAGACATGGCCGACGGTGATGATATTGTCCGGGCTCTCGAAACAGGTGAAGGTGGGCGGAAGAGCGAGGCAATGAGTCCGTGACACAAATGTGACTTACTCCGATCAATTTCTTTCCTTCAAGTTGCTTGGATGGATCTCTTCTCATTCTTGGACGGTGAAGCACCGCCGGACGAAGATCTCAATGTAGAATCAAATCCAGAGCCTCGAAAACGCAAGGCGCCAACTCCAACGCAACACAATGACAACGCAGAGGCTGGCCCGTCCTCTCCCAAACGCGTCAAAGTCGATGCGACCAACCCTGTGGTGTTGGACGACTTTGAGACCGAAGCGAAACGAGAAGTTGCTGCCAGTGCTGGTCTTACTGGCTCTACAGTGGAAACTGGCTCCCGGCTCGAACTCCGCCACCAGGTTGAACTTGATTATCAATTTCCACTCAATCGACTCATTCCATCCTAGGTTCGCCATCAAGTCGCGGTTCCTCAAGGCTACAAATACATCCCAATATCACAACACGTCCCCCCTACAAAACCCGACCGCGAATACAAATTCGAGCTCGATCCTTTCCAGCGTGTCTCCATCTACGCCATCCAGCGAAACGAAAGTGTTCTCGTCTCCGCTCATACCAGTGCTGGAAAAACCGTGGTCGCTGAATATGCAATAGCTCAATGCTTGAACAATAAGCAGCGTGTCATATATACCAGTCCAATAAAGGTAGTTCTTTCGCGCCGTGTGTCCCTTCTTATTTTTTTTCCAGGCGCTCAGTAACCAAAAATACCGCGACATGTTAGCAGAGTTCGGCGATGTAGGTCTAATGACGGGAGATGTAACTATTAACCCGTCGGCGTCGTGTCTCGTGATGACCACTGAGGTGAAGCAAGCTCTCAAGAGAGAAGGCATCTGCTAACCATGTGGCAGATTCTACGGTCCATGCTTTATCGCGGCTCTGAAATTATGCGTGAAGTGGCCTGGGTTATTTTCGACGAGATCCATTATATGCGTGACAAAGAACGTGGTGTGGTCTGGGAAGAAACCATCATCCTCCTACCACACACCGTGCACTATGTTTTTCTCTCCGCGACTATCCCCAACGCCATGCAATTCGCAGAATGGATCTCAAAATCACATGAGCAGCCTTGCCACGTCGTCTACACCGACTTCCGACCGACACCACTCCAAAATTACATGTTTCCGTCTGGTGGCGAGGGGATCTACCTCGTAGTCAACGAAAAGGGCGAGTTCAGGGAAGACAATTTTGGCAAAGCCATGGCCAAGCTACAGGAGGGTATGGGCGAAGATCCCGCAGACTCGAAGAGTGGCAAAGGCAAAAAGGGTAAAACAAGGAAAGGCGGAAACAAGGGTACATATTTTTTGTCTGTTCATGAATTCAAACCTCACGTGCCACAGGACCCTCCGACATTTCTCGTTTGATCAAGATGATAATGCTCAAAAACTATAATCCTGTCATCGTATTTGCCTTCGCGAAACGAGAGTGTGAGGCCTTGGCTTTGACACTGTCTAAATTCGAGTTCAACTCTTCTGACGAACAAGAGCTCGTTACCAACATCTTTACAAACGCTATTGAGAACCTGTCGCCTGCTGACCGTGAACTTCCCCAAATATCCAACCTCTTACCGCTCCTCAAACGCGGTATTGGCATCCATCATGGTGGCCTGCTTCCAATTCTCAAGGAGGTCATCGAGATTCTTTTCCAAGAGGGACTTATCAAAGTGCTTTTCGCCACAGAAACCTTCTCCATCGGTCTCAACATGCCTGCCAAGACGGTCGTCTTCACCACCACGCGCAAATTCGATGGACGAGAATTCCGAAACCTTACGTCTGGAGAGTACATCCAGATGTCTGGACGCGCTGGTCGTCGTGGTCTCGATGAGCGTGGCGTAGTCATCATGATGTGCGACGAGAAACTGGAACCTAGCGCTGCAATCAACATGGTGAAAGGCGAGGCTGACCGGCTTGATTCAGCATTCCACCTGGGGTATAATATGATTCTCAATCTCATGAAAGTCGAAGGGATTAGCCCCGAATTCATGCTTGAAAAGTGCTTCTTCCAATTCCAGAGTAGCACAGGTGTCCCAAAATTGGAGGAAGGTGCGTTCAATCTGGTATATGGACTGGAACACTATTGATCAAATTTCCCAGAACTCAAAGCGCAAGAGGCGATCAAGGCCGCCGTACGGATTCCTGACGAGGCTCTCGTCGAAGAATATTATCAGTATCGGACTCAGCTTGACCAAATGAATGCCGATTTCAGAGCTGTCGTCACACATCCAACGTACTCTCTCCCATTCCTACAAGCCGGCCGACTTGTCAAAGTCAAATACCAGAAGCAGAATTTTGGCTGGGGTGTCGTCATCAACTTTCAGAAACGCCTCCCACCGAAAGTACATATATATTACCAGCCTCTCAATCGCGCTTATCGTTATTAGAATCGACCCATACCAAAAGGGGAGGAAATCCCACCTCACGAGCAATACATCGTCGATGTCCTCCTCAACTGTGCGCTGGGAAGTAGTAGCACGAAGGACAAACAGACAATAACAGCTGCTCCCACTGGTGTGCAACCGTGCGCTCCGGGGCAAAAGGGCGTTGCATTAGTTGTCCCTGTGCTGCTTTCCACCCTTGAGGCCCTCAGCCATCTACGCATATTCCTTCCCAAAGATCTCCGGCCCGAAGCGGCCCGTGACACTGTTTGGAAAAGTGTCCTTGAGATTCACCGTCGTTTCCCAGATGGGATTGCCCTCTTGGACCCTGTCGAAAACTTGGGCATCAAGGACGAAAAATTCAGTGCTTTGATTCAGGTTAGCACCCGCTACTGCTGTTGCAAAGCACATTCTAATCAAGACAGAAAATTGCCTTGTTGGAGAAGAAAATGTCTTCAAGTCCGCTTCACAAGGACTCGCGTTTACCTGAGCTATTCGAGAAGTACGCAGAGCGAGAAGCCATCAAGGACCGTATTCGTGGTCTCAAACGGCGAATACAAGCTACCCGCGATGTCTTGCAAATGGAGGAACTAAAGGCACGAAAAAGAGTGTTGCGGCGGCTAGGTTTCACTGACTCTGCCGACATCGTCGACATGAAGGGTCGTGTGGCCTGCGAGATAAGCTCTGGTGACGAGCTGCTTCTCACTGAGCTAATCTTCAACGGCGCCTTCAATTCTTTGTCACCTGAGCAATGTGCAGCTCTCCTTAGCTGTTTCGTCTTTGCCGAGAAGGTTTGTCACTACATCAACAAGTTTCGAATATCTTGACAGGCTTTTCAGAGTGAGCAAATCACCAAATTGAAGGAGGAGCTTGCAGCACCATTGCGGTCGATGCAAGAAATAGCAAAGCGTATTGCCAAAGTCTCCAAAGAGTCAAAAATTGAGCTCGACGAAACCGAATACGTTGCCTCTTTCAGAGTGGAATTAATGGATGCAGTAGTCCAATGGTGCCGCGGCGCATCGTTTTCTGACATTTGCAAGGTATCTTGCCTATTTCCTGGACACAATGGTTACTGACTGTGTTTGAGCTCACGGATCAATTTGAGGGCAGCGTTATCCGCGTTTTCAGGCGACTTGGGGAATTGCTCCGGCAGATGGCCCAAGCAGCAAAGGTCATCGGCAACAACGAATTGAAGGAGAAATTCGAAAAGTCTTCCGAGATGCTTGAACGACCCAACTCTGTCATCTTTTGTTCCTCTTTATACCTATAAACTCTCGACTACAAATACAACATGCATGAGACCAAAGCTCATATTAACTGTCAACAGCTGCACGCAATAATACACTATGAATAAGTTGATTGCCTTTCTAGAATCCAAAAACTCTGCAACGAGACCTATTAGCCAGGAAAGAGTAAAGACATGACGTGAAACTCACTCCTCATGAACCTCCACACCACCGACTTGGTCCTTTCTTAACGGTTCTAGCTTTCCTACTGCTTCCACAACGCTGTCGGCAAGACTGGTGGGCCCGCACACAGCGACCAGTATTCCAGTCAATCTCTCCTCGTCTTTGCCACCAGCCGCCCCAAGCTTCACCGTTCGACCGATACTGTTTTCGAGCATGGTTAAAAACCTTGGTCGGCCGGGTGAAAGGGTCAGGTTGGTCGTTGGGAAGGCGGACTCGGCGAATGGGAACTTGCCAATTGGTGCGCGGGTGTAAAACACCGAAATCCGGATGCGAGTGAAAACAGAGCGTTCGATGAGCGTGTTGAAGTGGGTGTAGAGTGGTAGGAGAGCCGCAGGGTCTTGGAGCGTCCATATGAGCTCAATAACCTTGACACGGCATTGCCCTCGCAAGTCTTGATCCACGAGCTCCTCAATGGCTGAGAGGGCGAAAGAAATGCCAGAACCACCAACGATGAAAACTGCTGAGGAGTAGCTGTTGAACATTGCATGGCCAGGTCCGCCATAGGGCCCTTCCACGACGACACGGACATTCCTGCCGACACCAGCCGCGGTAAAACCACCGCTCTTGGCGAAATCAAACAGCTTGGTCGTCCAATCGCCAGATTTCTTTGCCATGAGAACCAGTCCCTCTTGGGCTCCGCTCATACTGGCGATCGTGAACGGGTGACTTTCCGCCCATCCAAAGACACCAAGTGCACCGGTAAGCACTCGAATGCGCACGTGTTGGCCCGCCCGCCAACCAGCCGTGATCTGAGGGATCTCGATACGTGTCACGCCCATGTCAGCGAGCGGTCGAAGAGTTGCGATGTGCGTACGTGTCTTGAGAAGACGTAGAGCGTGATCGAGCGCGTAAAACCCGAGCGCAACGTAGATAAACGGCCGAAGTCGGGTTTTGTGGAACCACAATCCGGGCAAGAGAGTGGCCAGCCCAAGCAAATGAGTGTTGACAAACAAACGGTAGTACTTGGCGCGGAAGAATGAGGTCGAAAAGAAAAACAACATGTTGACAGCGGTCAAGGCTAGCAGACCGTGTGTTTGGGCAAAGATTCTGATCTTTGTCTTGAATACCCCCTCTTGACACCATTGGAAGATATATCCAAGGCCGTGGGCATTACAGCAAAGGACAAAAGCTCTAGCCGCAAACCGATGCAGAAAATTGAGCTGTTCGACAGTCAGTCTTCACCATAGTTGATGCTATCACTCACGCTTTCATAGCTCTCTCCAAGCAGCATGCCCAGTACGTTGTTCTTGGAAGCAAACAAAATGACCACCGGCAGTTGGGAAGTCGCAATCCATGCGGTTCGATCGAGGTCAACAAAAGGGCCGGGGGTCGCAACAGAAAGTGGGTAGATGAGGACGGACATATAGACAAGCAAGACAAGGACTTGAGCAAACGTAAATCCAGGGGAAATACGCGTGCTGAGGGGAGAGATGAGTGGTCGTAAAAGGGTCATGGTGGATGCAACATGAGGTGGATACGCGACTTGCACGGAACCGCCTCTGGAGTTTACTCGATGCGCGTGACGGACATGCGAGTGAGATAGTTCCGAGTCAAGTTCCTTCGTTGTAGGATGGTTATTCCTTCTCAGAGAGCCCCTGCTCACGACTATGGAAGGAGGTGTTCGTGGTTGACGATAACGGAGCAAATGGCCGTTGGACCATTCAGAGAGTCGCCATAGCCGAGCAAAGGCTCGCGGAGAGCGGTAGAATACCAGAGTTGCTGCGAGTGCGAGCAAAAAGATGTCAATATGGTAGACGAAAGCAAGTGCATTGGCATGTGGAGCCCCAGTTATTGCAGCGGCAGTAAAACTGGGGCTGGGGGTCGTTGTCGCTGTGGGTTTGCGGGAGGACGACATGTAAGGACAGGGAGGAGGGAGAGAAAGAGCGTGGGCGGCCTGGGGATGGAGGGAACGCACAAGAGGCGTGGCAAGGGCCTGACTATAAGCTCTAGATCAAAAAGGCATTCGAAAATTTCCAATAGAAGGTTGGTTGTCGGCAGGACCAACACGGTGGAGTGGAATGACCGATTGCCCATCCATCCACCATTTCAAGGGTCAAAAGTCAAAGTCAAGTTTCATGTTCTCGACAAGACGACATCCATACAACTACACTTCGATTTTGTCTGCAATTTCCCCGAGTGTCTTGAACGACCAACGCCACTTTGGAGTCTCGTCAATGCTTTCTAGTCCCATTACCGCCCCCGCTCTATCAATCCAAATCCCAGTGATACCCAACTCGCTGGATGGGTTGATATCATGGTATAAACTTTGTGCAACGACCAGCACCTCTGCTGGTTCCACCCCAAATTCGCGTTGAATAATCTCCAACGCAGAACGCATGCCTTTCGGATCAGGTTTATAGGCACCCGTGTCTTGGGCGGTCAATATCAACGAGAATGGCGAGTTTGAACCGTGTGGTAGCCATTGCGATGAGCCAGATGGCCGGGTATACGCTGCGAGTTCGCTTTCAGGAGCCCCAGAAAGCTTTGTGTGAGTATGGGCAAACGACGTATAGTCGACGTTGGACAGAATGACGAGTTTGTAGTGTTTCTGCAAGACCCGCAGCGCAGCATACGTATCTTGAAAAATAGCCCAGTCTTTTATTGATGCTCCAAAGGCCGCACTTTCGCGTTCTATATCAATAGTTGACTCTGATTGGGCGAGTTTGTGGTTGAGTGCCGTATACGCATTCGCCAACAAGTCGCGGTACAGAACAGTCGGGTCTTTAGCTTGTAGATCCTTTTCAATCTCGGTGAAGGCCAGCAACGCCTCCTTACGCGTCCATTTGCCTGCTGAGTCAGGATAACGAGCGAGAAGTGGTTGGAGCGCGTTGTAGATGCCAGATTCCCAGTCCTACTCGGCCATCGTTGGATGATTATACCGAAAGGTAAGATGGATCGTACACAGAGCGTGCCATAGCAGTCGAAGATAATGGCTTTGAAACTCAACAGGTTGTCAGACATCGAAGTTTAGTTCAAGTCAAGGTGTGTGACAGGCTCGTCTTCTCACAACCAATATGCGCGACAAGGGCGTCTTCGCCATCCGCAAGGCTCTCCCTCGGATGGTATTATTTCCCAGCTGCACACACCAGGATTTAACCCCTAGACAGAGCTGGCACCCTAAAAACCTGTTCAACCTCCACGAACGAACTGCTGGCTCACGCGTTGGTGAAATTGACTTCAAACGCAGCGAAAAAAAGCTGTTTCAGCAACGATGGATTTCCAAGTCAGTTGTGCGGGCATACCACGGTGACCTCATCGGCGAGAAAATATTCAAGTCCTGGTACCTTCCGGAGTCCCTGCCTGATGTCCGACCTCGACGAAAGGTGTTTGGCGATGATGGGGCTGAGCTAACTGCTTTCGCACGGAGGAGCAGAAGGGCTGAACGAGAAAAAGAACGGGAAGAGGAGGAAAAAGAGCTTGCGCGAGGACTGGCTCCCATTGGCAGTTTGATGTTTGGTGAAGTTGAGCGGAGGCTAGATGTGCTCATCTTCAGATGCTGTTTTGCACCCAGCATTTACGAGGCTCGAAGACTCGTTATTCATGGCAATGTCCTTCTTAACGGCAGGAAACATTCAAACGCCAACACCCGACTAGCTCCTGGAGACATGTTCTCTGTCCGTCCTTCAGCTATCAAATTTCTGCAACCACAAAAAAAGTCAGACGAGTCCGACAACATCACAGAACGCCTCAAGGCTCCTGTTGGATCGACACCCTTTAACCTCCCGTTCTTCGCATCACCATGGTTGTTCATACCAGCCTATCTCGAAGTTTCATTCTTGACATGCTCAGCTATCTATGTCCGCCACCCAACCGCTCGACCACAGTACTCTGAAATACCCACGCCTTACGACGCCGATGGAGAAGTGGTTCGCGCAGCTTGGGAGTGGTATATGCAAAACCGGTCCCGGAAGAGGACTGAAAAGCAATGGTCCCGAATGCCAGACGACCGCTTGCATCCACAAATGCAGGAGAGGCGTCTGGGCTCAAACAGTATTAGATTCGCCATTGCTCAGGCTACGAGAAACGAGTTACGATAGGAGCAGCCAATTGGCAGCATTAGACAATAAAACAAATATTACTAATAATAAGACCATTACTCGTCCTTCTTCTTCCCATCTGTTCTGCGATGAGCAGGAATATCAGCGTCCTTCGCCTTCTTCTTGTCAATGGCTTCACCGACAAACGTCGGGAAACTGTTTCCATATGAGCGAAGCGGTCAAGGAGAGACAAAATGACTTGCCGAGGCACACCATCTCGCGTCAGTTCCTGGAATCGGTACACGATGATACGCCCAATCTTGGGGGGGTCCTTGCGTTGCTTGTCCGTCAGTCCCGAACCACAATTGAACGCCTGGAATCACGTGAGTTGAGTTTGTCAAAATGTCGTCCAAACAGACCTTTCCCGACTCCATCTTGCATTTCAGGGCCCCAACGAGCCCGGCATGTTTACCATGCCCGTCCGTATACCCCGTCACTTCTGCTTCAGCGTCGTAGAATGTTTTGACTTTTAACAATGTCGACGATCGCCTTCCCTCATATTTGCTTCCCGCCTTCCGCAACATGAGGCCCTCTCCACCTAGTCCCTCGATTTCCTTGAGTTTGTCAAGGACGTGTTGTCGGCTCTTTGCTTTCTCGTGCTCGACGAGTACGACTTCCGGGCACTCGTACTTGGCTCCAGGCCCAAAGAGTCGCTTGAGTGCCTTCATCCGTTCTTCAAAGGTGCCGTTGTTAGACGGTATATCGAAAATCTGGAAGGTGATTTCTTTCCAGTGTGGGGAGTTCATCGTCTTCACGATGGATACCGTATCTTGGAATTTACCGCGTCCGCTAGTTGGAATTGAGTCCATGCCTACTAGGTTGAAGGAAGCCAGACTTACCCAAACAGCTCTCCATCGAGAGTTACGTCTTTGGGAAGTTCTAAGGAGGGGTGGGTCACTTTCTTTCTCGGGGTATGACTGGTGCGTACTCTCTAACAACCACTTGGGCGGCGTGAATGCGTTTCCAAGCCTGCTTACCATGCCCTTTCCATTATAAAATGTCCTAGTCTTGTTCAGGGCGAGTATTTGTTTACTGTGACAATGATACTCACCGAACACCATCTAACTTTTCTGATATCCAAAAGCCAGAGGGATCAGGGCCTTTCTCGATATCCCATTTGTTAGCAAGCAAGAGTGCAGGAAGTCCATTGACGCCAACCCCGTTGTCGCCGTCGTCATCATCATCATCGTCAACCCGCTTGGAAGTGGGCTTTCTCTTGGAGGCAGGCTTCTTTGCGGGTTTATCGTCATCAGACTCGTCTTTAGCCCGTTTCGATGCTGGTTTCTTCTTTGAACTCGGCTTTCTCTTCGATTTATGGTCTGATTCCGACTCGTCTGGACAAAAACATTAGAGAAAGGGGAAGTCAGCTTCAACTGAACAGTGCACCTTCTGAGTCGCTCTCTTTCCTCGACCTTTTTGACTTCTTCTTCTTGCGTGACTTTTCCTCCTCCGAAGATTCGTCATCTGAACTATATTTTCTCTTCTTGGATGCTTTTTTTCTTTTTCCTCTTGTCATCCTCCTCCGAGTCAGATGACGAATCTTCTTCGCTGGCATCGACCTTTTTCTTCTTGCCCTTGCGTTTCTTTCTGCGGGATCGCTCGTCTTCACTACTTTCGTCCTCGCTTTCACTTTCCTCGTCTTTTCGCTTGCTCTTGCTCTTCTTTTTCTTTTTAGGCCTCTCATCTTCGCTGCTCTCTTCATCGCTCGTATCTACTTTCCTTTTAGCTTTCTTCTTGCGTGGTTTGTCGTCTGAATCGCTGTCGTCGTCGTCGCTGACTGCTTTACGCTTGCCTTTCGATGATGACGCAGGCTTTGCCTTTGCCTTGGACGCCGGTTTCGCTGGCCTCTTTCTCCCACCAGGGGCCGTAAGTGAGGGCCCGTCTGGGTTTTTCCATTTGAGTCGGGCGGCTTCGTAGTCAAGACCAAGCAGTTCTTGGAGATGTTTGCAGCTACGAGCATTCACAGGGACTCCGCCCTAGTACAAGCAAGTGTTAGGATGCACGGGTGACCGTGAAAGTTATGCTGAACCTGGTTGCGCCATGCCTAAGACAAACACTATCAATTCCCCCTTTTCGCGAGCAACATGACCATACGCACTGGACAGGTACAGTAGTAGTGGTCCCACGTCCGCCTACATAATAGACTGAATGAGTAATGTCCAGTAGCCATCCAAAAGACGAACGAACTTGACTTTATAGACGGAATGGCTAACGACGCAAATAGGTTATTGAAACATCGAACAGAGCACGCGAGCGCTAACCTTGTCATGCTTTTTACATCGCGCTGTTCCCCATCATCGAGGAGTACATTGGGCTTTTGGCCGTCGATTTCCGCTAGCTCGTCGTCGTTGGCCATCGCCGTCACAGACCAACGTGTCAAGCGTTGGACGTCAACAGGAGGTTGTTTACGTAATGACCTCCTTCATCAAATTTAGCATACGGTATAAATAGGCAGAGCGTAGTTAAAGGTCCATGGTCCTAGAGTAAAAAGAATGCTACTGCTACAAGCCCAAGCACAGATCCTGCACCCCAACCCGCATGACGAATGGCACCGCTGGCTGATCCTGACGGACCACTCCCACCAGCAGTTTTGCTTCCAGAAGGAGCTGCACTCCCACCAGAACCAGCCGTTTTGGAAGACTGACTTGGGGCAGAGCCGGAAGGAGCTGAACCCCCACCACTGGACGGCGCGACAGCAGCAAGATTGCTCACTGCACTCCATTTGGCACCGGAGTTGGCCGAGTTGTCACCAGCCTTGTACGGAATCCACGAAACAGCGCCAGAGGATGCCAGTTGAACGATAGCAGTGGGTGACGCAAAGTACCTCGCTTTGGCATCAACAGTCGCTGGTCCAGACATAGTTTGCGTGGTGTTGGTCTGCAGTGTATCAGCCAAAATAACATAACGAGAAGCGTGTCCAACCTCGACATTGACAATGTAGGTCTTGGAGCCATCGTCAGGGATAAACGCGATCTCTTGCTGAACCTGGATGAACGCTCAGCAGACTACCAACCAAAATGAAACGAAAAGTCGAACCCCAACGTCCAGGAAGATGGAGGTAGCTTGGCCATGGCTGTCCGGGAAGTTGCCTCCCATTGGCTGAGCACCGGCTTGCCAGAACGCGACTATATTTTTCCTCAGTTTCCCTCGCACTTGACAGAGAAAGACTGACAGTGAATGACAAAGATGGGCGTGCTCCCTGCAGGAGTCCCAGGAACTCCAAAGAAGAATACATGGTTCTGTGCGACAGCCATGACGGGATCGTAGTTGTCAGTGGTGATTTCAGCTTTGCCCTGAGGAGCCCACGCGATAGAGCCGGACTTGGCAGCTTTAAGCTCATTCATCTCGAGGGAGAATAAATTGCCCTTCGAGAGAGCATCTGCAGGGAAATCATCAGAGGATGAACCGCAAAGCGAATGTCAACCGCACAGAAGACGTTGGTGTCATGGTCAAGGATGGCTTGGAAGGACGTTGGGTCGAAGTCTCCCGCAGTGACGGATTGAGTGGACCACGTCTTAGCACCAGCATCGTAGATGTAGATGTCAGCAGGTTTCGAGGTATCCGCGCCGATAATGTAAATGGCATTAAAGAACTGGTCCAATGAGATTCAAATCCATGTAGAAGGACTTGTAAGCTCACCTCTGCAAGGTAACATTTCACGTCGTTGCCATTGAAAGGCCTGATGATGGGTTTATTGTGAGAAAAGTAGTCGGGTTATTTCTTACGGTCGGCCGTTGGTAGTAATATCAGTCGCGGAGCCTGTGCTAGTTAGCAAGAGGGTTTTGCTTGGCTGAAAAATGAATACCAGACGCCCAAGTGTTAGAGGTGCCAGCGTTGTAATCCTTTCCGTTGAATCCAAAAGCTAAAAGATTCCATGCGGTATCAAAGGCGATGCAAGAGCTGCCAGCGAGGGCGGTCGGGGCGGAGACAAGGGCCAAAAGAGTGACTAGGGATAGACGCATGTGTGTGTTTAGTTGTTTGATGAAGAAGGAGGAAGGGTCGTGGGCGGAGAGAAAGAGAGATGCTGATGTTCACAAATCATCACAAGTACGGCTTTTCGTCTCCGTCACACCCGATCGTTCAGTTGCTAACCGGAAGAGTTTTCGGATCGTCTTCTACTTGATATACTACGTAAGAAACAACTGACTGGAATATCGGTCTCTCAACATGGGTACCCGACCCTCAGTTCCCGCTGGCGACGTCCCACCGAGCGAAGGATATTTTAACTTCAACGACCATCAAAGCTGAAACATCTCGTCATGCTTCCTCTCTCACCCCGCCTAGGCTAAGGTAATAATACTGTAAACCCGCAGGCGCTACGTCTACATAAGGTACTATGTGAGCTGGCTCTTTTCGCCGAAATTTCGTGGAGAGACTCAGAGAGGCGTAAATTTAGCTGATCAGGTGATCGTGCGGCCGTTATAAGTAGTGTTTTCAGGCTTCTGACTCTTCCATCCACCACCATAATGTCGGTCCACGAGATTTCGAAAGCAGGCTTCGCAGAAGGGACCAACGAGTTCTACAACACGTAGGTACCTGCAACAATGGGTTCAGCTGGCTCAAGATAGGTCTCTATAGTGCCCGACCGCGTTATCCACCAGAAACTTTCAAAAGACTGCGAGCAAAGGTTGCATCAGATAGACTTGATATCGTCGAGTGAGTTGTCGGGGAACGTCCTGCTTGGTGCCAATTGCAGTTAGAATTGCCTCTGGAACTGGGTTGTTTACACGCGCATTGCTGGGGCATCCAGATTGGAAAGGAATTCGCAGTCTTAATGCAATCGAGCCAAGCGAAGGAATGCGCAAACATTCGCTGAGCACACGGTAGACGATCGCATCAGGCTCTCAGACGGCACATTCGACCAAACAGGCCTTTTAGCGGCGTCAGCAGATCTTATTTGCATCGCTCAGGTGCGAAAACACTGCCCACAAGCTGGATATTGAGTTCGACAGGCTTTTCATTGGTGTCTTGACTGTGAGGCGGCTGCCAAGGAGTTTGCTCGAGTCTTGAAGCCAGGAGGAATCCTGGTCTTAGTGTGGAACAATGAGGACAGGTACGCTGAGGAGTACCTTTGAATGCTCTGTGAGATACCTTCGAATACTTTTGGCAGAGACGTACCGTGGATCAGTCAACTTCATGAGCGGGTGGCTCAGGACAAAAAGCAGTCCCCCAGTTGGCGAAGCGGACAATGGCGTCAAATTTTCAGCACTCCATCCTACACGAAGTCATTTGCCAGGCCGCAGGAGGAATCGTTTGTCCATGATGATTCGGCGACAATTGAGAGAGTTGTCAATCGCAGTTTGAGCAGTAGCCATAATGCGATCTTGAGCGAGGAGAACAAGAGAATGTTTGCGGAGGAAGTGAGGAAAGTTTTGAAGCAGGAAGGGTTCAAAGAAGGAGAGCAGTTCGTTTATCCACACAGGCTTGAGCTAGCTGTCTGTGAACGCGTTTAGTTAGAACCTAAAAGTTTGTTACAGTCACATAGCAAGCCTTGTCAGTCACCAAATGGCTGAGATTGTCAATGTTGTCGTTGCTTTTGCGGTCATTGTCTTTTTGTTTCGGTGGATAACCAAGAGCAAGTCGACTCGTAGGTCAACGCTGCTGGTACTGATGAGAGGCAGGCAGCGATTCTTCGTCCGAGCGCAGTGCCGCCGACACGTTGGGATTCAGGCCAAAGAATGTTACCCCAGAAATGGTTCGTCGTCGCTATACTGTAATGTCCCTCATTTTACACTCCAGAAGATCGACACCATACACAACATGTTTCCAGACATTCCTCCGTATGTGGTGACAACGCTGTTACTCGCCGACCCATTCAAGTCCATCCCTCCAGAGAGAACATTCGCTATGATTTGCTCCGCACTGGGAGTGTCGAGCTCTCCTCAAACAAAATTCTTGAGCGCGGCTTCCTAGATCCTGTCAGTCAAAACTGCTTTGGTTTGTGTTATGAACCCTCACCTTTGAATAGCCGCCCCCAGCATACTTTACGCTTTATCCACGGACCCCAGAAGCAACAAGGGCGCCACAATCCGCTACTTCGACTTCATCCGCTGTCCGTCATTCCGCCCCACAACCAACGCTCATCGAACGATATAATCTTCAAAGTCGCGTTAAAGAGCAGGAAAGCATCTCCGAGTTGGATGTCGGTGGCAAAGCCGTTTGGGAGGACACTGCAGCCAAACGGGAAGCTAGTTTGAAAGAGCGGAAGGCTCAGATGATTCTGGCTGCACGACAGTTCGTGTTTCCCTTGCTCGCCAAAAAAAAGCATTCACCCACGTCTTCTAGAAGGATGATGGCCGCAGGGCAGCAAAAAACTGCTTCATGACCATGAATGTAACTACCTACCTTTTACTAATCTTATAGCTTTGAGGCCCTAGATACAGTTTTGTTGTCATCACAAGACATAAGTACTGCTTGAATGCAGGCTAGTTACATAATCGGGATGCCTCGTTTTGCTGACCACCATGTTCAATAACTTGGAGAATGCGACTTCCACCCTTCGATTCCATCTCAACGGCAACCCAATCATCCTAGACGGCAACTCTTTTGACCCTGATTCGACACTTCTTGACTTTATACGCTCACAAGGACAGGGACACACAGGCACCAAGCTCGGTTGCGGCGAAGGTGGTTGTGGTGCCTGTACCGTCGTGATCCAATCGCGAAATTTAAGAACCAATCAGATTCAGTGAGGCCTCACACATCTGCTTGTTCCAAGCCAACAACCATAGACATCTCGCTATAAACGCATGTTTGGCGCCGATCAGTCAGTGTTTCCAGACACTCAAGCACCAACTCATATCAACCACAGTTTCCGTCGATGGTAAACATGTGATCACTGTCGAAGGTGTTGGTAGTCCACAGAATCCTCATCCAATCCAAGAGAGGCTCTGGAAATTAAGCGGAAGCCAATGCGGTTTCTGCACTCCAGGTAGTTGTTCTGCAGTTATTTTTCTTGGCCTAACGCATCAACAGGAATCATCATGTCATTATATGCACTCGTTCGTAATGCTGCATATCGTGGATCGCTTTCGGCTGCAGAAGTTGAACTCGAAGGAGCTTTGGATGGCAATCTCTGCCGATGTACTGGCTACAAGCCGATCTTAGATGCTGCGAAGACCTTTGTAGGCGACTATCTCAATGGTGGTACGTTCATAATCAAACTCTTCTTCCTGCTGCTGGCGTCTCACCCACCTTGCCAGAACTAACCGTTCCAATAAACTTCGAGGCTGCGAACCTCGACCATGCTGAATGTTGCGCCAACCCAGCTCCTACCAATAAAGGCTGTGGCAGAGCAGACTGTTGTCAGTTGCGTGAGCAATCAGATGACTTAGATCTTACCATGTCTCCATCCAACTTCCCTCGTTTCCATCTCAAACCATACAAAGCCGGCACAGAGCTCATTTATCCACCTTCCCTTACCAAACACGTCCCAAAACTTCTGTCGTTTGGTTCTTCTTCTAGGAAATGGTTCCGGCCTACTAGTTTGGATGAGCTCCTTGAAATCAAAACCCAATACCCGACTGCGAAACTCGTCGGTGGCTCTTCAGAAATCCAGATCGAAGTGAAGATTAAAGCGGCATCTTATCCAATTTCAGTGTTTATTTCCGATATCCCAGAATTATGTCGAATATGGCCGCCTTCGGTCGACCGCAATACGTTCGAATTTGGTGCGAATGTCTCACTAGCTGAGCTCGAACAAGAAAGCAAAGCCCTTTGTTCGACCTTGGATCCCACAAAAAGTGGCCCAATCGAGGCGATACGTACCCAATTGCGCTATTTCGCTGGTCTACAAATTCGGAATGTTGCGTCTGTCGGAGGAAATATTGCGACAGCTAGTCCCATCTCCGATTTGAATCCCGTTTGGGTCGCAATTGACGCAAAAATTCTCGCCGCAAGTCCAGAACAGCCAGAAATTATTCTGCCTATGTCCCAGTTCTTTACAGGATATCGCAAGACCGCCTTACCGCAGAATGCTGTCATAGTCAAAATTGTCGTGCCCTTGAATACTTCCAAAGACAGAGAGGTCGTTCGCGCATACAAACAAGTTGGCATCTTTGTCCTTCAGAAAGTCAGCTAACTTTTTTTTGTTCAAGGCAAAGCGCCGGGATGACGACATTGCCATCGTGACAGCATGTTTTGCCATGCGAGTCTCCTTGAATGGAATCATATCACATGTTCGATTGGCCTACGGTGGCATGGCGTACGCTTCATTCTTCGCCGCGATATTGAGTTAACGCGATATAGCCCAACCGTTGTCTCTGCCACAAAGACCCAGACCTTCTTGACTGGTTCGTTTCGTGTTGAAGCTCGATAGTCGTATTACTCAATGGATTCAAGGCAAGTCTTTCTCGCCCAAGACTATGGAGGCGGCTCTCGACATTCTCGGACTTGAAATGCATCTCCCGTTCAATGTTCCTGGAGGAATGGCGTCGTATCGCAAGACGCTGGCTCTTAGTTTCTTTTTCAAATTTTGGACCAGTGTTTCAAGCGAAGTCGGATTAGCAACCGATGCTCTTCCAACTGCCTCGGAAATCGCCGACATAACAAACCTTATTCACCGCCAACTGAGCACCGGCAGGCATGACAACAGTGATCCCTACGCTCAAGAGGTCGTTGGGCGTCAAGAACCACATCTATCTGGCTTACTTCAAGCCACCGGAGCTGCCGTTTATGTTGATGATATGCCCAAAGTGGGGAATGAACTATATGGCGCCCTCGTCCTTTCCACCCGCGCCCACGCCAAAATTCTTTCCGTGAACGCTTCGCCCGCAATCGAGATGGAGGGCGTCGTTGATTGGGTCTCGCATAGTGATCTGCCAAATGAGAGATCTAACTGGTGGGGAGGCGGACCATTCATTGACGAGGTTTTCTTTGCTGTCGACGAAGTCGTTGCACATGGACAACCGATAGGTATGGTTGTTGCGCATTCTAAAATTATTGCCCAGAAAGCTGCGCGCGCCGTCCAAATCGAGTACGAGGACCTTCCCCGAATTCTCACGATAGAAGAGGCGCTTGAGCAGGAATCTTTCCATCCGGTATATAATAGATTCATCCGAAGGGGAAGGCCCATTGAAGAATCGCTCACAACTTCAGATCACGTGCTAGAAGGAGAAACGAGAATGGGAGGACAGGTTTGATCTATACTGCTGCTGTCCTGGCATATTGTAACAATTTTCCAGGAACATTTCTACCTTGAAACAATGGCAGTACTTGTGTGGGTCTTTCTTGTTCATCTTCTCCAACGGCTCATTGTACCCAGTGTTCCAAAGCTTGAGAATGGTGAAATGGATGTCTATTCGTCGACTCAGGGACTAGCCGAGACGCAACGCTGGGTAGCCAATGTGACTGGCGTGCCACGAAATCGAATTGTTGCGCATGCTAAACGACTCGGAGGGGGATTTGGAGGGAAGGAATCTCGCAGTGTTCACGTATGGTTGCCCCGAGTGGCCTATGTCTCCTGCTAACGTGCTGTTGTAGCTGGCCGCAATCACAGCCGTAGCTGCGAAAAAGACCAGGAGACCAGTGCGTATCATGCTCGATCGACAAGAGGACATCATGACCACTGGTCAACGACATCCATGTTTGACAAAATGGAAAGTGGGCTTCACCTCTGAGGGGAAGCTTCAGGCGTTGTCTGCAGAGTAAGCTCGACCTCGTTTGGGCGGATCGTCATTGACCCCTCTAGTTTCTATTGCAATGCAGGGTATTCTATGGACTTGAGCGGAGGCGTTAGCGACCGGGCACTTGCCCATCTGGAGAATTGGCACGTGATCTATGATTCGGAAAGACACACATGAACTTTGCAACAGCTATTATATCCCCGACGTCGATGTTCGCGCGCGGTGTTGCAAGACAAATACGGTACGTTGCACCATGTTTCCTTGAGTGTTATCCTGAGTGGACGGCAGGTCTCCAACACGGCGTTCAGAGGATTTGGCGGACCCCAGTGAGTCGCAACCTCCGTTGACATCCCTCAGCTGAAGAGCCACCAAGAGGAATGGCCGTCGCAGAACATTATCTGGAAGCCATCGCCGATAAACTGAATCTAGACATAGATCACGTTCGACAAGTGAGAAACATTTTTGTGGTTCATTTCATCTCACCATTATCTACCCAGATCAATTTATATCAGGAAGCACAGAAAACACCATACCACCAGAAGGTCTTGGACTGGCATGTGCCTCGTCTCCTCAGCGATTGTCGTCGCGGAAGTCATTATGATGAACGGAAGGCGGCTGTTCGGGCCTTTAATCGAGAGCACAAATGGCGCAAACGCGGTATCGTGCTTGTTCCAACGAAATTCGGGGTCAGTTCTGTCATTAGAAAGTTGAGCTCGTCCTTATCATGTCATTCACAGCTGGCATTCGGAGTGAAAGGTCCTCAGGCTTACCGTTGCTGTGATCATCATACTAATCCTTCCCAGCTCTCAATCAGGGTTCAGCTCTTGTGCACGTGTACACGGATGGAAGTGGGTCTATGAGTTTTTGTCACCCCCAATACTGAAAAAGTGATCATAGGTGTCCTTCTCGCGCATGGAGGAGTGGAAATGGGACAGGGTTTATATACCAAGTACGTAAAACACTATTTTCTCGACGTAACTTGTTGCTTACGCTCTTAGGATGTGTCAAATCGCAGCCCAAGAACTGCGAATACCATTAGAGGACGTGTTCACGTCAGAAACGGCGACCAACACAGTCATCAATACGGTTCCCACCGCAGCATCTGCTTCAAGCGAGTTCGTAAGCAAATCTCAACCTTTCCAACCGTTCTCACGATGTTTTCTAGTCTCAATGGTTATGCCGTCTATAACGCCTGTGCCGAGATCAACAAGCGACTAGAGCCGTATCGCCAAAAGCTTGGACCACAGGCACCTCTTTCAGCGCTTGCCTCTGCAGCTTGGGCAGATCGGATCCCCCTCTCCGCCACAGGCCATCATGCGACGTCGGATTTGGGTTATGAGTGGAAGTAGGTTTCAACAAACTGGTGTGTTTTCGATCTCGCTCAACTGGACTAGCAATCCGAACGAAACGGGAAATTTGTTCCATTATTTCACCCAAGGCGTATGTGCAACTGAGGTTGAAGTTGACACACTTACTGGAGACCACACTGTCCTCAGAGTGGATATCAACATGGACGTTGGGAAGAGTCTAAATCCTGCCGTCGATTACGGACAGATCGAAGGGGCATTCACACAAGGCCAAGGGTTAAGCACAATCGAAGAGAGTCTGTGGTTACGTCAGACAGGCGCGATCTTTACAACTGGACCTGGTGTGTTGCTTGCATTGTTCGGAGTCAGAGGCGTTGATATTCTATCATGATAGGCGCTTACAAACTCCCTGGATTCAGTGACATTCCACAGATATTCAATGTGTCGCTGTTACGCGATGCCGAGTGGCCCAATCTCGGCTCAATCAAAGCAAGCAAAGGCGTCGGCGAGCCACCACTCTTTCTGGGGTGTTCCGTGGCTTTAGCCATCAGAGACGCGCTCAAGTCTGCTCGAGCGGATGCCAACGTTCACGAATTGCAGGACTTCCGTTTGCCTTTGACGAGTGAGCGTATCAGACTCGCCTGCAAGGATTTTTTGGTGGAGAAGGGTCGAGTAGAAGCGAAAGAGGGCCAGCAGGACTTTTTCGTGCATATATGAGTGCTTTGTTGGAAGTGTGTGGCCATCAGATCTATCAGAACACGCTGCAATTTGAATTGCTATTTTCGGCCGAATATTTCCCCGCCGTGAACAAGACCTCTTGCCACGTTCTGCATGCTTTGACGTTCCGGTGGCATATAAAAGACGTCCAGTGCGGCCAATACCAACCATTTGACTTTCCCCCTTCTCTTGCTCTCTTAGTGAGTAACCTGATGTGTGTGTAGATTCTCACAAACTTCTTGGACAGCACTCCTCGATCACTCATGGACTCGATGACTAATCAAGCTCTAAATGCTTTTGCGACGTTGGAACTTGTTGAAGCACTTGCGGAGCCGGCAACAAGGCCAGGACGTGGACGTGCTCGACTTCCACGCTCTAGGGCCAACCAACATCTTTCCTCCTTCGTCCTCCATGTGCCACCTCCAACACAAGCAGGCTCCAGTGTCGCACTCCGAGTCAAGCGTGGACGCAAACCTTTCCAGGATGTGCAGCCATCGAGCAATAATACCATTCACAGTCCAAATCGGCGGACACAAGCTGGGCTTGACGCCTATCCACCCACTCCTTCTTTCCTTCTCTCCCCGTCAAGGCGAATTCATGACCAGCGTTCGGGTAGACCGGCCCCTTACCCGCGGGTTTCATTGCGCATTCGTGGAGTCTACTATCCCGTTGAAGAGCTGTTGGCCCGTCATATCGCGCCGTCAGTCGATGCCAATGCTGAGAACAGGCCCATCGCGGACAATTTGAACTCTATCCAGTAATTAATCCACAATAAGTCCTAATAGTCTGTATCGCTAGCTAATACTGTATTCCAATTGTTTTACTAAGATTAGATAAGATCTCAGTCACATCATGTACCACCCACAAACAAGTCACGTCATCCTTGTTCCGTTGTTCGACCAACTACGCATTTGTTTCGAGGAATTTTCGTCGCTATGTGGGGGGCCACACTCTATTTCTTCTCCGAAATACAACACCTTTTTGTTCTTTTCTCTATTTATGCCGCCTCCGGAATCGAAAAAAAAACAGCTCTGAGCGATGGCAGAAGGCTTCTTCTCATTAGATGACGTCGAGTCGGACTTGGACGAATCTACATCTCCTGGCGGCGAAGCTTCCGGTTTCGGAGCCCAAGGCTTCGGACACGTTGCCATCAACCAAGGCTCAACAGCCGGCCCATCGTCTAACCAAGAGCCAGCGACTGTCTGGACCGCCGACCTCGATGCCAGTGGCGGCAGTCCGATAGCCGAAAGCGGGAGCGGACCAGGGAACTCACAACAAGAGGAAAATCCACCCCAACACTTCACTCCTCAGGGCCCGAGTCGCTATGTTCGAGCTGTTGCTCTTTTCGGCTGCAACTGAGGTTTTCTTTGTAGCGTCTCCGATCAACGGTGGCACGGCAGCGTCAGCAAATCCTTGTGGATTCTCCCGGGCCTCGTCTTGCTGTGTGTGGCCCAGCCCTTTCATTGGTTACAGCTCAAGTCTTCTATGTAGTCTCTACAGCAGCAGGTCGAGGAACCTTCCCAGATTCCTTCGGAGGATTCTTCAGATTCCGAACAAGGCCCAAGCTTGAAGGTGCATTAGATTTCGTTTGCATCTGGAGGAAGGCTCATATCGTGACTTAGCGGAAACGGTCAGCAGACAACGAGGCGGGTCCCAGTAGGAAGAGGCCGCATTCCTCTCCTGACCGACAAGAAGAAAGCTCAACGGCAAGTTCAGCTTGATTATATGCCCTTGCAAAAGCATTGAACTCTTGGTCGCAGACTGCTGCTCGGCGAAAGTCTGGCAACGGTGAAGAGGTTCGTTTTCGTTCGACGTTCCCAGCACACGGTTGATGACAAGGCTTCCAGCATATATGCGACATATATTATTCTAAGGGCCGATACTGCGGCAAAGGTTTTAAGAGAAAGCATGATCTGCGCCGCCATCAGAAGACTGTACATCGAAAACAGCGTCACCCATGTCTATTTCCTGGATGTAACGCTGTATTGAGTCGTCAAGATGCTCTGCAACGGCATCAGACAGATTTGGGCCATTCACAGAACAGTGAGGACAACGAAAATCCTGGTCGCAAGAAAGGCCAAGGAAAGGGCAAGGGCAAGGCCCCAAACAAAGGCAAACGCAAAGGTCCCAAATAAGTTTTAGAATAGACACAACACTTGATGATGTATACGGACTCTATATGAATTGGGACACGATAAAATATATTAAAACTAGGACATGTATAATGGTCTAAAACTGACCCAAACTAGGATTACAATTTGTTGTTTCTTTTTTTGGTCCACAAGTTAAGAGGCAAGCCCTTCAAGCCACTGTGCTTGTGAAACAGTCCCATCCGCCCGACAGACGCTGCACGCCACCTGCACAGATTGCCCGCTCTCTTCCTCCTCGACTACGTGAGGCTCCAGCCACCCTCGTCGCGACCTTTGCGCCGATACTAGACACATTGGATGGAAGGTATGTGGGCAGACATTTTTTTCGTCCGCGCCAACAATGGAAATCTGGTGTGAACTTTGCGGCACCTCGATGAAAGGATCATCGTCTGAAGGACCGACGCCACATGACGAGTCCCAACAACGCAGTCCAGCATCACGTTCACGACGTTCAACACGCTCTCGCACGGTTGGCCCAGGCGAATCAGGAGGAGACCACTCCAGCACTGGCTCAGGGTTGTTGGTATCGTTATTCTGGGGTCGTGGTTGCTGCTGCTGCTGCTGTTGTTGTTGATCAAGTCGTACATGGACAGGGATCGCAAAGGTCGGTCCCATGTCTCGTGCCCAATCTGGCATCGTCATTCCGCCCATTCCAACATGAACATGGAAATCTTCCGGTGTGCGCCCATTTGCTTGAGCACCATTCATGTTCATGTTTTGCAGGATGTCACCAAGACCTATTGCTCTGAGGAAAGCAGTCGCTTGGTCTGGCTGCATGGTGAATCCACCACCAGGCGGTTGAGCACCCGGTCCATGGAAAGTGAAGGGGGGAGGATTTGGTGGTGCTTGTTGATTGGGCGGAGCGGCTCCACCTTGCGGCGCGCCAAATCTAAACATCGGAGGTGGTGGAGGAGCTGCATTGGCAGAGGGTGCAGGAACCGTTGTGGGAGGGACATTGGTATCGTTGGCATCTCTCCGTCTTGCTCCAGCGCCAGGCACTAAATTTCGCAGTATCTGAGATAACTGTGGTGGTGTCGTATTATTATTCGGAGCTCCAGTGTTGAGGCCCAGATTGATATTATTGTTGCTGAAGACCCCACGGAAGGCATTCCTGAGCTGTGCAAATGGGTTGTTGTTGTCAGGAGGAGCTCGCTGAGGTTGTGGCTGAGGATTTGGGTTCGTCGGAGCTGGAATTGGAGGATTGTTCACGGAAGTAGTTGGTGTGGCGTTTGACCCAGCGATAGGTTCAAGGGCAGGCATGTCGTCGTCGAGTTGAGGGGCTGCTCGGCCTGGTATCGGTTCAAGAGGTGGCATGTCTTCATCTTCATCCTGCTCATCATCATCGGCTTCGCATTTATGTTAGCAAGATCGAAAAAAGTGTGCAAGGGAAAAAACGAACGAGGCCCTCCGAAATCCCACAAGGGATCCTCATCACCGCCCCCCCAGCCGAAGCCTCCCATTTCATCGGGGTCCATTTCATCCGGTTCAAAGGCGCCAGGAGCTTCACCATTGGGAGGGAAGAAGAATGGCATTGGTCCGCCACCACCAGGCTCGCGCTTGTGGCCACCATACCAAATAACACCGCTGGGGTCGAGGTCAAAGCGACAGGTTGGGCAAGTAGTCTGGCCCGCGCGTGAGAACCACGGAACGAGACACGAGGCATGGTAAAGATGGGCGCAAGGAAGTGCGATAATGCCTTGTGGTAGTTCGGCTTTGGCTGGCGCGGCTTCAGAAGTATTCGTCGATGATTCTGACGAGGCAAACTCCGCTCCCTCTCCATCAAGCAGTCTGTCCCAGCAAATCGCACAACCGCTATCGCCACCAACGGCAGCAGCATCATCAACAGCAGGAGTTGTTAATGCTGATACTCGTTCAAGACGTCGGATAAGCCCCTCTGGGACGACTTCAAGCCCGCTGATGATACGCAGGGCATTCTCTTGGCTGTCCTTTGGCTGGGGTGGGGGGGCACCAAACATCATGTTCGGATTGGCAGCGAGGTTTTGTAACATCTCGAGGAACTGGGTGAATATAGGTTGGATGTTAAAATTTGGTTGTGGTTGTGGTTGTGGTTGTGGTTGTGCAGCTGGAGTTGGAGTTGGAGCTGGAGCATTGACTCGCTCGGAAGGTGGTCGCCTGTCTCTGCCCTCATCTTGGTCGTCATCTGCGCGGGGCCTTCTATTCCCGGATGTTGGCTCAAGTGGGGGCATTGCCTGCTCGTCATCCACATCGGACCAATTGCTGTCCCCATCGTCGTCCTCGACAGCTTCCACAACTTGGCGTCGCTCTTCGTAGTCGGACTCGCTCAGTTCAGAGTCGCTGCTGTTGGACACGGATTGCAGCTCTGGCATGTCATCCTCATCTTCAATTGTGCTGTGCTGTTGTCGTTCATCGAGGTCCATGGTGGTCAAAGGTCAGGAAGTGATCGCAACTCGGATGTTGTGACTGTTTAGGCAAGTCGAGAACATTCTAACTCAGGATTTCGTCAACGCAGGTCTACGCAGGTAATAACAACATATCTACTCCAGCAAAAGTATACCCAATCAAGAAACCACACTAGAAACGCGGACTCTCATGTTGCACAAGTTATGCAAAGATACGGAGCCATTGAAGGTTTGCTTTTAATTGGCGCGTCCTATTGCCTCAAGATGCACAGGCTGAGTGGGTGAACACTAAAATACTGCTGAAGGAACGACGGTAGCTCGCTCGACAAGGCTATCAGCTGCGTCGTCATTGATTGCTAGTGAGACCATTGACATGCTAAAATGATATCACCTACATTGACAGTAGAACGATACGAAGGTCTGACTTATGTATGTGAAAGACAGCACTCGAATACTGCAAAACTTTCATGACAATTGTAATCCCAAACCGGCTCCGAGTCGGAGGGAAAGTCTTCAAGCCTCCAAGTCAAGCAAGACCATGACCCACGAGAACCGAAACGAGATAGATCTCGTTACAGCTATAGTACTAGGAAAACATATACTTCATCCTTCGAAAAGGCGAGCCATTTGATAGCTACCTACGAGTGTCTCTGTTTGAGGCTTTTGAGGATTAGTTGGAAGGCAAGTTCTTGGCCGGCGGCATACTCTTTCCCCATTTAGACTTTCCATCCTCCACCATGTCCCCTTCGAAGCCAGTTCTACTACTCATCTGCGACACCCTTCCGGCGGATATCGTTGCCGAATATGGGGACTACCACAGCATTTTCACTACTTTGTTACACTCTTCCGGCGTAGAGCTCAGCATTCCACCAAGTTCAATCACCCTGAAGCCATACGATGCCGTGTCAGGATCATACCCAACAGAAAATGCTGTCGATGAGTCGCAGGGAATTCTCATCACAGGATCAAGTACGCCTCCTCTGTCACCAGACTGAGTTGTTGACGAGGGTAGAAAGAGGCCTCCGCTTATGAAGACATTGAATGGATCAATAAACTGGTCGAATTTGTCAGGCGCGTGGCTACCGATAAGCCCAGCGTCAAGATCGTAGGCATATGCTTCGGACACCAGATAATTGGACGAGCGCTAGGTGGACGCGTGGTCAAGAATAATGGGAAGTGGGAGGTTGGTCCGACACCGATCGAGCTCACAACTCTCGGCAAAGAGGTGTTTGGTTCTGATTCACTGGTAATGTGCTTAGTTCGGAAGCAAGGAATGTCTGACATGGGTTGAAGTATATCCAAGAAATGCACCAGGATGTGGTTTCAGAGATGCCGCCCCAATTCCATCTGCTTGGCTCAACGAGTGTCGCTCTAAACCAAGGCATGGTCCGCTTAATTGACGGAGCTTCCCCCTCAACAACATCGGGGCTATCCAATATTCATATCTTCACCGTTCAAGGTCATCCCGAATTTACACAAGGACTTGTCAACATGCTCCTCGAACCCCGGCTGAAATCTGGCATTCTTAGCGCAGAAGTAGTTGAGGACGCGAGGCGCCGGGCTGGGTGGCGAAACGACGGCGTTACGGTCATCGGCAAAGCCATTTTGGGGGTACTTGGGTTTGTGTGAATGTGGATGATATAAAACTGGAATGCGGGCTAGGTTTTGAACACGATGATGAGAATGAGCAGTACAAGAATGAGGGCGCCAATTGTAACAGCAGAACCTAGAAACAAGTCAAATCCCAGTCTGGAATTAGAAACGGCGCCGACCGTTGTTCTTGGCGCCTTTGGCAACTCTGTCTAGTCTTCTTCGCGCTCCACTCAGCATGTTTTCTGTGGTTCCAATATCGGTGTCCAATTCCTCCAGCAGTCCGGTATGAACGTCGAGCTCCTCGTTGATTTGCATGGAGAGATCGCGTTGCCGGTTTATGGAGTGTGACAGCAAGTCGAGTTGACTATCTTGCTCTGGGAACAATCAGTCTTGTGCACGCCCAATGAGAGTATAAACAAAGCCTACGGTCCATCATTAGCCTTTGTGTTTGCAACATCTGCTCGGGGCCGGCTTCTGGATCGTCCGCATATGGCGTGAATACTGTCTCTGAATCTGGTGTCGGTATGAGCTGAGACCTCTGAGGAGGTTCTGGTATACGCTCCGGCTCAAGACTATGCATAGCTTCAGCAACACTGTGCAGCAAAACGAAACAAACCTGGTCACGCCAGCATCTTCACCAGGCCCTAACATGCCTCTCATACGTTCATGTTGATTCCTGAGGAGAGTGACAGCATCCGAACGACCTTCCTTGGCCTCGAGCGAGAGAATTCCTGTCCGCAGTGCATTCAGGTTTTGCGCAATTTGTGGTAAATGGAGGTTATTCGGGGCATTTGGGGTTGAGTCGGACGAGTAGGAAGGTAAAGTCTGGAACCGTTGTCGTTCAAGAAGCAATGACAACGTTTGCGTCGATATCGAGGTCAATTTCGCGAGAGACATGGTTGCTGTGAGGAAAGCAGCTGTGATCGCGGTGTCATGTGAAACAGGCCCTTTTTGGGAAACTCTGTGATGGCGAGCGAAAACCCACTGTGCTGGCTCAAAGACGCGTCTTTGCTGGCGACTGCATTGCACAGTGAAGCATAGCAAGACCACGAGTCAGATTCGACTGCCGGATCTGGTCAATGTTACGCGTCGCAAAAGTCAGTGCTACTCAGAGCAGTCAGGAAAACCAGAGAGAAGAAAAAAGTAATTCCAAGTTGTAAGAACCAATATATCACTATGAGAAATCATCCCTGCATAAGCCCACACAACGCAAGAGCCGCCTTCATTGTGTCGTCGTCAGGTTCAGGAATGGTGGGTAGCGGCGTGAGTGTGGGTGTGGCCACCCGTACGATTTCCACCTCTTTCCTTTGAATTCCGTCGCCCTTCTTATCTAAAGTGTGCCCCCCCGAGTTCCAACGCGGATCGTTTTCGCCCCAAGTGCTTGGTGGAGTGACAGCCTCGGTGGGTTCTATATCTGTGTCTTCATCGTCGGTCATTAGACCAGGATTAGCACGTCTTTCCTCGCGTTCTGCCTTCCTCGCAAGTCTTTTCCGAGCACAAGCCCATTCGAGTGTCCGTGTGTGCTTGCCAAATTCGACAAAATCTGAGTCACGAGTTGTGGGCGGACTAAACTGTGGCCCCACTGGAGATGATTCCATCGTTTCCCACAGAGCAGCATGGGGATCTCTACGCCGAGAAGGAGTGCGGGGTCCAAGACCTCCAAGTTCGGAACGTGACGCGACCGAGTCAAGCGATGGTCGACGCGACTTGGTTGATGTTGACGAAGCAGTGCTTGGAGAAGGCACACGGTGGTATTGCTGGATTATGACTGGGGGAGGAACCCGTCCGCTAGCAAGGATTGTTCTACGGTCCGTTTGCCGCTTGTTCTGTAGCCAAATCGTAACAGACTTGACCTCCCTAGTAGTAAAAAGTTATAAAACGCGTCGCAATGGACTAAAAACACGTTACATTCCCGCCGTTCTAGCCACCGTTTCTCTCTGCTCACGCGAAGGATGGGAGTTTTGATGGTATAATTGCTCAAGTATCCTGAGCTGGGCGTTGGTGAAGCGTTTGCGCGTTCGGCGTGAGGACGAGTCAAGCGATTCGGAGATGAATGTAGCGTATAGGTCTTCAGAGGAGGCATTGGTGAATGTACTGCTTGCCGACGAGGTGCGCGAGAGTGCTGCAGGCATCGGCATGGATGTTTGTTGAGAACGCGTTTGTTACCGTGTGTGTGACTTCAATTCCAATCAACCAACACGCGTGTTAATTATACGCGCAACGCGATTTCTGATAATATTCTATATCCTCAGCCAGGAAGCCACTTCAATTGGCGGTCGCACGACGTAGGGGCTTTCTACTGATGTGCAACGGACTGAGCATTGCCAGGAGGACGACGGTAGCTGAGTCAAGCGGAATGATTCACGAGGATGATTAACTGCAACATCACATGATCTGTGACGTTGCCTGACAGATGATGGGTGTGTCATCCACACTTGACTTCAATGCCGCCCAAACGCACAAGAGAGCATCGTGCGTCTTTGACTCCTCGATATATATATCTATCTATCTATAGATCCGCAGGCCCAAGACAGAGTCAGAATCCTACCGGTGTGACTCCAGAAATTGTAGCCAAACGAACGAAACGGCATCTCATTGAGCTCGAGGTCTGTGCAACCATACCTGCCCTACTCCTGCTCGAATCTCCCCATAGAAATCAAACTACGAAGAGCCTAATTTTACGGCTGGAGATGAGGAAGAAACAGGAAATCACTCGAAAGGGCGTGCACGTACACTCATATCCGAAAAACGCAACTTTAACATCCCCGGACTGAAGAGAAAGAAGTCCAGTATGAGTGTGCGCTCAGCTTTGATATATCGGAAGAATTTCTCGACCCTTTTGGAGGACTTCAATCTCGATGCGACCACTCCTAGTTACTTAACAGTACAGGCACCTTCTCCTTCTTACCCACCGCGACTCATCTGCTCAGTCTGTGGCTACTGGGGAGCTTATAAATGTGGTCGATGTGCGTTACCATATTGCGACCGTGATTGTCGAGGGGTTCATGAAGAAACTCGTTGTGAGCGACGCGTTGTTTAGATCGTGGCACTCTCAAAACGGAACATGTGATCGTGCATGGAAGCGGGTCCGTATCAATTGACCAGTGGGTGGGCGCAAAAGTGTTGCCGAGAAAAAAAAACCACAAGCGTATAGGATTCCCATAGCTGGCCTAATTTCAACTCTGGGTATGCGGACACATAAGTATTCCCTTTTGGCTGTGTGCTTGTTCTTGCTTTAGTTACAGTAAGAAGAGGTTGAGACGCCGTCGAAGTCGTGATTTATCCCCATTTGGACATGCCTTTCTACTCCACATCTCGAGGCCCTTCTCCTTGAGGGAATCTGGTACGCAAAAGGAATCTATACTTCCAGAATATCTGGCATCATGATTGTCTCCACGACATGAATGCTAAACGATACAAGGGGATTTCCATTCTCAGCAATCTCCTTCAATACCAATTTCGGGAGGTTCGAAAGGCTATAAGGACTCTTATTGTTCTCCTCGATCGCAGTGTCAAACGCCCCCGCACAAGCATCACTACCGAGGCAACTCCCAATGCAGTTCCAAAGCGTCTTCTTCCTGGTCGCATGTTGTGGGTCCATTGCCAGATTAGATGCCGCGGAATCTAATCGAATTTCACAACAGTCGCTATGACCATCTCTGCAGCCCCCATTGCAGCCCCCCGATCACCCATTGCTCAAGCTCCCTCGAGTTGTAGAGGAGATTCGTGCTCCTGAGGCCCAGCCTGGCTGCACGCTCTACAGTTGTGTATGATGGTCCGTCATTTTCTTCGGTTGAAGGTTTGAAAAAAAATTCTCACCATTCTGACAGACTCTCATCACCCACCAACCATTCTTCGTCATGCCATGGTTTCTCTCTCTCCCAGCGTAGCACTGGAGCGCAGCTCGTGCTGTCGTCGTACCCTTCACCTCGTTTGGATCACGTCGGAGACTTGGATATCCAGTGCACGTGGGCGTGTCGCTCGATAAACGTCCATCGCTGCGTAGCGCCACGCGACGCACGCCATGCACTCTCAAGTTTGTGTATTACCAGTAGTGTTAAACAATAGTCTGTTTGCTCAAGTCCTGTACGAAACTCGTGAACAAGCAAGCCAAAACTCGGAACCGCCTTGTTGACACCATCCAAGAGGACCAAGATCGCACTCGGCGCATGCAATAAGCTTCATGTTGTCGCCTACGAGCGAGTTCAGGATTGTTTTAATCATATCGTAAAACAACTGACCAAGGGAGGCAACCGGTCGGGAGAACCCGATGTTCTCAAACTGCATGGGCGATGGTGTAACAAGCCACCAATGGGTGTTAATACTTGGGTCAGGCAATGTAGGCAGCAATGGATGACTAGCCAAGTCAATCTATCATAGATGAGGACTACTTTTCGGTCGGCATCTCCAACGACAAACCTTAGTGCTTGGTGCTTGGACAAGTTTGCCTACCCCAGCCTTGAGTATGATGCTTCCGCACTCTGGCCGAGGACACAAGAGATCATATCGATTGGCAGACGGAGAGGAGACATCAGAAAGACCGGCTGGAAAAGATGCCAAGGTGCGAGCACCGGCGGGTTCGGGATTTGAAGGGCGTTGTAGTGCTTCATGCGCTCCCTGGGGCAGAGTGGTAGAGAGATCGATTCGCATCTCGAACCATGGCAATGGCCCATGCACGACCTGACTTGGGCCAAGCCATTGGAAGCCTGCTTTCTCGTAAAATAAGCGTAGTGGCTCGTGGGTGATGAGTAGCACACGCTCATAAGGCGCTTGGAGACGCGATATATATTCGCAAAGGAGTCTGAGACCAATCCCTTGGCGCTGAAAGGCGGGGTCGACACAAACGGAGTGAATGCAGACCGATCTTCCAGTAGGCTCGTGAGTCGACATAGATGCATGGGTTAATGTTAACTGGGACGAAAGAGTTGCGCAGACGTAGGCCACAAGGCGTTCATCCATATATGCACCAAGGAAAAGATCGGGGGCAACGCGTTGTCGAAGACTGTGCAAAAAGTCAACTCATCGGTACAATGAAAAATAATGAGTAGCACACCTAAATGACTCGAGAGTAGCAGCCTCATCTGGTGGAAACCCTTTCAGCTCAATCTCAAGGGCTGATTCGAGTTGTTCAGCTGGCACTGGGCGGAAAAAGATACCGGATGACATCAAGACGTGAACATGTTGATTTCTTCAAACCTCAACCTCTTGATCATCGACGTCACCTCCCTCTATGTCTCCAGAGTCTACAGTAGCGTTCAACATCATTGCAGGCACAATGAACTACACCTCTCTTCAAGCCAGTAAGCTTGCAAGGCACTCTCGTTTGGCCTCAATATACTGTCATTCCCCCTCTATATTCCGCTTGTTCTCGGCACCATATAATGTGGAACGACTTGATCCCACTGGGCAGTCAAGAGAGTACACCGCCAAGACCCAAGGAACGTCACTGCGCATGTAGAAAAGAGGCGCCCCTTACTTCACGTGTGGCGCGCAATTCTTGTTCGATCCTCCATGTCAACACATCCTCGAAGAGGCTATAGACCAGCCACCTCCCCAAGGTTGCTCGCCGGATTCCACTCTTCCGCGGATTTGGTACCTTGAAGCTCGCTTATAGGCCAACACGACACTAATTCAGACAAAGCTTTCTCCTTCTCCCACTCGTAGTGGAATTGCCGAAAAAGTGAGGGTTGTTTCTAACTAGTATCTGCAGCTGAACTCACAAATACACGCAGTTCTCTCTTTCTCCAGACCCCGCTTCTTGGGGTTCAAATTTATCGGCGCCTGAGCCTGATGACGCATTGCACAATCCTGTTTACAGGGGCGGAAAGTTCAAAGACAGCAATAGCTTCACCATATCATCTCGAGGTATTATTTTGCGATTCATTTGGTCACATTAGCTCAGCATCTCGTCAGGTATTGCCAACTTGGGATTCCTCGCTTTCCTCTGCTTCGCAGTCCTGGGACTTTTGTTTGTCCTTGTCGTTCATCGCGAGGCTGTCGGTCTGACGCGACTATGGCAGCATAGGATACCCAGTTCTCACATTTGTTCGCCAAGCGAAGCTGTCTCCCCCCACGAATTCCAACTCCTTCGTAAATTCATCGGGACAGGTGCCGAGTATCGGAAACTTCGGATTGATAGGTGTGTCTCTCGATTCTTTTCTCTATTTTAACTTATAAGCATACTTCCAATAGATCTCGATACGCCCAAGTCTGCACACAAGATAACTTCGCTGTACAGCGGCAGAGAAATGGTCCTCGTCTTCTCCGATGAATTCAATCGTGATGGCCGAACCTTTTACCCAGGTGTGTTCGGGCCTTTGTATTCCGTAGGAAGCTCCTAATCTTCGTTCCACAGGCGACGATCCGTATTGGTGGGCGATATTCGTTGTGCATTCGCCTTTTCCTCATCTACTTTCCAGGGAAGCGGTGGATCTTCACTATTGGGCCACGAATAATATGGAGGTGAGCACTCGTTTTCAACATTGAATAGTAGGCTGACACACTTCAGTGGTACGTTAAGAATGCCATTAAAGTGATAAGTATATTCACGAGGAAGGTATGATCCATCTGCGGTCATCACGAAGAACGGGTCACTTGAATTCACTCTCTCCGAAGAGCGTGTTCACGGTATGAACTACAAAGGTGGCATGATATCTACCTGGTGAGTACTCGTTTGTGCACCACCGATCACATTTATAATGATTTTAGGAACAAATTTTGCTTTACGGGTGGACTACTTGTTGGTCAGTTTTACTGTGATGTTCGAAAGATTTTAGGCCAATTGTATTCCAGGGGCGGCCAATCTTCCGGGGACAAACAATATCCATGGTCTCTGGCCAGCTTTCTGGGCCATGGGAAATCTCGGCCGCGCAGGCTACGGAGCGTCACTGGACGCAATGTGGGTGGGTGGAATGGGTTGCCTTTGTTTTTTCGAGTCCAAATCATGTTTAACAGCCTTATACTTACGATAGTTGCGACGTGGGCACTGTGGCCAACCAAACTCGCAATGGGCTACCGCTTGCAGCCACCACCACAGGCGATAAGAATGCTCCTATCAATGGCGAGCTGTCCTACCTTCCGGGACAAAGGCTGTCCCGATGTACCTGTCCCGGAGAAAGCCATCCCGGTCCAGTTCACGAAGATGGTACTTATGTAGGCAGAGCTGCCCCAGAGGTGCGTTGACAAAATCCCAAACAAAACGGTATCTGAGCGCTCCCCAGATTGATGTTTTCGAGGCTCAGATATCGAACAACGCCGGGCAGGTGTCTCAATCTGGCCAATGGGCGGTATGGCTGAACCCACAGTATTTGTGATGCATGCTGACAACGGGACCAGCCGTTTAACGCTGGTTACATGTGGTTTAACACAACTGATAATATGAAAATCGTGGACAGGAGTCTTTCCTTCCTCAACACATATCTTGGTGGTGTCTACCAGCAGGTGAGGAGGCTCTTTGACCCTGCTGCCATCCGCTGAAGTAAGACAGGCAACATCGGTGGTGGTTACAACCGACCAGAACTGTTACGAGCTCATTGACCCACATTGTCGTTCAGTTTATGGATTTGAAGTGAGTGTTCTCTGCGCTCCATTGTCATTTCTCACGATTGTAGTATCGGCCAGGTGCGAATCGGGTGGTTTCTTCGTGAAAGCATACTTACTGTTGGCAGGCTATAGCGACGGCTACATCTCTTGGATCACAGACAATCAGGTCTCGTGGACAATATTAGGCAATGGTATGGCAGCAGACCCAGCGGTGGAGATTGGTCCGCGTCCAGTTCCGATGGAGCCCTTGGTACATTCCCCTCGGGAAAAAAACCCGCGAAGAAACTAACTCTCAATAGTATATCCTGGCAAACCTGGGAATGTCAAGAAACTTTGGTGAGGTCGATCTCGAGCATCTGACCTTCCCCACGGTCATGCGAATGGACTACGTGCGCGTATATCAATACCCAGACGAGATAAATATTGGTTGCGACCCAAAAGGATTCCCCACTCAAGCTTACATAAACACGTATGTGCTGCGATCTCTGATAACCAATTTAATCACCGCTTTCTTAGATATATCGACGCATACACAAGTAATCTCTCTTTGGTCTCTACTTAAAAATTAAGCTGACTCTACTATTTAGATCCAAATTTAACCACTTGGGTAGACGACTATAAACAACCAATGCCCAAGAATAGTTTTCTGGGCGAATGTTGACCCTTCTGTATCTTATGTAATTTGATCTCGCTTAGAATGACATCACCACACTCTTTTGGTCCGGTCCACCATCTCAACGCTACAATTCCAATGCAGTGCTGTCCTTTGTCCATCCAGACTCTGAACACACCCAAGCTTTCTGTTGGGACTTTTATGGTGCCCGCTCAGCTATCATTTACATAATCGTTTCGTCGCTTGTTTCCGCCGGTCAAGCTCTACGCGACCCTGTAATGCCGACAAGCAATGATTCAGAACTCCGAGTGTGATTGAACCTGAACTCTTCACAATTCCGAACATTCTAGCATTCACGGTATCGTATTCTCCCTCGTCTTGACCATCCACTCTCTTTATGTCCTCTCATAGTCCCCTATTGACTACACACACTCTACCTCGACGCGATGACTCTTGGGTAAACGACAAGTTATGCCTGGGAGCATACTACTGATACCGCGTAGGAAACAAGCTCAGCCACGACAAGCTTGACGGAGAAAGTGAGCAATGGTCATTTTGTGCCTCATATGCTCAACATTTCTCTGCCTCGTAGTACGCGCTTGCTGCGGACCCTGCGGCATGGGGAACTGATCTGCACAACGCAGAGCCCGATGACCACATACACGTCCCTGAAGTTCGAAATGGGAAGGTGGTCGACCGCGCCAGTTCCGCGATATCCTTCCAAGGGTTTACGAACATTGGCTGTTTGCTCATTCTCAGTTTGGGAATAATCACGTTGTTGTACGTCTGGTCTTCTCATCTTGCCCCACACGCATTCAGTTCTTATAGCATGGGCTATCCGGTTGTCTCTCATTTAACGAAACCGTCCACCAAAGTCAACTCTCTAACGGTCAACGAAACGGGACAGGTCCCCGCAATCGGAAACTTTGGTTTGATAGACCTCGATACCCCGAGCAATGTCTATACGATCAAGTCGCTCAAGACAGGAAAGGACATGAAGCTTGTCTTTAGCGACGAATTCGTGCGTCTCAACATGGATGTGGGGTTGCGACTTGATAGTTTATCCAGAATCAAGACGGGCGGAGCTTTTATCCAGGTGCGTGTCTTTTCTCGCCTTATTTCTGTAAAGATTACTTACTGATACCAGGCGACGACGCTTACTGGTGTGCACTGTCGCAAGGCTACCTTTCTCCGCTCACACAGATTCAGGGAAGCTTTAGACCTGCATTATTGGGCGACAAATAATATGGAGGTAAGAACACCTTGTTAGCTTTGCCCTATCTTCCTGACCTGTTGCAGTGGTAGGATGACATGAATTCGCTCCTCTTCACCCTTGACCTTGACGAAACCAGGTACGATCCTTCTGCAGTCACCACATCGAACGGTTCACTCCGAATCACTCTGTCACGCGAGAACATTCACGATTTGGATTATAAAGGGGGAATGCTTTCGACTTGGTATGCGACATTTACACTGAGTGATTCATCTTTAATGATCTACAGGAATAAATTTTGTTTCACAGGTGGATACCTTGTTGGTAGGGTCATGTGCACGCACGTCTCTTTGAAGCGTCTTATTCAATTGTAGCGTCTGTTGTTCTCCCTGGCACCAACAACATCCACGGACTGTGGCCTGCCTTCTGGGCCATGGGCAATTTGGGTCGAGCGGGTTATGGAGCTTCCTTGGACTCGATGTGGGTACGTGTATTTCCATTACTAGCGAACCACCACCATAGCTCACTACACTTTCCGAAGCCTTATACGTACGACAGGTTCGTGTTCATCTATTAGCAGAATCTATCTTGACTGATGCATCCAAGTTGTGATGTTGGGACTGTCGCCAACCAGACTCGGAACGGACTTCCCATACTTGCAACCACGAGCGGGGACAAGAATCAACCATTCAACGGAGAATTATCTTATTTGGGCGGACAGAGACTGTCTCGATGCACGTGTCCTGGAGAAAGCCATCCAGGGCCAATACACGCAGACGGCACATATGTCGGGCGTGCTGCTCCAGAGGTAAATCTGCCAAACCTATCGGTGCCCTACTAATAATAAAATCGACTTGTAGATTGACGTCTTCGAAGCCCAGATTTCAAACGGAGCTGGTCAGGTGTCTCAGTCCGGTCAATGGGCGGTAAGTTCTTGGTGCGACCGTTAGTCTTGTTGTGAATCCCACCAGCCATTCAACAACGGCTACGTCTGGTTCAACAGTGAGCGACCCATCTCTTTCGAGTCATTTCTTGTGTTTGATCAAGCTCTGCCGCACAGCTAGCGACAACCTAATCATCCCGGATCCAACCCTCTCTGTGTTGAACACGTACATCGGTGGTGCACTGCAGCAGGTGAATATACTAGACTCGATTGTTTCTTCTTCGTTGAACTCGCGTAGGCAAGCTCCGTGGTGACGACTGTGGACCAGAATTGCTACGAGCTCCGTCAGGGCTGTTATTCCGTTTATGGCTTCGAGGTGAGAAGACCTATGTTGCATCGTTTTTCGTTGCTAACTCTCGCTGCAGTATAAACCCGGTTTGTCTTGAAGGATGTCTATTCTCATGTTTATTTAAACATCCGCTTCTTCGTCAGGTTTTGGTGATGCTGTACGTTTTTTTTGACCCTCCAAATTCTCAACGCCGATTGAACTTGTAGTACATTACTTGGGTCTCAGACAACAAGATTGGTAGGTTTTCTTGATGCCATCCGGACGATAGTGACCGGTCTCAGCATGGACCCTGAATGCTGCCGGTATGGCTGCAGATCCTCAAGTTGAAATCGGACCTCGCCCTGTGCCCCAAGAGCCGATGGTAAGTTGCCGCAAACAACACGCCGTCTGTGCTAAATGATGCCACTATAGTATATTCTTGCGTATGTCAAGGTGGCACTTCTTAGTCTCGAACATCTACTTGAACTTGCGCAGCAACCTAGGAATGTCAAGAAATTTTGGTGCAGTTGATCTCGACGAATTGACCTTCCCAACAACACTCTCTATCGATTACGTTCGTGTTTATCAGTATCCTGACCAGGTACGGTTGCTATTTGGCAAGCAAAATCGAGTTGAACTGAATCATTCGCCGTAGATCAATATCGGATGGTGAGAACTCTTCCAAAACAGCCTACTGACCATATCTTTCCTCGCCAGCGATCCCCCAAACTTCCCGACTCAGGTGCGAGTTCTGTTCATGTCAGCAATGTCTTCTAATAGGAGGAAACGTAGGACTACATCAACACGTTCGTGCTCTTCTCTTTCAGGCTACAGGTGCAGTTGCTGATTTCTATGCAAAAGCTATATCGAGGCCTATACGAGTAATTCCTGATGTTACCTTATCTGCGTGTTTCTAACTGGTCACAGATCCCAATTTAACAACTTGGGTTGACGGTTCGTGCCAGCTCTTACTCTTACTTACCCAGGTTGCGGTCGCTGACTTGATGCTCAGACTACAAGCAAGTGATGCCTAAAAACAAATTTCTTGGAGAATGTTAGACGCTCTTTGCCACCGGTCGCTAGACGATCGCGTTTGCTTTCATTGCATTTTATATACCCACCACACGCATAGAATCGGATAGAGTAGAGTACACATACGTTAGAAACTTGTCATAGTGCGACGGAAGCCGCCGCTAGTCTTGAATGAGGTAACCATCTTGTTACCAAACACCACTTGGACCGGCCGCGACACTACTTGCGCGTCAACCTGGAAGGAAGCGCGCGTCGGCTTTGAATTCGTCCAAGCTAAATCAACAGTGATTCCACCGCGAACACGCGCTCCTTTAATGAAGCCAGTGGACCATGTCGCGGGCAAAGCTGGAAGTAAGGTGATTGTCAGTGGAGTTGAAAGAGCTTCGACATCCGGCGCTTGAAGGAGAGCGTTCTATGTGATCGTTAGACGGCGTCTGATGACGAGTTGTCTCACCAAAATTGCCGCCGGTAGTCCTAAATTGGCGTCGATCTGTTCTTCATTCAGAATACCCCCCCAAATGTTTGAGCAAAACAGACCTGGAATATCGGGGTAGCATCGAATGGATTGTAAAGGCTGAGATTCGAGTAAGACTTTTGATCTCTGTGGCAATAGAAAGTACCTGAATAGGTTCTCAGCAAAGTTTTCGTAAATTCCATACTGGCAGATTTGAGCAAGAAACGCTGATACGGGAACGAAAATGACTTGACTGTGAGCTCATGATAGAACTGCGCTGGATTCTTCAGCTGTGCCCATGCTGCCGCCCGCCACATTTTCTCCCAACCCGAGTCAGCGTCGGGGCCAGTCCCATTACCCCGATGCACCAAGCTGACCGTGGTTGCGTCGATAATTTGTGCCTTGTTATATGTCGCACGAGAGCCATTTATGATCAAGTTGCCTTGCGTGCCCTGATCAAACGAAGCGATCGCATAACCCGGATAGAGACCTATCAGATGACTATTCGTCTATGACTTGGTAGCTCGTCAAAGTTGTGGGTGGATTACCTGAGGTGACGATGGGTATCGGTGGGCGAGTCTTGATCAACTTTCCATTCTGGCAAGTATTATCAGCGCCCCGCACGCGAGCCAATAAAAAGGTATACCCTGAAGTTGACCCCATCGGCCGATGCGCAAGCCTTTGTCCATGGCGGCCTTCTTCGCTCGTACCTCTACCCGAAATGAATTAATACATGAACATACCGCCTAGAAATCAAACCTTCAAGAAAGGCGGTATCAGTATCGCCTGATGCTGCGAACCCCTTTTCGACTGAGTTGAATAATTGCCAGATCAGTTGCTGAGCATGAGCGCAGCCTTGGAACTCGTCAGAGTGGGAAGGTCGAAGAGATATCCACGCACCGAACGTAATAGGAGCCTGTTCAGGAGAATTACATGGTGCTACGACGAGTGTGCCGTCGTGGAATTTCTCGTCTGGTATTAGTTTGTCCAAATGAAACCCAGCAATCGCCTGTGATGTTGATTAGAATAGCCTCACTGCAAAACTATGAATGACCAGGGACCTTGATCAATGGCCACCCTTGAGTGCGCCACCAGAGAGTATCTTGGCTCACTTCATAGTGATCCCATATGTGAATTGCCATCCACGGGCCGCTCTCCGGATAGTTCGCCCACTCTGCAAACCCAGGGTAGTACTTCATTCCAGTGTGACCGAATATCTATTCTAGCTTCAGCCAGTCCTCACGTGACAGTTACTTAGACTCACGTTCATCTCATTGTGTGTCACCCATCCTCGAGATATGTTGTACAGAACCTGTGCAGTGTAAGCTCCTCGCGGAGCCCAGTTTTTCTTAGCTATTGTGAGCCTTAGCCAAACCCTTGACGGAGTTTTTACCTCGAAGTAGTTGAATAGGGAGGATGTTACGTCCAGGTTGCTCATCTCGGCACTCCAATAGTTCATTTGGATGTTGATGTTGGAGTCTATTCGTGGTTCAAGAGATTATGCAAGAGTTCGGAGAACACCCACGGTAATCAAAGCTCCACGCGTTAGAGTACCCCAATCCCCAAACACCACCAAGGTTTGAAGGCAATATTCCTCTGGCACTACTACCAAGCAAGTATCTGCCGTAGTTGAACATGAGCCACTCAAGATACGGATTGCCCTGATCAATTTGGTACGCCGCGATAAGAGAGTCGGTAGGTTGTGATAGTTGTGGGGTCTGTCCAAGAGACAATTCAAATTTGCCAAACGTAGCACCGAAGTCAGCAAAATGTTGGGATCGCATAGCGGTGTAAGACGCCTTTGAAACGGCTGGATCATTGATGAGTTGTAAGACAGTAGCATGAGGGTCAGGTCCACGGAACGAGAAGCCGTGTGCTAAGTCCCCTGCGTTTTGGTCAAACTCAGTTTCTCCTACCCACGTGATCCAAGTCTCGGTGGCGTGACCACTGACGAGAACAGTCGCGTTCGCAGAGCCAAGCGAAGTGCAAGTGACTTTTCCTCCCGTGCTACGAACGCGAAATAGGAGCTCATAAAGCATACCAGGGAGACTTGCAGTCCCACGGATGCGAAGAGTCGAGGAATCGAGACACGTGATATTGGGGGTTGGTAGACCGTCTTCCAGAGCAGAAGAAAATGCAACGGATACCGACGGAAGGGTGCCTGAGCGGGCAGAGATGTGATGGGTACAAGCCTGAGTCGGGTTAGAGCAAAACGTTTCACTGAAAAGGATTAGTTAAGACGAGTAGCAAATATCCATAGCACCATACCGTATGAAAACGGTTCCATTCTGCGACCAGGTTGTCCGAGAAATGCCCTGGTCGAGGTCCAACCACCGCCCATAGTCGGAAACGGGACCCGTCGTGTTCAAGGTGGAAATCAGATAGCCAGCGCCAGCAAAAGACCCTGCAAACGTTATTGGGCAATCACTTGGTGTTCGATCGCCAAACCATAGGCTCCAGGATCAGTTGCCAGTGAGTCGATATCTGGTCCACAATGAGACCGCAAAATCAAGTATTAGTAATAATACTTACTGTCGATGTTGCCAGTGGGGCTGGAGAAGATGGCTTGTCGGTACTGCTGCATGGCAATGGCCATCGCTGGCGCCTCGTTGGGCTGCTTATTGCCACCATTATAGGTCTGTGGCGAATTGGAAGTAAGAAAAGCTGATTCAAACGACTTTCCTCATCTTGGAACGGCCCACCAGACCACAAAGATTCAATATTAAGCTGTGTTATTTCTTGAGATGTGCCACCAGGTGTCATCGCTCCCAGATAGCCATTTCCGAGGGGTAGCCATGTCCTGGACCAGAACGCACCACCGTCTGAAAGCGGTTGGTCTACAATCCGAATTTCGGGGGTCCCGTCTTCACCTTTATACCAAAGTCCATTTCCTGAGGCCGGAAAACCTGGCGGCGCAGCGATAGACTTGGCGACGATTGGAACGACTGTGAAAACCCGTCGAAGCCACATGAACAGCAGTGAGAGAAGAAATTTGGATTCATCTAGAATATAAGGCCACGCTGGCGGGGCTATTTCGGTGGAAAGAAGGAGAGTCTGCATTGGCACATGACCGTCAACGACAAAGACGACGGGCCGCCTGTCACATTCCACACTATTTCGGTTTCCCATGTTGCGCGAGCGTCGGCGATTGAGTGAACCCCTCCAACAAGCGACAGCAAAACTCGCCAGTCGCCGCCAGTCTCTTCCTACTCGTCTGGACACCAGACCGCCCTTCGTTGTTCCTTTCTACTACCACCCCCCTGCCAATACTAGTACAAACAAACCCAAATCCTCTGTTTCGAAGCCGGTTTCAGTCAGTCAGAAGGCGCCATCTTGTAAGTCATATGCTTGAGCGTGCCGTATTCGACTGAGTAGCCACACCAGTGTCTCCAAATGAGGCTGCTCGCCATCGTCTCCAACCTCGTCAACATAGACCCGGCCCCTTCCCAACAAAGATTCCTTGCCCGAAAGTACACGCTCAAGCTAGAACTCCTACTATTGCCCGGATTCGCTACACTCCACCATCTCTTCGGACGCCTACCAGCGAATCGCCAATCATTCCGGTCTTCACCACTGTTTCCCCGTCCCCACTATCTCGCGTCCGACAAGCTGTCTCTGAGATCTCTAACGAACCTCGGCTGATTAAAAGCAATCGCCTGGACTTGAATCTTGACAGGAGCTATACAGAACAGCATAATTCATCTCGCACTACAAGCAAACCAGTTCCGCTACCAGTCGACACTGTTGTCAGTCCCACTCACCCAGTCCAACTTAGCATCAAGTGTCTCGATCGCAAGCCTAGCATCACAATCAACAAGAGCAGTCCACAATGCGATCGTCTCCCCATGGCCACGGCGTCGAGTGCCACGCAGCAACATTGTGAGGAGCTCACATCATCACCAGTCCATGACGAGACTATGGTCATCGACTCAGTCTTTGGGCCAAGACGGGTTCGGAGGGTCATTGTTCCACCATTTTCTGAAAGCTCCGTACCATCCAGAGACCCTAAGATCGTAACAGAAATAGCCAGTCTTAGAGCGCAGAAAAAGGTTGGGAATCGCGTCATATAATGTTGTACTTTTTGGGAGACAAATGATATTGAGGTTCAAACAACACTCTGACCGGCCAGAGCAGGGTATACATGGTAAGAGTATGCAACTGTTCAACGGCTGTAGCAAAAAAAGGTGTAAGTAACTGGTCCGGCCAGTTAAGGTGGATCAGATTCCTTGGAGTTTCATGCAGAACCATTTCAATAGTAGTCGCCCCTCGTCCACCGGCCATCGGTTTCAAGTCATTCAGTTCATCTTGGCGTATGGAAGGAATTGACTATCGCGGCCATATTCAACGAAGTCCGTGTTTTCGTCGGGGCGGATGGAAGGATCGTAACGGGAAAGAGGCATCCTGAAGATGTGCTTGTTTCCGAGGTTGCTCTGCCAAAATGGTTGGAAACCCGGAAGGATTACAGACAGCGCCTTACCTGGGTAATAGAGTAACGCAGGGTGATGATCGTGGTGAAAAAGACTGGCAAAGTAAGGATATAGCGCTGAAAGTGGTTGGACACTTACACATGAGCCACTCAATCCAGACAAGGATACGGAGAGCGGCAAGTTCTTGGCACCATTGGATAGTGTCAGGGAAATCGCTGGGTATCACCCCGCAGTTAAGCGGGACGGATTGCCAGCGAGAGCTGGAGAAGGCGTTGAATGCTGTTGATAGGTCCAGAATGAGCGTTCGTCACGACAGCCGCCGGGAATTTTGCGCACCCAGCCAAAAGATGCCCAAGACAGAGAAAACACCAATTTCAAACTGAGGACGACCAGTATAAGAACTGTTAAAGCAAAAGTCCACAAATGTCCTGAAATGGATTCAGCCCATAGCAACTCAACACTGAGTTGAGCGAAACAAACATCGTGCCAACCAACGCGAAGGTGATGATGGAAAGGACGAAGGGGAAACGATCAGCAATGACTAGGCCTTGTGAGTATCAAAAAAGCTAATGCATAGAATACGCACAAAAGAAATCCTGGTAGAGGTTAACTCGGGTCGAAAGGGCAAGTACGATGATGTTGAGGAGGAGGAGCAAGACTATGACGAGCGATTAGATAGTCAACTAATGGCAAACTTTACAACGCACGGTGGGCGGCAACCTTTGCCCTGCCAACTTTAGAGAAAGACATCGTATGAACAAAAAGAGTGGAAGGGAAGATGGAGGCAAAGAGAGAGAGACGCTTGGTCCATCACTTGTTGATCATAACCAAGGTGACAACATGTGTTCTTGATACAGCCTCAACCCTTGCTCAGTGACCCAGTGGCCCAAGTTAATAGTTATTTTCCTACTGATCCCTACTAATCCTAGGCATAAATAACACTACGGACCGTGAATGGAGGGTAGTTTGGGAAAGTCGTGATGTGATCGGAACCAAACTCTGCCACTGGCCATGTTGTCTCGACCAGGTCGAATCCAACGGGCTCAATTTGTGCTCAGACGCGTTGCGTTTTACCAACACCACGCCCAGATAAAGGCGAATATTGGGGTGAATTGTCGCGTCCCAAGCCGTTGCGGGTTTGACCAAAGAGGTACAGGCCCCCCATGAAAAAGCACTCGCTTCTGTCCAAAATGTCATTCGAAAAGTTTACGGGAAATATGACTGCGAAATATTTGGGAGTTTTCGCACTGGACTCGCGTCTAGAGACAGCGATGTTGATATGGTCATCCTCGTTCAGTCCATTCTTTCAAAGCTCAACTGCTATTCAAGTGTGTCAGGACCCGCAACGTCCGTATGGTTTCGCGCCAAACACTGATCCAAAACTTCCGCGTAGGTCTTGCCGTCCGTTATTGTGGCTTATTTGAAGCGTCCTCCAGCTATTTACAACATCCGGTTCGGTCTCTCGGGTACTTATCACTTCCGTTGACCTCTCCATAGCTCAGTTGCAAAGACTTTAAAAAGAGCTGGGTTCGATGTTATCAAAACTGTTCCCAATGCCACGGTCCCAATAGTAACCTTTCGACTCAGACGGACAACTCTCCTGGTGGATCTGAACGTAAATGAACGACTGGGAGTTTTCAACTCAGATCTAATCAAGCGATACTGTCAACTCAGTCCAGTACTCAACCCACTCATCCGCTACCTCAAGATCTGGGCGAAGTTACTTGATCTTAATGACCCATCTCCTGTAAAGGCCGGAGCTCAGCCGACTTTTAGTAGTTTTGCCCTCACGATGATGAGCATTGCATTTTTACAGGTGTGTTCCAACACAGTGGTCGTTTTTTTGTTCCATCAAGCTTTCGCTAGAGCCGTGGACTGCTCCCGAACTTGCAAGCTGGTTTACCTCCCATCAACGCTGCTGCAGAGGATTATCAGGGAACTTATTGGCGCCATGTCCGTAGTGGCAGAATCGATTGCTGCGATGTTCGGTACTCTATGGCAGAAGGCTGGAGACCGCCAGAGCAACCATCGGTGATACAACTGGTCCGAGATTGGTTTAGGTCAGTTAGCAGATAGTCCCGTTGCCATTGTTTGCAACTAACTTTCCACCGCAGATGTTGGGGAGACGAGTTTGACTACACTCAACAAATGCCGAGCATATCCCAGGGCGGATTCGTTGATCGTCTCGCCAGTTTTCATCCACACAGTCCATTCTGCATCGCTGATCCTTTCATACCGAGCAAGGTTTCAAGCCTCTTTATTTATTGGAATAGTGCTGATGTTAGCTTAGAACCTCACTCAAGGAATAACCAAAGCAACTCTAAAACGCTTCAGGATGTCGTGTTCGTCGTATGCAGATGAGATGAAGTCGAATACCCATGGATTGCCCTTAAATCCCCAGAACCCCAAGGATAAAATAAAAATAAAAACAATAGAGGAATTGCTTGGGGGTCCTACAGAGCATACTGTGTATTAATAATCGCCTAATCTACGACGAGTCCTTTTGCTGTAAGGATCACGTCACGCAGCCTCTCTACATTAAACTCCCACTCAGTCGCTGGCGGCAACACTCCCCGATAGACGCAGTCAACATGTCTTGGAAACTTGGCTCCTCGAAAAGTGCGTCAGGCCAGCACAAACTGTCTCACGTCGTGCTCAAGTCACATTAGAGACGAAAGAAACAAAGGAAAACGGGGTTGTCTCCCGATCGGTCACTCCCATTCCTTCGCGGCCAACAACCCCAAAGGCAGCCAATGGAGACCAATTCAGGAGTGGAATGCTCACCATCCGCATCTTTTCCGGTTCGCAGAGTCCCCCGACAGTCGTCCTTGAACAGTGCTGATTTCATCTAGGTCGTGGGCTTTCTCTTCCGCCCGATGTGTCTGTCCCAGAGTCGATTCAAAAGGCCCTTAACTCACCACAAACGGCTCGGAAACCTGCAAACAATCGCGAGAGTATGCAGCGCAAACGCCATCTTCCCTATGTCGTTCTCGAATTCGACAAGAATGAGATCTTGATCGACGCTATGGACGGCGACCTTGCTAGTCCAATGTGGAATTATCGCGCTCATTTGTGAGTTTTTTTGTAATGTTATATAAGACTGTCGACTTTAATAACTCCAGCGACGTGTCTCGTACATCCAATGTCTCCGTCAGTGCCTATTTGCGAACAGAGGCAGCAGTCCAAGGCCAAGAGGATATGGGCAACGATTTTCTGATGGCGCGAGTCGATTTGACCCCAACTCTGGATGGCCATGCAAGTGTTGTCGTTGGTTGACGGTTTCCTTGTTAATCGTTGATATAGCACGCGTCGGATGAGTGGTACGCCGCAACAGCAGGTTCCGGGTCATTCCACCTTAAGATCGACTTCCGCCCAACCCGCGACGAGCCGCTTACTATTGAAGCATTCGAGCTCCTGAAGGTTATTGGCAAGGGCAGCTTTGGCAAGGTCATGCAAGTTAGGAAGAAAGACACTGGGCGAATCTATGCGCTCAAAACCATCCGGAAAGGTACAGCTGCGCTGGTGGCTCATTTAGTGGTCTGACGTGATGATCTCTAGCACATATCGCTCAACGTCCGGGTGAAATAACACACATTCTTGCTGAGAGAACTGTTCTCGCCCTCGTCAACAATCCCTTCATCGTGCCTTTGAAATTCTCCTTCCAGAATCCCGTATGTCTCATGTTAGCTTTGCTCCTCATCTGATGTCTTCACCAGGATAAACTTTACCTCGTCATGTCATTCGGTACCTCCAGCAAGATGTGGCGGGATCACTTCTAATCTATTTTTAGTCAACGGCGGGGAGCTATTTTACCACCTACAACGAGAGGGCAAATTTGATCAGGACCGCAGCCGTTTCTACGCTGCGGAGTTACTTTGTGCTCTAGAGCATCTCCACGGCTTCAATGTCGTTTATCGGTACGAGGCATTGCCTTTTCCCATTTGCCCCTAACCAGACTCTAGCGATCTCAAGCCGGAGAACATCCTTTTGGACTACACGGGCCATATCGCGCTCTGTGACTTCGGTAGGATACTTGTCATCTGTTGAGATGTTGCCTCACAACTTCAATAGGTCTGTGCAAATTGAATATGTCAGAAACGGAAAAGACCAACAGTGCGCCATTTGATTGTCGTTTGAAAAGTCTAGTTCTCAAATGGGACTTGCAGCATTCTGTGGCACACCTGAGTATATTGCTCCGGAACTCCTTGAGAGTCAGGGATACACCAAGACTGTTGATTGGTGGACACTAGGCGTCTTGCTCTACGAAATGATGACAGGACTACCACCATTTTACGACGAAAACGTCAACACGATGTATCAGCGCATCCTGACCGATCCGCTCAACTTCCCTTCGGACATGTCCTCTGAGGCCAAAAACGTCATGACCGGTCTACTTCAACGGGATCCAGCCAAACGACTTGGTGCGCACGGCAGTGAAGAAATCAAAAAGCACCCCTTCTTCGCGAAGTATATCGATTGGAATAGGTAGGGTCATAGACTCATTAGAACGAACTTGACTAACACGAGTGCAGACTTCTTGCGAAGAAATATCCAACACCATTCAAGCCGAGTGTGGTGCGTCGCACTCCATTTTCTTTCGGCAGCCGCGCTCAATCTCTTTCCTACAGGAATCCGTTCTTGATGTCGCTAACTTTGATCCTGACTTCACCAACGAATTGCCACAAGATTCAGTTGTTGCAGACTCGGCGCTATCGGAGACCGTCCAAGATCAATTCCGAGGGTTCACCTATAACCCTGCTAACGAACATCTCTCCGAGTCAGTTAGCTACTCCAGTGGTCTATAAAGTTGTATGTTGTGTGATACCCATGGATTCGATTCGATTGTCCCAACTGCTTGTTCTCACATTCAACCCACATTTCATTTTGGACCATGCTCAGTCACAGTCACGTTTGTCACATAACAAAATACCACCACCATAGTCTTCAAGAGGAACAGTCGAAGGAGGCATTCCAACAATGCGCCCCGAAACCTACAGAGCCTCACGTCAACATGATGCTGGAACCAAAGTCTAATTTAAACTGGCGAAATATAACTGCTGCGGTGGAACCGAAGTTACAGGCACTAAAATAAGCCTGTTGCGGCTGGTATTCATTGGAGCCTCTTACACAAGATTCTGACCTCTCTTTCCCACTCCCTTCGAAGAGAGCCTGTTGCTCGTTTCTTACAATGTCCTATAGCTACGGCGCCGTCACTCGGCGACGATACGTCATTGTCATTGTTGTTATTGTGCGTTCTTTGCGTCTCTTATTCTACTCACTAAGCCACAGACTAGATCTCCTTGCTCTACCTCACAGAAAGGTCTATACGAGACGATCCTCCTCCAATTCCATCGACAGCTGCACCGTCTCGGAGCACAATATCCTTGCCTCATAGGATCAGTTCCGCGTCTTCGCCCACATCTTCACCCACAAGCTATCCAGAAACCGGTCCATGTGCTGCTCGACCACGAGTAAATGCTACACTTTTGATGCTTGCACGCAATAGTGACCTACTCGGTGCACTATCTAGCGTCTCCCAACTTGAAGAGAGATTCAACAAACACTGCAACTATCCTTGGGTCTTCTTGAACGACGAGCCGTTCACAGACGAATTCAAGTCGTGCGCTACATTATATCGCGCCTCACTACCCTTATATATCACGTGAACCAGCGAGATGTCGAAGATTACCAATGGCTCTTTGTCGTTTGGTCTCGTGAGCAGCGAAACCTGGCTCCAGCCAGACTGGATCGACGAAACATTGGCCAAGGCTGGACGCGAGAAAATGGTTGCGCAAGACATTATCTACGCTGATAGCGTCCCGTAGGCATCTACCTCTCATCTATTAGGTCGACTGACATCCTTTTCAAGCTATCGCAACATGTGCAGGTGTGTCCCACATGAAAACGACTTTGCTCGAGCGTTGAGCTTCCCGTCAGATTCAACTCTGGTGTGCGCAGCTCTGTTTTCGCTTCCCATTTGGTTGTAGATTCGATCCGTTCTAGTTCTTTTTCAAGCACCCACTAGTTCTTCCATACCGATACTATTGGCGGTGGGCCTAGCTCCAACTCTTCTCGCTCAAACTTGACAATGACGCTCTGGACAGAGTCGAGTGCGCATTCGTTAGCCAACGGTTATCTGGTGGCTGAATCTGACCAGACCGGAAATTGAGTATTTTTGTGACATAACCAATGACCCATTCAATTATATGGTCGAGAACCATAAAATATATGGTGCGTGCCATTGAGAATCAAATAGACGGGAGACTAACTACGTAGGCCTGTAGGCTTCACCATATCATTCTATGAGTGGGAGCCAACAATTCCTACCCTTTGGAGCGCCGTGAAAGGCTTGTCAACCTTGCTCACGGAGACGCATCCTTAACCGCGGCATTAGAGTTCATTGCAAAATATCCACAATACGTCGCTGACGACAATTCTATGGCGTACTTGTCAGACGATGGAGGCCAGACATATAACCTTTGCCATTGTAGGCCGTTCTATCTTCCTAACCTAGCGGCCGGTTAATTTGATTCGCCAATAGTTTGGAGCAACTTTGAGATTGCCGACATGGACTTTTGGCGTGGGCGTGCCTATCAAGCATTCTTCGACTTTCTGGAGGCTAAGGGCGGTTTCTACTACGAGCGCTGGGGAGACGCGCCTGGTTAGTAATTTCTCTGAAATTCGACTGTAACTTAGCTTCGTAGTCCACAGTATCGCGGTCGCTCTGTTTGCGCCGAAAGCACAGCTCCATTTTTTCCAAGATATTGGGTACCGACATAGCCCGTTTCAGGTTGGTTGTGATATTCTTCTTGATTATAATCCTGAGCGGTTGCCTGTTTGCAGCATTGCCCACAAGGACCGGAATGGGAATCCAACGGGTGTGGATGTGACCCGACAGACACATTGGGTGAATATTTCCCTGTCCCAGTTTGTTTTAGCCTTGATCATAGTGCCACAGACTACCGAGAACAGTCTTGCATACCAAGGTTCCAGCGCCTATTTTCTTGACTCATGGGCGCTGAGGCTTGTAGTATCAACAGTAGAGAAGTAATTGTACTCAGACGAATTGTGTGCGTAGTGGCGGCAGCTACTTGCTTACTAGTACCGAAAGTGATGACGATCGAATCTCAGTTCTTCGGTGTTAGCTCCGAGTCCCGACACCATCTTTATGTTACGCCACACTACGTACCCAACCAACAATAGTCCTCGTGTTGCCCGCAAGGCTCTGTTTTGGCAGCGCGAGCGTCGTGGCAACAATAAATATTAATCCCCTTTAGTTTCGAATGATCCAGCAACATACGATTCTTCTTTTTTTCTTTTCTCTCTCTCCTTGACTTTCCCCACGCAGTTTTCGTTCATTCTCTGTGGCTTTTGGTTCTCTGCTCTCTTCCACTGGACTGTCTTGTATGTCAGTGGACTTGGCGGTGTCCAGGTGCGTTTGTTACCGGATGTCGTGACGGACACCATCTCATCATTTCTGGCAGTCGCAATGGTCAGCGGTCCCCGTCGTCGTATATGCATGTCCTAGTCCCAAGCGACAGCATTCACCCCTACGAGGTTATTGCAGAGGACACATTCGATGGGTTGCCACCCATTTCGTGCTTGGAGCACCAACTTATGGAGGAGGCAGAGGCAGAACTCGAGGGAGAGGAGAATGACGACAATGACGACGAGGATACAGACGCTGAACAGGAGGCAGAGCGCCCGCCAGCCAAGCGACGGAGCCCGGAATTGTGTAGTCAGCGGAAACTTGTTGATGGGGAAGATGAGCAGTTATCCGAACCTACAACCTGCAAGCGAGCGGAATATGAGCGCAAAGATGACGACGACGACGACGACGATATAGAGTTACACCCACCCCTGAAGAGGTCAAGATTCGAAGATTTCTCGGAAGAGTCTGGCTTTGGGGTTCTCCACAACTGCAACGGTACGCTGGAGAACAAAGAGGTGAGTGATGTTGAATGGTTTTTTTTTTTTCTGCGGCTGATAACGTTCACAGCATCCCAAGGGCGTATTTGCATGCAAAGGATGCTCAATAACCTTCGGCCGCGGGTCAGACCTTGAGCGTCACTGGCGGTCTATCCATCTACAGAAGACATGGAAGTGTCTTGCTCCAGAGTGTGGGAGTAGGGAAGAGTTTTCCAGGAAGGATTCGTTGTTTCGCCACATTTCAGTTGCACACAAAGAAGATAGCGAGCGGTTAAAGGCATTGTACAGGCGAAGGGAGGCAAGCGCCAGTTCTGGTTGATTAGATAACAATTGTTGTACATTTTGTAGCGATTAGATAGTGGCGCGTTGAATCGGTTCAAGTTGAAGTTGAAGTTCGTTGAAAGAGGGTGTGACTGCGTGTGACGTAGCTCCAATTGTTCAAGTTAGTTCAGGATAGATAATGATTGGAGGTAAGCCGACAAGCGGCGTAGCACAAACTGATTGTAGACTGAAGTCAAACTGAGAGTTTGTAGAGAACAAGCTGAAGGCTGCAAGCCCACTTATTTATGAAATTCTCCAAAAAAAATAAAAAATTTCTGAAATTTATAACCATGCTTGGAATGCCTAAAGACTCTGAATCAAATGTAGATAGCACAGGTTTTAACCCTGACTTCAAGACAGACTATTCATATTTTATCTAGCATACTGCTATGTACTGTTAGCTATAAGTTTATCGCCAGAAAAGCGGCCGGCCCGACAGATCCGGTTTGACGTGAGAGCCATCAGTGTTACAGGGGTCGTGACAATCATTCTCATTCTCGACGGTCCATTAGCACAAACTTAAATCAGTTTGTGAATGATACGACATCGCCTCCCTGTCCTCACTCATCAACCTTGCATACTCCAGAATTAACCTATAAAAATGTGCAACCATGTCCTCTCTCCTCCAAAACCTCCTGCTCCACGCTCGCCCCTGTTCGGCAATCTTGCGCGCCAGGTCTTCGTGTGCTCCGACTCCACTGGAATCTCCGCGAAAAAATATGACAGCGTCATGGAGGTCGTTAAGATCTAGTTGGATAGGAATGTAGTGAACCCATGGCTGAACACGGTCAAGCCACCATTCAGGATATAAGGACGCCTTGAACACGAGCGCGTTAGAGGTTATCAATCGCTTGAACCGCCCCGACCAGCCATTCCCGTCAACCTATAGAGGAGGATAATGGTCAACTCGAAGACCTGTTTGGGAAAGTCTTACATCTAATACATATCGATACTCGCCAGCATCCTTGGCCGACTGCCGTTTTCGCCACGGGAATAACTTTTGTAGGAGTTCACAAGTCTGCTTGTCGCACATGATTGGGTCGCCCGCAAATGCAACGTCGAATATCCCCGGGTTCACTCTTGCGCTTCTAATCTGGACTGGCTGTCCAACGGGATCCGTGGGGCTGTTACTGGGACCGAGAATAGAAATTGATCCGCGAATGTTGTTGGTGAGTTGCATCAATAATGCGCGTTGGGATGTTCTCCAGCGCGTCTTCTGGGAGTGGAATATGCCTGTGTTGCTACCGCGCCAGAGGACACGCTCGTCTGGTCTATCTTGCCAGTCTGGATTATCTCCGTGAGAAAGGTCGTCCACCCAGCCATAAGGAGTAGGAAAGCGGATATTGTGGTGTAGATGCGAGGAGCAATACGAAAATTCTGGAACTAATTCCCGCTGAGGGGTGGGGCCTTTATCGTACGAGAGCAATTGGCCGTGTCGCCAGAAGTGGCGAGGGTGCAGACCTTCCAGATCAAATTAGAGACAGAATCGCATCCCATAACGAGCTCACATGGATCCATAGCAAGCTTGTGGTCATGAATGAATGTCTTCTTGGAATTGGGAGGTGGTGGCTCAGACGCTTCGTCAATAGAAAAGTCGCGGGCAGGGGACCCAGGCGAGCAGGCTGATATCCAACCAGTTGGGTCAATGTTTGGTAGCTGGTTTCGACGAACATCTTCAGACAAAATATTAGCGTCAGACTGCTAAAAGAATGGGCGCCGGAGTACATTTATTCTGTCTGGCAGCCCTCCTTGCAGCCTCTTCTACGAAATAATCGGAGAGTCGGTTTGGGCTGTCGTGTGGGGAAAACACGGCTCGGAACGGGGGAAGGCGATCCTCGACGTCCCGCAAGAGATCAACGACTGCGACAGAGCCCTTGATGAGCTGGTCGTATTTTCCTGGTGCAAACGACGTATTGACAACGTGAACTCCGGTTGTCGCGCTCTTTCCAACAGTGTACGAGTCAATCTTAGCCTCGAGTTCGGAGCGAATTGCAAGGAAATCTTTTGGCTCAAGCCCCCAGAAAGGCTCAAGGTCATCGTTTATCTGGTCGTATTCGTCTGGGAGCTCAACAGCGTGTTCACGAACGTAATCCCACCTATCCATCAATAAGCAGACATTTTAGATAGTTATTCTGCACTTGCCATTCGTCGAATCCCTTTGGTGGCGCACGGCCATACCGCCTGCGATATTCTGCTACTGCTTGTGTGAAGGTCGTGCTCGCACGTGCAAGTTTTCCTTTCCATTCTGCCTCCGCCTTCTGGATAAGCTCGTATATCGGATGAGGAGCGGCTGGGTCGACAATTTCCACCAGACCATTGACGAGAAAAACGTGTTCAGGTTGCTTCAGAGTAACATTGTTTGCTGGTTCAGATTTTGTTGGAACAGCATCGAGTTCCACGTCATCGATATCTGTGCCAGTCAACACCCGAGGGTCCAAGTAGAGGAGTGAAAACACTGCAGCTAAGGCTAACAGCAGGATACGGAGAGCGCGTTCCCTCCTCATGAGCCTGAGAGCGCCACAAGAAGTCCCAGGCTAAGGCATGACTGACGCCAACACATCTATAGGTAGCTGCCGAGACGCGTCCGAGGAAGAAATGTCATGGAGTGGTCGTTCCCTTGAGTGATACCTAAGAAATTGAGAGGGTTGGTAGGCTCTATACCAGCGGCCCAAGCTTGAAGCCGTTCTTTTTTATTTTGAAGCTTTCATTACCGTGACGGGTGTGACCGGAGATCAACAATTTGCTTGACCCGCTATAGCCCGCTATATATATAATTTTTATCGTTGCGTCAGAGTGGGTCTCGACTCAACCATGTCCTTCGTTCGCAGTCAAGGTGGTTGCTCTCGACCACTATCTCTTCTACTCTACCATTGAACATTCATAAAGCTGTGCTCAGGCAATCGCGGCCTCTAGTTCCTTTCTCGCGCGTCAGGCCTCTTCCAACCCTCCGTCATTTGTCCGCGACAGACTCAGCAAGTCCACTGACTCCCATATTTAAGCCTATCTTACGCACCTTAGGATGTTACTCCTCCGCCGCCCCCCAAGAAATCGCGATTCAAGTCTGCTGTCACGATCGCCAACAGGACTTTTTGGCTTGCACTACTGGCTGGAGCGGGATCGTTCTATTATGTGACCAAGGCACGTAAAAAAAGCTTTCAGCGCGTCCACAAAGCGAATATTGTGTAGAAAGACCGCAATCCGGGCCCGCAGCTTCCTCATGAAGCCGGCAAGAAAAATATTGTCGTTCTCGGGTCTGGCTGGGGTGCCACTGCATTTCTGAATGCGCTGGATACCACAGAATACAACGTTGTAGGTTTGGGAGCGCCTGTGATAATACCTAGCTTATCCTCGCAAGACTGTCATTAGCCCAAGGAACTGTGCGCGCGTTCCGTGTGCCATCACACCTGATTATTCTAACCTCAAGCAGACTTCCTTTTCACGCCTCTATTGCCAAGTGTAGCCGTCGGGACACTGAGTACCCGGTCCATTCTCCAGCCTACACGCTATGTTACGCGACACAAGACTCGTAATGTTAAGGTCATCGAGGCGGAAGCCCAATCAGTCGACGTAAAGTCCTTCTATCTCCAGGAGGTTACTGCCCAATTCAATTTTCTAATAAGGTTGCGAACAAGACTGTTTCTTTCATCGACAACTCCGACATCCAAGGCTCGGTATCTTCGACCACCCTTCCCTACGACTATTTGGTGTACGCTGTCGGTGCAGAGACACAAACCTTTGGAATTCCAGGTGTCCAGGAACACGCTTGCTTCATGAAAGAATTGAACGATGCTGAGAAGGTTCGTCCAAACCTCGATACACACGTTATAAGCTAATTCCGCAGTTCCAACGTCGTTTCTTAGACTGTCCGTGTCTCACTTTGAATATCCTTATACGCTCTAACACTTCCTAGGCCTTGAATCTGCTGCTTTTCCAGGCCAATCTGAGGAAGAAATCGATCGGCTACTCCATATGGTACCTCATTTTTATATCCTCATTCCCCAAAATGACTCTATTTCAGGTTGTGGTTGGCGGTGGCCCGACTGGAGTCGAGTTGAGGTACGCAACTTGGCGATTCACGATTATAACTTATTCTCGCGCGTTAGCGGAGAGCTTCACGACTTCCTTGAGGTTTAATCCCAGCCTTTGGTACTACTATTACTCATCGTGCTGCAGGAAGACCTCAAATCATGGTACCCAGAGTTAGCCGGTCGCATCAAGATCACTCTTGTCGAAGCTCTTCCCTCCGTGCTACCAATGTTCAGCAAACGCTTGATTGACTACACCATGTCGACCTTCAAGGAGAGCAAAATTGACATCATGACACAAACCATGGTGAAGGAAATCAAGGAGCGGAGCGTAACGCTGGCCATGCCGGATAAGAGCATTTCTGAAATGCCGTGCGGGATGGTAGTCTGGGCCGCCGTCAGTTCTTCGCTGTGGGGTTGAAAATTCAGTCTGATACTAAGTAGGGTAATCGCAACCGCAAGATCACGCAGGACTTGATGGCCCAGTTGCCAGCCGACCAGACAAATAAACGCGGCATTACTATTGATGGTGAGGCATTTTCTAACTCTTTTTGAGATTTGTATGACTATTTTCAAGAGAGTATGCAAATGAAGGGAACCAATGGATCCATCTTTGCGTTGGGCGATTGTACAGCATCATCACATGCACCTACTGCTCAAGTAGCGTCGCAACAAGGCGCTTATCTGGCTCGCGCCTTCGCTCAACGGGCTAAGCGTGATGCTCTGCAAACGCAGGTCACAGATTTGGAGAACACCCTCGCTATGACGTTACACGACGATACCCAGAAACAAGTCAAAGAAGAGGCGGAGTCAGCTAGAAGAGCTTTAGCTAAATTCAAGATCAGACCCTTCACCTACTCGCACCAGGGCACATTGGCATACATAGGTTCTGACAAGGCTATCGCCGACCTCCCTCTCCTGAACGGAAGTGTAAGCGCCTTTCGCTTTTGCCTGTGCATTTAAGTTACCTGATACTCTGCAGCTAGCTTCTGGCGGAGTTTTGACATATTACTTTTGGAGAAGCGCGTATCTGAGTACATTGTTCTCTTTGCGGAATCGCACCCTCGTCGCTACGGACTGGGTGCGTACTAAGATTTTTGGACGGTATGTTACCGATTAGGATCTGTTTTGTGTCAATCTGACTCTGAAATAGTGATGTGAGCCGAGAGTGGTGAAGTTTCTGGATTGATGCAACACTTTAGACATAGACTATCGTAGTAGAGGGCATAATTTGAACGTATATCGCTGAGTTGGAGTCTATCTATTTTTAGGTCGTGGTGTGGCCATCATGCTTCTTTGTTGGTCGGCCCACTCCACAGATCACCACAGATCATTGTTATGGTTGAGTGTACCTTGTCCCTGCTTCCTCCATTCCGACCCATTGTCCCTCTTTCCTCCCCTCCGCCCTCATGTTTTCTCGCAGCTTTTACGCTCTCTTCGCCACCCTGCTCATCATAACCACTTCTGCAGCTGAACACGCTCATCAGTGGTCTCGCCGCTCCCATCACGCTATTGCTAGGTCTCAAGTCCAAGTTGGGGTTGCCGTCCACTCTCCAAGGCAAAACACCCGCAAGAAATGTCGGGCCCCATCAAATCCGGGCTCGGTTGGCCTGGCAAGTGGGACTGACGTCCTTGTTACCCCCACATCTCTGTCTGCCAGACCAACGTTGACCAAATCAACGAAGCATACGACCAAAACTTCAACCTCTTTAGAGTCGTCGCACTCAGGTAGCTCAAGTGGGAGTGGTGGATCAGGGGGAGGGGGAGGAGCCCTCTCGTTGAACGCGCTATTTCCCATTGGCACGGGATCCAAGTCGTGGACAACATCTCCCAAATCATCGAATGCCATGTCTCTGTCCGACAGCACGCTCAACCCGACAAAGCTTCTCAGCGCACTGAGGTTTGTACTGTCAAGCGTCGTTCCAGGAATTCTTATCATCGTCAGTCACACCTTTATGAAGGCTCCTGACGGTAAAACAGCAATGAGAGCCATCTACCCCGAGGGTTCATGGACATACAACCACTCTCCACAAGGCGGACTAAGCTTTTATGCCCCAGGACCCCGCCAACTCGATGTCACAACTGCCAAAGAGCTTACATTTGGTTACTCGGTCTTCTTCCAAGATGGCTTCGAGTTCAACAGTCCGTCCACGCTTCTTTACTGTCTAAATCCAGCTAAATGTCCGTCTTCTGTAGTGGGTGGCAAACTTCCCGGTCTTTGTTAGTTTTGCATCCATCAACTTGTGCAGCTGCTGATATGTTTAGATGGTGGAAACAGTGCCGAGGATTCTGTTAGCTGCTCTGGTGGTCGTCGCTCGACTGCGTGCTACTCGGCTCGCCTCATGTGGCGCACGGATGGTGCGTTCTTGGCTACTTTTGGTCAATATTTGTCAATGTTTACGAAGGCATGGGCGAGGTTTACACATACCTCCCGGACTACGAAGTTGGTGGGTTTTCAGCCAACAAGGCTGTCTGCAATGTTGCGCCATTTTCGGAATGCAACCCTACCTACGGTGCCAGCGTTGGGTTAGTGGAAGTTTTACTCGGGTCTAAGTATGTTGTTCTAATCTCCCGCAACTAGGCGTGGCTCCTTCCACTTCGCCACTGGAGCATGGACCACTGTATCCCAACGGGTTCGGCTGAACGACGTTGGCAAAGCAAATGGAGAAATCCAGCTCTGGGTCAATGGCAAGAGCGTGGTCAATGTCAACGGTCTTATCCTCCGTGATAGCAGCGCTGGGAGACACCGCGGAATCCAGATGCAGACTTTTTTTGGTATCTTCACTCCGTGTTCCCCAGTTTTGTCGATATTGACAATTTGTCTCTCAGGTGGCAGCACGTCCGACTGGGCATCTCCCAAGACACAGTGAGTGCTATTGACACCAACTTAGTCTGTATACTCATTTTGGTAGGGATGCTTACTTTTCCGACTTCTCCATGGCCATCACTGAAACGCTATAAACCTCACCTTCGCCGGCAACCACTTTGCCCTCTCTGGACGACACACTCATAATCACGACACGTACTCACGCCGTCGCTCACTAAGCATACACTTTCTCTCCTTGCAACTGTCTTTTCCTGCTATCGCTGCATGCTTTCTCATCTTCTGCACCATATACGCATATGCATTTACCCACTAGTTGGGCAGGACGCCTCCATTCTATTCGCACTGAACTAGACTGCTGATTTGACGATGACTCGCTGGACGATAGTCGAGCTGGGGTGGTCTAGGTTGGTGGTGCGCTGGTTTGATAGTACTAGATCCAGCTACATCGTTGACATAGAGTACGAACTGAGAATCTACTTACAATAATCTGTGATAATTTCTTCGTCAACAGGCTCGTGACTGTAGCGTGATCGAGCCGGAGCGCGAGCATGTGACTCGCATGTTTGGTTGACGACGCCCACGTTCTCCTCTCTCTCGTCGAGTCTCTGTCCATACTCCCTCCTTGATACGCCATCTGATATGGCCACGTTTACCAACCTCCTAAATACGCTACAATCTGCATTATCATCCGAACTCCAACTTTTGCCTACCCTCAATGCACAACTCGGGCGGCCAGCCGCGCTGGAAGACGATATCAGCTCTCTACAGGATCAATTGGTCCGGTGTGTTGAAGCTTGTGTTGAAGAGCGCCGCAAAGAGGTTGACAATTGGATGGGCAAATGCGAATTAGTCGAACAACAGTGCGTTAACTACACCAAGGCCCTCGGTGGCAATATCAAGGCGACTGGGTCGAGCCTGGGTGAGCTCCGCAAGCAACAAGTCCTACCCGTCCGCTACGATATGGTCTCCGAGTACCAAGAGAAACTTAGACAGGTGTGTATTCCGAACCTCAGGTGGCAAAGCCAAATCTCATTCCTCGTAGCTTTATCACACCAAACTCGAACAACTCACCTCTCTTTGCAACCGACTCAGCACATTAACCCGCACACTTGGCGCCAGCTTCTACACCGACATCATTGACGAGGGGGAATATCGAGATGTTTCCCCAGAGCGTTTCTCAAGATTGGAGAAGGAACTTGTTCGTGGGAAGGCTGAAGTGGTCCGCCATTTATTTGTTCTATTCTTCAAAGTACTTATGCACGCGTATAGACAAAACGACTTGCCCATTTAGGAGAGACATTCGTTCAAATCGACTGGCTTTACACCGAACTTGGCATGGTCGTCCCTGACCTTCCTGATGAAGACGAGGACGAACCCGCCACGGGCTCTCGTTCTCGTAGTAGCAGTGGAAGCGACCCTTTTCATACACCCAGCGCAACTGATGCCAGCCGCTATCGTCTTCTTGCTGAATTTATCGAGCAAAGTAACTCGCTCCCTGAAGATTCTCCCCCGCGTCTGGAAGTCGAGCCTACTCATGAACTAATCACATGGGCTATGGATCTCCGCGCCTCTCTGGAAGACATGAAGCGCCGCAGAGAAACACACATCCAAGCAATGTACGATCAGCTCGAAGGTCTCTGGCGAAGACTTGGTGTTGCTGATGCCGACATGGATGCCTTTGTGGAGGCCCATCGTGGCAGCACTGATGAAACTGTTGCCGAGTACGAAGAAGAGTTAGAGCGAATGCTTGAGCTCAAGCGGGAAAGAATGGGAACATTTGTGCAAAGTGCTAGAGAGGAAATCGCCAAACTATGGGATGAATTGATGGTTGGAGATGAAGAGCGGAAAGATTGGTTCCCATTCTTCGATGGTATGCACCTTGGTATACATAGTTGGGAATTTGGCTTATTCATTGCTAGACGAGCATACCGAAGACTTATTGACGACTCACGAGGACGAAATCAAGCGTCTCAAAGAGGAGAAACGCGTTAAAGCACCACTGTTGGCGAGCATCAAGCGATATTTCGATATATGCGAGGAAGAAAAGGAACTTGCTGCAGCTGCATCTGACCAAACGCGTCTGCTAGGACGTGGACCTCGTGACCCAGGACGTTTGCTGCGTGAAGAGAAGATGCGAAAGCGTGTCTCCAAAGAAAAGCCTAGAGTGAGTCTCATATTGCCATCCAACAAGACTGCGAGTAACAACCAAATTTAGCTTGAACAAGACCTCCTAACAACTATACCCGCTTGGGAACAAGACACAGGCCGCCCATTCCTTGTTCACGGCCAAAGCATTCTGCAGCTTCTTCTGGAGACTGTGGGTGGGGCTGAACAAGAAAACCTTGGTCCACAAGGGGCAAAACGCAAGCCATCGCCAGCTGGTCGTGCGACCAGTGTCCCTCCACGTGCAACAACGCCAACCCAGTCTTATGCACCAAAGACTGGTACTGTCACTCCTGCCGTTCGTCCGATGCCTGCGACGAGCAACTCGTTACCTAACAAGCGGGCACGAACCGAAACAACCCCAAATTATGGTGTCAGCAAGCCTGCACCATTGGGAACTCACAGAGGCAATAATGGCGTCCAACGCAGCGCATCGCCATCTAAGATACCTGGTCCTCTGAGTCGTATGCCCATAACTAAACCTCCCATGCTTGGACTGCCTCGACCTGCCCAAGCTCAACACCAAGCTCTAGGTCACGGGCGAGGGCCGACAGTTGGCTACAGTGGAATCCGAAGTGCGTCATTGTCCATTTCGACCTCGACGTCAAGCAGTATTTCAACTGGTCGATATGCAAGCGGCGGGGCGCTTGTGGCGCAGCACAGTGCAAATACCCTCGCTGTCAAAGCTGCCAGAGCAAGACGGGAGAGTTTCAAGCCCAGAGCAAGTGTTGATGCAGAGGCTCAACGCGATATCGGTTTGTCACATGTTCGTTGGGGGCTTGAGGGTGCTGTGAAGGAAGAAGACGAGGACTACTAAGGTTTTATTCTTGTCCAATTGTATGTCAGTGTACTCTATCTACATTCATATCAAGCGCTGGATCACTGCACGTTGGAGGGTAAACTCATTCAATTCAGTCATTCCACGCCCTTTCTGTACTTGATGTCTGACGAGCTTCAACCAAGTGTGAAAGGTGAATTTCAGTTGTGCAATTCCAGGATGATCTGAATCAACTGAACGCTGTGACAAGCCGACGGACGAGTTGACCTTGATTTCGATTCGAAGCTTGCCAGAACTCTCACAGAGATTCTCCCTTCCCCAAAAGATGTTCCTTCTTCTAGTTCACCGCCGCCACGCAACTGGCATATCCCGCTCAATATCGTCATCCAAGTAGTTGGCAGTCGAGGGGACGTTCAGCCATTCATCGCACTCGGAAACGAGCTCCAAAAACATGGACATCGTGTCAGGCTTGCAACTCACGATGTTTTTGAAGAGTTTGTTCGAGACTCTGGCCTGGAATTCTACCCAATTGGCGGTGACCCTGCTGAACTCATGGCGTACATGGTAAAAAACCCAGGTCTGATACCGAGCATGAAGAGTCTGCGACAAGGAGACATCCAGCGCAAGCGAGCTATGGTGGCGGAGATGCTAGACGGTTGCTGGCGGAGTTGCATTGAGCCAGATTCCTTCTCTCAGACCCCATTCGTCGCTGAAGCCATCATCGCCAACCCACCAAGTTTCGCTCACATCCATTGTGCTCAAGCACTTGGCATACCCCTTCATCTCATGTTTACGATGCCGTGGAGCAGCACCCGTGCCTTTCCTCATCCACTCGCAAACCTCAAGTACTCTAATCTGGACCCAGAACGAGCGAATTGGTTTTCCTATGGATTAGTGGAATTTTTGACTTGGCAAGGGTCAAGATGCCTTGCACCACTTTGAGTTATTTTCTGACTGACCTTCACACAGACTCGGCGACACTATCAATAAATGGCGAAGCTCCCTCGACTTGCAACCTGTGCCCCTCTCTGAAGGCCCGTCTCTGGCAGAAACTCTTCAAATACCATTCACCTACTGTTGGTCTCCAGCATTGGTCCCCAAGCCGGCAGATTGGTCATCTCATATCGATATTTGCGGTTTTTTCTTTCGCGAGCCGCCTGCTTACACTCCGCCTCCTGACCTTGACGCCTTCCTTGCTGCCGGTCCGCCACCGGTCTATATCGGCTTTGGAAGCATTGTCATTGATAACCCACAACGGATGAATGACATTTTGGTTCAGGCAGTCCGGGCGGCTGGAGTTCGAGCCATCATTTCTCGTGGCTGGAGTAAACTCGAAGGACCACCATCTGAAGATGTTTTTTATCTTGGCGATTGCCCCCACGAGTGGTTATTCCAGCGTGTTTCCGTGGTAGTGCATCACGGAGGTGCTGGTACCACGGCATGTGGTCTGCTCAACGCGAAGCCAACTGTTATCGTTCCTTTCTTCGGCGAGTGAGTCCTGTTGTACTGTATTCCCCACTAGACCTTGACTCTTTTCAGCCAACCATTCTGGGGCAACATGGTTGCCGCGGCTCATGCAGGACCGGTTCCGATCCCACACCAAGCTCTTGATGTCGATATCCTTGCTAAAGCAATCACTGTCTGTCTGACGGACGAGGCAGCCACAGCAGCCTGCATAATTGCCGAAAAGATGAAGTCAGAGTCTGGTGTTAGAGCGGCCGTTTCTGCATTCCATGCCAATCTCCCCATTGAAGCTATGCAATGCGAGATATTGCCCAATCGACCCGCGGCTTGGAGAATCAAAGCCGGATCACAGAAACGCAAAATTCGGTTGTCTAAACTTGCAGCTGAGCTGCTGGTGCAGAACTCGTGCTTTGACCGGCAGGCCATCAAATTGTGCGTGTGGCTTTTTATCCCCTCTATTCGTTTCACAAGCCCCGCAGACATGAAACTAACCGATTCCGCATCGAAAACCGGCGCTGGGGACCCCTCACAGGAAGCAACTCTGCCGCTATTGGAACCCTTGCAGACATGGCTGACGCCACCATTGGGGTAGTCTCGAAGCCATACGAAGAGTTTAAAGGCACCACAGAGGGATTGACCTCCCGTGCTGGTACCTCGACATCATCGTCTATTCTATCCAAGTCAACCTCATCGAGCGATAAGAGTGCAGGCTCTAGCAAAACACGAGATCCTTTTCGGACCGCAGAAGCCATGGCTACCCAATCCGGAAGGAGCCTCGGAAAGGTCGCCACAACAGCTGTTCGGGGGACTATCGTCGACATTCCCATGGCATTTGCCGAGGGTATGCATAACCTCCCGAGGTTATACGGCGACGAAGTCAAAGATCACGGCGAGATCAGTGGTTGGAAGAGTGGCTTGAAAGTTGCTGGCGAGACTTTTGTTGGGGATTTGACGGATGGTATCTCCGGTCTTGTTGTTCAACCATATAAAGGAGCCAAAGAGGAAGGCGTACTTGGTTTAGCGAAAGGGGTGGGCAAGGGCGTTGCCGGGTTGGTGACCAAGCCTGTTTCTGCTGGGCTTGCGCTTTTGGTATACCCTAGGCAAGGCATTTACGCGAGCCTTCGAACTGCTTCCCACCAAAAAACTCGGAATACCATCACCAAATCAACCATATTTGAAGGGGAATGGCTGGCGAAGACGGACCACCAGGTTGATATGGCCACATTGACGACCAAGTATCATGACCTTGTGGACTGTACCACATAGATATACTCAGCTGTTTACTCTAATGCAAGTGAGTTCATGATAGCTTCGAGTCCCTCATTCCCGCCTAGTCTCGCCACTTCTGCCCGCATTTGTTTTCCAAGGGACGCCAATACCGAACGAGTATATTCGAAGGACTTGGTGTGAACTTCGAGATACGATATTGCATGACTCTTCAGTGTTGGTGTCTTGGGTCGCTTTTGAAGGGTATCTGGGTAGACCTTTAGTTGCAACAAACCGATGAAAGCAGGTAGCGCACTCAGCAGTTGTCTATTGGATTTGTCTGCTTGAATGCCATGAACGACAGGGAATGAAAATTTGCCCTCGGTGAGGTCCTCCGCGAAACCTTTATTTGATGTATACTGCGGGGTAATTAGGCGTAGTTGAAAGTGATGTTTTTTGAGTTGCACCTCTTTACTTTGCAGGTTCATGTAGTCGTCTCGGATCTGGAAGTAGACACCGATAAGATTGACCAGAGGAACGTAGTCCCTATTAGCTGTGAGAAAAGGGTCGGTTTCTCGACTAACACGCACAAGTCCAGGTTGGTTGTACCACAAGCCATCAGTAGCTTGATACCGATACGAAGGAGACCGCCCGTCTCTGCCAAAAAAGGATATTATGAGTCTTCAACCGACACATTGAACCACTCGCTGTCGTTGACCATATCGATGTACTGCTCTTCTGTCGGGCAAGTAAGAGAGTCACGCCAAAGGAGTTCCAACCCTTGGCCGCGATGGAGAGAAAGCAGCTCTGCTATTATTCATAGTCAACCCGCACTGGCCAACACAATTTTGCCACCAACATGTTATGATCCCGATGAGCTCTGTCTGCGTAGGACTCGAGTCTGGTCCGGAGAGCGTCAACAGTTCCTGGTACGCGAGGAAGTAAATATAGTTGGCGGTATTGATGGTTTGTGGGATTCCGTAGATCTTGTGGGTCACTAGGATGGACTCTTAGATTGCTGCTGTCGGTTAGCAAATTTGCTCTTCACCTGGCTGGCCTCGTCTCAGCTGGGAATCGTCTTCGATATCGTCGATCCTAGACGAGGATGAGTCATAGATTGTTGCAGAACTCCAACACGAACATGAGGCTGGCATTATGCAGCATACTAACGACCTTTGCGATCTGCTTCAGCTTTGGTTGGGGGACATTGATCCAAGTATTAAATGCCGCCATGAGCTTGCTTCGAAAGTCCTTTCCTGGATTCGCGGTGATATAGGTGTAGGGCTCTAGCACACTCTGCGCCGCATAGTTGAGCTGTTGTTGGCTGAGAATAGTAGCAAATTTACCGATTCATCTTGCGAAGACCAAGACGAGGGCCCAGCGAGACGCGAGAGGATGTCACCGTAAGCAACAGACATTTGTTATAGTGTACTGCACGGATGACGAGTCTTCATTGGAGATGATGGACGGAAGCAAAGCGTTTAGACGGGCTTGACAAACTGCAAGCACATATAATACAGAGTGTAAAGTGAGTTGGAAAGTGCGACGACGACGACGACGATGTGGTGAGGAAACGACAACAATGGATAAAGTAGAGCGTGTGCCAATTAGGGGGGGGAAGGAGGAAGATGGGGCACGGACGAGTACGGAATGGGTAAATAATTCATAACGGTAGACGAGTTTCTTTCCGGGCTGTCCGTGCACTCCAAGAGATAACAACTGTCTTGGTCTCTACAGTAGGTTTTGACGTCGAGCGGAATTGTGGCCATAAAAAGTGTTACAACGACACGCCTAAGCGGCCATTCCCACAAAACAAGCCAACAATCTGCAAGCCTTTATGAAGTGGCAAGTTGGGCTGTGGGTGGTAGCGCACCTAGACTTTTTTCATCCTTCCACCTGATCCCCCACTCTTGACTAAGCGCCTACTAGCCAAAATCACTCCTCTGACCCTTGTGGTCGATGCTATACGTCAACATAGATCAATATAGGCTCGCCCACGCCTTCGATTTCTGGGATGACGCATTTCAGATCAAAAGCTTTGGCGAGCACAATCTTGAATATCTTCTGCACGTTTATCGACGCCGATGTCGAGCAAAATATCAGCGACGCGTGCATGGCTCGTGCGAATCGTTTCGCCTAGGACATTGGAGTGAAAAGTAAGGGCTAAACTGGCAGACACACACCTGCTTCGTGATTTCTTCTTGTTCATCGCGCGGGAAGGTAGCAAACTGGTCGAACTTGGTTCCGATTAAGAAGGGAATGGCGGTCTGGAAGGGCTCAACAGCTGTTGTACTATTTGGAGTAGACGCACTTTGTTGAACCCTCTCGCTTGTCGATACCACTCTTTCACCGAGTTGAGTGTCGATTTTCGCGAGAGATCAAACATGAACAATATAGCAACGGCATCGTTGCAGACAAGGGGTAACATGTTGACAAATTCTCGTTGACCACCTAGATCCCATATTGAGAAGGTTATGGTCGTCCGCCTGACGGAGATCGTTTTCTCCATGAAATTGACGCCTGTTATGAGTAAGACTAAGAGGTCTAATGACAAGCAGGACACGCACCCAGCGTCTGGATATAGTCCTCATCGAAACTACCCTCGACGTACTTGACCATGAGACTCGTTTTGCCTATCTGCGAGTCTCCGACCATGCCAACCTTGATAACGACACTACAATGCCATCGATGAGGGTGGACGCGTCGTAATAGGGTGGGAACGGACCTGTTCTTCTCGTCGGTATTGTCAAGCGACAAGGGCGCATTTGAGCCACTTGGGCCAGGAGCAGGCGAGGGCGATGTGGAGGCCATGGTAGAGGGGAATTTGGATGGGGATTAGACCACAGGTGGGTGACTGCCGTTAGGGAGCGTGGAGAGGGGGAGGGGAGTAAAGAAATATGAGATGAAGGAAAGAGAGACAGAGAGATAGACGCGGAGCGGCAACGACTGGGCGGCGGCTTGAGCGGTCACCGAGCGACTCTTGGTGTGGTCAGGACCAATCTCACCGCGCAGAAAGGAAGCCCAGCAAAGTGTTACAAAGCGTGACATTCACAATTGCAACCACCTCAACCGAAAAGTCCTTGTGGGCATACTACATTTCTTTTCCACCGACAACGAGCGTCGTATCGAACGAACAGGGTGCCTCATCTCCTAGTCCGGGTTCAGGACATGTCGAGACTTGCCTTCCGGCTTCCGTTGCTTCAAAATAACTGCCAAAAACTGGCTTCTGCCTCCGAAAGTAATAGGATGCTGGGCCAACCAGAGCCCGCTTATTTAAAATGAGCCAAAAGTGAAGCTAATTTTGTTCTGAACGCCCCCTTCAGGCGGATATTGGTCGGCATCTCGCCTCGAAAACTGTTGATGACAACACTCACGCGATCGTTCACTGCGTACGGCCATATATTGCTTCCCTCGCCAACGCGATTTTTCCGAAACCACATGCTGTGTCTTCCCGAGTTGCCTCCGTTTTAAACCTTGCTTGATGACGTTCTCTACTTGAGGTGGAAGCCGACCAACAAGTTTAGGCAACTATATGCTCAGTTGACATAAACCGTCGGCACTTCCTCGCTTTTACGCCAATGTTTAAGATCCAAGGGTCAGAATCTTGTTGCAACTCCTCCGAACATGTTGTTACGCCGGTTCCTGGCCATTCTGCCCTTGGTGGGCTCAGGCGCGTCAATGAACGTCGAGCTTAAAATTCATCTTACCTTCTCTTAGTCCTGTCGCAAGCTGCGGCACCTTATGTCGACTCAGAAAACGGCATATCTTTCTGGGGAATCACCGATGCAGCTCATGGTGTAACATAGTACGCTTTTTCCAGGACTTGCGTCTCCGTGTTCTGACCATATCTCAGTGGTCATGTCTTTCCCCCACTCGCAACCTCTGGAGCACAACCAACGGAGTATATTGGAGAAATAGTTGCGCCTGTGGCAAACAAATGGGTCGGTTTCTCGTACGTGGCCCTCTCCCTACGACATCTATGTCGCTCAATCTTCTGATAGCATGAGTGGAAGCATGATTTCCTCTCTACTTATTGCTGCATGGCCGAACAACGGCAACATTGTTTTCACCACTCGATACGCGACAAGCAATGTCCTTCCCGAGTCCGTCGATCATTTTCAATGAAGACTTGGGCTGACGTCAGCTTGAGTGTGTACACTGGACCTGTTATCACCACTCTTCCCAGCAGTCACGTTAATTCAACGCACTGGAAGTGGGTTTATCGGTGTCAAAACTGCACTAGTTGCGTATATTATGTTCCTGGGAAATTCCGCGTCCCTAATTCGAGGCAGCCTGGAAGAACGGTGGAAGTATCGACGTCAATTCGACGTCCTCCGTTCCCGCATGGTAAGAGGCATGCCTAATTGCCTCATTTACCTGACGCAAGAATAAAGGTGTGCTTCTACCATTGCTGTTGACAATCCAGCGAACCCCGCAACGACTATGGTTCAGCACACTGACTGTAAGTTTGCTCTCGCATCCAAACTTCATTCAAACCTCGTTTAGTCGGCTTCTACTTCTTCCCCTTTGGCACTGCGCATGTTTCAGCTGCTCTTTACAACAACTGGGCTGCGGGAGGCACTGGAGGTACCCTCAATTTACTCCTCTACAATTTCCCCTCAGCTCGTAACAGGCGGCACTGGCGGTGGCTCCTCATCATCGACCACCACTACCAGCGTGGCCCCACCAACACGAACGGTGAGGATTTTCTTTTCTTCGTCTCCATTGGCTTAATTTTCTTTTTCAGGCAACTCCGTAATGATACTCCTTCAAATCTCTTCGTTCTCTGCTCATATGCTTCTTAGTGTGGATTATATCATCGTCGGCAGTGGCCCTGGTTTGTATCATATCACACAACCAACGTTCCTGGTCAGCTCACTCTCCACCAGGCGGTATCATTGCCGCGGATCGCATATCTCAGGCAGGTAAATCGGTACTGCTTCTGGAACGGGGAGGACCAAGTACAGGAGAAACGGGGGGCACATACCAAGCCAAGTAAAGTTCTATCATCATTGCCATAAGACTTTTTCTAACAACCTTTAGCTGGACTAAGGGGACGAATCTCACCAAGTTCGATGTTCCAGGGCTGTTTGAGAGTATGTTCACCGACGCAAACGACTTCTGGTGGTGCAAAGGTACGTGGTAGTTTCAGCTGGTGACCACAATCCTCCCATAGCTGATCTACCACAGACATCACCGTATTTGCTGGTTGTCTTGTGGGTGGAGGAACGTCTGTCAACGGCGCGTGAGTTGTTGGTATTTCTTGAGGAAAATACGATTGATGGCATGCAGACTCTACTGGCTCCCTTCCGACAACGACTTTGCTTTGTCAGCTGGATGGCCTTCCCAATGGACCAACCATCAACAGTATACGTCAATGCTCAAGGCCCGTCTGCCGCCGACAGATGCGCCTTCTACAGACGGCAAACGATATCTTGAACAAGTCTCCACCGTAGTTGCGAATATGCTCATTCCTCAGGGTTATCGCAATGTTACGATCAATGATTCGCCGAATGCCAAAGATCACGTTTACGGTAATTTGGTTGGTCTTTGAATGTCAATGAAAGCTCACAATTGACTAGGCTATGCTGCCTACGATGTTGGGTCCCTCTTGTGCTTATTTTATTAGCTCTCACTTTGCGGTCAGTTCATAGGCGGTCAACGTGGTGGGCCGGTCGCATCGTACCTGCGAACCGCCAAAGCCAGGAAGAACTTCCAGCTCCAAATGTATACGAATGTTTTGAACGTCGTTCGCAACGGGTCACAAATTACTGGCGTCAAAACCAACGACACGAGTGTCAAGGACGGATTCTTCCCTCTGAACCCCAACGTATGTGTCGCTTGTTATTGGTCCTTAATTATACTAAGAGACCCTAGGGTCGTGTAATCCTTTCGGGAGGGACCTTTGGCAGTGCACGCCTTCTTTTCCGAAGCGGAATTGGCCCGACGGTCTGTACCTTCGTGTTACACCGGAGCAAGGACTCATTTCCCTCAGGACATGATCAACCTCGTCAAAAACGATCCTGTTGCTGGACCGAACCTGCCTCCTTCATCGCAGTGGATCAATCTTCCCGTTGGCTACAATGCATGTTCACCCTCCTGTTCCATGTCTTGTTACTAACTCAAAACAGGTCTCAGATAATCCCTCCATCAATGTTTGTCATTTCTTGATTGATCACGGAAATATACTGACTTGGTTGTCAACAGATGGTCTTCACACATCCAACCGTGTTCGTATATGAAACTACCCTCGTTCCTTCATTAACCGTCCTCAAGCGACTCGTACAACAACTGGGCAACGGTGTTCACTGATCCACCAGCAGCCGACGCAGCTCAGTACCTCAAAAACCGCTCAGGCATAATGGCGCAGGCATCGCCACGGTCAATATCTAATGCGCTTTCAATGTAGATGCACTAAAGTTTTCCAGACTCAACTTCTGGAGTGCATTGGGTGGGAGCGACGGCACTACGCGTTGGGTTGGTTGTCGCCTCAATTATTGATAAAGATTCACTGGTTTTCAAGTTGCAAGGCACCGCACGTCCTGGAGCCGCTTCAATCACAACAACCTTACCTTATAACATGAGGCGGGTGATTGCTCGTCTTCTGGCCTACGCTGACCTGCCTACAGTCAAATCTTCACTATAACCGCATATCTGTAGGTGTATTTTCCCCCATCTTGTTTGACATTCTTCAACTTTGATTCCAGCTCAGTCGGAATCAAGTCGCGAGGACGCATTGGAATCAATGCTGCCCTGAACGGCGTGCCTCTCGTGAACCCGTGGCTTAATGATGCAGGCGATAAATCTGCGCTGATCCAAGGACTGAAGAACATCATTTCCACAGTCCCGCAAGTCTCCGGCCTCCAACTTATCATGCCGGACAACACAATGACCATGGAGCAATATGTCGCGGCTTACGACCCTTCGACTATGAATTCAAACCATTGGGTGGGTTCTAATATCATTGGGACTAGTGCTGGACAAGCTGTCGTGGATGTGAACACGAAAGTGTACGTTTATGTCCCATTTCTTTCCATCCTCTGACCCATTTGGTCCAGATTTGGCACGAACAATCTCTTCGTTGTGGATGCCAGCATCATACCAACGTTGTAAGTTGTCAAATATGCCTTATATAGCAAGCAAGTACTGATCCCCTTCTCTCTAGGCCATATGGTACACTCACTCCTATTGTTGCGTTCTAAACTCACATTCATCTCTCAGGGAACCCACATGGACACATCATGAGCGTAGCAGAGCAGGCAGCAGCAAAGATTCTCGCGTTGGCGGGTGGGCCGTGATCCTCATCTCTTATCTCCGCTGTACTATTATTCTTCTATCCTTAATACCTGAGCACTTGGAAATGAACACAAATACGGGAAACTCGTCTATGTGCAAAGGCTGAGTTGGATGGTTACTATTATAGAATGACGTCAAGCTTAACCTGATAAGGATGGCATGGGCGATGAGTAGTCCTATGACGGCATAGAGGTGTCCACACCGAAGGCCAGTTTTGAGAAAAACCATGGGGGTATGTGCTCATATATGAGCATTTTAAGCCGAATGAGTGGTGAAACGAAGAACTGTACTACTCACTGTGAGCGGTCACCGTCGCCAGGCATCACCGCGGCACGTGTGTTTGCCCTCTTTCGCCTGCTTGTTCAACTCGAGTACACAATCGCAATCGACAGTGAACAGCGCTGTGGCCTCCTGTGGTGGCACGGTTGGTGGTCCGGTTAGCACGTGTACTTGTATGTCGCTTCTTTCTACGCTACTCTTTCCGATTATATGCCTCTATAGAATCGTCCTTCTGTTCCTCCAAGCTCGTCCCCCGCACTCCGCTATGGCGGAAGCCAAGCCACTTCCTGCTCTCCCGACACAGGATAATGTCACGACAAACCTCGCTCTCACCACACTTTCGACCGACGCTCGCAGCCACCGTGGACGGCTTATTCACGCTTTGCTCACCGAAGAAGGCATAGAAGGGGAAGAAAGAGATGCTTGGGCCGCTTCGTTGCAGGAAGCTCTCGATGCGTTGAGCGATGGAGTAGCTCGCGGTCGTTGGTTAGCCGGCGTGAAACGAGCCAGGCGACGAACAGAACGAGACAGCGACACACTTTCTCTGTCATCTTCCATTATATCCGTCTCGACGACTTCCACAACTTCGAGTGTAACTCCTGACACTCTTGCTGCTTTACGTGTTGCTATTGCTCAACCGATCGTGCCGAGCCCAGATCCTGAACCACGCCATCTTCTCCTCTGTGTTGGAGGCAGCAGTCGAATACGTGTATTACCTAGCGAAGACAGTGGTTTCAACCTCGTTGCCGCTTCTGTGGGCTGTCAATTTCGCCCAGGCGCGTTTGATCTCCCCGACGATGATTCGGAGGCAAGAGATGCTGTCTTATTTGGATTGGAGGAATGGGATGGTGCGGTGACTAAATATTCCCGTTGCCAGTGATTATTAACGCGACATAGACAACCTCAAGCCCAAACTTGTCGGTGGGACCTTTATATTCAAGGGCGTCACCTCTCCCTCTCAGCATACTGCCCTCATTCGAATTCTCCGCCTTGCTATCTACACACATCTTTCCCTGCTCTTAGAGCAGCATTTCTTGTCAGATTCAAACGTTGCACTGACGTTTCCCCCGCCTCGGCCCCGACCCGCCATCGTTTCCGCACTCTCTTACCAGCCACCTACGTCACCAGCTGCGTCGACGCCTAGAAGCACCAAAGATAAGACATTTCTACCCAACATCCTGTCATTTTTCTCCAAGAAAGGACACACTAGACTCAGTCGGAGCTTGAGCATCGCGCCATCAAACTCTCGGGCGAGTGGTACCTCTCTTGACCTCACTAGGAAAGTATCACCACTTGCTCCATCGAGATCATCAGAGGATGGAAATCCGAGTCGAATGCGTCGATTCTCTTTCATCAGTGCAAGTAGTCCACCACAATCCGAACCGTCGGCTCTTTCTACATCGACAACCAACCACGCTACTTTTACTGCCATCCACGCGCGTCTACTTGCGTCCTCTCCGCTGCTTTCGTCTTCTGCTGGTGTCCGTGTTTCCCCCCCACGACTAATAACCGAGCTTTCCGATGCGGAGAAAGCACGTGATACTGATGGGAAGCGGCGGCTCAAGGGCGATGAGCGAGTGGGTCTCGCAAGCATTCGGGGCTGGGGAGATGCATCTTTTACGGACAAGGAAGATCCAACTGTCACCGGAAAGGAAGCCAAGGCCCGTGCTTTAGTTGGGGCCACTGGTTTCGCGAGGATGCAGGAAATCGTGGTGTTGATCAGCTGGGGAGTCCCTATCCCTCCGACCTCAAGCTCTATGGTTACCACTAGTACTGCTACCTCATCGTCAGCGTCATCTATCTCTTCAGTTACCTCCTCAACATCAACTTTGATAACTTCTACTCATGTTGCTCAATGTCTCCCTCCAAGGACGCAGACATTGCGGTTCTACGCTCGGGATGGCTGCCCGGGGAGTGATCGGAGCTTTGGCGAGGTTGTGAGTGGGTGGTGTCGAGACGCCGATAGCGGTTGCAGTGGCCACGAGTTCTTTGGTGGCCATCACCCTTATAGGAAGCGCAGGGCCAGGCGAAAACAAACTACTGCAGCAGCACCTGACGATGTTGAGGACAAAGAAGTTGAGAGCGAGGAACCTGAGTTAGTCACGTCTAAAAAGGGTGTGCAGGAGAAGAAGTGTGGGTTCAAACGAGGAGATCATGTACTGAGGATGGTACACGGTGGTGTAAGAGTCGAAGTGCGCACTCAGTCAGATGAAATGGAGGAAGTGGGGGAGACTTGCAGGGAGAGTTCTGATGGATCGACAGCAGCGTCAACCACTTCCAAAGATGAGGACGATAGCAAGATAACTACTTGGCTTTCGTGTTCTGTATGTGGCAAGAAAACTCCGCGAAAGACGCTGAGCGATGGGGCTTTGTAAGTTGATGGTCATTGAATAATTCCCTTGCTAATATCGTGTCCAGCCTGTTTTCCTTCGGCAAGTTTCTGGAGGTTTTGATATATTCTCCTCTCATTTCTAGAATATCCCCATCGTTGTGCGAACATACGAATACTGAACTCACCAGTACGGCTTCCACCATGTCAAAAGCGAGCTCAGCCAACTCAGACTCAACTCCGACACCCAGTACCATAGGGTCGCCTGCATCAGATTCGACAACTCCCACTCCTTCCCATATAACAGCATCACAACAACACTCACACAAGTTAACCGAAATTTCGACCCTGCCCTCAGCGCGGTTCAATATCGTCCGACATTTTTCCAGTCACGGTCACGTGGTCTCATTCTCCATCAATGCAATTGAGGATATCTTCGAGTTGCGCGTACCGCGATTTCAGATAACGCGGAGTGCGTTAGTCCTGGATAAAGAAGGGAAAGGAAAGGCCAAAGATGATACAAATATAACCAAAGCAATACCTGCACCCATCGAGGAGGAGAAGAAGGTCCTACGAAAGGAAATCAAAGCCTGGTGGGAGAGTGTGGCTGACAATATGGAAAAGCTGGTTTGTGATATGAATCTTTCCTCTGTGGTAGTAACCAAAATCTGGACAGGAAACATCCCTCGTCGGGAGCACTCTTGTCGGATTCCGCAAATCGTTACCTCGACTGCCCTCCGAAGACGATGCGTGGGATGAGTATACCAGCGAAGACGATTCAACAGACACTGAATGTGCTTCGACACATGAGCTATACAGACCTGCAACAATAGCTGGTCTCCCCCCAAGCGCCCCGACTACTCCGCCAATCGCCAAATCTTCTGAGGATTTCTTTCATCCTGTGTTGAATCGGGCATCCTCCCTCCCTGTCCCAATCCATTCGCCTCCTGAAGTTGTCATAACCGCGGCGCCGCCCTCAGCCCCGCTCAACGTTTCTTCTCCCGACTCAATCGAGCTACTTGGAAGTCTCCGCCAGGCATTCCAAAAGACGGAGCAGGAGTTATATACTCTCCTCTCTCACACCTCTGTGTCAACTCTTAATGATGTTCGGTGGGCCTTCTTGGGGAAAGCCAAAGGTGCAGAGAAGCGTTTGTTAGCTTGGCAGAAGAAACACTTGCCAGGGAGAGGAAAGCGAGCTGTTCAAATGAAGTTGGAAAACGTCAAGGAGCCCGAGTGGTGGAAGACCGGGAACCATGTTGCGCCAGGGTGTAATGTTGTTGTCAGGGAAGATGACTGGGGGAGCATCATTGCGTTTACAATGAGGTATGCTTTGTTGTGATTTGCTCCATATCATTGAAAAGTGCATAGTACCTCAGACTACTCACGAGAACTAACCAGCATGTCTATCGTCCGACCCTCGTCCACAGCAGCGCCACTTCTTACACCAACTTCGGTTGAGCCATCCTCCTCGCCGTCATCGGTTTTTCTCAGGTGCAACAACCAAATTATTTTCGTCCTCCTCGCAGGCTTTACCCGATCCAGACCAAGAAGATGTTGTTTGGTATGAGCCCGAATCTTATTCGGCCGTGATATCTCGGAAAGAGCATCCCCGCGACGCAACGTCTCTACTTTCCCTTCGCGAAGTTCTCCGACAAAAGTCGCCTATCGATGGTGTTTCCCTCCTCCCTGGCGGGGCCTCTCGCTTCAGCAGTCTCGGTAGTGCTGCTACCAAGGCGTCGAGTAAGACTGGCCCCTCGTCAATTGTTCCACCATCTGCATGGTCCAAACCGGATGTCCAAATAACGAAACATGATGCTGGAGGTGAAGTTTCGTCAATGCCTAATTTAGGCGAGTCGGCGGGCAAGATTCTTCATGGACTTGACTCGGCATCGTCCGCGGAGGGTCATTCGCGACCGTCATCTGCACTTTCAGGAAGTTTTTTAGTCAGCTCAGTGTTTACGGATGGACTTGCAAAGCGAAACAAAACACCCTCTATCATCTCGGTCGAGAGTGACTCGACGGTTGGTGGCAAGGTCAAGGACGAAGCAGAAGCTTCCGGAGTTGATCTGCCGACTCCGACCCCCTCCTCATTCACCAACACTCTTACCAGTGGGATCTCTCACGCGATGAGATTCATGCTCAACAACAGTGAAATGCCTCGTGCGTCACTGTTTGCTTCGTCCAAGAACCATCATGGGCTACTAGCTCCCGCCGATGCATTTGCTATCGACGAGCGACCACATATCAAATATGACTGGACAGTGGGAAAGCGACTGAAGTTTTCCTGCACGATATACTATGCGAAGCAGTTCGACAACTTGCGGAAGCGGTGTGGCATCGAAGACTTCTTTTTGAAGAGTCTATCACGCAGCGCAAACTGGGCGGCGGAGGGTGGGAAGAGCAAGTCTAATTTTTGGAAGACGGCCGATGACAGGTTCATCATCAAGACACTGGTCAACGCCTGGAATGTTGCCGACTTGTATGTTGGAATTCTTCTGCTTACATAAGCTCATGGTCAATAGACAAGTACTTCTGGAACTGGCTCCTTCCTATTTCCGATATATGGATGCGACTGCTAGTCGTGCGACTGTCCTCGCCAAGCTCATAGGCTTCTATACCATTGAGATTCGCAATCTTGAGACGGGAAATGTGCAAAGCAAAGCTGACCTGCTCGTCATGGAGAATCTATTCTACGATCAGAAGATCGTCAAGACATTCGACCTCAAAGGTATCCAAGGACGCAAAGTCAAGTCGCGAGGGAACAACAACGAAGGTGGCAAGACTTTGTTCGATGGGGAATGGATTGAAGGACAGCAGCGGACACTGACGCTTATTCACCCTCATTCGAAAGCTGTGTTGCAGGAAGCCATTCGAAGCGATGCCGACTTTTTGGCAAGAAGCAATATCATGGATTACTCGTTAGTGTCTCTTTCCGTTAATCAACATCATTCCACTTACCTTGGCCGCCTAGCCTTCTCCTTGGTGTCGACCAAGAGCGCAAGCAGATCGTGTGTGGACTGGTTGACACTATAGGCAGCTACACGTTTGCTAAAACGCTCGAGTACAAGGCCAAACAAGGACTCAATTCAGGGACGGGCAAGGAGGTCACGGTAATACCGCCAGCCGAATACCAGGAACGATTCGTCAGCGCCTTAGAAGGGTACTTTGTTGCATGTCCAGGTGAGAACTGTTTTCTTTTTTCCACTGGCATCAAAAGCTGATGTCAACAGATAAATGGACACGCCCAACCGACGACAGCAAGCCAATTGATGACCCAGATATGTTGCCCAGTGTGTTGTAGGGGACAACTAGCAGCAGGCTAAGTTGTTGTATCGCCAGGATCATACTCTACTATTACTAATCATTGACATTTTTGTAGTTATACCATCCTGCATTACATAAAACCTGTATGACTATGTGCAAATACCATTTCCTAGCTCTCAGTCAACTGATGGAAAGCAGAAGCGACGACCACATTGTGAGCGCCTTGGTCAAGTGCAAACAGCCACTCTCCCTCCCGATGCCTCCTTTGAATTATCGCTTTCCTTGTTTTCTCATGCGCTGTGGCTCTGATTGACTTGACAATGCCTTGACCAGGATAAGCGAAGAGTGCCAGAGTGGCTCCCGAGGATTTGAATACCGCGTTTGTGCATCCTTTCCCAATGCCCTTAGCGAACCCTAGTATGCCATCGTCTCTGGCGCCTTTATATGGCTGGTAGAATATGTCAGCAATGCCAACTGCTGATTCGATCACGAAGGTTTTGCCGGCTACGACCGCTCCGCTTTTCCAGTCGGTAATTGCGCCATGGTCAGTAGGCTCCTGACCATACATTCTGGGAACACCACGAAGTCCCTCGGTGACTGCAAGCGGGATATCAACAACGACGCCCTTGACATAAGATGTCATGAATTGACCCAGGCTTTTGCCGGAAGCAGCTGCCATCGCACCAGCAGTCTGCATGCCCGTGCGCTGGAGGGCGGTTGTTGAGCTTTCGCCTCGATCTTCAGTTTCCAGTAACGAGGGGAGTAGAGGAAGTGGCTTCCCCGAGCTTGCACTCGCTGTGGAGGGGGTTGCTGGTTCAAAAGAAGAGCTTCCGCGCTTGTATTCTTCATATGGCTTGATTACCATGTTCGCACCTGCTCCTACCAGGGTGCTGACTGTTCCAAGCACTGCACTTGTCCCACCCGTAACTGGATCCCAGCGGTGATTCTCTATGTAGATTTTCCTGGTTTCGCAGGGTTTCAAATCACTGCGGCGCAAGAACGACGAATGAATCAACGCCTCTGCCGCGAGCTTCGAGAGTCGGAGTTTCTTCTTGCCTTTCTTGACTTTCCACGCCACGCATTTGTCAGGAAGAATATTGCATTGCAATCGGGTAAGAGGTAGATTGGCGTGAAAAGAGGCAACTGCGGCTTTCACGCCTGTTTCGCCTTTCATCCTTTCTGCAATTACTGTGGCCGCAGCCTGAGCTTCAGGCGTGAGACAAAACGCGATTGCTCCAGCCAGGTTACGAGCATTGAGTTGTTGGTGAGGAATCGGGATCGGCCCAGCACGGGCGTCTGCAACCATGTTACCCCAGAATGGCTGGCTAGGGTTTTTTTGTGAGTATTAACTGTCGAAGAAAGAGAACAGACGACGCACTCGCCAAAGAAAGGGACGACAACAGTCGGTCTCGCATTAAGCAAGCCACATGCCGTCGTGCCAGCCCCACCGTGATGGACGACAGCAGAAACATGCTGAAACAGCCACTCATGAGGACAATCTCCAAGGTAGAAAATATCGGCCCCTGGAGGCCCATCCAAGTTACTCCAACCGCGAGAAACGATGGCTCGAACTCCAGCGATACGAACCGCCTGCATGAGAATATTGCTCATTTGTTGTGGATTTTCAATTACGATGCTACCGAAGCCAATGTAGACTGGCGGCGGACCTCCACTAAGGAAAGCAGCAAGTTCAGGCGGGGGAGTGTACGAAGGTGGTTCGCGAAAGAAGAAGCCACAGATATCAATGTGTGATGGCCAGTCAACGGGCTTGGGGACCAATGCTGGAGACCAGCAGTAGGTGAATGGTATTTGAAGAGTTTCGGCCAGCGATGGACCTTCTGAGAAAGGCACGTGCTCTAGGTCGATGGAGTGCCGCCATTTATTAATGACATCTCCCAATCTTCACGAAAAAAAATGAGTGCGAGTAACACACAGAAAAAGATCTACTAACCCTTGCCACGTGAGAAACTCGACAACCCCGTACGAAATCCAGTTAGCGCGGCCAGGATCCCAACTTGAGGACTTGATATTCGTGAGTGGATGTGGAAATGCGCGAGTACTGCTCCAGGGCATAGTAAACATCAGATGCACTGGTATTCCTAGCGCTTGAGCACAATGAACATGGGCGAAACTTGGCGGGTTGGCAATGATAGCCTCCGCTACGAACGGACGATGAGAAAGCATATCGGGTTCGATACAACTTCGCCAGCAGCCGTCTAGCATCTCCGCCACCATGGCTCGCTTGCGCTGGATGTCCCCTTGTCGCAGACTCCTCATGCTCGGTATCAGTCCCGGATTTTTGACCATGTAGGCCATAAGCTCAGCTGGGTCGCCGCCAATTGGATAGAATTCCAGGCCCGAGCCTCGAACAAACTCCTCAAAAACATTATGAGTCGCAAGCCTGACACGGTGGCCATGTTTCTGGAGCTCATTCCCCAGCGCGATGAAAGGTTGCACGTCCCCTCGACTGCCAACTACTTGGATGACAATGTTCAACTTGATATGCCAGTCGCGTCGAGGCAGCTCAGCGGTAATGGCAAAGTATTCAGGAGGGGCAGGGACGATTTTGGCGAGGGTTCGGCCAAGCTTAGAATCAAGATCGAGTCCAACGCGGCCGTCGACTGAACGAGTTGTTAGTAAATCTCTCAGTATATAGATCACTTGCTTCCAACAGATTGCAGCTGCCCAAGAGATTCTGGTCCAAGTCTCTCATAAGCAGGGGGCAAGTCATTGTCGTTACTATCACTCGTCTGTGGTTGTTCTTTCTCCGCCTTGAGGATGATCATGGAATGGTCTTGGGCCGCAAGTTGAGGCAGAGCCGGTAGCTAAATAGTGATGGTAGACTGCGGTCATTGTCAGCGCCGCGCTGTGCGAGCGGTCGTTCAATGATTGGTCAACTGCGGAAAGACCGGAGGACAACTTGACGGGTCCGTGGTATCTGCAAATCGAATCTTGTCATTCTTCTGCAGTGAACATCGGATAGCCGGAAAAAGACGGAAGCTAAGCTTGCGATACATCCGAAAGAAAGTATGGAGGGAACCCTTGGGGAACCCGGAAAAGTTCGCAAGTCACGTGAGTATCGTGATCTGATCTGGCAAGCCTTATCGAGCTTTTTTTTTTTAATAACGACCCATACAGCCTCTGACTACATTTTATGCTTTGATAGCAACTCCACCCCAAGCAACCTTCGGTGCTACGGGCCGCGTGACAGGTTTTGCGAGTTCTACGGGATGATTGGTGCTACCCACCGACGCTTTGGCGGCCGGTAATGGTTGCGCTTTGAGATCACCATATAATTTTTGTGTTCGTTCAGTGTTCTTAATGAACCATCCAGCATATCGTCTGCCAACCGTCGATTCCGCAATATGGACCATGTTCTGTTGAATGTTTTAGCACTAATCGCGGTACAAAAGTTTTTCTTTTGGCTGACCTCATCGATGACAAAGTTCAGATCGCTCGTCGAGGCGGTTTGCCCATCCAATAACCCTTTGCCGCCTGGGACATGTGTGACGCTTCTGCTGGCTTGCTTCATGACCATCAACTGTTGTACCATCTCCTCCTCGTCCGCGTCCAGGAAGTTGGCAAGCTTCTTTGCGCCGAGACTTGTGTACAGCTTCAAGAAGCTACGTAAAGTGGGAACGGGGGTTTGCGCAACAACATCAGAAAGTAGCAGACTCAAGTGACGTTGAGCGGGGTCGATAGCGTCGCTGAGATCAGAGCCTTCGGGTTGGGAGAGAATGGTGTTAATGGCGATAGCATCGTCGTAGGGCGGGGCATTGGCGTTGATGAATTTGGGGCAGGCGTAGAGGAACAACTCTTTGAAAGCAGGTACAGCCTCTTCGCTAAAACAACGCTCAAAAACCAAAGGCAAGGCGGTGGAGAAGAGCATACCCTCCACGAGCCATCTTGGCAAACTGGTCACCATAGCGCTCTTTTGAAATGTTGGCAATATTGTCGTCGAGACGGCTCGGTGATAGGGCGTTGCAAATGGCAAACAAAGCGTACATCCTATCCGCCGTCTTGCTAATCTAGATGGGAAAATGTTTACATAAAAACTCCAAATAAAAAATAAAAAATACCTGGTCATATTGGTAACTTCGTGTGTGGTACTGTCGCATTCGCATGATCCAGTTCAATATTGAAATGAATGTCCGAATAGCGTCTGGGTACCGCCGGAGCATTATATAGCAGAAGCCGACGTAATAGTAGGTCGCCACAGTGCACGCAGTGACCCGAGTGTAGGGTGACTTCTGGTTGAGCTCGACGTTCTCCATTACTTTCAGAGCGAGGGTGAAGTCGCCAAGAAGGACGTGGACACGCAAGAGCCCAATGATGCTGAAATAGCCTAGATGTCGGTACAGAGGTCGGACACCATATTCGCCTACAATCTCGCTTTGAAATGGTCAACTCGAGATGTTCTGGCCAACAGGACGATTGAGACGTACGCAACTTCTTCAGGAGTTTTGCCCGCCTGATGGGCCGCAATGTACTCGTTGATCTTGGATTTTTGGATCAGGGAATAGAGCACGTTGAGCACACTGTAGGAGCTCCAGACCTATTTCTGCATAAGCTGCATTTAGAAAAATAGGGAAAAAAAGAAACCAACGGGTCCGCCATCAGCTAACATAGACAGTTCGTCGTCTGACTTGGATTTCACTTTTGACCGCCACGTGCAGAAGACTTGGAACTGGTAAATAAACTCGTCGATGATGTCCCATAGCCATTGTTCTGGTAGTTCTAGTTGAACGGGACCCTCCGAATCTAAGCACTATCAGATTGAGTGAGTCCAAGGTGAGGATCGAGACTGACTGAGGAGGTAGTTGAACAACTCGCACGAGTTTTCGTACGAATGGAAACGATCGTCGATGTTGGGCTGGAGACGTGAATATACGTGCCGATAGTAAAGTTCGCGGTACAGAATCAAGAATATTGGGTCTTGCACAACATCCTTAGCTTCAATGAGAGCGAAAAAGAAAAGGCGCACCATCATTGACGAGTGGTGCGATAATTTCCGCCTCTGGCCACTCTGACCGCGCATAAAACTTCTCAGTGTATTTGTTCCACCCACTCTCATAGGCTATCGTAATTTCCGCCAGGTTGTTGTCAAGGACGGCTTGGTGAAAATGGACAATGAACTACACACGCTGGTGAGCATCGTATAGAAAAAAAAATGACAGTCCAACACACGGCTTTGACCACGTCTGGAATCTGCGCAAAGGCAGCCTGTTGAGCCATATGCTGCTGCATCGCCATAAGCGTCGCTTCATCGATTGGTTGCTGGAAGAGAGCTATGGAATGGGTAGTAAGTTATGACCAGGGCTCCAAAAACACGAATACAGTCATCGTAGTGGATGTTCTGGCCGTAGTTCCCCAGCGACATGTCCTGCAGGTCTTCATCGATATCGTCAGCCTCGGCCCACAGTGCGACGCGGGGTTGAGCCATTTTGAATGTGTAGAAGCGGAGTGCGATGTGATGGTCACAAAATGGTCCTGTAATGGTCCTGCGCACTCTTACCCTCATTGTTGCCTTGTTAGCAGCCTTTCTGCATCTCCCAATACGGTCTAAAGACAGTGTTTCGGAGCAATTGCAATCACCATCCTTCTTAGGCAACATCCTCCTCCTTACTGCTCATCCAGATGACGAATGCATGTTCTTCGCGCCAACAATCCTCGCGTTAACATCACTGCAACAAAAATATAGCAAGGACAGCGAACCACGGTCCGGTCTATTCTCTCTGTGTCTCTCTTCTGGAAACGCGGATGGCTTGGGGTCCGTTCGTAAAAGGGAGCTCAACAACAGTTTGGATGTTCTGGGTATAGACTCAGATAAGCGGCTCCTTGTTGATCATCCGTACGTGTTCAACCACTCTGATATTGTCTAATTGCATCTTAGTGACCTGCAAGATAACTTCACCGCCCAATGGGACGCGTTTACCATTGCTACTGTGCTGAAACCCTACATTCTCGAAAATCGAATCAGCACGGTAAGTCCCATGTCCCCTCGTCCAAGCCCATCTGTAACTCCTCCAGATCTTGACTTTCGACACTGAGGGCGTGTCAGGACATCCGAATCACAAATCCATTTTCGAAGGTGTGGAGCAGCTGCGACTTTCACTCCGAGAGATACGATTCTTTACGTTGAAGACGACGCCCCTGTTAGTCAAGTACACTGGCATTCTCGGGCCAACAATAACCAAGTTTGATTTGGGGGCAAATGCACTCTTCAACGACTTTGAAGCATGGGCGACCCGCGGTCTTCTTACTATGGGCGTTGATCTGTCACTCTTTGCCACCAGAGAGCTGCCGCCTCAAATGCCAGTGTTTGTTTCTGGATTGAAGGAATACTGGACCGCCGTGAAAGCAATGCGGAAACATTCCAGTCAACTTGTTTGGTTCCGTTGGTTATATATTGTATTTTCGCGGTACATGTGGGTCAATGAGTGGGAGGAAGTTAGTGTACTTTGATTCATAGTCGAGAAGGGGTTGTTAGCCTTAGGCGTTGCGCAGATGCTCGTAGCCACGTTGAAAATCCGCCCTCTGGACGATGAGGAATGAAAGACTGCGCAAGCGGGGTAAAGAGGTAGCCAGCAATTGCCCTGTTTCGTCGTCGGTGGACCATTTGTAACTGAAGGTGACAAACAAACGCACCACAATGCTCCTTGCGCAAAAGGACTGAATACTTGGTCTCGCGCCGTCACCCAACCAACCTGGAGCCATTGGATAGCGAGCTCCGTTGTAGCTTGCTCCCCTGCCTTCCCCTTGCCTTTCCAAGGCACAAGCTGAACGAACGGTTGGATGCTTCTCAAATAGCTGAACTCGAATCGAAACATGTCTGGCACAGTCGCCAGCGTCGCACGTCGGGGTTTCTCTGGGTCGATATGCTTGGGATCATGAGCAACAAAAGGTGGATGGGTTGTGGACATGGTCAAGATGGTTGAGGTGGTTTGGTCACGCGGCACAACTTGAACCTCAATGCGACTTTCATGACTGGAAACCTTCCCGTTGAAATTCTGGATCCTCCTCCACAGTACATCCACACTATCGTCGCGGCTAATAAATCTGCTGACCTTCGTTAGCGGCTCCCGATCTTTGTGATCTACTTACTGACATCAACATTACGGAGTGCCAACCGGGTGCTCGTTTCGGATTCATATTTAAGGAAAGCTCATGTACTGGTTTCGCAACTCTCGTCATGCAACTGGGTCCTTTCCTCCTACTGATTGCTGCTGCTGCTGCTGCAAACGGCCTCCTTATTACGGATGACCCTAGTATTGTCGTCGACAAATCATTCGATTACATAGTCGTGGGGGGAGGAACAGCCGGTACAGCGGAGAAAACGCGCTATAGGCAACCTAACACGTGCATTTTCTAGGTCTCACTGTCGCGAGCCGGCTTGCTGAAGATTCTGGGGTCACCATTCTCGTTGTTGAAGCCGGAACTGACGAACAAAACAACACCGCAGTCAATGAACCATCCCAGTGCGTGTAATCCCAGTCTAACACACATTATGTACATAACGAGTGTTAGATGGACTAGCTTATTAGGCTCTCCGCTCTCGTGGAACTATATGACGACACCCCAACTTGGAGGGAAAACCGTTTCTTTTGACGCGTAAGATTTCCGTTTTGCCAACCATTTTACACACAAGTCAATAGAGGTCTTGTCTTGGGTGGATCATCGTCTATAAACGGTATGCAATATGCACGTCAGTCGTTCGTTAATCTCCAGGAATGAATCAATTGACCCAAGTGTAGGGGGCACAAGAGACCAGTACGACGCCATAGGAAAGCTGGGTAACTCGGGATGGGATTGGAACTCAATGCTTCCGTTGGTCGCTAATCCTGGGAGACAAGCTCCACTGAAACAAGCTTTAGCTATATGAAGAAGGCGGAGAACTTCCACGCACCGAGCGCTGAACAGGTCAAGCAAGGCGCAACGTATCAACCAACCGTTCACGGTACCGAGGGGCCTCTCTCTGTTGCTTTTCCAACACCGTATTTTGGTGCTTCGGCCTTCCAAACCTTCTTACAGACTGCTCGTGACGTCATCCCTGGTCTTCATCCCAACCTTGATCTGTCTTCTGGGCATCCTAATGGCGGCAACTCATTATATTTCACAATTTTTCCTGGCAACGCTTCCATACCTGGCGGAAATCGCAGATGTAGTAGTGCTCAGGCTTACATCTACCCAGCTAGATCAGAAAAACGGGGACTCACTATTTTAACCGGCCACCAGGTCACTCGTATCTCATGGAAGACGGCCGGTCGCTTTCAAACAGCTAGTCAAATAGAATTTACGCCAACGCCCTCGATCAATGGTACCACGAGCAGGTTATATGCCGCCACAGTCAAGAAGGAACTAATTGTGGCTGCGGGTGTCTTTGGCACTCCTCACCTTCTGGAGCTTAGTGGTGTTGGCAATAAAACGTCTGTTTCCCCCCCCATCTCATTGTCACGTCTCATTATACACACAGCATCTTAGAAGGTGTCGGCGTCACTCCTGTTATCGATCTCCCCTCCGTTGGCACGAATTTGCAAGACCCAACTGTACTTGTTATGGCATTGTCTCCCAATGCCTCGGTTTCCGACTCATTGAAGACCATCAACGAGCCAGGAACTGGGTCCAATAACATGCTAGACATAAGCCAAGTGCTCGGTGTTGACGGGGCGAAAGCAGCAGTCAAGGAGCTTCGCGATACTGTAACAGCTCGAGCTCAGGCCCAGGTCGGCGCAGGGGCGTTTACCAGTGTCAAAGGGCTGAAAGCGATTTTGAGCTATCAAGCTGATTCGATCAGTAGTCAAAAGGGTGCGACTTTGTTTCTATCTGCCGCATTTGAGCTCATCCGTTGTAGCACCGGTCGTCGAGCAGACATATGCTGCCGCCCCTGACGGTAGCTTCATCGCTATCGTCCACTTCACCCTCATTCCTCAGAGGTAGGCCAACGGCTGGGTTCCAGTACTCCGTGACCTTCCTGACCACTTTCAGTCGGGGCACAGTTCATATCTCATCTGGAAACCCAGCGGTTCGGTCTAAGAGTAGGTAATCCGCACATTCATCCAGCAGAGCTTAAGCTTTTCGTGAAGTTGATCCCAATTTCCTGGCGAACAATCTCGACCTGTATTTGCTAGCAAATGCAACAAAACTGTCGCGCAAAATAACCCAGACACCTCCCTTCGCCTCTCTTGTAGGGAGTGAGACTTCGCCAGGGCTGGCGTCTGTCCCCATAAACGCTACCGATTCAGATTGGCAAGCTTTCGTCATTCAGCAATACTCATCCGTTTTGAATCCTATCGGTACGGTCTCGATGTTGCCTCGTGACATGGGTGGCGCGGTAGACAGTCAGCTCTTTGTCTACGGAACTAGCAATGTTCGTGTGGTTGGTGAGTCTCAGCAGTCATCGTGATTGTTCAGACGGCTCAAGCTCTTCGTAGATGCATCTATCATTCCCATTCCGCTTTCTACTGGCCATGAGACTGCCACGGTATATGGGATTGCAGAGAAGGCAGCTGATATGATCAAAGCAGCACGAAAGTAGCCATAGTTCATAGTCATTTTTTTTGATGCCGTCTATTTCGGTGAATCGACGGTGATGCATTCAAGTCGATTTCTTTTCCCTCGTATCCTCAGCTTTTTCACGATGCCGCTCCCGACACCTTTGAGCCCCGTTTCTCCGTGCGTGGTAGTAGATCCACCTCACACAGCTGATAATTGCTTGTTTGCGTTCTTGTTTCTTCTCTAACTGTTTCATCCTGTTGTCGCTTACGCTCCTCAAAATGACCAGCGTCTCACAAATCCGGCCTGTTACCGTCCTCAGTCGCATTGGCCAACGTCCAGATAGCATTCCGATTGCCGTTACCATCGCTTTCTTACGTGCTATCTAGCCACGAAGCTGGTTTCACCAATAACGGACACGAATTTGAGCGTGCTCGAGAAATCGAAACAACTTGCTGCATGGACTGCGGTTGACCAGCATGTTAAACCAGAACACCGAGTGCGTTGAAGCTCGATTTGCCTGGTGTTTGTTTGCTCATTGAGAGTAGGTGATTGGGATTGGCTCAGGTGCGTTCTCACTCCTCTTATCACCAGCCTCCGCTCAATAACCGCTCCTAGGCTCGACGGTACCCTACGTTGTTGAACGTATCGTGCAACTTGGCGCGGAGGCAAACCAAGAACGCGTATTTATACCTACTGGTGCGGTTCATTGTCTGGCCCTTGACCTCTCCTCAAGTCTATATCCAAGGCTTTCAATCCAAGGAACTAATCGTTTCTTCCGGCCTTAATCTTGGCGACGTTGACCAATTTCCGACGATCGATGTCACTCTCGATGGCGCAGACGAGTAAAAACAACTTGTTCGTTCTCTCCTTCCGTTGCTGACTATTGCAAGGGTAGATCGTGAGCTCAACTGTATCAAGGGTGGTGGGGCTTGCCACCTTCGTGAGAAAGTGCTTGCAGAGGCCGCTAATACGTTGCGTTAGGCTCATTCGCTCGTGTCCTCTTCTCATTGGTTTTTGTCAGCTTCATTCTCGTCGCAGATTATCGGAAAAATGTTGAGTTCCTCGGCACCAACGTGCGATCGTTTTGCTCCATTTGCCGTCAAATTCTCAGCTCTATAGTTTGCGTCAGGTATACCAATCGAGGTGGTACCCTTTGCGTATGCAAAGGTGCTTCAAAACATTCACCACCATCTCGGCTGCCCGAAAGCATCATTGCGGATGGCTGTGAAGAAAGCTGGGCCTGTGGTCACCGATAATGGCAACTTTGTCATTGATGCACCCTACGACCAAGAAACCATGAAAACCCCGTATACTGTAAGTTAACGGCAACACCTATCTACTCACAACTAATTTCCCGCAGATAATGGCTCAAATCAAGATGCTCACCGGTGTTGTGGAAGTGGGTGTCTTCTGCCACATGGCCAAAGCCGCATACTTTGGCAATGCTGTTAGTCAGAATATCCCTTCTGGTCCTCTAGGATTGATTTTCGGTTAGGATGGTACTGTGACTATTAAATGGAACGATGGACGTGTTGAAGAGGTCGCCGCGGCTCAGACGTAGATCTTCCTGTAGATATATCTAGAGATTGAGGAAAGAAGCTGCAGTTAGGGGCTACTTCCATCTACGGACATAGTCTGATTTTTTTTGGCGCTCAACTTTTGCCACCATGGCAGAGGCTGATGTGGACAAAATCTCAATCCTTGGACGAGAGTCAATCCATTGCGGCTTCCACCTGGTGCCCTATATTGCCAGAATCGTGACCACCACGCTTCCTAGCTCTGTCTATGTCCTTGTCAGTGACACGAATGTTGCAAAACACCATCTCCCTAGCTTCGAAACGGAATTCGAGGCGGCTTTGTCAAAGGTTCAACCGGGTGGTGGTGCAACCAAGCCTCGATTCCTCAGCTTGGTCATTCCTCCTGGAGAAACATCCAAAAGTCGTGAAGGAAAAGCTAATATCGAAGATTTCTTGCTCGTCAACCGATGCACACGCGACACTGTTATCCTAGCTCTTGGAGGAGGGGTGGTTGGAGATCTCGTTGGTTTCGTGGCTGCCACTTTGTGAGTGATACTATACTAATAAACACAAAATTAAATGTCTACGTTCGTGTTAGCATGCGTGGTGTTCGCTTCGTCCAAATCCCGACCACTCTCCTCGCTATGGTGGACTCCAGTGTGGGTGGAAAGACCGCGATCGACACTCCCCATGGCAAGAATCTCATCGGGGCGTTTTGGCAACCCCAGTACATCTTCATCGATGCTGCCTTCCTTGAAAGCCTTCCATCGCGCGAATTCTCCAACGGCATGGCTGAAGTGGTTAAAGTTTGTTTCGACTCCTTCACTGTCGTCCTTTCTCAAAACAACATAGACTGCTGCCATCTGGAACGAAACCGAATTCACCGCTCTCGAGTCGCGATCGGCAGAGATTTTCGCTGCTATCCAAACTCCTTCCCGGAATGCTTCTGGTCGCAGCAAAGAAACCAGATCAGTTGCTCAAGATCTCCTTCTGTCAGTTATTGTCGGGTCTATCTCGGTCAAAGCCCACATTGTCACCATCGACGAGCTGGAGACCGGTCTTCGCAACCTAGTCAACTTTGGCCACACCATTGGCCACGCCATTGAGGCAATACTTACACCCTCCATCCTCCACGGAGAGTGCGTCAGTGTCGGCATGATTTTAGAGGCCGAAATTTCCCGACAGATGGGCCTTCTATCCCAAGTCGGCGTTGGTCGTTTGACGCGATGTCTCAAGGCATACAACCTCCCGGTGTCGCTTTCCGATCCGAAAATTGGCAGTCTTCCTGCCGCAAAGCAACTCACCGTTGATCGTTTGCTTGACATCATGCGGATCGACAAGAAAAATAGTGGGGATGCGAAGAAGGTCGTTATCCTCTCCAAAATCGGTGCAACCTATGAACCAAAGGCCACAGTCGTGCAGGACAGTGTAATTGCCAAGACTCTTTCTGACGCGGTCAAGATCGCAGCCGGCGTTCCCCAAAACAATCCAGTCACAATGACCACGCCAGGTTCGAAGAGTATTTCTAATCGCGTCCTGGTTCTTGCCGCACTTGGTGAAGGGACGTGCAGGCTCAGAAATCTTCTGCATTCAGACGACACACAAGTCATGATGGCTGCTTTGCTCGAGCTCAAGGTCAGACAGGTTCAATCAGGCTCTCAGTTCTCTTATTTATATGCAAGGGTGCTAGTTTTACTTGGGAAGATGATGGCGACACCCTCGTCGTAAAAGGAGGCAGCGGGAAACTCTCCGTTCCTTCAAAAGGCAAAGAGTTGTATCTTGGAAATGCTGGGACTGCAGCGCGTTTTCTTACGACCGTCTGCGCGCTCGTCAAAGGCGACATATCAGAAGAGACTACTGTCATCACAGGCAACGCCCGGATGAAACAACGCCCCATCGGCCCTCTAGTAGATGCGTTAAGGACTAACGGGAATGAAATCAAGTACTTGGAGTCCGAGGGATGCCTCCCTCTCTCTATCGTACCTCAAGGATTGAAGGGTTCGACCATCCAACTCGCGGCTAGTGTTTCAAGCCAATATGTCTCTTCAATACTGCTCTGCGCTCCTTATGCATCCGAGCCTGTCACACTCGAGTTGACTGGTGGCCAAGTCATCTCACAGCCGTACATCGACATGACGATTGCCATGATGAGGACCTTTGGTATAAATGTTGAACGTCGCGTTGATCAGATGACCGGGAAAGCTTTGGACATCTACGACATTCCTGTTGGCATTTACAAGAACCCGGAAATCTACAACATCGAATCTGACGCCAGTAGCGCTACCTACCCTCTCGCGATTGCTGCAATCACTGGAACGACCTGTACCATCGAAAATATTGGATCAAGTTCGCTTCAAGGTGATGCACGTTTCGCCAAAGAGGTTCTGGAGCCCATGGGCTGCAGGGTCTCTCAGACTCCTACGCAAACAACAGTTACGGGGCCACCTATCGGTGAACTCAAGGCGATCGAAGAAATTGACATGGAGGTCATGACTGACGCTTTCCTTACTGCTACCGTCCTTGCCGCCGTTGCCAATGGCAAGACCCGTATTGTCGGTATCGCAAACCAACGAGTGAAGGAGTGCAACCGTATTCAGGCGATGATGGAGGAACTCGGTATGCTCTCAACTCAACCTTTAAAATCTTTCCTGATCTTACCACAGCCAAATTCAGTGTGGAGACCCTTGAGCTTGCAGATGGCCTAGAAATCGTCGGAAAACAATATGGTACACTGAAGAAAGGTGTTAGCGTTCACTGCTACGACGATCATCGCGTCGCCATGGCTTTCAGCGTTCTCAGTACCGTCGCTGCAGACACCATCATCGAAGAAAAGCGCTGCGTTGAGAAAACGTGGCCAAACTGGTGGGATGACCTGGAGAACAAGGTGCGAGCCTGTCTTTCCAAATATTTTACCGTCTTAGTCTGCTTTAGATAGGCTTCTCAGTCCAGGGCATCGATCTTGCAACCTCCAGTTCAACTGGATCCACAAGTAGTCCCATTGTCTCTGACCCTTCGGCCTCTATTCTACTCATCGGAATGCGAGGCTCGGGCAAGACATTCACCGGCCAGATTGCAGCGTCGACTTTATCTTGGACTTGTCTTGATGCCGACCAATACTTGGAGGAGAAGTTGCAAATTGGTGTTCGAGAATTCGTCGCGGAAAAAGGTTGGCCAGCATTCCGGGAGGCCGAAATGGTTGCGCTGCAAGAACTCGTGGCCGCCTATCCCCAAAATCATGTCATCAGTCTAGGTGGTGGCATTGTCGAAACAGCTGCCGCTCGAGACTTGTTGAAAGAATATGGAAGGACCAAAGGACCTGTCGTCCACGTGATGCGGCCAATTGATGAGATCATCGAGTACCTTGGTGGTGAAGTCGCACGCCCGGCATACGGCGAACCCATCGTCGATGTTTTCCGTCGACGTGTGCCATGGTTCAAGGATTGCGCTAGCCATGAATTTGTCAACCATGTCGCAATCGATACCTCTTCGGCTGACAATAGCGATGTCAGGCGGGAGCTGAAGAGGTTTTTTAGACATATCACAGGGCAACATCCCAACCTTGTGCGTCTTGTACCAGGGCAGAGGTCATACTTTCTTTCCCTCACCTATCCGGATATCACTCCCGCGTTAGTCCATGTCGACAATCTCACGCAAGGTGTTGATGCACTGGAATTGCGGGTCGACTTGCTCAGTGACCTGACCAGTTTCGGAGGCTCGATTCCGTCTGTTGCCTATGCCAAGGACCAAATAGCAGCTCTGCGTCGAGCTACCTCCCTCCCTTTGATATTCACTGTCCGCACAATATCGCAAGGCGGCGCCTTCCCTGACGATAAAACACAAGAGGTATTCGACCTCCTGAAGCTTGCGTTGGCTTTGGGTGTCGAATACCTGGACGTGGAAATCTCCTTACCAGACCACGTGATTCGGGAGCTCATCTCACGCAAAGGCCACTCGAAAATTATCGCATCTTACCACGACTGGAGCGGTAAATTGAAATGGCATGGGTCGGTGATAGAAGAAAAATACGAACTTGCGTATCGTGCTGGCGACATCATCAAGATCATAGGAAAGGCCGAAAGTCTTTCAGACAACTTCGCACTTTACGATTTTGTCTCAAAGGTCAACAGCCGGCCTGATGCCAAACCTATCATTGCGCTGAATATGAGTGTCACCGGTCAAATGTCGCGCATTCTCAATCCTACCTTAAGCCCTGTTACGCATCCCTTATTGCCAACGAAGGCCGCTCCCGGTCAACTATCTTTCGCGAGTATTCAAAAAGCTTTACATCTTCTTGGCTTGCTGCCTGCTCAACGATTCGTTTTGCTCGGGAATCCCATTGCATATTCTATGTCGCCCACTTTGCACAACACAGCTTTCGAGGTCCTTGGACTTCCTCACTTTTACGAGTTGCAAGAAACTTCAGAGGTCGGCCAAGAGATCAAAGCGACTATCACTGCCCCAGACTTTGGCGGGGCCTCCGTTACTATTCCATTCAAGCTAGACGTTATCCCGCTCCTCGACAAACTTTCTCCTGCCGCTGAAGCCATCGGCGCTGTCAACACCATCATCCCGATTCGGACTGATGGAACCAACCGAATTCTGTATGGCGAAAACACGGATTGGTTGGGAATACGGGAGTCTATTCAATCACGGGTCTTTAATGGGACTACTCATGCTGCACTTGTCATTGGGGCCGGCGGAACTGCACGTGCTGCTATCTATGCACTGAAATCCCTGAATGCAAAGGTCATATATCTGTTCAACCGCACGCGAAGTCAGGCAGAGATTCTCGTAGAGGCGTTTCCTGACGCCAACATCGAACTCCTCGATCAACTCAATGTCTGGCCTGATGGCATTCTACCGCCGAATGTCATCATCTCAACTATTCCCTCAAGCGCGACGACGACGACACATTCGCCAGATGCGCTTCATCTCTCATCAGACCTCTTCCTTTATAAAGACGGACCCGCTGTGGTCATCGATATGGCCTATAAACCTGCAAGAACGCCGCTTCTTGTTCTTGCAGAAGCAGCCGGTGATAATTGGCAACAAGTGGGAGGGTTGGACGTTTTACTCGAACAAGGCTATGTACAGTTTGAGCTGTGGACTGGGAGGGTGTGTCCCAAGCGGGTAGTTTCTGAGAGAGTTCGGGCAAAATATAGCGAAACCGTAGAGCAGTCGTAGAACAAACAATCATGTGATCAATGGATTCTCTGATGACGATGCAGTTCTACTCTTTGCGAATATGCCAAGGTGTTTGAGCACATGCGGCCGCCCGACCGACAATGAGCGCTGTGCCAAGGGAACTGAAACACGCGCCCAAATATCGGTCAACTCGAGGTTTCAGAAGCAAGAGTAGACGGCGAGCAGCGAGTATAAAACTCTCATGTCTTTACATTCTCCCTCGCATTAACTTCTAATGTTTCTCATTTCCCTCATTGCCCTTGCTTCTACCTTCTTCCTCGTTTCTGCAACACCGTTCAATCCTCTTCCAGGCTCTTGCTCTCCTTCCATTGGTTCCAATGTTTCCATCATCGACGGCAACGCGGCTTGGGGCACATCTTCAACCACGGACGGAACCCTTTTAATCAAGAGCTCGAGTTTGAGCTCTCGCATCTGGCATGTAGAGCAGACAGGCTCATACTATCCGCTATACTATATCAAGTACTGTCTGCCTTCTCCCCTCGTCTGCCTTCTCCCCTCGACTGATTACTAAACCAGAGGCTGTTCAGGTCTGCGGCCAACACGAATCTCGCTGTTTCTGTACTCAATGGAGAGCTTGGACTGCAGCGTTGGGACATCAACGCCATGTGAGAGTTTCACTGCATTTGCCATTCTAAACATATTCAATTCTTGTAGGAACCAAGAATTCGCGATTGTCTGCAACTTGTGCTCTCCTGGCGGTGAAGGGAAGGTCGCATCTGGCTGCAGTATCCGCCATGATGGACAATGTGTCGCCGTTGAACGTGGTGGAGAACATTTCCAACTCACGGACTGCATATCTTCAGTGTTGCAGGAGTTGGATCTCTTCACAAACTAAAGGAATATTTGGCGGCAAACATACTCATAGGGCATGATCTTAGCTAACACAAATCTACCAGTTCGTTGGGGCCATTGCCTTATCAGGGCCGCGTGCGGTATAGTTCTTCTGATAGGCCACTGCAACCCGTACCATCGATTGTGTCTTGATTCTATTCTCCCAATTTCCTCCGCCTCCCGGACCAACCCGCCGACGCATTGCCGCTTCCAAGTCATGAAGTAATGCTACGTCTTGAGCACAATACTCAATGAGAGCCGAGCTGAGTGGACGGTCAGCAAAGACTTCGTAACGACCACCGCGCTCTGGAGCAAAAAGACGAAGTCCCGCCTCTTTGACGCGATGCCATTCTCGGACAACTGCGAGTGACTTGAATGGAGCAACATGCTCTTCCAGCGTTCGGACCAGTCCGCCCAGGAAGCGCGGCATGCGTGATCCAGGCTTCGATGCTCGCACAGCGAGCTCAAGGAGTTGAAGGTCGTAAACATTCTCTAGAGTGACGCCAAAGAGGTTGTACAGCGCATCAGAATCGTTTCTGACATCAAAAAACAACTTTCAACAATTGAGTGCGGTATCGAGAGAATCGATATTAAAGCTCACCTTCTTAATAGCTGGGCTCTCCAAGACGGCCTTGAGGCTCATCCCGTCTGGGGTCACCTCACCGAAGACCTGGGCACCAAGAACCACGACATCGACTAGCCAGACAATGTCGCTGTCCTCGGCTTTCAACTGGATGATGCATAGCTTTCCTGAACGGCAAAGCGCAATGCCCTCAAGATCAACAGCCAACGAGTCGGTGCGAGCAACGGCGGCAATGCATGCCTGGAGCAATGGAACGGTGTCAACGAGTACCGTATTGTAAGCCATTTGGATGGTAGGGGTGATGATGCGCTCAAATCTAGACAGGGTTTAAGTACGATACCATGGCCGGTAAGCAGGGGATAGACGGCAGTTGGGAAAGCGCTGTCCTGTTGGCTCGCCAGAAATGTAAAATTTGCCTTTGAGTTGAGTTGATATTGTTGGCTGAGTGACTCAGTGAGGTAAAATGACCAGAGTGCGTTTCATTCGCGATCGCGCTGCTTACTTGCATTATGGGGCAGATGTTCAGGAACATAACTCAAGGACAAGTATTATCGAAATGGGGACGCTCGTTTTGGCAAGGGAGTTACCAATTCCGGTAAATATCAGATGGTTGATTTCACACGCTGCCATTTTCTTGTTATGCACATCCTCTGTCTTTTTGCTCTCGCTTTCTGTGCAGACGCAGTCTGTGGCGGTTGCTTTTTTTTTAGGAAGCTACACTAACTCTACGACACACAGGCATCTGTACGCACCCTTCTCACAGCTCACGCGTCCGATTCAACTTTTGCAACAGTGGCATTGGCATCACGTTTTGCTGCAGGACTTCTGGCCCGAGATTTTCCCAACCTTCGTATCTTACCTCTTTTCGCCATCCCCGACGAATGCTCGTGCTGCCATCGCTGTCATTGTGAGACGCGTCGATGCATCGCATGGTCTCTCGAACATCGTCTCACCCAACGCTTCAGGGACCCAAAGCGACATTGACTGTCTTCAATAAGGTCATAGCTCCGGATGGCTTTGTGCGTTCGTACGTATCTTTGCTTATTACTCCAAAATCTTCCGCTTATTGGATGTTAGAGCCGTGCTCGCCGGTGGGACCTTTCCGGGACCAGTCATAGTTGGCCAAAAGGTCACCCAGGTCGTGATTTTCAGGGTTAATTAGCTAACCATCTCTTTTACAGGGCGATACGTTCGAAATCAATGTCATTAACCGCCTCGTCGATGATTCTATGGCGACAAGCACGAGTGTGGTCTGTCCACATGCGGTTCAAGTACCTTGACACTGAGACTGACAAATGATAAAGCACTTCCACGGTATCCACCAACGACGCACCGGCTTTGCTGATGGGACCGCTTTCATAACGCGCTCGTCTCTTATTTCCCAGCTTTGGCATTTTGTGCTCATCTACTATCCATAGAATGCCCGATTACTCCGAACCATTCATTTCTCTACAATTTCAGTGTGCCGTACGCTCTTGAACTTTGCCATTCACTTGAAATCTCACCTCTATAGGGATCAGGCAGGTATATTTGTTCTTACTTTGTGTCGCAATGCTCTCAGTATAGGCAGGCACATTTTGGTACCACAGTCATCTGGGTCCGTGGGTCAACTGCTGAAGCCTGCCTTGTCCAATCAACCATACAGGAGCCCAGTATTGCGATGGCCTTCGAGGGCCATTCATAAGTTGAAAACGCCGCCTTCGCTTCCCAGTCGCTCTCCTCATTGCTTTCAGTTTATGACCCTCATGACCCATTCTCCAATCTTTATGGTCAGATTTTCTTCTCCTACCCACTCTGCATGACCTGATATCATGAAGATATCGACGACGGCAAGCGGTCCTACTTCACAAACCCAGATCTTTCTCAGTTGCCTCTTCAGTGTCGACGATCATTACGTTAGCGGACTGGTATGCGAAGACTCTGACTCTTTATATAGCCTGACCACTTTTGAAGGTACCATGCGCCAGCCACGACCGCTCCGAAATTCATCTCCACGCTCATCAACGGACTTGGGCGCTACCGGACGGGAGTAAGTCCCAATGTTTGTGCACCGGTACTGGTCTGCTTACTATCCTTCTTAGCCATTATCGGACCTAGCTATCGTCAATGTCTCTTTTGGGAAAAGATATCGGTAACCAAAAGCAATGCTTGATTTGGAAGATCATCTTATCTGTCGTGAGGTTTCGCCTCATTTCTATGTCATGTGACGCGCCTTTCACTTTCAGGTCTGCCAAAATGATGTCTTCAATTTTCTACTGATCCCTCGAAAGCATCGACTTTCATGAAATGTTGATTATCGAAGTTGATGGCGTGAATCACCAGCCTCACTTGGTGAACTCCATCGAAATATTCAGTATGATGCAATCTTTGATGCCTAGTCGCCTTCTGATGCGCTACCATAGCCGGCCAACGATACTCGTTCATCCTCGAAGCCCGACAAAAGCCAGACAACTACTGGATGCGTTCACCCCCTGTCATTTCTTCTCTTCCACCAGATATATTCGTCAATGCGACCAACCTTGCGATCTTGCGCTACGACACGGCTCCCATCGACCAGCACCCGGCTTATGACGCTGTTCAACTTCCGGTTACCGCCAAAAAGCCTCTCATCGAAACAGACCTCCATCCTTTGATACCAGAGCCCGTTCCTGGGCAGCCGTTCCCTGGCGGTGCGGATGTCAACCTTCATTTCAATGTTACCCGCAACCTTACGACTATGAAGTGGTTCATGAACGGCGTTGTACGGGAAAGCCAATTAGCCAAGCATCTGACTTACTCACCTTGGACAGACATTCGTCCCTCCGAAACTCCCAGTTCTGTTACAAATCTTATCAGGCGCTCGTAAACCACACGAACTGCTGCCGAAAGGGTCTATATACACGCTTCCTGCGAACAAAAGCATCGAAATCAGCATTCCCGGTGGCCTGAAAGGATCTCCTGTGTGTCTTAATCCTTGGGGCTTGAATCCAAATCAATGTTAATTTCAGCACCCAATGCACTTGCATGGAGTAGGTCAAGTATCGTGGAATCCTATTCACGCTCATCCGGATAGCACAACTTCCATGTCGTCCGCAGCGCCGGCAACGGCTCCTACAACTTTGAAAACCCTGCAAGTCATGCTTGGATGCGCATGTCGAGTCTCATGACGTTAGGTTATCCGCGACGTTGTTTCAATGGGCTCCAGTGTCGATGATCTTACGACATTTAGGTGAGAAGGGGACGCTCACGGCTTGAGTTGCTGCTAACCAACATCTCTAGGTTCTTCACAGACAATGCTTCTCCGTGTAAGCCATACGCTGACTGGATCTTCCAGTGCACTTATGCCTTTCAGGGTTCTTGCATTGTCATATCGACTGGCATTTGGAAGAGTGCGCTCTTGGAGCTGTCCAGCCCACGACTAATGTCTCACAGTGGAATGGGTATCGTTCTAGTTGAAGACGCCCCGACAATAGCGGCAGAGCTGCGGCCACCACGTTAGTAATTCCATCACTTGCCGTGGCTGCTTTAGTTGATAAATTCCAAAAGCGGAGTGGATGGATCTGTGCCCCAAATAGATAGTACAACAGGTCGACTAATGGAAACTACAATAAACCACAATAGACAGCAGTAACATAGCACGTTATAACAATACTTAATTCTTAGATGCTCCATTGAGTCTCCAAATTCAAGGGTCGATGACTCGCCAGTTGTGGGTCCTGAAAGTTGTCCATCTCCAGGACGGGGAAGCCTTCCGACTGGGCCCTATTCTGCGGAGGCCGGGGCATGTCATAAGTGAGCTCCTCTTCGCCACCAGGAAGATACCGGGTTGCTTTTCTGTGCTTCGGTTGTCGCGCCGGAGTCTTGCTACTAGCGGTTGCACCGTTCAACTCGGCGAGTTGATGGATTGGAGAAAGCGACGCAGCATCATTTGGGGTAGGCGGTGTGACAATCGAATCTGGTCCTCGACTTTGGTCGATGCGTGGTCGTTTCGCGAGCATTGCGAGGTATTTCTTCACCTTGCGCTTGTACTTTCTTGTCGCGAGATGGCGATCAAGAGTTGTTGCATGCAGACCATAGCTAGTTTTTTGCTTAGCTGCAACAACACAACCAACACAAAAGACACGTACCTCACCCGCATCATGAGGGCCCGCAGTGTTGGGTGAGGATCCTGATTGAGGATCCGCACGAGCTCACGTGTCATACTCCCACCCTCTGAATCTTCCCAACTAAGTTGATGGTCCTTACAAGACGCAAGAGAAATCTGGTGAATATGCCCTCAACATTACAGTTGATTTGAACCGTAAACTCTTACCACTTCAGCTCGCTCCTCATCGTGAGTATGAGTGCGATCGCGGCAATTTCCGTCGCATTCCCAGACTGGCGCAGGACTGTCGCACTCGTGGTCTTCGCCTAACCAAGACATTGGGCGTTCAGCCGGCATGGAGAGCTTCAACGACGGTCGAGCATTAGAGTCGATTACATTCTCTTTCCCTGCTTGCCGTTCAATTGTCGCATTTCGCGGAGATAACGACACTGCACGTGCTCGAGAAACGGTAGTCCGGCGTCGACGGGTAGAGGACTGACCCTCGACGAGAGGGGCTGGCTGAAAAGGAACCAAAGGCAAGGAAGCACGTTTGCCTTGCATCGTGGCTTTCACGAATCGCCTGCTTTTCCGCAAGCCACCATCCGTTTCTGCACGAGCGAGCGGTTCTGTAGTTGATTCTTCCGCGATGTCGATTTCGAGAGCATTAACGTCAGTTCGCCACCCTTGCAATCGCCGCGATGATGTTCGAGCGGCTTCATATATACGACGAGTCGTTACAATAGGAGAGTTCGGTGTAGTCACTGTAGTCGGTGATGCGGGTCGAGTTGGGACCCTTTCAGGCGCTGCTGATGATTTATTGAGCTGGATGAACTCCTTGGCTTCTCTTGTTGCTCGCCGGGTGAGTCGACGCAGTCGTGGCTCCACAAGTGCGGGAGTAGCAGACAAATCGGCATGAGTTGCGGCACGGGATGTCGGTGGAGAGTGTATTGGGGTGGCAGGTTTACTGAGCGGCAAGGCGTGTTTGCGAACTAAGGTTGGTCAGCAATCTAATTATAGATAGAACACAACTAACGCCTTACCAACCGCATTCCACAACTCATTACTCAGTCGCCGGCCCTTGGAAATCCAGGGGACATAAATACGGTTGCAACGGAAATGCGTGAGGTCTAAAAGACATTAGGGTTGATGTAAGGTCACGGAGGACCAAAATACACAGACCGAGTAAGCTGGCGCTATGACACGAGTCAAAAACAGCCACCAAACAAGTCCCCGGCGGTAAAGGGTCAACAAGATGCCTGCGCAGTTCCTGCCAAAAGATTAGCGTATGGATAGGTGGCCAGAAAACGCCAACGTTGTCCTGAATCTTGTAGAATTCGCCATCAGCAGGCACAAGACACTCGTCCATGCCGTCCTCTTCACTATTCGACCGATTTTCGACTTGGATCGTATGGCCACAGTCTGATGTCAAATTTAGAAGACAGCATCAGAGGGGGGGGGGCATGCACCAGCAGTGGAAGAAGAATCTATCTCCCTTTCCTGCATCTTGGACGAGCTCGTCGATCGCGCGCAACTATGAAGCGTATAAGCAACAAAAAAGTGCAAAAAAATTGGATAATACGCACGATATTGTGTCTTGTTGGCTGAAGGTCATGGCCGTTGTCGCGTAAAATGACTACGTTCTCTGGGAGATAGGCGTACTTGTCCACGACTAGACTGTACATCTCATCAACGTCTTTATGAGGCCCCTTGAGAGAGGCCAGGCCAGGAGAAGAAGAGGCCTCCTCGTCGCTATTATAAGCAATTCCAATGAGGAGAGCTTTCTTTCGCGGTGGCCGGGCCGGCTCGACTGGTTTCGATTGGCGTTTGGGGGGTTTTTGGGAGTACCGAGAAGACTGCAGCTGCGGTGCGATCGAATAGCGCCCTATCTTCATTGCGAGGAGGGGACTCGTATTAGCCGCATGAAGCAGGAGCAGGAAGGGAAAGCTGGTTTTGGGCGTCTAAAGCTGACATTTTAAATTTGCGCTGATCGTCTGATTCGTCAGTGCAACAGTCAGCACTGCTCTTTTGCCCCCGTGGAGTCTGATTTAACTTTCTAGTTCAACAGCCTTTCGATGAACAAAACACGTTTCATGGATGGTATCTATGCAGCAGTCATCGTTTACTCTCCGTTGTTGCGCTCCCTTTCCACCCAAGCTTTGACCGTTTTAGCAGCCATCTCTGGTCTCGCCTTGCAAGTCATCAAGAAACCCTGAAAGTGATAATCAACACTGCAACAGAAAATCATTTCCCTCCTACCTGAAGTGCAGCCATGGAGAATGTGCGCTCCGGAATGGCTTCAGAGAAACGATCCGCCAAAGGCACAATTTGTTGGGGGGAGAAAACACGATCAGCCGTCAGGACAAGGCTCTCATCGCCATCAGAGCTATATCCCGAGTCCGTCCCTGTGACTGTTGACGATTTGATCACAGAGTCCGGGTCTTCCGTCGGAAGATAAAATCGACAAAATAGTTTCTTGGCTTGCAAGCTGCTAGCGAGCTTGAATTCGACATGGACATCCATCCTTCCCGGACGACAGAGTGCGGGATCAAGAGCTTCATATTTGTTGGTAGTTGCGAAGAGAATACGACCCTCTTGGGCGCCAACACCGTCCAAAGCATTCAAAAGCCCACTCAAGCTCAGTCTTGTTGAACGGCAATCAGTATGTATCCGTTGCCAAACTGGTTGAAAGTAACAAACCTGCTTGTCGGAGGCGGATTACCAGCAGTCCCCGGCTTTGCGGCCATATTCTCTGACGTATCAGGGGACGATATTGTCGCCTTACTTTCACGCGTAAGGCCGCTGGTGAATGCAGCATCAATATCTTCCATCAAAGCACAACAGCGCTCTGGTAGGGCATTGACAAGCTCGTTGAGCTCAGAATCGCCTAAGCCGACGCGGGATAGCGAGATTATGTAAACGTCCAATCCGAGTTCACCAGCAATTGCGTGGATTACACTGGACTTGCCGGATCCTGGAGCGCCGTACTGTAGGAATTTCAATAAAGACAAATCATGATGATGCTGGTGCCGTACAAGTAGGTAGCCTCGTCTGTGTGGTATGGCTCGTTGTTGATACCATTCCTTGCTCTTGAGGAAATCTTTTGCGTCGGCAATTAGTAGATCTTTTTGTCCAGGATCTAACACAATGGAATCAAGAGGTCGTTTATCTCGACGAGCAACGCTACGCCAATTGTTGTTCCTAAGATGGCAGTGCCGTTCAAGTCGCTCAAAATAAAAGGCAAGAAACATACGTGTCTGAGACATAAACTGATATTTTGTGTTCCTGTGCTGCGATATGATATGCGCGAGCTTCTTGGAGTAGTGAGCTGAGAATTCGGTGGTCGCGCGTTAGTATGCTGGGCTGGTCAGAACTACGCCTTGGTCACTGTTGAATATGGCTCACTTGACAAACAAAGTCTGCTCCTTTGAGCCCCACCAGCCAGTGTTGGTCTGGACTCGGGTAACTGACAACCAACGGTGTTTGTACCACAGATGATAGGTGGTCGATAATGAGGGAAGATAAGCCAATTTTCGAGATGACTTGGTTGCGTGCGTCATATCATTCTCGCCATCCAAGAGGATCCGGGAGGTCGCTAGACTATTAGTGCTCACTTGTACCTGGCGTACATGACCTATATGCGGTTCATCAAGCGTGAAGGCCCTAATGTTGCAACATACGCCAGCCAGGTTGTTTCGAGAGCCACACCATCATCCAATCTATAAGCCATTCATTAGCAAGAGGCTGATCAAAGCAAACCATATTCACCATAGCTCGAATCCTCTTCCGAGAAAGTCGCCGAGATCCAGAACAGATCGACCAAGGTATGATAACCACCGAACAAGAATCGTCGTAAGACTTCAACAATTCCGCCGAGTAGGGCCAACTTGGCCCAGTCACGGAGAGCCGAAAATGACAAGAGAAACGTGAGGAATGAGGACACACTCGATGGGTTAAACGCAGTCGCCTCAGCTGTCACATTGTGGGTGGTTGCAGCGACGGTAGTTCCCGTAAAACTGGAGAGTATCTGCTGGAAGACGGGCAACAAGGCTTCAGTCATAGCACGTCGTGTGAGAGCGAAGGTGAGCGGGGAAGCCCTGGAAATAAACTTTCTCTTCTTATAAGGGAGGCCCTTCAAGTCAAGCGGGCTCGTAGGTCCATTTGTCTATTTCTGTTTTATAAAGCAAATCTGCAACACGTGGAAGGACAACAAGAATGGAAGAAAGCCCACAGCCTTGCAATTTGTTCGACTCAGTGACAGAGTCAGTGTGGCCCAAGTGCGCCCATAGCTGTGTGAAAGAAAACTATTTCAGGTAGGTCACCAACAGTCACACTCGTGTGGGCGCTTGCAACAATATAGTTCAGCTGTAAAATTGACCCATCTGGTGCTAGCCTAAACATATCGCGGTGTCCTAGTTAAACAACTCGTCAACGACCCAGACGCATGTGCTTACTTTGCTAAGCTTGGTGTTCATCATGGATAGGCAACTGGCAAGGCGCGGTTATATGCTATGCACTACCACACTTATATGGACATGAATTTAATGCTCAGCACGAGCACTAAGTAAGTGCAACGCGGGATCTGTCAAGAGAGACGAGACGTCGACACTCAACCCGATATCAGATAGAAATGATCCGAAATCAAGCCGTGACACGGCCCATTAGCCAAACCCAACCTGGAAGATGTCCACGATCAACATTCTCCAAGCACAAGCAATCGTCGATAAACACTTTGTAGACATACACCCAACGATTGCCGCCATATCGAAGGTGGCCCATGGATATAGCTTTACGCCATGCTTGACATCGTATATCCTTGATTTGGCTTTGGGGGAATCGGCCGAAGCAACACATTCTTCGTTCCTTGTCGTCTCAGCGGACCCAGACGCGTCTACCTTGCCACCATTCACGCCAAACTCACTATCGGCTTTCCCCATGCTACTCGAGACCATCAGAGCTCACACATCCATCCCAATTCCAAGCCCAATAGTCGACGACACTCGAACGCTGATACCTTTCGCATATCTTATCACACCCGCATATCCCATCGTGTCAACGAACCTGGTCTCTCTCGCTCAGGCTCGCGCTGCCAAAGTCCTGACGCCCCACCAACTCGCTCTTATCGACTTGCAGCTTGGTCAATATCTTGGAGAGCTGCACAAAGGCGCGCAGAACGACTGGTTTGGTCTGCCCAGCGCTTCCACGCAGTCGTTTGACTGGCAAGAGACTTTCATCGGTCTCCTTGAGAGTCTCATGGACGCTCTGGCTATAAAGCGTGCTGATCTGCCTATTGCCGACCTCCGAGCATACCTTGCACGAGCTATCTCCGCATTTCTTTTCTCCGATGTGGAAGTGCCATCGTTAGTCTGGTTTACGGGCGGGCCAGACGACGTTTTTCTAGCATTCACATCGTCAGGCGACTTTTCCACATTTGCGATCCTCCCAGCTGTCGCCCATGCCCACTGGGGAGACCCACTGTCTGAAACATTTTTCCTTGACGCGAGCCCTGCGTTTTGGGAGGGCTATAAGGCAACTCGCGGTGAAGAAGATAGTGCCATCATGGTATTTCCTCGTCAGAGGACGAAACGGATCTGGTATAATGTCTTCCTTGCGCTGGTAGTCCTCCAAGAGCGCGATGGAGTAGGGGACGAGAAGACAACATGGGCAGAGCAGTGTCTACGCGATTCGGCTCACAGTCTTAAAGATGCGCCATGTTCTTAGTAATAATTGTAGACAGCCCCGAATGCCACCCATTTAAAATACGCTCAAGACCTGGCGGGACGAGCTTTCCGAGCCTCCCATGCAGCCAACGCCACTTTATATTTCGTGCGGTATTCCTAGGACGTTCAGTCAAAATCTGACAGTGGACGCAGAAATTAACATGCCTCCCTCTTTAACGCATCAAGGGCCTTCCATGCTGCTCCAACATCTTTACCCACCTCATTGAATGATTTGGCGTAGATGGAGGGATTCTCAGCACGATATTGGGCGGAGAACCTATGCGGAAATGGTCAACACCCCGATTTACTCCAGACAGCGAGAATAGAAAACGGACAGCAGGTAAGGGTTCAAAGGACGCTTCCTCTCTTCGCTGCGATTGTGGATTCGCTTTTTGTTCTTGGCCTTTCGTTGCGCATTTATTCGACGAAGTATTGCAGGATCTGTCTCTTCGAACCATTTATCTCGAGCGATACGCGCTTGGCGCTTCAATTCATTGGACCTCTCGATATAAACCTACGGCGGCCCAGCCCTCCATCAAGATGAAACAAGGCTGGTCATGGAGACTCACCTGTTTCTCGCTTTCAGGTAGTTGGCGCCAAACTGCTGCTGCTGCCAGGACACGTTTAACGGTGGGAAGATTCGGATTGCCAGTCTCCGTGTAGTACAGACTGAAGCTTCCTGGACCGTATCGCGGCGGGTATAGGGATTTGGGAACTGGATGGTATTATAAACGAGGATGAGCAGCGACACACACGCGCGCACCTTTATTGGCTAATATGGGCTTCTTGGGCAAAGTCTTTCCACCTTTATCATTCTTCTTCGTTGTTATGACGCGTTTAGCTGTGGGCTTCGCGGTTTTGGTTTTGGGAGCTTTGGTTGCGACTTTTGTGGTTGCGGTCTTCCTGGCCTTTGACTCCTCCGTCTTAGTCGCCTTTGTGCCTGTGGCCTGAGCTTTCGCCGGTTTCTTCTCTGCTTTAGGCTTGACCGCTGGCTTTCTGGCAGCAGCGGGGAAAGCAAGACGCGTGGTTGATGTCAAATTTCGACGCGTCGTTACTACCAGAGTGAAACGAGACAGTGTAGCGGCACCGCGCACCCTCAATCCGAACCCCGGGACGGCTCGCGAAAGCACGCGAAGAGTCGACATTGGACAGAAACTGAGATATGTAGGTGGCGTGACTTCTGCAATCATGCTTACGTAGTTGTTGACCGGGATTTAGACAAGTCGTTTTATATACAGATAAAGTACGCTGTTGCTTCAATTATCGCTTGCTGCCCATGCCGCTCGAGCTTTTTCAGCTTTGGCTTGGTAGACCTACGTTATCGGTGAGACAAGGAAAAAAATGGTGGTAGGTGAAATAATTACTTTTTTGGCTGCCGAGTCGAGCGCTCTCCATTCAGCTGCAGCTATCTTGGTGATTTCGGACGACGCAAGACCAGGGTGAGAGTGTGTGTCACGATACTCTTTGCTGAAACTAACAAGATGACTAGTTAGAATTGATACGTCCCCCGTTCACACTCACATCAGATAGGACGACAGCAGGGGTCTCTTCGTCCTGTTGTGGTCTATAATTCGTCGTCGATGTTGGGCTTTGCGCTGGGTATTGAGGCGGCGGAGGAAGCCGGGTTCCGCTTCTCTGAACCATTTCTCTCGAGCAGCGTGGGCTTTCGCTCTGGCTTCAACTGCCCGTTGCTTCCAAACCTAAAGGACGCGTATCAGCACGAAAAAACGCCAATGCATGATATCGAACCTCTTTCTCGGTCTCAGTTAATTCTCGCCACTTTGTAGAACCGACTTTGGCGCGTTCAGTCGTGGACAGACCATGCAGTGAGGGATAGAGGTCTGAGAAGAAAAGAATGTACGCGGATGCTCCCAACGGAGGTGGACCCTGAGATTTCTTGATGCGGGTGGCTGTTCATACTCAACAACTAACTGGACATGGACAAAAACAGACGCACATTTTGGCGCGGGTACTTTCTTCTTTGGTCTACCAGCGGACTTGGGTTTTGCCTTGGCTTTGGCCTTCGGTTTGGCTTTGGCCTTTGGTTTGGTTGTGGTTTTGGCCTTTGCGACACGCCCCTTCGTGGTGGATGCTTTCTTGGCAGCAGGGAGAGCCAGTCGCGTGGTGGATGTAAAGTTACGTGTTGGTAGAGAAAGAAGAGGGCGGGAAAGCTGGGCGAGCCCGACAAAGCGACGGGGAGCGACCACAGGCGCTGTTCTCGCGAACAGACGCAAAAATTGCATGGTTACTGGACGAGTTGGTGGTTGATGAAGAACAAAATTTAGAGTCACATGTGCTAAGCGATAAAATATGAACACTCTAAGTAGCTTCTGCTAACGCTGCACTCGCCCCAGCTTCTTCTTCGTCGTCTTCATCCGCTGAATCATCAGCAGCTTGTAAAGGATCATACGCAAGCTCTTCAGGTTCTTCCTCGTCGACTTCCATACGCGTTTTGGTTTCGAACTTGTCTCGTAACATTGCGACTGCCCTGACCGCGCGTTCTACTCTCTGGTCATGAGCCTCTCTTATTTGGGCACACTCCTGAAGAACATCTTCGTATTCAGGTTTCTTGGATGTTACCCCCAGCGCTGATGGAGGCGGCTGAACAATACCAAGTACTCCCAGAGTTCCTCTTGTCGCCAAATGCCCCGCCAGCCGTCGCACAGTGTCGCTCTCCATTTTCAACACATCTGTCGTTTGTTGATTTCGTAACAGCGGGATGACTTCATTGTCAAGTTGCATGTCCGTCATTGGTTTTCGAGGATGTAGTGCAAGTCCCTCGAATGGATTTGGTGGGGGTTTGTGATCTAATGTAGGATCGCGTTGACCAGCCTGCAGTGGCGACACAAGGGCATTTGAGAAGTTCTGTGTTTGGGAAAGAATGACATGGTATTTGGAGAGAATATCGGGCCACGGAGGAATATAGTTTTGATAACTGCCTTCTATCATGCGCTGTAGTGCAGAAACAGATTCGATTATCTGGTTGGCTTTGTGTCTTAGGGACTCGAGCTGGTCTATGGGAAGGTCTGACGTCGCCATAAGGAGCGCGTTGGGAACGCGTCGAGTCCAGAAGAAAGAAGGTCACATGTGGTCACAATAGAAAGAGAAAAGTCATCATAATTTCTGGCTAATCTCTGTGATATCTACGACCTGTGCATGTCCTGGATACGTTGGCAAGTTTAGCTGATGGCGCTCCACAAGTGCTCTGGAATACTGTTATCGGAACACATTTAATGGTGGGCTGTGAACGTACTTCGGTACGAATCTTCCACCGAGAAAGTGGCGGCCACGAAAGGATTTGACGCCTTCCTTTGGCGCTGTTAAGCTTATGAGGACATCTGGATCCAGCCCCACTCCAGCGTTATTCCCAGCTTCCACATCCCAGCCAGAGGGAATGTCAACAGACACGATAGGAAGGCCAGAGGAAGATATCAACGGGAGTGCTGTGTCAAATGGAGCTCGAATAGGCCCTTTGAAAGAGAAGCCAAAAATGGCATCAAGGATTACATCGGAAGTCTTCAAAGCTGCAGGGAGATCGTCCAAGGTAGGTATGTCAAGGTTTTTGCATTGTGTGTGTAGACGCTGTGGAACGGTCTGCCGGACATCAAGATGGGTAGAAGGAAAGTACTTGATAGATATCCTTCGAGCCCGGCTGACAAGATCACGGTCTTCAATTGCAGATTAAGAGCAGACTGGAGGAAATAAACCTTGGGCATGTAAATCGAAGGTTTGTATCCAAACATGGCTGAGTGAGTTCAGCCGAAAGAGTATATTGAAGAGTTCTTGTCACCTAAATGTCGAGCTGCAACGAGACCATCGCCACCTAAAGAGATGCCAGTGTGGGGCTGATAGGTGCGCGACCACGGTTTTTTACCTTGATTTCCGGGACCACAGCAAACAAGGACGCGATTGAACCTCTTGTTATCAGGGTAAACCGTCGATAGCGTTTGCGCGCATGCTAGTCCAGCAAGTTCCATGAGCTTCAGAGTGAGATATGGGGAGGGTTGCGTATACTGTGTCAGTACCTGGTCAAGGCTGAATGCCCCAGCGGCATTCATTAGTTCATCATCAATCTAATTTGTTAGAGTAGGACATCTCAAGCAGGGCTTCGTACTTGTTGAGCCAATCGAGCGGACAAGTAACGAAGAGCCATGCGATCACGTGAGATGACCACATTGGAACGTAACATCTTAGTCAGGGAAGATGACTCTCGAGTAAATTCCAGCAGTCTTGAAGTCGATACAAGCCATCCCACACTCTATGGTGACGAAGGAATCTAGGAGAAATAATGTGACCCTCCTTGCTGGGAGGAAGGTGATATATTCATATGTGCCCGCGGATTCGAACTTGCTCAAGTATGACAGGCTTGCGCGGAATGCTATCGGTCAGTCGAATGTTTTCCTGCCTAGCACAATTCACTCAGTCCATGCCGCAGACTCAAGCTTAAATGTGACCGTAAGGTTCCCTGCGAATCATGCAGTAGGTTTTTGTCCCTTTCCCGTTGTGTCGCTGTTGTTTACCAATGTCAGTCCGTAGAGGTTGTGACTCGCTTTGTCCCAACGGTTGGCGGTGCTTCTAACAAGCAACTATTCATTGTGGCTTATGTGCATAGGTGTCTTAGTCTCCGTTGGACGTGGAAAACGGTCTGGCTCACTGCATGAATTTGAATGCAATTTCACCTACACCCAGGTCTGTCAAATCTGATGCGCCGATACTCACCGAGTACATCTCTCGAATGAGCGAACGACTACTCCAACTGGAAGCGGCACTTGAAGCACACGGAGCCACTAAGGAAACCATCGTCGCTCATCGGCTGGCTGAACATGACATCAACCTCCTCTCGCTGCCAGACAAAATGGGAGCCATGAGTGTCAATGCTGATGGCGATGCCGTGTACTTTGGCTCCACGGGCGGTCCCGAGGTATGTTCATGACCTAGAAGCACGAGCCGGTCTGCCTAGAACACTACATATATAGGCATTGCTGGCTCTACGTCGTCCAGCTACTTTCCCTGCTTCGGCCGACTTCCCTCAAATGGAACCTGCATCGGAGTTTGGCTGTTTTTCTTCGGCCAAGTTATCATATACTTCCAAGTCTGCATATTCCGATGCCGCTTTACCTCCAACGCTGGAGGACTTGTACAGCTCACTGCCATGTCAAGAACGCGCACAGACGCTATGTCAACTTTACTATCAACACGGTTGCTGGTTTGTCATGGGGCTGAGGCAAGACGAGGTGGTCGAGCTTTTCGCCGCCATTTACAGCGACAACCAGGTTATAACCCAAGATCACCTCGCGTGCGCGTTTTTCATTCTGACAATCGGCGTCCTACTGGATCTCGATCTCTCTCCCAATGACTCCACTGCGGATTTTTACTTCGAGATGGCTTGTGAAGCCATGTCGTTGTCGCACAACTCTGACACCGGCGACAAACCTTTCCAAGTTTCACGTATACAAGCCCTGTTGCTTCTGGCAATCGTATATTCACACGGCGGGAAACAGTTTTCAACTGAGCGAGCATGGGCAGTTGTTTCTATGGCTGATAGCGGCGCCAAAACGGTATGAACTGCATTGTGATTTCCCATGGACGGACATCTTATCTTCCTATAGCTTGGCCTGCGTAGGTCATCTTCAGTTACTCTTCTTGGTTGATGACCACCGCCAGATCTGGCTACGACGTATGCGAAAATGGAACGACAGAAGGCATACCGGCTTCAAGTCAGTATCTGCATTCCATTTTATGTGCTGAACGAGTAGATAGGCCCTGTACTGGGATATATATTCGCTGGAGAGCGCGTGTGTAGGTCACTCCCACCTCAAATCGTCACTTGTTTGACGTGGCTCGGTGTTAGTGTTTAACGCTCGGGAGGCCCCCAACAACCCTATCAACCGACATCACATGCCCCCAACCAGAAGATATTCCCGAAGAGGGCCAACCTTTCGTCAAAATCCAACCCGGCTGTAGGTTTGCTTTACTGTGACGGCTGCCGAACTCACGGTCTCTGGTACAGTTTGTGTCGCGCGATGGAGACACACTACAGAAGTAAATCTAAATATCACGCGGCTGACACGAAACTAACTGTGGGCCGAGGTTGTTGTCCCCATCCTTGAAGCGTTTCTCCCGGTGAATGGGAAACCCAGTTACAAGCGCTTATTCGAAATCGACCACCAACTCCGCAAGTATTATGTCCATTCCCCATTTCTTAGCTATCCTCTCCCAACTCCCACAACTGCAAAAGCCAACACGCGTGGACAAAATGCCAGCGCTTTCATGCAGAAATATCTGGTACCAATGTTTTGCAAAATTAGTAATTTTGCTTTTTTTTCGGCAAACTGTTTGCCTTTTGTGCTCAAGTTGTTGCAGCACTGATGCATCTGCACAACGCCTACTTCGTCCAATTGCTGCAAGATAAGCCTGATGATCCAATCAACCACCCTTTGTTGCCTTCTTTCATGGCAGCCTACCGTGGCGCCGCAGAGGCAATAAAAGAAGCGTCGGATTATGTGGCCAGTTGTCCGGAACTCTTCAGTCGGTGGTGGATAGTATGGAAAGATCGTGCGTGTTGGTGTTTTATTGATGTGCCCCCTCTCCTCACCACACGATAGTCTTCACCGCAGCGGTTATCGTCGGAAACGTTGCCACAAACTATCCTACCTGTCGCATGGTTTTCAACGCTATTGATGTCCTGTTGAAAGCCGTTGAATTATTGGAGTTTGGCGCATTGTCTTCTCAGCGAGCAAAAGACGGCTTGGTTCGTTCTCACTGTTCCGACACCAATTTGTTGACTGATTCCCGATAGCCTTTGCTGCGTAGTTTGCGCGAAAAAGCCCTGTCCATCCATGCCCAAGTCTCCCAATCCCCATCCTCCTATTTTGTTCCTGGGTCGGGAAAACCAAACTGCACTGTCGAATTAGAGATTTTTGCGGGACACACGCGGGTAGTCGCCAACAACGGACTGATAGACCGCCTGGAGGAAGAAGTAGCAAGTAGACGAGGCAAAATGGCTGCTCGCGGTCATCTAGTTGGGGAAGCAGTGGTCGGTTTGTCTTGGCTCTCAACGCCATCAACAGCTTTGTCGGGTTTGGGGACACTGGAAGAGGCTTCCTATGAGTCTTTACCGGTCTGAATCACTGTGAAAAATTCGCAACTGGAGACATGATACATCAGATAATATACAAATCTGGAATAATGAGAGACGGAAAGACAAATTTGTTGCCGAACCTATAATTCAAACCAGGGAAATGTTGTTGATTTTACGTCGGCGAATGGCAATCCTCTTCGAGTGGTCTTGAGGCCACGAACAGGCGCTGTGAAGGAGCAACACGTCGAGTCACGTGTGGCACACCCACCAAAACGCCGACCCGCATCATCGACATTAACTGTGGACCCAGATCAGGTTAGCGAGCCGCGAAAAGTCAGACATTGCCATACGTTATGAGCGGCATTTGAGTGCCGATATACTCCCCCAAAGAACGCATTAGTCACATCTTTTCCAGAGTTTCGTGTTAGATGGGTGGCCCCACCAGGATGTTCGTCTATGAAGGCCGAGACGTCGTGAATGAACCCAGACACCTAGCCAATGAACTTGAATGCAGCTCCGTCCACGAATTCGAACGGGTACCAGAAGGAGGGGTCGTTTCATCGACTCTTCATCGACTAGGAAAGATGATAAGCACCACAAACCAAACAAAAGGTGCACCCCAAGTCGTACATGCTTCTTGGGAAAAGGCCGGCAAGGTCTCTTCCGTGTCTGGCCAGACGATCGTATCTTGGAGCTGCTTGAGTTCTTTCAGCTTCATAGTCAATGTGCCCTTGGCGATTTCGTTGCTCGGAAATACCCGCAGGTTGCTTGCAAGGCCGATCAGTTTGCACGTTGCAATGAACCACTTTATGGGAGAGTCAAAACAGAGACTTCAGACAAGGATCTTCGCACCTTCGTTGGATCGTACTGCCACCAGCCAATTGCATTACGATAGTCCATGGGGAATTGGTGGTGAAAGTTGTGATAGCCTTCGCCCATCGTCAAAATGGCTGGACAACTTCGAGTCAGTGGCAAGGATTGACTGTCAGAGACAAGTATACCTGACAAAAAATGATCTCTTGGACTGAGCTCGTCGTCGTAGGGGGTTGTCCCAAGATAATGCGCGATGGAATTGATGGCAAAAGTACACTTGATGCCTCATTAGCGTTCTGCGGAAAAACGGGTCCAGCTTTACACACGTGATGAGCGATGGCCAGTCTCATCGCTGCGGAAAAGCATATCCCTCCCTTCAATCAGGTTAAACTCGGCCTCCCAAATCAATGACGGTGTGATACCCATGGGTCGTTCCAGAATAGAGCGGGGATCATGGCTGGAACAACGATGCCAAAGAGTGCTGCAAGGAAGAAGTAGTTTCGATGAGTCCATTGCACCAAAACATCCTTAGTTAGGTCTGATGCGTCAACTGGACCTGACCGCAGCTTGGTTTTGAAGACAATCCAGCCGACATGAGTCCACAGGAGACCTCGCTGCATTCGTTCAGGCCAAGAGACGACGGGACTTGTATTTTCCCATTTACCGTGGAATCATACGGGTCTTTGTCGGTGTCTGTCCTGTCGCAGTGTGACTGACAATAAATTTTATGAATATCAGCGCGTACCATCTGTGGTGTGAACGATGACCCCTAGCCCACCAGTAACAGGACCCTTGGACTGCACTCGTTCCACCGAGAAGGAGGAACACACGGAGGGCAAGACAGGCATCGTATGACCGATGAGAATACAGCCGATGAAAACCTGACGCGTTGACTTTGGGTAATCTCTAACTAAGGAAGTATGCGCACCAGCAGTTATTCCTGTTTAGAGCAAGTCAGTTCTTCGAAGACGCGTCATCTGAAAAGCTGCGCACCAAACATGGAAAAGAGGTAATAAGCCAACGAAAAGGCACAGGTTTTGCGGTCCAGAGGCACAAAGACAAGTCCCAGACACGCGACGAGAGGGGTCAAAAGCAACACAGCGACATTAAACCATCGAATGCCGACGATGGGCGGGAAACGCTGGCGATCGGGGTCCATTTTGAGGGTGAGGGAAAGAAGGCCTGGATGGAATTTGCTACATCGGCTTAAAAGGGCCTGATGAGTCCCTCCCTCTGGGAAAGAAGCTCGCACGGCGACGCGTCCCTTTCAAGTTCTATTTTATTTTTTTTACTTGTGCCGAGGTTATTGGCCAGTTCGAAAAAAAATCCAGTTGGCGTTTGCGTTATCTCCTTCCATCAGACGCCGAGGGGAGACGGGGATAGCTTCGCTTTCAATTGCGAGGGCCGGGGAAAGGTCTAGAGACATGGGGGTCAAGACCAAGCCGCATATTGCCGTGCCGTCAATTCAAGAGTACCTGGTCAAAAAAAGCCTAATGCCACGCCAAACCGAGTCTTATTCTAAAGCTTATGTTCATGCTGCTCCGCCGTCGACGAACATCCATCCATCTGAATCTCCGAATAAATTACTATTCTGGGACGACATGGCGCGGGCGCTTTCTCAATTAATTTACGACTGATGTGCGCATGCTCCCCAAGTAAAGTCGGTCCTATCGCCGTCTGTTTCCTATCATGGCGTCATTATTTTTGGTTTTTTTTTTGACAAGTTACAAAGGTTTTGAGGGTACGAATGCGAGGGAGAACATGCTGAAAGCGTCTATGTTTCTAATGACCCTTGGCCTTGGCTGCCATCTACGGATAGACAAGTCAGTTGGATATTGACAAGGAGAGGACTATCATACCAAGTTGAGAGCAGATCCTGCCTTAAACCATTCGATTTGACCCTCGTTGAACGAGTGAGCAAGAGGAAGCTCCTAAAATTGTTATCAGTTCATCAAAGTTCGGGAATACATGAGAGCAAAATCCAACCTCCTTCGAACCATCGGCATGCTTTAGGACAAGCGTTAAATTTTTTCCCGGAGCAAATGTGTCCAAGCCGACGATGTCGACGCGGTCGCTTGGTTGAACTTTGTCGTAGTCGGCAGGCTCGGCAAAGGTAAGGGCTAGCATTCCTTGCTTCTTCAAGTTGGTCTCGTGGATACGCGCAAACGAGCGAACGATGATAGCAAGGCCGCCAAGATAGCGAGGCTCCAAAGCCGCATGCTCACGAGAGGACCCTTCGCCGTAGTTGGAGTCACCAATAACAACCCACTTGATGCCTTTCTCCCGGTACTCAGCTGCAACCTTAGGAACGCCTCCCCACTCGCCCGTCAATTGGTTCTTAACTTTGTTAGCCTCGCCATTCTCAGAGTTGATCGCTCCAATCAAGCAGTTTTCTACAAGAAACTCAGTTTGACCAAACAAATGGTGGTGGGAGACGCACGAGAGATGTTTTGGAGGTGTCCGCGGTACTTGAGCCATGGTCCACCAGCACTGATATGGTCTGTAGTGCACTTGCCCTTGACCTTGATCAAAATGGGGAGATCTTTGGGTTCACCAGACCACGGTTGGAAAGGTTGGAGGAGTTGAAGACGATCGCTCTTGGGGTCAACAGCAACCTGAACACTAGCACGATCTTCTGGTGGAGGTTGGAAAGTGTTTTCACCCGGGTCATAGCCACGAGGAGGAAGCTCGAAACCGGTAGGAGCAGAGAATTGGAATGGCTTGCCGTCAGAGCCGGTGAGTGAGTCGGTAAGAGGGTTGAAGGAGAGGCTGCCACCGAATGCCATGGCAGTGACAATATCGGGAGAAGCAACGAAAGCATGGGTGGCGGGATTCGCGTCGTTGCGGCCAGTGAAGTTACGGTTGTAAGAAGTGATGACTACAGAATCCTTTGTCACTTATCAACTGATAAGAAATTGCCGATGACTTACTCGAGTTGGCCACACCCTTTTCGACATCCTTGCGGTCCCATTGACCAATGCAGGGTCCACAAGCATTGGCGAGAACAACACCGCCAACGGATTCGAAGACACCAATCTGACCATCACGCTCAATAGTGGCACGAACTTGCTCAGAACCGGGAGTAATCGTGAATTTGCTCTTGAGCTCGAGACCATGAGAAGCAGCCTCCTTGGCGATAGCGGCCGAGCGAGACATGTCCTCGTACGAAGAATTGGTGCACGATCCAATAAGGCCAACCTTAAGTTCATCTGGCCAGCCATTCTTCTTAGCCTCAGCCGCAAATTTGGAAATGGGAGTAGCGAGATCTGGAGTAAAGGGTCCGTTAATGTGAGGCTCGAGTTCAGAGAGATTCTGTCATGACAAGTCAGCAAAAATCATAGTATGATAGAACAGACGCACGATGTCGATGACTTGGTCGTACTCGGCATTCTCGTCGGCTTTCAAGTTGTGGGCAAATTGGGAAGCATATTGAGCAATCTGTTGTCGCTTGGTTGCGTTCAGATAGTCAGCCATACGATTGTTGAAAGGGAACAAGGACGTGGTTGCGCCAATTTCTGCACCCATGTTGCAGATAGTAGCCATACCCGTGCAAGAGAGGGATTCAACGCCAGGACCCTTATATTCGACAATGGCGCCAGTTCCACCCTTAACGGTGAGGATGCCTGCCACTTTCAGGATAACGTCTACAAAAGGTTAGTGTCTGTACTAGGAATGGGGAAAGACGCACCTTTGGGAGTTGTCCAGCCACCAATTTTTCCCGTCAAATTGACACCAATGACCTTGGGGCACTTGAGTTCCCAAGGTATATCAGCCATGACGTCGACCGCATCAGCGCCGCCAACACCGCACGCAATCATGCCTAAACCGCCAGCATTGGGAGTATGCGAGTCGGTTCCAATCATAAGACCACCAGGGAATGCGTAGTTTTCCAGAATAATTTGGTGAATAATACCAGAGCCGGGTTTCCAAAAGCCGAGTCCATACTGTAAACGAGATAAGTGAAAAAAGTAACCCTGGCTTTGTGCAGCGTACTTTAGCGGTTGCAGTCGCCAAAAAGTCATAGACTTCCTTGTTGATGTCGATAGCGCGAGCCAAATCCTTTACACCGCCAACTTGGGCTTCGATAAGGTGGTCACAATGCACGGTAGTTGGGACCGCGGCAGTGGGCATGCCGGCTGACATGAATTGCAGGAGAGCCATCTTGCTTGACATGAGCATGCGGAACAAGGACGCAACGAAACCGACTCACTTGAGCAGTCGCATCCTGGCAAGCAACTCGCTGTAGGCCGGAGAGACTTGTTAATGCTTTGAAAGACTAATAAGAGAGTAGAACTGACGTCTGGACGGAGCTTCAGATAGCTGACACCACGCTGAATGTCTTGACCATGCGGGTCGTCGAGATGGCCATACAAAATCTTCTCGGACAACGTCAGTGGGCGTTGTAGGCTGTTAAAAGTGCGAGTTAAGTTAAAATGACCAAGGGAGGATAAGCAGTGTTTATTACCGGTCGCGCACGATGACAAGGTTGTCCTCGATTCGCTGGTAGTTGATGTAGGCACCCTTCTCGAGAAGCGACATTGGGACTTTGGTGTCACCAATTCTTGGGGCAGCAGTGGCCATTCCCGCCGCCCATCGCTGCAAGGCGCGCATGGCACCGGCGGTCCGGTTGGAAAGGTTGAGCATTATTGCTCGAGGGCGAAAAGTGAGGAGGAAAGATGATGTCCGAATCAAATCACGCGCTGGCGTTTTATCCTCCTCGTGAATCTGCACCAATCACATTGCGGCAATTTACAGTACCACCTCTTTTACTCGGTTTTTCACTCATTTTGGCTTAACGCTCCGTCTTTGAAGCGTCCTCGGTCTGCAGGCCAGTAAACATCAAGTCTGCAGGCCACCCGGCACAAGTTAAACCCGACATTTATCATTCTCCGACTCTTTCCGATAGTAGGTGTGATGTGATTCAAAAACCTCAGAACAAACTCTCAAGTCTCGAAAACATTCTCTAAACAAGGACGAGAGTTATAAGTAGACAATGTAGCACGATGTGAGCGTCCATAACAAAAAGGCGGAGTTAGAAGCAGGAATAATGTTCAGAGACTAATCTAACCGCGACGCGAGGGAATATAAGCACGTTTCGGAGTAGGAATTGCTTGAGAGATCAAGCCAGGAATGGCCTTGGCAACATCCGATCCACAACCACAGCTGCTCAATCCAGGGACGCCGTTGACGCCGTTGAGTAGTTGGTTGAGCAGGTCTTTGACATCACTCAATAACGGCGCACCACAAGAACCGAGGAGACCATTGAGCAGATTGTCGATATCTAGACCCCGGCGAAGGCCACCCAAGCCTCCGAGCAAGCCTCCAAGTGGACTGCTCGATCCACCACTGACAGGTAAACTTCCTGCAGGAGCACTTCCAGTCGTCGCGCCATTGAGTAGACCACCGACAACAGGAAGACTTCCAACAGGATTATTTCCACCGGTCAGCGAGCCCACAGAATTCGTAATAGAACCGACGGGATTTGTCGAGGGCACCCGTCAACGAGCCAACAAGGGGTAGTCCTTGACCGAGGGCAGGTAATGCACTTCCAAGTTTGTTAATATCAACACCGCCAGGACCCAACTGGACAATTCCATCGCCTCCAATCAACGGTTTACCCAAGAGGCCTTTGACGAGGTTGTTAACCACACCAATTAAACCGTCATTGCAGCTGGGACCACCTCCCCCATTTATCTTGACCGCAAGTTGGAGAGTGAGCAAGCCGAGAACGTTGATTGCATCAGGTGATGGTACAGTGACATCCATAGAAGGAGGGGAAATCGGGACCGAAGGGACAATGGCAGATGGAGGGATTGACCCGGGTAGAGCCTTTGCAACCTCTGCGCCACAGCCACACGCATTTAGACCACCGAGTAGTTGACCCAGAAGATTCTCGACATCATCAAGCAAGGGCTTGCCGCATGATCCAAGCAGACCATCGAGGAGACCATTCAACAGATCTCGGCGACGGAGTCCACCGAGCAGGCCTCCCAATAAAGGCAGGCCGCTGACCGCATTACTTGCGGGTAATGGAGGTAATGCACTCGCGAGCTTGTTGACATCGACACCACTCGGGCCAAGTTGAACGATTCCATCACCCCCTATGAGTGGTTTGCCCAAAAGACCTTTGACGAGGCCATTCACCGTTCCTATCAGACCGTCATTGCACGTAGGGCCGCCGCCGCCATTGAGTTTAACGACAAGTTGCAGTGTGAGCAAACAGAGAACATTAATCGTATCAGAAGGAGGCGGAGATGGGCTGCTGATCGAAACGGAAGGAGCCGGTGGTGCTGGTAAACTTGGGGATGGTAGACTTGGAAGACTGGCCATCGATGATGAAGATCCAGAACCCGGACCCACAGAGGTACCGTTACCAGGCGGGGGCAGTCCAACACAACAAGTCGGAAATGGAATGGGTTGTAGTCCGAGCCCAAGAGAATTGACGACGCCTTGCAGCGTGCTCGTTAATCCACCGCCCAATCCACAGACAAGGAGAGGCGAGACATAAACAGAGGGCAAAAGGCCACAAACGACATTCGTGAGCGTTACGTCAAGGCAAGATGGGGGAGCGGGGACGGTGGGAGGAGTTCCGCCAGGACAAAGAGAATTTACGCTAAGAAGCGAATCCAGGAGCTTTTGAATGGAAGACAAGAGACCCCCGCTGCATTGACTGCAACCAGCTTGGGCTGTCTTGGTCGCATCAATAGCATTTTGCACATTTGGAACGAGCTGAGTCGGATCCGTTGTTCCGAGTACATTGTGAACTTGGTTGAGAACTGGCTGGGTAACATCAGCTGGAGCTCCAGGTACAGAAGCCACCCCATTCGCTGCGCTGATGACATCACTAAGAGGCTGGGCAAACGTGGAAGGGAGCGCCGCAGAAGTGAGAGGGCCAGAAATGGCACCGGCAGGTCCCGAGCCAAGGACGCCATCGAGGAGACCGCGAACAGCTTTATTTTGCTTCGAGTCACAGCCATTTCGTTTGGTGTTGACGCTGAACCCACGACGGCACTTTTGAACGACACATTTGCTATTTTTGCAGCTGACACTGTGTGCGTTGCGAATAGCGCCACACTCTTCTCCCACCGCAGAGCGAGCGTCGGGCTGGAAGGGATGCGGGATCAGACACCCTCCACCTAATGTAGCATTAGCATTAGACAACACGGAGATTGGGTCCGAGATTTGGCTTACAGTTATCGAAGTCGGTTTCCGTGTTGATGCATTCAAAGTCATACGAGTGTCTGGGATGAGCGGACCCACAAACAGTTTTCGAAGGACCACAGTGGATTTGTGCTTTTTTGAGGGTTGTGATATTGATGTCACGTTTGCGCGCTCGGGGTAGACCAGAAGGACCAGTTGGGCAGGAAGTCTGTCGTGAGCTGTAAGCAAAGGAAAGATGAAATTTCAACGAAGAACGAACGCCAGGCACACAAACACCATTGCAGCGAATGAAACCGTCCACACAAATGTAGGGCCCCGAGCCGTCACAAATGCGCATCTCGTTGGGCGGGGGTCGATTGTACGATGTCAGAGCATTGACCTGGAAGCAGGTTGAGAGTTGAAAGGAACAGTAGCAAAGGCGTACCTTGGCGTTAACATCTGCAATTTGTTGATTTTGAAGATTCACATCGTCGTGGGTTGCAAGGTAGATGTCAAGGCCCTAAAGAGGAAAACTAAGACAGCGTCGCAAGAACCGTTTGTGGGCCTACCTGAAGGCACAAACAAAGAGCAAGTTCAACATCGATTGGGATACCAAGCAAATTCAGACTGATGTCGCTACCAGGCGGGATGACAGCACAAAGGTCGAGAAGATCGCGTTTAGCATGTCGAGTGGGCACAACACTGATAGCCCGGACAGTTGTGAGCGCGACAAGGAGTGTGAGTGTGAGACGCATAACAAGAGAAGAGAACGAAAGGAATGTCCGCAATAGTGGGAGTTCGGACTAATCTTGACTCTGTAGGTTCCCTTGATTTATAGCAGAGTCTTGCTCGGAAGAGCGACTAGAAGCTGCTGCCAACGGACTCAAACTGCTCCACTTGGGCGAAGAGTTGGGCCCGGTCTGGTGCCTGGTGACGCTGGCCTGAAAGAAGGCTGCTGAACGATTGGAAAAAACATGAGTTTTTCGTCGTACTCTCTCTGTATTTCGAACAAAGAGGTGAGCTCATGGCGAATTAACTGGAAGGTTGGGTACCTGTTCTACAAGTGACTGTGTGCCACTAGTCTGACCCGTAGTCGAGGATCACTATCCCAAACGCGAGTGGCAAACTTCGCATCTGCCAGCCGATTGAATTTGAGTGACCATTTGCCGCCTTTCTGAATGTGGTGGTCCTAAGTACTAAGTAGTAAGTACTGAGCTTTGTGTTCAGCAGTGACGACAAGTCACACCACGATTTTTCAGTTTTTTCAAGTTCACCAAAATCCATGCTTTCGAGTCTGTAAATCTCAAACAACTAGCAAACAAGCTTCATTTCGGCCGTGTACCGACTAAGCACCAACCTCAACTCCTCAACCTCGGGACCTCTCTTATCGGCACCAGAAAGTTTACGGATCAATCGATCAAGCCTCGATTGCTCCAATCGAACCACAAAGTTTGATTGGCTGCAGACATCCGTTGCAGTCAACCGTCAACTAAGTAGTGCTACATAATGTATTGCCAACAAGGCACTTCTAAAGATCATGAAAACATGCACAACGAACCCATCGAAGAATGCAAACCAGTCGCACCCTTTCCATGACATGATGTCATCCCCCGTTTGGTTCTCTTCGTCTAGGCAAACTTTCTTTGTCGGTGATCAATCACTCTAATAGGCTGAGGGAAGAAACATCATGCATCTATGGCCGTCAGGTTTGATAACTCTGGAGCATCACCTCAACTCTCATATGAGCTCATAGTAATGCCACAAAAAAGGAATTGGCCACATGCCTCAACAACCATATTTATGACTTTCCCTCTCTCCCACCATCCTGACAATGAAGCACACCCATCACCCACCGACGACGGGTACTTCTGGCTATGACCAGACAGTGTCTGCATCAAGACCGGGTCACTTTCGTCGCGCTGAAAGCCAAAATACCCGATATATGAACATGTTACTGGCCCTGGATAGCATCCCACGAACATATAATCTTCTGGCCGCGTTCTTCACGTGGATCCTCCTAGCCGGCTTTGTGCTCCTTCCTGGGACGTTTACCAGTCTGCAAAACGCTGATTTGAGTGAGAGTAGTAACAGCACCAAAATTCTTGAAGCAATTCAGCATCTACCTCTGTGAGTAGCGGCGCGTCAGGCTCATACCCAGCCGTCGTCACAGCGCTAGTCCTAGATGTATTTACAAGCTAAATCCGAAAACTTGATATAATACCGAATACCGCCGAGCTGTGACAAGAGTGACGGGGGAATTTGGGTTGCGCGCTCTGGGTCACGAATGAGCGTGTCGAGCTCGGCGGAGAAGATCTGAGAGGTCGTGGCCATGACCCAGTGAAGGGTATCGCCGTGGGTGTGAGTTGCAGCGAGCAGTTGGGCCGGGACTGCATACAGACTCTCTACGAGTGGCGGGACTCGAGAGTCAATGACAAGCGCGGGGGCATTCTCCAGAATGAAGCCCGTGAATTGGGCAAGGGAGAGGTTGGCGCGGGCAAGAGCATCGTGCAGCGCGTCAAGTACACCGAGAGCAGCCCGGGCGTCAAGAGCCATGGCGGTCGTCGTCGGCGTCTGCGTCACAGGAGCATCCGGGGATAAATGCACCGCTTCGGTGCTCGGTCCGGGCTACCTGCTCCAGCCCTCTTGCAGAGCGCAACCCCCCCAAAACCGTCACATTTGTCACACATTTTGATTTTACCCTAAAACTGGGGCTGGGTATGAGCCTGGCGGCGCGTCTGACAGAGCGAGCTAAATAGCAGCAGATTTGTAATCGCGTTTGTTTGCACCGGAATTGGTGCATTTGGCATGCTCTGGCTTTGGTGGCGTTGGAGTAGAAATTACATCTGGCTTAACAACCGAATTTTCATGTGTGTCTTTGATGCTACCTGATTAACCAGGTCCTCACCAAACAACAGCCCAGGAGCGCTGAATTCACTGGCGGGAATCGTGTCCACACTTGTGAACGTTTATGGCGTGCAGCACAGTGAATTTTCCAAGACGGCCAAGGTCACGCTTATTGCGACGTTGGCTTCTGCCGTTGTTTGCGGCGGACTTGCGCTTGTGTACAGCATGTGCTTGCTCAAGAGGGTCCGAAAGGCTCATAATCGACAAATAGGGCGTGAAAGGGCGGGGAGACACGGAGAAGGGATTCTGGAGGAGATAAAAAGGAAAGCGAATCAGATTGAGCCAGAGGCCGGAATTATGTAGATATGACGGACCTAGAACCAAACCTGATATAGACATTCTCAGACTGCTTCAGTGTTGAAAGCCATGCAATTGGAGTGTTCGAATACATTTCGGAGTGCAGACCGTTATGAGGTTAGGAGATGAGCGACTTTCTGTTCCACATCCTGCGCCGATAGGTTGTCCAGCTCTACATGTCGCTCGACACCCATCTCTGCGAGAGTTGTGTTCATGACTGTTAGATTGGTTCATGATAAGGTGCGCACCGAAACGAGCAAATGCACGGGCCGGTGTCCCGCTAGCTTCTCTTATGAGGACAGGCAAGTCAGGGTTATGTTGCTTAATAGTGGGGTATTTTGAGAGGATAAATTCTCTGCACAGACAATCCATGAGTATTCCGAGTCGGAAAGTGTTGTACCTTGTGCCTGCTGAAGCGGCACCTGTTTGAGAGAATAGAACGCGTATTTCCCGGATAGCTGGAGAAAAGGCTTTCGAGAACGACATGAGCAACGAGCAACGCGTAACACGTCACGCCGAAGAATATCTCACTTCAACAGACTACAACACACTCTGACATCTGCTTCTGGGAAATCGCCGACTTGACTCTTCAAGCGGCGTTATGTCTCCAATTTGGATGATCGTACCTGCCTGAAGCTGCGATTGGTATATATACTTTGTGCTGCTTGGACAGTCGACATGAGGAGCGCCTACTATGAGCTCTACCAATTCTACCTCGTCTGACTTCTATGGTACGACACTTCCTTGTGCTGGAATTCATGCCGCCCTAACCCCGAGCATGGAAAGGTTGTTGGGGCAACAGCAAGGATGCAGTTTCAACCTGCTGCCATCTTTTTGGTGGGCTGTTAATCGCCCTGCCTGATGCAACGTCTCAGGGCTGCACCTATAATACTGGGACTCATTTTCTACCGGATGATGGCTCCGGCTCACCCAATTCTACCAATGTTCTGTGGGCCAATTGTGTCACTCAGCACTTCAATGCTACTCTAGATGGAAAAAATGTGCTGACAGCTTGCGAAAATACACGGAGCTCTGCGGTCACGATAACGAGCATTCCATCGGCGACTGCGACGTCCAGAGCAAGGACGAGAAGTTCACGAGGGCATTTGGCGTTGGTTGGAACGTTGCTGGTGCATTTCTTGGCTTGTTGAACCAATTTTCTTCTATTTTTGTTCATTCTGTCATGGACTACATATCTAAGTATCCAACTTCATATGTCGGCGTATTAGAGGCGAGTAGAGGCAGCAAATGGCTTGGAGAAAATTTGGACGGTGAGAAAAAAATTGACATGTGGAAAGGAAAGTGTGACAGTTGTTGACGACCCGTTTCAACGATGGACGGCGACCAACAGCAAGACGATTGGGCGAGCAGCCGCAAGAATCGCTTACCGTCATTCACCGAGGTTTTATCTCGCCGAACGCGACCTCCAGTCGACCTGTTCATGTTCTAGTTCGTTTATATTGCGCCAATTTGGGTAGCAACGCGACTGATCTTTGCTCTCCAGTCTTTTCCTGCAACGCGAGGGCGCAGAGGACATTCTCGACTTCTGGCTTGATGTACAGCAACACGAAAATCTCTGTCGGGCCTACTTTAAAGACGTTCGCAAGTCAGGTCGGACAATCAAGGAAGACTGGCCACAATATTGGGATTATGCTCGCCGTAGAGGTTCGATCTACGGCACGGTCGTTGGAATGAATCCGGAGGGTGGGGCAGCCACAAAGCGGAGTACTGCGAGCACGGGAGAACTCCTGTCAGACCAGGACAGACGAAACTTGGCTGAAGCGGATGAGAAATATGGTGGCGCTTCAGTTTCTCCCAATACTCGAGTCGCGTCGACCTCTCCCGATGTTGGTCGCTCGCCCTCTCCGTTTGGTGTTGGTGGCGTCGGCCGAACTCCAACCTTGTTCACGATGAAACGAGCGTCGCGAGCTCCAACCATCATTCCTCGTTCAGCAGCTATCACTCGCCTCAACCTTATCGCCTCTGCCGAGCGAATATACTACCGTTATCTCTCTCCAGCGGCCAACACTGTTAACTCCTCCGAGAATCACGAAATTTATTTGCCACCCTCGCTGAGAATCCATTCGTTCCCTCTCAGTTCGTCGCAAGAGCCAAGGTCAACTGCTGAACTCAGTCTCATGGCCCAAATTCCCGATTTGTTCCATGCCCAGAAGGAGTACTGTTTCCGAGCCATGGAGCAAGACGCCTTCCCTCGCTTTTTGCGCTCCAAGGCATTCGGCAATCTCACCCCTGTGTCTTCGCTGGTTCGTCTTATTGTCGGACTCCTAGCGCTCTGGGTTGGTCTGGCAGCCGCATTCTCCCTCATATTCTTGGACGTGCAGCCAAAATCAAAGCGATTTTTCGTAGGTCTTCTTAGTTGTTAAACTAAGCACCCTCTTCTCACTTTCTGGTTAGCTGTTCATCCCATTCACGATCGCCATCCTCTGTCTGGTATCACATCAATACGAACTGGACCCCATCCTCGTATTCTTTGGCCAATCTGAAACAACACCCTTTCGCACCCTCACTATTCGCGAACCGTATGTCAAGAAACTGTTGCTTGGCCGTGCCATCTGGGTGTCGATCCTTGTTATGGCCTTTGTCGCAGCGCTCACACTCCTTTTCTGGGCGGTTCCAGGCCATAGGCTATAGCCGCTCTATCTACGACCCTTTACGATTTTCTCCTTGTTCCATAGTCGGATACCCTACCTTTATTCAATCCTTCCCCCACCTGCCTACAAGCTTTTAATCTTTTACTGCTTATCATTATCTCTACTCTGAGAAAAGGGTAAATGTCCAGCTACACAAAAATTTGGTTGGTGAACATGCGTGGCGATACAAATGCAGAGAAACTAATTGTAGCAATAAAGAAAGGGACAGGAATTGTCAAGCAAATACGGTAGCGATACAAACAAACAAAAAATGCGAGCGTACGGTCATGAACAGTCTAGAGAAGTCGTTCCTTAGGGCTAACGGCCCGTATCCAAATTTCGCTTGGTCGACTGGGAGAAGAAGCAATGTAAGCGTGATGGACGCGAATCAAAAATGGCTCACCTCTTCTCCCGCAGAATTCTGAACACCTTCTTCGCCTCCTTGGCCTCTTTGCTAAGCATATGGGGCCCACCAGCTCGCGGTGGGAACGCACCCGGACACCGATCCTGCAGGTCAGCAAGTGCTTCGTTCGTGCCTTCTGTCTCAACGACGATAGTGCCATACCACCCAGAATCAACGTAGAGTCCTGGTGAGTCGGGTATTGGAATTCGCGTTGACTGGACTCGCCCGCTTGACGTTGACATACGGGCCTTTCCCGGTGCTCGGATAACAAATGACGAGCGATGGACCCATCTTACAACGTTATGGACGTTGCCTTGGGGGCTAAAGGAATATTAGCGCATCGTTTCGTCACCAAAGAGCGGCTAACACCTACGTTTCTGTTCGGATGCGATCCTGGAGGAGTTGAAGATTGGCAGCTATTTCTTGACCCCAGGGTGCTATGTCGACATGGGCTATAGGGTTAGAAGCGTCCGCTCCAGTTCGAATCACGCGATGGAAATACGACGGCGGGAACGCCAATGTTGGGAGGTATTGCGGTAGATCGCCCACCGTGGAATATTTGTAATCCAGGTCCTACTCGTGGTTGAGCAAAGTAGCGTGAAAAATATCGACTCACGATCAAGTAACTCCCATCCCAAACTAACCGTCCTACATTCCCCTCATCCCCAACGGCAATGTCCCAAACTACGTCGCCAGCACGAAGGAGACCAAGAACACCTGCACGCTTAAGCTCTGCCTCGCATTCCAGAACACTCTTGTCGGACAACCAGTCGCCATCAGGAGATGGCACGAACACTCTCAATAACGGCGCTCGCTTTAGCCTAAAGAGGGGAGATCTGAAGGTGAGAGCTGGCTGAGGTGGCTGTGCATGGCCAGAGTACAAAGAGCTAGGAGACGGTGGCCGACTAGAACCCCGGGAAGGGCTTGAACGATTAGAAGTGTAGCCGTTATTTGTGAAACGTTTCCTAGTGTTGACAAGTGTGTTTGAGGGTTTGAGCAGCGCCATCTCGCTAGCTTCACGCTCTGCTTGAGCACGAAGTCGTAGTACAACGCGAGAGTAGGCGCGTGTCGACATGGTGAGATTTCGCGCTAAAGCCAACGTTGTAGGATCACGAGCTGCTGGTGGAAAGTTGAATGATTGGACGTATTCGTTTCCTATCCGTGCATGTTCGTGGGATGGAAGACTGACGCCACGCATATAGTCATGCAAGTCCTAAGCCAGATTGAGAATGCATCAAGCGAGACAGAGATGACGACTGACGAGTAAAGAAAGCTCCAATGGGTCATTATCAGGCTCCCAAGCCCACTTTGCATACCCTACCGTACGAAGAAAACGCTCCAATGCTACTTCGCGAAGATCTTTCGTGCCAACAAGCTTGGAGCGTAGGGCTTTAGTGATGGCCGACAACACACACCACTCGTAGAAAGACAGGTATTCCAGCAATGCCGACAGCAGCTGAGCATCCAAGATGAAATCCACGAGCGGAAATGGTCCAGGGATACGTGATTCCTTCACTGCAATCCCGGCCAGTGATGCAGGTGGGGCTCTCCCGAGTTGATCCCCTCGCCGTTGTGAGCGAGCGGTGCGGTATTCTTCAGGAGTAACAGGTGATGGCGGGGGGCGTGGTTTGGGAGGTGTGATATTGAGCAATTCTAACAACTCTGATGGGACTTTGGGCGTTACTGGCCGCTCGGGGAGTTGCACTTCTTCAACAGGTTCCGGTAAAGATTGGTCTTCGACTGGCGGAAACGATGGCGATTGAGGGATGCCGTCTCTCGAAGCCGGTTTGAGCATTCGAATAGGCTCAACTTTCGCAAACGGATCGTCATCAAGCATCAATGTTGAAGCTCTGGACGATGCGTCATCACGATCTATTGTAGTTGGTAACTGCAGTGCAGCATTGCTTTGCTTGCGCTGTGGAGTAGTAGGACGCGGTTTGGTTAAAGTTCGCGGCGTGTGTGGGACAGGTGATGAAGGTGGTGGGGGACTTGATGGTGATGACAAGGATGGGAGAGAAGGGACATGCTGAACAGGTTGCTGAATAACTCGCGGCGGTGATTGGGGGATTGCTGGTGGCAACTGTGTTTGAAGGGATGGTGGTAATTTGGGAGGTTGTGGCGGTAATGGCGGGTTGTTGATGCGAGGTAGCGGTCGAGGAGTTTGTACTGGTTGACGCAGGGGCTGTTCACTCCAATTGATACTTTGGAGAACATTCTTCGAGAAACCCGCATCGAAAGGGTCATAAGTGTCATGTGCAAGTGTCGGAAGACGCTGTTGGGGCGGGAGTAGTGGTGGCGGCGATCTGGCAGGCTCGATGGGCGGAGAAGAGTAAAAATTATTGTTGTTGTTGACATCATCGGCATTCTCTGGCTCCATAGCAGCAAATATGAGCGGTTTACCCTTTACTAGTCCTGATGGGGAGCGTTTGGGAACATTGCTCCGGGATTGAACGGGTTGGGCAGGAATTAGGGCCTTGAATGCAGGCTCAGATGGGTGAAAAGATTGGACTTGGAGCGAGCTGATTGTCGCACCCATGTCCGTCCGAATTTCAGGCTGAGCGACCTGCAGGACGCGGTATTAATAGCGGAAAGGATAAGTCTATGACGTGCTCGCCGTTTTCAGCCTTGAGTTCAGTTGTGGCGAGTCGGGTTCCTACACAAGTTGTTAGTCTACAGTGCGAAGTTAACTGGAAGCATGGCCAGATTCGGACGATGTGGGTCCGAACCAGCACTAAGGCGGAAGAAGAGTGGGGAAGAATCGAAGGCTAATGCTTTTTACGGGATCGACACACAACCGACGGAAGGGATAGAGTGAAAGAATCGATGCTCACCAGTCGCTGGACCAATGTCGGCTGTCTTGGTGGTGGAGAAGATGGACCAGAAGCACGGTAGGGGCCATCCGGAGGCTGAATTTGCGGTGGTCCACCATTGTAAGCGGAAGTACGTCGATTTGGAGGAGCATGAGAAGGCTGGCCGAAATGTGGGTCAGGCAGAGGCTTGTCTGCACTGACCGCGGCTGAGATTCGTCGATTGGGTGGAGGCGGGCCGTAATTTGGCTGGGTGTAACCTTGCTGTTGTCTCGACATAGCTCCGTTCTGCCCTGCTGCATTTCTTTGGCCCGCTCCGAGAGCCATTGGAGACGATACTACGCGTGGGTGTGCATCGTTTGTCGGGCTTGTCGCAAAACGAGCGTATAACGGTGGGGGAGCTACATTAGAGACAGGGGGAGGGGAACGGATGAGAGGTGGTGGGTCTACTTGAGATCTTTTCTTGCGAAGAAAAGCCATGGGAGACTACTGAGGAGATTCCAGTCCTCGCAGCAGCATGGAATCTGACAACTTGAGATGATGCAGAGGCACGTGCTCAAAACCTTGTTCAGCGTTCTTACTTCAATCCGCCACCGACAAATAATTGTCAGAGGCGTTTATCGTCCTCGCTACACTACTATCGCCGTCAATTTGCGCTCTCTGTCCGAAAGTCTATGTCCATGCAGCACACAGGCACGGGCCGCACGGCATTACCGTCAGACATTAATGAATCTCGGATCAGTCCTACACAGTCAACAACAGAACATAGCAACACTCCAAAAAGTTCAGCACCGGCATCAAACCCGCTCGTCACATATCTAGAACCTCGGAACTGTTTTTGTGGGTCGGTGTAATGCGCCATTGAGCAGCAGGCCCAGTCACGGAGTTATTCGATCCAGACAATTGGAGCTCTTCAAGGCCATATGACGCGTAACTTTGATTCGCAAAGCACTGAGCACGGTCCGCCACCACCCCGCCAACTTGTCGTGACCAAGAGAGATTCTCCGTATTGCCCAAGGCGACGCTTAAAAGGAAACTATGACTGTTGACCCCCTCGTCCGTCCAAATGTTTTCTAAACTCGCGGCCCTTCTCGTCCTGGTACCCTTCATCGTTTTTGCCGCCCCAGTTGAAGAACGGGCGGCCGCCATCGACACTGGGTGAGTTACCTGACGCTCGTGAAACCTGGTCAGCCAACATATATCCCAATAAAGCACTCACTGTGGTCAATGGGATACGATAACCGTCACACCCTACACGCTTTACCTCGATCAATGGGGTTTATCTAACGCATCATCTGGCTCAGATTGTGCGACTCTGGTCTCATTGAGTGGCACTACTCTTTCTTGGAAGACAACTTGGAACTGGGTTGGTGGTAATGGCGTGAAGAGTTACACAAACATCAATCTTAACAATGGCATCAACAAGAAATTGTCTGCCATCAGCAGTATCCCTGTAGGTTTATCGCTTTCCGTGTGTTGAATTTGACCCCGCGATAAAGTCCACCTGGAACTGGTCGCAATCATCCTCGGGCAGCATTGTCGCCAATGTTGCCTACGATCTCTTCACTTCCAACACTTCTGGAGGCTCTGCGGTCAATGAGATCATGATCTGGCTGGCCAATTTCAATGCTGGACCGATTTCCGCTACTTACAACAGCGCTGGACAGCCCGTGTTCGTTCTTTTTTTTTTCAATCGTGGCTCAACCCAACTGAGGACAATCTCTCCAGGCCTGTCGTCAGCAATCTCTCGCTTGCCGGTCGCACTTGGAACCTTTACCAGGGCAGCAATGGGGCAAATAACGTTTTCTCCTTCTTGCCTACCAGCGGAACAGTTACGTCCTTTAACGGTGACATCAACGTCTTCCTGAAGGTGAGCCCCAACCACCTTATCAACGATGCAATGCTTGATGGTTTCCTGATAGTACCTCACCGCCAATCGTGGTGTATCTACTTCCCAGTTCTTGACCACTCTTCAAGCGGGAACCGAAGCAACCTCCGGCTCCGCGACCCTAACCACGCACGTCCATTCATTCGTTTGTCTTGTTTATTGACTGACACTCGGATTATAGGTCTGCTTACAGCGCAGTCATCAATTGAGTAAAATGTTCCCCTTGTACTTTATAGCACACGAAAAAAATGTCCTTTTACTTTCGAAAGACGTTCAAACATGGTCACCCCGTTAAAGTTTGAACATTTCTTATGGGTTTATTCTGCCCTTCGCTTGAAGTGAAAATGCAAGCCATCGATATCGCCTCCCTGTAAGCTCCGAAATGAGTCGTGACTGACCGCAGTCTTAAATCGGCGCAGGCCCGACCTACGTCATCGTGCGATAACACCGTTTTAGACCCGCACCACTTCCGCCAGCCTTATAAGTAGGTCTCAGCTCGCAGGCTCCATACCACCACTCACAAACATGCCCTCTTTCATCTCCAAAGTCTTCAAATCAAAGAAACGGATGTCCAAAGAATCCGAAGCGAAGCCTGCCGCCAGTGCCCCTGCGACTGGTGAAGAGCCGACTTTCTCCATCCAACCCCACCCTGCTGTTCGTAGCGTCAATCGCTTATTCAACTTCAAACTTAACTGAATTTCGTTTCGCAGAAGACCAACGACCCGGCCGATCTTGCCCCCGAGCAAACCGGTGGCCTGGCTAGTAACCCGAACGACGCAGTTTTCCACGCTCGTGATCCACATGTCCCCAGCGCCCAAGTCATGGCTGGTCTTGAGCAGCCTCTGGTCGGTGTTACCATTCAGTATCGAATAAACGACTCACCTCAAAATTAGAGTCGTGAGGAACTCCACAAGCGCCAGGAAGAGCTGAATAAGAGCTCTTGAAAGTTAACCACCGACTCTTTCATTTACCTAGCGTAGTACTGTACTTAACTGTAAACTCAACCAATGGGAGGAATACGGAGCGAATAATTCAAGCGATGTTTACAAGATCGTACAGCTCAAAATTAGATAAGGAGCACCATTACTTGGCCGTCATCATCTGAAATGAAGGTGAGTAGGAGTGGGTAGGCTCTGGCCTGAACGCACTCTGACAAATTCTGGGTAGTTCAGTCGGGTTTGGACATGAGGGAGTAAAAGAGGAAACTCACCCTCGTAGTTGATTTCACCGTCACCATCCTGAATCGTGTTCGACACAGCCAGGAGAGAATAAGACGGTTCAACGCACCGTGTCTGCCTCGCGGATCATCTCCTCGACTTCACGGTCGGTGAGCTTTTCACCTAAACTACGCATGACTTGTTGGAGCTCTGTAATGCTGATGGTGCCGTTGCCGTCTTTATCGAAGACGTGGAAAGCCTGTCTGATCTCCTCTTCGCTGTCCGTGTCCTTGAACTTCTTGGCCATCATGTCGAGGAATTCGTTGAAATCGATGGTCCCGTTGCCATCAGCGTCGACCTCGTTGATCATATCCTGCAGTTCACTTTCGGTTGGGTTCTGGCCGAGTGAGCGCATGACAGTGCCAAGCTATATTATATGGAGTTGTGTCAATTCCGAGACCTCCCATGAATTCAGCAACAACCTCGAGCGTAGTGATGGTGCCATCGCCGTCTGAGATACCGTCAGTGAGCAGAGTGACTGCGGATAAAGGGGAGCGGACCTTTATCGAAAAGGGAGAAGGCCTCCTTGAACTCTGGATGATGTGAGACGGCAGAGAAGTTACCCAAACAATGTTCATACCGGATATTTGTTCTGTAGGAGCGTGAATAGCCTGATCGATGGTGGAAAATGAGAGGTTGACATACCAGGAGACTAGGGGAGTGAGAAGTTGCAAGTCAAGATGTTTGAGGACTTACGAGTTGGTCAGTCATTTTGAGGGGTGGTAGTTTCAGAACAAGCAACCGAGCGCTCGTTGTAACAGGTGGAGTGACGTTTATATTTGGATAGGGTAGGGCGATTCATGGCGAATAAAAGCACGTTGAGCGCACAGTTTTCCTGTGCATGGGACTGGACTGAGAACGGAGAGAAAAGGCCATGATGGCAGCCAGAAGACCTCGCTTCACCTTGCCGCACAGGTTCAAGGCTGTACACATCAATAATTATCTTCCTGATGACCACGACAGCAAATTATATTTTTACAGTAAGTACTCTCTACGACTTGACTTCAGATTCGACTCTACTGGCTTTGGTTAGAAGTCGAAGACTTGGTCCTTTCTGGCTGCTGTTTCTGTTCCTTGTCTTCATCTGGGTTGGCGAATGGGTCCTCTGCGGCATCGGCATCAAGTTCTTTCTGCTTCAATTCGCCGGTCCAGCGATCATGGCCCTTCTCAACTAGTTCTGGGTTTCTTGTGGCTTTGCCAACGACTTGTTCTTTTACCGATGTTATCTTATCGAGAAATCCCTTGCCGCAGGTCAATGACAGTGACACGATTGAACAGCCGTTCCCATACCGGTTTCTGGTGGAAATTAGGACCATAGCCGACCGCACCAGCATGTCGCTGCTCTGGATACTCTCCATGGTTGGAAGGCTCCTGCGTAGACGATCCGGATTCTCTTCGTTCGGGTAGTGATGATTTAGTGTCAGGAGCAGTGTTTCTCCCTACAGCGGAGGGGTGAACATCAGTGGAAGAGTTGGTGGACGAGGACATGATTTCTGACCAACTGGTTTTACTTCCGCGAATTTATACGTCTATTTTTATGCTACAATGGAGCAAACCAGCGGGTACTTACATATGACGAAGGCTATGACGCACCATTAGGATACCACTATCAGTCATGTGATCGTGATTCCTAACATTGGACCTGCAATCTTTCAAGTTTTGCCGTCGGTGCCGACGTGCAAACGTGCGCTTCACGACAAGACACAACTTCGTTGAACTTTGTCTGGGTGTAATATTTTTATACCTCCGCCTCGTCCGTCCGTCGATTGCCAAGCCCATGTAATGACATGCCAGCACTCAGCACATGCTCTCTCGCAGATCCAAATAACTATCAGAGCATAGAGTAAAATGACTAAATGGTGAGGACCACTGTACTCGAGGTTTGCGTTGTTCAAGTCGTAGAATCAGATCGGTCCAGAGGTTGCTGGACACGTGGTCGCTTTCATGTGGTTGCATGCGTTCTCTTAGGGTTCTCTCAAGTTTCGTGCATCCTTCCATCTTCTTCTATAAAACCATCTCCAATGCCCCAAGACCTTGACTATCCTCTTGACGCGTGGCGATGTGGTACTTCCTCGCCCTCCTAGGGTTGTGTTCGCGAGCGAATGCCGCCGACTTGAACTCCCTTGTCAATCTTTTCATTGGCACAGTCAGCAGTGGCAACGCCTTCCCTGGTGCGGCTATTCCCCATGGGATGGCCAAGGTCGGTATAGATGTAACAGCTGGCGTTAGACAATCGGGGTAACTAGCTTTACCTTCGCGTTGAAGCACCAGCAACTCACCTCAAATTAAGATACCTCCACGACAACAGCAGCATCTCTGGAATCTCCCTCATGCACGATGAAGGTACTGGCGGCAACGCGTTGGGAGGTTATGGGATTTTTCCACTTTTCCCTTTGACGAACTGTACCTTTTCGTCTTGCCCTGTTGCGCTTTCCGCTCGCGTCGCTTTGCGTGCTGCAAATGCAGATGGTATGTTGTAAGGCTTAGGGGAGGTTATCTTCGTCTAACATCTAGTCAGCTGCTGAACCAGGATACTTCACCACCACCTTCGTTAATGGTATCAAGCTGGAAACCACGAGTGCACGCCGCTCGGGCCTCATTCGATTCACTTATCCAAAGTCGGGGCCAAACCATGTCGTTGTCGACTTAACCAATGACCTTGGACGCTCTTTCTCTGGAGGATCTTTGACCGTATCTGATTTGGGAAGAGTAAAACTTGGTGGAACTTTCCTTCAGGTATTTAGTCTGCTCTAGTCTGGAATGTGGCGCTCTGACATTTCGTTTCATCAGAGTTATGGCCAGTCCAACTACACTGTCTTCGCTTGCTACGATTTTGCAGCGCCAAAGTCGGTTAATGAACACACGATCGATGCTTTTGGGACCTATCAATCCAAAAATCTCTCGACTCCAAGCACTGTGACAATCACTGCCAACTCAACGTCTCTCAACTTCCCTTATACGGGCTCTGTGTCACCACAGCAGGCGGGTGCACTTTTGGGTTTCACTGGATCCAGTGTTCTTGCCCGATTTGGCATATCTTTCCACGACTCTGACACAGCTTGTGCTAATGCGGAAGAAGAGATACCTGATTGGGACTTCGATGCAGTTCAACGCGCTTCCGCAGAGGCCTGGGAAGACATTTTGTCTCATATTGGCGTCGACACGGTTGTCGAGGATGCTACGGTTGTTGAGTTGTTGTACTCCTCCGTGAGTTGACCGGGCTCTTCGCGCATTCCAGTGCTTAACCTGTAACAGATGTATCGTGCCAACTTGGTTCCTGCCAACCTGACTGGTGAAAATCCTTATTGGCAGAGTCCATTCCCATTCTTCGATGCATTCTTCTGGTCTGACCCTGCTTTACATCATCGTGATATATCCTCATTTCTCACAGCTCGTGGGATACTTTCCGCACCGTTCATCCTTTGCTTTCTTTGCATGACCCCCGTGGATGGGGTCAGATCGTCAGTGCCTATGTCGATGGATGGCGTCATACGGGTTATATTCCAGAATGTCGCGCAAACACCAAGGTAAGCCTTTGAGGACTTGCTCATGATTCTGACTGTCTTAAAGCCCGGTTATGTTCAAGGAGGAGACGACGGCATGATCCCACTCGGTGACTTTGCTGTTAAATACGGCCAACATGCACAGGAACTCGGGGTGCCATCAGATGACCTCTATACCGCGCTCGTCGAGACAGCGGAAAATACGGTGGGAGATATTGATCTTCTTTCAGTCCCCTCGACTCACTCGGCCTATAAAGCCACCAAACTGGTATACGGTTGGACGTCAGAACACCGCTTGGAAGCAATTCGGTTAGATTATTGTGGAGATTGCGGGATCAACCTCACAAAATCTAGGTTATATTCCGACTGACTGGACTGATCCCTCTGGCTCAACTGGTTTGCCGACACGGGAAGCTTCTCGTGCTTTGGAGGCTAGTTTTCTCAGCCAAGCAACGAAATAAACTTATATGCCTCCATAGTATGCCCTTGGAGATTTTGCAGTCCGCCAAGCGGCCATTGCGCTTAGAAAGGACCCCGGCGATGTCGTCAAGTACTCCAACCGCTCGATGAATTTCGTCAACATGTGGAATCCTAATCTTACCCATGACGGCTTCACTGGATTTTCACAACGGCGCGCAGTTGTACGATTCTCCCCATTTTCTTATCGAAAAATACCGAGTCTGCTTATCAGAACGGGACCTTCTTATTCAGCTCACCAGACGCATGCAGCCCTGTTGATCCTGTTGGTCATTCTTGCGCTCGAGGTTCCGATAACAACGTCGGGTTTTATGAGTGTATGCCTATCTATACTCTGCAAGTTGGTCCTATCTGACTGTTTGTTATAGCCTCGTCCTGGGAGTATAGCTTCTTTGCTCCTCAGTCGATGGCGACAATCGTTGATCTTATGGGCGGCCCGGACACATTCATTCCGCGGTTAGATCATTATTTCGCCAAGGGATACTTTTCCGCCGGAAACGAACCTGGGTTCGAAAATCCATGGGCATACCACTATGCCAACCGACCCGATTTAAGCGCGTTACGCGTGAGGAATGTCGTTTACAGAAATTTCAACACTGGCTTCAACGGGCAAGTGTCTGGATATACCAAATTCAGACTCCTGTTAATCATGACCAAAGGATCCCTGGGAACGACGATTCTGGTGCAATGGCGTCGTTGTTGATATTCCACCTTCTTGGAATGTACCCCGTACCTGCCTCGAAGCAGCTGTTGATCGGCGCACCATTTGTTTCGGCCTTCACGATATTCAACGACTTCTTTGGCACGACGACATCTTTCCGTGTCATTAACTTTGACAAGAAAACACTACAAGCCACACCGCCAGCGGGTTCCAATATCTTTGTGAAAAGCATCACGATAAACGGGAAGCCAAGCCCTAGTCTGTGCTGGATCAACTTTGACGATGTGGTGGGCGGAGGCAACATTGAAATCGAGATGTTCAACGACGTGACTAAAGCTGCAACAGCGGGATGCCTCCCTGGGGGACTACCTGATTCACTTGGGACTGGGGGTTTTGCACCTTAAATTTCTACTGGCTTTATGAAAGAATAAAAATCAGGGCTTGTGCAAGTAGGGAGTTGGTATATGATACACTACAGAAGAATTCAACATTTGTGTTCCGCTACAAGCGCCGTTATTTCGAGAGCATCATCTACGACGGTGATTAGCGGAGGGTAAAATCAAGTTGGACGCGACGTACTTTGACGAACTCGTCGTAGTTGATTTGACCATCGCCATCGACTGCGGGGCAGTGCATCTGAGCATCAACTAGAAGCTAGTCGGAGTGACAACGCACCGTCTGCTTCACGAATCATTTCGTCGACCTCATTATCCGAAAGTTTCTCGCCCAGGTTGGTCATAACGTGTCGGAGCTCAGCGGCACTGATATAGCCATTGCCGTCCTTGTCGAAGACTTTGAAAGCCTCTTTGATCTCCTCCTCGCTGTCGGTGTCGCGCATCTTGCGGGCCATCATTGTCAAGAATTCAGGGAAGTCAATGGTGCCATTTCCGTCAGCGTCGACCTCGTTGATCATGTCCTGGAGTTCGGCTTCGGTGGGATTCTGGCCCAGGGAACGCATAACTGTCCCTAGTTCTTTCGTAGTGATCGTGCCGTCTCCATCTGACTGGGGATGAGTAGATAAGCGACAAATAGAGACATTCATACCTTTGTCGAAAAGGGAGAACGCCTCCTTGAACTCTGTTTCCAATGAGCTGCATCAAAGCAGGAGAGTGATGTTCGTACCGGAGATTTGTTCTATCCAGAAGAGCAGATTGGTTATCCGTTATAATGACTAACTCTATACACACCTTCAGACTAGGAAAGTCAGTCCGTGTACGAGAAAGCTACGACCACTCACAAGCTGATCGGCCATGGAAAGAGTAGAGGAGGAGTGATTACCGTGACACTCGTGACATTCCCTCTGGTATCAGATTTTATGGTGGGGACTCGATTTTGAAGGGAAAAATGGATGGTTATTAAGGCTAAAGCGCTAATCGACCGAGGAAATATTTCTATGGGATTCCGTAGTTACTCTGGAGCTCCTCCGCCGAGCCACTGTAACAAACGGTCAATTCCTGCCCCTGATTGACTGGTTGTATCGCTGTGAAAACCATTTTGTCTGTCTCGAAGGAGTAATACACGTTGGCCTGCTGCGAATGGTTGAAAAGAGAACCGGCCAGAAGAATAACTCCCGCTTCTTCACCGTTGTCCAGGGTTGCGACGAAAGCATTTGAGGTCGCAACTCCCTTGAGGTAGTCCAGCAGACGGTGCTGAGGAATATCGAGATGGGAGGTGTACTCTTTGTTATCAGGTATGTTGTTATGCAGAAGTAGTAGGGCGTGGATGGCTTGTTTAGGAAGGGTAAGGAAACAGAGCGCGTTCATCTGATCCTTCACAAGCACGACGACGGGGTGCTCGATTAGGACTCTTTCGCCAACCGTAATATTTCGAGTGGCGATCAGGCCACGTCCTTTACCAGAGACATTGGTGACGCGATATGCTGCACCGATGGGAGAGCGCAAGAAATCGTTGGGAGCGACTGAACCTTCCGTAAAGTTTTCCCAAGTCAAGTTGACGGCTCGAATCGCTGTCGGGGTGAGACTATCGGCCCCTTGGAGACTAAAAAGGGCAGAGAGTCGGTCTCTGAGTTGTGAGGGTTTGGGTCGTTTGGAGAAAGGCAATAAGAGTGGTCGAGCTTCCGACGAAGCCACGAATTCTTCTGCGTTTGGACCAAAGCAGACCTCGATAAGGTTGTCTAGATGACCCGGTAACGCAGTATTTTCGAGGTTTGGCTCAATACTCATGTGTCCTTGTCAAATAGGGGGGTGTAAACTGGGTGGTGAGCAGAGAGTCAACGCAGACTTTACTTTCTGCGCAAAGCGATTTCAAGGAAATAACCGATTGAAGCTCGGTTGACAATGGTTGGCCGAGCTTCAGCTTCAGCAACAACTTTTAGTTGGGTGTGGTGTGTGATGACAAGAGAAGCGCATCAAAGTTATCATCAACTACAAAAGTTGTTGCTTTTAACTCCCTCTTCGCGCCGCCCTACCCAATTACTGTATATCTCGCCACGCCCCACGGCTCATTTGCCTACGCCTCTCGTTTAAACCACCCACTGTACATGCGGCAATGACTTCCACTCGCAGTCACAAACACACTGGTTCTGTAACCCAGAACCAAAAGGCACAACTCGCCAACGCCTATAATGAGCTCGGGAAGGAGCTCTCTTCTAGTAGGATTCGCGTAGTAGGGAACTACACCCTGGGAAAGAGTATAGGCGAGGGTACGTGCTCGACTTGTCGTTGTCTGGCGATTCAACTGACTTGTACTAGGCGCCTACGGGAAAGTTCGGATGGGGACCCATCGTCTAACTTCGACCAGGGTCGCTATCAAGCAGATTCCTAAAGCCATGTCGGCTTCATTGACCCGGGAAATCCACCACCACAGGCAGCTCCATCACCCACATGTTACACAAATGTACGAAGTCATCGCAACGGAAAACTCGATTTGGATTGTCACCGAACTTTGTTGCGGGGGAGAGCTCTTCGACTATCTTGTGGAGAAAGGGAGACTGTCGGAGGATGAGACCAAGATCATCTTTGGTCAGCTTTGTCTCGCCGTCGCCTATCTGCATGACAAGGGCATCGTCCATCGTGACCTCAAGTTGGAAAATGTTTTGTTAGATGAGCGGTGTCGAGTGAAGCTGGGCGACTTTGGTTTTACCCGAGAGTATGAACGAGGGATTTTCCTCGAAACCTTTTGTGGCACTACGGGGTATGCAGCTCCCGAAATGTTACAGGGCCATAAATATTTGGGTCCAGGCGAGTTCTCTCATTCAAGCTCACTTCACCTCTAACTCATCTGAAGAGGTCGATATATGGTCACTTGGGATCATCCTATACTGTCTATTGACAGGCGGTTTGCCATTTGATGATGACGACGAATCTGTTATGCGGGACAAGATCATTTCAGGCAAATTTGAGGACCCAGAATGGCTCTCGGACGGTACGTGGTAGTAGTGCAAACTTAATGGTTAATTGATGTGTGGGGTAGAATCGCGCGATTTGATCAAGAGTATCCTTGTCAAGGAGCCTGCCAAACGTCTTCCCATTTCGAGTATTTTAACCCACTCTTGGTTCACTGCAAGGGACAGTCTTCCCGTCCGAGCCGACACAGTCGACTCGCATACTTCCTCTGATGCCTCTGATTCTCACAAGTTGTTTGGCGATGACATTCATTCATCCACTCCCACCACACCCGACGAGAAGGAAGACAAAGTTCTACATCGCTCCACCAGCGAAATAACGATACGAAAAGCAGAACTAGAAACTTTGCACACTAAATTAACCATCCCTGGCCCGCAAACAGTTATTGAAGAGGACGAGGCCTCGCCTCCGCCACGAATGTCTTCTAATATCTCGCTTGCGCCTCCTCCAGTCACGCGCACACCAGCGCGAACTAAACGTCGATCGGTCTCGTCAATTCCTTCTGATCCAGCCGATCCAGTGGAAGAGGTCGAAGAAACCGAAATTCTCACACCCGAAGTGCCTGCTGCTGCTGCAGACGCTTCTCAGCCTCAAGTCAGCTTTGCATCTCTCCTGAGCACGCCAGCTCCAGTCATCTTCTCCACGCCTCCGGAACGTGAGCTGCTGAACAGCCTCAGCCTTTATGGGTTTGACATTGCTCAAATTGTCCACTCGGTTTTGACTGACGCTTGCGATGCAACTGGGGCATTGTGGTGGATGCTCAAACGAAGAGCAGAGAAGCGCAGTATCGAACCTCACTTAGAGGATGTCACAAGTCCTGGTATAGTCGAGCATCCGATATATAGCCTGGGTGAACAGGAGGCTTCGAGTCGCCGCCAAACTTCTGTCGGAACGCAAACAGAGACACAATTTGCTCTATCCTCTCGTGGCCCAGCTCTTCCTCACTTATCATTTGTTCCTCCAACGCCCACAGTATCTTCTGGTCGTCCTTCAACTCCACCTGGCCCGAGCAGTCCAACACGATCGCCTTTGTTATCGCCGTCTGCATCAGGCACTACTACTGGAGAGTCTACCTCACGTTCTCATCCCTCCACTCCAGCGAGCAGTCTGAAAGATAGAGAGGGCAAAGGTAGAAAAGGCCGCTCCGGTAGCGTCAGCATTATGCAGCGTGCGACCACTGCGCTTGAAGCTGCCGGCCTCGTACGCAAAAAGTCCTCGGAAGCGTTCAAGGATGAGAAGGATGATAAGAAGTCACGTGAGCCGGAGCGCAAGGGAAGCTCAGGGGAAGAGGGACGCAGCTCGCACGGTAGTCTAGGTCCTTCGACCTCGTCCAAGCTGACAAAGTCACCACCATTACGGCCTTCCAAAGATCATAATGTTCCGTCGACCCCTCCACCCAGCGAAGACCATTCACAACCTGCAATCGGTTCTCCTTGGGTATTGACGGCCTCTAAAGACTCGCTTCATCGACCACCAACACCTGCCAACTCGCCTGGGGGGGATATACGAGCATCAATGTCGTCGCCAAACTTTGGAGACGGTGAGGGCACTGGATCGACGGGGAAAGCGTCTGGCTCACATCGCAACCGTGCTAATCTCCTCACGGCTTTCCGTTTATGGTTCAACGAGGACAGAAAGGGCAAGAGGAAGCAAAACTCGCCAACAGTTGGGCCATCAACCTCGAATTCCAACCAATCATTTGCAGGAAATGGTCGCGGATCTGCTCAACAGACATACAGTACCACGTCTGTCAAGCGAAGGACAAGCGGACCGGGTAAATTCGTGTCTAGAGGACATCGTCATCGCGCCTCTGCATCTTCACGACGCTCGAGCAGCGTTAATTCGAGACGCTCCTCAATTACCTCCGTTCAAATGATAGTACTCGACTCGCCACAAGTGCCTGGCCGCCGCTCATTCGGCAGTCATACGCCGAATTCAGAGCGAGGAGAACACGGGTCACGGCCATCTTCAATCCGAAGTTTCTCGATGCAACGACAACATCGAAAGTCTCCCTCTGCCAGTTCGACTGGATCAAACAACCGAACAACTTCCCCTGTCCAAAAACTCCATCGCCGTGCTGGGAGTGGATCATCAACCCGGGTTGTTCGTCATGTCCAAACAACTACGATTACGACAACACCACTGACTTCGCGACCTCCCCATATGCGATCAAATTCTGCCTCATCGACTCATTCTCCGGTGTCCTCGAGACCAAACTCTATCTACGAACAACCTCTTCTCCAACGCTCCAATTCGGATATAGACAGGTATCGGACAGGGTCACCATTCAAGTCTAATTCAAGACCGCAATCCAGGACTAGGACATCGTCATCAGAAAGTCGTGGAATGAATGTAACGACAACTACGAGCACCACCTTTGTTGCGCAAAAGCGCCTTGGCCCTTTTACTTCGCCGAGCTTCAATGGATCGATTGGGCGGACGAGCTGGAAGAAGTCTTGGGGGCTCGAACCGCCAGGCTGGCAAACACGAACAGCCCATATTCCCATTGAAGTCCTCGCAATTTCTCCTATCAATGAAGGCGCCACAATTCGTGATGTATTTTCCAGCGGAAGTCGACACGGACTAGGGCTTTCCACAATGAACAGCTTTGGCGACGAGAGTGACTGGGTTGACGAGGATGATGATCTCCCCACTTTCGCTGGAGGACTGGGGCAAATGTGGTCTGCAGGTCCATCGCAGAGCAAGCCTTCACCAGAGACCATCACGTTATCACCGGCCCCCCGCGGCCACCGTCCGAATAAACGGACGAATCGCAGTGGTTCTGGGTCCTCTACCTCCTCGGCCGGTGGCAAAACCTCAAAGGCTGGTCACTCTCCATCCCTCAATACGACTCCTTTACCTTCGGAAACCGTTTATGAATCGGTTTCTGGTCGGAGACAAATACCTGGTCATGGCCGTAAAGGTCCTGCAGCTATCCAGGAGGAAGATGAGGAAGCGGAGGAGGAGTAAATGGTCTCGTTGTTCTCTTGTCTTGTTTGCCTCACTTCTAGTACATTATTCCGATTTATGACGAACACTAACCTGGACTTGGACAAGGAATGTTATCATAATTTGTGTTTTTTTCTCTGAATTCTCTCCACTTTTAGATACCTCCAGCATGTCATGTCACATCGACGAGATCTCTTGTATTACTAATGCTATGAAAGGAATGCAGTCGTACATCGACTATTGCTTTTCGTAAAAGTCGAGAGGGAAGCCTAGGACGTTGCACTGTGGCTGCTCAAGCCAATCACTTCCACGACTCGGCCACGCCAAAATGCGAACCGGCTCTTTGCTCGTTACATCCTTCCACGGACCCCATTGAGCAAGTGCCTTGGCAGTTGTGGTATACCCACGAGCAGCGAGGAATGCCGCCGATGGGTTGGGATTGAATGACCGCGCGAAGGACGCCCACGAGTCCACCATAACCTGCTCAAATGGAAGATCAAATTCGTCCCTGAAGGGACGCAGGTCTTGACCCAATGTTCCGAAGGTAAAATACAATTCACCCGAATGGCATCTGAAAGTGGTCAACAAAAAAGCAACGCAAGCAAGTGAAAACCATACTGGAAGTAGGGCAATGACGGGTCTCCGAATGGGTGCGTTTCCGTGACAGGAGGATCACAGAGCCCTGGTATCGGTTCGTAACCCATATATGACCTTTCGAACTGGTATGTCCACATCGACTTGAAGACTTTGTGGATAGCAGCGGAGTGTGCTGTCGCTTGATCAAGACATCTGGCCGTATATTTCAGTTTGAAGAGTTTGAGACGGTGACAGGAACATACGAGAATTCCCCGTCAGTTGCAATGCGGCCCGTGACATTAAAAGTATCGAGGGTGTCATTGCCGGTTGACGGACGAGGGAATAAACCAGATGAGAGCGCTGTCGACGACAAATTTGCTGCGATTCCGATACCTTGAACTGAAGCAAGTTGGGTGGTACCGCTTTTTGGATAACTGCCAGCGAAGTCCACGCCATCACCAGCCATCCATCCGAACATGACATGGGCTGCAGAATTGACTGGCCCTTTGCCATCAACTGACAGGCGGTCTCTAACCAGGATTTTGCCATCCACAACAGGATATCTATTTGACGGTGAGAAACAGAGTCAAATGGGGGGAATATATGTACCGTGGTGCGTTTGCGGCAGTTTGCAACGTTTGCCATGGGACTGCTTTCAGACAATCCAAGACCTGATCAGACGTTACATTGCCACAATGGACGTCATTTAGGAATGCTGCTGCGGCTGTCTCGACTTCTTGTTCAATCGTGAAGTATTCAGAGTACGTGTGAGCATAAGCGAAACCAGCGAGATTACTCTCCGCAATAGCGCCTGAAAAAAGCCCGATAGCAGGCGGAGATCCAAGCAGGGCACGAACAGAGCCAGCTCCAGCTGATTGGCCAAGGATAGTCACCCTAGTAGGATCACCACCGAATGAGGAAATATGCTCCTGCACCCAATGCAGCGCCGTGATCTGGTCTCCTAAGCCAAAGTTTCCATTCGTTACTCCATCATTGAGAGCGAGGAATCCAAGAGCACCAAGACTGTAAAAAAATTAGGATGCCAACTCAAGAATGCATAAGTTGCTGACCGATAATTGAACGTGACCACGACAACATCGGCCCGACTAGCCAGGTTTCCGCCATCGAAGATCGCGTCAGAGCCTTCGCCATTTGTAAAAGCGCCTCCATGTATCCAGAACATCACTGGTTTGTGCTTGCTGCCAGTGTGAGTGGGTCCAGGTAAAAAAGGTGTGAAGACGTTGAGGAATAAGCAGTCCTCTGCTCCAGTAGGGGGATTGCCAGTCTGCGAACACGGGGAGCCGAATTTGAGTGCAGAAATTTGAGGCGGGCCAGTGTAAAGGGACGAGTACGTCCATCTCTCCGGCTTGTCTGCATACGGAATTCCGAGAAATCGGAATGACAGATGGTCGCGCGTCCTGCGAGTGATTAAATAATTAGCTAAGTCCCCAAACGCGTGCTTACCCAGTAGCTGTAAGTTTGCCTGCATTAACCTGGACTTGCCATGTCGGACTGAGGTCTGTCTGGCCCGAGACTTTGTTCGGTGCAGAGTTTGCGCAAAGCGTAGGGAGCTTCGTGGCACATGGGAGCGCCGAACGGCCGGCTACGCTGATTGCGGTACACTGTCGACTTCCGTCAACCCAATAATGCTGCGAAAGCGGGTTTCCCGTCTCCAAACTCGCGTAGGTCAACAGTTTGGAGATGTCCGCAGTGAAGAACGACCCATTTATTGGTGTTAGACCCTCGTTTAGTTTCGCGCAGGCAGCTAGGGCATCGGAGTGGGTGTGTGGACTGAGAAGGATAGAGCTTTCATGCTCAGCGACCGTCGGCCCTACGAAAACTCAGATGGAATGGAAGCTCGCTGTGAACCAAGAAACATACAGTTGAGGTCGTTTTGGAAAAGGAGCCATAGGTCCGAGCCAATCGTGGTCGGAGACGACGCTGCTTGGGCAGCTAGTGGCAAGAGCCAGGCAAGGAAAACTGCACGATTCGAATGCATTACCCAGCCAGTCAAGGTTCGCAGTATTTATTGAAGACGGAGAATTGCCGGCTTGGAGACCTGCTGACCGTCCCGACATTGGGCAGAGAAGTTTCTTGCTGACGCTTGAGAGTGCAAGGAGAACAGCGCATTCTCGCGATCTCACACCGACGCCACTGTTTTCTGTGCCAAAAAAAAATCGTGGTGGGTGAACTCAAGTGTGACGGTCACGCCATCAGGAAAAAGCGATATAAGTATTACAAACAGATAGTCTAGCAATGCCCGATATCTACCCAAAAGAAAGAGAAGAAAAAAGAACTATTTTTCGTGCGATGGTGTTGGTTGTCAGCATTAGACTTTGAAGACCTTGACATCATCAAGGAATGTCCACGCCGGAGCAGCACCGCCAACGAAGGAAAGCAGATCACTTCCAGTACCAGTGACAACAGTCGACTGGGTAAAAGTGTACGAGCCAACAAAGCCGCTCGTGCCTCCAACCCGTTTGCCGTTCCAGAACACATCAACCTTAGCGTGTGCCTCGAGGCTCGGTCCAGAGAAGGACGAGATGAAGAAGGCCTGGATGACGTAGCTGGCACCTTTTTCCGTCACGAGAGGCTTAGCAGGCTTGAGGGTTCCTAGCATTATTTTAGAACAAACGGAGAAGCATCAACTGGGGAAAATTACACACCTGCCAAGCTATCGTCGCCAAATGCAGCACCAAAGAGAGCAACACCACTGCCAAAGTGGGAGTAAGGTTGGAAGTGGAAAACGCTTGCATCGAGATTGCCGAGTGAAGTGCCGATCCAGTTGCTATACGAAGCAGTGAAGCAGAAGTCGCTGCAGCCAGTATAGCCTTCGAAACCACCGTCGATGACAAGATTTTTACGCGCATATCCACGGGAGAGTGTCACCACAAGACTGCCCTGGCCGTAGTTGACGGCAGTCGACTCGTCAGCTACAAGGTAGTACTGATAACCTGTCAGGAGTTTTTTATTGCAAAGTCCAAAAAATGCTTACCATGGAACAGGTGTAGGTTGTGGGCACACCGTTGACAACCGCTCGCCAGATGTTGAAGTAAGAACATCCTCCACCAACTGGGTCTACGCCACGGCCATTGCAAAGTTGCGCACAGGCATCTACGTCGTACTTATCGAGGAAAGCGAAGCCCATGTACTAATGATACGCAAGTCAGCATAGAGAAGTCTTCGAAAGCAGATGATCCTGACCCCAGGAGCATTGTTAGCACCACCAGTCGGTCCAAATACAAGGTCATAGCCGTCTGGGTCGGAGGGGTTAACGAGAGAGTTGACTGCGTAGCCACTGCTTTGTGTGATGTACGTGAGAGGAACTGGCGCATCGCCAACCTAGAGAGATTAGTCAGCTTCCCGCAGAGAAAAACCAGACGACCTACTTGGGGATACGATGGCTGGCCGCCGAAATTGAGCTTCTCGGTTGCGTTGTGGATGTCACCGTAGGCTGCGCATTTAAGGTTGGACTTTTCGGAGAAAACGAAGTCGAGGAGGTAGTTGTTGAATTCGTAGAATATGTTGACGAAGACTGTTAGGTAAAGCTTTAGGCAACGGGAATTCACGGAAGATGACAAAGAAACGCACCACAGCCGTCGACCCGTTGAGTGCACCAATCCAAACACGCCTGAACGTTGTACGTGCTGTTATCGACAACAGTGTAGGTGAGGTATGCCGTTCCTTGGATAGACGCATCATGTTTTCCAGCCGGAAGACCGTCGAAAACTTTGGTGAAGCCGGATGTTCGCTGACCAAGACGACCAACGCTACGACGTGTTGAAGTCGAAGTCGTGTTTGACGATCCCGACACCTCTGAGACAGTTGCATTGGTAAGAGCGCCGTCAAGGGCGGTCACAGTTGTGGGGGGAACATCCGAGCTTGGTGGCGCATCGATAGGTGGGCTGCTCTTCTGGTCAACTTGACCAGCGGTTTGAACGATTGAATCGGTATCGGTTGTTGGCGCATCGTTTTCCGAGACATCGATAGGCTGGTTAGGCGACCCTTGCTGACCTGGAGGGACAATGGCGCTGACGGCTGTCGAGGACCGTGAGACCACACAAGGGAAAAACAGAGAAAAGGAGTGGCATACACGCTAGAAGAGCGACAAACGCGACAAGACGCGCTAGAGAAGGCATGCTCGTTTATGTGCGTGAAGAATGAGACAATGGGGGATGGAGACGCGTCCTTTTCCAAGGGAGCTTATATTCTGTCCAGAGAAGGATTTGTTCTGACTTGACGGGAGCTTCGGAACAGCGATGCATGGCTGAGCAGCGGGTTGCGGCGTAAAAGGAAAATGTTACGGCTGTTGGTACCTGCGGACTTATTCGATATTAACCTTGTCGGCCATGCTGCCACTTGTCTGGACTCTAGACTGATACCTACTTTCATCGGATGCGTGCATCACATAGACGCAAGGTACTATGAGTGACGGATCCAAGTTCAACGCGGAAGGTGACCAGCCACAGAAGAGACTAAGGTAGAGGTAGTACGCAGACTAACTTGTGAGCGGCAGTAAGTATGTTGAGAATTGCTCAATTTGAACGTGGCTGTTGAAGACAAGTCTCGGCGCATCACGTCACATCACAATTCTTGGAATTGAACTTGACTGTATACTTGCCGTTCGACCTTTTCATACCTCTCGAACTATAGGTCTCCGCGCTATCAGCGCCAGTTTCTGGCCGCGTCGTCTTGTTGTTAACTTCTCAAGACATCCGATACTACCAAAAGCGAGCTCCACGGAGCACTAGATCAAGCAAAACCCACCACTGAGACCAGCTACTCGTCATCTGTCGAGAAGCTACTTACGATCTCAAGCAGAGAAGAGAGAAGCAGGGACTCTACCGCCGAAATCAGACATAATATGGACATGCACACACATAAGTACCCCCCACGTTCCTCCTTATAATTGATCAACACTACACAATGCTGTTTCGGTCAGACATCTTTTGCCCTTTCGCTCTCTTCCTCTACAAAATCGTCGTCCGACCTGCTCCTCTGAAACAGTGACAAACTTATTGGTCGTCCCTTGCCCTGTCTACAGCCTTGTTATGTCTACCAGTGGCTGAACCATCTACTTATATCTGCGCTCTAAACCCTGTAATATGTGCACTCGGGTATGCCAACACATTCCCAAGCCCGGCCCGTCACTTCAGTCCACGCCGCAATTGGATGCCGAGAGATTTTCGCATGGTTCAATCTTCATCGAAGCTTCATTCCGCTCTGGATTCGCGCGAAGCTGGTATACCGAAGACCAAAACGCGGTCCGCTCGCGGAAATAGGAACATCACTGCGCTCAGTTATACTCATGAACGATGCAGTTGGTAGCCCCAACCGCCAACTCCAACCGGAAGGTCCGGAACGGAGCCGGTTGAAATCGCCGAAGGGACAATAATCCAATCTTAGTGACTGTGCCTGGGATTTGGCTGGCGTTGACATGCATGCGCTCTCCATTCTGCAGCGTGCCGCTCCGGCTTTCTACTGGGAAAATGCGTGTCGACAACACCTTGCTTTCTCGAACAATACAACATTCTACTTGTCGTCGCATTTTCTCGGGCTGCTCATAAGCCAGGGCATGATGAATGGAGCGACCACCTTCATAGCGTTTCAAGTAAGTACTTACTGGCAGCTTATCTATTGTAGGCTCCTTCCCTATCACGAACAATTTTCAAAGCTGTGTTCTAGGGTCATTGCATTCGGAGGACCCAGGTTCCGAGGGTTCTCTCCTTAGACGTAAGTACCCATTTTGTTCCGCATTCTTAGTCGTTGACGTTGCACCGCACAAAACGATTTCATGTCGCACTGGCAATTTGCAGTGCAACGGCTTCAAGTTCGCCCTTTCACGCCTGTCATGATGGCCCGCATTGCATTACATTATCATAACTAGTTACTAGATTGTCTGGTCAATATACAGCGTTTCTCTTCGAAATCAGTCACAAATCCGATGCTCTTCCAACTGAGCTAAGCTGAGATATGGGGGTTAAAGAGGGCGTCTGTGTGTTCTCAATGGTGCAAGAATCGTCGCAAAATTGATTGTCTGGTCAATATACACACCGTTTCTCTTCGAAGTCAGTCCCAAATCCGATGCTCTTCCAACTGAGCTAAGCTGATCCTGGCAGTGTTAAAGAGGGCGTCTACATGTTCTCAATGGTGCAAGAATCGTCGCAAAATATGCTCCCGTTGTCGAGAAACATTGCGACCAATCTCCTGATCAATGTGTGACATACAATCAGTTGTTGTCACGCAAGTGATTCTGAAGAGGCGGACTGTCTCGACAACACTTTCAGCTCAAGAGTGAGATAAAGAGATTGCATTACAGCATTGAAGTGGTAGTCTACAAACAATCTCCGCCTATTCAATTCTTTGCCAAAAGTTGCTACCCACTCAAAACCAAAGGAATCACGAGTTCAATGCTGAAGATGAGCGCCGAAAAATTCCGCTATGGCAATATTGAGTGCGCTTTGCCAACGTTCAACACCTCGACTCACCAAGGGAGAGCGCCGACCGCTTGTAAGTTCGCTCCAGTGTTGTGTAATTAACGTGCTGGATACCAAACTTGGCGCTGGTTCCACTGTTCCATTCTGCGTTGTCGACCATCGCTGACCAAAAAATGAGAATAGGAAGGGGGAGGATATGTAGTCGGAGGACAGACACCAAGCAAATGCACCCGCAATCGGAACTCTGTCCTCATGGATTGAGAGCAGGACTTGGCCGAGGTATGTCATGAAGTAGTCGGTACGTGCGACATCTTCCTGCCGAGGGATAAGTGAATGCAAAAGACGTGGGAAAGTTTCGAGCATACCGTGATACGAAACATTTCGGTCCTTAGCTCTTCAAATGGCTCAACAAATCCAAATTCGGAGATGTACTAAAAATCTTCAATATGGCCCACAAGTGAAGATCAGCGCAAACCAGTTTATTCGTCGGCCATCGTTCATGAAGCCGTTTCAAAAATGATCTAATTGTATTAGGTGTGGCTTGTAGCCAGACTTCGCTGAGCGGATCAGGCGAAATACCGGCAGCCCAACCTGCATTCGAGTCAAAAAACACAGCAGAGCTGCATTCTGGCCACAACGGATGCGCAGTGTTATGAACACAGCCGCTCACTCCGCCGACATCTAACGGAGCTGCGACAAACTGTTCTCGATAGGCGTCAATTGCAAAAAAGTCGGCAGAGGCTGCAATTCATTGAGCAGGTGATTTTTGACAAATGAAGAAGCCAAACCAAGATTGTCCTTTTTCTCCTGTTCAGTGAAACGTGGTAGGTACTCAGGTGGGAGGGTGTCGGTCATAATTTTTGGCCAGTCACCCGTTTTATAGAGTGGGTCTGCGAATACTCCAATACGGAAGGCGGCATGGCGCTCAACTGCAAGCGCGTCGTCAGTCGAGTTGGACCGCCACGGAATCCCACTGTAGCCACATAATTAAACAGGAAATGTGCAAGAAAAAATGCGAACATAAAATCATCGCTTTTCAGTGCGATTTCACCCGGGATTCTCATTTCTCTGAATGCTAGCAATGTCTTCAGCACGAGGAATATACGGACTGCGATAAACAAACCTTTGACAGCGCCAGTATGAGCTTTGACTAAGGGCTTGATGAGCATACAAGTAAGGCGACAAAGCAAGGACGACTGACTGAGATTGTAAGAGCACTGGTACGGTGCCGTCGATGCATTGACGCCTGAGGCTAGGGACATATCTTGAACACATAGTTGAGAAATGAAACAGAACAGTAGAGGAACACTCACTAAATGGATAAAGGCCAGTGCCCATGCAAAAAACTCTGGGCTCGTTGAATGTGTACCTATAAACATGGTTGGATCTATAAGACGACGGGTATGCCAACCCACCATGTCTTGACACGTCCTTTGTAAGCGGCAAATACGATTTTGGCGTAGCTAGACAATGATTTTCAATGCAGTTGGGTAAAAGATATTGGTACTTGATGAAATCCTCGACAACTTCTGGTGAGGTAAAGCCACCATAGTAGGCTGACATTGCGAGGGGTGTATCCCAGTGAACTGCAGAGAATGAACGATGTGTACACCGAGGACAAATTCAAGCAACTCACACAAAGTGACGACTGGTTCAACGCCATGAGCGATGTGATAGTCGATCACTGTGATGCGATGGGTTCATGTTCAGCATAAGAATTCACAAAACGGACAGTTGCTATAGTGCTTCAATCCAGCCTGGTTAATTGGCGAGTCTTTTGTACCGAAGGGCAGGATACGGGCCCAAGAGATACTAGCTGCAGTTAGACAGAGCAGTCGATAAAGTTGCGGACATACGAAAAGGAATGGGCATTGACGCCGAGCGCAGCAACTCTGAGGACATCCTGCCAACATCGATCAACGCGTGAGGCAGACACCAGGATGGATTGGCGACCTCCTTGTACAAGTAGTATTGCAAATCAACGATATCACCTGTATAAAAATCAACAACACCAGAAAAACTGAAGGAATTCGACATGCCTGTGGTGTTATCGAACACAGCGCCGGGCTGGCGGCTATTCCAGTCCCACAGAGTCGGACCCTTTCCCTCGTTCTTTGTTGCGCCTTCAACTTGATAAGCAGCGGTTGCGACGCCAAACTTGAAACCTGGTGGAAACTTCAAGCCGGGGAGAATATCTTTGGGCGCTGGCGCGTAGAAAGAGGGGTATAATGGAGGCGGAGATGATGGCAATGCCACTGTTGTGCTTGTGGGAGCGACAGTTGTGGTGAATGGGGGAGCTTGCACTGGTCCAACCTGTATTGAGATGAGAATGAGTATGGAGCACGTCGAGGCCTTGTACCAAGTCCCAAATAGCTTCAAGACCAGCAGCAGAAAAGTCTCGAGGAATCGATCCCACAGGCGGAAATGTAGGCGTAGGCCCAGCAGAGCTGGTTGCAGCTAGTGCCAGTACTAGTAGCGAGAGGACCAGAATGACAGTCATGAGTCGCTGCTAGTTGAACGAACGCGGTCTAAATAGCCGTCGCGGGGCCACTCTACTCTCGTAACCGAATGTCTAGCAGCCAAAGCTTGCCAGGAGTCGAGTCGGAAGACCGCACCTTGTGTAGCGGTTGCGCGGCTGTTGACCTAAAACTGACGATCCGGGTGTCATTCTCTCCCGTCATTACTCCCTCGCTGCATTTCGGAGCGGCCTCGGTAGAAGGGCTGCAGCGCGTTTGGAAACGAGTGTCGAAGTCATGTGCGCGTGTGATCATGATGTCACACGATCTGATCGTAACTCCCGACTCCACCTCCTGGAGGTAAATGCCCAGTATCTAGCTTAGCCAACTTAGTGTCAGTGCCTTACAGGCCAGTGGAGGCATGGATCAAGCGCGTCACCAGCGCCTGCGCGACCGGCAAAGACCGGCCAGGCGCTCTGTCGTCACTGGCAAGACCGATTTAAGTCGAAAGGCAGTATTGGAAATGCACTATTCATGCAGCTGGACCGCCACTGTCCAACGGGAACCTGCTCCATCGCCCTTCCCAGCCACAAGAATGCGCTGGTCGACATGCACACCGTTGCACCATCCCAGAGTGGAATTTTTCGGCGCTCATCTTCAGCATTGAACTCGTGATTCCTTTGGTTTTGAGTGGGTAGCAACTTTTGGCAAAGAATTGAATAGGCGGAGATTGTTTGTAGACTACCACTTCAATGCTGTAATGCAATCTCTTTATCTCACTCTTGAGCTGAAAGTGTTGTCGAGACAGTCCGCCTCTTCAGAATCACTTGCGTGACAACAACTGATTGTATGTCACACATTGATCAGGAGATTGGTCGCAATGTTTCTCGACAACGGGAGCATATTTTGCGACGATTCTTGCACCATTGAGAACATGTAGACGCCCTCTTTAACACTGCCAGGATCAGCTTAGCTCAGTTGGAAGAGCATCAGACTGTAATTGGGAATCTTCGGGAGTTCCTCTCGCAATATCTGGGTGTCGCCTGTTCGAACCAGGCAGCTGAGATCTTTTGACGTGTTCCGCCGTCACAATCATTTTTCAACGCGATACTCCCAGTATTGAATTAATTGATGTTTCACTTGGCCGCAAAGTAGTCCAATCCTTGCATCTTCTTCATAGCCTATGTACACAACATGCTTTGAAATACTAATCTTTGAAACTAGAACGAAGCCTGCGCTGCCGCCCTTTCTGCAAATGAACCCCGAGGCTCCCAAACATAAGCGTGCTTTGCATCTTCACCTGAATGTCCGGAACCCCAAGCCCCACCACCTGGTGTCTCAATCTTCAATCGGTCGCCCTTCCCTATCCAAATAGTCGCCTTCCCCCCAACATTGATTTCACGAGCACCCAAGGCACTGTTCTGCTCAGTGTCGTCTCCATCCTCCTCTCGCAACTGCTTTATCCACGTATTTCGTCCCAACGCACCGGATCCCCCGCCCTCCAGTCCATAAGGCTGACGTGTTCGCCGCTACGAAACAATGAGCATACGAATAGTAATAGATGTCAGCTATACCTCTGACAAAATCGAGACCTGCATCGGTTCAAGGAACTCCAACTCGCGGATGACACCTTCCCCCCCGCGGTACTTTCCAACCCCGGCGGAGCCTTGCCTTAGTCCGAACTGATGCAAGAGAACAGGGTAACGCCGCTCAAGAATTTCCACATCGCCTGATTGACTGCATCAGTAATGCGCGAGTGATCATTCAGCGCCCACCTATTCTGGTGTTGGTGATGTGGGTATGAACGCCGTCAGTGCCATGCCACGACGGACCAGCTCCAGAACCACCGGCGATTGTCTGAGAGCTGTCAGTGCTTGTCGATTGTCATGAACAGTAAAGTACCTCATAGTAGCCCCATCCCGCAATATTCTTGCCATCTTTGTCCTTTCCGCCCACCCCAAACGTAAGATTGCTTGAACGTGTCAGTCTGTAGAGAAAAGCGTCAATTAGCGGACCCTTACTTTGTACACCCTTGGCTCGCTGCCGCAGCATTGAATGCTTTGAGCACTACATCAACGATCCTCTGGGACGTAAGCACATTTCCACCACAAACAGCAGCAGTACGCGACGGTGCTAAAAGCGATTTCTGAGGGATTTTGACTGGAAACAGATCAGTTTTATTATAGGGTAGGACACGACCACATACTTTCAAGGGGGACAAGACATCCAGCATTTAACGGGATGTCAAGATCAAGCATGGAGCGCATGCAGTATATGACCGCGGAATGGACGACAGAAATGGGTGCATTGAGATTTCCGCGAACCTCACAACCCGTTCCTGCAAAATCAAAAACAGCGGAGCCAGTTGCTTCGTCAATGTCGACTTTGAGCTGAATGGGTGAACCATCATCGAGGTAATCGATGGCTTCTAAAGTTGTCGACCCGGTCCGCTTCACTACATCGCGTAGTAAATTCCGCACGGACATCTCGGCGTTGGCGCGGATATGATACATGTATTCTTGGACAGTCGGCAGTCCGTAGTCTTCTACGACTGCCACGGAGTAAGTCTTTGCCTTCAGCTCATGAACCTACTCACTCGCGTGGATCAGTTGAATACCCTTGTGGTTAGCCGCGATTTGCTGGGACTCCGTTGAGCTATGTAGTGCAAAACAAAAGGCACTTACAGCCTTGAGATCGCTCTCTACATCGCGAATATTGCGACAGCCCGAGCTTCCAGGGTACTGGCTCGGCTTTTCAACCATGTAATCGAGGAGTCCCTCGCGGTCAAACACGCCACCACTAACAATCTTGAGGCTGACGATCTCCGCTCCTTCCTCGAAGATGTTGACAGATGTCGGTGGCATTGATCCTGGAAGAATTCCTCCAATATCAGCATGATGGCCACGGGACGCCGTGAAGAATATAATCTCCTTTGAGGTTGGGTCAAAGACTGGTGTGATGATAGTTATATCGGGAAGATGTCTGCAGCGACACTCTTAGCGTTTCTAACGCTAACTTCGGACACCAGAACTCACGATCCGCCAGCGTGTGGAGAGTTGGTCATCAGCACGTCACCCTCCTTGAGCGACTGACCATGCAACTTCATTTGATACTTGACGGCACTAGGATGTTGGTTTCATTGTCAGAGTCTAATAGAGTGAGAAGAAACGCACAAGCTCATAGAGCCCAGGTGAATTGGAATAAAAGGTGCATTTGCGACAAGATCGCCGTCTGGGGCAAATAGGGCACAGGAAAAGTCCAAACGCTCTTTGATGTTGGTGCTGATGGAGGTTTGCTGGAGACTGCGCCCCATAGCCTCGGCCACGCTCATAAAGCGGTTGGCGAACAGCGTCAGAAGAATAGGATCTGGCTTATTGGATGGCATAGTGGAGATCAGAATGCTCGAGTCGTCTTTTTAAATCAGCAGTTCCGTGGGCGTTCCGATGAAGAAGTGTGGAGACTTGCGAGGTAGACTTCAAACTCGGAATTGCTCCGGCCTCTGTTAAACACAGGATGGAATACGGAAAGACACCAAGGAATTGTACGTCGTCGGTTCCAAGAATTATGAGAGTCACGGTGGAGAGTGATCATATCACATGATGTGACGCTACGTTTTGTGAGCTTCCATGTCGACTGGAACCCTGGAAAGTAGCAAGCAAGAGGAAACTCTTGCAGAATATATAGCTTCGCAAGATGATCTCGTAAAACAAGCAGTAGGTACCGATGTCAGCCAAACTCATCTCACCCAGTTTCCTAGGGAGAAGCCTTGCCCCACCAATTCTCACATTGCACCTATGCCCTAGGGTCACTAAGGTAAACCACGCGTCTGTTTTGCACTAAATTTACTCTCACTTCAAGGCAGGCCGTCTATCTCTGTCTTACGTGTCCCGAAACGCGTGGCTTTTGCGCTGCTTGCTCAGTCGCGTGCCATACTCACCATGAACAAGTCGAATTGTAAGCAACTAGATCGCCTTCGAACTTGACTGCCTGCTCATTTAAGCACCTAGATTTCCGAAACGAAACTTCCGCTGTGATTGTCCGACCACCGCAGTTGCTCATCAGTGTGTGTTGCATGCCGAATCTGAACCCCCCAATGCCTCCAACGAGTACGGACAAAACTTCAAAAATCAGTTCTGTAGATGTGGACGCCCGTATGACGCCAACACAGAACGCGAGACCATGCTACAGTGCCTTTCTTGTGAAGTCAATTGTGATGATTTTATCCTATCCGCAAGCTAAAATCTTGCCAGGATTGGTTTCACGAGTCATGTTGCATGCTTCGTACCAGGCCAGACCCTCTTGAATCTGAACCTCCCCCGCAAGAAGATGTGGTCGACGATGCCGCATCAGAAGCATCCTCCTCCGGCCTACCTCCGCCACTTATAGCTGCAGCCGACTACGATGCTTTCGTTTGTCGAGCATGTGTGCGGAAAATTCCCAGCCTACAACGTGTCATCGGGACCCCTATGGCCACCACAGTCTTTCGCAAAGATGTGAACACGCCCTGGACACCATTTAGAGGGACAGAAGACGACGCGACTGTGATCGTTGCAGAAACCGCAGTTATTGGTGAAAAACGCCCTTCATCGCCTGGAGCGACGGAGCCTGCCCCAAAGCGAGCGCGAACAGAATCATCCTCTGAGCTTTGTCTGGCACCGGCGTCACTCGCAACCCTCCAATCAACTTATACCTCTGAAAATGTGGATTGGGACAAGGCGCTTTTCACCGGAGACGCATTTCTTGTGGACGACTTCCGGAGTAAGTGGTGTCGCTGCAAGTCGGTGAGATTTCGGTTCAGTCGTGAATGGCTCTTCTCAACTAGGTAGTGTCTTCCGTCCCTCGAAGCGCATCCGTACTTGCTAGAGGAGGAAGAAACTTACGAGCCACCTGAGGATCCCGATTCCGGTAATTCCCTGCTCTTGACCACTGTTCAGTCTCTGATGAACACAAGGGTTGAGTCTAGAAGAACTCGGTATGCGTGCGCTCGAACGTTTACCGCGAGACCGGGCAATCGACGGAATCCTCGCTTTCAACTCGATGCGGTATGTTATTGACCCTAGATTTGGCCACAAGCTGAACCAATGTTGATAGCGATAAACTGCGATCATATCTTCGACCCTTTGCAGAAGAAGGAAAAGTCGTCGGGGAGGCAGACGTGCAGGGGTTTTTCGAAGAATTGCGGGAGGCGAGTAAGACGGTTAGAATTTATTTTCCCAGCACTCAATAACTGTTGACGTCCACACAGCAACAAACATGATGTCCATTTTCTTGATTTATAAAGCCGTTTTCCTTTCTTTGAAGCATCTGCCGTTGGCGTGAACGGATCAATTATTCCTTGTTTCCCTCTATAAGGACTCGAATTCGGATCTCCCCTTTCTTCAATCCTTGCCCTCGCGTCGTCGATAGCAGACTTCAAGTCAAGCAGGCATTGATCTAGGCTCACTATGACAAACCGTCCTGCGCCGCTCGTCTGGCTCATAACAGGCAAGTACTTATCCCCCAACTTGCTTCTGGGATGAACGATATCTTGTCGACCAGGGACCTCCTCGGGGTTTGGCAAACACCTCGTCGAGTCGGTTTTGGCACGTGGTGACCGTGTCATTGCAATCGCCCGCTCGCTCGACTCGCTCGCCCATCTAGCGAACACTCCCAACGTCGCAACACGAGCACTTGACGTCACTGCGGGTGCATCGGCCGTCAGCTCCGTTATCACCGAAGCCGTCAGCATTTTCGGCAGGCTTGATGTTCTGGTTTGCAATGCAGGAGCTGGGTTTCCAAGCTTGTTGGAGGAAGGAGGGTTGGTTCTCTCTTTCTGTTGAATGGCGCGTTTTGGACTGTCGGCCAGTTCAGATATATTGCGAAAGCACATGGAAGTCAACGTCTTTGGAACCATGGATGTCATCACTGCTGCACTTCCTCACCTTCGGGCACAAAGGGCCGGTACAATAGTCATTATCGGCAGTCGTAGTGCATGGAAGCCCGACATCCCGGTCTGTTGACACGTTGCCTTTCGTGGTATAACTGACTACGTTCCAGGCCCTTGCAGTCTACGGCTCTTCGAAGGCAGCAATGCATGCTTTAGCAGAAGGCCTCACAGCTGAGCTTTCACAATTCAATATTCGTGTTTTGCTCGTGGAACCTGGTGCCTTCCGTACGAATGTTGCGCGTCATGGTATCAAGCTTGACAATCCGATCGCTGACTACGACGACATGCGTGCGGTCAGCAAAGCACGATTTGGGTCTCTTCAGGGGTCAGAGCCGGGTGATCCAAGCAAGGCCATGGAAATTGTTGTCGATATAGTGCGGGAAGAAGGGTGCGCCAAGGGGAGACCATGGCCAGGACGCATTGCCTTGGGACCTGATTGTGAACGAGACATTAGAGCAAAAGTTGAACAGGAGCTCAAGATGCTGGACGATTGGCAAGACGTAGTTCGCTCTACGAATTTCTAGTACACAAAGCAATGCGATTGGGGAAATAGATACAACTATGCACAAATTGGGCAGTTTTTCCTGCTTTAAATCTGTAGAGATACAAAAAAGGGAATTTCATCACAGCGTGTCATGCAGAGGGTTCGAGGAGGGGGGGGATATGCGATTGTGGGCGTGATGGAGGCGTGGCGAATCATTAATAAACAAAGGTCGACCGTTGCTGGCCAGATGAGATCGAAACTTCCACAGTTGGCGTCAGCGGTACTTCTGGCTTTCCCGTGTCACGCGCCAGAAGACTGCCCCACTTTGTCCACCAGTCATCCACTCGTTCTGTGGCAAAATGCGAGAACATTTCCATCTCATCACCCCACTATTCTCGATTGAACGACGCCAAGTTATTAGTGGTAGAAACACGTACCATCTCCATAAAACGTTTCTCATCAATATGCTCCCAGTCACTGTAGAGCGTCATTCGCCGAATTCCAGCATCACGAGCCTTCTGTTCCGGTCCTAACGGCGCACTCATCATCGTTCGTTTCCTCAACTCCCAATCTTGAGCATAGCTGCATCGTGGTTGCCTGATCTCCTCGTAAGCTGCTAGCATTCGCGGTATTTGTGAACGGTGTTGTATCCGTGAGAAGAGAGCCCCAAGCGTCTCTGCATCCTCAATCGATACTCCCGCATTATGTTGGCCCGCAGGCTATGGTCGGCGAATGAGAAAAAACGTCCTAAAAGGAATAAACGGAGAGAGACGCACCACAAGCGGATGTGCAGCATCACCGACGATGACAATTCGGGCTCGATCACAAACACACGATTCCAGGATAGGTCGGCGTATATGGACGGTCGGGGTAACCTGGCGGACGAGCTTCATAAGCTTCTGCACTCTGAGTCACGTTAGTCGCCGAGACAGACCACGTGGAGGAACTGCGCACCTTATGTCGAAAGTGCTGAAATCGATCCCAAAGTGTTCAATTGGGTACGAAGTGTCCCAACTCTCGTCATATTGATCCAGAATTTCTTGCGGAACGTTTTGTAGTGCGATGACCATGGAAAATGCTTTGCGTCCGTTCTGAAGTTGTTGATTGAGATGTGTCAGAGTGATAAGATACGACAACTCACGACGAGACTGGCGTGGATCAGGGTACATGGTCCGAGCCAAACCCACCACTGACCACCAAGTCAGCTGCAAATTAAAGCCATCGAATGGGGCAACACCTACATTGCCATCTTCTGTCAGAGGCCGAAGGTCTTCGTCTTCCCGCATGAGTTCCGTTGGTATCGCAAGGGTCAAGCTGAGGTGACCGTCTTTGTAACCGGTAATCTTCTCTCCGACAACTTCGTTCCGTACAACTGTCATTTTCGGAGTCGGTCGGTCAATAGGACTTGGAGAAGCCACATACGACTGGCCGGCCCATCCGCTCCCACCACCAGATCCGCATATAGTCGTTCTCCGCTCGCCAGTGTCACACTAACCGCATCGCAGTCGACCGAACTAACCGAGGCGTTATATCGGAATTCCACGCCCTCCCGTTCCGCTAGTCCCAGCAATAGCGACTGAAGATCACCGTGTTGAATGAAGACAAAGCTGGCCATAAGGTCGACAAGGAAGTCCTCGTGCAGTTGTACCAAGCCCATCATCTCACCGTTAGCTAAGGTCGTGGTCAGTGCAACACTCGGCAAAAGTTCGGAAGAACATCCACGCACGCTCATTGAACACGAATTGGGGACATTTGGTGGCGAGTTTGGCGAGTTGTGGACCCAGCCCCCAGTGGTTGAGCACGCGGGTCATGTTGGGAGGGGAGCTGTCGAGTGGGTTGAGTGCTGTAATGAGGACAATTAGTCGTGCGACACACCGAAGACCACCTTGACTCTGGCGAGCAGAAACAATAAGTTATGAGAGACTACGGAGAGGTTATAGACACACGCACCCTTGCAGTCCCATCTGTTCGCTCCAGCACTGTAACATTGTGACCAGCTCGTTGAAGAGTAAAGGCAGTAGCGATTCCAGCGATCCCACCACCGACAATAACGATGCGGAGACTGACGGCCGCCTTTCGGGGGTTAATGACTAGCTGACCAGGCATTTAGAAAGAGGGAGGAAGGGAAGAAGTCCAGAAGGCCGACAGGCGTATTTATCTTTGCACCATAGATTAGGATGCTGTGATGATTGGAAGACATCAAAAGTCGACCGTTACACCCGAGGTCACGCCCCAACAACTTTCCCTTTTACAAGGTCTGGATACCTTGGAGAGAGAGAGAACTTTCCCTTGAAGCGCGCAGCTCTACTTTCGAGGACGAATACGCTGCTCGCCTCTACGCTGGACTTATCACCACAAATAACCGAACTATCTCCCACGCAATTTACACGCCTCCGTCGAAACCGGGCACACCCGTGAGAGACCCTCTTTGAGAAGTTGGGAGAATCGAGATTTGTTGTATCGTGCCTGTAAGTGAACATCATTCAACGCCCTGACAGTCCATGCTCTCCTCTGGTACTTCGGTCTTCTTTACCACTTGCCATCAGCACGTCTTGCCATTACATCTGCCCCGATGTGGCCCCTCCGCGTTCCCGGTCATACCACACAGTGCTAAGTGAGCTATTTCTGTCATCGACTTACTCGATATAGCAAGTTCAAACGCATTAAGCGGCAAGATTTACACGCAAAGAAGTATCAGGATGGCCAACAGCAACCGCCGTTATATCTCGGCCGCGGCGTCCGCGCCAGCCAGAGACTTTGCTTGTACCTGACTTCGTCTTGGCCCAACATTGAGAGGTCATTAGGTGGTCTTCCTGAAACTGACGCGCATAGATAAACAATGTCATCACTTTTGAGCATGCCTCTAATCGATTTTGATATTCCACCCTTGAAATCATGATTCAACATCGTATCCATGAAAATGACTGGCTGGATCAGACCGTCTGCTGTTCTAGATCACATGACCGTGAAGCTTTTGAGAAAACTCCAAGGCGGACGCCGCCGATTATAAATCGTCTCATTCTCACTTTCGTCTGCATTGCTCACGGATGTCTAGTCGACAGAAAGTATGGCTCATCACTGGTGAGCACACTCAGCCGATCGCATCAGACCAATTTGACCAGATCGATTGAAAGGAACATCGTCTGGGTTCGGTGAAGCTTTGGTGAAGATCCTCCTTGCACGTGGCGACCGCGTCGTTGCAAGTGCTCGGAATCTCTCCAAAATACAACATTTTTCTTCCCACCCTGACTCCCATAGTAACCTCCGCCTTCTTCAATTAGACATTCTCTCCCCGGAAGACACCCTCAAAGCCGCAGTCGCGACTGCAGTCGGATTTTGGGGCCACATTGATGCGCTCGTTAACAACGCGGGCAGTGGACAGAAAGGCATTCTCGAAGAAACGGGGACGAGTGAACTATTGTCGCAGTTTCGGACCAATCTGTTCGCCCCGATTGAGATGACGCTTGCCGTTCTGCCTTACATGCGCGCCAGGAGATCCGGAACAATCGTGATGATTGGGAGCCGAAGTAGTTGGAAGCCAGAGCAGTCTGGAATTGGTATGTTTTGTCGTATTTCTTGTTTATCTTGTAGACTCCTCAACCTCCAAAAGGCATGTACGCCTCATCGAAAGCCGCTCTTCGGACCTACAGCGAGACTCTAGCGCATGAAATTGCTCCGTTTTCCATTCGGATGCTCATCGCAGAACCAGCTGCATTCCGCACCAACACATTCAACAATTCACCATACTTTGTGGACCGAACTATATCAGATTACGACGAAATTCGTGCCAAGTCGCAGGATTGGTACTCCTTAATGCACAAGACCATCAAAGGCGATCCGGTAAAGGCTATGGAAGTCATTGCAGACGTCGTCCGAGGAGAAGGCAAAGCAGCGGGCAAGCCATGGCCGCTCTACCTGCCATTGGGAGATCTCGCGGTGTCAGGAATCACGGATAAGTGTAACACGATGCTCACAACTGTGGAAGAGTGGAAGGATGTATCAAGTGGGCTGGATATGGACATATTATGAGGTCCAATTTGGCATTGGCAGGCTGTCACGTGGCCGTGAATTTTGTGTTCATTTAATTTATTTTTGACACGTCAATGTAAGTCCAAGGGGATTTTTGAGCAGTCTTATTACGCGTAAGTCTACTTGAGCAATAGTTGCTCAAACTTCTCAGGTCCTCTGGCAAAGGCGCCGCCGATGAGAGTGAAACACGGATCACATAATTGTTGTGGATAGCACTGCATAGCCACCACCGCTGGACGTCACTGAATTTGAGTGAGCGGGTTCAATGGAACCAAGAAACCGCTCTCCCTCCCACCACCACCACCATCATGCCACTTACTCCCGACAGTGACCTCGACCTCCTTTTCCCCGCTTCTTTTATTTCTGCAGAAGTAAAATCACAGCTCCACGAATCATTGCACGTTCGTGGATAGTTGAACTGGCCTCAAGAGCGTAGCCCTGACAAGTCTTAGATTCGACCATTAGCAGCGACAGACCACGCCCGAGGGCATCTCGCTGTACTCTCAGTTCTAACGGTTGCAACTGACCATGGGGAAGCAGCCTGGCAAGCCCAGTTTCAAGCTCTCCGCAACGCACCGAACACATACTATGCCCTCGTAATCGTCGACAAGGCCTCCGACCGAATCGTTGGGGCTGGGACCCTTTTTGTAGAGCGCAAATTCCTTCGTGGGCTGGGTAGCGTCGGTCACATTGAAGACATTGCCGTCGACAAGGCACAGCAGGGGAAGAAACTCGGCTTGCGAATCATCCAAGCCCTTACCCACATCAGTGAGGCCAGCGGATGCTACAAGACTATTCTCAACTGTAGTGATGCCAACATTCGTGAGTAGTTTTTTAGCAGCAAGTAACACGCTGATATAGTCTGTAGCTTTCTACCAAAAATGCGGATTCGAGAAGAAGGAGAATGAGATGGTGAGTGGCTTGTTCTATCCTTCTCTGCGAACTGAACTTTGGTAGGCAAAATACGCTCCTGTCCAATCTCCAAGACTGTAACATACGCCCACATAGACTACTTTATATCCCATTCCAATCGCAATAATACCTCGAACAGCGACTGTGTCAGAAATAGATAAGCGACATTGAACTGTTGGCCAAACAAGGTTACTCCTCAAAGCAGAGGTCGGAATGCATTCTGCGTAATAGTTCTACACATAGCATGGTATTTAGTGCTTGGGCACAACTTCGTCATCTGGGTATAGCTAGAGGAGACGAATTTAGGCTGCATAACGAGCAAAAGCATCAACCCACAGACCTTTCCGGGATTCATTAACCCTAGTGGATCGATCGTGCTCTTGATTGACTTCATAAGGGCGACCGTCCCAGCACCAAGCTCCTCCACTAAAAACTCCCGCTTCCCAACACCTACGCCATGCTCTCCCGTGCCTGCAAAATCCGTGAGATTGTAGACGACCACTTTAGCTCAAGACTAACAGGTCCCGTCGAGCTTGATTGCTCGCTCTACCATTCGATGTGCGGCATCATGCACCTTCGCAAATTCTTCTGCATTTCGCGATAGCATTAGGGTGTGGAAGTTCCCGTCCCCTACGTGGCCGACCATCGTATAAGGGATTCCATTGGCAATCAGATCCGCTTTGGTCTCGAGTACGAGCGTAGGGAGTTGCGAAACAGGCACGCTGTAGACAGCTTAAGCCCCCAAGCCAACAAGGAAGTTGCGGCCTCACCAAACATCTGTTGCCAGACCTTTCGACCCAGGAAGTATCGACAGACCGATATGGTGCGCGTTTTTGCGGTCCGCCCAGATGTCTTCTGCCTCATTATCGTTTTTGGCCAGACGAAAGTCGATTCCCTGATGTTTCAGACAAATTTGCTTCGCAGTCCGAGCAACTTCGGACAGGACAGATGCGTTTGCGCCTTGGAATTTGAAAAACAGGCCGTCGGAAACAACATATTTGTGGGACGATGCTCCTGGGAACACTTCCGGATGAAATCCATCATGCGTAAGTGGTAAGGAACTGACCATATTTATTCGTAGCGTCTAGAAAAGCATCATCGACTAGTTCGACACATTCTGCAACGAGTTGGCTTTGGGGCGAAACGAGAGCTATGATACGAGGCTTACGAATACCCTGTGCGACACCACTTCGTAAAATCTCGATCGATGCCTCAACGGCACACTTGACATCTGGGAACTGCACACTCGCTACGGTCGTAGACATGACAGGTGCTAGTCGAATGGTTGCTTCAGTGATGATACCCAGTGTGCCTTCAGCTCCGATGAACAGCTTGGTGGTATCAAATCCAGCAGAAGATTTCCGTGAGCGACGCCGGGTCTTGATGACTTGACCATTTGGTAGCACGACAGTCAAGTTGAGGAACCATTCGGCTTTTGCGGTCCCATACCGGACAGCATTAGCTAAAAGACATAAGCAACTCGGAGTGAGCAAAGCAAAGAGCTCACTTCCAGAACAACCAGTGCTCGCCATACCACCGATTGTGGCTCCTAGAGCAGGATCTATCTAGGGTGTGTTGGTAAGACCCAGACAAGCAAAATAACACAAACGGGAAAGAAGAGAGGTATGCCCTTCTCCTTCAGCGTTTCATTGAGCTCCACCCAGCTAACCCCAGCCTGACATACAACGTCTGCATCAGACTCTGGTCAAGGCATAAGCATGGGCTCCAAGCACTTGGTCGCAGCTAGCCTGACTGACCGTGTATCTCAAGTATTCGGTTCATTGACGATACGTCCACGCAGATACCGCCTTTGGAATTCTCAAGGCAACTTCAAGTTAGCTTTTGAGAAAATAGAACAGCGCAGACGACGTACCCCGATGAACTGACCCTCCAATGCAGTCCCACCGCTATACGGAATCATCGGCATTTTATATTTATTCGCGATTTTAACAATTTGGACGACATCCTCGGTCGATTCGGGGTACACAACCACGCTATGAGGCACGCCTGACAAAAAGTCAGGTTGGAGGTGAACCGGTGGTGCAGCCGAGTCTACCTGTGTGGTATGTGTTTGTTGAAAGACCGTGGATGGCTAAATCATCGGAGTTGGTTGACACCACGCCCTCGCGAGTCAGAAACGCCGTCCTAAGTTCTTCGATGGCCTTGTCGAAGTCTTTGGGAGTCCCATAAGCGGGCTTCACCGGTAATTTGTCCGAGGGAAGGAGTTGAGAGGCACCAAAACCAAGAATCAACCCCGCGCAAAGAGATGAGATTAAAGCTGGAGAGGTGAACGGAGGTTTGGGTGACGAAGCTGTGCTGGAAAGTCGCAACGCTTGAAAACCGCAACCAAAGGCCGGCCGGCGCCATGAGTTCATGGAGCGCGCCACGAAGGTTCGCATCGGGCCCGACATGGCAGACTGTGGAGGAAGAGTGAGCACGACATGAGTGTTCGCTCGATATTAGCTCGCGTGAAAGGATCAAAAATAGTCACGTGCATCATTCAGTCAACGTCAAAAAAGTCTTTAAAAGAAAACGCCTGATTGCGAAGTACAGATACAGAAAAGGAGAGTATTCGTCCGGGTATCTCGAAATAATACACTAGTGGGAATGAGTGTGGATGTCAAGGGACTAGAAGGTCCCCGTAAGTCGGACATCGTTGATGGATGCGCCAACGGTCACGGTGAATGTGCCAGACGGACGAACCCAAGCTTGAGTGATGACATCCCAGATACTGTTGGCATTTTAGCACTGCCGTAGCTGAATTCAATGAACGAACCTCATCTCCCTAGCCGAAATGCTCATGGTCACAGTTTGGCTAGCACCAACAGCTAGCGGCCCAACCTCGTCGAACCCACGAAGGACTCGCTTGGGCTCTCCCGCAGATGCTGGATACGCAAGATAGAGTTGGGGCTTCTCGGTACCCGCGAATGCACCAGTGTTGGCGACAACGAATGTTACCGTAACACTTGAGGACGATCCTGAGCCAGTCGACGTAATCTTGAGGTTGGAATACCCGAAGGTAGTATATGAAAGCCCGAAGCCGAACTCGTAGTGTGGTACAATATTCTTGGAGTCCATATAGCGGTAGTCGATGAGCAATTGTTCTGTGTAGTTGACCTGTAGAAAGTAATGGGTCAGAGACAGAAACAAGCTGAGCTTATCGAGAAGAACTCACGACAGGGAATCCGAGACTGTTGTAGACAATTGTTGTTCCATACGAGGCTTCGTTTTCATCAATACTATATGGCAAACGGCCGCCTGGGTTGACTGCGCCATAGAGGACATCAACGAGAGATGGTCCTGTCTGCTCCCCTGGTGCGCCAGCGTAGATGATAGCAGTGATGTTAGGGTGTTGGCTCCAACTCAGATTAACGGGCCCCACGCTGTGTATGACTGCGATAGTGTTACTACACACAGCCGCAACAGCCTCGATCTGGTGAAGCGTGAGTAAAAGGACACTGGTTCTTATTTTGATGCCTACTAGGCTACCCTCTCGCCACCATAATGCTAGATCATTACGACTATTCCGAGATTACTGATGATTTTTTAGAGCCACGAAAAAAGGCCACTCACTCTCCCATGTTCCCAACCACGGTGCTGTAGAATCCAAGTTCGCCGCTCATCCTAGAGAAATTGAGCACAATGAATACCCTCATGGTGAATTCTACATACGCGTTGCCAAACACAATGCAGACATCCTTTCCCTTGGCTGCAGCAGGTCCGGCATTGAGGTCGTTATTCAGTGACGTCGTGATGGTCGCCGAAGTTCCAACAAAGTCTTGAATAGCTTTAATGGGAGGAACGATGAAAGCAAGAGAATTCGAGCCAGATCCCCAGCTAATAATACGGGTCAGTAAGCTAATGATCAATGGAACGAACATACCCAATGCTCATAGTCCCATCGTTGCATTCGTTCAGATCGTTGCAGGAGAGATTGGGATAGGTAGCATCTAAGCCAATGACAGCCATGCTCTTGATTCGGGACTGCACAAGGGGTAAACCACGAGTAGTGGCGCCACTAGGAGTGCCAGTCGTTGTCGTACGATTATTCTTGAGAAGAACAGCCGATGCGGCGCCAATTTCACGGACGAGAGCGGTGTGTGCTTCCGAACGCACTGAAACACCCAAGTTAAGGGAGCCAGAACCATCGGAATGCTGCGCATCAAAGTTAACAGCTGGATAACCAGTCTCTTGTCCAAGTTTATAATATCCAGCCAGTACACGAGCGGCCATCTGGTTGAGGCGCTAATACGAGAGGTTAGCAGGTAACCAAAATGAAAGTTGAATTATCCACCGTCACGTTGACGCTTCCCCCGTTGACAGCATTGGCCAAGTTACCGCCTCCGGTCCCGAACACACCCCCACCGATAACCTAACGGGAATAAGCTAGCTATTGGTTTGAATTCGACTGGAGATTTACAATGTTATCACCCGGCTGTTCCATGTCAAGGCCTGCCAACCCATGGTCAACGCGACAAGATAGAACATACATAGGCACAAACCAGCATTGGCATTGTCGGCAACTGAATCGTGAGTTGCTCCCCAGTCTGACATGACATAACCTGATCATGTTTAGAGGCGATCTGACAAAACAAAAACATGAATTTACCCTGAAAGCCAGCGCTTCGTATCAGGCCGTTGGGTCCCATTAACCCGGCGTTGTGACAACTCGATGTGCCATTTTGTTGGTTATACGCACACATCATCGACGTGACATTTGCCTCGATCGCGCGAAGGAATGGGTAGAAGTACATTTCGTGCATTGTGCGATCATCGATTATGGCGCTCAAACCATACCGCCAGTGTTCCTGGTTGTTTGCGGCGAGATGTTTTGCACAGGCTTGGACGCCAACAGATTGAATCCCGGCAATCGTATAATAGGCTCCTTCTCCAGTCAAGTACGGGTCTGGACCAAAGCTTTCCCAAGCACGGCCAGCTTTAGGATTGCGCATCTTGACGAGAACTTCAAAAGTGTTTCAAGATAGCCAAACAAACAGCGCACCAGATCCATCGCAGGTCCCAATAGGACACTAACACGCAGTTCAATCAAGACGCGCCAAGTTCAAGACATCACTCACTGGATGCCTTTGCCTTTGAACTCTTCTGCCATTGCCTGACCGCGCGCTTGCATCAGTCTTCGAGAGAATGTTGCCGCAGTGTTGATGCCTGATGGGAATCCAGTAACATTCTTGACCAGTCTGACCGGGAAAGAGTCATTGGAAAGTGATCAGAAATGTCGTTAATGAATGTACCTAATGCCAGCAGGACCTAGTCTGAAATCAAACAGTGTTGGTGAGACAATATTTGAACTGACCATCGTTCATACAGATTGCTGGTATTCCGAGTCGGGGGACGGGTGTTGTGTTGCCCACACAACGCGACCGAAACTGACCTACGCCTGCGAGGAGACCGACTTTCTCAGTCAAGGTCAAGTTGGCCACCGTAGCGTTAGCTAACGCGTAAGCTTGCTCCCATGTCCCTATGAGGGTGTGAGTACACGAAGAAAGGAAATGAAAGCAGACGAACTGAGAGTAAAACCATGGGCAAAGGCTATGAGTAGAACGAGGGCGAGCAGTTGACGAGCCATTGCGATGGAGGAAGCCAACCAACCCAGAGATCACAAGTTTGATGATACGCGTAGTTATAAAGTGTGGTCGCGTCCGCATGGATCTGCAGACAACATTTATTGGGAAGGTCCGTCATCTGTCACCTGGCTCCAATACTGCTTGAACTCAGATTGATACTTTGGCAGTTGACTGAACCATTCCTTCTTTGCGCACTAGGGGTTTCGGAGCTTCTTTTGTAAGGTAGTGAGACGATTCAGCGTGGAGGCGTCTAGCTTCAGTACAGTTCCGTTGGCTCAGCTTGGCCATCGATCGTGTTTTGTCGGTCCTTGGCAGTGGCTAGGAAAGGACAAGTTCAGGGTGATACAAAGTGTCACATATGCACTCATTGCCTCTTGAACTCATTCACGAAATCGCAAGGCACTCATGTGAATCTCAAGACGAGGCTGCATCTAAAGCTCCATGGAGCTCGATTGGACCTCTTTCAGTCGCTTGCAAGGCCTACAGAGTCGTCGTTTTGGAGAAATGGTTTTACATCTTGCTTTCTCAGACGCCCAGCGATGCGGCGCGTCTTGACGCTTTCTTTCCGCAAATCTACAGGTTATGGACAAGGTGCTCCATCCCTTAACCTGGTGCCTTCTTTTACTGACCGAGCTAGGGAGCTCCACGTTTCTCCGAAGCAGAACGAAGAACTCACATGGGACCTCCACGTCTTTCGCCGCCTTCATCGCGTCCGATTCAATCATCCTTCTGTTTCTTTTCCACGAACAAGAACATTTGGAGTCTTTGGCAATGAGACACCTCCCACCATCGTCGAACTCGAGTTACGGCACCTACCCTGGCCACGTCCCAATGTGTTGTCTGAGATCGCGTGGATGTTTCCACAGCTCGAGATTCTTAAAACAACGCAACGCTACATATGGTTGACTATTGTCTAGTCCTTGGGTTATACTAACCTGAGCTGGCAGGTGTGATCTTTGCTTCACCTGTTCCAACGTGCAACTGGCCGGAGATGTTCCTGCGAAGCTCGTCTACACCAATGGGCTTGGACTCCCGGTATTTTTCCATTTGTCCATTTTGATTTCGGCCTCAGTGATTCGCAGATACACTACGCTCGCGCCCTGTTAGCGCTTAAATCGCTTCGGATTGTCCGTATAACCGTAGCATATTGGGAGGGAGTACACATCATGCTAGACCTGAAGGATCCGTACAAGGACATATGGTCTGGAGAGTGCGACAGCTGTGTGGGTATGTTATATGGTGAGTTCCTTTGAACTAGCGGTCTTGCCAAACATTCAGCGTTAATTAGGCGACCCTGACTTCCGCGATAAGTGGCGTGCTCGAAAACGAGGCATTGCCTCAAATGAAGACGATTCACGAAAAGTGTATCTCAAACCTCCGTCTCTTCAACTGGTGGAGTGGGTATTTGAACGCAATGAGGGTGCAGTCGATGAACAAGAGGAGGAGGCGGAATCGGGAGACGATGAAGATTCGGCCAGTGGATAGGAAGGTCGAAAAAAGAAGAATCAGAGTCCGCCCGAAACTCACCATCCAACGTCTTGAAGACTTGTTCTGCGGACAACAATGATGTCAGGATTTCTCCGATAACGCCGTGCCCAAGGTCTCACGCCCTCGCATTGTGCCAACGACACCTATTCACGCGACCAAAACTTTTCGTCGAAATGTTGTATAAGAAGGATCAATATTCTCCGATCTCTCTCTTGCTCTCCACCACCACCTCATTCCTACCCCGACCCTCATTTAATCATGGTGAACATCACAATCTGGGCTGGCGGTTACGACGTCTTCATCGCTGCATATATCTTCAACACAGCGACCTCGTCTTTAACGCTCGCCAACACCTTCCCCTCTGGCGCGAGTTGCTCGTGGATTACTGGTCACCCTACCAACAGCAGTATTCTATAGTTCGCTCATTGTCCTTGGCGAGGTGGCACGAAACTGACAACTCGCCTTGTAGTGCCACAAACGAACTTGAACCGACTGGAGCACTGCAATCGTTCGACATACTCCCAAACAATGTTCTTTCGCCTGCTGTCGACACTATCACATCCAGCGGGGCGGACCCAGCTTTCGCTGCTGCTGTCAATGGCGGACGCGAAATCGCCATCATGAACTACTCGAGTGGCAACGGACGCATTATCCCGACCACAACCTCGCCAGAAAAATTCGACAATAATGCACCTGTCATCACGTTTCCTGTTCCTCCAGGCGGCGTCTCACATCCACATATGGCTGTCCAGTTTGGAAAGGAGATATTCGTCCCCGACTTGGGTGCAGACATGATTTGGCGACTTAGTCCAAGTGGCAAAGCTGGCGTCTATTCTATCACTGGCCAAATTCCGCAGCCCACAGGAAGTGGCCCTCGCCATATGCGTATCAGCAGTGCGTTGCTCTCCTCTTCGTTCCTGATTGAAGTCATGGGTTTATGTAACAGACGATCGTCTCTATACTCTTCACGAACTCAGTTCAACCCTAACAGTTCAGACGATACCATCGTACCCCAACGGCACTTCGCATATCATCTCCACCGCTTCCATCATTCCACCCAACCCTCCTTCCAGCGCAGAGTGGGCTGCAGGTGAAATACTCATCCCGGCCGCTTCCCAGTCTTTCCCAAAGCAATATATCTACGTTTCGAATCGCAACACCGGAGTCCAAACGCCGACTGGCGATTCTATTGCTATCTTCGAAAATGTCGGTCAAGGCACTGCCCGTGAGCACTTGAAGTTGGTCACTCAAGTATTCACTGGACTGGACCAAATACGTGGGATGGAATTCTCGCGTGACGGCAGATATTTAGTTGCGGCTGGGAAGGCCGGCGACGCTGGTGTTGTGGTTTACGAGCGGGTTGATGGCGGGCGAAACTTGAAGGAACTGGCGAGGAACAAGGATATACCAACAAGAACGAGCTTCGTTTGGGGAGAAGCTTAGATAATGATTGTTACATTGTTACATAATCTTCAACTGTTGCAATCGACCCTGATGTTGGTGAAGAGCGACCCTCAAATTGAGGTATTGCGGACGCTCCTTGCCGAAAAGACAGAGCAAGCAGCTAAACAAGAGAAAGAAATCCAGCAGTTTAGGCTGGACCAAGCCGTCAACCGGAAGAAAATCGTCGGGTTGACTGCTGAACTAGCCGAAGCTGAAGCTAAGCTTGCGCGACTGAGTCGCATAAAGGTCAAGGAAGAACCAAGGACACTTGAGATTATTGAGGTTCGTGCACAATCAAATGGTTCTGATACTGTACGCTGAACACTGGTTCATAGGTTGACGACTCGGATGAGGAAAGTAAGAACTCTCTAGATGTGTCAGTGGCTCTCGGGGAGCTGCCTCTGCGTATAGCGTCCCCAGTCTTCCTTCAACATGAACCAGTAAGCAGGAGATTTAGAACTGACCCATAATTCTCGCATCTCTAAATCAGATTTGGACAGTCCGACCCTGAGGAAGGATTCTCAACCCCGACAAACCGGAAACGAAGACGTAAACCACAGGAAGTGGCGGTTAAAGAAGAGCCCCAAGATACCGTCGTGGATGTGGTGTTCAAAACAGAAAGCGCGACCGAAGTCAGACACGTTATATTGACCAAAAATGAAGACGGCTTCGATATATTCAGGGTTGACACCTTTGGGGCGCGTGCTCCAATCGCAGTCCCTAAACGATTTTACCGTGCTTTCAGCCGCAAGCAAATCAAAGACGTTGGTTTTTGTTCAATGCTGCGCTTGCCAGTGGTCTCACAGATTGCTAAGGTTTTCGGAGGGTGTTTACAAGTCACTCGGCACCATTGGACCAAGGATCCAACGCACCGGCGAAAGGAGAACTTCTCATCTAATACCCAGCCCTTGTTAGTCGACGGCATGTGAATCGCACCTGCCCTAACACAACTCTTGTAGCGCAACCTATAATCGCAAATGGAGTCACTCGCTGCCAGCACACCCCGGCGCCCATGGAATCGGCATTTGCAATTTACTCGACTGTCCGACCAACCCAGAACCCATCCCGTTGTTTGTCGGTGAGGGCCCGTGAGTGCCTTGACCTCCATCGCTCAACTGACGGTGTCAAACATCACGTGCAGAAGTGAATGGTGTCTCATGGGCCTCTACGTGTACCAGCAATGTGGAGAAGTTGCACAACAACATCTCGACCGACTTCCAGCCCACGTTCTGAAAGCATGGATCGACGGCTTCGTGACTAAACGATGGGGGGACAATGAAATCAAACAGAAAAACATGGAACTCCCTGCGGACCGAAAGATCATCCGGAATTACCATGGTGTCCTCGCCGCGTTGAAAGATGGCCGCCTCGTACTAAACTTCACCATTCTCGAGTGCGTAGGATACCCTTATGACTGGTTTGAGCACTTGGAGGAGTATGAGGCACAGATGAAGAAGAAGGACGCAAGAGGCGCACCAAAGAGGAAGCGGGATGAAGTAGAGGAAAGAGACTCCGACTGCGAGTCAGAAGAAAGTGACCTGGGATTCTCCCGAACTGTCCTCAGGACCTCGCCACGAAAAAGACAGAAATGATGGAGGACAATGCCACTTTCAAGGGACAAGTCTGAGTTGGCTTTGCAAGAGCACTATTTCGGTCTGGGTATACATGAAGTCCATTCGAACCATCGTACATGCCATAGCCTTCTAAGAGTCATTTCAACCTTTCCAGAAATTGTCGTAGGACGCGCTCATGTTGACGCCCATTGTGATGTATGAAATCAGACCCTGCGAAATGACACCGCCGAGGAAGTGGGTCTTGAAGATCGGGTTGTAGCCGTTCTTATGAGAGTCCCCGAAGATATTGAGCGAGTCACGCCAGTTGCGCGTCCTGCCTCGCGTGTGACGAATCGGGTTCTCGGTATATGGATGCATCTAAAGCTAGATAAGCACAAATTCCATGAGAGAGAGGATGTGGCACCAACCCCATCGATAACAACGTTGATATCATCGTCAAAGAAGAATTGGCCGACATGGGCAAGACGGCCGCCAGAGAAGGTGTTGTTTTCCGGGATTGGTGTCCATTCTGGGAACACTTTGGTGTGAATGTGGGTTGCGCGACCTGTGTAGTATCCGGGAAAGATACTCGTGAATTGAGCTACGCCGTTGCGATCCGTTGGCCAGGCGCCGCGCAGGAAAGTTTCTGATTTGACGGTTCGCGGGAAGGCGGAAAGCAAACCGCTGCGTGCTCCGCCAACTTGAGGCTGTTCGTCTACGAGATGAGGGGCGGGCACGGGATGGCCCGCGTAGTGACCCGTGGCGTTAGCCAGCCAGATATCGACCAAGACATTGGGGACAGGTTTGCATGTTTCTACGTCAATAACGCCAATATCAAGCAACTTGAATAGCAAGGTCAGTTGGGGGTTGATTGAGACATAATTCTGAACGCACTAGAAGGAGGCCAGGTTGCAGTTCAGCGATGTTTTGTCTGATTGGATGTCCAGCAGTATGATAATAAGGTCCCTCCGTGACCTCCGGTGCTAGTTCGGACCGTCAATATTGGCGAGGAACGGGACCAGAAAACGTTATCCACGCACTCAGAACACAAGTGTTGTTTTCAATGTGCGTGTCTTGAACCGGAGAGCAACTCAAGAACTCCTTCGCTGGGCTATCGACTCCTGCGAGAGCTTCTTGCGTAAAAAGTTCATCGTAGCTGGGAAGACTGGGCTGTCCAGCGGATCCAAGTGCTTGCTGCGAAAACGCGCGTCTTCGAGCAGCTGTGAAGTCGGCTACAGCAGATGTACACTGGAAGAATATTGCTCTATTGAACAGAGATAGCCATGAACCATACGAACGTGGTAGGCAGCGTTACGAAGATTGCTTTCTAGGACCTTCTCTTCAGGTGTTGACGCGGACTTGTGGGCGAGAGCAGGGAGCACAATCGCAAAGAGAACGAAGGGCCGCATCGTGGTTGTGGGGGTCAGCCAATAGCCATCTATTTATTCGCCACAGTCTTTGATCCGGCCAAGTGTTAAACCTTTCTCCCGCCCGTTCGCATCGGCCGCGCTTCTCTTCCCACGGTCATTCATGCAACAGAATCTAGGCCTGCACTTGCTGAAAGTAGGTGTCGGCTTCAGATCTTGGAAAAACTGTTTTATTCAATACCTCTTCGCCTACTTCCACCGAAAAAATACAACGCCATCATGGTCTTTGTGTACCGAGAAGAAGATTCTTCTTTACATATGAAGGGCCGAGGCATTATCAGGAAACCCAGCAGCCAAACTTCTGAGGGTACCGTAGCAGGATAGCAGTCAAGCAGGACTCGCTGTCTCGTTACTTATTGCACTCTTGATAAAGGCCTTGAGATTTGTTAATATGCTTCCGAAGACAATCATGCGCCTCATAGGTTCTCCGCCTCCAGAAGAATCGCGTGAGATTGAACGGTCGTCTCGAAAGACCTTATGAGAGCGGTCGGTCGACGAAAACTTGACGACATCCTTACAATTGGGAAGCTTTGGTCGGGCCCACAACAAGCACAGAACAGATCTTTCGCAAGAGATCAGACGGAGTACTCTTTCTCACTCGTCATCGCTCGACGGCATTCCAATAGATTCCGCACGAAGGCCCAGTTGTGCGATGACTGACATTGACTGCATATATATTGTGTGAACAGACTGCTTGATGTACAAAGGACGGAATAAGGAAAACCGCGTGAAGTCGTGCATTGGATGAGCGCAAAAATAAATGTTTTGTGCTTGGAAAGATGCCCAGAGCTAGGATTCAGACGTAGAATTAGAGGTCGGGACCACAAAGCACAGATGTCAAAGTAAGTAGCAAGCCAGGTTGTCGCACTCGGTTGTGATGATGTTGGCCTGTGATTATTTCTTGGCGACGTGAAGGAAGTAGAGAAGGTACCCAGAGCTGACTGCGCGTCGCATCTACCAAACTTCAAAGCATGTTTGAGATGTCTAAAAAAACTTTGCAGTGCGGCCACAGGCTGGTCTTGGTGTTGGCCGAAATCTCAAGGCAGTGATCCTGTCACAGCCTGTCACCCCACGCCTCCTCGTCACTCCTCTCCACATCGTTTGAAACGGTAGCTTTCTCCTTCTCCGTCCGCCCACTGACCTCAACTGTCCATTGCAGACCCACACGCAACCGTCATGTTCGTTTCCGCCCACGGCTTCTTTCCCCGCCCACTTATTTTCCATCCTGCTTTTCCAGGTCTGAACCCTACGACCCATACCTCCCCCGCAATGGTGGCCCTGGTGGACCTTCTGCTGGAAATAGCCAAGGAGGCAATGCCAAGACTGCCGCCATTCAGGCCCAAATTGACGACACCGTCGGCATCATGAGAGAGAATATCACCAAGGTCGCAGAGCGGGGCGAACGTCTCGATGCACTCCAAGACAAAACCGGTGAGTTCCCCTCCTCTCCCTGGCTTTTCAGCACTCATAATCCTTCAGACAACCTTGCCGTTTCCGCCCAAGGCTTCCGTCGTGGGGCTAACCGTGTCCGAAAGGTGTGTGCCAAGCTCCCTTTTCGGCGCCTTTCCGCAGTCGCTGACTATTATTACAGAATATGTGGTATGTGTTGCTCGGTCTCCGTTTACGCATTTGATTTCACGTACTGCACCGCTTTTAGGTGGAAGGACATGAAGGTGCGTGCTTTCTGCTTACCCTTTGCCAACCTTGCCGACGCCCTGTGCTAGATGCGCCTGATCATCGGCGCTGCCATAGCGGTCATTATCATTATTATCGTCGTCTCTGTAGTTAAGGCGACAAAGAAATGAGTGTACCCCTCTTACCATACCACCCACCATCCACGCGTATCATCATGCTCTATAATCCTGCCTTCCGCGCGGACCTCTTGTTCTGATATCTTATCTATTCTCTTTTTCTTCGTGTACAGCGTCGGTCGTCGCATTTGCTAATGTGGATGCTCTTGGGTCCCGCTCATGGGCCACTTGTACTCCAGCCAATAAGACGATTCTAACCATCCTGTCAGTCATTTTTTCAGTGGAAAAAAATTTATCGGTCAACCTTGAATTTCACCACTGCGCTTTCTGGCTATGAACCTATCGGCAGCAGCCCAAAAGCCCGTCGTCGTATCGGTATTGAGTTCCCAGTCCCTCCAAAATACGGTGAATTGCAACCGGCTAACAACGAATCGAGGGTCTGCGCTAGGAAACGGAGGATGGTCAGCCATTGCACGGGCTTCCTTGTGTGTTGAAGGCATATAGACCAGTGCTTCAAGTTTTGTGCATGTTCCAGCGATGAGGATGAGAATGTCTGATGTTGTGTCCGTCAGACAGAGATGGGTCAGGCTCGGAAGACTGGCGAGTGCCGAAGAAATGAACACGTCGTCGTCGGTGAAGGTGTCGAATATTTCCATGTGGGTGACATTTGCAAAGCAGGGGTAGCGCGCGAGGCCAATGTCGGGCATGCTTGAGTAGCCAAAAACAGCGTATAGAAACCCGCTCCAGCGACGAACACCGCTAATCTTCTTGACGGATTCTTGTTGGAAGCTGCCCCAGATGCCACTCACGGCCAGGGCGGTGAGGCGCGGACAGAGCGCGAGCAAGTCGTGAGCGTAGTCTTCGGTCCATTTTCCTGCCCCAGTTAGGTACAGATTGCGCGTGTGCTCGCTGAAGAAGCGGGGTGGCTTGACATATATGGTGCGTTTCAGAGAGCGTCCTTTAGGAGAGTCGTCTGTGATGAGAGTGCGGTATAACAGTGGCTCGATCCTTCTCCAAATTGGCCTCAACAGTGAGAAAATGATGTAAATTTATTGGTTACCATTTTTGCACTCGTCGAGCGACGCGTAAAAGTGAGGGTATATTGGATAGGTCATCGTGAGCGGCCTTCTCGAAAATGAACCGTTCGAGTTCGAGAGGAAGCATATTTAAGCGCACGTGCCACGCACGTGCTCCTCAACTTTGATTCAACCTTCCATCTGCGCATCAGCTAACAGCAATGCCGACTCTGTTCGGGTGTAAGAGAGACTCAGAGAGATATTTTAGGAAATCTTGCCTTCTTGTCGGGACAGCCACTTACTAGCTATCAACTTGAAGCAAGTGCTCATGGTCAGGTTTTCGCTCCGAGTCCAATGTTCGCGCCCTGGCTGCAATGTCGTGTTCGGGGAACACCATTCAAGCGGAAAGCTGATCTGCAACTATCATCCCCTCCCGGTTAGTGTTCTTCGCAGTGGGCACTTCACCTTTTTAGTTGAAACTTTGTGCTCAGCCAACCTTGTACTACGGAACCAGCCTGAAGGTGACCTTATTTTGAGGGCTGCTTACGATCTCCCCAGTTAACGTTGTCATAGGGCTGGTTATGCTGCAATACCCACGTTACAGAAATTGAGGAGCTCTCTGATATCCGAGGTTGTGTTAAGGCTGGCGACCATCTCTTCTGGCCGGGCAGTGTTGACAATGCGACGAGTCATGATGTAGAGGTAAGCTTGGATGTGAGAGTGCATGAATATGTCATTCGATCCAAATCACAGTGGAAATGGCCAGTCGAACACTGCGACTACGGCGACTACATTCGAGCTTTTATTTCCTTGAAGGATATCGATGCTCGCGCAAGCCGAATCGTCTTCGAGAGCTACCAAGTATGTATTCTATGGCATGGGCCAATGTTAATCGCAAACGATTTTCCAGGTCATCATGCGGTTGTCAACTCTGTCCACAAGCTCATTCAAAATCCTCAAATTGTTTGGCCCGATTAATCCTCGAGCCTCCACCTTTGTGATGACCCCAACCAAAGTATTCCGGGTGTCCAAACACTGAGAAATACATTTGACTCCTCCAGGTAGAACTTACCCTCATCAAGACCGACTCTCGGCGCTGGTTTGCACTCGAGCCAACCGATAGCATCTCATCCAAACCTACGGATCCCATCCGGGCTCAATCGCAACACCTAGTCTCAATAAAACTTCAGGCTGATGCCCCATTTCAACTCCCAAACGACCCTTTGCCGATCAAGGTAGAAAGGAGTGTCATGTACAGGCTCAACCCCCAAGCAGTTGAAAAATTAGTATTATATCTGCATGACGCTGCGACTCAGGGCACTTTTCGCAGTTACCATAATGAAAGGGCCCAAAAACTCCTGGACGTTCTGCAAGATGTGAGTGGGTCAACTTGAGTATCCAATTTGTTTGAGACGTTGTGGTAGCTGGGCTCGGCCGCGTGTGGTCGCTCGAATGATCTAATGATAGTGTGACTACTTGTGACATGATCCGGCTACGGCCCGATGCCGACCTCCCATCACAGGTGCCCCCTTTTTAAAATGGCGGCGTCCTCGTCCGCCTGTGCGCCTTCGATCCGCTTCAGCTCTTCCTCCATGTCTGCTACCCGTTTGCGCTCGGCCATCTCGCCCGCCCCTCTCCCTCTCTACCCTTTTCGTTTCGTCATAGCCCACTACCACTTGTCCCTTCTTTACCCCTTCCATGAATTCATGCTGTTCGATCGCTAGTTCCGTGCCTTGTCTCGGTGTGAACCTCCTCAGCCTTCGTGCGCTGTAGTGCCCGGATACTGCCACGCCGTCTAGTGTCTCCAGTTCGTAGGAGTTCACTCTTCGCATCTTTATCCTGTGGGGTTCGCTCCATGGTCCCTGGATTTTGCGATCCGCGCTCAGGGTCTTCATCCTCGCTGTGTCGTATACCTGTATTAGATCACCTATTTCGAATGTCACCTCCCCGGCCTTGGATTCCTTCACTGCCTTATCGAACAGGGCCTTTCGCTTGTTTTGCGTGGTCTAACCTGTTGTCGTAAGCGTCCAGGCGTTGCTGCTCAGCATAGCGCATGTGTCTGTGGATCTCCGCCTCCGTTACCTGTGTGGTCGCCACCAGCGCTGGAGTCGGAACTGTGTTGACTGCTTTTGCGAACAGGATCTCCTTCGGGGTGTACCTGACGGACGGCAGTATCCTTTGGTTCAGTATGTGTAACGCTTGCCTGAAGTACTGCGACCATGTCGCTGGTAAATTTTCCGCCTTCATGTTCCTCCAACCGTCCTCCCCCAGTCTCGGCGCGCACAATCTCGCCAACACGAAGATGAGAAGTTTGTTGGTGCCTTCTACCAACCCGTTAACCCACGGCGAGTACTTCGGCACTGGTGTGAACTGGGTTCCCCATTTGTCGCAGGTCGCCTTGACTGCCTTGTTGACGAAATGCGATCCGTTGTCCACCATCAGTGTTTCCGCCGGCATATAGTCTCTGAAAAGATTGTCGAGTACCTCCACCGTATTCGCTCCGGTTCCTGCTCCCTTGTAAACTTCTCCCCAAACGTGTTGAGAGGCCACATCTATGTATAACCCGGTTGTCTTGAAGCCGTCCTCGCTGAGTGGAAGCGTCATGTAGTCCGCTGCTATGAGTTCGAAAGGGTGCCGCCTGACTATTGGTCTTAACAGCGCGTGTACTGCTGTCGGGCCGAAATTCTTGCATTCGGGACATTCCCGTATCGCCGCCACGATCGAATCGTCCAATTTCGGGCTGTGGAATTTGTCCATGAGTGCAATTTTAATATGGTCTCGATGAAAATGGCCCCCTTGTGCGTGTACTTTTGCTGCTTCCTTTTTGGCCTCCTCTTTTGTGATACACTCGCGGCTTGGCCTTGCTCTTCCTCCCGTTGCACCTCCTAATCTCCAGAGCTTTCCATTCTCCACGAAGTATTGCGACGCGCGATGTCGTGCGCGTTTGCGTTCACGTTCGCTTCTCCCGAGATCCAACTCCGTGATGGCGTCGATCACCTCTAGGTAGACTGGCTCTTTCCCGGAACCGTTCCCTCAGCGCAGCTGTTCCGCTTGGTACGGGCATTACCAAGTAGTTCCCCTCCGCTACGCTCGTTGTAAACACGTCGTTCACAATCCCCGCCCTTGCCTCCCAGTTCGGGGATACTGTCCATTCGCTCCCGTCTTGGTTTCCTTTCGGTTTCCCTTCATCCGCCCCTGGACAGCGCGTCTGCGACGACATTGTTCTTCCCTTTGATGTGTTCTGCCCCAACAATGTGGTATCCCATGATGCCATCCCTCCAGCGCGTGTGGGTGACATTGAGTTTCTTGTTGACCATGATGTCGCGTAAGGCCTGGCAATCTGTTTCTAACTTGATGGGCTGGCCCCAAATTATGTCCGAAAACTTGTCTAGAGAATATTTCAGTGCTGCGAATTCAAGGAGGTGAGGCTGATATCTCTCCTCCGACGACGAGGTCCTCTTTGACGCGAAGGCTATCGGGTGGCGTCGAATTACTTCCTTCCCTCCTGGCAACGTCGTTGCCATCTTTTGGGAGAGCATTCCCCGCGAACGCTTCCTTGCTCCCGTCAGTTGTGACTATGAACGGATATTTGTCCACCGTTTCGTAGTTCGGCGCTCGCAAGACCGGCTCCCTCAACAGCGTGTCCTTCAGGTTGATGAATGCTCTTGCGTGTTGGTCCGTCCAGACCGGTGCCAACTTAAAGGCTTTCATTGCTGCCTGGTAAACTGGTTTTTTTGGCGCCTGTGGGAATCTTCACTTTAGCTAGCAAGTCTCTTAACGGTTTTTCCAACTTAGCGTAGTTTTTAATCAGATCTCTGAAATACCCTGTTAGGCCCAGGAATGCGCTGAGGTTGGCGGCATCTTCGGGTTTCTCCCATCGCACTATTGCCGTGAGTTTCGCCGGGTCCGGTGACACGCCGTTTGGGCCGACTCTTGCTCCCGCAAATATAGCCTCCGTCATGAACAACTTGGTCTTGGCAGCTGACAGCGATAGCTTCTCCTCGCGGATCCTGGTGAATATCAGCCTAAGTTTATCCATCATTTCATCGAAACTATTGGCTGCTGAACCGCTATCGTCGACGAAGAGTTCCATAATTCTCTTGACTAGCAAGTCTGATAGCTTCATTGCTGCCATGTGCGCGAATTCCGTTGGCGCGTCCGTGAGTCCGAATGGCATGCGCATGTACGCGTAATAGCCCTGCCCCGGCACGAACATTACAATATAAGGCTGCACATCCTCTGCAATCTGCACAGCGAAGAATCCTGATGCAAAATCGAACACGGACACGTACCTATGTCCCGACAGCCGTCTTTGCTTTTCGCGTATGTCACCCTGCGGCATCGGGACCACCTTGAGGAGCTCATTCAGCTCGTGGAAGTTTTGGCATATGCGCCATTTTGGTTGCTTCTTGACCTCGGGTTCTCGTTCCGCTTGTTCCGTTCTTGGCGGTAGATCGTAAACCGGCGGCAATCCTGCCTTAATGCACTCATCGTTGAGCGTATGTTGAAGCTCCTCCAGTGTCATTCCTCCCCCATCGTGTTCCTTTTGCGCCAACTTTATGGGTGAGACGCATTTGACATCCCTCGGGTGTATTGGTCTGATTATGCCTGCATCTTCCAGAATCTTCACCTGCTCTCTCAGGTATTGAGCCTGCGGTTGGGATAGCGGCTTCTGGTGAATCTTTGTGCTGAATTGATGGTCCTTCGGAATATGTGGTGCGTATTCTGCACCCTCTACCGCCTGCACCTCGCTCACTGCCAACGCGAAGACATCCGCGAACTCCGCCACTAACTCCTCAATCCTCTTTCTTTCCTCCATCGTTACATCCTCCCCAATCTCCACCGATTTCAGAATTCTGTCGACTCTTGCTGGATTGAAGGGATCGGTTGCGCGTGTATAGATGTTTGGCTGTTTCTGGCTTTGAGCTGTGTCGACCTTCACGGTATGTACCGCCCGTGGTTGCTCCTCTCTTCCTCCCTGTTCGTCCATTCCTAATGCTCTCATTGCTTCCTCCGCTATGGCTCTCGCCGTCACCACCTCTGTCTCCCCTTCCTTTTTCTCCTCCCCGTCTTCATCCTCCCATTCTACCCATTCGTCCTCCTCTTTTCCCCCGCTTTCCTCTTCTTCTCCATCTGAATCCACGCCTTGTACCTGTAGCGTATTATCCATATAGAATATATTGTCGTTCACTTGCCTGTTTTCCTCCCTGTTCGATGTTGTCTTGCTCTCTGTCCCCATAGTCTTGACCCTTCGCGGCTTCGCTTGATTGTTGAGTGTTGCCTTTGCTTCTCCTACTTCAAGCTCAATCCTGTCGTTCTTGTAGTCGTGTATTACCCCGAAAAGCGCCTGTAATGGCTTTCCGAACAGGACCTCCCAGCCTCCTCCACTGTCAAACACTTCCAGCGCGACTGGTGCTCGCACGCCTTTAATGGTCGCTATTCCTGTCCATCTGCATACCGAGGGTATGAGCTGCCCACTGGCCATTCTTAGAATTGTTGTCGATGGACTTCCCGCTCCCAATCGTTTCAGGTTCCGTTCCCATAGCTTTTTGTCTAGCGCTCCCACCAGGGCACCTCCGTCGAATAGCATTCTGACTTGAACTTCTCCATTGGTTCCCCTCAGTGATGCTGCGTGCTCAAATGGGCTGCTTCCCTCGTTTCCTTCCGTCACCGCACCGTACATGTCAATAACGTTGATTTGCTTGTTCGAAGATACACGCGTCATTCGTACGTCGACGGGACCGAGGCATTTCTTTGGCCGCGTTTCCCGGGCTGACTGTTGGCCTTCTACTTTGCCAGCCCTTCCCCAAAACCCTCCTCGCTCAATCCGTTGTTGAAGTCTTCGATAGTATAGTCCAGAAAATTGACGCCTACCACGTTTGGCCTTGTTGTCGTTCTTGCACGTCCTAAGTATCGGCTACATATCGCCCTGAATGCACGTTCGTGCCTCGGCACCGGCTCCGCCTTACAGTTCGCATCGCTTGCGCGGTGGCTTGGGACTGTTACCTGACCGCATTGAAAGCACTCTCCAGAGCAGAGCTCCGCTGTTCCCGGGCTAAGCGGGTACCCTATCTGCTCTAGCGCTGGCCTTGTTTCCCCGCCGTACTGCCTGTTCCACAACTCGATGAGCCTCCTGTGGTAGTTTCTGCCATTCTCCGTGTCTGGCGGTGGCTTCGTCTTTCCCACGATCTCTCTGAGTCTGTTTAGGCCTTCTTCGGACAGGGCTTCATTCCGCTGGTTGAATAAATTCCCTCTTCCACCTCCACCTGCCTCAAAGACGTCGCCACCTGCTCTGTTCGTCGTGACCTTTGGCGTGTTAAGGTTTGTCGCAACCAGTCTCGCTGCCATTTTTGAGACCGGAGTCGTCGGAGTTGCTGTCGTTCTCCTTTGAAGCTCCGCTATCTTGTCGTCTCGTTCTTGGTCTTTCTGTTGCTTCTCCTTAGCCTCCTTCACGTCCTCAAGGAGTTTGGCTCTGTCGACATCTTTGATGGCTTTCGTGAAATCGACCCAGTCCTTTGGCTCTCGTGGCAGGTGCTTCCGCAAGGGTTCCGGTATCGCGTCTCTGACTTGATAGATGTAACTCGATGTGTTCGCCACGCCCGCTTTTCTCGCTAATTCCAACAACTTTTGGGCGTATTTGACGTGTGTGTCGCTACCTCCTGGCCCGCTACCTCGACCGTTCCTCCCAATTCGCTCAGCGTGAGTTTCAGCCCAACGAGTTTCTCTTGGTATTCTTGTTTGGTGGGCTCAGCCTCTTCGTCTGTTGGGAATTGCGCCAAGAACTCTTTTGTAAAGTCCGCAAACTTCGCGATGGGGTTGACTTTCTGTCTTTCTGCCCACCATTTCGCTGCTGGCGTGCGTGTGGGAAAATGGTCTCCGACCGCGTCTAGTCGGTCGCTGTCTGAGTCCCTTTTGAGGTCTCGGCTTCGAATTCGGAACTTTCGTATGAACTCCTCGGAATTGACGTTGTTTCTTTCGTCTCTTTCGTCCCCGTAGAACGCAGGCACCGTGTTCGCTTCCGACATCGTGGCTGCACTGATGGTATTCTGCTGCGTTGTTTGGCTACTGGCTCTCGTGTTTTGTGGTACTGGTGCCGGTGATGTGGGTGGCGTGATCGTAGTCTGTCTAGACTGCTGGGATGCCGAAGAGGTTGGTGCTGTTGTTATGGACTCAGAATCTTCGTCCGGAGTGTCTTCTCGGTAGATTCTAATTCCCCTTACTTGCGCTGCCCAGTCTAAGCTTGGCGTCGGTGATGTCTTCGTAAACCTTCCTTTCTCGTCTCGTTCTCTCCGGTATGCCAGCTTTCTTCTTCTCTGCTCTGCTCTGCTGTGACTGCTTTGACTTCGAATGCCGCTCTCGTCACCACAATGTGGTAGCTGGGCTCGGCCGCGTGTGGTCGCTCGAATGATCTAATGATAGTGTGACTACTTGTGACATGATCCGGCTACGGCCCGATGCCGACCTCCCATCACAACGTATTACTAATTAATACCCACAGATTCTCGACGATGAGAACACTGTTGCAAACTTTAGACCTCTCTTTTTCAAAGCCCTCTTAGGAATTTCAAGAGCCTCAGGCTTATACCCTCGATGTTTCGATCTCAATGGCCTAGAAAAAATCGGAGAACAGGTGGCCGCAGGTGGCTTCGGTGACATTTGGAAGGGTCGGATCCATGGGCAAACTGTGTCGGTCAAAGTTATGAGAGTCTTTACGGACTCTGATATCGCGGCCACCTTACGGGTATAGTCTTTGCTCAAGATCAAGGCGTTGTTGAGGCTATCTCACCCATTTTACAGGAATTTGGCAGAGAAGCGTTAATATGGCGGCAACTCTGGCATCCGAATTTGTTGCCATTCTTTGGCATTTATTATCTCGACAAAAGGCTATGCCTTGTTTCCCCTTGGATGGAAGCTGGAAACATTCTGGCATATCTGCAGACATCACAACGCCCTGTTATCGAGACCGAAAGACTCTCACTGGTATCAACACATTGTTTCAAGTTGAAAACTTGGTTGACGTACCAGTCAGATGTTTGACGTTGCGCAAGGACTTCGATATCTTCACGGGAATAACGTGGTTCATGGGGATCTCAAGGCGGTGAGACTTTTCTGCACCGTAAGGATGAGCTCTTATTTTCCAGGCCAATATTCTTGTCACCCCATCTGGAAGGGCATGCATCGCAGACTTTGGACTCGCTTCCATTGTGGACACCATCACTGTCCGATTTAAACAATCCACCACGACAGTCAATGGAGGCACCGTGCGTTATCAGTCGCCAGAGCTCATCCATGGCGAACGTCGGAATTTTGCATCGGATGTTTATGCTTACGCATGTACCTGCTATGAGGTTTGTTGAACTCCCTTAGTACGAGAATTCACTCACTCCTGACCTTCAGATTTTGGTTGAGAAAGTTCCCTTCTACGAAGTGATCAATGAGGCCGCCGTAATCTTCAAAGTGTTGAGCGGGATACGACCATCGTGTCCGCCACAATGCGCCCAGTCTCTGGCCCTCCGAGAGCTATGGCAAATCTTCAAACAATGCTGGGAAGAATCGACCGCAAACCGACCTCTTGTCGGTGAGATTGTACAGCGATTGCAAGGAGATCCAATCTTCGCCCAAACGACTCGAGTACAAATGGCCGATTGGGACGAGACATTCACTTCCAAGTTTCGCCATCACATTCAACCAAAACATGCTTCCATGACATTGGAGCACTTCATTCCATCCTCTTCTGACGAGCCAGGTATTCCCAATAGACTTAAACCAACTGAGGAGATTTCAGGGATCATCGTCAAGCGTAAATATGAAACTGAGGATCGGGCACAAGAGAAGCGAATCAAGGTAGTGTAGCTGAAGGAGGGTTGTGCATTTTTATTTTTCTTGGGAGGGCATGTCATAGAGCATGGTAATGGGAGTGTACAGCGTCGGTCTATCCTCACCGTCCCTTGCCTCCCTTCATGCCCTGTTTCGAAACTTTAGGACCAGCGCCGGCTGATGGGCGTGTTGCGGGCTAAGAGACAGTGTTCAAGAATTGTAGCAGACAAACAAGATCAGTCTACGCACCTTGGCCTTCTTTGCCTCCTTGTCCTTCTTATCCGTCTTTGCCTTGGCGATGGCGGCGACACGGAATTGTGTGCGTTGAGCAGCGGTTTGGTTGCGTTTGGCGGCAATAGCAGAAAGGTCAGCGCCAACGATGCCTCGCTGGTGCTTTACTGTACGACGCGAGCGCTTCTTGGCGACCTCTTCCGTGACACCCTTCTTGTGCATACGACGGTAAACTTGTGTCCATGCGATCTTGCGGGGGTTTTTCCGTTGGAGGAAAAGCGAGGCGTTTTTAGACGTGGCAAATCGGAAGACCTGAGTGCGATTGAGCAGAGTCGATGAAAAAAAATTAAGTTATCTGCACGCACCTTGCTGTCGCCACGGACGAACAGCTTGCCCTTGCTCGGGTAGATTCGGAAGCCGGAGAAAGAGTCGATTTCGACTTTCTATAGGGCAATTAGATGCGTTGGAGGAGCAGACGTTCGTCGTACCATCTATAAGAAGTGGTCAGCAAAATTTCAGCAGCCAAAGTAGAGGGACGGAATCCACATCGCTCTGCGCGAAACCGGGCTAAAACGGGTTTCGTTCGACAGCTACGAGGAGAGGCAATGCAACGAAGAGGCAATGGAGCATAGATTCGTTGGGAGACTCGACTTACGCTGGGTTAGGTGGGCGTTGAGGGACGAATGACAAATCGTTTGGCGATGTCTTTTGGACCAAACTTTGATGGCAACCTTTGTCCACCCTTCATCCCCCGTTCTTCGCCTGCAATGTCAAGCATTGACACTAACCCTCAAACCGACCAGACGAGCCATCTCTGCCTCACCAAGACCCGATTTCTGGCCGATTTCCGCGCACCGCCGATGTGTCCTTTCACAACTACCTTCCACTTCAAGCTCCTTCACGTCCGTTTCTGCTGGCAATATGACTCTTCCAACTATCACAAGGCCTGACAGATGTACCAAATATCCACACGAGTCCTAAAAGATACCTGATACATTACGGCTCTCACCGAACGCATGGGGGTTGCTCCAACGCTACCTTCCTTACGAAGAACTCGGCCTTCTTTGAAAACTGACCGTCGTCTTCTACCGACCAACTTCTAGAGCAATTTGTACCCTCAGAACGTTGTGTCGGCTTCTTCGGTTGGCAAGCCGTCTTCGTCTATTTACCACTAGATCAAGGAACACCCAGCAGCCCGACTTTGCGCACTTATTACCCGAACAGAATCCATGATGACCACGCGCAAAATCCGTATATAATGTCCCAGAGACAGTAGTCACTCAACAGAATTTCCAATGCTTCTTCTATTTGCTCTCCTCTGCTCGATCTCAGCCATCTCTGTGACCGCTGCAGCCAATGCCTCAATGATCGACCCCACCCACAATGCTACTCTCGCTCGTCAACGCCAGGCGAGTGGGATTGGTGCAAACAACTGCTACGGAGCCCCTATCCCTCCTTGGGAGCCTGGCTGCAAGCCTGGTTGGTACTACGGTCGCCCCCAGTGTGCGCCTTCCGGTCTAACTTGTCTTGTGGATGGAGTAATTCACTCTCGTATGGCTCGCTTACTCGCATTAACGTTTATCCAGCTTTTGTGCTTGGTTCTTGACGATCTTCTTGGATTCGGTCTCTGTCCTCCTGGACCATTGCCTCCCCCTCCAACTGGCGGAGGCGGTGGTGGTTCAACTTTGCCTGCGCCCCCGACCGGGTATACTTATGCCCCTGGGTTCACAAACATAGTCTGTTTTTCTTTTTCAGCATCCACGTCAAGTTTACTGAGCGTATCACAGACTTGCGCTGCTGTGGGATGTCCGCTCTATTTGACCTTTGGTATGGTGGAGACTATGGCAGGTGCGCTTCTTTCTCGTGCAATACCATGGGCCCACACTCTGTCAGAATGCGCCAAAATGTGCGATCGTGTCCCAGGCTGCGTGTTCTGCAACTCGTACTACGACCGCGACTCGTCGAAACCACCAAACCTCCTCACGTGCTCGCTCTTTAGTGCCCCTCGAACCGTTGCGGACGCTACCGACTGTGGCGGGGAACAGCAGCTTCCGCCTCCCGCTGGGCTCACTCACATCGAGCAAAGTTATGGGTATGGGAAACCCGTGGCGACCGTTAAGCAGCCCTGAGTCAGGCTCCAAACCTCATCCAGTTCAACACCTATGCACTCTTCACGAACAGTCCTGAATGACAATTGTCTTGAATCTTCCATTAAATTTGCCCGTCCTAGCAAATACATCCATAAGTTTCGAATTCTTCCGTTTGAACACTTGATTCGTGTTTGTCCTCTATTGCTCTACTAGTCTAGGAAAGTGACGAGGTCATGCATTTTTGTCTAAGCCTGAGTATGATGAGCCTCGTATTGCTCTCGCCATGATTGGAACCCGGCTAAAGGGACCTCGCCGCAGAGTTCTCGTGTCAACGCATGCAGCTCGTCAACGCACTACACAAGTGTCAGTATCAACGAAATCGACTGAAAACAACGTGCTCACTCGAATTAGTTGGTATACGGAGACGACACTGGAAGCGTAGTGGATGTAGCCAACCGATTTGACCCGTTCGACAGCACCGAGAACAGAGAGTTTGGCGCTGTCGAGGTTTGGAGACAGGACATTGGCGTGGTGACTGTCATGATAGAATAGGCGGTCCAGAAGGCTCGTTGGCAGGACCTGATGCATAGGGTCTTTTGTGCGCAAAGATTGTGAGATGAGCGAAAAAAGTGCCATGACGTCAGCGATCTTGAAGAAGGTGAGCAGTGATTAGATAATGATTAGATAAAGGCACCCACAAAGTTTGGATTCAAAACTTTAGAGCTGTGCAAGAAATCTTGTTGCCATTCGGGATCAAGCTGTGTTAAAGAAACTCCAAGCTGTGAGCAGCTAATATGAGCATATGCAGTCGATATCCTGAACAAAAACAAACCTGCGCAAGAATAGTCAGCATGTCAAGTTGGACATTGACTAATTTCTCATACTGTTCCGCGGGCCATTTGCCACGGATGCTTCCTTCCCAGCGCGCAAGTCCGGTCAGCTCACGAACGGTCTGCAGTTCAACTGCTACAGCCAGCAGTCGCTTCCGGAAACTTGCAACCCACGCCTGCTTGACGGGTTGAACGGTTTTGCAGTCTTCGCCCTCTGTCCGATTGAGACTGATCCACGCGGAGACAACAAAGCTATAGAGGCTAGCCAAAGAGGCAATAGAACCCGCATTTCGTGTTCGCACAGCCTTTCGTCCAGATACAGGCGGAAACATCATCACAATCGACGATGCGGCTGAACCAACAACAACGAGCGCCCAACGTTTCCAAGCCACGGTCCATCCGATACCTTGATTGTCTGAGACATTGCCTAGGTAAGTCGGTGAAACGACACTGACCTGGTGTGGCGAATTGGACAGCATGACCGTCAATCCAAGAGTAGCCAACCTACGACATCTAAGAAACTTGGCAACAAATGAAGTTGAAGCTTACAATGAGGGCAAATGTCGCCTAAGGACACCAACTGTCAATGGGAATCAACAACCGTCAGAATAAATCACTTACACAACACATGACCGTTCCAGCGAGATATTTTTCGGGACCGAAAACACGGAAAAATACGAGTGGAAAGACACAGACGCCGTAGGCAGCTGCTGCACCGTAATAATTTCCGATTCCGTGCCCATCACCTGCATCTCGCTCAACACAGAGACCATGGTTGTGATGTTTCTGCGTACCGGCATACCAAGCCACCAATCCAATCAGGAGTCCGACAAAGGTGCCGACAAGGCGGGTGACATAGCTATTAACTCGGATCAGATAGGCTGAAAGTCAAGTCAAGTCGAGTCGAATATACTTGAAAATTTGGTCAGCCGCATAGATATTCAGTGTGGTTTGCGCCATAATGAGAGCCCAGATGCCTTTCTCATCATAGTAGAAGCCTAAATTGAAATTAGTTAAGCCCTCAAAATCGACGGCGGACGCACGGGCACTGCTTCTAATAACAGAGGGAAGCCATAGACCAAGAGAGACAATAACATATTTGAAGATGAACTGCAGAAGATGAGTACCAGTGATGATACGGGAACAAACAATACCAACAATGGCCTCCGCGGTATGGGTCCACAGGTAAGCATGGTGAAGGATGTGCATGACCTTCTGTAACGCATTGGTAGGTGGACGACTATCGGGGTCTCTGCCTAAGGTGGTGATTAATGGGGAGTACAAAAGAAAGACGCTAACACACGATAAACTTTTTCCTCGGGTGTAATGTCACTATCGTTTCCAGCTCGTTGTGGGCTAGTGTCTTCACCGAAAGCGCCATCTCCTTCGTCACCTCGTGCAACAACAACTTGCCAGAGGCTTCGGAGCTGTGTGGGTGCCCAAAGGCGTCGCCGCGCACGTTTGTTGCATAAGCTCTGTACGTTCCCAACGAGAATTTGAACGGATTCTGCGACACCCAATAGACTGGCAGCGAAGACATAGGCGATGTAGAGAGAGCGAAGAGGAATCTGATAGCCAGCGGCAGTGTTTGAGCTTTGCTGTCGCATATACTTGTCCAGCAGCGGTAAAAATGGTGCAATGATACCAAGACGACCAGTTTCATGAAAGGCACGGATGGCTTTGTCAAGACGGGAGCCAGCGGCATCCAAAGCGGCCTCGGCGTCTTTTGAGCCGCCTCTTTGCCATCTTGTTCGGTTGACATTATCGATCACACCACTGAGAGCCGTAATCGCATCCCCAACTACACCTCGAAGCTCTCGGGTCGCTTCCTCGAGAAGTGGAAGGACATCTTGAAGAAGAACACCGTATTCAGCCTCTAAAGCGGTTTGTTTGATGTGAATTCCATGAAGCAACGATGTTTCGTGCCAGTGCGCGTCTGGAGACACAGTGGACGCAGAAATTGATTGGAGCGACGAGGATGGGGTGGGTGCTGCGAGACCCGCGAGTCGATCAAAATTTAACAAGGTGCCTGGCATAATATAAGAGAGAATTCAGTGCCTTGAATATTGAACAAACCAGAACGTATAATGAGTGCAACCATGGGGTCTTCGAGACTTCGAACGTCATCGCCACTCCATTGTCCCCAGCTGAATTCCAGAGACAAGAATCCCGATGTCGCACCAACTACAACAAGATAAGAACATACCGCAGCCTGAGGGTGGACACACACTCTGCTGTTGGGTAGACACAATAACAGTACGCAATGCTTTGAACTCCTCTACATGCTTGGCGTTATCATTCTTTTCGCCAGTAAGAACGCCATCTTGAGTGTCGAGAAGTTGTTTGACACGAGTGAGTTGTTCGCTGAACTGGTCCATAACGAGATGACTCATAGTTTCGGGGAAGACCAGTAAAGTTGTCACGAGTGCGATGGCCATGTAAGAAGAGATCGAAATGGCGGTTGAGTTGAGTATGGTGTATCGTTTTGTGGGGAATAGAGGGCCAACGGACTGCGGAGACGTCAGAGTGAGTGGGCATGAAGAGAATGCAGCATGCTTACACAGAATATATCGACTAGACGCAAGATTTGAGACTATCATTGGTTGCCAGCACGTGAACTCACTGGCAATGGTTCCGAATATGCTCATAAACAGAAGTTTTGGTGCGTATGCGCGGATGGCGCCGAATATGAACGCGCCAATAGCCAGGAATACGCCATAAATGACACTCGCACTACCTTAAGTTTGAGAATCAATTGGAGATCAGCGAGAATTAACGCACCGAACTTCAAGAAACCATCCATTGAAGATGGCGGTCGTAGTTGCCAGAGCCGGGTTGGCTTGAAAAACCGGGTTCGATTGGATGCTAGGAAAAGTCAACACGTCCCAGACAGAATAAGCTTCGATATACCTCGCGTGGATTTGTGCTCCGACAGCTTGTATATGCGCTTGGTCACGAACTGCATTTGCTGCACGCATAGCCGCAACGCCTAGTCCCCAACCAAAGGTTAGACCCATCATGAGGGTCGATAAAAGCTGAAGCGTCCGATGAGCGTGGGTTTGTCGCACAGAGGATGCATACGAAAAGAGTGAGTTGCACTGGAAAGTAAGGCGGCAAGAACAAGCTGGTTATGAGCGAAAAGAAAGACCTATTATGGAGAGTTGACTTGACACGAAGTTTGGATGAAGATGCACATACGCGGTCCCCAGCGTTCTCAGAGACGCATTTGGGAGCAAAATCACGAAAGCCGCAAAGACCGCTATCCATGAGCGTAGCAAAACCTTCCAAGCTCGCCATGATTTGAGTGGGCGAGTGATCCACAAGGGCAGCATCCCAGCTGTCTTGGAAGTCGAGAAAGAAGAAGTAGGGTTTCACTTGCACGCATATAGTGTGGCGTTGACCGGTCGTTCATGACGCCGTTCGAAGCCGTGGTCACTGTCAAAAATGGAAATCACCGACCCAACACCGACCTAGTCTTGGCTAATGTCACGCGTGACTAACGCGATGTTGCCCATCGAACTCGAGCGCGAGATATTCGAAACAATGGCACTTATGTTTCCGAGAAAAGCCCCAAAACTCCTTGTTGTCTCGCACTACGTTTTTCAATGGTCAGTGAGTTGCAACTTCTTGGTCCATAGTCAGAACTCGGCCAACCTGGCAGGATTGAACCACTGCTGTATCGAGTTTTAAGAACCGACCATGCACCAACGTCGACCGCCATTCATCAGGCAATGGCAACGCAGCCCCCAGAATTCCTTCGTGGCCGCGTTCGGCACCTATACTTCGACTGGTCCTGGATGCAGGAGGACTGTTACTTAGTTTTGGATCAATGCACTGCTATAACCAGTTTTGCGGCCACTTTGCACTTCTCTCCCACCCGGATCCTACCCCTCATTGATGCCCTGGACAACTTGCACTACTGGAACTCCAGCATGCGGGCAATCTTCGGGGAGCTTGAGCGGGTGGACCTCAGTCGAAAAGGCTTCCAAAACATTACGCACATGCATATGTTTGATTTGCTTGAGGACGAACACCTTGCGATGGCTTCCCAACTACTGCAACTTCCACGCCTTACACACCTTGCCCTCAACAATCCGCCTGACCTGATAAGTGGCTCGCTGCTTCGGGGCTGCAGGCACCTCTTGGTCTTTAATCGTATCTTGACGCAAAGCGTCACTTTGGACCAAGCTAGGGAGATGGCAAATAAGCTCCCTTTCGAAGGTCAAGATGAAAGATATCTTGTTTCCTTATTTCCAGAACGTTATTGGGATGACTGGACCAACGGCGCTTTCGGCGGAGAGGACATATGGACGAGGGCAGAAGATTTCCTTGCAAAGAAACGCAGAGGAGAGATAAGCGGTATATTGAACTATTCCCTGTTTCTAGCGTTGACTTGCTATTCAGCTTCATGCTATCTCCTTGAGGCTCGACAGGTGCTGAGCGCTTGAGTAGGCTTGCTGACATGAATATGTGTACGAAACAGAATGCATTCATGTGACCGCGTCTGCGGTTGCCGACAACTTCCATGTTACCACTCGAACTGGAAAGGGAAATATTCGAAAGATTAGCTTTCATGTTTCCTACTCATGCCCCAAACCTCCTTCTCGTGGCTCGACGCGTCCACCTTTGGTCAGTTCATTGAGGAACAATTGCAAAAAATAATCGTTTGCAGGATAGAGCCTTTACTCTACCACATTCTCAAAACTGACCATCTTCCAACCGTGGCCACCATCCGTCATTGCATGAAAGAAAAGCCTACAATGCTTCGCAACAGTGTTCACCATGTCCACTTTGACTGCTCGGCTTTCTAGTCTCGTGAGGACTGTTTCCAACTTCTGGCCCTATGCTCTAATCTTCATTCGTTTGCATGGACGGGTCCTTCCTTTGCAGCCTTATCGCCAGTTCGCTTATTGTTTCTTCTGGACGGTTACCCCAATCTTCAATACTTCAATGGAAGTCTCAACGCTGTATTCGGCAGCGCCAACGCTTTCGACCTTGGACATTCTGCCTTTCGCAATATCACGCATATGCACGTTTTCGAAATCGTCGAGCCCGACGACCTGCGAATCCCCATCGCACTTACGGCCGTTCCCCGCTTGACACATCTGGCGCTCAATAGTGTCAAGCTTAGCATTGCACGCTACTCTGAGGGAATGCCGTCTCTTGCAGGCTCTCGTGCACCTCGCTCCGAGTCGGCCTGGAGTTTCACTGCGCGATGCGAGATTGGCTGAGATCGAGGCAATGCTGGAGTTTGAGGACAAACGTTACATCGTTTTCCTATTCCCAGATCACTACTGGGATGAGTGGTCTGATGTACGGTCGAAACGATTTTTGGACGAGGGCTGACGATATTATTGCAAAGCGAACAATAAAGAGGGTCGAAGACTCGGGCTAATTTCTCTCCCCAAACAAAAACTAGCTTTGCCCATCGCAATGAGTCTAGGGAACGACTCGGACCAGGATACAATTCAGTGTGCCTGCATAGAGCTTGGGGATCCCGACTCCGCTTCACAAGTAGTGTCAATTGGAACGCTGTTCCATCCGCCCCATGCTAATAATACCACGACAACTGCTCCCTGAGTCCCTCGAGATTGATAAGTGCATGACACGGTCAGGTGATCCACGCGACCCTGAAGTTTCCTCGTCGCGGGAACGGAAAAACTGTCCCCAGCCTACTGTAAGGCTGTCAAAGATTGAGCGGGGAGTTGTATCTCGATAAGTTACTTATATACTTATGGAAAGCGTACTTGTCACAACAAGTCACAGAACCACATCACGCGCCAGGTCAACTCTATCCTCGACGTCGTTGTGCACGAGGTCCGTTCAGATGCCGTCCGTCCATGGCGGCCTTACTCGAGCTTCTTTATGCCCGAGCTCAGCTCCCACTTCTCTTCCCTCTTCCACATGCCGTCGATTTGGCTCTTCGCCCTCGCTTTGGCTGCTCCAGGGCTTGCAGATGTTGTAACGGGAATACCCGACGCAGCTCCAGCGGGATTCGAAGAATGGGTCTCTCCCATCGTCATTCCTGCACCAGCTACCCAAGGAAATGGCGATTGGGCCACTGCAGTCGCCAGAGCTAGGAAACTTGTTGCTGGGTTGACACTCGAGGAAAAGGTTTGTACTTTCCGGGACCCCCGGGTGTCATTAACACGATGATAGGTTAATGTGACCACCGGAATCGATACTCAAGGACGTTGTGTCGGTAATACTGGCGTAAGTCATGTTCAGCATTGCGGAGTTATCGTGTCTTATCTCCCTAGACCATTCCTCGCTTAGGCTGGCCAGGCATATGTTTGAACGATAGCCCATTGGGAGTAAGATTCGCGGACTTGGTATCTGGCTTCCCTACACCAATAAACGCTGCGGCCACATGGGATGTTGACCTTATTGGAGCACGGGGAAGGGCTATGGGTGAAGAGCATAGAGGAAAGGGTGTGAATGTCGCACTGTTCGTCTTTATCTCTCTCTCTCTCCAATGCTGTATTTGTGACTGACAACTTGACTGCAGTGGACCGATGACAAACATGGGTAATTCATACAACCATTCCTTTGCTCGCACTCAAATTTAAAGGTCGTGTTGCGGCTGGTGGGCGTAATTGGGAAGGTTTTGGAGCTGACCCGTTCCTTTCCGGCGTTGCCACCGCTGCCACCATCTCGGGGATGCAGGACGAAGGTGTGATCGCGACCGTCAAGCACTTGTGAGTTTTTCAGAACGTATTGTCGAAAAACTTAGTAAATGTAGCATTGGTAATGAGCAAGAACACTTCCGTGGCGGGTCCCTAGCCAAGCAACTCTCCTCTTCGAATATCGATGACCGAACCATGCACGAAATTTATGCTTGGCCCTTCGCTGAAGCGGTTAAGGCTGGAGTAGGTGCGGTAATGTGTTCATACAACGCGGTCAATCAGGTCAATTACACTATCATTGCTGATCTGCTACTAACCCATTGTCAGACGCAAGCCTGTCAAAACTCCAAATTGATCAATGGCATTCTCAAAGAAGAATTGGGCTTTCAAGGATTCATAATGTCTGACTGGGCAGCTATGATCAATGGCATACAACCTGCTCTTGCCGGTCTTGACATGAATATGCCAGGCTTCACTGCTTACGTGCGCTACCTAATATTCTGCTGTCATTTCGAGACTACTCACTTTGCTTCCAGGGTGTTGGGAATCAGAATGAGCAGGATCCATCCAAGGCAGACAATTCATTCTGGGGCGCGGCGCTCGTTGAGATGGTCAACAATGGGTCGGTTCCACAAGCTCGTGTTGATGATATGGTAGGCTTCGCTCAAGCTGCTCCATACTTGTAAAAAATAACATTTTCAGGTCACTCGAATTTTCGCAGCCTACTATCGGCTAGGTCAAGACAAGAACTATCCCTCAGTTAATTTTGCTCAACTTACGCAACAAACCTACCTCAACGGCCAGTTGGTCAATGAGCATATCAAGTATCTGAGCTTGTTTGCTCTTGTTCGCGCTGACCTCGAGCTTAGCGTTCAAGGTCACCACTATAAAGTTATTCGGGAGATTGGTGCAGCTAGTGCGATCCTGTTGAAAAATACGAACAACGCTTTGCCGTTGAGCGTCAAGAATTTCAAGCGTATGTTTATATAACAATCAGGTAAACTAGACAACTCACCCCTAACAGGAATCGGTATATTTGGTTCCGATGCAGGAGTTAACCCAGACGGTCCCAATGGATGCGATTCGTAAGGCACTCACTCATGTGTAGCAAGCTTGTGATCAACTGTTTCCCAGCCACGGATGCGACCAAGGTACTCTCGCCATGGGATGGGGTTCAGGAACTGCCAACTTTCCATACCTCAGTGACCCGCTCTCAGCCATCACCCAACACGTACAGTCCATAAACCCTACTGTTGCGATTGATGCTATTACCAACGACTTCAATCTGAACCAAGTTGCCAAAGTCGGTTCTCTGGACGACACCTGTCTCGTGTTTGTCAACGCGGACTCGGGGGAAGGATATATCACCGTCGACGGCAACGCTGGGGACAGGTGCGCGAACTTTCGCAGTACATCCATGACGCTCAATGTTCCACAGAAAAAACCTAACGTTATGGCATTCTGGCGAGAATCTCATCTTACAGACTGCTTCTGTTTGTTCCAACACCATCGTTGTTCAGCATATCGTTGGGCCCGTTCTCGTTGAATCATGGTTCAACCATCCCAATGTTACTGCCGTGATCAATGCCGGTCTGCCTGGTCAAGAGAGTGGTCGTGCCATTGTCGATGTGCTTTTCTCAGACAGTCCACAAGCGACAAATCCAAGTGGCCGTCTGCCATACACCGTTGCGAAGCAACAAAGTGATTACCCAGCCCAGGTTCTTTACGCCTCCTCGGACAAGTCACCGCAGATCACGTACTCGGAAGGTCTTAACCTCGATTATCGCTGGTTTGACGCCAACAATATCGAGCCGAGGTTCGAATTTGGATTCGGGCTCAGCTACACGTCCTTCAAATATAGCAACCTGAAAGTCTCTTTGAACCATGCAAAACGGGCGACCTCCATGTATGTGTCTGTGTCTGCCAACGTGACTGCAGGTGTCTCATCCGTTGCTTCATCGACACCGAGCGCCGTAAGCTCATCTGTCTCTGTATCAATAACGAGCTCCGCATCAACATCATCATTTTCTGCCGTGCCTTCATCAGCGTCGTCTAACGCAACTTCGACCTCGACCGCCCCTGGAGTTATCTCATCGCCTGTTGCATCCATCGGCGGAGCGGCAACTCTATACGACCAGGTTGTCACAGTGACTTTCCGGTTGTCACAGTGACTTTCCGAGTCCAGAACACGGGCTCGCTGGGAGGCAATGAAGTGTCACAGCTATACCTTACTTTCCCCGCTGGGTATCAAGAACCACCCAAGGTTCTTCGAGGCTTCGCGCGGACAATGGTGAATAAAGGGCAAAGCAAGACTGTGACGATACAGCTACGCTCCAAGGACGTGAGCGTATGGGACGTTGTTCAGCAGAAATGGGTTCAGGGAACGGGTCAATTCAAGCTGCTTATTGGGGCATCGTCGCGCGACATCAGACTCACGGGCAGCTTTACCCTGTGAAAGTGTTTTTTATTTGGACATTTCTTGGGTACATTGGGTTGTTGTTATGTTGGTCTTTCTTCTCCCGAACGAGTACGGGCGATCCGAAGCTCACTCTGAGTGGTGGCCTGCTACGCACCCGCCGGAAATTTGGGCAAGTATTGAGGGATATGATAGTGTAAACAGTGGCTAAAGATGAAGGAATTAAAGTGGAGGTCAAGGCACGCGTTGCAAAGCTCAAAGAAAGCGATTCAGACGGCGTCGGGTTGGTGTGCGAGTAAATTGTGTCCACCGACTGACTTGAACTGGAGGTTATGGAGCCTAGCATAGCGCCACAGCGGGACGGATTGAAAGCAAGTGCGTCATTCATTGGGTCTAATCGAGGGCATAATTCAGGCTCTGCATTTAGCGCGGTAATCGTCGCGATTCGGAGCTGATAGATAAGCGCTGACCGGTCAGAGAGGGAGACAGAGGTTGCTGTGTGGTCGTTTCAGAGGACTGACAATTAGGTTGAGCGGGGAGTTCGGCCGAAGGCGATGTTGTGGGTGACTGAAGAAAGGGAGGGGACAATTATTGGGATCAATTTTCTCCGAAAAGTGAACAGCCATTCGCTTACGCGATGGTTTCGCTTAGACCGTCAAGGCGAATCAGTTGGGCCGTCGTTGTGGGTGCTTGTGTCTACTCGGGGATAGTGCTTCCTTTTTACGTTTATAGACTAGCCCCTTCTCCGCCGACGCAATTCCTTTTTATATAACTTAACCTCACTCTTCCAACGACCACCTCATCCAACCATGTCTCTCGCCTCCTTCCCTGAAGAACTAGTCGAGCATATCCTGGCTGACGCTGTCATTGCCAGTCCAGCTCCTTCACTTCGGGCAAGTTGGCACACACCTCTTGACCTTCGTACGCGAGTCGCACCATTACTCGTATCATCCAGTTTCCACCGAATCGCCGTTCCTCTTTTCTACCACACCGTTGTTATTCACACTCCCGGCCAATCCAAAGCTCTGCTTCAAGCATTGCATAAACAACCATCACTTGCTCGGAGTGTTCGCAGACTCGTTCTACTCGCCCCAGCCGAGACAGACATCGAGATTCTCCAGTTGCTAGCTCATGTCCATTATCTCGACATCACATTACCTCTCGAAGACCGCGAATTTGGGCTAGCAGGAGCCCTACATGGTCTTCACAACCTCGAAGAGCTTGTGATTCGCAAAGGAGCTGCGACTTACCTTTCGCAGCGCGGCCCTCGTGCTGTGCTCGATGCTCTAGCTGGCGTTATTACTTCTTGTCCAAAGCTTGTGCGTGTTCTTACGCGTCGTTTACTCATTCCTAATCAATTTCACTCGTCTAGGACTCAGTCACCATTGCATTCCCTCTTTCCGCCGACCATTCACTCTCCCCATTGGTTGATGCGCTGACATCCGCCTCTTCATTGACAACTCTCCGCACTCCTGTCCCATCGTTCTGGTCCCCAACATTGCTCAACATATCTTCCAATCCTGCCCTCCAAGCACTATGTCTAGGAGACGATCTGTCAGGCAAGAGCGCCGAACATCGTCGGCCCGTCATGGCCTCCTCGCTTTTCCTCTCCGCTGCTCGCCAGCACGGACGACTAAGCGACCTCATTCGGGCTGGCACTTCTGTTGTTGGATGGCGCAGTCGTGCATGGACCATGGGTAGTGTCGATCTGGGCAACCCTCCAGCAGTCAACGCAGAAGCTCGGTTCGACTCCTCGTGTTGATTTGCTCCAATTCTCCACCATCGTTTTCTTCATTCAAAAGCCCCCATACCCCTCCTGGGCCCGGTCTCGATATACTTTGCCTGCATACCCAGTCATCTGGCAGGCTCACAAAAACATGACTACCTCGATGACAACCCCCTTCTTCTTCTCTGCGTCTCCTTCCATCTCTCTCTGCCTCCTTATGACTCTACGATAGACATGACACGGACTTGGACTCAACATCGGATTATTATCTTTTCTTTTCTTTTTTTGGCTTGCTAGGGCGAGGTTGTACATAGCCCGCCAGCGTGGAATATGTAGATTAACCCAAGTAGTGTAGCTGTATAAACTAAAACTAATGCACTTTTTTATGGGAGTCGGGGTTTACCTAATCTTGGCCGACTCGCGCGATGTTGAGCAGCTTGAGCTCAACCGAATAGGTCGGAAGGCGGTAGATCCAAAGTACGCGCTGTCGATAAGTGGGGTAAGCCAAGGAAGAGTTTTCTATCGTCGCATCGGAGAAAGCCGGGCAAGCGACCAGGGGAAGGCACGGTCATCCATTTGGCTTGTCTGCGCTCATGAAATGAATCTAAATCCTAGCTTCTAATACTTTACAACATAGAGTAAGAATGGTACTTATCATGTTTTCAATGCCACTAGCAGATCCCACCTCTAACGACATGCCAATAGCGAAAACTGGTGACGATTGACTGGCAGTGCGCTAATACGGCGAGCAGACTGCAAATGTGGAAAACTTGATGAGACGAGCCCTGGTTTTGGCCCTGAGCACGAGCGTGGTTTAAAAGTGCATGCAACTTACGATCAAATCGAACCGGCCGGGCCAGCGGGATTCGGGGAATCGTTCAGAGCTAGTTATATTCAGGTCAGAATCACTGAAGGAGAAGAACGGCGCCAACTAGAGGAGCGCGCCGATGACGTAGAACATTGCCTCAACGACGATCCAGCGAAAAGAGATGGCTTGATCAGCTTGTTGATACTGCCAAAACTGGTTTAGAGATATGATGAGGAAGAACTTGGAATGAGACCAACTCCTTTTCGGCAGATGGCATGCACGAATGGCACAAGCACCACTCCACCACAGGCGAAGAAAGTATATGTCCGCATTCGGCGATACTCGGGAGACGCGTATGTCGGAGAGCAGGCAAGGTATATTCCAGCTGACCAAATGGTGTTGAGTATTTGAGTTGGGAAACTAATGAACGCACTTGATCCAGAGGCAGTCATGAGAGCAATGTAGAGATTGCGAAGGCCGGGCTCGCAGAAAAACGCATAGTGAAAAGTTGGAAAGTAGTTGACGGTACCGAGTGCCAGAATGCCTGTCGTGAAATTTGTTTTTTACATCAGCGGCAGGTAAGGTTGCCAAATACCAAAGTAGTCAACTCGGTTCATGTATTTAGCGATCTGGACGCTGTGAATTCACAGCAGGGAGAAACGATCCACTTATCAACAGGCTCGGAGTGGCATAAGGCGGAGTGGAAGACGGCCGAGCAAGAAAAACAGATGAAAGCCCCGGCCAAGAATACCGTGAAGATCGTTTCGTCGCCTTGGGTGGAGATTCCCGCGAGAGAATCGGTGTCCGGCAGGGCAAACGACAGGTAATTGCCGTTGTAGAGCGAAAACAAAAGCACGACAATGAGGCCCAGGGCCCCAAGTAGATGGGACCATATATTCACTTGGTTTCTAAGTTTGAGCAGGATGAATAGCGATTGCCTACCCGTCTCATTGTGCCACCATGTCAAAGTCTTTAAGCAAGCGACCCATGAATACGTTAGGCGTCGGTATCCAGTTTGGATACCTGGATTGTCTCGCTGCCACAGTTCAAGCTCAGACCAGTCCAGAGTTTGTTTTAGAGGAGGAGCGACATTCATTGTGGTGGCGGTTGGAGGCAAAGAAATTGTTGGTGGTGATCGCATCAGTTGATCCAAACTCGGTACAAAAATATTTACACGATACAGTACATACATATTGAGCGAAGAGAAAAGCAACCATCAAGGCGTCTTCCAACCCGATAAGGGAATATGTGTTGTTGCGTCCAAATCTGGACTAAGTGCAAACCGCAGCGGACCAAGAACAGGTGATTTTGTGCCTTGTCGAGAGCTTGACGTAGCACCAGAAACCCCCAGGGTCACACTCGTTTGCACATCTTGCATGCTCACACCGAGGCCAACTCTTACGATGATCAAAGTGGGAGCAATTCCCTATCGACCAATACGGTGAGTCCAAATGCGAATGATGGATGTGTAAACACACCACTAGATGATATGCTACTGCGATGCAGACCAAGACCGAGACCGTGGGCGACGGTGTGAGAAAGATCACGATGGTGATGATGAGAAGAGCAGGGTAGATAAGACCACTTTCGAGTCTGGTTCAACAAGGTTAGAGAGTCATGGCACAGTGGAATGACTAGACGCCTACATAATTGCGGTCAAGTCGCTGTATCGTCTTCGCGGACTACTGCCCATGAGTTTGGCGAGATGCCGGGACTGGTACCAAATTCGACCAGCTAAGTGGGTAAATGAACTGTGGAAGAAGATGGTATTGCGAAGGTTACCAGTGAGCGCCGAAGCCACCACGTTCGTGAAAAACACGCCTCCATATCCCACCATCAGTGCCGCACGCGCAGAGGCGGGTGGAAGCGGCAGTATCTCCAAGAAACCGCCAACTGCAATTGTCCATTAACACCCCGGTAGTAAGTGATGAGACTCTCTCACTGATTGTACAAGTATAAGAAAGAACGGGGACCGCAATGGCCTTCCAACTGCAGCCCCAAATAACGTAGCATCGATGGATCTGGGAGTGCATCAGAAGGAGCGGACGAAGCAAAAACTGATAGTGGCGTACAAGGACGCCGTCTGCGATAGCACTGAGGCACATCAGAGGATGAAACCATGCGAATAGGAGCATACTTGGCCACAACCCATCGTATTTTGAGAAGAGTGGCGAGAGCGTGCACTCCTACACCGTCGGTTGGTCCGAATAACGGAGGAGGTGGATCTTTCAACGTGAATATTTCATAGATAGGGAAAGCGCTGTTGGTCGCCCCCAGGAAAGCCCAAGTGTATGCCAGAACAAGGTGGACGGTTGACAGAAAGTAAAGCGCAAACATGCAGCCGAGGTGTAGTCGATAGTTGGCTCGTCGGTGCGAGAATAGTATCTGGATGCATTGGAAGAATAAACTGGAATATACGCCTGGGTCTGGATGAATTGTTGAGGAGAGATAGGGAGGGTGGAAAGGTACCGAATGCCAACGAGTCTATCTGCGCTTATCATTAGTTGGAGAATTTGTGGCAAGGTAGAAGGACGGACCGCTAGAGGGAAAAAATCGAGAAAATGGCTGGTCTGTGCCATGAGAGAAACTCAGAACATGGGCGCAAATGGAGAGACCCTAAGTATCACTTTAGCCAAGGTATCCAGGCCGGGTCCAAAGAATCGAAAATATTCAATGCAACTATCAGATCTGCCACTTCTAATTTTGACACGATCGGCTGCGTCATGTTATGCTGCGATTCGTGAAGAAGGGAATATTGTGAGTAAGGGCGCCGGAGAGAGTCTTCGTGAGCCCCAGAACGACAACGAGGAACAGAATCTCGAGTCTTTGAGTGACGTCACCCTGTGACTGCCTGTGACTGCTCTCAAGTTGCAGCAACCGCCAGCAAGAGGAGACATTCGACGGCCTGAGCGGAATATCAACCCGAGTCTCTGCAAATTCCGTGAACTGCGGGTATGGTTTATTCATCTGTAAAATCACACTGAGTTGCTCTGAAGACGATATGCCTGGATTGGGCTGCAAATGTTCACAGGCAGCATGAATGTCTCTGCCAACTTGAAGCCGGAGTTGTTTTAGAACCGGATCGACGCCTCACCGCCTCGACGAGCACAAAGACACTCTCAATATCGTGGACTCGAGTCTGACGTGTTTCTGTTTCAATCCTCGTTCCTTACTTCTCAGGACCTCGGTGCTATCGCACAGCTTCCTTGTATTCGCCGCTAATCAATTCGAGCAACCACATTTCTCTGACAAGCGGAATGCTTTGCCACTCTCTCCTCGAAAGGCAAATGAGTGCCACTTCACGCAGTACAGTGCGATGTTGCGCATCCAGAATGCGGCCAGTAATGACGATGTCGCCCAATGCGAATAAGAGGTGCCTTCAACTTGCAGCATCTTCAACTTGCGGCCGGACATCTTTTTTGTCGCGTGGTTGGGATGCCATTTCTGAACCAAGCAACGCGTCAAGCGTCAAACACTTTTCGGTCTTATCGCACTTGAATCTCCCGACATGAACCCTCCATGATCTCTATATAAAGCAGCTGGCTTTCTGTACTTGGACACCATCCTCCCTAGATCGTTCCTCCCTTTCTCTTCCAACGGCCTACATGTCTTCTATCAAGGACGCGAATACTATAGGTGTGTTTTAGAGTCAGCCTTCACTGGCTTCAAGCATGTTGATCATTGAGTAGCCTCACCTCTTGGTCTTGCAACGACGCCAGACTTCGATAATCTTCTTGGGCTTCCCTATCTTGCCGATGTCATTGATCACGAAATTCGCGTCTTTTGGGCTTTCACGAAGCGCGATTGGTCAGCGAGCGTCATCCCTGGGATGATGTACACAATCGCTGCCCTTCGCTCTCTCGACTCAAGTCCTTCACCCCACTTTATAGCCCGTGCTCTTGGGCGCTCACTCATATACTTCATCCTCTACATCTACAACTTCGACATCGCCAACCAAATCAACGGCGTAGCTGAGGACCGTATCAACAAACCCGACCGCCCTCTTGCGTCCGGGCTAGCCTCCATGAAAGGCGCCTATATTCGCTGGTATGCAACGACAGTCTTACATCTTGTACTTGGTGCTATGTGGGGCGTCCTCCCATGGACTGCCCTGTGGGTTTTCATCACCGTCTACACGAGTTTCTACGGAGGAGACAAGCATTGGACAACCAAGAACCTGCTCTTCATGTCCACCGGAAGTTTGTGCCTGTTACAGGCAGCTTGGGGTCTCGCGGCCCCCATCTCTGGACATCAGACGCGTTGGGGGGTATTGCTGAGCAGCGTTTTCGGGCTCGTGGCGAGCATACAAGACATGCGTGACGTCGAAGGAGACAAGGTTGCTGGACGTCGTACTCTCCCCATCGTTCTCGGAACTCACTTCCGCTGGATAATGACCCTCCTCGTCTGCATCGCCCCTGTTATCTGCTGGCAAGCTGGGTTTTTGCACTACTCGCAACGCTACTGTGGGGCAGTTTTGACGATGGCTATGTTCTATATGGCGCTCAGAGTGATGACTGGCAAGTCGAGCCGGTACGATCACAAAACTTACATGGTCAGTGGTGTTCTCCAAAGTGTTGTCCAATTGATATTGACTGGGGAACAGATCCTCACCTACATTTACTGCGGTTGCGTTGCCGTACCGATGCTTGTTCCATAAAAGGAAGGGGTCAACTTAGTAATATTGTACGTAGACATATATATTTAATCGCTAAAATCGCCACTGTAGCTATTATCGAATTCATAGACTTATTTAGTCGCGGTCCAGAAATCAAAAGTCTGAGCGACCACGCCGGAGCATTCGGCCAACACCAAGCCTGTCCCGGCCTTTTGGTCTTGGACGCAAAGCCCACTGGCGGCTGACTTGATCGCACAACCCGAAGCAAATTCGCCTCCTGCAGGGTCAGAAGATGCGCCTTGAACACATCGTTTGCAATCTATGTCCCAGATCTGACTCCTACGTGGGTTCAACACTCGCAACTTGAAAGAAAAGGCATCCATCCTACTGTTTACTAGTAGCCGCAGCAATGCTCTCCAACACAAGTTGACCGTCGCCCGCATCGACAACCAGCTCATTGTTGGTGATAGCTCTAGTCAACACGAGTCAGATAACTGGAATGTCAATGCCACACTTACTTAATGATGTACGACGTCTGCGCGGAACCGGTCTGCTCAACGTGCCACTCCGCGGTTGCATTCAGCGGGAAGCTTCCGATGTTCTTGTTGAGCAGAGTGCCGGCCACAACAGGGGAGACACCCCATTCCGTTCCGCCAGCAATTATAGACACTCCCACACCCTCGAAGTTCGGGTTACACGTCGTAGCGCGCTGAACTGGCGTGGCAATGGCAAAAATGCACTGAGATGCAAGTGCTGTTAAAGTGAGAGACAACATCAGAAGACGAGGTTGAAGGATGGGGGGGTCCATTGACAAGCTTTTATACGCCAACAAGAGCGGGGTCTAATACCCGAGAATGTCCTTTTGCCGCATAGGCTTAGATCGCTACTTCAAGCCTCTACATTTCACTAACTCGGGCCCGGGGAATACAAACGGCGACGCATAAATCCCGCCAATATTGAATATAGTGGTCCCCATGCGCAAAGTGACTACGGTCATTCAGTTGGACTTTGAAGAAATGGAGAGACGGGCCGCCTAGTATTAGGCAACGCTCTGGCGACAAGGAGACCGAATTGGACGACATTCCTTACTATCTACGAGAGCTGTCTCCGCAAAGAATGGAGGACTTGGATAGACTTCCGTTCAGACTCGGCCAGGAATCGAAGGCACGCACAAACACGTGACCGCGTTTGGAAATAGTTGGACTATACTATACACAACATACACCACACTTACTTACATGATATGATATGCAATGAAATAAATAAAAATGCAAAGGTAAACGCCAACTCACGGCGAGTAGCCTGACCAATATTCCAGCCGGTGCATCATATCGAGGTCACGTGGAACTCTCAGCGCAACCACTTCCTCCCCAGTGGCCGCAAATCGCACCATCGGAACCAGTTTGAGTGCGCTGAGCGATTTCAGCACCTCCTCCTCCGCTTTGCGATTCCCCACCTTCGCATAGAGGTTCGCAAGCGAGTGCAGTCCTTCGATTTCGCCCGCCTGGTTGCTGACTTGTCTGTAGAGACAAATGGCGTCTTTGAAGGCCTCTTCAGCAGTTCCCAGTGCCCCCATGCGTAGATAAAGACAGCCCAACTTGTGCTTGTCCTTCGCGCAGCCCATCTTCTCGCCGACTTGTTGGTGGAGCTGGACTGCCCTGCTCAACGCTTTCTCCGCTTCCGGTAATTGCCTCTTGCGTGCATATAGTTCCCCGAGACTCTGCAGGTCATTCGCCTGGCCCATCACTCCCTGGGTCTGCTCATGCAGCCTGAGCGCGTAGGTCAAGTACGACTCCGCCTCCGACAGTCGTCCGAGCTCCATGCAAACTTCGCTCATGCTAGCCAGGTCGTTTGCCTAACGCAGTTGTGTCAGCACGACAGATCTAGAGCAGACAGTAACCAATTACCTCGCCAAGGAGATCATGAGCTTGTCTGTGCAGATCGGCAGCCTTGTTGAATGACACTTCCGCTTCTTCAAGCTGGTGCCTCCATAGATGGAGGTTCCCCAAACGTCGCAGATCATGTGCCTCTCCTAGAATGCTCTTCGTTTGTCGATGAAGTCGGACAGCCTCATAGAGCGCACTCTCCGCCTCTTCCAAACGTTCCTGTCGCATGAACACGCCGGCGAGTCGTCGTAAAGCACGTGCTTGCCCAACAACATGCTGTGTTGCTCTCAAGAGATTCAAGGCATTTGTCATACAGACCTCTGCGTCCTTCAGTTGCCCAGCTCGCATAAACAGTTTCCCCAGCTCGAGCAGGTCATACCCCTCGCCAAGATAGTTTCGCTCTGCCGTATGCAACTGGAGGGCTTGCTTGAAGGAAGCCTCCGCCGCTTCGAGTTTGCCCCAATGAACATAGAGGCTACCGAGCTCGTACAAGTCATTGGCCTTGGGGGCAAACCAGTCAGCAAAACGTTTCATCTCGGCTGCATCATAGAACATACTTCTCCAGCAGTGTCGTGAGCTTCAACATGAAGTTGAATTGCCTTGCGAAACGCATCGTGGGCACCGTCAGCATCATTACGCCTCACACAGAGCCTTCCTAGCCAAAAATAGCAGGCTGGCAACAGCTCGGAGGTCGGGCTACTGCGAATCGCAAGCTTGATTATGTCATCGACCCCAGATCCCATAAAGACGAGCCATTCTGTGTATGTTATTGACGCTTTTATCAAGGCAAGCCGATTATCGCCACTGGCGAAAGCCTCTGTAAAAACGCTCTGGATGTTGAGCAGTTCCGGAGGGATAACATGGGCCCGTGGGTCTGCATGGTCACGCCCCTCCTCGAGAAGTTGGATGTAGAAATTGACGAGTGCTGTGCGGAATGGGGGTGGGATATGGAGATTGGCTTTGCTGAAGTGTCGGACAGGTGAAAGAAGTCGTATCCGAGGGGTTTCGACTAGTGTTTCATTGTGAACGAGCGCCACCCGCTTGAGCGTTGACACCGCCCTATGGAGGTTGACTTCGGGTGGTAAGTAGTTTTGTAGCCGATCCGCCAACCCTTCTCGATCGGGAAAGCCATCGGGGAGAACAGACAAAAGGGCGAGGACGCTGGCTGCAAAGGGATCCGCACACATACGTGGCGACGAAATGGAGCACTGGATTGAGGCGTCGAGCTTAGATAAACGATCTTCGCCCCCAGTGTCTATCAAACCAGTTCGCTCGTTCTTCCAACGCCGTGCCAAGGTGGCTGTTGTCTCGTTTTCCTCTTGTACCATATGTCCAAGAAGAGTCACTGCCAGGGGAATGCAGTCCACCTCTCGTATCATTTCCTCCGCAAACTCGTCAACCTCTCCAGCAATCGCACGAAACACATTGGCAGCATCCTCAAAATGAAGTGAATGGAGAGGAGGAAGAAGGGGCGCAGACCAACCAGCACTTGGAGCCGGCCGTTGTGTACCGCGCATCGTTACTAACAAAGCCAAAGTCGGGATAGCCATAAATTCCAGAAGTACTTCTTCGACCGCGCGTCGAGTGGTTGCATTGTCCCATGCGGTCTCGAAGTTGTCGAAGCAAATGACGGTCGCGGTTCGTCGGAAAGCAGAAAGGACAATATCGTGCATGTTTTCGTCTAGTTGATCGCGGGGTAGACGAAGAACATTAGCTAGTTCGGTGAGCAACAGCTCAGCTGAGGTTACACCGTCACATGCCACAAAATAACGCGACTCGTAGCGTTCAACGACAAGCTTGTCGTATAAACAAGAGATCGCAAGTGTGGTCTTGCCGATTCCGCCAGCGCCGAGTATGGCTATTCGAGGAGAAGCCGAACCTGTTAGGGTCGCAATAATGGCTGCTCGCTCGCGCTCCCTGCCATACAAGAATGGTGGCTCGGGCGGTATTAATGGACGATGTCTCTGTCTGTTTGATACCATTAAGTCCATAATGTTAAGCATTTCAAGCTTCCACTCACAAGCCTCGGGTCTTCCCTACTAGCAAATTGCTCATCGTGTTCATTTGAATTTCGATGTGAACCAATCGGTTATCCTGGCATTGTCAATCGAGGAAAGAGTCGCAACGAAAAGGCACCATACACTGAAGTTAACACGAAAGTCATCCAGTAGACGCTCAAGTCGAAGCATATCTTCCCACAGCTGACCACGGTTCAGCCAGCGGTCGACACGATGGCTCATCTTTTTGGATGCGCAGTACAGCAGAATGTTATGAACATCTTGGAGAAGTCTTTGGGAAAGTCAGTCGTGGAGAAAGATAGAAATATGACAGGAGACTCACCTGTGGTATGCAACAAGATCGTCCTCGAGATCCTTCAGTCCATCTCTGCCCGGTGCCTCCGAGATTTTCTTCAGTCCCAACAAGATGACTTCCGACCGCCGTTCAACTTTCTCGACCAGCTCCTTGCATCGCCATTTGCTATCAGTGATTTCCTGATATCCGCAGTCAAAAAGACGCGGAAAGAATGAACATACGACTCACCTCCTTGATTTTGATAATTTGCAGCATTACCCCGCACAGCGCCTTGACATACGGGACGTGTTGAAGCGCCTCCCCCACATCCTTGGCTATTGCGAACAAGACTGAAGCTGTTTCGAGACGCAATACAGGAATAGCTGTGGCCGTCCGGCTTGGCTTCGAAGGTCCTGCTGGGGTTATAGGTGCAGAATAGTTTGAGAACGAAGGGAGGGAAGAAGTTGTCAAGCTTCGACAGCCGTTGCCCGCAAATCTCGCTGAGCGACTCATAGGAAGAGAGAAAGAAAGAAAGGGGGCGAAACGACCGTATCTTTTTAAACTGCTGTATTCCGGTGCCACGGGGCTGCTAAACCGAATGGAGGAGTCTGTGGGGAATCCGGACCTCACAGCAATTCCGTCAAGTAGCTGAGCTTTCGAAAGACACCATCAACAATTAACTGAATGGTGGCGTGCGGGTAGTCATGATGCGTCATCGAGGGATTTTGGCGAAGCGGTTTTCAACGGTGGTTGGAAGAAAGGAAGTGGGTCAGGATACGAAACAAGACATGAGTGATCTGCTAGATGTTTGGAGTGATTGCGTATAACTCGTTCGTGGGCGTTCTTCGAATTCGTCGCCCTCCTCGGATTCTAAACACGGTATCATTGTTGTCGTCAGACGCGGCCACGTGTTTTACGCACCTCCACGGTCAACTGTCAAATGTCATGTTGGAGCCAGATTAGTACTTTGCCCTTTTCAAGATCCTCGGCGTCTTAGAGCGCAGCAACAGCTGTTATCTCGTATGCTCCTTCCGTGGTTCAACGTGTGCAAACGACTTTTTTCGCGGGTTCGGATCTCTTGGGTTCACAGAAAATGTGCCTAACAACGGCAGGTGGCAAAGCTGTTAGGTGAATCAACTTGTATTGAAAAATCAATACTGGCCAGAAAGCGTACCGTGTACTCTGCTTGTTTGGCATCTACTGGGTCATCGACTGCTCAAATTTCCGTGTCTGTTCCTCTAGCCATTCCCACAGGTCACGCCCATTTTTTGGATCATCGACATCGGGACGGTGTTGTCGGACTTGACCCCAAGGTGCAATGTACTGTCGGAACAAGGGCGGAAGCATGAATAACTGTTGCGATATTCTGTCATTGGTTCACTGACCTTGCCGTTCAAACCAGCTGCTTCTGGTGAGGTGCCAGCCCATAGCTGTCCCACAGCCCCCTAGGCCGGCGGGTAGAATAAGAAGAGCTTCTATAGAGTCCTTAGTCAAAGACGACTCCAGAGCGCCGACGGGGGTACGCACCGACAATAGAGCAACGCTCCCTTGCGTATTTTGCGATATGTCAGTGTTGAGATTACCTAAAAAGAGGTCTGAGCTACAAATCACAACATGATTTGGAGTTTCTATGCACCTGGGTTCACAGACACGGAAACGATGCCTTCGGAGCCATAGCGACGCGCTAACTCCATAGCCATCACAGCATCAGCCTATCTGTCTTGAGTCGACTTTCAAATATCGAAACGGTACAAACCCATTTGCTCTGCGCGTATAGAACAAAGGGCTTTTGTCGGCGCTGCTGGGGACTCTCTACAAATGTCGCGTAGTCTACCGTGGCCACGTAATGGGCCATGGAAGTCAGATTGACGATTCGGGCCGTATTGTGTGCACGTGCAGTCGCTAATAGCGTTGGTAGAAGCAGCTGGGTCAGGTAAAAATGTCCTAATTGACACGGTCAGAGTGTGACAGTGAGCCTCAGGAAGACTTACCGACCACATTGGTTAAGAACACCAGGTCATAACCATTGGAGGTGCTCCGTTGGTTGGGAGGCACCATGATCCCTCTGGTATTGGCATGTCGATTAAGGGGGAGTAACGGTCAAGCGCACACATACCCGTTGTTGCACAAGACATGTAGCTCCGTCTCCTGCCTGACATTAGTTAGCTTCGAACGACCCTGTCATCAAATGCTGGCACCTCTGGAATTCCATCGCAGCACTCTTCACCGACGCTAGATCGGAAAGGTCAAGTTCCAAGAATATAGCTCGTTTCCCCGTTACTCGTTCTAGCTCATCAATTGCTTGACTCGCTTTTTGTGGGTTTCGGGAGGCCATATAAACCTTGGCATTATGCTGGAGAAGGGCCTGTTCAAGTTTCTTGAGTCGGCGGTCAATCAAGCGAGAGCATGAGGCGCACCTTGACCGTCTCTTTTCCGATTCCTGAGTTCCCGCCGGTTACTATAATTACTCTCCCTGTGAGGTCTGGCATATCGTCCGCACTCCATTTCGGTCTTCCACAGAAGAAAGACTGTTGGATAAGGGCGAGGGTGTTGGTTGGCGTCAGATGCCACAGACTGAAAGGTATTATGTTGCCCATAGTTGTTTGTTTGCAGAGAATAGAAGGTTTGATGTCACGTGCACCACCTCGATTGATTTTGGCCCCATCTTCTAGCATGATGTCCTTCCTCTCTTTGTCGAACTACCAGGCTTGAAATGAAGCCTACATCCACTCTCCTCCGTGAGCTACTCGACCGTGACCAAATAACTGTTCTCCCTGGTGTCTATGATGGAATATCCGCCCGCATTGCTCTGAGTGAAGGCTTCGAGGCCCTCTATATGACCGGTGCTGGAACTTCAGCATCTGTGCTCGGCCAACCGGACCTCGGAATTGTCACTCTAAACGACATGCTCAGCAACGCGGCCATGATTGCTGGCTTGAACCATGCGATTCCTGTTATTGCTGATGGTGGGTGTTATCTCGGGGGTTGACCGGCCGCCTTAAACGAATCTTGACTGTAGCGGATACCGGTTTCGGTGGCGCTGCCATGTGTGCGAGAACTACAACGTTGTACATTCGTTCTGGCGTCGCGGGGTTTCACATCGAAGACCAAGTGCAGCAGAAGGTGAATTGGTGATCCATGAGTTAGACTCGTTGACTTGACGAGTTTGCAGCGCTGTGGCCACCTGGGGAGCAAGCAACTTGTTTCTCTGGAAGAATATCTCATCCGCATTCGAGCAGCTGCAAATGCACGTGCCGCTCTAGGCTCGGACATTGTAATTATTGCTCGCTCGGATGCCGTTGCGCCTGCTGGACTTTCCGAGGCGATTCGCCGCTGTAAAGCAGCAATTTCCGTCGGGGCAGATGTTGCTTTCATCGAAGGATTCCGTTCTCAAGAAGAAGCCAAAGAAGCCGTTCGTACATTGGCTCCAACCCCCGTCCTACTCAATCTTGCGACCAATGGTGTGACTCCGAACTGGACTGTCAAGGAGGCGAAAGAGATGGGCTTCAAACTTGTTATATTTCCGTGTTCCGGGATGATTCCTGCTGCCCTGGCCATTCGGAAAGCATACCAGGAGATCAAGACACAGGGAAGTGATGTTGAAGGGTGTGGAGGGGTGGGACCAAAGGGTTTCTTTGAAATCGTTGGTTTGAATGAGATAATGGATGTCGATGCTGCTGCGGGGGGCAGTTTTTCGCTCGAGAGTTGAAGCGTGGTGTAAAAATAATATCACATGAAAGAGCGCACTGATAAACGCAAACAAGGCTACTTTGTTATCTGTGCCTCGTGGCCTTCACGTTTTGGACGTCTCCCTTCCTTTTCATGCATCCAGCATTATACTCCCCCTCCACGTTCGACATTTAGACAACATTGAAGTCGAGGCAAGGGCAAGGGTATCGCGGGTGATGTATCTTTGCAGATGGGCTGTCGAGATCGCTTACCAAGTGTGTGAATCCCGCCCTTGGCGAGAACGGAACGGTTTATGACGGAGTTTGGTGGCTCGGTCAAAGCGGGTAAATTGAAGATGACAGAGAGTGTCTTTCGCGGCGCACCAAGCTTCAAATCAAATGAATATGAAAGCATTTCTCAGCAATCGATTCACAGCGATTCACTCACGCGTTTCTTTGCTTCCGCGGACCATTGGCGGCTGATTCAGACGGTCGCAGGACTTTGCCTGGGCATGGCCGAGGATTCGAGAGAATTCGAGTCTCCCGTCGACACCGTGGCCAGCATCTCTAGTGGTTTCGGACGACCAGGGCTAGGGTTCAGACACAACATCACGACATCAATCTCGACTTGATCGGGGCGAAATCTGAGCAAAATTGCTCGTCGTTGAGGCCAGTGGCGGACTCGGAGCGGGCATATGCGCGGTTGGTGACGCGTCACCAGTGCTCGGGGTGAGTAATCGACGATATCTGGCCGGACAATGCCAAATTTGGACGGTCCTTTTTATAACCTTTACCCTGTGACGGTAACTCTTTCTAACTCTGTTTTCTTCTGCGCAACTGCGTCGGACGGCCGTGATGCTCACCCTCACCCCTGGCTCGTCCTGCGATGTTTGCGCAGAAGAATACGGTCCCCATTGCCTTCCGAATTCAATCCCTTGCGGTCCGTTTTTTTTTCTGTTTTCCTCGCTCTTTTTTTCGCCGATTCTTACTTTCTTCCTGCAGGACACGTTTTATGCGCTAGCTGTTGCATGACTATTGCAGAGAAGACTGCCCCCAAGCTGTCTCCTGCCTGTCCCTTTTGTCGAGAAAATTTTACTCCCGACTCTGTTCGTCTAATTCGACTCGATTTCAATACTAGCGGGTGGACCACGCCCCGGCGACTTCCCAACATCGACACCAACCCTCCCGACTTTGCTAGCGATGCTTGGAACAAAGGACTTATGATGGCTGACGGCTGTTCTCGCACTCGTCTCGATGCTCGCCGTCTCGAAGCCAAGGTTGCCAAAGTCGCAGCAAAGAAGTGCTCAGTGGAGGAGGTGACGCATCTCCACAAGGAGCTCCAAGAGTGGCTCATGTCCGATCCCAAAGACGACGACGAGGTAGGTTTTCGGCTATCGTTTCCGCTCCAATTCGCTATTCAACCATCGATCCACAGTCTCGTGCACAAATCTCGTCGTTGACTCTTAGCGCAGCCCTTTTACGCGCGATCCTTACGAATCAGGTGGCTCATTCTGAGTCAAGCCGGTTGGCCAAGAATGTTGAAGCCAATCTCAAGACCAAGCTCGATGACCTAGACCTCATGAACAGTAAACTCGATTCGGAACTGAAACGGTGCGTCGACTTGTCTGTGTCTGCGATGACCTGAACTGACTGGGTTTTGTAGACAAGTGAGTCACGATTTTCCGGATTAGTCAGCAACTAACCAGCTTTAGCGAACCGCATATTCCCAAAAGGCACAGGAATGTCAAAGCCTGAGGCAGGAAATGAGTCGCATGAAAATTGTCCCCGCGACCCAACCTGCCCCGCCACCACCCACCTCGTCCATGGAGGCCCGTCATCTTTCGCCATCACCTCCACCAATGCCCACAACATACACCTCATCGGCATCTTCCGCTGCTCGCTTCAGTTGGACCCATACTCGTTCATCATCGTTGTTTTCTCGACCAACAACACCTGCTCCCCATCTGGCACGTGCCCAAACACCTGGCCCAGTCTCCCCTCCTCGTCCTTACACTCCAGCCCCACCCAGATCCCAAACTCCCGGTCCAACACGTTCCAATAGCATTAGCTTCGCCAGCGCTAACGCGGCTGCCCGTCTCGAGAAATCACCCACTAGAGCTCAGACGCCAGTTCCGCCTTCCCGAGCCAACACAACGACCCCCACCCCAACGCGTCACGTGTCCATGACCGCCGCATCGACTCCTCTTCGCTCGCATACACCAGCTCCAGTTCAGACAACCGCACCTGCTCCACGTGCCCGTCGTCTGTCACACCCTTCGGCGCCACCACTTGCGGCTCGATCTCTTTCAGAAGAGAAATATGAAGCACAAGCACTGCACCAGCGCTGGCTTCCCAACACCTTTGACGACAAAGTCAAATATATGGTTCGTCCCCCCTCTCGGTCGGCCTACACATTCCGTGGCTATCGAGTCTCGGTCGAGGAAGAAGACGATGATTAATGAAAAGAAAAAAAAAAGAAAAGAAAATCAACGCAACGACACGGCGCAATGAACTCACGGACTCACGGACCTTTACGACTCAACGACATCGTGGTTAATGCCACATTACATTAATGCCCAGACGCGTTCTCCCGACTTCCATATCGGGTACGACTCATCCCCCCCCAAAAAAACACACAAACCGGCGATCTCGTCCTATTTCCATTTTCGCTTTTGGCACACCGCATACTAGTCGGTCACTGCTTCTGCGCACTCTCCGATTCGCAGTACTGTACATATTCGAATTTCGTTTTCCCTTTCCGACAGCTTTTCCACGACTCTTCGCTTCTGTTTTCGCTCTCCATCTTCCTCTCTCTCGCGTCCTTGAATATGCTCATCCTTGTAGCCCACACTTTGATACCACGCACGTACATACCAGCCTTTTACTCTTTTTTATCGAGATTGGGTCTCGTTTGCTTCGTTTTCCCCAGCTTTCACGCTCCTGGACGCGGTCTTTCTGTAGCACCTCACGCACCTAGACACCATCTGCACAATTACTTAACTCTGCATATCTCATCCAGACGGACAATCTCCCTCCCACCTTCTTCGTATATAGCGAGAAGTGAAAGTACCATAGAACCGTGTGTAATGGAATGAATGATGATTCGGAGGAGAAATGAACTTTTTGGAGGGCAAGCCTCGCGGAGCACGCGAGGCGAAATTTGGGGTAAATTACCTGTTTAAGGCCAAGTAATCTCAGGGCAGACACCAGACAAACGGTAGCAAGAAGTAGGTATAAGTTCATTTCGACAGACTTGACTTGACATTCAACGTTTGCGCCACCGAAGGATAAGCGCGGTACAAATTCCACGATCTGCTTTCTCGCAACTCAGCAAGTGAGTCTGGGTTAGAGTTGGCGACATCAACTTGAAGGGTCAATAACTCTGGAGATCGCATCTCAGCGCTAGTTGGTAGGCAAGGAAAATTACGTGCCATGGATGACAAGATATTGGGGAACAATTTGGGCCTCAGGAGCAGACGGCACACTCCTTCCAGTTTTGAGATTGTCGATGCACTTGTACGTCCTCGTTCGCACCCAGCCGTCTATGCCAGTCAAAGCGCGTAATAAAGTGTCCGACCATCCTTCAAAGGCTTCATCGCCAGCTGGGAAATCGACCCAATGCGTGATGATATGGCGCGTTGGGTTATCCGGTTTATAGGAAGAAGTGAGGGCAGACTCTCCGGAGTCCTTACATAACTTGTACGTTCGACGGTCGAGAATAGCAAGGCGCTGGACAAGATCCGCCTCTCTTGGGCTGCGATTCGCACGGAGACGCGTATAAGAGTGGTGCTGGAAAGTTGCAGTATCGTCGATATCATACACAGCAAGCCAAGAAGGAGTTTGGGAGTCTGCGGCGCTGAATCTGGCTCCCGTGAGGAAGGAAGGGAGGTGGTCCAGTCGTAATGGAACGTGTTCATGGTTGTACCAATCTGTTGAGTTAGAACAGATAAGACTCAGAAGGGGGGCCAAAACCTTGAAATTCCTCAAGGGAAACGCTTTCCCCTGGTTCAGAGGTAACGAGCAGAAAACCTGGTGGCATTACAAAGCAAGGGTAGGCTGAAGGATATTCCGATTCCGATTTTAGCTTGACCGACCATGTTGACGGTTACTGGCGACCACTGGAAGGCGTCTCAGACTTGAAGCCTTCAGAGTCGTCGCAAGATCTGATAATCACTTGTCGCGTAGGCCCGGGCCCTCGCACATCATCGGCAACTCAACGCAAACGTTGACGAGTAAGTTAGCTGGGGGACTATTTTTGTCAGTTCAACACAGTGACGACACTCAACAGGTGCTGACCGGCATTTTTTCTCTGCCCTCAACGAGCGCCTGTCTCTCGACAGGGTAGAGATTTCGACTGATACTCTGCCACCGCCTCGGTCACAGACCCTCACCGAGCACCTCTTTCCATTCATGATTCTACACGCAATGGCCCTGCTAATTACCTACTGCGCACTTTAAAAGCCACTATAGGTCCATTCGTACCTTATGGATGACACAGAAACCCTGCCTTCATACAACCAGCGGTTCTCTGTTGTTTCTGAACCTCCCGTCTATGGCACAGACGACGGAGTTAGTCATTCGGAACTCCCATCGACTATCTCGTCACGGCCACCGACCAAGGAATTCACGTATGAGATGAAAAACTTTTTGGACAAACCTTGGGCCACAGTCACTGTCCAAGCAGATGGTCGTTTGAGTCGCGATACTCCAGTTTTTCTCGAAGGATCGACCCTCGAGGGAAATATTAAGCTCAAGCTGCGTAGTTCGGAGGCCATTATCTCAGTTTGCTTCTTCGTATGTTGTTTCAACGCTATTGTTGCCAGTCGTGAGCTCACAGAGACGCAGCTTCGAGGGGTGCTTCTTACCTCAGGCGACCCACCGGAAGTCTACATGTTCTTCAATCTCCGTCATTTCGTGTGGACCTGGGATATGGGCGATCCTCGAGCCCCTCAGCCTGCTAATACGGAGGCCCGTTGGAAAAACAAACTCAAAGGAGAATATGAATGGCCATTCTCTTTCAAATTCCCAGAGTTTACCACGCACCCCAAAGCCTCTGCTGGCGCATATCGTCTGCCCCATACTTTCACCGATCCCAAATCGCGGGGCAGCATCGGCTATAATCTCGGAGTCTACATCCACCGCGAGGGCAAATGGAGACCAGACGACACGCTGACGGCGCCATATGGCTATTTTTCGACTCAGCAGCCGGGTCGACCATCGCCTCAAAGGTTGCTTTCCTTCCAAAACAACACTAGCCTTCCTGGTCCATTCGAAGATCCAACAGGCTGGCATGCACTGGATCCTGTTTCCTTACGAGGGAGAGTGTTTGGAGACCGCGATGTCGAGTGTGAATGCTCAGTATGTAATACGTTGTAGGTGCCACGGCTCGGAACTGACATTGCTATCACAGGTATTCCTAGCTCATCCTGTCCGTTGATGATCCATGGTTTCCGGGCGTTGACTAATACGCCACTAGCTGCGCTATACACGAACTACTGCGATACCTTGTGCCATCACGTTCAAATGTTCTGATGCACAAGCCTTGGATTTATTTGCGTCAATCAAAACCTCTGGGCTCTATCTGCAGAGACGAGTCAACTGTACCTTCCACGGAAACTCCACTCATGTTCAAACGTGCGGCAAAGCTATCTGGTGGCCTTCGACAGATGCTGCTGCTCCCTTGGATTCGAATAAAAGGCATCTCATGGGAGAAATCCCAGTGACGGGCGACCTTGCTCCCTCATCAGCAATCCCGATGTTCAGTGTCGAGGTCAATTACCTGCCGGTGACAATAATCCATGATACTGACGCATTCCTAGTATGCCGTAGTCCTGTTCGCTCCAGACGCTGTCGCATTCGAATCACAAGATTCCGGCCCGTTGGTCCGCCAAACTGTAGATGTTGTCACACGGTTTGCGCCGGGAGCGCGGCAAGTGCGCCGCGGGGAGTCTCAGCCTTGAGAAAGTACCCAACCCGCGCACTAGCTGACTGAAATGTATTTCTGAGGATCACCGCCGCAGTAGTCATTTTGATTGGTGCGAAAGATAGAAAACGGCTGCCATGATTGAAAGAGCCTGTACATCCCGACTTTTAACATGAACCTCCAAGCTCCAGAGGCGCTTCCGCCTTCGTATCGTCCTCGTCGTTTGGTTTTGCAGCCTCTTCCCGTCTACGTAGCAGCTGGAACTGTCCCCATATCGAACTCAGAACCGGACCCATGGCCAATCACGCATCCGACCAAAGAGTTTGCTTACGAAATGAAAACGTACTGGGGGAAACCTTGGGCCAAAGTGACTGTCTTCGGAGATGCTCGACTGAGTCGGGAAGTTCCGGTATTCTTGGAAAATGGCTTCATCACTGGGTCGGTGCAGCTCAACCTGAAGAACAAGGAGGCCATCAAAGGAGTTTATCTCGTGGTTAGTCTTCGAGGCAATCGGAGGGTTGGATCACCGAGCTCACTCCGAGTCATAGGTGAATGGAGACGTCGTTACATCAGAGGATTTGCTCCCCAAACGCGTCAACTTTCTTAAACTTCGGCACTATGTTTGGAGAAGGAGCCGAGAACAACTTGAAGTTGACAACACAATAGTCGGAGAGCATACTTGGCAATTCTCCGTGCGCATTCCGCAATCGACAGATGACTCTGTGGTGGGAGCAGATCAATACCGCTTACCCCATCCCGTCGTTGAACGGTACTCTAAGATTGGGGTGGACTACTACCTCGAGTTTCACGTCCATCGAGGAGGCAAGCTTCGGGCAGATGACAGGCGAGCAAAATCTACGCTGAATTGTCAAGAACCAACTGAAAATATGGCGTTACGCGTAGTCTCGGAATTCAATTCGGATATTTCACAATGCAGCAGCCTAAAGGGCTATCATTGCCTCGTCTACTAGCCGGCCAGACCAATAGGACGATACCAGGCCCGTTTGAAGATCCCGAAGGCTGGAAAGCATTGGAACCCGTAATAATCACAGGAAAGACGTTCGGCATGAGAGAGGTTAAAGTAAAATGCACGGTAAAAGCGGTGGCGTTGTTTCTTGGATATTCCGAGTCTGACCATGGGTAGATCTTCCTGGCAAAACCGGTACTTCCTCTATGACCGAATCCGCGAGAACTTATGAATTCAGCTTTGTTACACACGAGGAACTGCCATACCATGCTGCGCGACATTTGAATGCGCAGATGAACAGACGCTCGACCTTTTCGCCGCTATGAATTCATCATTATTGTATCTTGAGCGCCAGGTTACTTGTTTCGTAGATGGCACCTCGAAGCAGGTAAGCCCGTGTGGTAAGACGAGCTGGCGGCCATATCCTTACATGTCCCAAAACACGCTCACCGGAAGGCATTTAATGGGCGAGCTCCATCTCCACAAAGGACTGTACCCATCAACAAGAGTAAAACAATTTCGGGTGGACGTCAGTGTTTTCTACCCTCCCAAAAAGAGTCTGTGTTTGACAGAAATTGCAGTATGAGGTCGTACTTTTCCCTCCAGATGCAGTGGTGACATTCGTCCCAAACACATTCGCACCACTGTTGACAGCAAGGGTGGAGATCGTGACACGGTATGCGGCAGGCGTGCGACAGTCCAAGCAGCCCTCGATTCCAGAGTACAGCTCGGAGTTGAGAAGCCCTCCAATAGATAGGTACTATCGTTCTTTGTCTTAAGGTACCCGATAGTTGTATACGTTCAAATTGATTCGTGTTATGGTGGTGTGACCGGCGTGACGCTCACGATCATTGACAGATAGGCACTGGTGCTGTACGAGTCACGGCCCATTGATGGGCCGGCCCCAAAACGGCCCAGTGACAAAAAAGTTGCCTTCGGGCAAAATCCAATGCGCCCTCAGGGACGAAAGATCGTGCCCGAGGGCAATATTTTATGCTCCCTCAGGCATTCAATTTCATGCCTGGAGGCACAATTTCTGTTCCCTCAGGTGCAAGTGCATTGAACCTACAGTACATTATGTTTTGCCCCTTCAGTGTAAGTTCTGGTCACTGCAGGACAGCTCATTCTTGTTCCTGTAGTGAGTTTTGTTCTTTCCCTTCAGTAGCAAATAAAAATGCCCTCAGGCCTATCATTACTTGAAGAAACTGAGATGAATTCAAGTTACTTGTAATATAAAAAAAAGGCTACCATTCAAAATCCTGAAGCAAAGCACAATAGGCAAGTCACCAAATAACAGAGAAACAGCATGAAAACCAACAAGAGCAAGATGCTATAGGATAGGTCTAAATGGTTTGTACTTTGGCATCACTGATGTATATGATGATCTAAGAAATCCAAGCTGTAATTAATTGAGGACATTTTTAACCAGTCTGATACAACTTAATGAATTATCCCTTCATGAGATACATTGTGTTATGAGCAGAGAGTGGCTTAAATGAGTTGAAATGACATGTTATTTAAATTGCCTTTTTTGGAACACATCACCAGTCCCCAGAGGTACTTATACGATGAAAATGCCTATAGTCAAGTTTTTTTATCCTTCAGGCACAATTATAAGTCCCTTCAGGTATAAATTGCAAGATGCCTTCAGGCAAGAATGAATGATGCCTATAGGCATGAATATTGAGACCTCAGGTGCAAATTTAAGTGCCTTCAGGTACGAATATAGGCACCTTCAGTCACAAATCAAATGTCCCTTCAGGCAAAATCAAAAAAGGGGCCGTTTTGGGGCCATTCGCCCGATTTGGACGGCCGTTTGTACAGCACTGGGTTTGGTCTCATCATTGACTTGAGCTCTGACCACGACGCGTCGTCAAAATGATGCCCTTTCTCGATGCTGTATCAACCCACCTTCCACCTGAGCTCTCTCAATCGCTACAACTACTCCAAACAACAACGTCAGACGCGTCATCAACCCTTGACACTCTTATTCGTTTCGTTGTTGGTGGAGATGCACCTCAACCAGAGACACAAACTACTTGGGCAGAGTCTCAATCAAAAGCCTGTGCTGTCATATCGGAGCTTGTCCGTCAGAATAGCCGGGCTGGCGGCAAACGACCCAGAGAAGGGGACACGGACGAGAAGAATGGCTCTGAAGCAAAACGACAAAGGACCGAAGTCGGGATTGACAACGGAACGCCTGTTTTTACTCTATCCGCTATTTCTGCCAACTCTCCTGTCAGAAGAAAAGTCGATATCACGATATACAGCTCTTCTGTGGTGTTAACGAATGCTTCCACTGGTGTTGTCGAGTCGTCCATCCCACTGGGTGTCCTCAAACGTGCTTTTCTTCTCCCCACGCGGGGAAAGATGAAACCTCATTGGACAGTCGTTGTCTTATCGACTGACTTGACGGACGCGAGCAACAAGAAGGAAACCAAGGACGCATCTCCTCAAATCATCTTTGGCATCGATGCATCCGCATCAGCCGCGGTGAAATACACAACCTATAGTGGACTAGAGGCAACGGCTCAAGTCACAACGCTCAAATCCGGTATACCCACGCGTGACCTCCTGCTAGACTTTATTCGCCACTTAGGCTTACAAGTTCTCGAGCCAACATCAGCGGTATTCAAGAGCGCGTGTCCCGGCATTGCAGTTAGTGCCTCTGAAGGCGGGGTTCCTGGGGTTGAGGCTTATCGTTCTGCCAAAGTTGGCTCACTCTGGTTCATGCATGACGGAATTCTGTGGGGCGAGAGCAAACCCTGTGAGTTTTGGGCGGTGTCTGATTTGATCGCAAGAGAAACTGCCCTACGGCTCATCAGCGCCACGGGAAGGACGTGTACACTGGTGATCACGCGAAAGAGCTCAACGGAAGAACTGGCCCTGTTAGAGGGGGATGAAGAGGAACCGGCTGTAGAGACTGCGTTGACCATGATTGACGGGCGAGAGCAGGAGGGTATAAATAAGTGGGTCAGGGAGCACCGGCACTTATTTGGCAAAGAACCGACTGCGACTCTTGACGCAGCGGCCTTGTTGGTCCAAGACGACTCGGACGAAGATTCCGATTTCGAACAAAACGAGGAGAGCGATGGCGGCTCGGCGTTTGACGAATCAGATGACGACGACGACTCGGACTCGGATGATGCAGAGACGGTTAGCGAGGATGGAGAAGGAGAACAAGACGGAGAAGCAGATTCAGATGATAAAGACCAAGAACTCCGACCAGAAAATCACCCATTAATGCAGCCTGGTGCTATGCCACGAATGTCGCGCGCTGCGATTGACATGGTTGCGGCGATGGTAACAGGCGATCTCCTTGGAAGTGATGAAGAAGCGGAGGGAGAAGACGAGCTCGATGATTGATTGTCGGTACAATGTAACTAATAGTCCGCCTGAAATGCACCACTCCGATTCCAGAGAGTGTAGTGAAATTCTTGAGCCGACAGCTCACTACCAAGGTCCCGAGAAGAGAAATCTCTTAGATTCAGCGCCTCGAAAATCTCTTGTGAAAACGTAGTGGCCTGTTGGGTATTTGAGGTTGCGGCCGAAGACTGCTTCGGTATGTTGTAGGACTCGGGAATGAGCGGGGGGACCCATCTATGGACGCTGGGATTCTCTGGTTCGGCCAATAGAGCTGCAAGTTCTGCTCCAGCAACGGCAACAAAATGACAAGTTAAACCGCGATCTTTGCATCGTCGACAGGGGGCCGAGGGTCTGTGGACAGAGGAATCAACATTGCACTGGCAGAGAGTCAGACGAGTTCTGCATTCGGGCTGGCATAGATATACCTTAATCTTTCGTCTTCGGCAGCCTATGCAAGCGATACGTCCGCGTTTGTGACCTGGAGGCGGTTGTTTGGAGAGGATCAGAGCAGGCTTTTGCTTGTTAGTGGTCTCTGGGGCCACATATCTAGAGAAATCGAAATCTGGGGGATACATGCCTGCAAATTGGATTCTTCTCGAGACTTTAAAGCCCCGAAGGTAAGGAGGTGTACTCCAAAATTAGTTGAGCGCGTACCGAGAGCGTAATTGTGGCTTTCTTTGGATCGGTTGACGGACCGACTGATCTTGACATCGAAGGGAGATTGAGGATTTTTTGAGGGAGCGGCTGCAACTTGAATCTTGAGCAGTTGTAGTCCAGAGCGAGAGAGAGAGAAGAGCTCTTGATGATATGTGTTGAGACGATAGCACCTCTTTAGGCGTACATGAGTCGACTCCGATGGAGGTCGTGTTGACTTCTGCTGAACTTTCTGTCTGAATCCAAGTACAGCGTTTTCCGCATCACCGCTTGTGACGTGGAGGGCATGAGCTACAGCCTGCCGCAGCCTTTTATACATGTAAAATAGAGTCAGTTGCCGGTATCGAGGTCGGAAGGAAGCACAGCAGGCCTCAGAACTCCGCGATTTTCGTGTTCACCGTTTTTGGTAAGGCAATGTGACGAGAGTCACGTGCACACGACGTGGCTTCCAGCGAAACAATTTCTTAGCGTAAATCTACTTTCTCTCCTTTACACCATGGTCAGCCAACTCTCCGTTTCTTCCTCGCTTGATTCATAACTCTTCTGGCAGTCCGATTCAGATGTCCCGAAATCCAATGGCACTCCCGTTAAGCCAGCTGGCGCGAACCAAATACGGTGTGTTTCTAGGTCATGGCATTTCGTGAACTGACGAGTCGCTTCTCCAGGCGACGGGCAGGCGGTGCAGTACGGCCCAACTCCACCCGAGCAGCAGGCGCTGGTGGCTCGTCAAACACCATGCTGAAGCTCTACACCGACGACTCGCCAGGTCTCCGTGTGTCCGTCATCACAATTCTTATTTTCTACTTTGGACTGACTCAGTTCTCTCTTAGCGACCCTTTCATTGTGCTCGTACTTTCGTTGTCTTTCATTGGCTCCATCTTCTTCCTTCATATTGCCGCCAAAATCATCCGCTCGTTCTCTAAGTGAGCCAACGACAACTCACTCTGGGTGTGGATTGGGGAAGGGAGCAAGGAACACGGGCGTGGGGCGACCTGTACAATATGCATGCGAAAAGTATTCCTCTCCGTTATTATTTTTCACGTCTATATATCCTTCCCTTGCCCTGGCATCTGCAGTCGCGCAAGTCAATCCAGTCCAAGCCAATGCTGCCTATTCATGGACACCTGCGACAATTTCGATTTCCAAAGCCGCGAGCGCATCCCGTCCTTGCTGAGCCCAGTGGTGTAAGGCCTCATTCTGTTCGAACCACCTTGAAAATGCTGATGATTCGTTTGGCGTGTCCATTGTAAGCTGGGATAGCTGAGTAGCGAGAGCGTCTGGTGTCGATTTGGATGATGATTGCTCAAATGGCGGCGATTGGCTGGTGGGATCGACGAGGCCGCCGTTTTTAATCCAACCTGCAACGTCGGTCTCCGACTTGAGTGTCTCTAAAATGCCAACAACCGCCAGGAGTATCTCGTCGAAAACTCTTGGAATTTCTGCAGCGTCGACTGTGTTTCGCTGAGGACGTTGCTTTCTTATTTTAGACAAAAGTTGCGAGGGTCCTTTTGACGCGTTAAGCACAGACAAATCGCGTCTTCGAGACTCTGGAGAGTACTCTGACACGCAGACGTGGTTGAAAGGGTGTCGATGGGCCTATTCAGCATTACTAACACGAGAATATCCATGAAAAAAATATGACCTTGCGGGCCGAGTCATCGAGGAGGAGAGTCGTTTGCGCGTTGTGCAGAGGGAACACCTTCCAAGGTGTAACTAGATCCTTCGTGGTAGGCGTTTTTTGGTCTGGAGTGTCGTTATGAGCGCGTCAAAGCCGCCAAACGAAACCCACGATATAACTCTGGAGGGAGATCTAAGGTATCGCGAGCCCAGATTGCAACAAAGTGGCTTTTTTGTTCTCCGAAGCACTGGTGGACCATGTCTGTAACACTGTTTGGCTGCGCTGATGACCAAACCATCGTGTCGAGCCACTCTTTCGTCGTTGGATGAAATAAGTATTCCCGAAAGGAGGAAAGGTATGGCCGTCGATGAACGGTTCTTGGCCGAGGCCCGCCATTTGGTGGTGCGACCCCATGCGAGCGTTTAGAGCGAAGAAGAAGAGTGCCGTTTAGGTCGAGAATGAGTAGTTTCCGAACGATGGTCATCTTTGTGACAAAACCGTTCATGCTTGCCGTCCGACCGTGTCATGCAACCTCGTCAACCTTAAAATGCGCGCCAACAACCCTTTCTATGACCCTGTCCAGACTTCTCTCCACCACTAAGGCAGATCCTATCTTGCACGGCACCGTCGCTTACCACCGTTCCTACATCCTGCTCCCTGTCCCAGAATCTCCGCAAATCCTACCTGCACGAGTTTCCAATCCTCTTCACCGCAGTCTCCAGCTTCAAACAATGCCATGGGGTGGCCTCGTTAATTTCGCGTCGACAATGGAGACTGGAAATGTTACGGCGTTTTCAACACTGAACGGAGTCCTGCATCTCCCTACCTTGACTTCAGAAAATGTGTCCGACATTGCCGAGCAGCTCCAGAGACATGCCACCGTTCCGGGAAAATACCCCCAAGACGGAAAACTGCATATTTACGTGTGCACTCACGCTGCAAGAGACTGTCGTTGCGGAGACACCGGTGGCGTAGTTTTCCGTGCTTTGTGCGAAGAGTTGGATGCTCGGAAGCGTGTTGACCCGGGAGGAACTGCGAATCGTGTAGTTCTGGGGGAGGTTGCACATGTTGGTGGCCACCAGTCCGTGGTATTTCCTGTTGCCCCATCTACTATCCTCAATTACACCCAGATTCGCCGCAAACGTTCTCGTATTCCCACATGGAGAATGGTATGCGCGACCTTTCCCTTATTCTCCAAACCTTCTCAATCGTATATCAGGTTTGGACGTCTGACACCAAATGATGTTTCTGCCCTTTTGGACTCGCTTTTGTCCAGCGATCAGCGTCCTTTGAACCTTCAAGACAAGCCTTTATTGCCTCAATTCTGGCGCGGAAGAATGGGCCTGCATAAAGAACAACAAATGAGCCTTGTCAAGTGAGCTATATCTATCCCTAGTATTCAATAGTGGCTTACAACGACCATGTACCAGCTCACAAACGTTGAAGTAGATAAAGCTTTATTACATCATTTTGCTCAACCCTTCTGCCCGTATGCCCCATCCTTTGCCTGGAAATCCTGGCGCGGGGCCTTCACTTCCGTCCCATCCTTCTGCCATCATTGCAATCGCCAACAATAACGAGCCAGAGCCCGGAAAATAAGGCGTTGGGACCCTGTAGCCGAACGTGAACTGACTCACCCCCGTGTCCAAATAACCATTTACCTCACTCCTCCGACCGGCATACCAACATCGTCAAACTCGAACAGCGGATGCAACAACCATTCTATCGCTTGCTCTTGTTGGCCAATACGTGCCGCTGACATGGCGAGCAATGGGAAATCCCAGCTGTTTGGAGTTTTGAGACAAATCTTGCGACAAAGGTGGCTCTTACCCCCATAAGTTGGAAATGTTCCACGCAGCCCATACCTTTTCGGTCGTCAACTTCGCAATTCCGAGGTCCAGACCCTGCGTCGGTGGTAGCCAACCATGAAGACCCACAAGGGCAGGATGGTCGTTGATGTATGTTGGGTCGCTCCAGAATTCGTCTTCAACATCTTCATATACCTTGTAGGTGTCATTTGTTATCGGCAACTTCGCCAACCCCTCCCGCACAGTCGACCAACTTCCGGGAACCTCTTCACCCAAACGCTGGATCCAGGCTTCAGCGAGAGTGAAACCGAACCGCCACTGTGCAAGCTCAAATGCGGGATTCAGCGTGTTGTTGAAAACATTGTCTTCGGCAACTTGATACATTGGCGGCCCCAGATCGTAAACTCCCGTGGACGTGTTGAACCAAGCGAAACTCGCCATCCAGTCGGCTGTATTACGAACGACGGCCTCCCATTTGCGTAAGGTTGTCGGAGTCGGAAAGGCACGATACTCATAGGTCGCGAAAAACAGTGGATGTGGCTGCTGCCAAATAAGCAGCTCATTGATTTGCCCTGGCGCCGAACGACCTAGGCGGCATTGAATTAACAGAACAACGATCCAGGAAAACGACGAACCTGAGGGGTCACTCATTTTACCCCATCTTGCGCCAGCTGGCCACCCTTGTTGAACCTGGGCACGCGCAATAGCGGTTGGAAGAAAACGGTCATAAACGCTGCTGGACTCTAGGAGTATATCCCAGTTGTTCCACAACGCCCAATGCTGCGCATGCCAGAAGAACATCTCCAAGTGGAATTTTCTGGTGCTTATTACTTTGGCTTGAAACTTGGAAGGGAAGCTGACGCACCCATACTAGATTTAAAAAAAAGCAAGCTACTAGGTCCATCACAAAGGGGGACATGAACTTACCCATCCGTTGTTCACCAATCCAGACTACAATATCTCAGCTACAGGGCGATATCGAGAAAATTAACTGGACCTCTTGGGGCGGATAATCACCTGCCTCGTTTACTCGCATTAGGTATCTCGACAAGATGATTCTGCGTTGCAACTCGTCCGCTCTTGGGTCGGTCGAACCTGTAACAACATCGACAAAGCCTGAGTTAGACCAAAAGGCTTCCCAAGCCTGCGTTGAGGAGGAGCTCATGTCCCCGACGGACGGAATCGATCGAGGTCGCTGCAAACCCCAGAGAGTAGAAAACGAGAAGCTTCCTGAGTGCGATGTGGGCCGAATGGTGTAGCGATGGTCTGAAGGTAAATTGCGCGAAATGTTGAAGTTGTCGCCGCCCAGTGATGTGATGAACTGCGAGGCTACAAGAGTGTGGTAAATTTCGGCGTGTACACTCTTTCGAGGCGCAATTTCGAGTGTTGTGGTGTGGATGGAGGCATTCGTCCACGTTCCGACGAACGGGTCGGAGAATTTTGATGACTTGCGTCCAGGTGAGTTTTTGTTTATCATGCGTGCAGAACACTCACTCCGTCATTCCAAGGAAAGTCAATGAACAAACCCAGACGGTTACTTCTCAACAACGGAGACTTGATAGTGATCCCGACACCATCCACTGTTTGGGCTGATACGGTCTGAATATTGATGGGAAAACCATCGAATACGAAACGACTTGTCATCGTCCCAGTCCACAGATCCAACTCTTGTTTGATCTCGGTCAGGTTGCTCTCTGCTAACTGCAATTCCTTCCCATCCTCGGAATAGAAAACGAGGCCGATTGCACCCAGGTTGACGCGGTTTGGATTAGAAATCATCCATTGGAGCATAGGTTGCGGTCCGTTGAACATGTAGGTGACATTGCGCCCATGGTTATCCAAGCTAACTCCAGAATAGTTGTAAATATCCTCACTTGTCATACCAGGAGGGAGCGAATCGTTTTTCCAGCCCCATGTAGACATGATTGCGAATCTTTGGAAAGTTTGAAGGCCGGTGACGTCTGCCCCAAACGCGAAATTCCCGTTACCCACTTGCATCGGGGTCGTTAGGCTGGAAGCATTGCGGGTCGGATTGTATCGCGTTACAATGGCGCGTCGGTTAATGCGAGCATCTTTAGCGGCGACGAACACGAGAAGAAGCAAGAAGTGGAGAAGCAACATGAGTCGGCCTGGCGGCATCCTTCGGGGGATACTTTTATAAGCGGGATTTCCCGGGCCGGCGAGCCCCGTGACCGCTACCATGACTAATGTGCCCCATCTCACCTACGATCATCTCGAATTGCACAGAGTGGAAATGTGGCTTTCGTCGAATAGAGGCGGGGGCGCGGTTATTCCGGGCGCCAGGAACGCCGAGGTATATATCAATCTAAATCAAGCCTCCAAGAGTTGAACAATCCAAACGGCAATACAACGGCAACCACAACGCCCTCAGAATCAATAGCATCGTACTGTCAGACTCTCGGCCTACACTCGGTTGAGTTTATGGCAGCCTTGACCCGCCACTTGCCTATAAAGCTGGCGCTCTGGCAATGTTTCAAGTTCGCGGCAGCTTTCCTCCTCTGACAATGCTGCTTCGACCTTTCAAGCGCATCGTCGTTTTAGCAACCTTCGCCTCTGCGGAAATTGCCGACAAGGTCTCGGACCTGCCGCATGACTTGGCCTACGATTTCATCGTCGTTGGAGGTCAGTGTGTATTTCAACTTAACTTTCTAAGCCATCATTGACCCATGTTATAATCTCAGGCGGAACAGCTGGAAATGTCGTGGCAAATCGTCTTTCAGAGAATCCTCACTTCAATGTGCTGGTTCTTGAGGCGGGAATCTCGTGCGTCTGATCAACGTTCCGCATTTGGCCCTACCATCCAGTCAGAAATCGTGGGATTTTCAACGATATGGTTCCTTTTGCGCCATTTGTTGCCGACATGCTGCAACCTCAATTTGAGTGGAGTGAGTTCATCTTCTCGTCAATCTGACATGAACTAAATCGGAATATAGACTATACTACGATACCTCAACCCGGCCTCAATGGACGAATACTCAGCTACCTGCAAGGTCGGTGAGAATTCAACTGGCAGATCTTGATTCTTACCCATCAAAGCTTGTATTCTTGGAGGAGGGAGCTCTCATAATGAGATGCTCTATACTCGGTATGCTCGCTCTTCGTGCTTATCACCTAAACGAAATTTCCACGCAGCGGATCGGCGGATGATTTTGACCGCTATGCGCGCCTTTCTGAGGATCCTGGTTGGTCATGGAACAAAATGCTGTCTTATTTCTTCAAGGTGAGTGTTCTTGTCCAAGTCATGATGGTATTTCAAGACATCATATGCCACCAGAACGAGAAATGGTCCCCGCCCGCAGATAACCACGATACTAGAGGACAATTCAACCCCGCCGTCCACAGCACGCAAGGAATCAACTCCGTCAGCTTAGGCGGCTTCCAATTCCCAGAGTATAACAGCCACATATTACAAACCACGAAAGAGTTGCCAGAGAAATACGGTTTCAATATCGATACCAACTCGGGTCATCCTCTCGGACTGGGGTGGCTCCAGTCTACAGTGGGAAATGGGATGAGGAGTAGCTCTGCGACGTCCTATCTGGCAGAGAAATTCACCCAACGTCCAAATCTCCATGTTCTTTTGCGTGCGCAAGTCTCTAGAGTCCTCACTACCGGCAGCAAGACAACCCATACGCCCTCCTTCACCGAGGTAGAGTTCCGACAGGGTACTTGTTCATTCTTCGTTCTAAAGGACCCTGATCATAAAATAATTAGGAACTACCTTATACCGAGCCAAAGCTCGAAAAGAAATCATTCTTTCCGGTGGAGGGGTCGGGACACCAAAGATTCTTCTGCATTCGGGCGTCGGGGACCCAAACCTTCTCTCGTCCCTCGGGATTCCCCTTGTCCACAATCTTCCGAGCGTCGGCAAGAATCTGACGGATCAGCCATTCCTCTCTATCGCCTTCGCTGTGACTTTGAACAACACCCTCGATGCCATCACGCAAAATGCAACATTGTTCAACGAAGCATTTGCCCAATGGAACCGGTCACACACTGGCCCATTCGTTGTACCGGCTCCGACACATATCTCATGGCATCGACTCGATGCGAATTCTTCCATCTTGAAGACACATCCAGACCCGTCTGCGGGCCCAAACACACCCCATATCGAAATATTACTTGCTGTAGGCGTTCAACTCCTCTCTAGATACTAGGCTAATCGACACGTTAGCCTGGTGGTGGAGGGCCCGGTAGCTCAGGAACTCAGGTCGGGCATTTCGTCACCACAAGTTTGTCGATGGTCACTCCTGCCAGTCGTTCGTTGTCGTGCCTTTCCCTCTCCGATAATATCTCTGATGATACTGCAGGTGGAAGTATTTCCATCAACAGCAGCGATCCGTTCTCTGCTCCTCTCATCGATACTGGCCTTCTTCAAGACGAATTCGATATTTTCACGGTGCGGGAGGCGATTAAGCGGGCGCAATTGTTTTTCACAGCGCCTAATTGGCGGAACGTGGTCATCGGGCCCACGCAGAACTTTGACAACATGACCACTGCTGAGATGGACACATTCATTAGAAATACGGCCATTCCGTCCTTGCATCTCGTGGGGAGCGCGTCTATGACGGCACGAGATGCACCTTATGGCGTCGTCAACCCCGATCTTCTGGTTAAAGGGGTCACCGGTCTCAGAATCGTAGACGCGTCGGTTATTGTAAGGATGGTTCACCACGTTTTGTCCCAAAGCTTACGTTGAATGCAGCCACGGATACCTAGTGCCCACACCCAAGCGGCAATATATGCATTTGCAGAGCGTGGCGCAGATCTAATAAAGCAACACTGGGCGTAGGGCTACCTTTTTTAAACTCATGTGATGGCGTCTGTCACATCACGAGTAATGTCACAGTTTTTCGTTCTTGCCCCAACAAGCTATGGCGGACGGGGTGTGTTTGCCTCTCAATCGATCCCAAAAGACACACTCGTTCACACGTGTCCTGCTCCTTATGCCTCTGTGATTTATCGCGAGTTTCGCAAGGAAGTCTGTGCGCAATGCTTCGATTACTCGTTCGATGCACGACGGAATGCGTGGAACATACGCCTCGATGGATTTTATTTCTGCAGTGATGGCTGTTTGGACGATTGGAAGAGAGAAAACCCTAGGGAGCTCATTGCAGATGTGGTGTCCGCCATCGATCGTCTGACCAAGAGCATGGTCAAGGGCAAAAGCAAGAGCAATCTCTCGGACTTTGCCACTCCCTCGCCTGGCCCCGAAGCTCTGGATACCATCTGGGGAAAAGCGGAGCAGTACCCAATACGAGGACACCCCGTCGTTTTTCTGGATGAACTCGAGCTTGAACACGCGCGCTTTGTTCTCTCTGGTTTGATTCGACGTCATGCTGACGAGTCCAGCAACTCATGGAGCGACATGCTCGAACTACAAGACAACGAGCTCCATTATATCCGGCAACGGCCCGGTGCGCTTTCGTCCCAAATCCGCGTTTATATCTTTATTCGGCTGGTTGTCCGGGAAATCCCGGTGCTGAGCCAATATGTCGAAACCTCCGACTCTGTCCGAGCCATCCTTTCACGCGATCCTGGTAACGTCTTTGGAATCTACGAAACCAATCAAACTGGAGACAGCGAAATGTTTGGCTGGTGCATGTATGTCTCGGCCTCTTTTTTCAACCACGGTTTCGTCCTTCCATTCAATTCATCGCATCGTTCAACACTCATTTCCCTCTAGACTGCAATCCAAACATCCGAAAGCGTAGATCGGGGCGCGCCATGTGCTTTTACACTACGAGGGACGTTTCACCAGCAGAAGAACTTTGCACCAACTACATCAGCCTGGAGGATTCGGTCACCGAGCGCCGCCAACAGCTTTCGTCCAACTGGTACTTCGATTGTGGCTGTCAACGTTGTAAAGACGAATTGTCGGAGACAGGTTGAATGGGCCAAAAGCAGTTACAGTTTTGCTATCTGGTCTGTGTCGATTTGATACGAAAGCGGCTTTTCTGAGTTTACTTGTGAGTTTGCGAAATTTGATTGGTTAGCCAACCTTGAGCGATGCTGTACACAAAGTCGGCCATTCTTTGTGCGGTTAGCTTTTTTTTCACACCCATATGTATCATACTCACAAACGGTGATGCGGATGCGGGATATACGCTCTGACAACTTTTCGTTCAAGATGCTATAAACTGGAACTTGGCGAACCTGAATGCTTGCATGTTTTCGAAGTCGACTATCAACGCAACTTGATAGCCTCGAGTTCCCTTTCTGTCCATAGGTGGCCCCGATGTGAAGCTCTTGACACCTGGAACGAGGAGAGCACCCTGCATAAGGCGGTGGATTGTCTTGTATGCCTCCTCCATCTGCTCTGTTGTCATTCCAATGCGGAACTTTGCTAGCGCTTCGAAAACTAATGAGGCAAGGACTTTTGGACGGGACTGCATACTCAGATGTTGGATCGTCATAGCCAGAGTGAAACAAGTAAAAAAGCCTCAAAAAAGTCAAAATTTAGTGAGCAGCCTCCTTGTGCGAATACTTAAATCTTGACACCTGTCGGACGAGAAGAGCACACCAGCCGAAAAGAAGGACTCGTAAGATGGCAGATTCACACGCGACACGGTCAGCTGTGAGTGTAGAACCGCATAATATCCGATAAGGGAATGAGGAAAAAGTCGTTATCATGAAGTCAGATTCAATATATTCGATTGTGAACCGAGAAGCAGGCAGTAAATAAGAGCCGGCACTTGACTGTGAACCAGAGTTGAGAACGATCGTTGGTATTCAATCAAGACCAACGCACTTCTCGAGGCTATTCACCAAGTCGGCGGATCGTCTGCTTGAGGAGGAGGAGTACGCGCAGTCTGTGGCAGACGATAAGCAAAGAAACTGGTGAGGAGTAATAAGAGAACAAACCCAACGGTTGGCACGAGCCTCAGCACGCTTCATGTCGGTGTCGCGTTTCCAGGTGGGTGCACCCTGGAAATAAGTCAATGAGCTAGGCCTAGAGATTGGGACACATGAAGTTACATCTTCAGGCAGTCTATCACGCTTCCATGTCGGCGGGTCGTCATGAGGCCCTTCGTGGGCAGAGGCAAAGAGGGCAGTCGCAAGAACCACCAACAGAGTGGGGAATCGCATCTTGGTGGGGGGGAATAATGTTTCCCAGACATTATTAGGCGGCTTTTATAAGCTGGCAAATGACACGTCAGGAACCGGAGGATAATCCCGACAAGCAAAGCACTTGATCAGAATGCGCGACCATCCTTCTTCTTCACCTCGCCGTGCCAGGTCTGATCATTTCCTGACAATAGAGTCAATTATACTGAAGACTTTCGACTGTACACAGTCTTAACACACTCGCTTGTGGAGGGCATTGGAATAATGGAATCGGACAGAATTTTACGAAATCATGAGCACCGGACCAAAAGTTGATGCGATAGACGCATCGTTGATGGCCCAGGATCGTCATAGCGAAACGTTCGTTCAGGGCAAGCTTGGGTGGCTCTTGGGTGTTGCTTGGGATAGCTAGCTGGCGCCAATTTAGCTTGGCCTAAACACCACTTAGGTACGATGTCTCCCTCGTCATTGAATGAGCACGCGCAAAACAGAGCAAGAGAATGGAGCGGCGAAACTCACCGTGCCCATATGCATCAGCTGGGATGTACCGTTAACGTTGCTGATAAGATAATCCAACATATGCCCTCGAAAACATATCACGCGCTGGCCGTACCTGAAACGAAGCAGTAACACACACACAGTCAAGGCTGAAAGGGTTTAAAGGCTCTGACTCAGAAAGAGCCACAAAGGACAGTTTTCCACGTTTTCGCCACGCTTAGAATGCCTTGAAAGTGGAGTGAAGCCAGACGGCCCTTTGAACTTGCTTCATCCCTCCATATGGCCCAGTTTCCCATACTCTCTGCTACATACCTCGCCCAGGTGGATCGCAACAAGTCGGACACCAAGAAAAAGAGCCATCGCACAAGAACACGAAACTCGAATGCCGAGCCGAGAAATGACGAGCGCTTTACTGCGAATCAACACGGGGAAAGAATGTCTGGTTGTCGAGATGTTCTGGTCGAAGGTGGACTCGAAGATGTGAGAGTTCCACGTGACCCTCTTAGGTCCATCTGATGTCGAGCTCAAGAGTCGGACCACTTTTACTTCTCTCCCACAGAGCGACCTGCCTCCGCCCACAATGGCCCCCAAAACGCACACGTGGATAACCGCTTGGTTCCTACTAACTGCCCCGGTCTGTCATATCCCATGGCCATCACGGACCAGCTTGACGCGTTTTTCATTCAGATTATCGCTTGGGATGTGGGGTATTGCTTTTTTACGGTGAGTGCGGTGATCCGACTCTCTTTTGCGACTTTCACTCAAATGGGACTGCAGACCTCGGTCTATGGAGGTAAGCACCCCCACACCAATTTGACGGGCGTTGAAAGCGGACAGGGCGGAGACCTGCATTGGATTTGGAAACCGTATAGCATCTACCAGCGTGTAGACCTCGTATACGGCGTCGAGGCTTTGGAAAGAGGCGATGGCTTTACCAATGCTCAATGTGGGTTATCTTCAAGCGTTCATTCTGCCAAATTAACCGCGACTATAGCTCTACTCAACGTCATCGAGACTTTGTTGAATGTTTTGTACGTCTACCTCGCTCATGTTAAAGCATGGCCACCAGCATCCCTCGTTGGCCTATCCGCAGCAACCATGACGTTGTCTAAAACGGTCCTCTACTGGGTGCAAGAGTACTTCTGCAACTACTGTGCAGTTGGCCACAACACGATGTACGATGCCATTGTTTATTGGATTATTCCAAACGGGTGGGTTTCCTCTCAAATCTGAGTCTTCTCGTTGTGACCTTTCACAGATTTTGGATTGTCGTGCCTATCTTTATTGTCAATCGTCTCAGCAGGGATCTTGCTGCTGAGCTCAACTTTGCGGCCAAGGCTGCTGCGAAATCCAAGTCCAAGTAGGACTTGAGTCTATTTGTGCATTGCGTTATCTTTAGGTCATATCTACGCGTTGATACCATCCATTCACATTTTTAAAACCGTTGTCGCGTCGAGGTTATAATCTGAACGGTCACATGACCTTGAGCTTGCCGCGAATGTATTGCTTTGCTGGCGCCCTCCCTTTGCTCTGCAAACGATGACTCTGAAGACCCATATGTGGGTGAGCCTCTGGTTCGTGCTGACCACGCCGATTATTCTTCTGGACGTCAGCTACTGTTTCTTACGGCAAGGCCGCGTCAATTCCATTTTTAGACCCACTAACGATATCCTAGACCGAGGTCAATGGAGGTAGGCATGACGCGCGACAGACTGACAGGCAGCTTAAATGTCTAGGGCGGCGATCTCGCCTGGTTCTTCCTCCCTTACCAATCGTACCAACACATTGACCGCCTCTATGGCAAACCGTGGTTCGACCGCGGAGACGGATTCCCCAACGCCCAGTGTAAGTCTAATATGCCAGCCTGTCAATGGTACGCACTGCTGAAAGCACATCAGCTCTTCTGAACATATTTGAAACGACTTTGAACCTCCTCTATGTTTATGCTGCACATATTGCTGCATGGCCTCCCGCGCCTCTCCTCGGTGTGGCGAGCGCAACGATGACGCTGTCGAAAACGCTGCTCTATTGGGCCCAGGAGTATTTTTGCGACTGGTGCGCTGTGGGACACAACAGTGTTTCTGACATCATTATGTACTGGGTTTCAACCAATGTGTGAGTAAGGTCGGTTCAGTTGCTGTCGCGAGAGAACTGAAAGCTTCCCAGATGGTGGGTCATTGTGCCGGCTCTGATCATCTGGAATTTGGGCAAAGACATTGCAGCGGATCTCCATTTCGCGGCCAAGCTCGTCGCCAACCAAGCAAAGATGAAGTAGATAGTAGATGTAGGTGTGTGTTAGTCATCAATCACCCTCCCGTTTCCGTCCGCCCACCATGGCTCGCAAATTCTTCGTCGGCGGCAACTTCAAAATGAATCCCAACACGGTGGCTGAGAAGAAGAAGCTCGTCGAGCTGCTTAATCAGGCCGATATCGATTCGTCCGTTGGCAAGTTGTCGCCGTGCAAAGCCTCATCGAGGCTGATCTTGACCTAGAGGTCGTTGTGGCCCCTCCGTCACTCTACCTTCTGCCTCTGAAAGACATCCTGCGACCAGAAATCCAGGTTGCTGCCCAGAACTGCTACTTCAAGGACTCTGGTGCGTTTACGGGCGAGATTAGGTGGGCGGTTTATCGTCATCCAGCCAAGTGATGTTTAATCTTGCAGCCCTGCTCAACTCAAGGATGCCGCCATTCCGTATGTTATCCTTGGTGCGTAAAACTGTCTCTCTCTTTTGTGTATGTCCCGACTTAACCTCCAAAGGTCATTCTGAACGAAGAACTCTGTTCCACGAGTCTTCTGCAACCGTCGCGCAAAAAACGAAAGCCGCAATTGCCTCCTCCCTCTCGGTCATCCTCTGTATCGGAGAAACCCTTCAAGAGCGCGAAACTGACCAGACCACGCAAGTTTGTTCAGCACAACTCCAAGCTGTAGTCGACGAAATTTCCCCGGACGATTGGAGGTTTCTGTTCATCTCCGCCGCACTATCGCCGAACTTATCGTTCATAGCAAAATCGTCATTGCGTACGAGCCTGTCTGGGCTATCGGAACCGGCAAAGTCGCGACCTCGAAACAGGCCCAGGACACCCATGCGGACATACGCGCTTTCCTCGCCAAGGCAGTTTCTCCAGCCGTCGCAGAGTCGATTCGCATCATCTATGGTGGAAGCGTAAATAAGGGCAACTGTGGGGAGCTCGGTATGTTCCTCTCTGTAGTGTGGTACTTTTTGATGGGCTAATAATGTTCACCAAGGTGTCCAGCCGGATGTCGATGGCTTCTTAGTTGGAGGGGCGTCACTCAAACCCGAGTTTGTTGACATTATCAATGCCACCCGCAAGTAGAAAAGAGACAGCTTATTAGATGTAAAATTCAAATGTACGACGAAGGAAAATGCAACACTCGAGTGGTTATACTGGCCGTTCAAGTAGCAGAACACTATCAGAGGTGTATTGGTCCATATAAACGACATGCCGCCCCCACCCACTGGTATTGGAAAATTTTCGACTGCCAATGGATCAGTCTTTCAAGCACGGATTATTGGAAAATAAGCTTACAGGCCACCGCCTTCCACAAGAGTCAAGCCTGGACCGGGCGCAATCAAATGAGCCAAAACTCCATAGGATGATTCCCCCAACATCAACACATCGTTGGCTGCAAGCTTCTGGAGATCGCCCAAGACATCCGTCGAATCCAACAATGTATATGAACCAGCTTCTTCACCTAGCCAGTCTAAGACGCGTGAATCTGCTCTTTCCATGGCAATGGTCAAATGGACGCCATGTTCCGGAAAATGAGTGCGAAGGTCCGAAATCACTTTTGAGATGTGGTTGAGAGACATAGAGCCGTAGAAGGTATGTGTAGCGGGATCAAAGTCGGTTTTTGTCGGGGAGACTGCAGTGTCACCCCACCGAATATGAATGCCGACTGTTACCGGGCGGCTGCTTGTCGTTAATGATGGAGGGGGAGCATCGATATTGGGTGTGAGCCTGTCCCGGACCCAAGGCATGATACAGCCGTTCATGTCTTGGATGAGCTCCAGATATTGTCAGCGTAGAGTTCAAGTCGGGAAATGTGTCTGCACACCTCGTCATTCTCCAAATCTAGAATGCTAGAGCAATCCGCCAAGGACCTTTTGAGACCATCCATCTTCTGTGTTGCCCAGTCTTCTCCATTGCAGAGAGCGCGCACAAGCGGCTCCCGTTCTCCGTGTGGTAGATGGTCTTGGACTCGGCACGCCTTGGTCAAGTCCACTCCGGTTAGTTGATGGGGAGGAATGCGAGCATTGTAGATTTCCGAGGTTGAATACACGTTCGTGTCGTCGATTACCTCGTTCCAAGACAAGATAAGGGTGCTGTTCAGCGCCGAAGATAGTACGATGCTATGCTTGAAGTGCTGCAGGATGGACTGAACACACAAAAGGTCAATGGACAGGCAGGCAAGCAAGCAAGCAATCATCCACTCACTCCGAATCCTTCTGTGCCCAATGAAGCAGCGCGAATATACGCACGTGTTCGTACTTGCTGTAGTGGTGGTTCAATGTCAACGACCGGGGCCTTGCTGTTCTTCACACCGCCAAATGGCGCAGATAAGATATCGGTGTTTCGTTCCAGTGCGACCAATACGACAGCGGCAATTCCGAGGCCAGCAGCGGCCCAAACAATAGCAGATTTCGGTCTGCGTCGACCAAGAGGTTTGTCGGGGGAGAGAAGACCATACGACATTGAAGGCAGCGGCGGATACCAGATGACGCTCGCAAAGCGCCCTTCGCGTGGGTAGAGCGGGACTGCTTTCTCAGATGTTGATCCCCTCTACTCGAAAATAGCACAAGCTGCATTTTAGATAAGTTGGGCCTCGTTTGCGCCGGCACTCGGAGAACGCAGCCAGGGTCCAAGCTGCCAGACATAAGTGGGCCATAAGTAAAAGTTTTCTTCAAGATGTGAATTGATGTGACCCGCCCGTTTTGTGACGCCAAACTACAGCAAACTAGCTGCCCCACTGGCAGTTCCATTGTGTACATAGACGAGGCACATCAGTCAGGAGTATACATGGGCCAGCCGGCATTATCGAGTGACTAGGAAGCTCGCTATCCAGATGTCGAACCGGCTCCGGCGCTACACTGTTACCTGATAAACCCTCCTCATACGACTCACCAACCTGTTGTTGATCTTGCTCCAGTCTAGACAAAGACTGACCAAATGTCACGACAATCAATGGCCCTTCCGATGTCCACCAGTGAAGAAGGACGACCTTCAAGGGTGAGAGGTTCCAGACGTTGACGCTGAAGACGCATTCCCGCTCAAATTCGTTGTGTAAGACGCTCTGGTGTATGGATCGTATTCGAATCCCATGTTCTTTAGCGATGGGCCTGGACCTGTTACATTTACATAAACAAAGCCCTGGGCCTTAGCCCGTAGGAGTAGCAAACGTCGAGTGCAGTTCGTTGTTGGCGGGAAGAGCCGGATGACGATGCCAAAGTAGCTCAAACTTGTGCCTTGAGAGATTCCAGGGCTACAAGGAAGAGCAATTCAACGCGTGAAGTTCAAGTTGAGGTCACCGTGACTCCCTCACGTGACGATAACTGCCTCCTCTCGACTTCGATGTCACTAGCCACTGAATCCCATTTCCTTGCTACGATACGTACTATCGACCCACATATCGATAATTCAGTCGTAGAAAACATGGCTGCCAATCTTCAAACCCGATATTCAGAACCACAACGCGCTTACCACACCATCGAACATGTTAGCTTTATGTTGAGCGCACTCAAAACCGAGTCGACTCCTCCACGCGGGATCATCGAGCTTGCAATTTGGTTTCACGACTGTGTGTACAGTCCCATCAAAGGAAGTCCTTGGAATGAGCACGAAAGTATCCACGTTTGGGAGGAATTCGTAGCTGAAACCAAATCCGATGAAATGGTTCGCAATGCCCCCGCCGTTTCTGACTCTGAAAAATTTCCAGATCAAGCTTAGAGCGGCTGTTACCTCCCTCATCGAAGCAACAATAGACCACGCTATTCCCTCCTCATTACCGTCTCCGCTCGAAACTGCAGACGTTGCTCTATTACTTGACTTGGACATGAGCATCCTGGGACAACCTCCCAGTGATTATGACCGATACGCACAAGGAGTTAGAACTGAGTATGCGCATTATCCTGACGAAGAATATCGTGTGGGACGAACCAAGGTCCTTCAGACATTTCTTGCGCGTGGAAAAATCTTCATTGGGGACGGGAAGGAGGAGCTGGAAACAAGAGCCAGGATGAATATTCAGAGTGAGATCAACAGACTGAAAGTATAAGTAGTGCCGCTTTCAATGTAATGTTCTAAGTTTGGAGATGTGATTTGAAGAATTCAGCTACGACAAAAGATGAGCGTCAGTTAGTCATAAACGAGCCACGGTCTCACCAAGTGAAAGCGCAGATCGCTTGTAAGTTCTCTCCAGTGTCGTATAATTGACATGCTGGATGCCGAATTTCGCACTGGTCCCGCTGCCCCATTCCGCATTATCGATCATGGCTGTCACGGGTATGAATCAGGACACGGAAGGGAACTAGCCAACTTGCTAACCCCAAGCAAATGCACCAGCAATGGGCACTTCATCTTCGTGGATAGAGAGAAGGATCTGACCAAGGTAGGTCATGAAATAATCCGTTCGTGCTACGTCTTCCTGCATAATTATAAGGCAAGACGCAATGTGCAACGACGTCAGACACATACTGTGATGCGGAACATTTCTGTCCTCAGCTCTTCAAACGGTTCGACGAATCCAAATTCGGAAATGTACTGATTGAGTTGTCAGAACGGTCTGGAAGGAGTTGGAGTATCGTATCTGCCGACCATTTTCTTTGTTGGCCATCGCTCTTGTAGCCCTTTCAAAAATGATCTGAGCGTGTTTGGCGTTGCCTGGAGCCAAGAGCTGAGAGGATCGGGTGATATACCGGCCGCCCAGCCGGCATTCGAGTCGAATAACACGACCGAATGACATTCAGGCCATAAGGGATGTGTTGTGTTGTGAATGCAACCAGCTATTCCGCCGTCATCTAGCGGGGCAGAGACAAACTGCTCTCGATAGGAGTCAATTGCAAAAAAGTCGGCGGAACCTATAATCTGTTGAAGAAAAGTGTTGGGTTGATGAGGAATACGAACCAAGATTATCCTTCTTCTCTTGTTCGGTGAAGCGTGGAAGGTACTCAGGCGGTAACGTGTCAGTCATAATTTTTGGCCAGTCGCCCGTGGTATAAAGTGGGTCAGCAAACGCGCCGATGCGGAAGGCCGCGTGACGCTCAACGGCCAGTGAGTCGTCTGTCGAATTGGAGCGCCATGGGATACCACTAAGAACACGCGTGTCAGCAGATGAATCAGTCAACAAAATCAACTGCGAACATGAAATCATCACTCTTCAAGGCGATTTCACCTTGGATCTTCATTTCCCGGAAGGCTGGTGGTAAGTCTGAGTTTCGAAACCGATTGATATAGAGGATCGAGATACCTTTGACAGCACCAGCATGGGCTTTAACTATAAGATGTGTTGGTATGGCCACAGTTCCTCCCTGAGTTCATCTCGACTTACGAAGGTTGTAAGAACATCGGTATGGTGCTGTTGATGCGTTGACACCCGGAGCGAGCGATATGTCTGAACCATGATGAGTGCTTCAGTGGTCAACTTTCCTTAGACTCACTGAAGGGATAGCCACCGACTTGGGAGCAGAAAACTCGAGGTTCATTGAAGGTATACCTGGAAACACGACATTAATGCTTACTGTGAACGACCGCAAACACACTGACCAGGTTTTGACACGTCCATTGTATGCTGCGAATACTGTTTTAGCATAACTGTTGGGAGTAAGCCAGCTGTGAATCTAATGATAAATGGCACTTGACTGGATAAAGTCATCCACAACTTTCGGTGAAGTAAACCCTCCATAGTAAACAGCCAACGCGAGAGGCGTGTCCCAATGGACTGTCTCCAACGTTAAAGACACAAACCAGCCAGGACTGTGTCCTTACAAAGTGTAGCCACAGGCTCAACACCATGAGCAATATGGTAATCGATCACTGCGAAGGTATTATGCGTGCCCAAACACGATGTGAACAAATTTACGGTCACTGTAATGTTCGATCCCTGCCTTGTTTATGGGCGAATCCTTGGTAGCAAAAGGGAGGATGCGAGCCCACGAAATGCTGCCTCGGGTAAGTGGACATTGTGTGTTGAGTCAGGTGATGCATACGAGAATGAATGGGCGTTAACCCCAAGTGCAGCAACTCTAAGCACATCCTATTCAATGTTTGTGAGGGACAAGGAACGGGGGACAAAGCCGCCAACCTCTTTGTACAGAAAGTACTGTAGATCCACGACATCTCCTGTGATCATGTTAATGATTGGATTGGGGGAAGGTTCCTTGTCGACATATACCCGTAGTATTATCGCCAACGGCACCGGGCTGGCGACTATTCCAGTCCCAGATAGTAGGTCCCTTTCCCTCGTCCTTCACTGCGCCTTCCACCTGATATGCGGCGGTTGCTACGCCAAACTTGAACCCGGGAGGAAACTTGAGGCCCGGGAGGACATCCTTTGGCGCTGGGGCGTAGAACGAAGGATATAACGGTGGTGGCGGTGATGGTAGTGAAACATGTGTGCTCGTAGGAGTAACAGTCGTTGTGAATGGTGGGGCTTCGACGGGTCCGACCTGAGCGACATTAGAGTGCTGTAATGTGCATGCGACGATGCATACCAGATTCCACAAGGCCTCGAGGCCAGCAGGCGAGAAATCTCGAGGTACCGACCCTACGGGAGGGAACGTGGATGTAGGTTTGAGCTCTGTTGTTGTTGTGGCGCCAAATGCCAGTCCGAAGAGTGCGAAGAGCAAGAAAGTAGCCATGAATGCATGGCTACGTACTAGCGGGCCTGTTTTATAGTCCGCGGCCCGACGAGAAGTCCGCCAATGGTGCGCATGACGGGTCGTGGAGGAAGAGAAGACATTTGAAGCTCACGTGTTCTTCAATTCTGTGCAAGACCGACCACCGTGAACATAGAGCTTGGAATTCACTAACTCGGTTGCAATAGCTTCTCGACCAATTGCTTCACCCCGCCTTCCTCCCAGTCATCCCAACAAACGCTGAGGAGAACTGTATCTCGACTAACATTATTTGGGAGGGGGTCTTCGTCGCGCAATGTTTTCCCGTTGCTACTCCCTTCTTTTCCGCCCGGGAGAGTTCTTTCCCAGCGCAAAAGGCCCTCGCGTCTGAAGCCCATTCTCTCTGCAACGCGAATACTACGCCCATTCCCTGAATTTGCTTGCCAGACAGCCCGACGCAACCCCAGCCCGCCTTCCTCCGGTAATCCCAGGACAAACTTCAACAAAAGTGCACCAGCACAACGAGTTATATGGGTGCCTTGAAACTTCGGGAGGATGATGACAAACCCGAGTTCAGTCGACAGGTTGGTAGGAGAGGTGCGCAACAGTCCAATAATCCCTCTCAATTCACGCGATGGCTTATCCAAGACCGCAAACAGGACTGCGCCATGGTCTGGTTGAATACGACCTTCGATGAGGGTCTTCACAAAATCCGAAGTGGAAGAGAAGGGGCCCCAAGGGAGATATGCATAAAGTTCGGGGTGGGCTGCTGTTGCCGCAAAGAATGATTCAGCGTGTCGGTCTGGCTGCGATGACATGAGGAGACGGAGACTTGGAACAGTCTATCTACTTACGACGAATGGTTGCAATTCGACATCGTTGCATTCAATCTTGGCTGGGATGGCAAAACAAAAGTTTGGGTTGTACATGGTGGTTCGAGTCAAAGTGACTCGTTCTATGCCTTTTCGCAACCAGCATCGGCCGGGTCCCAGATGGACATCAGCCTCACCAATTCTGGTACTACCACTGGTTGTTCACACTCGCGCAGCACATCCTCGAGTACCTTTTCTGCTTCGAACAGCTTTACTTGCTCCTCCTTGACTTGCTCTTCGAGGTCATGTACTCCTTCGATAAGTTCCAGCTCTGAAAGGTGTCAGCACAGCACTGGCAGTGGATCAAATCGCACCTGACACCAGTCCCAGCTCTTTTCCTCCAAGATTAGCTATCTCTTGTTCAATACGCCGGCCCCGAACAGCTGCATTGGCAAGCGCTTCACGATTTGCCCGATACTCCTGAACCAACTGCATCACAGCTGTCGATTCAGACGGCCCTTCAACTCCAACTGGCTCGCACTTCAGCGGCGGAGGACTTGTAGCTGGGTCTTGGCCATTGATTTTCTTCACGGAAAAGTGCACTCTGCATAAACTTCGAGCTCGTTCCAGCGTTGGAGCGTATAGGTCTACTCACATACTACATCTCTCTTTCACCGACTCAATTTCAGATGTGGTTTTGAGGTGAAACCCCATGTCCCAACTGAAAATGCGCATAATAGAGGACAGTGTGGCGGCGTCCTACGTCTCGTCAAACTCGAACGATAACGGCTATTCACTCACTGGCTTCCAAGTGCATTCGACGCGATTGTCGTTCTCCAGAAAGTAGCTTGACCATGGGCTTGGCGGAGGCAGTCCCAAAAGCGAGAGGTCCATTGACAAGGCACGCTCGATATGTTCCATCTCCATCGTACTCATTTGCTCGGCCTTTAAGCCGCCATACGAGATTGAAACAGCGAGAAACATGAGAGGTGGACTGGAAAGAAATTACGCCATATTCACGTGATCGCGTCATTACGTCTCTCAATCTCGGGCCGTGTATCCGTGGGGTTGGCTGTGACTCTACCTCCTTCTTCGTAATGCTGAGATTCATTCAACTCGATGTCTTCACGTCCACGCCATTCATTGGCAATCCCCTAGCAATTGTACTGGTCCCAGCTAAATCCTCGCTTTCCCAGGAGCAAAAACAGCTCATCGCACGCGAATTCAATCTCTCTGAGACCGTATTTCTGCACGAACTGGAGGAAAACACGACTGAAAGCACGTTTACGATCGACATATTCACCACGACGGAGGAATTGCCATTTGCCGGACACCCTACCGTGGGCTCGGGGTTTTATTTGCTGTCGCGCTGGCCACATCTGGAGCAAATAACGTTGCATACTCGAGCTGGCGATATTCCTGTCGTTCGTGCCCCGGGAGGCGGAGTTCGCCTGAATGCCCCGATTGATTTCAAAGTCCATCCACGACTTTCCATCTCTTCTGTGAAGGAACTACAGCCACGCTTATGCGACAGTGACTATCTAAATGGCATGTCGGGCTCTGAAGGGTGTGCGTCAGTCGTGAAGGGCATGACTTTTCTATTGCTTGCACTGTCCTCCGAAGAAGCACTTGCTCAACTCCAGCCTTACCCGACACGCCTCGAGATTCCGGCTGCTGAAAGGACAAGTTTGGGTGAATGGGGCGTTGGCTTCGCCGGGATATATGCATTCTACGAGGTCCCGAGCAATGATGGATTGATCTCAATCCGGACGCGGATGTTCGATGGCCCGCTGGAAGATCCAGCGACAGGCTCCGCTGCTTGTACTCTGGCAGGTTGGCTTGCTTCACAAAAAGGACCAGGGTTACATGAGTTCAAAATTATCCAAGGCGTCGAAATGGGGCGGCGGAGTGACATCACAGTGGCGGTAGATGTCGACGACATGCAACGGATCAAGTCAATCGCATTGGAAGGAGAGGCAGTCGAGGTCATGGAGGGTGCGGTGCATGTTTGACAGGTTCGATGGGCGGTCTTTCTATCCAATTACATTCAAGTTAAGTAAGCGAAACGAAACTCGTAAACATAGTCTATGTCGAAGAGAGGCATACTCATCTGTCAGTTGCAGTGAGTTAAGCGCGTCAAAAATGTGCATGGATTACACTCACTGCCAGTCAACGCATCCACGCTGCAGTTGATCCAAGGAGTCATCGGAGGTTGTCCTTCTGCGACTCTGGAACTGCAGGGCCCGAAACGAATCGCAGACGCGTAAAGCGTCGTTGTGACGTGTAAAAAACGCATAGCCATGTTCTGTCTAGGGCGAGAATGATCTGACGGAAGAGAGTGGTGATTGCTGAAGGAGCTGTTCAGTAGCCCATCTCTGCCACAGATAGAGAAGGTCGCCAGAAATATCCGGAATTCTCTGGGAGTCGATGAGCGTTTCGGGTGGTTAAAACAGTGACAGTCGAACCTGAAGCCAGGAAATAACAATCTCAATCTCGGGGAGTACGCGCGAGTAGACGAATCGAGGATTGCTGAGTTGCTCAAGCAAAGCTACTGTTGGAATGGCGTTGTCCAGATGTTTTGTCCATCTGCGGCGCGTATATTGATATAATGCTCTTGGAGACCCAGATTGGTTAATGGTCTTGACTCTGAGGGAAATCACACACAAATTAATTCCTTCCAAGCCATCGAGGTGTTGGTCGATATAGCGTATGCATCCGCTGGCCAACTCAGCATGGTGTACTCCGAGATCGACCCAGAAATGACCCGCTCTGTTGAGGTCGGTCAAAAATTCGATGGTTGCAGCCTGCATAATGCGGGCACTGCGAGTGAGCGTTTGGGGTTGTGGGAGGTCGACAAGTGAACGCACGTTTCCAAGAACTTCAGATATCTCGCCAGGACTGATGCCAAGTAAGAGGGCGAGGTCATTCGGCGGAAGTGCAGCATAAAGGCACGCCAAAGGACCAAGCACATGCAAAACGGAGGAAGGATCCCCGACCAGACCGACACCGTTGGAAAGAATATGATGATATAGATGGTCTGTGGGTGAAAGATTGCTCTGACCTGCTGCGGCAACGACAACCTCCACAAGCCGTTCTGCAGGATTACCTCGAGGATCGTTGACGTATTTTACCACCGTCGAGGGGTAGAGAAACTGGCCACCAGATTTGTTGACCAATAACTCCACCACATCCGTAGACGGCCACGGCTCTGGAATTGTCGTCATCACCGGTGCATGGTAATGTCGAATAGAGGCAAATTCGCTACGAAGAAACGTGCGGACTTCTTCGTCTGAGGTAAACACGTCGAGTGGAATTGTCGTCGAGACTTTGCGAACCATGGTGCTGTCGAAAGCAGTTTGTATGGTCGTACTGACTCGGCTCGTGATAAAAAAGAACAGCGGTAGCTTGTGGACAACAACAAGTTGGGCGATTATGGCAAGAATACGTTGCTGCATATCATCGCCTTCACATGCATCAAGGCCATCGATGAGAACTAGCGTCGGGACGGGAGGGTGGTGGGTCGTTTGGAAGGGTTCAATTATTAGCTTCTCGGCTTGGACCTCGGGGGAATCGCTGAGAATTGTCGTGTCGTACTGGATGGCCCGAGATATGGGAATACGAAGGGCGGGAATAGCGTGGGCGAGTTTGTACGCCAACGTGAGGAATAATTTGCGACCATCACTGAGATCGCCTTTGTTGTACGAGAAGAAGAACGACGCGCCGAGTTGGCCAGTATGGGCACAATATTCAGCGACTGTTTGTGATATCGCGGTCTTTCCGGAGCCGCCTTCTCCATGAACCCACATGACACGCGGACCGCGTTGTGCATTCTTAGTCCAGGCTAAGATAATTTCAAACACGACTTTTCGCGTCTGGGGATGGCAACGCGGTGAAGGCTGGCGTTCCACCGAGTCATGAGCGGCGCCAATAACAATGGCACTATGAAGCAAGAAGAGGCCTAGCATTTTTTGTGAGCCTCCTTCATGACATATATCCTTTGAAAACTTGCCGTCGAATCCGTTATATTGCATAGGGGTAATTGGCAGGACTTGTTCGTCTGTTAGTGGGCTTCGAGTAAGAGGGGAGTGGTGGGCACTCATGATTGCTTCAAACAAGTCATGTTCAGAAGAATTTGTAGGAGTGGAAATGGCGGCTGATGTGAGTCGGTGGATGCAAGCAACCGTGCACTTTGGAGGCTGGGTGTGGCGATCAATCTAGTGACTAATTTGGACATGGACGTCGAGGAATCGGTGACGAAATGCAGGCGACTGAAGACTGATAGAGTCAGTGGGCGCTGTTGCGACGAGCTGCTATTGGACGTCGGGTTTCGTAAGCGCTCGCGAAACAAAAGTGTGATCCTGGCGCAGGCGCCGCAGGGAGAGTGATAAACAGCAGCGCGAGAATGTTGCTCATCGAGGCGTGACCAAAAGAGCGTAGGCAGGCACGTGCATCAAAACAGGCAGATCGTTATCAAACTTTGTCTCTGTCTCCACCAACTTGTGGAATAAAACAAGACTAGTATCGGCTCTTTGAGCACTGCGAAATTATCAACCGCCACTTGTTCTTCATTTCCGTACTGTGTTCTTTTTGCGGCTGTAGACCTCAATTCCTCAAACAAACTCCGACAACATCGATGTAGCTCCCGGCTAAAAAATGCAATTGGACTTCTGAAGGTTCTCGAATCATTGAATACAGCGACAAAGCCCGTTAATTCCGAAGTTATCGGTATCCTTTCTCTCACCACAATCGAAGGACCTAAACGGTTGAAGAATTCGAGGGCTGGAGTTTCCGAAGATAGACGCACATTGAATCGACGGCGCCTTTTCCTCTTAACTTCGCTCTGTACCTGGCTGTCAAAACTGCAAAACATCCGTGCAGATGACAATTCTTTAATTCATCACTCGCCTAATTCGCCCACAACATGGAACTTGCTGTCAAAATTCTCTAAGTACTGCCTTCAGAATCCAAGCGCGCATGCTTTGAGATGGGCCGATTGGCCTACTGTGCCGTGGTACCTTATCATCAACAACAAGTGAAGTGCTCTTTGCGTGGCTCTGGACCTCCATTCCTAGAAGCATTCAACACATTTTAATTGCCAGGCATCGACCATTTGATACCCTCTGTATCTCCTGAGCCATCCATTTAAGTATATCTCACTTGTATATCTTGTGGTAGAGCGTCGTGAGTCCATTTGAAGAGGCTTGAAGCGTGTGTTGATTGTGAATATTTGATAAGATAAGATAAGACTGTCACAGACACGTGCATCGTGACTCTTCTTTCCAACGCGACGATGGCCAAACATCCAGGTTATGAACCTCTCACACAGGAATTATCTTCCCTTCTCACAGGCTCTCCCCCACCCTTCATCTATGTCCATGATCCAATTTCTTCAGGGACAACGGCCGGCGTCATCAGCTCTGTTCTGAAAACTTGTGCATCCGCGCCGACTCCTCTTGATTTCGCCCACGTGAACGCGGTAGCATGCTTCCAGCCTCGGATTCTCTATGACACCGTCCTTAATCAACTCGCAAAGTGGCAACCCCGATGGTCCGATGGGTGTGTGGTTTGGGGTGGTGAAGAGGGCGAACGATGGAATCAGAACATAGATGGGTTTTTGCATGGGCTGAAGGCTGTGAACGACCATCTCAAAAAAACAAACAAAGTGGATGGCCAACTGGTCATATTTATCGAGAAAGCTGAGCGGTTGCAAGACAATATCCCAGAGCTTATCGTTCCACTTGCTCGTTTAGCTGAGTTGGTATGTACGCCTGAGACTCGAATGAAAAACTAATGATACTCCCTGAAGAGTCGCCTTAATCTCAGCGTTATCTTGCTGTCGGATGTTTCCTGGGAAGAGTTCCGACCGCCTTTCGGTGGGTCTCCAGATCCGTACTTTATGGATGTGGCCCCGCTAGACAAAAAAGGTCTGCAATGGTTCAGGTCACTGCTTTCAATGACCTTTGGCAGCGCATGTGGCAAGACTCAATTCTGTGTTTGATAAACTATGCGCTAAGAGCAGCCACACAAATGTCCCGACCATCTATCATCCCAGCTTACGGAACCTTTACAACAACTTCGCAGAGATTGTTGTGGACACATGCTATGTCTATGTTCAAGACCCCGCCGAAATCCAATATGTCGCTGCCGCCCGATGGCCTGGATTCGCCCAGCCCGTTCTCGATGCACACAACGATTCGGAGGATCCCGACACGCCTCTCGAGCCTCCATCCGAATATGTCCGGATGCGACTAATTCGACTTTTCAAGCCAAGTTTCAAGGCAGCGCTGGAAACACTCTACCCGCGCCATGACCATGCGCTCAATTGGGCTGCGTCCCATGCGCCTGAACCCAATTTGTTGTCAAAACCACCCTCCGAAACCAAGCCGCTTAGTGGAGAGTCCTCTAAATCGCCAAACGACGACCACATGGCGGACCTTCCTCGAATGGCCAAATTCCTCCTCATCGCAGCCTATCTAGCATCGACCAATCCGCAAATGTCCGATCTCCGTATGTTCGGTCGGGGCTTGGACGAGAAAAAACGCAAACGCCGCATTAATCGAGCTGCGCCCAAGTCAGGCATTGCAAAGGTTAGCACCGGTCTCGTGCTTTCGATCTCGGGTTGACCATTGTCTAGCTTCCGCAACGAGTTCTTGGACCAAATATATTTCCAGTCGAAAGACTACTTGCGATTTTGGGCGCTCTTCTTGAGGAAAACGATGCGGATCGGCGACCAGAAATGCCGCAGTATACCATTCCTGGTGAATACACCGATATGGAAACCTCGCGAGTTAACGTTTTCACTACGGTATATGATTCCCCTATCACCCTCAAACAAACTAGCTAATATCCTGTTCAGATTGTTGAACTTGCTGACTCAGGACTCCTCCAACGAGCCTCGTCCACCGACAAACTGGATGGTGCCACGTTCAAATGCGGAATAACCTACGACACCGCAGCCGAGCTATCATCACAACTCGACGTGCCCCTCAACGACTTGCTTTGGGATCCCGCATGATTCTTTATGTTCATTCATTCATTCGCACATCGACATCTATACCCAGTGGTATGCTCGATGCAGCTCCTGCTTTCTCCACACACATCCCTGCTGCCTATCAAAACTTGAGATGCATTGCCCTAACGATGAAGAGTCCTACCTTGGTTGCTCTTTGAAGGACTTGCAGGTACTCCGAAATAGTAGCCGTCGACCCCAATTTCATCAGTCCCGCAACCAAATAACCCGTGAAGCAATCGCCAGCCCCAGTTGTATCGAGTGGCGGTCCGCTGAGTTGAGCTGCTGGAACATGGACCGTTTCTGGAAACAAGCAAAACTTTGCGATGACCCCATCTGCACCGAGGGTACAGACAATGTTTGTGCTGGGTATACGTATGGAGAGAGTGAGTACCAGTGACTGCGCAGCTTTGTTTGGAGAGGTGGACTGCTGGGGAACCGCTAAATCGAGCATCGTACAAAGCTCTGATACTTCGCCCTCATTGACGATCAGCCATGTTAATTGGTTCCAAGGAAATGACTGGAGCTCGTTGCGAGTGGGCATTGGGGACGGGTTGAAGACGGTGGCGATGTTGGAGGATGCAGCTGAAGTAAGGAACTCGATTGTCGACTGAAGAGGCACTTCATTTTGGAATACCATGTGGGTGGTGTCTGAATGAATTTTTTGAGGCGAGATAGATGTGTAGTTGGCGCCTTTAAATAGGACTGCAGAGTATTGAGCCCATAGACATGAACGAGCATCGACTACGTACTGATACTATTTTCTCCGGCTGCATTCACTTGGATTATTGCTCGCCCAGTGTTTTCCTAAACCATCTCAGTTATGCGAAGCGGGTGATGGAAGGGTGCTCCTCACCTTGACCAGCAGCATCCCTTCCACATTGACTCCCGCCACCTTCAATTCGTCCTTCACCCACAATCCATCGGAGCCGACAGCCCCTACGAAATCAACGAGGCCACCAGCGCGCGCAATCGCGACAGATTGATTTGCGCCCTTCCCGCCTAATCGCTTCACGAGGTCATTCGAAGAAATCGTTTGTCCAGGCTGGACGAATTCCTGTACTTGGGTTCACATTCAGTGGGATTGCTCTGGCAGCGAATGGGAAGCCTGTAAATGCCTTGGAAGAACTCGTCGACGTCTGGAGTCCAGTTTGAGTGAGCTGAATGGAAGGTTGAATGGTACGAACTTATGGACCCTCGCACTAAACACCTTGGAGGCGGCATTCTCTAGTAAATTTTTCGCTCTCCAAATCGAGCTTTGCTCCCGCGAGACGGATGAAGAGGGATATGGACATGTGGTCATCTGAGAAATGGGTTCTTGATGAAGCTGGCCATCTTTAGCGCAATGAAGATGTTCTCCAAAATTCTCGCTGGCCAGCTTTACGACCCTCATCTCCGACAACTCGTTCCGAACCAATTGATCACGGTTTGCAGGAGCACTGGTCTCATCACCCATGTCGAAACTTTCACCGCAACCACCACCACAGTATTCGACGATGAGACAATCGACCTTCGCCATCTTACTCTCTGTCCTGGTTTCGTCGACGCACATGTTCACTGTACGTGACGGTTTATGGCCGCTTGCAGTATAGTCAATCTAAGCCAACAAGTCTTTCTCCATTCTTATGCAGAAACGTCATGGATAGACCAACTCACGAAGGAGAGTCTCGCTGAGCGGACCATTCGCGCTACCGTCCACGCGAATCGAACCCTCATGGCTGGGTACACCTCTGTACGGTGTGGTTGTCGTTGATCTATTGGCTAATGTTCTCAATCTCATCCTAAGAGACCTGGGAACTGAGGGAGCGGAGGATGCTGACATCGGGTTGAGGAAATCACTCTCAGGGCCGAATCCGCTCATCGCAGGCCCTCGGTATTTTACTGCAAATCGAGCCATTGTCTCGACGGGCAGCTATGGTCTGCCAAGTTGTTCACCTGTAACATACTTCAAATCAACATTAACTTAGGTCCCAAAGGCGCAGTGCGCGTCAATAAAGAAGGACTTGATGACGTGGTGGGCGCTGAGGCCGCCGATGGCCCAATGGAATGCATTCGCGTGGTTCGACGCCAGATTGGGGCAGGAGCGGATTGTATCAAGGTTTGGTTTTAATTGCTACTGAAATGACCACTTTTTCAAAAAAAAAATTATTGCCAGATATACGCAGACTACCCAGTCCGCTCTCGTCTTCTTGACGTGTCTCCCCGCATCGCAGGGAAAAGCATCCGCACCTTCAACTACGACGAGCTCAAGATTCTCATCAACACTGTCCACCAGTACAACCTCAAAATTGCCGCCCATGCAAAAACGGTACCCGTAATGCAAGACCTGCTTGAGCTAGGCATCGATTCCATTGAGCATGGCTCTGAGCTGCACACTTCGGTCGAAATAATCAACAAGCTGGCAAGCCCACTATGCCGGACGGTATGGGTGCCTACCCTGGCTGCCTACTATTCCATTGCCCAGCGGACAGGCGACTCGTCGGTATGGGATACGGTCAAAAAGTCCTTTCAAGCAGTGCTTGCTGCAGGACTGGGAAACGTTGCTATCGCCTGTGGAGGTGATACCGGTGTTTTTAATCATGGTGAGAATGCGCTCGAGATGGATCTTATGGTCCAGCTTGGGGCGCCTTGGGAGTGGGTTCTTCGTTGGGCCACACTGGGCGGCTGGGAATGTATCGGTGGAGTGTTGGAATCGGAGCCTGACGGTGGCGATAATGCCGTCCCATTTGGCTGGGTCAAAGAAGGATGGGCTGCTGATCTTGTTGGTCTTGAGGGCAACCTGGCGACAGATTTCTCAGCAACCATTCGTCGTGTCCAATTCGTCATGAAGAGAGGACGTGTCTACAAGCTCAGAGGCAAGCAAGTGCCTCTGTCATGATTTATGTTAGGGCTACAGCGAATGAGAATATTACAGGTTCCACACTACTACACTACATACGAATAACGACAGCATTAGATCCAGACCATGATAGCGAAAGAAAGAAACAGAGAGAGCATGATAGGTCATCGAGCGCGGAAATCGATACCTTCAAGCAAGCCAGAGTCCTCCATGAAATGGCTCCATCTTTCATCCAGCCGCGAGTCACGTGCTGCAAGACCAAGTTGTGCGAGCTCGGTATTGTGTGCTTGAAAAGCACTAGCTTGTTGTGGATGAGGATATGCGTGATCATGAGAGGGATATTGCTGGTGTAAAGAGTATTGTGGGTGATGATGTGGGGTAGGAGGCGGCTGCTGTAAATGTTGGCCTTCGTATCCATCGACTGGCCATGCGTAAGGCGCGGACGGAGTGGGGGGAATAGAGCGTGGGATTCTATTTCCATCAGAGTGATAGAGTTGCTGCTGGTGAGGTATTTGCTCCTGAATGGCAGAGTGTGGGGAGGAATGGTAGGCGTAAGAGTGAGCCGCATCAGGGGCATAGTCGCGTGCGCCCCAACGAGAATCGATGTTCACGTTGACAGTTGAGCGGTCGTGATGTTGATGTAAATCCGAGGACGAAGGCATTGAGTGAAGCCGCTGGCGAGGAGGAATGGGAGGCTCGACGGGATACTGGTGTTGTTGCGGTGAAACTCGATCCGATCGTCCGTAAAGCTGGTCGTCAGTGTGCATGGGAGGATTTGCTAGTTGACGACGAGAGGGGAATTTAACGGGAGACCCACGCTGGAGTTGACCAGAGACGAATCGCGTGTGTCCCGCGAATATCGTGAGCTCGTCGTCAAGCTCCTCTGTTTTGACCTGAACAGGTTGGCCACCTGGTCCAAGAACTCCTTGCATATTCCACAAAAGTCCGCCTTTATCATCTCCCCCCATCGGGTCATTTTGAGCAGCTACCAAAGCATGTCGTGCCTTCTCACTCAGTTTGGTGAGAATAGGCTGTCATCTTATCAATACGGTGACCGCAAGAAGACATGATCATAACGAACCAGAGCCTTCATAGCTCGACGGCTGTGAACCGCTGCCTTGGAGAACAGAATACACGCTTGTTCAAGCTCTGTCATTGCTGCATTCGCCAGTGGACTTCGAGGTCCTCGTGTTACAACGGTGCCAAACACAACCTACAAGTTCATAAACACCGATTTTGTGTGTAGATGTGGTATAAGCTCACCGCTGAACTGAACGCAAACGTCCACATCGTCCAAAACCTTGCGCAAGCGATTGGTGTAATTTCGAACTGATCGCGCACAGATTTAAGTATAGTAGCGCTGGCACGATAAGCAGCAAGAAATGAAGGTGCGTAGGCGCTCTTCAGGGGATTGACGGGTTGCTCAATAATCGCTTGAGCAAAAAAGCTGCGATGGATATATAGTAAAACTGCCGTATATGCGTGAGTTTTCCCCTTGATATGCAGCAAAAAGGTGACCGAACCTGTTTCTCTGATGTGTTCCAGGACACAACGCTGCAGACTCGCCCCAAGGTCGTCCGGGCTCACATCATCCAAAGGAGGTAACGGAAATTCTCGTACTTTCTTGTCCAACTCCATGATTGTCGAATAACCCGGTGCCTCTGCGGTCAGAGTGCGTGCTGTAACATCGGCGACGCACTCAGCGGCAAAGCGGAACTGCCATATCTCAACTGTTGTGTAATGGGTCATCGACAAGCCTTCGAGAAGCAAGAGCATAAGCCACGTACACGCCCCTTCCTTTGCCCTGGAACCTTCATATGTGGGGAACGAGCAGTCAATATATGCCAAAGAGAAGGATGGAGGTCGTCCGTTATTCAGACTCTGTGAGAATAATGAGTAACGCTACTTGGTGATTATTTGGACTGACCAGCCACACATCTGCGACGAACAGGTCCCAAAAAAGAATTCGTCGGCGTTGTACCATTTTCGGCGACAGTCCCCATCTAGCGCTGTCCCGATCTGCATGCACTGCGTAAGTGACATTCGAGAGAAAGAAGAAGTCAACGCACGCAGTCCTATGGTCTGGCTTAGATGAGCAGCAAGTGTTATTAAGCTCCAGGTCATTTCCATGCTGGTTTCAGCGTCCTCTTTGTAGTTGGGGGCAGTGGCCATGCCATAATATATGCTAAGAAGATGGAGTGCTTGTATGGTGACAATGCTCGGTTTTTCGAGTACGGGTTGCAGCGCCAGTGCTGCTCGAGCGATTTGGTGGAAATGCTCGCCCTCGGCACTGACGCGTTTCCGATATATCTCTTCTTCTTCGTCTGGCGGTAAATTCGTGGCGTTTTCTGACTGTGGCTGCACGAGAGCACCGGTGGCAAAAATCATGAACAAAAGTGCAAGATCATGAGGGCCAGTGTGGTCCTCAGGGTCACCCTCCTGGTCTTCATCACCTTCCAAGTCGTCGAAATCGTCACGTTCGCCAGTTGGGCCATACGAGCTATAAATTCCACACATCATGTCTTTAACTTGGCCACGGGTTACCCCGCGGAAAAGCCAGGCAAGTTGTGCGAAGTAGCTGTCGATCAAGAGACGACCATGGGCGCGAGGGGGGAGATGAGAAGTCACGAGGTCGCGGATGGCTGAAGGGGTGCCGAAGGGAGTTAATGGGAAGGCATTGGCGGAAAACAGAGCTAGCGCGGGAATTGAAGAGTCGCTCTTGATGGAATGAACGCGATTGTCTGAAGGAGAGTCTGGAGAGGATGCGTGGCTTGAGGGTGGAGAAAGGGAGTCGGAGGAACGGGAAAGGGACAGGGAAGAAGGAGAGGATGTAGGTGAAGGCGAACTTGCAATGAGCAGACTCTGTTGTGACCGATTATACCTTTTGCAGGTGGCGCCGGAAGAGCACGTACCTCTGAGCCTCCTGTTGGACCAAAAAACCTGGAAATACCGTGGTCGGATATGCTCAAGGTTCCAAAAGCGTCAATAACGTCCCCGTTCCCAGAAGTTCTGCTTGGGTTGTTGCTTTCCTCTTCAACAACACCGCGACGGGGTGTTGGAGGTTCGTCAGGAAGGGAAAAATCTTCGCTATCGACTAGGAGCGGGTGTATGGGTCTATCAGGACCTCCCTGAGCAGCGTGAAGGGTCGTTAAAGCATCCTCCAATGCCCGAATACGCTCTCCCATGCGAGCAATCTTGCGGTGAAGATGTTCGGTTGCCGCTAGAACGAAGCGAGTACCTTGGCCAGTAGCCAGTGCGCCATTTGGACAAAGGGCAGAGCAACCGCGACGAACACATGACTGGCAAGGAATTTGCTTGTCGCACTTAATCTTGAGGCTACCAACAAGGATAAGAGCGGAGGAGAGCGAGGCCAAGTAACTTGAACTTACCGCCGACATTCTGCACAACTTACCTCACCTAAAATCGCAATGAGATGGATTGAGGCGACTTGATAGCCACGCACCACGACTCCGTTTGACCTCGAGCTCACGAGCATGGGTGAGGCCACTACTGCCAATAAAATGAGGGGAGATGTAGTCTGAATCCTTTGATCGCTTCGGAGTTGTTTTTTGTTGCTTGGACTTGTCGACGGGCATGCCAGAGTAGAAACTCTCCGGAGCCAAAGTGTTGTCGTGGTCGTTTGGGAGAACAGAGTTTTGTAGGAAACGGACTTCCCACGGATCGCAATCTCGTGGGTACTAAATCGGGCTCATTGATTCTGCCTCAAACTGTGGCCGGCTGCGGATAGCATCAAGCGCATCAACACGCCAAGTAATTGGATTCACTTCATCCTCAAAGAAAAAAAACTCTGAGCGCCATTTTTGTTATCCTACCCGCCTCACTTGCTACCTTCTAGTAGGACATACCAGTAGTAAAAGCCCCCACCCCGATTTTTTTGTGCTTACATAGGTCGACGAAAACGTCAATGGTTTCGACTCGAATTGCGTCCAAAGGTTGTAGCATCGGAGGAGCACGTATAAATCCGGCGCCAACCACCAGCCACCCAATGTTTAAATCCCGTTCACACGGTTAAACGGCTTGTTGCCTGGCAATGCTAGCGCTGCAATTAAAATATGCGCCAGTTTCCCCCCAGTTCTTAGGTTTGCCGTCGGTGTGAACGTCAGATTGACTAAGAACACCTTGGATGAACATGACAAAATCATAGTTATTACGGTTAAACTGCCTCAAGAGTCTGGGTTTCTAATCCAGCTATTAACGTGGGTAGGGAGGACTTGATCAATCTGCACAACGGAAACGAAGTTGATGACAGATTCTCGATTCAAGGCAACCTAATCAAAAAAAAGTCCACCGTTGATTGAGATCTATAGGCAGATAAGTTCAAGACACAGTAAACGGACTTTGCGTACGCTTTGGCCTGGTCATGGCATCAATATTTAGCTAGAATTGAACTGAACGCATCTCCTACCGGTAATGAAACGTGATTCATCTGAAGCAAGGTACGAAACAAGGCCTGCGATATCTTGCGGTTCACTGGGTATTGAAGCTGAGCAGACAACGAGCAACGCAAACGAGGTCATACCCAACTATACCGAGTGGCGACAGACTTTTGAACTATAGTTGACTGCATTAGACGGGCAATATCGAACTATTAGCCTACATGGCCAATGATAGCATCCGCTTGCTCAAAACCGCCAGTGACTATGGTTTCCCTGTGAACATACTCACAGAGTTGGACCAAGACGTACGCATTGTAGTGTTGATGGCGCCGGGCGCGTATGCATTGACTGTAATGCCACTCGGTCCAAATTCCTGTGCTATAACAACATAAGTATTAACCTTCGCGGTTCGAATGAACCTACCGGCGGCCTGAGTGAGAGCCCTGATAGCAGCTTTAGACGCGGAGTAGACAGCTTGAGTAGCGATAGCTGATAGCAGGTTCGGAGGTCATCGATTTGGCGCCGCACACAACTCACCCTTTTTACCGGCAACTGAGGAAGCACCAATGATGCGTCCACCGCCCCCTTGCTTGATCATTTGTTGTCCAGCGTACTTGTAGCAGAGGAAAGTGCTGCGAGCGTTAATATTCATGACACGGTCGAAAGTTTCGCCATCAACTGGGCACTTGTTAGAAGAGCGGATTGTAGGGAACTATAGACGAAGGCACCAGTTGCGAAGCCCCCACCAGCTGGGCCAGCTATCCCAGCATTGGCGACGAAGACATTGACCCCGCCGTGATGTTCAATGACGTGGTCTAGGATTTTCTTCACCTCTTCTTCTTGAGAAACATCTGCTAAAACCGTCGTAGCCTTGCGACCTTTGCTTTCTATCTCCTTAGCGAGTGATTCAAGATTCTGCTGGTTATTTGCTATGTCGTTTATGGCCAAGTCATAGCCGTCCTCAGCCAGTCTGAGTGCAATTGCCCTCCCAATCCCTTGTGCTACAGGCGAGCATTCAGAGATTGGTTGTCGATTTACCGAGAGGCATACCTGATCCAGTGACAACAGCGACTCCTTTTGACGACATGGTAGTGTTGAAGAGGCCTGAGGTTGAGCGGATATCATCCATATATTCTCAGGAGATTTGACGGGAACATTGCGGGTATCATCGTCGGTCAAAAGACGGCGCAAGCAAAGAGAAGCAAAGTGGTCGTTGATGGAGAAAGGCGCGCGATCACGTGCAGTGTTTGACCCTGGACTCCGGACCGGGCTTCCGCAGCATGTACAGAACGTATTTCACAGAAATACCAACAGTGATACAGAGATGCGTGAGGGGTGTGGAAGGGAAGATTAGTGAATAAAAGACGTGACTGAAAGCAAGAAATGAGCGTGGATGGAGTAGAGTTATAGAAAGCATGAAGGACTGGTGGTATGGACGGAAGATGCTGGTATGTGACTATTTGATACAGAAGGGGAGGGTTCATGAGAGCATGAGTTCATGCAACGGGTACGGGCACACGTTTAATTTTGTGCGGGTAGCCTTGTGAAGAGCGACGGTTGATGGCGATGGTACTCGTAGCATCACCTTCAGTATCACCCTCATAGCGGTCAGAGTCAACCGATCCGCGTTCTGAGGGCGACGGGGGATGGAAAAGGTAAGCCTCTTCGCGCTCGGCGATTATGCTCAGCTTCTTTTCAGTGGGAATACGCGAAGGCAGCAAAAGAGAGTCGCGGGCATGGCGAATTCGCCGTTGGGGAATAAGGATAGGAAGGTCTTCTTCCGAACTTGACGAAAGTGGGGAGTCGTCTGGGCTCGTATCATCCGGGAAAACCATATGCAACGGAACACCGTCTCCAAGAGTGCGACGAAGTTTGTCCATCTTTTGGCGTCGCATGCTATTTGCCGAAGGCAACACAGCAAATGGGGATGTGTGCTGAGATGTAACTGGTATTCTCGACGCAGGAATGGTGTAGCTCGTATGAGGCGACTGCAAAGAGTAGGCTGGCGGAGGCGAGTAAGACTCGGCAGGAGGTGACTGTGGAATGGATTCCAGTTTTGACGAGTTATCCACCTTGATGCGCAGAAATGGCCTCTCTGTTTGTGGACGAGGCCAAGATTCGTTTATTTGTACCGACTTTCCAGAGTCGACACTGCGTCGCGACCGGTCAGAAGCTGACGAAGGAGGCCGTTTGATGTAGGACGGGGTATCGTAATCAGACGAGAAGAGGGTGTCGGAGGAAGGATATCGAACGAGGGCATCATCATCAGAGTACATCGAGGAGAGCTGCACATGCAGGGGTACGGCAAGTCTTTGGAGGTTGAGAGGGACTAAGTGACAAATGAGCAAAAAAGATGCAAGTGTAAACAGATAGAACAAGACGGACGCTGCAATGGCATCTCTTCCTTCTCTTCAAGCAAAGCCGGAGTCGTGCCTAAAATACGGCCTAACTTTTGGGTCGTGCGGAGCAATTGACTGCGTTGCTGGTTTGAGAGTGCATTAGTGGTAGGAGGGCAGCTGATGTGGGATGTGTAAGCCATGAAAAGAGGGAATGAGCGACCGCGTACAAATCATGGTAGGATTTGGCTGAGTCTTATAGAGAGCAGAACAAAAGAGACAATAAGGTGAAGTGAGTGTCGCAGACCACTTCAAACAATTAGACAGTGTTTCCTTTTCGAGCTGATGAGCTCGCTTGAGCTCGGATCAATTAAGCCTTTCGGTATGGCCACCGCGGCCCGCTTATGCCGGAATCAGGCCCTTCTGGACGAAGTTCAGAGTTGAAGTCGTTTCACAAAATCTATGCGTGCAATAACCTGAATCACTTTTAAAGTGTAAGTACTGGCAAGAGGCTCTTTGGTCTACTCGAGTATATGATGATATCGTGGAGGAAATTGTTGGGTTTGTTGGCCCTGGTTATCATAGGCGCTTGCCAATCCTAGTATTGCAGACTGACAACAAACGCGGGGGAGTCAGATCAAGGATGGGTGACCCGGGAGATCTACGATACTGAGCATTCAGCCATTCGTCGTGCTTTGTGATGGCCGATTTGTCGGTAAGAGGAAGTCATTCCATAGTCTCCATACATCTGAAAAGAAGCGGAAGAAGAAGACGAAATGTGAGATGATTCTGCTTGTAGAATTAGCAGCGACATACGTCGAGCAGCACAGAAGGAGAGCGCTGTTGAGAGAGTTGCGCTATGTACCAGTATGCAACTTTAAGATGTGTCCTGGCTGATTCAAATTATTGACTTGAGTGCACAGGAGTGCACCCGAGATCTGGGACTTGGAGGCTTGACGAGTCCACTTGAGAATGTATCAAGACGGCGGAAGGTAACGCAGGTAGAGACAACGATTGGAGAGAGTTCTGTCCGAGACGTTGTTCTGAAATTGTCAAGTCCGAGTCACGTGTATATCGATTTTTCCTAGTCAACCAAACCGAATTTTATCCGATCTGTTTTTGCGCCTACGGGTGGTACAGTGAAAGCACGTCACTAACCGCTATTGTTGAACCGAACATTTGGGGATGGATAGTAATTTCACGACGGTGCTAGCTCGGCAAAAGCCAACTGGCTTTTGGGTCTAATGGCCATGGTTCGGCTCTAATAAAGCTCTTTCGTTTTCCTCTCCCTCTCATGGCTGCCGAGAGTCCTCTGAAGAGCAAAGGGATTGCGATTGTAACAGGCGCAGGTGAAAAGGTTTCTCTTAGCATCACAATTTTGGGCGTTGACGTCGAGTTCAGGGCAAGGCATTGGCCGAGTGATTGCACTTCGCCTCGCGAACGATGGCTTCACCGTTGTCGCGAATGACATTACAGCGAACGCCTCGAAACTAGACGGCCTAATCCAAGAAATCAACAGCTTGGGTGGCAGTTCATGGAGCTGTATTGCGAATATATCGGTCGAGGAGGACGTCCAAAAGATGGTAGCAGAAGCTGTTTCGCATTTTCCAGGCGAGAAGCTGACTGTAGTGCGTGTTCGAAGCACATTTCTACAAAGGGTTAATCTTCCACCATAGATGGTAGCAAACGCCGGAATCGCGCGCTACGACACTATATTCGATTGTGAGTCGATCAGATCAAGCTTTGGGCTCCGCAAAACCTATTATTTCAGTGTCCGCTGCCGATTTCGATGCGGTTATGACGGTCAATGCACGCGGTTGCTTCTTGTGTTACAAGTATGCAGCACAGCAAATGATACAACAGAATTCTGGTGGGCGTATCATTGGAGCTTCGTCGATGTGTGGCAAGAAAGGTATCATCCGCTCTCATGCATGAAAACACAACACTTAAATTCTTTAGGGTATGAAGGCTTGAGTGCTTATTGTGCCTCCAAGTTCGCCATCCGAGGGCTCACACAAGCGGCTGGTATTTCCAACGGTTTTCGGTCTGGAGGCATACTCACCAGACCACGAAAGCATTGGAACTAGGGAAGCACCAAATCACTGTGAGTCATGCCGGTTTTGTTGACGCCTCTGACGTTGAATCTCAGGTCAACGCTTATGCACCTGGTGCTATCGAAACATCAATGCGTTCGTTGTTGATATCTGACCATGCGATGTGCCAATACTTGTTTCTCTAGTGGACCAGCTCGCATCATGGTCAACTACTGCCTCAGGCGGCGCGCCGCAAAACTATTTTGACACCGTTGGTGGCATTAGCCTGCTACATACCCCCATGGGCTGATCCTTCCAAAAGCTCAAAGCACGGACTCCTCTCGGCATCATAGGGTCAGTCGCTGTCTGACTACATGCTTATACTCTCAACCAATGATTGTCTGCAGAGACCCAACAGATGTTGCTAACGTCGTGGCATTCCTCGCGTCTGAGGAGTCTCGATTTATCACCGGTACGTAGATTGTTTTGCTGTCTGGGTCAAGCCACTAATTGGTCGTCATCCAGGTCAAACTGTGCGATGCTAAATTTAGTTGCCAATGACTTGAACTGAATATGTGCAGATCTCTGTCAATGGAGGGACATTCTTTGACTGAGGCGGTCCTTACATATATTGACTGTCAAGGTCCTCTTCAGCTGCAATAAAACTCCGTTATCAGATATGCTGGCCCACCCATCGCGCTCTCATCTGCACCATAATGACACTTACCTCAGCGAATATTGACATCATTAGACGTTCAGGTTCCTCAAATGAACACCAGTCGGTGACCGCCAGACAAGTCCGAGTCCAACCTTCAAATTCAATTGTTGGTACAATGGATCCAGAGCTACGCTTGCCAGATATATCGTCGCTCTGTGTCATGGTTGGATGTAGTGCACTCCTTCAGGTATGTCCTGATGCCAATGGCTCGCTATTAAATGTTTCTAATATTTAGTTTTCTGCCTACTCGACCGTATCGTCTGCGAGCGTATATGCCAACTATCTGGGTGGTTCTTCGGTTTTTGGTGGTCTCACCATTGGGATCCCCAATGTACTCTCTGGCATTGTGCTTATCCCCATCACCAAACTCGACCAAGGTTGGTCTAGTCAGAAAAAGTGATCGTCAAACTCAACTCAACTCTGACAGGAAGATACACCGGTCCGTTGAGAGTCATCTGCGCTGCGCTTGTTGTCGGAAGTGGCTTGCATGCGCTTGCCTATCGAGCTCATTTTCTGTACCTCATCCTCATTGGACGGATGATTTCCGGAATCGGCTATACGGGGTTTATGTATGCTCGAAGGTATTGTACTGACCCTCGGCTGGTTGGCATTCGACGACGCACGATGCTCGCCAGCTGGCTCGTGATCGGCCAATCATTCGGACTCAGTGCTGGCCCATTTGTGTGCGGTCTGCTTTACAAAATTGGATTTTCCAACGACATATTCAACGGCCTGACCAGGTATCAGTACTTGGTCGCACCACGTCTTTCGTGGCTGACTAACCATGCTTAGTCCGGGATGGATCGCCGCATTTAGTTGGCTGCTTTTTGCAGTTGCGATTGCGGTGTTCTTGAAGACCTGCCTCGCGAAGAAGCTTTTGAGCTCGCACCATCAAACCCGACCGACTCGGCCCCTCCAACTTCGCAATCGCTATCTAACATCCAGATGAGCATTGTGCTCTTCATTTGCTACGCATCTGGAGCGTGTTTCTTCATACTCGGCTCCTTCGAGTCGGCCATTCCTGTTTATCCCGCATCAGCCTACAAATTCTCTCCCTTTGCTGCAGGCAATTTCATTGCCCTTGGGGAACTAGCGACCTTTCCATTCCTCTTACTCAATGTTCGGTACGCGCCTCGCTATCAGGACAGATTAACACTCGCTGTTGGCTCCATAATCGGCGGCTGCGGACTACTCCTAGCGTTTATTCTGGTCCTCACTCTACCACATGTACCCATCGGTGCATTCTATGTGTGCTGGTTCCTCGTTGCACTCGGCTTCAGCCTGGCGAGCACATGTACTCTCAGTCTGCTCTCCAAGCGGCTGCCGGACTTGGGAGTCTGGAACAGACGTATGAGCTTGGCGATTCAATATTCAAATTTTGTCGGGCGCGTTTCTGGCGCCATCTTTGGCGGAGCAGGTGACCGCGTTTAGAGGAGTGTTCAATGCTGACCATATGGACAGCGATGGATATCGGGATGCAGCGATACCTCGGAGCACTTCTTGGGCTCCTCGCGAGCGGTGGCGTAGTGTACTGCATGCTGTGGAAGGAGCTAAAGGTAATAAAAGGGTAATACCCTGTCGATTAAGTAATCTGCATAAGTATTGTGGCTCCGGGCCTTTATTAGTATCCAACTACTTTTCCTTCCCCCTCATGGACCAGGGAACGACTCCCCTCAAGTTTCCTCGCCTCGTTTCCCTCCTTTTGGCGGGCGCATGGGGGGCAATCTCCCTCGGCATTGGTACGCAATCACGCCGACTTTCAAGTCGATAATATCTCGACTTTAATAAATTACTAGCTATCAACGCCTATGTCAAGCAGCACGACGACAAGCAGCAAGCCTTGAGCGAAGCTCGTGGGCCAGTCAAGGTCCATCTGAACACGAGCGGTATGACCCGATGTGTTTTCACCCTCTGTTAATTGCCAACTACTATTAGACCTCTTCGCGTCGGGCACGGTTGTCACGGTTGTCTGCGGAATAATTATGGTGCTCTGCTTTGTCTTTACGGGCGTCCTTCTCCTCGATAGCAATGCGCGCTCAAGCATCGCCACGCGGTCTCTTCCCATCCAGTTTGTCTCGCTCGGCTTCCTCGCAGTCTGGCTCTTCGCAAGTCAGATCGCCGTCTCTAACATCATCGTGATGCGATCCATAAAAGTCTCGGCTTCCATTGACGGGATCAGCGTCCCAGACAGCGTTCTGAAAACAGTTGAGAGAGCGCTCGGCGCGAAGACGGCATACAAGGGCTATGACTACTGTGGGTGAATGAATCAGGCTTGCAGCATTCTAAACACGGTCATCTAGTGAAATTGCTCGCCATCCTCCCATGGTTCACGGTCGTCTTCACCCTGGCCGCTGCAGTCGTCAGTTTTATGGCCTTTTCCCGTCGCACGAATAGGTCGTCCGAGAAATACCCTCCAGCTCTTCCAAGCAAAGAAGTGCCGCCACAACCGAGCAGCTCTGCTTGACTAGACCACTTCGTTTGTAAACCTCTTGATCAGTGTTGTGACTTGAAAACATACATCGAATATGCAAACGATACAAAAACAGCAAATAGCAAAAATACATACTTACTTATCACCCATAGACTATGGTGACGCAACAAGGCCACCCATCTTGAAGCTGCTCTCAAACGGCACATCAAAGTCGTGAGAAATTGGACTACCGTGAGCACCAAACATCAGCCCCCCACCCACATCGCTCGCCCCGTCGTTGAACATCGCCAACACGTCAACGTACATTCGTGGGTCTCCTCCCGGACTACCAAGGCCAAGGCCCGCACCATCCATCTCCGGGAACGTCTGAGCATAATCGGGAGGCTGCGCAGCCTCCGCTGTGAAGAAATCTGTTGGCGAAAACGCCTCGGGGCTTTCTCCGCTGCTATGATGAGACGGGCTCTCTTCGCTCCTTGACCTCCGGACGGCAGCCGCGTTCGCCACCGCAGCAATCGACTTTTTACGAACAGGTCGAATCCACGGTGGACGAGAGTTGGCGTTGGATTCCGCCGGCTCTCTAGGAGTATCGAGAGGTATTTGAGTCACTAGACCACAAGTCATCAGCAACAAATATTGAGGCCATAAGAAGAACATTACATCGACAAAATTCCTCCATCAGGTCACCTGACCGCAGGCCACACACATATCGCCCACTGAATCGCCGCAAAAGGCCAACACAGGAACGTAGTGCGTCGAGGCCCGGAGGAATGAGCGGCTGCAGTAAGTCCGATTTGCAATTCAAAAGCACCGCAACAAGTGTTCTTCCAGCCTGTGTCAATTGGTGGATGACATGGACACCATCTATCCTCTCCATAAGCTCCGTCCGAAAGGAAAAAATAGACTTGAAGACTTACAATAGGTCATCAGACCTTTTTTTGCAACCAACAGATAAGACGCGACAATTTGCAGCGCAGAGAGATGTGCTTTGATCATTGCGTCCCTCTCGATTTCGCTTTGCGGGGGTCGCAAAGCAGGGTCTGCTGGCGCCGTTCGCTCAGCGACAAGTTCGGAGAATCGATGTCGATAGATCAACAGTCTAACAAACTGCTCGGCACAGTGTAGACGCACTGACTGCGTGAGACGGATCGTGTCTTCACTCGCCAGAGTTTCTGCGGTATGCCCAAAGTAAGGCGGGACGGAGAGGTGGACTTCATCCAAAAGCGCCTCTTCCTCTTGCATCTCCCTGCGCGACCCACGCAGCCCCCCCAAGGCAGCAACGCGAGCCAAGTAGCCGCTGTTTTCTCTGGGAGGCGGCACATCAAGCACCCGCTCCAAGACAACAAGGATTCTGAGGGACGTTACGAAAGCGGCCATGCGGCTGGCGGTTCCAGGAGGGAGAACTGGCACATTGACACCTTCTCGAGAGATAAACTCGTCGTCAACAGGAAGAGGCTCATCAACATCACAGTCTCGCAGACGGAGCAAAGGAGGTCGGCCAAAATGGGCGCCAAGTTGTTTGTCCCAGATGTATACACACCAAAAAGTGCGCTTCCTCACCTCCTCCTCGACAGGATCGAATAAGTCGTAAGTGTCGGCGTTGCGGTGGAGTCCTGCGTCGATAGAGATTGTGATGGCTTCGGAAAGTAAAGCCGCAGCCTTTGACAGTTTACCAAGACCAACTGCATAGACAGCGGCGATAAGATCAGCCTGAATAGTGTACAAGGTTGGGCGATCGGCGATTGGGAGTGTTCTCAGTCGTCCAAGTAATTCGAACCATTGAGTTCCCGCAGAGATACCATCTTGGGGCGATGCTCGTACGCGGGGGTCGTCCATATGCCGCGAGGCCAAGCAGCAAATGGAAACAATGAATGCTGCAAACCCTGGCTCGCCCCATTTCGTTGGATTGCCGTAGTCCTGAGATTAGTGAATATTCGTTGGAAGGAACAAAGAGAAATCCATACAGAGAGGAAAGTCGGAACGTGCAGGAAAGGGAGGATATAGTATGAGGTCGAAAGGTAGCACTGCACCAGACTAGGTCCCAATCAATGATCTAATCGAATGACATTGGGGAAAGTGTACCTGTCCATAAGCTCGGGTGCGATATATGAAGTGATCAAGCGCCAAAGAGTCTGCGGGTTTACATCCGTACGCCGAGGAATGCGATTGGGAAACCAGTCTTGTTGAGAGGGAGGAATTGACGGCGGTACTGCATCGGAAGAGGGTTCATGTCGCTCGACAAGCAAATCGAGAAGGGGAAGACCAGAGGTTTCCCCTTGCCATCGTGTATAACCCTCGTCGTCAAAGTAGAGGTATGATGCGGAGAGCGAGAGGCGGGCAGTATCCTCCGTGAGCAGATCGGTAGCCGCGGGGTCAGAGGCTGAATGCGGGGTAAGCACGTTCTCCTCCACTTTCGGCTCGATTGGTGAGAAATGGGTTGACGGATTGGTAAGAGGGAAGACGTGTAATGACGGCGGCGGTATGCCACTTGGGAAGTTGGGGTACATGAATGGTGCAATGGGACTGGCTGGCATGTCGCCTGTTGGCAACGTCGATGGGTTAGCCATATTGCCAGCAGCAAAGACTGCTGGTGGAATCGCTTGAATGAGGGTTTCGAGGTGGTGCATACGGTCTTCGAGCGTAGCGGTCCGTTTTGATTTGTGAGGGTGTGTTCGCTTCCCTGGTTCCTCAAAAGTGCATGACGAGCTCGCAGCGAGGCAAGCCTGGCATGGGTGACCTTCATCGCATTTTATACGTCGTCGACTGTTCGTATAGATTAGCGTTAGAATATAATTTCACCTTGAAAGTGAATAAATAGCTCACCGACATCGGTCGCATGCTCTGAATTGGGGTTCAGTGCATTAACCTTTTCACATTGACAAAAGCCTACCGGCTCAGCTTGAAGCGGCGCTCCTTGAGGATCGCAGCCGTGGTGGAAGAAGGGTCTAGGCCATCCGGGTCGGCGCTCGTTGCTGGCGACATTGGGGGCAGAGCTAACAAAGCGACAAACCCAATGACCGCATGAGAGAAACGAGTCACAAGATCGTCACGCGCGCGATATCACCGGCCACCAAGCAGGTTTTAACCACCGCCATCGAGCGTTCATGCCATCTGCCTTGAGAATAATCAGACGCATTGAAGACTATTGAAGACCGGGTATTGTCCAACTATGGGCTGATACATAAGATTAAGTAAGTCACGACAAGGCCTTACATTTGACTCTCGACTACCACAGCAGCCGAGAGGAGAGTTGGGAAAGCAAGATCGCTGACAAGAGAAAGAGAGAGAGAGAGAGGGGGGGGGATTGTGGTGTCCGCTTTAAACCCACTCGACAGTCTTTTCGCTTGCCCGCACGCCGTTCCGTTTCTCCGCTCCTCCTCGATTGAAATGTGAATTCCGATTATTGTACGCAAATAATAGGTATAAGTACCAGGCAAAAAATATGCGCAGGGAGGTTAAATAGTACACTCTACAGTTCACTCACAATGCCCTTCCGCCGTCCCATGACGATTGACTCTCTCGCCAGCCCCGATGTGGATCATGATCCTGGACATTCAGCCCACCCTGTTGGTGGTCGTGATATGCTGTCGATTCATCGTCAAAGTCGCCTTCTTGTGCTGTAGCGAAGCTCGCGTAGCTTGCAGCACTTGCCGACCTCACCGAATGCCCCGTGGCAGAAGCTGGTGGTGCAGGGAAAGAAGACGGAGGCGGACTTCGTTGCGACATCTCAAATGTTTGCTGGTGAGCATTCGGTGTGGTCAGCATCCGTTGTTGGGGGGATTGTGGTGGCATATCGTTAAAAGCCCCCATTGGTTGTGTACCTCTCCCAACTCTCATGCTTGTCCTTGTCGTCGCAACACTGGTTCGTCGACTAGGTGGTGTGGTCGTAACTTCCCCAGTCGTTAGCCTATACTTAGGCGACGGCATTGGAGATGGAGGAGGAAGTTCGGAAACAGAATAATATGATCCGCGAGGACTGGTAGGGCTTTGGTGCCCATGTTGCGGTTGCGGCGCATACAAAAACTGTGACTGTTCCTCGTTTGGCGGTGTGGTGTCAGAGTAGTGAGCTACACTTGACAGTCCGCCAGTCATCCCAGGACTCGAAGTGTTGGCAGGCTCATATTGGTGATTGGAGAGCTCTGAAAGCGATCGTGCATGTTGATCCGAGAACATTGGTGCGGTTTCTAGCTCTTGGCTGGATGTATGGTCCACGATTGGCGCACCACCACCACGCCGTTTCCCATTGCGGTGAGAAATACCAAGCTGATCTTTCAGGTCTCCCTTCACCCACATCTCCCGCACGATGTCTTTGTCCAATGGATGATAGACGGTCATGTAGTACTTGATGATGAACCGGGGTGCTATTGAGCGATTAGCTACTGGTTTAAGGGCGAGGAGAACAGACACACCGAGAGCAACTGTCGATGCAAAGCAGGCTGTCGTCCAGAACGTCAACTCCCCGAATAACACGACAACTTCATCGATGAAGTCCACACTGTAGAAGAAAGAGAAGATGACGATCCACAACATCATCACGATTGTCGATCCGTAGACAACTATCCAGGTGAGTACCGTCCAGCTGGGAATTAGCGTCAGTGGAGTCCAAAAGCACGAGCTAGGGAGCTCACTAGTTGGAGTTCATGCCGACATAGGAGTTTGCCGTAAAGATGGCCGCCACTGCAACAGTGGTCCCAAAATCAGCAAGCGAGTCGATTCCTCTTCCATTCCAGGACACAGCCAATCCCAATGTCCAGATGCAGTAAGGGATAAAGAACATGACAGCGGATTGGAAAAATCCATCGAACATGTACAACCAGAATTTGGCTCGCGTGTACTCCAAACCGCGAATACCGCGAACGTAAAGCTGAGGGAATGCCAGGGCAGCACGTGCATTGATGTCTTGGTCGAAGGCTAGCGGAAATGTTTCAACAAGAATAAAATGACCACGAAACGAGCTTACCGCCCATGACAATGACAGGAAGGGACGTGAAAGCAAGATTGCAGAGCAAAACGAATGTGTAGTGGTACAAGTACGTCGCATCGAAACTGGAATTCGTAATGAGGAAGCTGTCTAGAGACAGACAATGACGAACCTGTTGAAGGGCATGAACCAGAACAGCCCAAAAGTCCAGACGACGTTCTTGTAGAAAAAGTTGGCGTGCATCTCTGCGATCCGTTGGTAGGACCAACGACCATGGACGAGCAGGAGTTTGGTGAGGAAACGGAATTGACCGAAGGCATAATCTGCAGACATCGCCGCCTGTGAGCCCTCCAGTCCGAATAAACCACAGCCAATGTTAGCCTCTTGGATCATGGCAACATCATTCGCCCCATCACCAATGGACAAGGTCATGGCATTACGACCATCCTTGACCTGTTGTGCCCAAAATCAGCGACCAGCAGGTTAGACAGTGAAAAAAATACTGACAAGCTTCACCGTCAGCGCTTTCTGAGCTGGAGACACACGACAGCAAACGACAGTTTCACACTGAGTGCCGAGGTTCAAGAACATCTCTTTCAAGTCTGGCTTGAGTGCATGGGTTAATGTGTCCCCATCGATAACGACGGCAAAAGAAGCTTTAGCGCCTGGAACAAAACCACGCTGCTTCGGATTCCATGAGGGCGGACCATAAACTGAAGCTATTTTGTTGAGACCGGCTTCGATTTGGGACCGTGCTTGTTGCTGTGACTCCGCAGAAAGGATCATTAAATCCATGTCAGGCTTGAGGAGATTACAGCTGTATCCAATTTCGATAGCGGTTTGAAGCTTATCACCTAGGTGAAGGTATTAGCACGAACGAAACACAGATAATCCAAGCGATACATACCCGTGAGAATCCAAAGCTTGATGCCGGCCTGATGCAAAAGTTCAATTGCCTCCGGAACACCCTCCTGCAGCTTGTCCTCCAGCGCAGTTGCACCAAGAATGGTAAAATTGCGCTCGAGTTGATCACATGTCGCCTCAATCGCTTCATCACGCCCCTCTACTCGGTTTGCAGCCTCCTCGTAGGTTCGACTCCACTGAGCATACTCGTCCTGCGTCAAAATTCGCCAGGCCACACAGAGAGTTCGCAGTCCCGAGTTTGCAAACACTTCCATATCTCTCTGTGTTGCGTCCTTGAGAACTTGGTCGTGGTCAGAAGCCAGACGAGCGTACATGACGCTGTCGGCACCCTTGCTGAACATGACAATTTTACCCTCAGGCGATCGGTAAATGCAGCTCATTCGCTTGCGGGTCGAGTTGAATTCCAACACTCGAAGCAATGTCCACCGTTCAGTAACACCCAGAACTGAAATCTCGACCATCTCCCGACCCTTGTTAACGAAGGCAAAACCGACATCACGTGCAGCAGCAACGAGTGCAGCTTCGTCGGGGCTCTCAGCCTTATATTCCAGTTTAATCGAGCTCTTGTCGTCATCGAATGTGCCACCCTGCCGCTCCGACAGTACTGTGTGACAAAGCGAAAGAGCACGGAAAAACTGGATGAGATGAGGCTTGTCTGCTGAAGACTGGTCCGCCAAGTTGTTGGCAAGCGCGGGTGAAACCAAAGTGAGTTTGTCGGTACGAAGATATGGATTAGCCCAACCGCGTTCCATTGTCGTGATCATGTTTTGCTTTAGACCAGCAAGTTTGGCATCGAGCTCCTCCGGATCCACAGTGTCTGCTTTGCCTGCCCGGGTTGCAGCTCCTCTCTGGGCTTCGGTGACACCTTCTCCGTAAGCAACACCATTCACAGAGCATTTCTTAAACTCCATGACATTCTGTGTCAAAGTACCAGTTTTATCGGAAAAGACATATCTAGAATAGTTCAGCACCAGGTCAAATAACACAACGAAAGCTAGTCACGCACTCGATTTGACCGAGGTCGTCGCTGATATTCCATGTCTTGGGGACACACGGGGTATCGTAACCCTCATAGTACATGTCGATATCCTGGGAAATGAAGAATGCCTGGATGGTCTTGACTATTTCGATGGATATGTACAAGGAAATTGGGACAATATTCTGGAAAGCGATGATGCAAGATCTGGCAGTGCAGTGAGTAAATTTAGCAGGCTAATTTTTCGTCCGAAACTGACACGAAGGTAACAAGTGAGTTCAAGGCCACAATGTTGGTGGGATCCGCGCCGATTTCGTAGAAGCGCTTGCTAGTGGAGTCTCGCGCGTCTTCAAGACCATAAAAGATTGTGACAAGAATGCACATTATGAGCAGAACACCGAAGTTGACCGCAACATTAAAGTTGGTTTCCCGTTCGATCTGCAGCGCTGTCAATGACTAAAATTTGGAGGGAAATGACTCAAACTTTGCTGCGTTTACTGGGGGTATCACCACCATTCATCATGATCTTGGTGTCCGAGCCTGTGAAGACAACGAGACCAACAACCCAAGCGGTATTTCGAAGCATGCAGCCTCGCAACAACATTTCGTTGATGCTGACGGGCTCTGCACGGTCCTCCGGCCCTGCGTTTGCTAACTTTGGTCAGCATGTGGACAAACCGGAAGAAAGATGACTGACCATTAGGTTGTCGACCAGAGCCATGAAAATCGGCATTGTAATGCATGTTGTTGTTGGCGTGAGCATGGACGCTGGAGAAATTCGAATTGACTGAAGAGTAGTCTCGATACCGGAGCACCCCATTGTATAGGTACAAATTCTGGCTTGGGGGCTCCGATTCCAAAACGAAGCGTGCCCGCTGAACTTCTTCTTCGTTACATGACATACCGCGGGTCGCCGTCAGTGCTTTCCGCAGCTAAAACGAGGTTAGCACAGCATATAATGAAACACATCATCTTACCTTTAGGTTAGTCTCTCCATCCAGATTCTTGGTTTCGAGGTAGCAGTTTCCATCGGGGTCAGAGGTGGCGAGGACTATAATGTCGGCGGGGACCTAGTTGGAGAGTTAGTTGATGATCACATGGAATCAATGGGCCACATACTTGCTCGTTGTCTCTCAGGAGTACCAGATCACCAACATCAAGCTTTTTCCACAAAGTGCGTTCCCATTGTGCCGCACCCGGTCGTATATTGGGATCGAGAACTGGGGGAGGGGGATATGAGTGTGAGGTGGCGTTGGTGTGAGTGCTACGATCGTCACGAAGACCATCTAAGCTTCGAGCATCGACATTGAGTGAATTCTGACTGCCGAAGGGAACAGAAGCTGCCTCTGTCGCCCGCAACTTGCGAACACCTCGACTGACAGACCCAGGCTTATTCATGCCAAGCATCTTTTCGAAGAAGGAGCGAGGGTCCCGAGGTTGGTTTGGGTTCTTGAGAGGAAGGCGCGTGGTTGGCGAGTTGTTAACCTCGTCATCCAAATTACCCCGACGGTAGTCTTCAATGCCATCCTTGATGGCGGTCACGGTCAAGATGAAGGCCAGGGGTAACACGGCAACAGAACCCGCAGCAGCACCAAAGACGGGAAAGACTGCGTTGGTGAGACCAGTGAAATGATTATGGGACAAGAGATTCACCTTGGAAGACAACAACACTCAGGAAGAAGATATTGGCGATGCGACGGAACTGCTCGTACAGATTCTTAGGAACGAAGGTCAACGGGGTATATTCTAGACAAGATGAGTTTTCAGAGCTCAGGAGGTGAGTAATAATGGCGCACTGGCTGTCCGGACTTTATTCCGTGGGTATCTAACAGTAGGGTCGCCATTGCTGTCCAGCTCTGCGCGGGGTAGTGGAGTGTTGACATATATATTTCTCGGCTTGCCACCAGGCTGGGGCTTGCCCTCCTCCAGCCGTCTCTCCTTGTACTTCTCGCCTCGAGAACGAAAGAAGCGACGGCGACGTCGAGTTTGTCGGTCATCTGCAACAATACTCTCTGCTATTGCTGAAGCCGCGGTCCGAACGGTCCTTAGCCTGAGTTGAGGGTCAATATTGTCGTCTTCCTCGGAATCTTCGTTGGCGGGATCAACGCCACGAGGGCGCTTTCGAGAGGACATGGATGGAGGGAGGAGGGACGAGAGATTGATTTAGTCAGCGGCGCGGCTTCGATCAGCACTCCCAACACGCCCAGTTCACTCGGCATCTTGGCCGGTCAAAAGCACGAAGCAACAACCCACAGCTTTACTGATAGTATAGCTTTCGCACCAACGACTACCCGCACTATTAAAATGGAAATGTTGCCTCAAGACTCCTTAAGTCAAGAGTCGCTGCTTCTTGACAGGCTCAACTTTATCGCCCAGACTGGTTTTAGTCTAACCCATCACAAGCTCCACCCTGATGGAAGGAACTTACACTCCTAGCCATAACCGCCTGTTTTGGAATTCCGATTACATGCAAAAGCGATGGCCACAGGTACAGCCGTTTGCATAATTTCGTGAAAATGTCAAAAAGAATTCGCGCGCACGTGCCTGATGGCCGCCGCCGGCAAGCCTCATCAAAGCAGCAAAGCCGGACATTAATTTGCCGCGCATTAGGCACAGACTGGGCTTAACCCAAAATTGAGACCACAAAATATGTCTTCAGAGTGTACTATTTATAATCATAGAGGCTTATGTATTTACAAAGAATGTTTATGAGTACAGTACTCTGGCCCAAGTTGCCAAACTACTGTACTATTTCATTCAATTCTGCGGGCCTGTGACCTGTGACACATGTGGCAGAAATGTGCAATTCAGCCAAGGGGTGAATTTGGTGTGACCTCCTGCCTTATATGGAAGTTCTGCGCCGTAGGCGCGAAAACTTTTAAAAATTACCATTTTGGGACGGTTTAGAGCCAAAGAAACTTGCTGTGACCTGTGACAGGCAGAAAATTTTCGGCCAAAAAAGTCAATGTGACCGTGACAGGACTAATTGATTGAAATAGTACAGTATGGCTGCTAACCATCTATTTCCTGATCAATAGTGTGTACAATAAGTACATATAATCCTTCTCAGATATATTGGTCTACCAAGCAGCAATATGTTCCTACATCTGTGCTTACTTACCTGGATCTGAAATCTTCACAAGATCATGCAGGTCTATGTTGAAGTTTTGATGGTCTCAGTGTGACTCGCCGGAATGTTCTGGCACTTTCCACCTTATGCTGACTGATATTTTCCTGATTCCCTTAGAATATACTAGAAGAATGTATAACTAGTATATAAAACAGAATAGATAGTCAGCGTAGGGCATCGTTTGCCCTAACGCATAGATCACTCACCTGATTGCGATTGCAAACTTCTCGCTCTCTTTGATCCCGGATCAATGCTTATTTCAACACAAACGATCACGGTACACGGCACCGTTAACCCGCCCAGCATCGCGCCTCGCCCGCGCATGGGATTGGCCACTGTCCGACCTCACCGTCGACCGCCATCCCTTGGCCACTGCCCATCGGCTCCACGCGCCGAAGCCCACGTCACCTCCGCGCGCTTCTTCGCTTGGCGTTCCCACGCGCTCCCACGACGTCTCGGACTCACCGACGCCGGGCCGAGCCCGTTCTTTCGCTTGAGGCCGCCGCCCTCTGCCTCCTCTCGCAAATGGCTGCCGCCACCCTTGTGTTCCCAGGCTGGCAACCACTCCACCCCCATCGCTCTGATGCGATCGAACTGTTGGCATTGACGCCGCCGGCGTGCTGGATTCTTCTCGCTCACTGCACCACCTTACTCCGGGACTTGGCAACCGCTGTCCCACCTTCGGTCTTCCGCTCGCCACCGGAGCATCGCCGATCTCCCGCCATGGCTGCGCTATCCGACGCGCTGCTCATTGCGCCTCTGACCCGGCCCTCAACTCAGCCGGATCAACACCCCTGGGACCTGCTCTCTGTCCCACTGGCTACCCGCTCACAATCGGAGCGAGTGCCATTGCTGCCCGCTGCTTATGCGCCATTCACTTGGCATTCACGCGGCCTGTCGGCACCTCAGCCGTCCTCCCCGCACCTATTGCTGCTTGCACCGCGGACCGACGACGACGCTCAATGATGAAATTGGATGCACCCCTTCCTTCATCGACTATACCCCCCACCTACCCTATATCCATTTCTAATCAACAAATTCCTACCTTCCCACCCTGGATATTTACTCCTGACGGCACCTATGTCCAAAACCCAAACAGTACTTTGACCGTGACGATCTGGACATGTAGGCCTCGGCAATCCGAGTGTGCTTACACTTGCGGATGAGGCGCGCGAGCCGGTGACGAACTGCCAAAGGGCTGCGTAACTTGGTGTACTACATGATGCCAGAGGTATCTATGGACGGCAATCAGTTGATGGGGGAGCACAGACGGAATGGGGGAGCGGCTCGTCATGGGGGAGTGTTGAAGTTTTGATGGTCTCAGTGTGACTCGCCAGAATGTTCTGGCACTTTCCACCTTATGCTGACTGATATTTTCCTGATTCCCTTAGAATATACTAGAAGAATGTATAACTAGTATATAAAACAGAATAGATAGTCAGCGTAGGGCATCGTTTGCCCTAACGCATAGATCACTCACCTGATTGCGATTGCAAACTTCTCGCTCTCTTTGATCCCGGATCAACGCTTATTTCAACAGTCTAGGTTGCCGGCGCCGGCCATCAGGCACGTGCACGCGAATTCTTTTTGACATTTTCACGAAATTATGCAAACGGCTGTAGATTGGACTTCACCCTTGCTTCACCCCACTGGCAAGGCGCTCCGTTTTCGGGTAGGAACAATGTGCCTCTTTGGCTTCTCCAACAAGTCTATTCGCCATCCGCGTTTTTTCAGCAGGAAACACTTGGCAATATACTCTGCATTGCTTTGCATCCGACGACAAAAACGCAACTGAGTCTTCGTTTAGCTCTATGCTGGCCCGTTTGTAAAATAATTAATCAGCGATATATTTGGGGATACGCGCGAAAGTTTGAGTGCGCGAGCGAAAGTTTTTGGTGCGCGAGCGAAATTTGATACCCGCGCGAGAATTTTCATGGGCGGCCCTAATCGGCCGGGATGACTTGTCGGGATTATGTCATACTGACCAATGAGCTTCGCTGTGTTCTGAATGACTTCCCATGCATACTTGGCATCCAGAGTGAGGGAGGCCCGAGTACATGCGAGGACATGTATGAGCTGACTGGAATGAGCTGAATGCTTAGCTGGATTTGAACTGCTTGGAAAGACGCATCAATTATCAATGATGCGCCAATCACTTGACGTGACAGATCCCGCGTGTCTCGTAAGCCTCCTTCGTCCTGTCACCTGATTGAGAGCCTTCAGAGAGTTGCAGAGGAGCCTTGTTCTAATCTAATTGTGAGCTGGCTGTGCGAGGCACGAGCACAGTCAGCGGGAGATAAGATGGCGATCGTATGGGAGGAAGCACCACTGTAGTAGTACTCGAATACACTTGTGTGACTGACGTGACTTCTCGCGTTTACCGCGTCTTCAACTTCTCTAGCCCTCTTCCTCATCCACTCTTGCCTTACCAGCCTTTCGCGCGCCCAGCCCTCCCTCCTCCGCGCTTCTGGGCTGTCCGGCTTCGCTTTGGCGACGGACTTGCAGGCTCAGTTTCGCGTCGCGTTGCCCGTCTGGGGCGTGCAGCCGGGCTTGCCGTTTGGGGCCTTTTGTCCTCCTTTCCAGGACAGAGCTTCTGGCGCCCGGCAGTCACGTGCCAGGCCGGGCACGCCCGGCACAATATCCACGCGAAGCTTGCCTTTTCCCCAGTCTTCTTTGCATTCACACCCTTGTGGTCATAGTCTTCATTTTTACCTCTTTCACCAATATCCTACAGCTACCCTAAGGGCTTCCATCCCAGGAGGAGCCATCTTATTCTTATTTAGTTGTTATTTATTAGCTACTTTTACTCTGGACTAATCCAAATCAGGGCCAACTTCAATACTCCTTATGAATTTGAGTACGCGGATCAGCCAGATCCGTTGTTTATAGAACAAACCGGGGTCCCTTTGTAAAATGACACTATTATCGATAGATAGGCTCAGGAGACTCTGGCAACATCGATATCTGAACCACAGTTGCAAGTCTGCCCGACTCCAAGCCCGTCGGCCATCAATCAATCACCCCAATATAGGCAGCCGATGGGTTCGGCTGATTAGCGCCGACTTAGGCGCCCATGAAAATTCTCGCGCGGGTATCAAATTTCGCTCGCGCACTAAAAACTTTCGCTCGCGCACTCAAACTTTCGCGCGTATCCCCAAATATATCGCTGATTAATTATTTTACAAACGGGCCAGCATATAGCTCTACTAGAGGTTCAGTTACAAATACTTCAATCTAGCATTGAATCTGATAGCCTTCAATTTACCAAACATTCCTGTTCTCGGTATCTCGGTCCAGGCCGTTCATTCTGCTGGTTTTCGCAGAATTTTCCCTGGCTAAAACTATCTCGGCCTTCCTTTAGAGAGACTGACGAAATTTCGCGATTCCTCCCTCCCGCACATTGCCGACTAGCGGCTTCCGCGTAACTCTCCAGTCCATTGCTTCGAGGGTAACTATTAGGCATCCAACGATGTAATGAAGAGTGTTGCAGTAGTATCTTGCAGTAATGCGGACGTTCAGAACTGCTATATGTGAACAGACTTGAGCAATGGCAAGAGAAAAATCATCTGCGAAGCCAAATACCTTGTGCGAGTGCGCCAATATATTGCCTTGGTGCCGATTAAAGCATGTGAGTAATCGCCAGCAACCTGAAGGGGCCATCATTGTCTCCCCAGCTTGAAGACGCAATAAAGAACAATAGTACCGAGCATCGAAATCGCAGAGGCACAGAAGTTATAAGTATCTTGGGGTCCTTGAGCGCTTGAGCGATAACGGTCCAGCCACATTATTTGATGATGTCGTGAGTTCCACTAGACCTAAGTATCTTGAAGACATGGTCATGAAACGACGACGATAACACGAGGGATGGGATATTTGTTGCTTGCATATCTTCTTCAAAGCTACTCTGAAGTCTATTGACGAAAATCAAGTCAAATTCGAGGGTGACACCGTTGATAACTGGATGCTGGGCTTTCAAGCATTTGAAAGCAACATGTCGGTTACTCTGGTACCCATAGCTGTGATCTGTACTTTTAAAACAGCTCCGCGATTTTGAAGAGCGTCCGCCGCGAGATGACACTGGAAGATCCAAAAGACATCTGATGGTCCGTGCGTTTTCAGTCCAAAAGGCCTTATTGGATCAATTTCAGCCAAATATTATGGATAAATAGTGTGCAGGATGGCTCCTGCGGTATGACACGTCGCCTATAGATGACGAAGCTGCAGGGTCCCTGACGAGGGATAGTAAAAAGAAATGCAAAAAGGATGTTGATGTTCTTGGTGTTGGGCACGTGCTGAGAAAGGTCACACAATCGTTCATATCGCGTCTTGTTTCCTGCCTTCATCGTTTCCCCAACCAACATGCCCCGAAAAGCTGCTACCACTGAAGGTGATGCGACTGAGCCTCGTCGCTCTAGCCGTATCAAGGAACTTCCCAAGGCCGAGGCACCTCCCAAGAAGGTCACCAAGCCTCGCGCGAAGAAAGAGCCCAAGGAGGGTGAGGAAGAGAAGCCTAAGCGAGGTCGCAAGCGCAAGGAACCTGCCACTGACGGTGAAGAGACTACCGATGCTCCTGCTGCCAAGAAGGTCAGTCGATGGCGAGTTGCTCAATGGTCTGCTCTGAACGTCGATAGGCCAAAGCTGGATCCAAACCACCCTCAAAGGCTGCCCCGGCCTCCAAGCCTGCCTCCAAGGTCACCAAACCATCTTCCAAGGCCTCCGTTAAGCCTGCCTCTCGTGCTGGCTCCAAGAAACCCGTTTCCAAGGTTAGTCGCTTTATTTTGTCTCACATCTGCTTAACACCTGGTCATAGGCCGATACTACTGCGCCGGCGTCTGCAGCCCCCGCTGTTGAAGAGACTATCCAAGAGGAACCCGAGGAAGAGGCTGCAGCTGAGGTATCTGCTCTTGTTACTCGTCTGTCCAATACTCATACGAGATCAGGAGTAAACCAGCCAGCCTTGATCGCTGTCGCTTTGCTATCGGTTATCCATATCTATCCGCGTGTCAACCATACTGTTGTGTGTATGTACGTTTGTGTAACCTCTTCCCCATTCTACTACGACTCGGTGTTGGATTGAGCTTCTATCTTCGACTACATAGGAACACATGTACCTTGTTTCGACACCTTATATTCACATTATTGTAAGACCAAATGGTTGATATGCCTCAAGGTTCGTCCATTCCAACAAAAGACCCCATTCCACTGGCAATGTTGTCCACCACACCCCCAGACGACTGCTCCTCGTTACTCGACGGCGTCTTCTCCCCATTTTCCTTCATCATGGCTTCCACCGCCGGCCCCGTCTGATGTGCGGCAATGGATGATAGAGTTGCGGGTGGTACATATTGCTTCACTGCACCAGCAATGGCTGAAGCAAGGTCACGCGACGGCATACCGAGTGCATCAGCTAGTGCGTTGATTCTTTCTTCAACACTCTCTCCACCGCGACCCTTCGTATGTGTTGTGGTTTTTATCTGTTCTGGACGTTGCCCAGTTGCGAGATTCCACCTGAAGAGATTAGGGCGACCGACATGGAAGACATATCTGCTGACCATCCGCCGACTTGAGTTTTCCATTGAAGAACTCGATAGCCGTAGTATGCAGAAAGGAGTGTCGAGATGATGAGCAACAAGTAAATCAAGCGATTTAGACGCGTTGAGCTTAGGGGTGCTGAAACCGGTCGTAGAGGAGGGCCTTCGCGTTTCGGGGGGAGATTACTCGAAGAGGTTTTGCGAGACATGGTTGTTTGGGGCACTTGAGGCGCTTTGAGCCGGCTTTTGAAGGTTTGCGGAGTCTTGAGGGCGTCAGTGATGACATGATTTGTTTGGCAGAGCTCGCTATGCCAAACATTGATCCTCACATCGTCCTCCTGCGATGTCGTTACCGCGCTCCCAATATGACCCCCGCCGCGTCTGCCTGAATCCATTTCCGAACGTTGACTTTGGGAAGCACCGCAGGACGGTTGGAGTATACCTGTCTGGTGCTCTTGTCTGTTGTTTACAAACCTAACTTTTTCTTCCTCGCTGACAATCCGCAGTTTGCGCTGGCTTACTGGGTATTTCTCGACGCCTGTATCATCTCGAAGCACGCAAAGGCTCCCTGGGGACCACCGGATGATCCAGCACCAGCACCAGTTCATGTTACTTTCGTTGACTGGATCCCCGGTCTTTGCTCCCTCTTGGGTTTCCTTGTCATCAATCTCATCGACAAAGACCGCGTCAGAGGCGACGAAAACTTCGGTGATGCTCGTGCTGTCTGGAGAGCCCGCTTGTTTTTGTTTGTCGGTTTTGCTCTGATGGCTGGAGGTTTGGCGGGCAGTGTCGTGCGTCTCTTTCTTCACCTGCTTGGTTTTGCCATGTTGACTGACGTCTTTCTTCCAAGACTGTACTTGTTATCAAGTACATAATGCCTGAGTATCCCGACGCGTTCAAGTATTATGGCTACGCGAATGTCACCCAGAATGTCGCACTGATGCTCTCCGTGGTGATTCTTTGGATGGCTCAGAACACGCCAAGCGAGTACGAGTACAATCTCACTCTGTAGAATCTGACTGTGGGCATGTTTTGCATCGGTTGTTTGTATTCATCTGAAACTAACTATCACTTTTGCCTGCCAAAACGCTCCGTCCAATCCTAATCTCCGCTCGTGCTTCCACCCGTGCTTCGAGGCGTGGCTTATACCCGACGTTGTCCGGCCTTGGATAATGACATCGTAGCGGCATGGGACTTGAGAAGCATTTGGATCATAAGACGAGCAATTCTCCGTTCTCTACATGTGAACTAGTCGCGTCAGTGGGAATTATCGGGAGATTTCGGGGGGACAACAGGTGGACGTTGTTGGTTTGCGAGCGATAGACTCATGCGGCCCGTCTTAGCTTGGGAGGTAATCATGACGAAAGCGGGGGTCGGCTGTCCGTTGGCATCACATGTCGATCAAGGCTACATTAGCTCTCACCGAAGCCTCGTTCATCCCTTGTTCCCCACCCACCATCTCCAAGGCTAAGCCTTCCGACAAACTCCCCTAAGCTCCTGCACGCCCTATTATATCAGCCAGGGCATTACTGCCATTCTCGATCGACCGTTCCCTCCCTAGAAAGTCAACCCTTCACACGACCTTTTAGACTACATCGACCATGTCGTCCGCAACACAGAAGAAGCAGCCTTATCCATTCTGGCTCGGAGGTATGTCCCTGTGCTTGACTCTTCATGCGATTTCAACCTGGCCAGGGGTGGCGGCGACAATTGCAGCGTCCATTACGCAGTAGGCTCAGATTACCATCCCCCCCAAAAATCGATGATTACCTGACGCAATATAGTCCGCTTGACTTGACGAAAGTCAGACTACAAGCATCGGGCGACAAGCGCATGATAGAGAGTATAACGAAGACATATAGAACTGCCGGTGTGTACCATCTCCCCTGGTGGGAAATCTATTGATGGGTTTGCATCTCAGGCGCTCGCGGACTGTTCGACGGAATTAGTGGGACATGGATGCGTCAAATGTCGTATTCCCTTTGTCGATTCTGGGCATACGACGAAAGCAAGAAGATTGTCGGGGCCGGCAAAGACGCGCCGGCCTGGAAACTGGCATTAGCCGGAAGTATGGGTGTGTGGCGTTGTTGGACTTAATGAATCCCTACCTGATGGGGTGACTTTAGCCGGTGGAATTGCTGGATTCGTCGGGAATCCTGGAGGCAAGTCATCGAACGCAATTATCAATTGCTGCCATTGACTTGTGTTGCAGAAATTGTGATGGTCCGCTTGCAAGGAGACTTTGCGAAGCCACCAGAGAAGCGTTTCAACTACAAGAACTGTTTCGACGCACTTTTCAGGGTATAAACTAGTGTTGAAAGGGTGATACTCCGCTCACCTCTTCCTAGATGGTTCGTGAAGAGGGTGTCTCCTCTCTGGCTCGGGGTGTTGGGCCCAATGTTTTCCGTGCTATCCTCATGAATGCTAGTCAACTTGCATCGTGCGCACAGATCTCCCATCTCCGATTTCTGCTTACTTATCGGACCAGATACGACTTCTTCAAAGCTGAACTCTTGAAGACCTCATACTTTGAAGACAACATCGCGTGTCATTTCACGGCTAGCTTTGCTGCGGGAACGGTTGCCACCACAGTTTGTTCTCCTGCTGACGTTATCAAGAGCCGTATCATGAACGCGTCTGGCCCTGGCTCGAGCGTATGGTTAACTCAGCATCTGCACCAATTTACTGATGGTTCAACTAGTCAACCCTTGGAGTCATTCGCGCTTCCCTCAAGAACGAGGGCGCTTTATTCATGTTCAAAGGCTGGGTCCCAGCCTGGACACGTTTACAACCTACAACAATCCTGATTTTCCTCACGCTTGAGCAGCTCAAGAACGGTGTTGACTTTTCACGCCGACATGGGTATACCTGGGCGTAGGCAACCCAACGATTCACGCCTAATGACAGGGACAAACTTCACTTGATTTTGTTCCACTGTCTTGTACTTCCCCTGGAAAAGGCCGGGGGTGTAATTTCCTTTGCTTTGTTTGTTCAAGTTCAAGTTGTACATTTCCACCATGATGTACGACAGTGTAGGGACGTTGTAAGCGTGGTATGGCGATGACGTGAATACCAGCACTTTTGAGCGTCTGTTTCGGCGCTACAGTAATTTCACGGCCATGGCTTGTTATGGGTTTCTTGCGCCTCATTTCACAGCACGCCGTATCCGCATGAGGAAGTTCTGAACTTGTCACAAACGCGTAATCCCCGTTTGGACGACTAAACAGCTTGATTCAGAAACGCGAGCGTATTTAAGACGTCTGTCGCCCTCAATGCCTGCACCACACCACCCACCATCCCAACACCACACCACACCACACCACTGACATCGTCAACTTGATATCGGAATACTAATGTGGGCCTGTCGTAGATTTGGATGCACTGCGGTCCATTGTAGTGCCTGTACCCCACGAATGGCACACTACTGCAAGTATTTGTCCTGGCTTCAAATCTACGCTCCTTATCTGATCTTGTAGCATTCGTCCCTCCCAGCCCTTCTGTGGCTTATGTTAACCCCAATTCGCCTTCACAAGTCAGCGCTAGCGGTCCGCCTCTCGCGACTTGGTCGTCTCCTCAGACTGGAACAACCGTTTTGCAATATGCAAACGCAAGGGTGCAAGTTGACACATCGCCAGGCTACAGCTATACTCCGCACCCTTCAAATACCGTTTATTATCCGTCGTGGGCTTATCCGTCGTGGGCTTACCCTGCGTGGTACAATCATCACTACTGGGGATGGTATTGAAGTGTTGAGCGTTTCTGTATCTTTATTTCGGACACAAATGGGAATCAGGTTGCCTTTTGGGTAGTTTGAACTTTGCGAACAACCTAAGCGCGATCAATAACGTGTGACCTGTAACGTATCCAAAATTCCTCCCTGCCAAATGGCTGCTCGGGTTTGCAGATACAGTACTAGCACGCTCTCCCCTCGACTAACCAACCTTCGAGTAACGAGCACTCCACCTGAGTCCTCGACTTCTGCCCTATCGACACCGACCGAAGCAGAATCCATCGCTGCCCAGGCAACACACTTTAAAATCACCCTTCGTCGCTCAGCCATTTCGTTGGGGGACAAGAAGAAAAGGCACACTCGCTGCTCTGGGACTATATAGGCGGCATCAGACAGTCTTTCATCCTCACAAACCTGATATTGCCGGCAAGATATTGGCCGTGAAGGAGCTGCTCGAGGTTACGAATGTCCCAGCAACGGAGGTCAGGGATAAGCAGGCCCAGAAACTGGAGAGGAAGGCGCCCAAAGGGTTCGAAGTAGTTAAATCGAGATTAGGTGGCTTGGAGGGAGTTTAGACAAGTGCGCTACCATTTTTTTCTCAAAAATAGTTAGTTGAGCTAACTTATAAACGCGAGCACAGCGAGAAACAGACACTCTGTTGTGCTTAACATCTACCTATGATTGATTTCTTATAGCTATTCGCCTCAATGTACACTACCTTGCATCGTTTTATCGCATGTTCCTTTTCGCCCACTCTCACCAAGTTCAAAATTCCGTCCAGTCACGTCATTTGTGAGAAGACTCGTGGTTGGGACGAAATGCCTGGAATAGCTCTCTTGGTCGCACGTAACACCTGAGCCTTCTTGCCACCATGAGCTGGAGTCTCGCCGCCGAAATCCTTGTCGCTCTCAGTCTTATTCTACTTGGGAACGCCTCTGTCATCAATATCACCTTGGACGACCACTCCCCACAAATTATCTATCCCGCGCTCTTATCCTCCGAAAGCCGCATTTTATGCCCTTCCGAGACCTCATTGTCGTGTAGCGAGAGTTTTGCATCTCAATTATTCAACGGGACATCCACCACAACGACTGCCCTTGTTGTTGTCCCATTCACCGGTATTGATATCTGAAAAATATGGCTTGTACCACTAACTGTTGCAGGCTCTGCTGTCTATGTCACCCTTTGGGGTCAATGGCGCTGCCACGTTTGGTATTGATGGCACCTGGGTTTCTGAACACATCGACAGCGATATCAACCATGTTGTCCCCGCTCTTGCACTCACAAATCTCTCTGAAGGACCTCATGTGCTTACAATGCGTGGCTCAGCCAATGATTCCGCAGTTCCTATCCAGCTTGATTTCCTCATCTACACGTGTGTATGCACTTCACCTTATTTTATTTCCTACAACCTCTGTTCACAGTCAAAATATGGAGTCGATCTCCGGCCATCTCTCTCGCTCTGCTCGCATTGGAGCAATCGTGGGCGGTGTACTTGGCGGGCTAGCGCTGATTGCTGCTTCACTTTTCCTCGGTGCAATAAGTCTGCGAAAGCGAGCACAAGGTAAACGACGAGGATCAAGAGCATTGTGGCTCCGTCAAGAGTGGGCGGAGAGGCCAAGCGGCATTGTAATGGAAGGGGTGGAGGCCAACACGCATAAGTAGAGGGTTTGAATAAGCATAAAAAGGCATAAAATACATAAAAAAGTTTTCCAAACGGGGAAATACCAATATTTTTGGATCGGATTTGCTCTTCACTTCCACAAGCGATGGCGCGTACGGCCGGCCGAGCACCTTTATCCTCAAGTGCCAAGACATCCTCCGCAAAGCACCACTCTTTTAAGGGCAAAGGCAAAGCGCAAGCGAATGCGGCTGGGTACCTTAAACGCAAAGCTGCTTCAACCGGGAAGAAAACTCAAGACCAGGTCCAGGATGTCTACGAGGAGTTCGATGCAGACGACCGCAAGAGGAAGGCGCTTCCTGGGCGAAGGAAACTCCGCAAAGAGACAAAGCGGCTGGAGTACGATTGGGGTGAAGACGGGTATGCTGCCCGTGTGTCTGAAGATGAAGGAGAAAATGAGAGTGGAAGCAAACAGCCAAGGCTCTTTGGAGAGGGAGACGAGATTGGCAGCTCAGAGGACGAGGATATTGATAGCGACGCTGCATTCGAGGACGAGGATGGGGTAGCAGATGGGTTTGGTGGTGTTTTCAAGCGGGTGAGTTTATCGACGGTCTTCTTGCCTAGGCATTGACCGAACAAATTATACAGAAGAAACAGCCCACGAAAAAGAAACAACCCAAACCTCCAGCAAGGTTTGCGGATGTCGATCTAGACGAAGACGAAGATATCGGCGCTGCCCATTCTGAAGTTGAATCAAACTCGGATTTAGATGAAGATGAGGAGGAAGAGTCTCTTGACTCTGACGTTTATATTGACGTTCTCGACGTTCTGGATGGCAAAGGTCAAGTTTGGAATGGGGAAGAATCTGACAGCGAGTCTGGAGAACCGAAACCGAAACCTGCTGCCAAACCCATCCCGCTGCGCGACCCGGTCGTGGAGTCAGATGACAATGACGATGCTGCTGTCGGTTCAGAGGACGGCAACTCCGACTTGGGCTCAATGGACATAGACACCTCACCAGAAGCGCTAACCGCGTTACACAATCTCATTTCCTCCCTTCCTTCAGACGCGCCTCCTGCCAAACGCAAGGCTGACGGAGATCTCTCGACCTCCGCGCCACGTAAAAGACGCGCTATCAACCTCAAAGAACGTACTCAGGCGGGAGTTGAGGGAGAATTTGCTGTTGGTACCGCATCATCTAGCAAGCTCACCCTCGATGACTTCCTCCAACCTCTCGCAACAGAATCGGGCATGTCGGATGTGCGCAAAAATCTTGCCGCTCTCGACAAGAAAAAGACGAAGAAGAACGGGCCCGGATTGCTCTCTGCTCCTTTACCTACGAGGGTACAAGACCGAATAGATCGGACAGCAGCATATGAAGAGACTCGCCAGGAGGTACAAAAGTGGGAAGGCAGTATGAAGCTTTTGAGGGAAGCCGAGCACTTGAGTTTCCCGTTGCAGCAACAGAAGCCAGCCAAGGTGTCTAGTGCTGAACTGGCCAATAAGTTCATTGTCAGTCCTTTATTCCCTTTGTACTTATTGCTGTTGCTAATGAGTGAAAAACCAGCCAGCGACGAACCTCGAAACCGCAGTCTCGCGGCTCCTTTTGGCAGCACAACTAGCGCAAGAAGGGGATATTGCAAACACTGAAAACTCCCTTCTCGCACAATCCGAGTTATCTCCGGAAGAAATCCTCCAACGGCGGAACGAACTGAGGATGATGCGCGAATTGGCATTCCGTGCTGAGGTTAAAGCGAGGAGAGTGGGAAAAATCAAAAGCAAGGCATTCAGGAAAATCGCCAGAGGAAAGAAAAAGCGGGAGGCGAATGTGGCCGATAGAGCTGATGGTGCAAGTGATGACGACGAAGAGAAGAGGATCCAGAGAGAGGTCGAGCGCGCAAAGTCTAGAGCGGGCTTGAAAGTCAAACGAAGTGCCAAGTGGGAGAAAGAAAGAACTGGTGGAGATGAAGAGACGGAAAATTTGAGAAGCGAAGTGTTGGAGAATATCGATCGTGAGGAACGATTGCAGAGACTTATTCGTGGTGAAGACAGCCATGGCGATTTCGACTCGGACTCGGACTCGGACTCGGACAACGACCCTGAGAGCATCAAACGCAAAGCACTCGCGAAAGTTGCTGCCCTTGACGAGGCCGAACTGGGACTCGACCCTAACAAAACCAAAGGCGTATTCGGGATGAAGTTCATGCAAGATGCAATGCGACGCAAGGCAGCTGAGGCGCAAGGAATAGTAGACGATTTTGAGGCGGAGTTAGGGAGATTAGAAAAAGAGACAACCGATGATGACACCGAGGGAGTTGTCATACAGCGAACTGGCGGAAGGGTTGTCGCGCAGCCCTCGGAGGTCAAGAAAACCAGAGTCAAGGTCTGTTGCTAGATTGTTTTCCGTTCTATCTTTTTTAATTCCTTGACAGACTGCACCAATCACCACACAACCAGCCCCGTCAACCACCACTTTACGCCCAATATCAATGGCCACTGCCACACGTTCCTTGCTCTCCGCTCCTGTCCCGGCTCAAGAAGAGGAAGAAAGCAATCCATGGCTCATGATGTCGGGTTCTTCAGGTGCCAAGCCAACGAAAAAGAAAAACACGGTAGTCGTCAGCAAGGAAAGTGGTGCCGCAGATAGAGCGGGTTATAAACTGGGCAAAGCCGAGAGGAAACACACGAATGGGGCGAATGGCGATCCGGCTGAAGGCGCTGATATCGACTTGAATAAACTACTCAGCGACGGCTACGACGAATCGAAAAGCCAGAAGAAGAAAACAAACACAAAAACAGTTGACAAGGCCACTGATGAGAATTCAGACGACGAGCATAATAGTGAAGTTGAGGCACAGGAGACCATGCTCGCAAACAAAAAAAGAGGTGCAGCTAAGCAAGGAGCGTTCGAACAACGCGAACTCGTCGCGAAAGCATTCGCGGGAGATAACGTTGTCAGGGTACGCAGGGTTTCTGTTGGTGATCTGATTTTTTATCTTCGATAGGACTTCGAAGAGGCCAAACAACGCGAACTCGCTTCCGACGCTCCTCAAGAAATTGATCTCACGTTACCTGGCTGGGGTTCTTGGGGAGGACCACACGCGTCATCTAAACCTAACAAGAAAAGGTTTACGAAACACATTCCAGGCATCCTCCCAACGGCCCGAGCCGACCATGGCAAGGCACACGTTATCATTTCAGAGAAAGTGGACAAAAAGGCCAGCAAGTATTTAGTGAATGACCTGCCATATCCGTACACTAGCAAGGCGCAGTATGAGCGTAGCTTGGAAACGCCAGTGGGACGAGAATGGAATACTAGGGTGGCGTTCCAAAGGGGAACACTACCTAAAGTGGTTAAGAAGGTCTGTGTGTCTCTCAAACCAAAGAGGAAACGTGTTCATTCGTTGCGCGCAGATGGGGACCGTTATCGAGCCATTACAGAAACTTGTATAGAGTTCCTCTTCGAGATTTCATCTTGCTTGACTTCATCGCGATCACATGAGATTCTGGCAACACAAATTAGGTAAGATGATCGGCAAGTGGTCTGTGCACGGTATTAAAGGAGAGCGCGTCTATCAGGGGTGGATAGTCTTACTTCCATGACCAGGCTATCTTCTTTGCCCTACAGCGGCCCGCCTCTCTCAGGCTCTCTTCTTCCCCTCGTTCCTGCAACCATTCTGTAAGGTCTTAGTTGAAGAAGAAATGACTGCCAATGAGAAATTTACAGCTGGAGTGTCCTCATGCTGAGTGTTAGTATGCCTTTAGAGGGTGCTCTGGTCCGATTTCGGGCGAACTATGCACCGAGTCGGGTTCAACTACCTCAAGATTCCGATTACGAGTCTCCAATCAATGATATGAAGTCATACTTCGGAATGCTCAAACGCGTGCGTAGGCTTGAGGGATGGGCAGGACTGTACAAAGGAATAAGTTCGTGGTTCTCCTCGTGTTCTGTTCCGCCACATGACCTGGACAGTGCCTTCGATAATTGAAGTTGTCTTGTCTGTGGTCCTGATTGGGCCACTGGTCGCGTTGTTCTCGGTCACGCCAGTCTACGCGAACCACACTCGTATGTGCACTACCTGATATGGATTAAATTCTCAGTTTATCTAACAGCGGCATATATGATCCTCATAACCGTCCCCATTCTTCTGCTACTGCCAGTGGAAATCATCAAGAATCGGTGCATCTGGTGTCAAGTTTTCTCCTGATGTATGAAGACTGACAAAGGAAATAGTGTTATCACGACACCCTATAAATTTACTGCCTTCCAGCCCAGTATCGCTTTGCAGGTCCTTCTGTCGCCAGCGGAGAGGGCTCACCCCCTACGACTCTATCTTCTCCCAGGTGTAGCCGTTGCGGCGATTGTTCCGGTGTTCTTTATCGTTGGCGCATCCCTACTTTGGCGGTTTATTACCCTGAAACTCGTCTTTCACCATGGTTTAAAACTGTGGTCTTGGACGTGGAGTCATACCGTATACCGGTTTTTCTCTGTCGTTTTACTTGTGTTGACGTCTGCGCTTGTGACGCCGCTCCGTGTCATGACTATACGCCTTTCGCTGCAATGCTTGCAGAGGGAGGAACCAAATGACCCGGAGCAACAATCAGGACACCACCATGATAATTCCCAGGCCGTTTACACCTCTGAAGAAGTGGTCGAAATCCGTGCGGGCCTGCCGCCATACACATCAGCTAAAGACTGTGCGAAACGGATCATGGAGGAAGAAGGAAAACAGGCACTTTTCCGTGGATGGTGGATCACTGCATTGGGACTTGCCCCCATGTTCTTGTCAACTTGATTTTTATTTCCTAGTCTACAGCAAAAAAACATTAGTACATGAACAATGAGCCTACTCTGCTGCTTTTTTCTTTTTCTCTTCAACCAGCTCGACGTTGTCTGCAGGAATTCCTTTCAGCACGCCGACCTGGTTTTCAATCATCTCGAGCACTTCGTCACTGACATCGCCGGATATGACAATCTCTTCCAGACCCTGAGGGTTCTTCGTGACAGAAGCACCCGTCGCGAATTTGGACGCAAACTGCTTTGCTGCTTTCTTCAGATCGATGTCGAAAGCCTCCAGCCCAAATACGGTCGTTATGCATTTTCGCTTGTTCCGCTCTGACCGCTTTATTATCACCTGGAAGGCATGTCAATGGTCATATAGGTGCTGGAATCGAGCACACTGTAACACACCTGTGAAGCCATCTTCTTCTTCAACGCCGCCTCCGCTTTGGCCTCTGCCTTGACCTCCTTCTTCGCCACATCTTTCTCCAGTTTCGATTGCGCCTCCAGACTCAGCGTGCCGACTTTGGTTTGTAGCGCCTCTGTGTGGCTTCTCATTAGTTGCGCCAGTTGATTAGTCGGCAGCAAAGCAAACCTTCGGAATAATACTTGTCGAACAGGTTAGGATGGTGGTCCTTTAGCCAGTCTTTACATCTTGTGAGGCTGGATCCAAATTCACAATATTCGGGGGGGTATGTGCAAACTGAAGCCCGGATTTTAGCAACAACCGTTGGGGAAGACATCACGTAGCTGACCCCCGCAGTAGAGCATGGAAACAGGGGGTACTGGCTCGGGAGGCGGTGGCGCATTGGGATCTACGACCGGCTCTGGCTCGGTTGCTGCTGCTGCTGCTGCTACGCCGCCTTTGCCTTTCTTGCCCATTCGGCGAGTCGATAACAGATCGTGGGAAGATCGGATACTCGACCACGTGACGAAGGTATGTACATGCTTGCCAACGCCAAGGGTTTCTCCAAAAATAAGTCAAGGCATGATGTATTGGAGCGTAACGCGTCCGGGCGCCGTTGTCCACTGGTTAGTCGGTGGGCGTGAATCGCAACCCAAGGTGCATGATCACATATACGGGTTACTTTATGGTGACTACTACTAGTAGTGCAATTAAGGGAGCTTGAACATGGCTGGTCCAGCCATAGTAGTTTAATCCGGCTCTCAGCATTCCAAGAGAGAAACCGCATCAAATCTAATTCTGTCGCGCATGTGAACTTCTTGGCGCGGAACAACGCGAGTAAATCGCGGCAAGTACTTTGGTTGGATCCACAACAATTTATTTTCTGGAACCTGGACAGTTCCGAGGCAGAGCTGAAAGCTCCCGCACAAATAGCGCAATGCTGACCATCCCAAATATCGGTGCTCGATCCATCGTTTGGGTTCTGCAAAGGAATCTTCAGCGCAAGTGGGCCGCGGCGGGTAGAAATTGTATTTGTGTGTCGGCCGGGGCGACTTGGATCTCAATGCACGACGGGTGTAGCAGGACATGGATGCGAATTGGAGCTGCGTTGCTAGCAAATGTGCCAGACAAAAGGCGAGCTGACCCGTTAATTCGGTGTTCGACTCGTTTTCGGATAGAAAAATACGCGCCGCTGCGAAGTATAAAATCCTCTGCAGGTTGGAGTTGGATGAACTAGCAAACATGCACCAAGCTTTTCTCGTCTTCGCACTCGCCGCTACCACCGGAATTGTCCATGCTGCCAGTGGCTTCGGCTCAGTTTGCACCAACATCGTCTTCAGCGACGGTTCCGACGACTTGGCGGCTGATTGCACGTCTGGCGGCGTCACCCGTCATTCGGATGTGAACCTCAATGGCTGCCTCATCGTCAACAATAACATGATGAAGTGCCAACACAAGTGAGCGGAGACCTGGAAGGCGAGACAATACTGACGATTCGTCAGTGGAAGCCCACAGTTTTCGAACCAATGCACCGGCTGCTCCCTTTCTGGAACGACACTCTCTTGCAGCTGCACTGGTCACCCCTCAAGCATTAATTTGAGTGAGCGGTGCATTTCGGCAGCGGTATAGCATTGACCATGTTGCACAGATAACTGCGTTGGTTTGAACTCGGCAGGACTTCTGACTTGTGCATAAGTGTGCGGACATTGGCTCTGGCAGATAAAGTCGAGGATACATATGGCGATAAGAAATGCTGTACTGGTTAAATTGGATAACGTCTGACCTACCGTACTAGTAAGCATATAAGTTGCCAGTGGATCTGAGCGTAGGAGTAGCAACGACTCCGAGTCAAAGCGCCAGAGTGGAATACTGAGTGTTGCCAGTAAATTCAGCAGCCATAACACCGAGCAGGGGCGTCACACCGGATTTAGCAAAATATATCTTGTTGCTGAAACGGTCGCTGAAACTGTCGGGGAAAACCGGAAGCGACCCGATTGGAACGGCACATTCGGCCCGCTCAGCCGCTCCAATCGGGTCGCTTCCGGTTTTCCCCGACAATTTCAGCGACCGTTTCAGCCGCGAGATATATTTTACTAAATGCGGTGTGCGTGATATTTGAGCAAAGAATGGTTGCTGGCGTCAGAAACTAAGCGGCAAAGTCACACACACCGTGACCGTGAGAATTCTCCGTCTGATCGGGCTCACGCGAAAGTCCTTGACCTCTTCCTACACCTTTCAGCCTGAATTGCATCCCTCTACCTACGGTCCCAGACGGATGGCTTACGAGCACGCGTCTTGAGCCTCTCAGTCAGCAATGACTGTCCGTCGCCTTCATGAGTAAGTCAAAGCAAGGCTTTATGGTATATAAGCGTCTGTGCTATGCATATTTCGTCTACTCCACTTTACCAATCTCATGTCTACAAAGCCTCTTGTCTTGGTGTGTTGTTTAGCTTCATGGCCATCGTTTCTTACAACCAGCTCAGGTCACCGGTGCTTCAGGATTTCTCGGATCCGTTGTCGTCCACCAGCTGCTTGAAGCCGGCTTTCCGGTTAGAGGGTAAACCATTTGTTTCTTCTATCCTACTCCGCTTCTCATCCGGTTTACAATCTAGCGCAGCTCGTGGCCGAAAAGTTGCGGCTCTCCAAGAATCCTTCGCCAAATACCCTCAGTTTAAAGTGGTCGAGATAGCAGATGTTGCCACATCGGACTATAGAGAAGCGCTTGACGGAGTCGGCGCTATTATTCATACTGCGGCACCCCTTCCAGGGCGTGTGGACAACGCGACAGCTCTAAAAATCGCAATTGACGGCTCTTTGCATATCCTTCGTGAGGCAACCAAAGCTGGAGTTGGCAAAGTTGTCGTCACCGGCTCGCTCATCACTTTTCCTGATGGGAAATATGGCCCGGATGGTATGCTTTTCGCTCGGATGGATATAATAATAACCAAATATCCTAGATTGGGTTTCTGTTACAAAGGAGGAAGCACTTGTCGGCAACTCTTTCGTGCTATATATGGCGGAGAAAAAGTTTGGTGAGCTAGCTGTGCTCGAATACGCTGAAGAGCATCCCGAAATGGACATCACAATCTGTAAGTAACTCTTCTCCTTCGTTTGACAGCATGCATCTGACCCATTGTTGCAGTTTGTCCTGCTTGGATCTTTGGGCCACTGTCACCGGGTTTTGAATCTATTGTTCCTACCCCCGAAGGCGCCTTTGCGGCATTTTCCACCGACGGTTTCATCTACCAACTCCTCCGGCCAGACAACACCAACTACCACTACACTCCCGGCACAATTGACGTGCGCGATGTTGCTCGGATCCACATTGCTGCCTTGTCTGCCCCGACCCCCAATGGAACTCGACCTCGCCGCGTTCCACTAGTTTATCCCCAGCAAACCGACTTTCGGGATGCTATCAAATTCATTTACGACGAGCGTCCAGAGCTGCGAGCAAGGCTTGCTAACCCCGACTCTGTACCTCGCTGGCCCACATATACCCGCGAGGTCGACGCAGCTTCACTGGAGGAGTTCTTTGGATTTCCCATTTCTAGATTCAAGACATGGCGCGAGACGATTATAGATGGAGTCGACCGGTTTATTGAGATTGAGGAGTATTGGAAGAGCAAAGGATTTGCTGTCGAGGTTCCCAAAGAGCCGCCGATGTAGATCAACTGTAGTAGCTCGTCTAATGCTTGATAAGCAGATTGTGCGCTTCTGCTTCTTCCCACTGCCATGGTGTGCATCGCATCTGTTTCTCCTCCGATGAGCCAAGTTTCGACATTCAGCCACAGGTTCCCTTTCTTGAGCTACCTGAAGAGCTCATCCTCTCTGTGTTAGACAATCTCTCTGAACTTGACTTGCTGGAGTTGCGTCAAGTTAGTTCGGTACTGCAACACCTTTCATTGTCTGTCATCCTCGCCCGTCATGGCATCCGCAATCCTCAAGCTCAGTTGAATGGGCCCGTGAATATTTCTTATACTGCCCTCCGTGCAATCGACGCATCATACCCGACAATTCTGACACAGTTGCGCCAACTCGAAGTCAGCTTCGCGAACTGCCCCTGGGACGACCGACGGCAGGCTTGGCATGCGCTCTCTCAATTAGCGCGGCATCTTCCCCTCATAGAATCCGTCTCGTTGTCCATAGCTACGCCAGAAACCCCCCGCAAGCCTAAAGAAATTCATCCCAGACACATTGGTTGCTCTGTTGAATAATCCGAAGCGCCCAGTGGTCATCATTCAGCACTTATACGCGACGATCGTGAGGCCCAAGCGCGTTAGCGTATTAGAGCGGGCATGGCATTCAGTCCATTCCCGCCCATCAGGCGATCCAGGTCAGCGCATCGACAACCACCAATTAGCGCAGAAATTGCAATTTTCGCTCGCGGCATCAACAAGCCTATTACATCTCCAACTCTCCAGCATTCGTCTGCAGTCCTTTCCGCAAACATCTGCCGCACTCGGAGCCTTCGTTCTCTTCAACCCATCGAAGGTCGTATACTTAAAACTCGCCGATGACGGGGAGATTTCTCCAGCCGAATGGGCCTACATGTTGCCTCATCCGAGCCTCCACTTTCCCGTCTTGAAAACACTTTCTATTCATGTCGACATTGATCATGCCGCTTTAAACCCATTTCTCGAGAGGCATGATCGTCTCGAGCGCGTGGACCTGTTCAAGGATTGGACAGGCAGCACCGTGAAAGCATTCACCGCCCCCACTTTGCCGAAACTGTCCCACTTTTCAGCAAGTTGTCGTGTTGCTGCTAGTTTCCTGAGAACCAATCACAGTTTTCCCAACCTGCACACATTCAACGTTGGCGTAGGCGGGGACGACGAAGCGAATGCTCCACGTTATTTTGATGCTGTGATGGACATGCTAGCAGACCCAATTCGTTCGTCAGTCATTGAACTGACAATCCGTTTCGAGCAAGTGATCGCCCCTTCCAGGAGCGAGGGCATATACCATAAGCCAATTGCACACGTAAAACAGCTGCGTATCACGGGCTGGCAGACAGACGACCTTGGGAGCGTTGCTAACTTTGCACGTTGGTTGGCTATTGTCTTTCCAGCGCTGAGCAAACTGATAATCGAGAGGAAACTGGGGTATCGAATCAAGGGACCGATGGTGTCAAATGAATTGATCTCCGCAATTACTTTAGCTTGCCCAAATGTCCTTTTGAAACAAGAATCGTATTTATGAGTTGGAGGGAAACAGGTTTGTGCGTCAAGGCAAGCCTCTGTGACTATCGTCTGTTCGGAAACCTAATCGAAGAACAGGCCGCCATTGATAGAGAGCTGTTGGTTCTGTTCAGTGTGCCAAAGATCTTTGACAAAATCCTACACTTTGACCCGTGACGAAGCGCGACTCTTCTGAGGCAATATATGATACAAGGCCAGCGATGTCGGCACTCGTTCTGGAACGAAACACCGCTGTCGGTAAATGTGACGGCGAAAAAAAGACTGTGCCTACCCAGTATGATTCAGAGCAGATCCAGTGTTCATCTGTGATAGCTTTAGTTAGGTCAAGACATTTGCTCCATGATCTCACTAGTGGAATGACCCTCCCCGACGACGCCGCATCCAGGCCCTGCACTGTTATTTCCTTAGAAATGGTGGGAGGAAGGTAGGCCTGGCTTACACATGTCCGTATCGATCGCCCCCGGGGGCGTACGCATTAACGGTGATTCCATGCTTCCCCAATTCGCGGGCTGAGCAAATCAGTTACTTATCATAGGAAACCGAACGCCTACCACAAGATTGGACTAGTCCGCGAACCGCAAATTTGGAGGCACAATAGGCTGTAGTATTAGCAAAGCCTGTTCCCATATTCAAATGAAATGTCTTGGGTCAGAAATGAACTAAATGCCGACCTTGTTTCCCCGCAACAGAAGATGCGGCAATCATCCGTCCTCCACGGCCTTGTGCAATCAGCTGCACTGCGGCGTACTTGAAGCAGAGGAATGTCCCCCGGGCATTGATTTCTAGGAGACGGTCCCAATCCTCCACAGAGGCTTTGGAACAAATCATCAGATGCCACCGAAAAGCATCGAGCACCAACTGTCAAGCAGTCCAGCATATTTTGCAACTCCTGCGTTCGCGACCATCTGGGTAGTGACAAATTAGAAAGGTGAGTGTATTTTAGAAAAAACACGACAAACCACATCCAAACCGTTGTGTACTTGCACCACCTCAGTGATCATTGCTTGAACTTGATCCTCCTTCGACACATCCGCAATGTGGGCCGATACAGAATGGCCTTTGGCTTTGATCTCTTCGACTACCGCGTCCAATTTCTCTGAGTTTGCAGCAAGGTCATTGACTCCAACGGCAAAACCATCCTCGGCAAGGCGCAATGCTATTGCTTTGCCAATTCCTTGGCCTAAGCAGTCCGCTGTTACTGGTTGGTAAGTCTGCGAAGGTTGAAGGACATACCCGCGCCAGTGACTAGAGCGACGCCTTTGGCCATGATATCGTGATATCGATAAGTAGTGTGCGAGGTCAAGTCTGAGTTTCTATAGGTTCACGAGAGTGGCCAGTGATTGTCAGTTTGTTGATGACTTCCTATTAAAAGTTCTCCCGCTGAGTCTCTGAGTCCTGTTAGCTTGTGGCGACGAGCTAAGACTCGGAGCTTATTTCATTTGCGCACTCCAATGAAACAAGCATGATGTTTCCTGAGTTTGAAGCAAAGAGTGTCGTGACGTGACTGCTACTGTCACTTGCGTTGCACCATGTCGAACTCGAAAGGGATAGCCCTCGTCACTGGTGCAGGTACGACTCTGACGTGAACGTGCCGCCACCCTCTATAGACATACATCTTAGCTCGCGGCCTTGGCTACTCCATTGCTCTACGTCTCGCGCAAGATGGCTTTGACCTCGGATTGAATGATTTAGCCCCTAACAGGGAGGCCCTCGAATCTCTCAAGAAGGAAATCGGACTTCTCGGTCGCTCGGCCTCTACTCATATCGCAGATGTTTCACAAGAAGATCAGGTGGTCGCGATGATTGCTCAAGTAATTGAACAACATGGAGGCCTGGACGTGGTACGCTCGTTTGAGCATTTGCCCTGTTCCCTCTTCACTCCTTGCTGAGATGGTTGCCAACGCTGGCGTTGCAGGAGCACCTGGTGTTCCTTTCATCGAAAGTAGGTCTGTGCCTCAGTCAGACCGGCAGACTGATGGGAGCCGGTAACTAGTCCCAGTCGAAGAATGGGATCGAGTTATGAACATCAACACGCGTTCGACATTTCTATGCTACAAGCATGCCGCCGCGCAAATGGTCAAGCAGGGGCGCGGTGGAAGTATCATCGGGGCCTCATCTGTCGCTGGCAAGCAAGGTATCTTACACTTGTTTACGACTTTGCAGACAGAGTAACATTTGCTCCAGGAATGCCATTCAATGGACCCTACTCTGCATCTAAGTTCGCTATCCGTGGCCTGACGCAAGCCGTCGGTATGGTATCTATCCCAGCCTTGAGATAGCTTCATAAGGTTGGCTAGCTAGTGAATATGGGTCGCATGGAATCCGCGTAAATGCCTATGCGCCAGGTCTCATCGATACCCCCATGTGTAAGTGGGTTGGGTTTATTTAGCCATTACCATCGCTCACAGAAGAATGTAGTGAACGCAGCTGCAGTGAATGGTGATGTCGCTCAACTCAAGGCTCAAGTAAATTTGTAGGGGCTTGACCGTGTTTTATCATTCAACTCTTTCAGATACTTCAGCAACAGCCGATCCAGCGCACAGGGTCAATTTGATTTTCGTCCTTGCTGGTCATCCAGCTAATCAAGCATAGAGCCCCGAACGATGTTGCAAGCGTCGTGTCGTTCCTTGCGTCCAAGGAGTCCACATTCATCACAGGTTGGTGCATCCATATAGTTTGTTTTTACTGGATTCTCGAACTCTTTAGGACAAAGTGTTCGTGCAGCGTACTTATACTCTCGATTTTGGCGCTGACCCAAAACCAGATCTCTGTGAACGGGGGTTTATTCTATGACTGAGAAGCTCCATGTCGTTATTTATTACCTGTACAAGTACTGCGGACGCTTGAACACAGAACAGACCGTATGACAACCGTAACGAGTGACTGTCGGGTGTGTTTTGATGGACCGTGGCGATTTCCAGGCTCAAACGCGCGCCAAGACCACTCCCTTTCCTTTCCCTTCCCCTCCTCTTCATGTCGACGCCGCAGACTTCGAGCTTCATTCTAATAGATGACCGAGACAACAATGTGGCCTATAGCGGAAATTGGGTAGTTGGAGGTGCGTTTGCCTGCTATTCTTGGTTGATTTTGCACTAAAATCGGCCTCCAAGGAACTTCTCATGAGTACGATAGGACAGTCTCTTCCTCGTTAAATGTTGGCGACTCCTTCACCGTCAGCTTCGCTGGTGCGTGTTCAGCCGTATGGTTTGTTTTATTTTACTTACCTTGATGGCTTTAGGAACGCGCATATCGGTCTTTGGTACCTACGACAGCAGTTCTAATGGTGTAAAGACACTGTACTCGATCGACGGAGGAGCTGCAGCTACCGCGACTTCCAAGTCCTCTAGCGGTGACTCATACCAACAACTCTTCTGGGCGTCGGATGCTCTCTCTAATGGTCCACAGTAAGGAGTATCCGCGTCAGATGAGCAACGACACTAAACACGATTTGTGCAGCAAACTCAAGGTCACAATGGGATCGGTTAACGGGGGTCTTCCGGACGGAGAAGGCACTATTTGGTTCGACTATTTCAACGTCTCTCAGAGCTTGGTTGCCGTTTCGAGTACTGGACCCTCTTTGACACCTTCCCCGAGCAACACCAATCAAAAGCCCGACGCTGCTTCTACAGCCTCGTCGAGTTCTTCATCTGGCACGGGAGTGCCTGCTGTGGTGACATCCAAGAAATCGAGTAATGGCGGTCTTATTGGTGGAATCATTGCGGCTGTCCTCATCATCCTACTCCTCGTGGCTGGATTTTTCTACTGGCGTCGACGCCGCCAGCGGAGAGATGTGTATCTTCCTGCCCCGAGCACAATGCACAGTTCGTTTCTCTTTCTCTCTCTTGGTATGATTGCTGAGATGTTGTTCAGCTCCCACTGGTCCTCCCCAAATGCAACCCTTCCTTCAAACCCGACCGACAACTCCGATGAGCTCTGTAGCTGGATCCGTTGCTGCTCTTTCCGCCCACGCGGCAAAACCTGGGTTTGACGCACGGCTTACCCACGCAGCGCCATCTGTGCAACCAACTTACGACCCGTACTCTGAAATTGGTGCTTCCATGTTCCAATCCCCCTTAAACGCCCCCACTTCATACGCGCCTTCGACAACCGCTCCCTCGGTCACATCCACTGGCCTTAGCGGCCCACTCTCTGTTGTTAATGGAACGACAGTCGACGGTGATTCTGTTGCAGAGCTCAAGCGCAGGCAGAAACAGGTGGTCGACTCATATGAACAAGGAATTGGTTCTAGCTACCAAGCACCCCTCCAGCATACTGACAGTGGTCTGCGTGGAGATGCGTTAGCTGGTCCTGCAGAACTTCCACCCGTCTACACTGCCAACTAAGCTTCCCTTCCTTTACTTCACTTGACTTACTGATAGCCCTATATCTTTCTTATGGTTGAATCTAACCTGAGCCGCTCGTTCTCAATTGTTGTATATACCCCAGACGGTCTATGGACATGTTCTATCTCCAAATAAATTATCTAAGGCAGGACCGGCAATCTAGACATCTCACGGACGGCCTCCATCGTCCCTACCAACCCTCCCTTCTTTTCACCGTCGGGGCTGCCAGTGAACAGCTCCAAACGCGCTTTTCGAATGTCCTCCCCGTGAGCAAATGCCTCCTCCCACCACCGATCTTCCGGGGGAGTGTCCCGCCACCCGCCCGCAAAGAGCTTGCGAAGTTTGGGGGTGGAAGCATTGAATGCACGAACTTTCTCCCAGTATGGTGGCCGAGCGCCAGTTGCTGAAGGTGCCGAATCCGCGTCAGGTGGGACGTATAATCCATTGCTGGCAAACACCAGGGCTGGAGGGACAGTGATGCGTCCAACTTTGAAGCAGAATTGGTTGACCACGACACCTGCAAGTAGAAAAAAAAAAAATTGATGGACATCAGCTGTGGAGGAACGTCCAGTTCTACTCACTGTATAAGAACGCGCCATCGTGCTCAGGCACAGTCGCAGCCCGCGCGGCGAGGGCTTTCATCAGGGCTTCTGGCTCCGCGTTGCCGTTGATGGGAAGGGGTGTGCTCGCGATGGGCGATGGGTCCACGCGCTTGCCAGCTTTTTTGTCCTTGGCAGAGACAGGCTTGACGAAACGGAAGACAGTGTAGAACCACTTCTGGTCCCAGGTAGCGATGGTGGCACGGACTTCGTAGCTGGAGAGGGTCGGGATTTCGCGGATAAAATGGTAGTGCTTGGCTAGCAGGAAAATATAAATTTGGGAGGCGTGAAAATAGAGGACAACACACCGCCGAGAGGTGCAAAGCCCCCAACACGGAGAAGGGTCGGGAACACAATAGTAGCGAGGTGCATACGCGTCCTGTCAAGAGTCTATGGCAAGCTTGTCGTGAGGGTTGTGGGTGCCGATAGCATAAATAAAACACACCGCTCCGTAGCTGGAATTGCTCATATGAAGCAAGAAGTCGCCTTCGTGGATGCCTTGACGCGTCTCAGCATCATAGACATGGTGGAAAACGGGCGAGAAAAGACGCACCGACACTCCATTTGTAGGTCCAAACCTGGCGGAAAGGATTGACGCCGATGGCCATACGACGTTCATTCCAGTCCTGAAGGGCTAGCCTCCACTTTTCGCCACGGGTAAAAATATTGCGAATCTGGAGTGCGCGGTACGACAAGTGGTCGGGGATGACATAGTGGAAGACGCGGAAATGCCATGCCAGCGGCCACGACCCGAAATTGAGAAGGAAAACGAGAATCGTAAAGTATTTTGCGATGACTGGAGTCATTTTGACGCCGCTCAGGGCCAGGCGGAGGACAACATCCAGCTTCTGGCGGAGGACGAGGGCAGTGGCCATGATGGTGGTGGACGGAAACAGCGTTGGCTGGTACGCATTTTAAGGATAAGATCAAGTGGTAATCATTTAGAGAGAGATGGACCGGCCAATTATGTTGCCGACTAGATAAACATACGAACAGCTACAAACTCTCCACCCGCTCACTTGCGTCTACTTCGTACAACACCTCTGTGCGAATCACGTATTTTTCCCCTTCAGTGACCCCACTCCCCTAGATTTATTCTCAAACAACAAAGACTATAAACAGACCAAGTGCTCACCTCATGCAGTAAACTTCCTAACGCGGCGCCATGAGGAAAGACACAAACGGACCCTGCTTTCGGTCTGACTGGCCGTGCATCCATCACACCCACTTCAGCACCCGGAAGAAAGAAAGTTGTACAGCCACCAGAAAAGTTGTCATTCAGGTAGATGAGGAACGTCAAACGTGAGTAAAGGGAAGGATCCGAGTCGTAAATATATGAAGGTGGTGTCGAAGAGCTCATGGCAGAGGCAGGCCAAGCACCATCGATCTGTTCAACTTTGAGAGGTGTTACGCAACGAAACACAACACACATGTGGTCGGTATAGTGCGCCAGGGCGATAGCGATATAATCTGAACCGGCGATTGATACCACGGACGACACCACCTTTGACGGTTTGTGGCAAAAGATCGACTACTCGCTCATAGAGAGTCGCGATGAATGACTCATCAGCCAGCCAGATAAAGTTGTGTGCAAGCACGGAAGTTAATTGGGTTGCAGACCCAGCAATCGGTTCGTCAGGGAGCAGACCCACTGCTTCTGCAGCGTGAATAAGACTCTGGCACTCTGAAGGGTCGAAAACGTCATTAATAACGAAGCCTCCTGTCACATCTAATCAGCTTGTGATAAGTAGCAGAGAAAATCCGGACCTGGGACGCCGGGAACATCGAATCGTTGAGGCTTACGTTGCGAAGAAGGTAGAAGCGGAATCGTTCCTGGAGGAGAGTAATATACGATGGCAGCGTGTTTATTCGGTGGTCGTCTCTCTGGTCCAGGTGTGGTATGCAATGGCTTGATGGCTTCAACATGGAGGTCACCTCTTGGAGTTAATGATGGGGAGGGAAGAGTTGTCTCGACAGAGAATGGGGGATACCACCGCAAACGACTGCCTGGTTTTATCGAACCACCTTGCGTGGATGATGAGGGTATGTATTGAGGCTGTGTGGTCCGCAGAATTGCATTGAGCACGCGCCAAACGAGGTTTTCCTCCTCTTGTGACATGGACGGGTCAAGTACTGCGTCACATTCGCGCACCCAGCGCTGGAGAGCACCGAGCTTGGGCACCACTCCGCGAATTTCCATCTCGGAAAGCAATACGAGGGCGTCAATATGGCGATGGTCGACAAGAGCGGATGATATTCGTGAGGTTAGAGAAGATCCAGTGTTGGACGTCTCTGTTGCGACGCGCCAGTAGTCGTGTATTGCTGTCCTAAACGGTTTAAGGGCCTTGAGAGAGATTAATTCTGGGTTTTTGGCTAAGATGGTAAGAGTGTCTGTTGTCATCTCGAGCTCGTCAACAAGAATAAGATCGCCAATCATGTCGTCGGTATCGAGTTTTTGTTTCTTGAAGACCACAGTAGTGGCATCAGAAGACCCGGGACCCTGCTTTCGTTTTTTGGTTTTGCCCATGCCAATGGGTGTTGGGGCCAAGGGTGACGCCGTCACATGGCCCACCCACCCATCTACACTGCACTGAATGCCCCAGTTGTCGCCTCTGTACCGTCCACTTCCTCACTTCAATGCACTGCGGATGGCCAGATATTGTTTCTTACCAAGACTTCCCTTTATATCATGGTATGGCTCGCAGTTGATGGTCTACACTCGATTCTAAAAAAACATTGCAGACCCCAAACCATGGCTTGAACTTCGACCTTGTACCCCCCATCCAGGCGCAACCACGCAAGATGAAGAAAACTCCGTCCGAAATCGAGGAAGAGGTTGAACCTATCGGGTGGTTCCGCACTCTTGTCCAATTCGACCGGCCTGTGAACTATGTATGGCCTGAACAATCTCAGAGTATGTTGTTTTTTAAAGCATTGGTCAACATCGCTCATCATCCGTTAGACTGGAATGCCATGGCCATGGGAACACTCGATATCGCTCTCTGGGCAGTTGCCTCGTCTCCCAGTGGCCTTTCCCCAAACGCGACTTGTATAGTCGCCGCCCTCACTTCAAGTATGGACCTCAGTCTGTGGACTTCTCAGAGGAACGCGCTCAACGGAGAGTGGAGTAAGGTCAGTTGCACCAATCGTTTGGTGGTTTCTCAGAAGCTTGCAAGTAGATCTTCGACGTAACTCCTTTCCTACTCGACTATTTCTCTGATGAATCCAGCTCTGTGCGCGCGTTGAGGGCCCAGATTACCAGTGCGTTGGTTTCCTTGAATATTTGGTTGAATGTTTATTCGAAATAGGTATCCACTGGTCCTTACAATGCGACTTCGGAATTCGTCCTGCAACTCTGGACGGGTCACTCCTCGTCGCAGGAAACAGAGCTGGGATGCTCTTGGTTTTTTCGGTATCTCTCTCTCTCTGATTCTGCCTTGTGTGTCAAATTGTCACAGATACGGTGCTGGTCGACTTGAACTGCTCAAGGCTGTTGTTGTGTCTCAACAGTGGATCATACGTGTTGCGATATCACAATGGCGCACTATTGAGCAAGGAAGATGTTTGGTTCTGTTTACTCCTGTCGAGCAGCGTTGAACTTATTCAAAGGTCATGCCTCTGTCGCCTTTTCCGCCGACGACGGCACTGTTGGTTGTGTCAACATAGAACAAGTCCTTGAAGATGCACCGTCGGCAACAACCTTCGGACTATCCTTCACTGTCCGACTTGAAATTCTTGATGACGAACCACGTGAGGTCGCCCGACGAGATATTCGTCCGGCGCGCGGGTTGCAATGGATAGAACTCTCAAAAACAGAGGTATGGTGTTTACCCGTGTCCTTCTCTCTCTATTTCATTCGACCCTAGTCTGTATTAGCGTTTACAAAACCGGGAATCATTGGGCTCTGGCGCGGCGCCTCCTCCTTTTGGTCTGGTCTGAAGCAATTCACTCTCCGTCAGACCCCTCGGCTTTCTTGTGGAACATCGATTTTCTCCAATGCCATCGGTCTGATTTACGTTCCAAAAAAGGATGCATTACTTGTTGCTCTCGCGGATGGCTCAATTCACGGACTGCACGCCATATCCCGACAACCAACATGGGACTTTGCGCAAAGCCCAGCGTTGATGAGCGATACTTTGTCGCGGGTTGCCAGAACAACATTCGTGCGCGTAGAGCCTCCGAGTACTGTCGATGTCGAAGTCGTTGCCCGGGTAAGCGGAATGGCTTCTTATGATGGTGGGGCCACCATGGTTTGGTTGCATGAGTGCGTTCAACCACCCTAGCCCTTATTGATGATGCATTAACAACATTTAGAGCAGTGCGTCCAGCAGACTACAGCTACAAACATGATGCCCGTCACACCAACCTCTTTGTTGTCGCCAAACTATGGAGTTGGAATGAAGAGGATGATGGCAACACAGCTGTGGTTCAGAATCTTGTGGAAGTGCTACAGGGATCACGAGCAGGTTGGTATTATCGACACCGAGAAAAATTACTGATGCTAACTTACAGCATGCGGTATCACGCCTGCTCACATCCTTCGACCAGTATTCCTTGCGCTCAGCCCACGAAGGATCAACGACGAAAATGGCCTCCATGCTCAAATTCTGTCCGTATTGCCTTGGCCTGACTCGGAAGATGAGACCCATGCCATAAAGCTTGTGCCTTGGACTGGGGCATCCGGCTCAGAGATGCGGCGAGAATTTCGTGACAGTATGACCGCATATCTGTTTGGCTTAGATGACTTCTTGAAGCTTCGATCGAGACTGGGGGTTGCCGATTTTCTCTGGGTCTGATCAAGCTCTCTCTCTCATCTCGTTACTTATTCTGTCCCAGAAGCACTTAAAAACCGAGCAGAAGCGTGATGATGTCGGCGTTGTCGCGACTGCCCTTGTCTTAAGGTTGTCTCACGGATTTGTGAGGACTATCATACGCCATCTCGTCGCAGCGATTGGGTGTCTTGAGGGTAAGCACTTGTTACTCTCGTTCGCAATCAGTCATGTGACCTATTCAGCGAGCGATGCGCCATTCGTCTTCCGCATGGTTATGCATACCTTGCTTGCAGACGTCCCTGTAGGATTGAAGGAAGAGGGTACACTTCTCGCACGAGCAATGACCGCGACGCTGCCAAATACGGAATCAAATGTGACAAACGGTTTGACCGAGTTCTGTCCTGCCTGTCGGGTGGAAATTCCCTTCACCCAAGTAGGAGTCGCGATCTGCTCTCGTCGCCATCACTGGGGTATGTTTTTAGGCTGTCTGCATTCCAGCTAGTTCAAACTTTGTTCAGATCGTTGCTCCATTACCACATTCATTTTGTCATCAACGCGCGTTAGGGCCTGTGTCGGTTGCGGTCGCAAAGCATTCCTTTCCTCAGATGACAACGGTTTACCCCCGTCGGCACGGGGATGGGCTATAACTGCGCTCTTGGAGGCAATACAGCGGTGTTTGTTTTGCGGTAACACCTTTGCAAGCGCGTTGTGATCGAGCTTCATGGATGGGGAATGAGGACACGATAAAACATGGGGGATTTCTATTTAGGAAGGCAATAGTTACTGGTAAGTCTGCTGTAAATTCTATGGTGTTGGTCTAGATGACCAAGTTCGGGCCCAGTATTAGATCCTCACAACTCTGAGTCGCAGTCCAGTTGGCAGCCTGGGCAATAACGTTGGACATGTCATCCATACTCTCGGCGGTGATCAAGCGCTTTGAGCGGCGCCAGCCCTCCTGAATCGGAAGACGCTCTTCACGAAAGAATATCTGCACAAACCTGGGTCGCCATCATTAGCGACCATTGACAACAGTCATTAATCGCTCACTGTTTTGGTGCAACGCCAGTTGAGACATTCCCCATTACACTGAGATAGAAGGCCGACTCCCGAATGCGGACGGCGAACTCCTTTGGCGTGTTTGTGATGTTCGGGTTCGTCTTGATGGACATATCGAGTCGTTCTTTCATGACTAGACCGGCAGAACTGGCGTTGTAATAGTTGACGCCAGGATTAGAATTGGCGAGGGTCTTGAAGAGCGTCTCGTTGAAACGGAGGTTATCCCCCAGTCCAAAGTCGGCACGCGAGATGGAGGCGTCGTGTTCAACGAGGTTATGGCTAATGCGAATCAGCTTTCTGATTACCATGAACAAGCTATAAATGCCGTACAGCGCCAACGCGTCCAGATCTAGCGCCGTAGGCGCATCTCCGCTCAGCAAACTGAACTTGGCCGCTTGGATAACCGCGTTGGAGGCAACATTCGTTGAGGTGGATCAGGAACTGTACAATGAAGACGGCGACAACCTACGAAACCCTCTACCACAAACGAGAATTAGTATTTAAACAGCAAACTCAACAACTTACGAAGTGCTGCATCCAAAATCATGGGAACGGTGATTCCTTTGCCATTGCGCGGAAGATAGCCATGGTTTGCGAGGCTGGCGGCACTTCAGATTACCCCACTTTTGAATTTTTTTTGCCTACGTGTTCAGCCCCGGGCATGGGGAGCGGACATCGGATTTGGTAGGAGCGATCCATTGGTGATGGTCGGCGGGATGAGAGTTTTGTGCTGCCCCGTGGACCAATTTGACGAAAGTGCAAAGGAAAATGAGCCTCTGGAAGTACATCTGGTGTGAATGGTCGGTTTCTGGTTGTGTATTCGAAGGACCTCACTCTCTTATACTCTGCTTTGTCCAGCGGTTACATAATACGACTTCGTACTCAGCGCCAGTATCATCTGCCACTTAAATTTAGATAGTACTGTAGTACAAAATCCATATCGTTCGAAAGCCTAATCGAGGCTGCGCAATCGGCTCTTTTGGCATGAGGCTGTCAGAGTAAGGTCTGCCAGTGTTCAACTGATGCTTATGAGCGGACACAGATGCCCGAACTGACCTGAGGGCTCCAGATACAGCGCGAGCGAGAAACTTTCAGAAAAATCTTTGAATTCCCTTGCTAACTTTTAAGTTTTTTATCAGCAAGTACTAGTATGAGAAATTGAACTTGAATGAGTGAGAAAATAGTGTAGGTCGAGACTCTAGAGCTCGGGCTTGAAGCGGCAGGTATAGTCATCAGCATTGCTCGTACATACTGGCCGACTTATGGAATGGCCGCTGGGACTTGAGCTGGCCAATAGCATTTGAGAGGTAGCGGCTGTGCCATTGCAGGTTAGCTGCGGGAGTGCCGCTGCCGCTGCGATCTGTCGAAAAATCGCTGCGCGTTCTTGCATAAATCGATAATTCCGCAAGAGTTCCTCCGCTGAGATAGACCTGCCCGAAATTGATTTAATAGATATCACGTGATCGTGTCGGTTGCCTAAATCGGGACATCGCAGCCCTCTCCACTTGTCTCGTGCTTTCACCCTTCACCTTCACCTCCACCTCCACCTTCCTTCCTTTGATCTCACACAACCATGTCCTGGCAAGGTGACTCCCATCGCGGCTTCATGCAGTCCTCGACCAACGTCTCCTCGTAGCATACGTCGACACCAACCTTGTTGCTAGTGGCAAGATCGCGAAGGCTGCTATCCTTGGTTTGCAAGGTGGTGTGTGGGCATCAAGCGCTGGATACCAGGTGCGTCTTCGATATTCGATATCCCTGCTCTCCGATGACTTTTGACTAGCTTTCTGCGGATGAGCAAAAGGCGATTGTGGCGGCATTTAACAACCCAGACGCCGTACGAGCAAGTGGATTGCGGCTTGCCGGCCAGAAGTTCTTCACTCTGTCCGCTGACGACCGAGTCATTCATGGGAAGAAAGGGGTGAGTTTTGTTATTCCTAGAACTCGATGTTTTGTCTGACGAAGACAGGCCGATGGCTATGTAATAGCCAAGACGAAACAGGCGGTCCTTGTTGCTGAATACGCTGGACCCATCCAAGCCCCAGAAGCAGCCCCAATCGTGGAGGGTTTGGCGGACTACCTCATTGGAGTTGGTTATTAGACGGCGAGGGACGTAACGAGAGAGAGAGAGAGAATCTGTAACTTAGCATGCACCGAAGAGTTGAATATCATACCGCTGTCCAATCTTCACAACGCTTTGCTTGGTGTCCAGCGTTGGTGCAGCGCCAGTTCTGTGTTGACCATTGGACGAGCGATCACGTGCTGTTCTGCGTCTTTCCCTCATTCTCCCATCCCATTCCCAGAATGGTTTCGGAAGTCGATCTAGCCGTAACAGTGCATTATAAGACTTCAAGCTCCAAGGCAAAACTTTCCTCGGTGGAGGAAGCGACACCTATCATCCGTCGAGGCAGAAACGTTAACATATCACTGGTGTCGAGTGCTACTAACCCATGGAACAGACCTCTCTGTTTTGAAACACGTACATCCTAAGCAAGCAAATATCTCCATTGTCTGGCCAGGAGCGGTGCGCTTCTACTGGTCCTGTCTACCTGGTTCCGTAGGTCTCTCTACCATTCAGATGGAAGTTGACAAAGTTTCTTAGGTGATATACCAAACAGTGAAAACACTGGATTCAGACACCAATAACAATCCCTCCTTCAGAAGAACTCTTGACTCGCTGTTCATGTAACCCGTCTATGTTGGGTCAACTCTTGGTTCATCGCATTCCAGCGAACGCATCATTGTTCGCGAAACAGAGAGTCGGCAACCTGTCTTTCAATCGTATGCTCGAGCAAACTCCTCTTGCTCTGATATTCACGCTACTTCCAGTCCAGCCACAACTTTAGAGGTCTGCCTCATGTGGTCCCAAATATCTGAAGCTGACATGACCTCAGCCAGCAGTCAGCATCAAGGCGGAACCTGTATATGACATACCCATCCCACCGGTGAGGAAATCCAATTTTCACAACGTTAACTAATTCACCCCCAGTACTCTAGAGGCTCAGACGTGATAGTAGGCTGACTGTTGGCATCCACGAGCAGTTGCTAAGTCTGATCACAGGACGTAGACAAACCCTCAACACCACGAATATTGCGGCGAGATCGGTATAAGTCGTCTTCTGAATCGACAAGCGAGAACAGGGTGAGTTACGAGGACTCTCACACCCTACAACTCGAGCTATCCGAAGTTCGACGCCGAATCAACATAGAGATAGTGCGGGAGCGAGCGATCTTGAGTAAACTTGAAGCCTTGGGCGAAACCAATAGTGATGCCGACGACGACATATCCTGTGAGTATTTCAGTCAAACCTTCCTACGACTCTGATTATTCCTTTAGCCGTTAAGGCGAGATTCAGGCTACTGGAGGCCGAATTACGCCAGGAGCGCTTGCGGCGTCACCAAGCTGAAGCTTTTGTCGACGACATTCGCAGAGAGCAACAGACACCGTTTGTGGTTCCGGCCCTTCTGGATGCATTCGCGGACATATCTCGTCTCACAAATGAGAGCCATTAATCCCATAAATTTAAGTATCGATAGATTTTGGATGGATACACTCGCCTCGTCACAGGAACGTGACTCGTCACATTTTTTTTTGGCTTTGACCTTGACCGTCGTCATGGCCCAAGCTGAGAAGGAACTTTACTTGTCCATTATTGAACGCCGAGATCCAAATCCACTTGCGATTCGTTTCACAAGCCCCTTTCCGCACATCCGTGAACCGTTGCTCCTACTCCAAGCCGCGTCGCAAGAACAAAATCCACTCGTATCCACACTGTCTGATAATATCGTTCATTCTCCTTCCCCTTTCTTAGCCTTGAGTGTCGCGTCAGATAATATTCCAGCTTCACACGAAGCTTTCCATACGGACACAGCGTATCCTGATAGCAGACCCACGATAGAAGTTTACCTGGAGAACCAAGTCTCGGTGGGTGACGCCTATATTGTGCCAGGCCCTACTATCTGATCAGTCGAAAGTCAACCCAGAGCCAAGATTCGGGAACCTCTTCTATTGCGTCTTCGCGCCATGCAACACCTCAGGCTGAAGCAGAAGCATTATCAACGAACGTGTCGGTCCGCGGATTCTTACCTCTCAACACTGTTTCCAGACAGCTTTTTCTACAGTTTCACCCAGCAGAAAATGAGGCCGAATTCGAACACGATAGTCAAGAAACACAGGGCACTGAGGATATGAAAATCGTTGGTTGTCTCTCTTGTATCACTGGAGCTTGATCCCAGTGTCTCCCACCTGCAGTCGTCTTCGCCTTCGCCAATTCCTGGACTGAGTGACTATAGGTGCCGTCCGAATGGTCTGTCTTTGGCTTATGATAACGTTCCAACTCTCTGAGTCCTCCTTGCAGATCGTCTTCACATATTGTGTGGGGAGCTTCTAGATGTTAGACGAGAAATAAACGCAAAACTTATCAAAGAATCGGCCATCGTAGAGGCACTGCGGGGCCATCAGGCTGAGATACCAGGTCTACAACAAGGCGAAATCTCGCTTCAAGACAAGTTATTTAGTGAGTTGACCGCCTTTCGATCGATGAATCTCACTAATTACTCGGTAGTCTATCACACGCGAGCGGAATTCTTGAAGCACGAACGCGACCGACTCAAGGGAACCCGTGACCAAGTCGAGAATGCAATTGGAGATGTCGCTAGGAATGAACGGCTGCCGTTTATCTCCCCAGCCCTCCTGGACATGTTTGTCGAGATCTCGAAACTGAGCACCCAAGTTGTCAATAGCCAGGCTCTCGATGCAACGCAAACCTCTTGAGATTGAGACGAAATGACATTGTACAAGTAGTGAACAAGATGGCCGTTTGGAAAGACAGAGCAGTGATTTCTTTCTTCGTTTACGAAGCGGCTTCAGCCCTCAACGATTGTATGTGCTCTTCATCCTGGGCACTCAGTCCAAATTCGAATTTAGCAAATGTGTCTGTGGCTTCAAGGAACGCTTGCTTGATCAGATTGGCCTTGTGCGGTGTGCGGACTTGAATTCTGCATTCAAAGGGACTTGGAGCAGTGAGTATTCCCTACAAGGCAGACTGTGAGCAACCTGGGGGAACACCATGCAGAGCCCGCACTCTTTGATAGTCAAAGAGGTCGAGATCAATCTCTTTGCCGCTGTCATCGAGTGGAGGCTGGAAATTGAATGCCCAAACCAGGTTCAGGGTGTTGATATTCTATTGCGTGAGGTTCAAAGAGGTAAGGAGACAGTATAAAGTTGACTGCACGATGGAGTTCTGGGCAATATTGATCCCGGGGCATATTCTCTGGAATATGAAGATCAGCTACCAGTGGAGTTACTGCAGTCTGGTGTAGCACGCACACGACCAACTCCAAAAGGAAAGCTTGGACGAAGACCATCAACCTGAACGCCGGGCTTCGTTCCATGTTCAGTAAGGATATATCGGTCAGGATTGAAAGTTTCCGGAGCGTCAAAGAGCGCTATGCGGCCATCAACCATCATTCTCCATCATGACGCGGACTCGGTTACGTACCTGGGTCATGAAAAATACCCCCTATGGCGGTTGAGCGCAGTTTCATCTCTGCTGAGAATTTCCATACTTACATGTGTTAACGAAAATAGTTGCGCCACTTGGTATGAAGTAATCGCCATACTGTTCATCCAATTATCAAGGCATAGAAAATAGTAACTCCCCTCGTACCTGTTCTGACCGCAGTGTGGCGTGTGGAACCATGAGCGGGGCAACTGGACGGAAACGATGCGTCTAAGGCTGTCTAAAGCAAGCTTGGCAGACTATCAAAACACGATCTTACCTCAAGAATAAGGGCTCGGATATAATGCAAATCGTCCAGGTCTTTGAGAGAAGGCAAGCGTTGAGTGCCAACGATACGATCCATTTCTTCCTGGGCTTTCTTTTGTGCATCGGGAAACGCGGCCAAGACAAGCACCAAGGACTGAAGAAAGGACGAAGTCGTGTCCGAGCCGCCTTCCACGAGAGCACCTCCAAGGTATCTGATTTTGCTCAGGTCAGCATAGACGAAAGCTGCAAAATGCAAGTCCAAACGTAGACAGCTCTCGATCCATACCCAATGCCTGCTCTTGATGTAGAATATCCTCCATGTAGCTCCCATTTTCCTCCCCTCGTGCCAGACGACGAGCAGTTTGTTCCAACAGGTCAACATATAAAGTTCGCTGAAGCTGCCTTGTTTTTGCGCAGTCGCGCTTCCATTTTGCCCATCGCTGAGGCACATATTTGAGAATTGGTATGAGATCGACTGGAGGAGTCGCGCCAGGCTCCAGAACACGCTCCCACTCATGCTGAGATTCGAAGAAAGCAGCCGTTGCTTGCGTCTCGTATCGAGGAGAGCGCACGCCGTACAGTACAGACAAAATGACAGAGCTTGAATACCGCCGAAGGTGCGTATAAAAGTCTTCGGGCTTACGATAAAAGTCGTAGAGTAGCTGGATGGACTCTGCTTGTTGGATTGGAAGATGGAGGACGGAAGCTTGTGGTGTGAGGACAGAACGGGAAGCCCGCCTGAGGGTTCGCCAAGTTTCGGCTGGATAGAAAGGTAAGCTTCGATAAATATGTATTGCAGCAAAAAGTCCACCGTAGCGAGCCAACACCATATTCCGACCGCCAGCGACTAGATCTGCAACGAACATCGATGGTCTGTCCGCTGTCGAGCTACTCCGTTTGTCCATCAATTCTTTGACCGCGGCTGGATCAGTAAGAACAACGACAGTCCCTGGGCCCAATTTGAGCTGTAGTAAATTAATCGAGGGAAAAAGTAATGGGACGGCAAACACACGGAATATATTCCGCCATACTTGCGCGCCCATTCGGTGAATCTGTCGACACATGAGCAGTTACGACGGCATTTGAAACTAGGACGATCACTTGTAGTGCGCAAACTCTGTTGGGAAGATGTGCAAATTACCAATGAGGGGAATCGTGGGTGGTCCAGTAGGTAAATGCAACTCCCTTGATCCCACTTTCCGCATAAAGAATACGAAGAGCAGGAAGGAGACAATTGCGTATGCATAGAGTGCAGACATCGCTCAAGCTGCCAGGATATGCTCGACTATTTACACCTGAAAGGCGGCTATGGGCGGCGTGGCTGGGGCGCCGCCTATGCATAGGCTCGTTCTCATAGTGTTCTGGCGTTGACTTGAGAAGTAACCAGGTATCGATTCGCTAACCCAAAAGGTTGCCATAGATTATTTTGGTCGTACTGGACCAAAGGTAGGAATAGACTTGTGCATTCCGTCATAACTCGTCACGGAGTTGAACCTTGCTCAAAAAACACCCTCAAGTACTTACTTACCCTCAAGGAATAAATCAACATAAGCACGACGCTACTGGATACAAACTGGAGTGTCGACTGACTAGTGACTACATGCGACATCTAAATAATGGGTATCATCAAGGCGGCTTTGGCTGTTCACCACCATCGTCCACGGGTTTCATAGCATCGTTCTCATGTTCCCGTGCAAACGGCCGCTCAATATTTGGGACGTCCGCGAGCCAGGCATGTTTACTCAATTCCTCTGCTGACTGGCGTTTCTCCGGGTCGAGATGTAACATGGGAAGCAGGAAGTCTGCGATAGCGTCGGCTTCCGTTTGTGGGAAGAGGTACTTGTCGTGAAGGACTGCTGTGATTGGCCATGGGCGTAAGCTCTGGATATGGAGTAGCTTTCCTGAGAGGGGAATGAATGTCGAGGGAGATGTAATGGAGAGAAGCAAGTCACCTTTGGCGTCGAAGAACTCCCCACTCCAACGCCCCGACTTGCGCACGTGCGCGGGAATCTCTCCCAGTAGTTCAATTATTTGAGCAATGTGGTCGTCGTCTTTCGTATAACGGGGACGCCCATCAGCACCTTTCGGTGCTGGAGCAGGATCAAATAGGTAATCGCCCCCTGTCATCACCTCGAATAGCTTTGAAATATATCAGTCGGTGTACAAAGCGGAATGAGAAAGCCACCAACAACGCATGCGACGCTCCATATGTCGGCGCTCGTTCCCCAGTTTGTTGATCCTACAATGACTTCGGGGCAACGATACTGCCTCGTCTGGATATCATTGGTGAAATGATGGTCCGTCCACGTCGCTGAAAAGGGTTCAACTGAGACCGGGATATAAGGCGACAACTATTACCATTCCCAAGGTCCGCAATCTTGACTGTGATCATCTCATAATCGGCCTCGTCGACTTCCTCAATCCAATGTTCTTCTCCTTCAGGCTTATCCCGTCCAACATCAACAGTGAGTACATTTCGAGGAGGGCTAGGAGTCGGGATTGTCGTGGCTGGAGGCGCAGAGTGCGACATGGTCAAAGCCGACATTCCCAGATCACCGTCGTCTGTAGGTGCACTTTGTGGATTTCCGCCATGAGAAATCTTCATCATTCCGAGGCCCCACTTGTCTCCCAATGGTGGCTTTGGCCGTCCGGCATTAATACCGCTAGTTGGGCTCGTGCTCAGAGATGTCAAACTGACAAAACTGCTGCTTGGACTCGGAAGAGGCTGACTGCCCGTAATGTTGACATTGATAACGTGATGACGAGGGCCGGGTGTGATGTTACCGCCGCGACCAGTCGATGGGGGCACACCAGTAATTCTGGCTTTGGGAACACGATGTTGTTGAGAAGGGGAGGTTGTAGAAGAAGAAGCAAGCTCTGCTTGTATCACTGATTCGACGTTAGGAATATAAATGAGCACATTTTCTGGCTTGAGATCTGGCGGACAATCAGAGTTTGGAACTCCAGAAAGGCGATTAGTTCACGGACCGGTATGGATGACCCCGCAACATCGATGCATGTAATCCAGGCCAAGTAGGACCTGCTTGGCGATCTGCTTCACTAATGGAATGGGAACGCCTTTATTCTTTCGCTATAGTCAGCAGATTAACGCGTTCAGAAGAGATTAGACGCACTTGATGTCGCTTGATGAGGCCAAGAAGACTTTCCCCCAGAACTTCGAAGACCATGCAGATATGGGTACCATTTGGCCCTTTATGGCGAAAGTGGTCAAGGAAAGATATAACGTGGTTCTTTCCAGGATGGTCGTTGGTGCTAGCAGTGTCCGAAGACGTGACTAGACGCTGGAGGAGCTTGATTTCGTCCACGGCAGTCTCTGTATACCGAGCTGCTGATTTGACGACCTTGAGCGCGACGTGGCGTTGCATCCTAGCAACGTTAGCTGGCATAAGACAGATAAACGCGGAACGCAACGAACTGAACATCGCGGGCAAGCCAGACTAGGCAGGTCAAGCGTCTAGTGAATCCGATGGAGCCATAATGGCTCACCAGTTGAGAAATGACCCCATCCTAGCTTCCTAACAACAACGTAGCGACCACTAAGAATCGTTGAACCACCGTTCGGAGCGAGCGGTCGACGAACCTGGCAAAGGTGTCGCCAATTGACACAGGATGGTAGCCACCTGGGATGTCGTAAGGCCTGCAGGGTCGCAGAGAGCAATCAGAGGCCACCTTGCTTATATTCTTGCCAATCCTCCTCTTCATCGGCCATGGGGAACTACCAGTAACCCCTCTGCACGGCTGAGAACGCGGAGATTGGTCCGAGGAGACAATTCAAAGCAAGAAACGAGGTGTTATCTTGGTGTTCGCATGCCTTATCGCACCCCAAACTATCAAACAGCTCCGGATCCAAATTCACGCAGGACCTGGCGTAGAATAAACATCGGCACGAAAAGCGTCTACGGAATCGCTCGTACAATCACTGTCGCAGGTGTGGGCTCCCGTTGAGCAATGGTTATGGTCAAGTTGCGCAACCCGTGGCGAGCCAATCACGAGTTGCCAATTATATCTACCACAATGTTTTTCTCGATCTCTGATTCAACTAGTCCAGCATCCACCTTCCTGTGTCTGTGCCAGGCGACAATGGTCACTACGACCGCAATTATTCCAAAAAGCACGGCAGGAGGGGCCAGTTCTCCCGACACACGAACTAGCCATCGATTACTCCCATGAGAGAAAAACTCGGAGAGAAAAACTCACTATATTCGACATCTTTGTACGGCAATGAGATACCTAGTTCCCTCAAAATAAGGTCCAGGTCTGACGAAGGAAGCTCTGTTGACCCATGGCCGAAAGCTACCGTCCCACTGCGATTGAATACGACATTCATGTGGAATGCAGCTGCGATGAAAAGGAACACAACGCTGAAGAAGAGAGCTGTTGCTTGGTGCGGCAGAGTATAGCTCGACAGCGGTTCTCCGACATTTGGAAGTCTTCGCAGCACAAACTTGGGCAATATGCCAAATATGTCATGCACAATGAGCAGCAAAGATTTCCCGACGACGACGGTGACAAGGTGGGTCGTAACAAAAAGGACAATGGACGTAGTTTTGACATCTGGACAAAAGGTCAGCTTGTCAAAATAGTACCAGACGTTGGGCGACTGACCGTTGTATTCAAGTGTGGCTGAAACTCCCGTTGGTAGATGTTCGTTAAGCAACACCTGCCATTTATGGTGCCTACTCTTATCGTCAGCTCGTTCCCGTCGCAACTACGACCATACTTGGTCCAAATCTTGAGACACAGGCCGCCAGCCACTATGGCGAAGATTTCTACGAGCACAAGCGCTAGCAAGCGTGCAACGCCAAGCGGCAAGTCCTTGGGGAGCCGCCGTAGGAAGGGCTGCATTGGGTCACACGATCCTTCCTGTGGCTTCATCTTAAAGGCTTCGACCCTGGTGACTATTTCTGGAGCACTCACAATGTCAACCTTGAGAAACGAAGAGAACTCTTTCGAATCTCCGGTTGTTGTTTCTGTTTGCAAGAGGCTACTTCGCCTGAGGAGGGAGTGAGGCCTGCTTGGCAGGCCTTCATTTAACTGCACTCTCAATACTGCTAATCGAAAGTTGAGGCAGGGGAATTCCATTACTGTTGTCATTACCCAGAGAAATAATCTACCATTATAGGTAGTCGTATGCTTCCTTCCTGTCCTTGATTCACACTGACGGTCAAGACCTGGGGTTAATGCGCCTTGATATTTGATCTAGTTGATGCTCCAACACGAGTATATCGTCCATAATCGATGAATGCCTGTCTTCCAGCTCGTCAAATGTGTCGTCCTCGAACGTCAGAGTCGATGCAGGGTATGGCTCTATACTCCACGATCTTGACCGCGCTCTGGGACCAGGAACTCCCAGGGATGTTGAATTCCCGGTCAGGAAAGTACTCCGACCAGAAAATGTGCCTGACATGGTCATTGTGGGGGTAGCACTGCGCCGTGATAAGACCGACATGGCCGAGCTTGGTCGCGGGGTTGGACTAGGACTGGGAGGTCCTTCTGATTCTGATTCAGTTGTTTCTTCTGGTGGTACGACCACAGATGGTCGAAGGCGCGCTTGAGACGAGGAAGTAAAATCTGGTATGGTTAAAGCCGGTAGAAATCGTATCGTTTTGTTTGTTGAAGAAGCGAAAGTCGGCAATACCCGAGGTTTGCGACCACTTTCGAGAACCCGTTTACGGGCACTCATTCCAATGCATTCGGCCAATTGCTTCATGGCTTCGCGATCTGACACGGGTCGTCCACCAACTGTGCGACGCACTGTACTGGCTCTTGGCAACGTCTGATGAATCGTTCCGGCACCGGGCCGCATCGGCGTGAGGAAGGGATGGGAGTGAGGAATTGGAGCCATGGCGTGTGTTCGGGATAGTACTGGTGCTATAGTCCCAGGGACGGAGAGGCGACTGGGGCGTGGAGTAGCGAATGAGTCCCGATGTAAGCTCTCCTCGGGATCGAACATGCTACTGAATGCATCGACAGGTGGACCCCACGAAAACCCGATGAATAAGTCGTCTTGTTGAACATTGGCACTGGTTTGCAAGGGTGAAATATGACCAGAAACAAGTTCGGAGCCCCCAGGCGATGACTGGAACAGAGCCGAAAATGCGAACGGTTGAGAATATCCTTCTTCGTCATCCACGGCAAAGGCAACAGATGATTCCCCTATGGAGAATTGAGGCAAATGAAGGCCCTCTGGGGCAGATTCAACTGCTACCCTAGTCCAGTTAACCTCCACAAACGCTGGATGATCTTGTATCTCGGCAACGCCTCTACGACCTAGTCGTTGTTCAGCGGTTGTCAAAAACCTGAACTTATCAAGTTGACCGTTATGCAGACAAATGACAGTTACCTGCGAAGGAGATCCTGGAATGCAGCAGACACATCAATCCCAGAATCGAAGCGTAAACTGCTCTGTCCCGAAATTGGATCAAATTGAGCAGCTGTATGGGGACTGACCTTGTGATTAACGATCTTAACATATGTATCGTTGATAACCTGAGCAAAAAATGGCGCAACACCATAGACCATCTCGTAGAGCATTGCGCCAAGACTCCACCAGTCTGTTTCAGGCCCATAACCGTATATATCGTCGTGGGAGAATGAAGGCTCCATTTGAAGGTCGACCAGGGCTTGCTCATGGGCGGTAATGATTTCGGGAGAGACGTAGTCACAAGTTCCGCAGGGGACGAGACAGTACTTCTTCAACAAGCGACCGTTTTCGATTGGAGCGGCAGACCCAAAATCGATCAGCAATACATGAGCGTCGGGAGTAATGACGAAATTGTGAGGCTTGATGTCCCTATGCCCATAAGACTAAGATATGACCAGTAATCGTGGCGGCATACCGATGGGCAAAGCCTTGAGAATGACACCAATGGATAGCGCTGATGAATTGTGGCGTCCACCAACTCATATCCTCTTCCGAGACACGGCTGCCTAGAGGACTCGACTGCAGAACTTCCCACAGATTACCCCCCGCCCCATATGTCATAACCAAGTTGAGATGAGTTTGTGTTTGGAAGGCACCAAGAAGATGAGGAGCCCAGAAGGAGCGGGTCTGACGCGCCAGACGAAGAACATCACGTTCAATTTGAGGGGAACATTGCTACAAAAATTAGTCAGATGTGTGGACTTGGTGGCTAATAAAAGCAATCGCTCACTTCGCGGTTTCGCAATACAAAACGCTTCTCAATGGACTTGCGGACGTAAAGACGACCGTCTAAGTTGCATTTGACAATGTCGATCTGTGAGTTGTGGGTCAAGTGAATGGAAACGGGCGTACAGTACATACCAGCCCAAACTGCCCTCGTTCAAGCGCTCCCATAGACTGTAGGTCGCCGTCTTTAAAACGAAGCGCATCGATTTCGGCTGTTTTGGCTCGAAAAAAGTAAGAAGAGTGGGGACAACCAACGAGGATAACACACAGGAATTGCCGATCACGCTCTGGCCATGAAGAATACGGTCCAGGGCAAAGCCAGTTTCATCCTCGTCCGTCGATGTCTTGAGCAACGCGCAAAGGCGAGCTTTCCGGGACAACCAAGATGTAGACATGCATCAGTTAGCTCGCTTGTCTTGCACGAAATCGAAATGCTGGGCCGTGTGTGGTCGGATCGCCTTAACCGCACGCTTCAAGGTGTGATAACACTGGATAGAGGTAGGTCGTTGGGAGTCAAGACAAGGTTGTTTATTCTCACGTGCCACTTGGGCTGATGGAATCTATGATAGCTGGATTCGGCGTACTTAGAGGTGTAGCCATACAAAATAGACCTTCTCCCCTCGCACCAGCAACGATGACCGCGCTTTGGTGTGCGGGTGCACAAAAGCAGAAACGAAACGTCCATGGGGGCAAACTCGCGACGATCCACTCGACTTGGGAACCAGAATTCTAGGATGGTAGATCTTCGAATGAGTCTGGCGCTGGTCCCTTTGTTCCTTCCTCGTTCTCTTGGGGCGCTTCCCACAGAGATTCAATGTCATGACCCAGGAAATACTTCATCTAACGCACCCAACAGACGGCGAGCAAGATAGGACAGTTCCTGGTCCACTACTTGGACCATTTTTAGTCGGCGAGCGCGGTTTATTTTCATCGATGCGGTGATCTCTTTCGAGACTACCGCAGACATACGATAAGAGACGCGAACGAGATTGGGGTTAGGCATTGACATCGACGGTCGAAATCAAAAACAGTATTTCTTACCACGGTCAATTTTCGCTACCGAGTGCCATGACTTGCTTCCAACAAGCGCCGTCTATAAGCCCTGCCTTGTCCAAGCTGATGGGTTGCCTCTGCCCCCCAGAATGGCCCCCAATCGAACCAATTCGGTGTGTTACGCACTTGCTGCAGCAGCAACATGCAATAGTCTGGCGCTCGCATACTTTCAGTGTTACTGCGCCTCGGACAATCCCATAGCGCTGGAGAAAAACGAGCTTTCAACCATACCCTGCATAAATGCCACTTTCTTCGACCTGGCGAGCCCAAATGACTTTGTTGACGGGTTCCCCCTTGATGAAGCTGTTTTTTGGACTCGTGTATGTTCTTGAGAGTTCTTTTCTCCCTAAAGCTACCCTCTGTTTCCTATAGACCCGCCGGCGCAAACTCTTGCTCTGTGCGATCCTTTCGACTCAAATGGCTATATCCTTCCTCGTTGGAGTGCGTAACCCTTTGGAATTTGCCGAGGTGGCCTTTACCAGCTACCTTCTGCTCATCGGGGTCATTTATATTCGCATCGGAGATTTCAAGACGCACGCGCTTTTGAATGCTTCATTGGCCAGTCTTACGACCATTATCTGCTTTATCTTGGGGTTGAACCATATCATTCCCTCGACAGAGGCCACCTCCACCCTACAAATTAGCAACATTGTGCTTTACTTTCTCGCAGCCAGCATCGCGACAACAATTCCACGTGGTCCACTACAATACTTCCCACCAGAGGATATTTACCCGGCTACTGTTCCTACTTGTGCACCTCGATCTTCTAAGAATAATGTTCATGGCGCTGTCGGTTCGTATCTCAATCGGCTCCTGGTTCATTTCCTTACATCCCTGATAGATGCTTCGCCACTCAGTGCCTTATTCTTCTCTTATATCACTCGAATCACGTCCCTTAACTCTGGCTTCAGCGTCGCAGACCTTCCGTTGCTCACGGCATCTATGAGAGCAACCGTCAATTTCACCCACATACGTTCTGCTCTCCTCGGCTTCAAGAGGTGGAACTTGCCTCTTGGACTTCGTTTTGGTTTGGTTACTTTGAAAACTAATGTGAAATCGCTTCTCTATGTTGCTGTTCTATCCGGGACTATTGCATTGTTGCGTTATGTCCCCGCATACTCCATACGATTCCTCCTTCAACTGCTGGAAAAACGGCAAACTACTCCGCTCACTCACGGAGAGCAGCGGTGGGGTCTTGTATATATTGCTGCTCAATTCGTTTCTGCACTTGCTTTCGGCTTCGGTAAGTATACTTACTAGCATGGTGTTCAATGTTCCCAGCTCATTTGATCTCAAGGTTGGGGGCAACTATGGAATCGCGCACACATCACAGACATTCAAATGGTCGCGCAGATCAATACGTTGCTTTTCGTGAAAACGTTGGCAAGAAAGACTATTGTCAGCACATCGCCTGATACTCCGATCAAGTCCAATCCACAGTCATTCACTCATAAAGCCGAAATTGTTACGATGATGTCGCAAGATGTCCACAGGGTTTCGGCTGTGTCGATGCACATATACACGTTGACAGGTCTCGCACTTATTTTCGTTACTTCTCGCACTTGGCTCACCTGCACATTCTCAGATGCAACCATTCAGCTAGTTCTGGGGACATGCCTTCTGTATAGCCTTCTGGGTTTCGTGCTGGCTGCTGACTAACCAAAACGCTGTGCTAATTAGTTTCAGGTGTGTCTGCCCTTGTCGGTCTCGCCGCTGCACTTTTATCCGTGCCTCTCCAACAATATATCGGCCAAATTGTCATTCAGACGCAGTCCTCGCTTATGAAGACAAAAGATCAACGTATTGCTTTGACGAGCGAGGTATTAGATACAAAGTTCAATCGGAATGAAGACCTGATTCTCTGCTGCAGATTCTGGCTGGCATTCGAATGATCAAGGCATCTTTTCCATTTCTTTGCCGCCTTCTGATACTAAGATTCATTCCAGTTTATGGCTTGGGAAAGAAACTTCGAAGCGAAGTTGTGGAGTATTCGTGAAAAGGAATTGGAGATGCAGAAGATCACATATCTCATGAAGGTCGTTTGCGTCTTCTGCTCTGTCCGACTGGTTCTAACTTGCTCAGCAGATGTTACTAACCACCGTTGGGTAGATCTACCTTGTTTAGGTGCAGAATGTGGTCTGAGGTTGCACAGAAACTTGATTCCACTACTGTTTGCTCTTGCATCGTTCGGGCACTATACAGTCCTTCGTCATCAAAGTCTTACTCCATCCATTGTTTTCACATCTGTGAGTTTTCGAGCCAATTCTCATTTTGACATGCAGGACTTGACATGTGTCGTAGGTTATAGGTAGGACTCCCGGGTTTGCTTTCCTCTCTAATGATCGTTTGTTTCAGTCTTCAATGGGATCCAATACGCCATTTCAGGCCTACCTGAAGCTATTCTCGCCGCCGTACAGGTCGGTTAACTTGTGATTTCATTGTGTTCCCTCCTCAAGTCCGCATCTAGTGCTTTGTATCTCTGTGTCGAATTGATCAGTATCTGGACAGTCAAGAAGTTTCACTCGACAGAAACATTTCAAAACACATCTCACTTTGTGATGCTACAATAACATGGCCTGGGGTTGCCCACGACGACAGTGCATTCAAATTATCGAATGTCACCGTCGAGTTTCCGATGGGCGAGCTCAGTCTTATCTGTGGGAGGGTTGGATCAGGGAAGAGCCTACTTCTACTTGGTATTGCTGCTTTGCCGTGATGAACAGGGTGGCTGATTGTTTATTCAAGGATTGTTAGGTGAAGCAGATGTCATCGATGGTCACGTGATATGCCCTCATTCCTCCCCGGACTTCATAGCAAAGAGTCTCCAGAAACATATAGCAGCAGACGAATGGATAGTCTCTGGATCATGTGCATATGTACCGCAGGTAAATGTATATGCTGCCTGTTGTTTCACGATTCAATCCCCGCTTTAGACTGCCTGGCTGAGGAACCAATCGATTCGAGAGAATATTTTATTTGGGCTTCCACATTCTGTTGAACGATACATGAAGACCCTTGAGGTACTTGAAGAACATTTTCAATGCTACCATTCGTCTCACGACTTTAGGCCTGTGCACTCATCCCAGATCTTGACATTTTTGAATACGGTGATCTCACGGAAATCGGAGAGAGAGGAGTATGGTACTTCGCTCATTGGCTGCATTGGCATTGATGGGCTGTTTCACAGATTACATTGTCGACGGGACAGAAAGCGCGCAGTAAGCTCCATATCGCCTCTTTCAACTTCCTCATCACTGTCATGGTCTTTAGTATCGCTAGCTCGAGCGGTATACTCGTCAGTTTTCTTTTTGCATTCGGCGCCGTAACTCTTTCTTATTCCATGTAGTCGAGCCTCAATCTTGCTTCTCGACGACGTTTTATCAGCTGGTAGTCTTTCATCATGTGCAGACTAGCTTTCTGACCACCCGCAGTGGATGTTCACACCGCTCATAAAATCTATCACGGATGCTTGAAAGGAGAACTGATGCATCAGCGCACAGTGCTTCTGGTGTCGCATCATCTGCAGCTTTGCGTTGACAGATCAGCTCATGTCGTTGCGTTAGAGGATGGGAAAGTCGTATTCCAAGGACCCCCCTCTGCATTCCATCGTTCAAACACATTCCATGGTCTCATCAATTCACAACAACAACACTCCGAAGTCACTGAGGTTGCCAAAAGCGCGCAGGCTGAAGTTTTGCAACCTCTGACAACCCGCGGTCCGATAAAACTTCGCGTCGGTGACGCTCCTAAGCTGGTCATCGATGAAGTGAGCTCTGTGGGAAGGATCAACTGGGATGTGTGGAAAAACTTTCTTGGGGCTTACGGGCGAACATTTTTCTGGGTGTCATTTACCATTGGTCTCATTGTTGCCGGTCTAGGACCTGTCATCGAGAACAGCTATTTGCGCGTCTGGGCAGACGCCGGGGAAGCTGCTCGCCCTCTCCGCTATGTCTCAATTTATGCAGGCATATTATCCCTTAGTTCGTCATTTGTGGCCTCGGCAATCCAAAGTAAACTGATCGCTGGTAGATTTGACCCTCCGCGTCATCCATTCCTATATATTGTGTTGGTCGTCCCTTGCGTCGTCTAACCACCATTGACTTATCGTCTCGAAGACCGCGGCTCTATTAGATCTTCCCGAGTCTTGTACCAAAGTGAGAGTTGTCTTTGGTGTTACCCACGTCGTTAAGTATCCCATATAGGACTTTTGGAAAATGTCCTGTTTTCGAGTGTCCGTTATCACGACACTGTTGCGCGTGGCAGCCTTCTTAACAGATTCGCTAAAGACATGCAAAGTATATTACCCTCATTTTACGCTCCTTTTGACTGACGCCTTTTAGTCATTGATGGCTTTATTGCTGATGACTTTGGTCGCGCAATGAAGCTTGGATTGTCAACTTTGATCACTTTCATCACGCTTGCGGTGGTTGGCGGAGTACTGTTCGCTGTTTCTGCGCTAATCCTCGCCGTCATTTTTGGTGTTGCTTCCCAAGTAAACCCAAATCACTTCCATGCTTCAAGTTCAAGTTGTAGCTCACTGTCAACCAGGACTATGGTCATACCTCTCGCGATATGCGGCGATTGGGTCTGTCTCCTCCTTCTATTTGTCTGTTTCTATTCATTGTAACCTCTGCAGTTTCAACGACGTTCTCCCCCCTATACTCAGTATACGACACGGCTATCACAGGGGCGATTGTGATTCGTTCCTTCGGAGCATCCACCGCATTCCTTCGGGACATGATGAGATTCGTCGACGCGGTAAATCAGCTGCGGGATCATTAATTTGGAACCCACACGCTTTTTAGAATTCGTCTGCTTGTCATTGGCAATGGGGTCTAAACCGTTGGTTCTCTGGTTAGTCCATCATCTCGACAACAACAACCATTATGACATCATTTTAGTTCTTTCCATTGCTTTTGGGGGTTCAATCGTCGCTGCGGTTGGCCTCGCGGTCCTACTTTCCTCAACAAATGATGCTTCATTGGCCGGATTAGCTCTTGTGTTTGCATCAACCATATCTGTGGAGGTATCGTGCATTTCGAGTTGTCAATCGCAACTCATGCTCATGCTCCGGGGTAGTTGATGTATTTTGTTCGTGAAGCCTCAACTAGACCGCAGCATGCCTCATTTATGCAGATCCGTGCTTTTGTTGGGCTTGAACAATCTCTGGTGGCCGTCGAACGAGTGAAAGCAACTTCAGACCTCCCTCGGGATCCCCCGGAAATCATTGATCCGCGACCTCCGATTGGATGGCCCACCGCTGGGATGATCCAATGCGAGAACTTCAGTATTCGCTATGCGGTACGTCAAGAAATCTAGTTATTAGCGGGTCACACCCTTAGTCTTCCTTAGCCAGACCTTCCGAACGTGCTGCACAACATCACTTTTCGCGTCGAACCGGGGCAAAAGGTGTTCATATATCATACGAGAGGTCTTTCAACCGATACATATTGTAGATTGGTATTGTGGGGAGAACTGGATCTGGAAAGAGCACCTTAGCACTGTCCTTCTTCCGTTTCGTGGAAGCCAGCACCGGACGCCTCGTGATTGACGGTCTAGACATTGCAACGTTAGGTCTGACAGACCTCCGAAGTGGCTTGACCATCATCCCTCGTATGCTTTTATTCCTATGTCTGCTACCACGCCGTTCTTACTGGGTATTGTAGAAGATCCTACACTCATGAGTGGTACATTGCGGTCAAACTTGGACACTTTTGACGAGCATCAAGATACCGATATAGTGAGCGATGTCATTGAACGCTGCATTCAACATAGTCACTCTATATCCAGTTCGAGGCGCTCCGAAGTGTGCATCTTCTCTCAGACAATGATAGCTCTGTGTTTGCAAATCTGGATTCGCCTGTGTCGCAGGGGGGAAACAACTTTTCTGCTGGGTGGGCTGTGACCTTTTACACATTGTTGCCTCTCACGAATGCATTTCTCAGACAAAAGCAGTTGCTGTGTATGGCACGCGCACTCCTCAAGCATTCAAAGGTTCTTCTCATTGACGAGGTAAAGTGGTTCTACTCGTATGGTAGCATTTCTGAACGACGGTGGACAATAGGCCACGGCGAGGTAGGAAACCTACTCTCTTAAAAGTTAAAGACACAGCTCTTGAGTTTTTTTCAGCCTGGATTATGCAACAGATGAACGTGTTGGGTTGACAATCCGGGAGTGAGAGCAAGTCCTCCGCTGCATTTCGTGGACTAACGGACTTGTCACAGAAAATTTTCTCAAAGCACCATCCTGACCATCGCCCACCGACTTCGAAGTATCATCGACTATGACAAGGTCATGGTATTGCAAGATGGACGAATGGTTGAATTTGACAACCCAGCTGTGCTACTGAAGCAACAAGACTCGATATTTTCCGAAATGTGCCAAGCGACAGGGAGAGAAGAATTCGCAACACTGCGGAGGATGGCGAGGCTCTGATTTACAAATAGTTTGTGGTTAGCGATACAGTACTAGAGGTTTCTGAGGTATTCGGATTATAGGGCAAGAGATACGCCTATTAGAGATGGCCACAAGACGTAGAATAGTCGCAGTCGGGTTTTGTGAAGATGGTTTCCTTTGCGAGGAGCGCTTGCGTTGGGAGAGCCCAAACGGTTGAGACCAATTCCGCCTCCGCCATCTGCTGGAGGGGGGCCAGCGGTGATAGTTATTGCTGCGGGTATAGTTGTGAGAGCGGGGGGAATCTCGCTGACCAGAGTAGTGGTTGGAAGAACGAGAGTAAGAAGTCGGTCTATATTGGTACGATTTCCATCGCTTGGGGGTGGTGGCGTGAGTTGAGAAGCAGGAGTGTTGACGGTAAAGTCTGCGGTCCAAAATTGTTGCGTCGTCGGAGAGCAAGTTTCGAGGATGAACACGCTAGTTTGAGAGAGATGGAGATATACTTGAAGCGTCAACAGATTGCCAACACGCACTAATGGTCCCATGTCGTCAAGTTGGCAGGAATGTGGACACAGTGCGAACGAGATCTTGGAGAGACTTTATGGGCGAGTCGGATGCAATTGTCCTTGATAAAATTGGTGCGTGAAGGGAGACAACAAGCGCAGAGCATACGCCATAAGTGTTGCAGAGGTCAATACTGAGTGAACCCATTTCAGAGAGACGCGGGCTGCTGACGGAGTCTGTCCAAGTAACGCATTCGATGGTGTCCGGGAAAAACACGCTGTCGCGAATGGGGTATGTGGGGTAGAGAGAAGCCGTAGCCATCTGGAGGAGACTGAGACCGATGAAGTTCAAGAGCAACATGCCTGTCACACTCCCAGCGGTAATACAACCAAACAAGTACAATCCAGCGAAACAATGCTACTGACTACTTTGGAGTTGGACGTGCATGAGCGTGTGCTCATCCAGACCCTGAAAACCGCGATCAGACGAGGCCATATGCGGAAAAAGAATTAAATTGACCTCTTTTGTAAGTACAAGCACAGGGCAAACAACGTTCTCCTGTGTTCGCCAATGACAACGATAAATGAGCATATCCCCATGTAAAGCAACAGGTCGCGGCTCGTCTTCTAGCCTTGCACAGTCTTGCTGAGCACGTGCACATTCGTCCTTGGCAACAGACAAATCTTCCGTCAATTGTTCCAATTGCTCCTCCAAATCGTCCTTTTCCTCTGCCAGTTGTAGACATTTGGCAGCCAGCTCTGGATGCTCAGCTGCCCGTCTTCTTAGATCATCGTCGTTGGTTCGGATGGCTTGCTCGCGAAGAAACTTAGCTTGATTGCGCCACTCAGTCACCTCCGCTCTCAGTTGCGTTTCCCGTTGTTCAAAAGTTGCCTTGATTAATGCGACCCCATTCCGTGTCTGCGCCTGGGAAATCTCGAGTTCTGCTTGCAGTTTCTTGTTCTCTCGAGTCGCTTCATCGCTGAATGCTGACGCTTTCATGTAAGCCTCCCGAAGAGTTTCCACCTGTTGGGCGTTATAGGCCGAGTCTCGTTGAGCGTTCTCGAGTTGCACTTGGAGAGCTGCCCGAGCCTCCTCAGCAGCCAATGCTCGGTTATCAGCTAGTCCCTTCTCCTCTAACGCTTTGTTGAGCCGCTCATTGGGATCGAGGTTGTTGTCACGTGCGAGAACAGAAGATTGGGCTTGTGCCTGCAGAACCGCGTTCTTTGCTCGCTCGGCTAACACCGACATTTGCTCGTCCGCAAGCAAGTTCCCAAGCCTTATTATCTCGTTCGACTTTTCATTTAACAGCTGCATAGCAGCTTCTAGCCGAGTTGCTGGCTCCTATGCGGGAAACTATGTGAATAATCTTCAAATATTGTGGGTGCATCCTCACCTCCGATGGAATCTGGGACTTCTGAGCTGGACTGTTCATTTCAGTTGAGGCAGTTGGTGGAAGGGCAAGTTGCGAATCAGGATTGACGATGACAGATGATGAAGACCTTGAACGAGCAGGACTGCCGCCATTCTAACAGACAAATCAGGAAAAGTAAGGTCTCTGGATAAAGGTCAATCGTACAGGCCTATCAGAGAGCTGTTCGACGAACAGAGAGTCTTCATGATAGACCTAGAGGGAACAAGGGCTCAACAATGAAAACGGGGGACTTTTTATCAACTTACGAGCGATTCTGGATCGTCCCCCTCTTCAATTTCGTATTTACCTTGCTGCGATTGCGACTGCGACATTTCAGCATAGAACGCAACTCTTTCAGGTAAGTCTAGATCGGGAGAACGCTCGGTTATGGAGCGGATGGCCTCCCCGTCTGACGAAGAATGTCCCTCATAACCAGTACCATCCGACGCCGCGTCTAATTCCTTGTCTCCGGCAGCGAGCTCCGCCTCATTCAGATATTCCATCATATCTTGAGTGCTTTCCTCTTCTTCCTGCCGAAGAGCAACGACATCGGAGAGTACCTGATCCTTTACAGGTTGAGACCCGTTGGCTTCCGACTCTGTGGTGCTCAGGATCGTCACACCCTCTTGTGCTGGTGGTGGGTTGTGTCGTTGAATTATGTCATCCAACGTCAGAGCAGCTCGCTGGGGTACATACTGAGCGTTCTGCGCTCTGCGTTCGGCCCTCACAGCATCAGCGAGTTCTATTCCTCGTCGTCTTAGCCGCTGACTCTGCTCCTCAGCATCATCGACCTCCTGTTCCTGTGTTTTTTTCCCCTTGACTGGCGAGCTAAATGTCCTGATGCTATCGTCATTTTCGTCCGGGTGTTCTGGAAGACGCGCTCGATGCAACGTGTCCTTGAATCGCGTCGGGGTGTATAAGACCATGGGATTCAGCGATTTGGCAGGAGACCTAGGCTTCATCTTGGCTTTCAGAGTTGGCTTCGGTATTTGTGGTGCGACTACTTCCTGCATGTCATCTTCATCTCCCTCGGTTGATTGCGTTTCTGGAACATCGCCAACACGGAAATCATCGTTTATTGGCCGGACCGATGCTTGCTGAGGTGATGGTGGAGCACTCAGTTGGTACTCGGTAGCGGTTGGGGACCCACGCTGACGTGCTATAGTGTTTTTAGAAGCACGTCTTGGTGGGTCAGTTGACTCTTCGTCGGAAGTGGAAGGAAGGAAAAGTGAAGGTTTGCCTAATGGCATACCGCCTTCAGGCTCTGGTAATGCCGCTAAATCTCTGTTGAACTGCTCTAACTGAGCGTCACCACCAGGCGCAAGGGCTTGCGATTGCTCGACGAGACGTTCAGAACGAAAACGAGTAGGTAACGGCGCGGCCTTTATGGCAGTCGCTGGAGGATTGTCGTCTCCTTCATCGGACGAAGAGAAAGAAATGCGCCTATTGAGTGGATGCTTGCGAATGGAGGGTGTTTTTTCGAGGATAACTGAGGGTCTAAGAGGGGACGATATTTGACGGCCTTTGCTAACGGAGAATATTTGATCGAGGGGCTTGTTGGGTGGTTTACCGTTCGAAACGGTGACCTTCCGGCGTTTGGAAGGTGGCCGCGGAGGCTCATCATCATCTGAGGGCACAGGAAGGGGTTTGGAAGCGCGACGTTTCTTGCTGCCGTCTCGAGAAATAGATTCATATTCTTCACTCTTTCCAACCGACGCAGTGGCATTTGAACGCAAAGATCGGGAACTGGAGCCCGCTGTTGGTGTTGTTCGCACAATCGTAGAAGCTCTAGAACTGCCAACAGAAACATTAGACTTGAGGGCGACTTTTTTCTCGGCTGAAATGCTATCATTATAGAGGTGAAGAGGTTACACGCGTAGTTCAACGCACCTTTACCCTTCTTCTTCTTCTTCTTAGTGCCTTTTTCTTCTTTCCAGCGGTGGACAAGGTCATCGGTAATATCACATCTTCGGGCCCAGCTATTGGGCCAAGGTTTGCCATCCGGACGGTTCCCTGCCCATTTCACCAGATAAAAGCCCGGTTTTTCCTTTACAATCGCGACTGCCTCCCAAAGCTGCTCGTCATCACTTTCGTGTGCTTCGAACCCTCCCTCGCTCTCAGAGGTCTCCACAATTTGGGGGTTTGACATCTTTGGAGTTTCGCGCGAGTAGTCAAATGTATGCAGAGGTCACCGAGGGCCCAAGGCGTTGGGCATGGGCAAGGAAGACAACAGGTCGCGGTCACGCCGTCACGCGTTATTGACTCATCAATTCAATCATGTCCACACACATACTTACCTCATCCATCCACCAAAAATGCAACCTTGAGACTGTGAGACATACGATGTTATGTTATGTTATGTTAAACGTCCTTTGTCTGAGTATCCTTCATTGCTAGAAATACAATAGGTCCGTTTCTGTTTTCCGCGCGTTACTTATTGGCTCATTCGATATCTGCTAATTGCAGTAGTTCCTCCCGCTGATTTCCCGTCAACACACGAGATGGTGGTCTATACCAACCTTCGGCCATCCGATACATTGGGTTGGTCTCTTGGGCTGTCGAAGGTCGTCCGCTAGTTAACTCTGTCGGTTTCTCTGGCTCCCATCTTGGGGATTTGGTCACTAACCCATCATTTGAGCAAAGACACCCACTGTTTTGTGTGGGCGGCATTCCACCCACACTTTCGGCATAGCCAAACAGTACGAGACTTGATAGGGAGAAAGGACATGAACAACGTCGTAGCTTTGGCCGATTTGACAGAAACACGTCTGCAATGTGGGCAAATCCGTACTAGCGAAGAATCTACGTCGTTCCGGAACCTTACGACTCTCACTGGACGAAAGTGTTAGTCCTATTGTTGACGATTCTGGCTTCGTACTCCAGCCTGCCCATACCAGAAATTAGTTGTATTTTCGACGGAATGTTCTATTCAAACCTTTTCGTATAGACCCGTGGCCAGACATGGGCAACAGAGCCTTTGTTGACTCTCTTGGTCGTGGACATGTAATTTATATTTGAGGTAAACGCTATCTGGCGTCTAATATCACTCTATTCCTCGACGACGTGATTGACGGTTGGAATGGCGACGGTCTGTGATGCAGACCAGTGCATCGGGTTCGAAGGAGAGTGTAAGGAAAAGAATGGGCTGTTTACACTGCCAATGGTTGAGCAACAGCATCTCTTCTACGGATACTGATGACTGACAACAAGAAGCACCTTAACTGAGCTAGATAAGATGAGATGATCTTATCAGATGATACCTTGACAGGAATGGGCTGATCAAGCATCGAAATGGGAAATTACCTTGGACCACCCATGACAACTCTCTCTACTGAATCCTCAAGGCTTTCCAGACAAACAACTACTCACGGGCGAGGCCCGAGTTTCTTGGGCATACTCGAAAGTCAAGTTGTAGAATCACAAACCTTTGAACACGTGACCCATCCCGCAAAAGGTATAGTACCTTTCTCTTCCAACCTTTCTCCTTCTTACAGCAACCGCGCGTATATCTTGACTAAAACTTAACAACCTCGGTTTGCCATTGGCTCATTAAACGTTGATACTTATTAATACTCCGCGACTCGACTCATCCCTGCGCGCATGGGTGACCTTGGTTTGGCTACTTCCGTTGCTCTCGTAGACCAAATATTGCTTTATTTGTACCATATGTGGTTGCATAGCTTTCTCCAGTCTCTGAAGGCTTATATAATTATGACGAGGGCTTCTTTCATCTTGCGTGACATTGCCGCCCAACTTGGCCTTTCACCATCATGTACCCGACTTTTGGGAACGGAGTAAGTACAGCAAGAATATCTTAGACTCTGTCTATTCAAGTTGAAACTAACGGACAGTCATCCAGGCGCCTCACGGCATACATGAACACCCGCAATCAAAACGCCCGTTGCTTGCCCCCTCCACATTTCACTGAGATGTCGGAACTCCCTCCAGAGCTCGAACGCGAGATATTCCTTAAATTCTGTGCGGATTCTCCCCCGGGGGACTGCATACAACTTCTCCTCGTTGCTTGGAGAGTAAAGCAGTGGTATGTCGCATTTATCCTGCACCAAGTCCATGTCCTATATTCACAATCCAGGATTGAACCGCTTCTTTACCGGACAATTGTTCTCAGTTCAGTGCGACCACCAGAGGGACGCCCTCTTTTCACGACAAGCACATTTCTAGTCGCACTTCGAACCAGACCATCCTTTTTTCGCGAGGCTGTGCGCAACCTGATGATTCACTCTGTCCCAGATGAAGCCATTCATACCATTCTCGCTACCTGCACTCGGCTGGAGAACCTTTGGGCTCCGATGGCCAGCGATATTCTCTTTGACTTGATCACATCGTCCCATGTTCATCATGACCCACCTCCATTGAACCAACTCTACACTAATTTCATGCCGTTACTACAGGCACTCCCTCACACACATCCCTTTTTCTCTCGCCTCACGCATTTGGAGGTCATTGGCTGCCCGACACGGCGCCAAGAAGCATTATGGGTCGCCCGACTGGGGCAATTACCTTGTCTTACCCATCTCGCTTTCAACGAGTATGCCCTCGTTCCTGCGCTCTCTTCACTCTTCCAATCGTGCGGGCTCCTTCAAGTACTTGTGTCGCTTGTCGGCTCCCCGGCTGATGTGGAGGAACGCGATGAATCGCAAGACTCGCGTTTTGTCGTGCTATTTTCACGCTGGTACGAGGACTGGCAGCTGGGAGTTGAACGAGGCCAGGATTATTGGAGCAAGGCGGAATCCATTGTGGCAATGCGTCTCAAAGACAAGGCCGAGGAAATACAAATACCGGAATAATGATAAACTATAGATGAGATCTAATAACCCGACCAACTAATGTAAGTATCCAGAAAAAAAAAAGCTAATAGAAACCCGTCAGTCGTGTGCATGCGTTACATGTAGAGGGATGTGTTGGATTCCGTCTGCGGTTTTTGGGACGAGTGTGAGCCCAAAGCATTGAGCGCGAACAGTGTCGTCTGGCGGGAGGCTGAGAACGAAGTTGCGGACGATCTCGACGATGAGAACCTGGATTTCTTGTACACTAAACAGAGTGAGCGCCGTTCAAATAGATGGAACAAAAAGGTCTTACGCAAACCGCCATCTGGGGTTATTTGTCAGAGAAATGTATCATGATCAACAAGGGCAAACTCACCCAAGGCAAACCCCGTGCCCAGCAAGAAATGTCAGTCTGAGAAAGATAGGTCAGTCGATCAAGTTTGTGGTGGATGGAGGAGGCTCACAGCGAAGCATACGGTCCCAAAGCAGTCCCTTTGCATGGTTGTTCTGGCTGAAGCCATCGCGAGGGCTTGAACTCGTTTGCATCCTCCCCCCAGATAGATGATAGTCTATGGCAATGTCGGCAACCGTTTATCGCGCAAGCTTTACTCACCTGTGGTAGGACCCGATTGCGATGTAGACATACTGGCCTTTCTGAATGGGAATATGTGTGATCTCTTGACCAGTTGTTGAAATGATTGGCTGGCTGAGCGGGAGCACGCAGTCTTCGGCAGCTACGCGCTCCGCCATAGGAAGAGCGGGAAAAACACGGAGCACCTCCTACGAAGATTGTCAGATGAAAGGCCAAGCCGAAGAGCAACTCACATTGATGATAGCATTCAGCAGAGGCATGTTGTCATAATCAACATCTCCACCCGCTTGACTTATCTCTTCACGCAGAGCTTTCTGGAAGTCTGGCATCTCTGCGAGTTTATAAAGCAACCAGCCGAGGGTGCTTCCCTGTTAAGCATCAGGTTCAGGCTCAGGCGGTATGAGCGACGCACAGTGGTGTCTTCACCAGCAAATAGAATTGTCCGCAAATGCACTGCAATCTCGTCGTCAGGGACACCGCTCGACGGATCGTCTGCCATCCGCACTAGTTCACTTGATTAGCCGGCGTTGAATGGCCCAGCGAAAAAACGTACGTAAGCCGCTGACAAAAGCATCGTCTTTCTTGTGGCCAATCGTCTCTCGTTTCTGGCTCACGATAGTGCGGCCGAGGTCGTTGGTCGTGCGGTGATAATCGCGCAGCATTTGGGTCGCGGGTAATGGAAGAATGACGGCCAGTCGGAAAATGAAGTCGGGAATGTATTTCAGGCAAAAATCCATTAATAGGGCAGAGCGCGATGCGCTCGACATGGAGTTACTGATGGTGGGTTAAGTTTGAATGAAGGAGGGGGATGAAAACTAACACGAGGCCTCGTTGAATCTTCGAAAGGTTCCCTTGGCCGGACAGACCGTTGAAGGGATGCTCAAAGATTGCTAAGTGATATCAGGCATGATATGGCACGAATGACAAGGACTCATACCGTCGCCGACGATATCGATGGCAGCATCGCCCATGCTCCGCGTTACATCGACAGTTTTGCCAGGAAAACCGGAATGCTCCCAGTGTTCAACCAGCTATGTTGGCGTGTCAAACGAGAAAACTGTCAGAGATAACCACGTACTTTGGCCGCAATCTCCCGCATGACTGGCAAGGTAGAACGCACATTTCTGGCCGAGAACCATGGATTCATCAGTCCACGAAGATACTTGTGCATGTTGCCTTGAGCCATGAAGACGCTCCCATATCCGAAGAGAGCATTCGCAGCCTTCTGTTGAGTCGCACCGCTCACGAATGCCGGACTATTGAGGACATATTTGATTGTCGTAGGATCGGAAATCATAAGGCGTGTTTCCTGTGTTTATCAGACCGAAGCCAGGCTAAAGAAAGTTGAGTTGAGCTTTGGACGTACACCGAAACAGCCTCTGAGTGTATAGACGGGACCATATTCGTCCTGCCATTTGAACTCGTTTTGTCCATATTCATCCGTGATGAAGAGATCGACCAAGCTGCCTAGAACACAATCAATGAAGGTCACAGAAATAGGCAGTCGACGATACCGTATATCCACGAAGTTGGCTTTGGTCCAGGAATGGTGTCAACTAGACGTCTGCCCAGACGACGACGAGCAACGTATGCGGCGAAGCCAACAACAGCGGTGCAGGCGACAAGGAGACGGTACATCGAGAGAGCCTGAGGGGAGAGAAAGTTGGGTTGTGCATTGCTCTTGAGCTTGAGCAGTCATATAACATTCGGTTATCTTGTCCCCATCGAGATCACGTTTACTAAACGATCCAGGGAAAAAGAAACGGCGATCGGTGTCTCACATAACAAAGCGTCAAGTTTCCGTTTCAGGGCAGTTCCACCCTCCAGCCCAAGGCGTAACTGAGTCAGGAACAGCCCCGGTGCATCAGGACTGCAACATTGAACAGCTTGGATTTGAATCCGTGTTTGTTACACAGTCGAGGGAGACGTGGTTTGGAGCAGATCCCAAGTAGGAATAATAATAGTCGGCGCAGATTGGAGTATAAATTTTTCGTTTGGATAGAAAGGAGGTTGTCGTCCCACGCCTTCCGGAGAGCCATTGCCTTGAGACAACAAGACAAAAGAGAGATCGCCAGTCGTTTGCACATGATCATGGCATGGGCGGAGATGATCCGTCGATTTCGGTGGCTATGCAACAGTAGGCAAGGGCCCAAAAAGTTCCGTGAAAAAACGAGTTGGAAATGTTTTGACATTCACGTGATCGCGTCGGAAGTGGGCGTTTCACGGACTTTCCTAGAATTCATTGCTGCTCTGCCGGAACTACAACTCCCGACGGCTTGAACTCCAGTGTCGGCAAAGGAACCGAGGAGTCGGATAGGATACTCACGGTTCAGAGGTGTCTTTTGAGTATCGGTCCTAGGCGTATTATATTACTTTGGGATTGAATGCAGTCTCCAGAAAAAAAACCTTTTGAAACCCCGACCCCAATTGGCAACCCAACTACACCGCTTAGGACCAGCTTGTCATCTTACTTGAATCCGCAGCAAGGTTTATGCGTTTGCGTGCATTGCAATGGGTGTCCCGCACGGCGTCAACTCCACATCCAAACAACCTAATCATATGGTTAGAGGTTTCCTTGTAGACGGGGTGACAAGTTACTGAGTCCATTCTCTGATTATGACCGTGGTCCGTGATACAACAACCGTCAACAACAACTGCTTGAAGGCGAGTTGTCTTCCGCAATGGAGGTGCTGGCGGGGTTTCAGCTGTCAATATGAAGGGCGAGAGCAGTCGAATGCGCCAGCGGAATTACTGTACTATTTTAATCAATTCGTCACCTGCCAACCTGCGTGACATGTGCGACGAACTTAAACTTTCGTCAGGCCTTCCCCATTAGGGAATTTCGGCGCCGGAGGCGCCGGATCGGACGGAAAATTACCATATATGGACCAATTTGGGGCCAATTTCTGCCGGATATGCGTGACTGACGAAAAATTTTCGTCGGCTTGAGCCCTGTGTGACGCGTGACTGACGAACTGATTAAAATACTACAGTAATATTGCTGAATAACAGGGGGAACCTCTCCATTGAAGATGAACCTGGGTATAAGATTCGGGCTTTATACCACAGGTAAGTACTCTCAGCGGCGATATGCGTAACTTACTCAAGTTTAACGTTCGAGGCTCAGTACTTCAGTTCCCATGGATGGTCGTTCTCAAGTTTAAACGCTACTTATTTCGTGTGACGCAGCGCAAGAAGACATCTGCCGAGTCCGATCAAATTTTGGTTTTGGCTTGCCACTCCACGATGCTCCTTTGGACGTCGTTTTCCATTCACTCTTAGCCGGGTTGCTGCTCGCCACCACTGCAACATTCACAAATCCAACTCGTCTCCCTGTGGGATTTTTACAACCGAACGGACACAGTTGACTGTCTCGTCCCATATCCGCTCACTTGTTTTACGACGTCGCCCAAATCCTGGTGCCAAACGTTTTTATGCCCCCCTTTCCTCTCGTCACATCAGCTTTACACAATGTGCCCAATTTCCCTGCCATCGGCAGCTCCCATTCCGCTCCTTCAGCGACCTGCCTCGTCACTCCCATCCGCTCTTGCCAGACATCGAAAATTCACCAAACACGCTGCTGGGACCCCTATAAAATCTCCCAAGCCGCACCGTCGATCGATGCAACGAGAATCCAATGACAGGCATGGTGCCATTCAGTTTGTTCAGTTCATCCAGCTCATATATTACTTAGACCTTACCGCAGCCAACACACTAGAGCGCTGCCAATGGAACTGTTCGTTATTGCAGCTGCAGCTTTGGACGATGACACCACACTTGAGGTCGACTTGCTTGAAGAAGAAGGGCCGACAATCAGCAGTACTCAAGTTACCTCAGGGGCTGGCAGTTCATCATTGACGAGCTCAACTTCCGCCTCTTCTAGTCCCTCTTCGCAATCACAAACGAGCTCATCCCAATTCTCGTCGCTGTCTCAATCGTCGTCTCGCTCACAGTCTGTATCGAGGTCGAGCTCATCAGGCTCAAATTCGCAGTCTCATGTCTCATCCACCACCTATTCTTCTGTCTCAAGATCAGTGTCGCAACCCCCATCTTCATCTTCTATTTCTACGTATGTGCCTCTTCGCTCCTTCACGTCTGCTCACTCCGTTCAGCACCCACTCATCGTTGCTGTCATCAAGTCCTCAGTAGGCACATTCTCTCTGTCTCGAACACGCCTGTTGAATTTAATCATACAGATCATCACAGCAAGCAAGCTCCTCACTGCCGACGTGCGTAATGAAGAGGCGTTTTCTGACTTGATTTAATATCCTGTTAGCTCATCATACACGTCCATAGCAGCCAGCCCCAGCATTTTTCTACCAACATCTGTGCCATGGCCCGCATCGAGCTCTTCTTGTGATTGCGACATCACGAGTTCCCCTAGCTCTACGCAAACAGGCTCACTTAGGGCGGGTTCGACCGATACTGGGTAAAAGCGCAACTGTTAATATTAGATGAAAGTGTACTGATTATGTGGTTCTAGGTTTGCACACAACATTGGTGGAATAATAGGCGTTGCCATAGGTGGTCTCATAGCCGTCATTCTCGGTGTCTTAATTGTCTTCGCGGCATGTGGCCGATATCGCAAGCGCCGAACACAGCCCATCCCCTCGCCTCAAATGTACCAGAGGAGAGTTGGAGGCTGGCGAGCCCCGCTGGCCGGAGAGGAAGATTCTGTCAACGAAGCTGAAAATTCGAGCGACTCTGTCGGGCACACCTCTTCCTCCGGTCACATGGCATTTTCTTATGCAGGAGCGGCACTTGCGTCCAATACGGAGCCCGGATTCTGGTATGGTGGTGGAGGATCCTCTTCCCAAGGACATTCTTCTCAATCGCATCCGCACACAGAAGGGTTCTCGTCGACTCAATCCCATGGACCTTTGCTACCGGCATCAACATCCTCGAACATTGGTCATTCGTCAACAGGGCATACGAGTAGTTCATCATCATCATCTCGACCAGCTTTGGCTTCCCCTCCCCCAAGCTTCAGTGCTAGCCACAGCAACAAGCTTTTTGGACGACTGCGTGGCCCGAAGGGGTCACCTGCGCTAGTTGATGTTCCGCCACTTCCATCACAAACTATTCCTTTACCCCCATCTCCACGTTTCGTTCCCCCAGCTGCCTATGACCCTCTCGCTGTACCTGCTCGAAGCTCTCTTCTGAATCCTCCTCTGCCTGTAATTGACCTCACCCCTCCGGCAACTGTACCACCAAATTGGCAGTCAGGATGGCATTCTGCGGCCTCTTCAAGGCCACTTGCTTCGCGTACTCTCACTGATGATTCTGAAATGGCCACCGCAGCACCGGAGGGATTATTAAGGCCCGGATTATTACTTCCAACGCAATCGACAGGAACTTTGAGGGACCACGTGGATTACTCGAGACCACTTGCACTTGTAAACCCATTCTGCGTTATGTGCAGGAGAGCTGACACTTTCTTAAGCACCGACCTGGTTTCGGGGTTCGAATGGACACTTCCAACACGTACGCATCAACCATAAGCGTCGACGGTCACGAAGACGACAAAGAAAGCATTGGCATCGCAACTTAAATGCGGAGTTTGTGTTCAACCTGCATTGACCATCAATCTTGAGTGTAGAAGCTTGTGGATGTGGATACGACGTGACGAATCTTTCGGACTCATCCGACCGAACTCTGGCTTTTTCCCACAAATAATATTGTACCCTCGAAAGAGGTCACGCCGTTATATAGGATAACGGTCCTGGTATCTCCCACTCGTGCGTCGTGTACACGGTCGTCTCACAGAATGGCGTTCATACGTTACATAGTACCACTACATACACGCGCATTAAGGTTACGGGACATAAGCCTTTGTACTGAACAATGGCGGCACTCAATCCAACATTTTACGCTTGGTTGACCCGATCACAGGCTTGATGTGGAACAGCCACCTGTCAAAGCGCTTCTTTGTGGACCTGTCAAACAAAGAGAGTCGCCGTGATGGGTTTGTAGTCCAGGGCTTTGTTAATCTCTCTGCGGCAGAGTATAAGAGGGCTCCTAGTAGCAGAGCCACTCTACAACAATCCTGCCCGCGCACACTTTCTCTCATCATTCTCTCTCTCTCTGCATCCACTGTCTGCGACAGTCCCTGTACCCTCATATCCACTCAAGTCAGCCTCCTCGTTACATCAACCACTGAACACTCACCATATCCAGCATAAACTCAGCATGTCTTTCGAAACATTCGAGACTTTCGATGTCACCTTCGCCGCTGGCGGCGATCCCATACGAGATCCATTCTTTCAATCACTCAACTTCGGCATGACTGCCGACCCGCTCATTACATCTGCCGACTGCTTCGGCCTCCATTACCACGACTCTACCAATCCTGTTACACCCCAGACAGCCGAGGAGCTTTTCGCTGCTGCTTTCGAGAACGGTGAACTGGCTACCGAGGCCGAGTTGGTTGCCCAGCTCCAGTACTTCGAGCAACAAGCCAATACCACCGCCATGGAAGTTGACCCGGTCTTCGCTGGTGCAAACGAGATCGACAACATCTCGACTCAGCTCGGTGGCATGGCCGTGGACTCCAACGCTGGCGACGGGGCTGACTCGGACTCGGATTCTGAATCCGATAACTCTTCGGAGTATGAGGCTCCTGTCTCCCCTCCCCGTCAAATACGCTCTCCCAAGCAGCCTGAAATCGCTCGCTCGCAGCGTCGCACGCCTGTTGTTACTGTCGGTAACAAGAAAGCCGCACCCAAAAAGACGCTGGCAGGCAAGGCCAAACTCCAGGCCAAATCGCCCACCAAGGGCAAGGGCAAAGGGAAGACAGCGGCTAGTCGCAAGGCAAAACAAGTACCCAAACCCTCCCCTCCTCGGTCCACTCGCAATCCTGGTGGTGCCTACTTCGTCAGCCCTGTTGCAACTCCTCCTGCGAAAGCTCGCGCCCGGAAACTCGACGCCATGGCACCGCAGAACGACAAACCGGCAGCCAACCAACGCTCGTTCTCGTGCGCGGATGTCCCCGTTATTGCCGTTGCAGCTTCTAAGGAGGCTGGGACACATGGGCCTATCCCGGAGGAAATGCTCAAGCTTAAGCCAGCTTTCCACTACTTGCACTATCTGGGTTGCAAGGTCAGCAGCAACGGGAGGGAAATGCACTGCCAGTGTGGCAAAATTACTCGGAACCCAGCCGACATGGCGCGCCATATGGAAAAGCACTACCGCGCCGAGCTCGAAAAGACCTGTGAGGGCTGCCCAGTGACTTTCTCCCGAAGCGATCCTTGGAAGCGTCACCGGGCTGTGAAATCCAAATGCGTCTCCGCAAGTCCTGCGAGAAAGCAGGCTGCCCTTGACTTCAAACTTCTGCCCCGAATGCAGCCCCTTATCAAACTGTTGCTGGGGTTGGATGGGCCGGACCGAATCCGTCCGAACAATCAACTTACTGCCGAATGGCAGGCCTATTTGAAGGAGCGCAACATCGCTTAGAAGCATACCGCCACTGCACACTCATTTTTTTGTCTTTTCCTCACCACCAATGTACGTATTACTCAATTTGTAGCGCTAGCGTAGGTATTCTCTCCTGTATAGTATTGAGCATAACCAAGCAACTGTCTTCTCTTCGTACAACAAGCAACATTAAATACAGCAAGACTACAAGTAAACTAAGCAGCGGGCAGTATTTCGCTTTTCTTGCCCGGTTTGGCACCTGTCAAAGACTTGTGGATGAATGGCAAGACTCCTCCACCTGCGATCGTTGCGCGGACGAGTGTGTCGAGCTCTTCGTCTCCACGAATGGCTAGTTGGAGATGGCGAGGAGTGATACGTTTGACACGTAGGTCTTTTGAAGCGTTGCCTGATAAAACGTAAAATAAAAGTTTATGGATAACGCAAGTGAAACCAACCCGCCAGCTCGAGGACTTCAGCGGTCAGGTACTCTAGAATAGCGGACGTATAGACTGCGGCTTTAGCTCCAATTCGAACGTTGTGTTGGGTGCGCGATTTAAGATAACGGTGGATACGACCAACAGGGAACTGGAAAGGTGAGATATCAGTTGAGAAAAAAAAGAGAGACAGGAAACTGACCTGCAAGCCGGCTTTCTGACTTCTCGTTTGGACTGAGCGGGGTTGGTTAGCTGCGGGAGCGCCAGACTTTGCTTTGCCGCCAGATTTAGCAGCTGGAGCCATGGTGGTTGAGAGCTAAGAAAGGATGCCACTTGCGATCAAAAAGTCAACAAGGAAGGGCATGATGTCTTCCTCCTCCACGCCAATACGCGCTATCACTACCCCATTGCGTAGCCCTACACCTGCACCGATTCCATCCTCAGACAAACTATACGAACCCCACGCGAAAGCAGTGTTGCGCCGCCGACTCACCAATCGCGTGTTTGTTTACACCGCGTTAGTCTCACTTGCCAGCGGTTTCTATTGGTCGGGTCTTGAATGGGGTGTTGGCGCGGCAGTCATAGTATGGCTTGGAGGCTTTCTTCCCATTATTCTTTTGAAAAAGACACATCTCACTGGTCTGTCGATGGTTATTTTTTCTCCCGCACGAAAGGCTAACCGCTCAATAGTCTCTCACACAAGTGCTCCGTCACCAGCCTTGCTCTTACAAAGATCCTTTGCCCCACCACTACGGATTAGAACGGCCAACGCTCTCCAAGCTCATTTGATTTCTGCCCTGGCTATTCTTGCCTTGCACACCACACTCGACAACAACAGAATACCCGTATTTATCAAATCGCGGTCGGTTTTTATTTGTGTTCAGTGTCTAAACTCATCTGAGAACCCACCATAGGAAACATCCTTACACACTCCATCCCGTCCTGATGCTATTTGCACTCAACCAGAGTGTTGTGGCTTGTCTTTGTGTTCTAAGAGCTGTTATGCGCGATGTTTGGGTCTTTCCGTTCAAAGTGAGTGATCTCCGGTTGAGCAATATGAAAACTCATAGTCACTCCAGCGACCTGCATTGCTTCCGTCCCCAGGCACTCTGCTGGCCCCAATAGTCATTTCGCTTGTGACCCTTCCAATCTCGCTGACCCTGGTCTTTGTGGTCATCCCAATTCTCCGTCGCATTCCCATTTGTATGCATTTGTGCCAATCCTACTTCACTTGCTCACGAACAAACAGTGTCTTTGGTATTTACATTCACCCGCACGCCTCATCTATCGGTCCTCAAGCATGTCCCGCGAGCCTTGACTGTTAGCATACTCACGACTGCTCTTTGGGAAATGACCGCAGCTATCTGGGAATCAGTGCTCAGCGAGGTAGGTCTGCCGTTCTAACATTCTGCCTGTTTTTAACTTTGACGACTTGGAAGGAACTTGGGACAACTCCGGCTATAAGAACTCTGGTTTCGGGCATTTCCATCTCTTCCACTCCAGCTCCCACAAGCGCTCCCACAAGCTCGTATCCAGGCACAGGATCATCTGTGTTCTCAACTCCCGCGCGCTCTTCTTCATCCCCTTTTGCCTCGCAAGTTTCTTCAGTTGAGCAAGATGCCCCTGCTCCAATCCCGGAAACCAAACCGGTCACAGTTTATACGCATTTGGCGTACGCCGAGTTGCATAAGATTGCGATGGCTCTCTCAGAAACGCCTTCTGTGGATGCGAAGGCTGCTACAGAGCTATTCGATGTAGATGGGCTTGTGTGGTCAACACTGGCGAGAGAGACTTTGATTTTGTTGGGGAACGAATATCAGGTACTGCTTGGACGTGGCGTCGCTCCTTCCCCTCCTCCGCCACCCTCCAAAGTCCCAGCCACGGGATTTTCAACGCCTGTCCCGGCAACTCCGACTGTTGGAAGTACCACCGCAAGTACAAGCAGGATAACACAAACACCATTGATCAAGCAAAACATTTTTGCACCAAAATCAGTTCCATCTTCTCCTGCGGCACGAGTGGGGGCTGCGTTAGCCAGTGGGGAGACAGTTGAAGGGATTGTTGGACCCGTAGTTGACGGGCTCCCATTACCAGACATCAACCTGACAGCCCAACTGAAAGGGTATGTTCCAAAAATTGATGTGCAGAAGCATCTGCGTTTGCCTGGTTGGCTGTCGAGGCTTGTGAGCGTCTCATTACCGAAAGCTTGGACTCGCCCAAGGATGGGAAGGACAGTGAGAGAATGGGTGCCGAGGAGCGAAGTTTGTATCGAGGCTGTTGAAGGTTTCCGTTTTTCACCCCCTTGCATTTTATATGTTCTGACGACTGACCAGTTTTAACTCACCTCACTTCCGTCTCGTTGACTGCTGACCGTTTCGGGGTCGCGCAACGTGACATTCCGCGTATTCTCGAGGCACTGTTAGCATTTTTGACCGCAGTGGAGAGTGCTCAAGCAGAGCTGAGAGCAAAACTTGAAGATTCCAATATCTCATTCGAGGAGAAGGATGACGTAGAGGCGGCAGGTGGTGTTGTGGGTGATTTGGGCGATGGTATGTGTTGGGCCGCTCACTTGTGTTCAATCTTGGCTGATTTTTTTGTCAGCCCTGAAAGACGGGATTGCGCGAATCGTGCGAACGTTTGGAGACAAATTACGTGCATTCAAGTTTCCGCCACGAACGGCTAGTCGGCTACAGGAGTTTGTCGACTATAGTCATGGTGCGGTAATTGGTTAAGGCTCAGTGTAATCGTAAAATGCTTGTTCACATGATCGCGTACATCACGTGAGTGTCATTACAGTCAGTATGGAAAATACAAGCCTAAGGCCTAAGGGATATACCGTTACAATACATGAAGCCCACGAGAATACACGCCTTATTGTGCCTCCGCGTTGCGTTCCTTGCGACCATGCCCATACGCGTAAACACCTTTCCTCCCTCGTTCGCCAGCACTTCCCCATCCATATCCACTTCCACTTTCGAGAGAGTGTGCGTAAGCAGGAGACGTTGGCGGCGAGTATGCGTATGGTAATGCAAACGTGGCACTGCCAGCCACGCTAGACGCAACGTTTCTGTGAGCAAGCTCAAGTTCGTCCTTGTCGTCCCGATTGTGCTGACTAGATTGCGACTGTGAGTACCGCTTACTTGAGTCCGGGTAGCCGTATTCATAGTCGTCGTGAGCTTTCACATCAAGGCCCGTTTCATCCAGGTCCGAGACAGTAGAAACTTCCTGGTTGACACCGACCTCCAACGCTGGGCCTGGCGACTGTGGGATAAGGTTATTCGATGCATCTTTGAAGCACAAAACCCAGACTCACTCTGCGTCCACCTGCCCTCCCAAAAGCACTGGCAGGTGCATCAGAGCTTGTCCCCATCGCCGAGGTCGGATACCCATAGACGACGGTTCCTGTTGTGCCTTTTGTCGTGCGAGGATTCCCATTTCCTGCGGAACGACCAGGAATCGATATCGTCACACGTGTTGCCCCCGAGCGTGCAGCAGAGCCATCGGTCCCCTTGCCACGAATGCTGCGACGCGTGTTGAGAGTGCAGTAGAACGAGATCGCATAAACTAGGCGGGTTAGACATGAATTTCAATCGCGCGAGAGCAGGGTCATACGTTTCGACAAGACGAAAAAGAAGGCGAGGAACTGCATATTATCAGGACGCAAATCGTACTGCGGGCCCGATGTCAGCAGTTGCGACTCAAAAAAGCTAGCGACATACAAATACCAACGTGATGATGCCAAAGCCTGCTGTGAATGCACCGGTATTGATAGCATATACGGTGAGGATGGTAACAAGGTTATCGGCCCTTAAATTTATTCAGGAATCGTATTCGGTTCTCGCCAATCGCTTTACCGTTTCGATCCAGTCCGGTATTGTCTGAGGAAATAGCATAGAGCCACGGCAATCACTACATCCGTGAGGGCTCCCACTCCAAGTGCAAGCGAGGCCATCAGCTTGAGCCGGGGAAGAACATTCAAGAAGGGATTTTGGAAGCTGTGCGTTACTAAGAGCGGGTTTGGGGACTACTTGGTTGTAACTTACCATTTCACAGTAAAAACTGAATGCAAGTCGAAGCAGGTCAGTATTCCGCAACTCACGGAATCGAACGCCATACCGATTGCCAGTGCTGCGTGTGCGTTAGCTTGCGGACCATCAGATGTTGCAAACGTACCCAATTCTGCCACGGTAAGTAGTAAAATTAAGGCGGTGACAAAGTTGTTTCTTTGGCTGACTGCCAAAGATATTATATAATGTGGGGACGAGCTAATAGAAATTTCACGCACAACGCCAGACCCGCACAGCAAATGTTCTTGAACGCTTTTCAGTTTTGCCCCCACAGGTAGCGTAAATATAGTCACATTCGAACCAGTGTACCAATGACTGCCTAAAACTTTGTCAGACTGATAACAAGGCAGATAACAGGACACGGCTGACCCCAAGTGTAAGTTGTAAGATGAGGGTCCACGCAACCCGTTCAAGCAGTACGACCGGATTGGCGTAGTTCCTGTGTCGGGGTTAGAGAGTATACGCGCAGCGGCGGAAAGCAGATAAGTACGTTATGGTGTAAAAATACACAGCATGTCCGATGAAGGATTGGTCAACTGCGCAGAGGATCCAAACAGCAACGACCTGAGGAGGACCATGTTAGCGGTCCCCGAAAGCGCTATAGCAAACTCACCAGAAGCTTATACCGGGGTTTGTCTTCGGGAAATCGCGTAAAGTAGGTCACAGCCTGGTTCGTACAGACCCCCATCGCGGCGCAAGAGAAGGCAAAGCCAATAAAGGCAGCTCCAAGCGTCTCGTCGACATTGAGGCGAGGAATGCCGGCCATCCAGGCAGTCTTGGTCGGATACTTGCGGCTGGTGAAGGGCGGAGGCTACCGTTTGGGGCGAAGCAAGCTTGGGGAGAGGACAAGGAGCGCAAGCCTGTGAAAGTTTTGGTTTTGACATTGGTATTGAGGCACGCGGGGCAAGAAAATCTCCCCACAACTTGATCGGTGGCGCGGTTACATTTGCTATCTGGCGTCGTCACTCTTATCGTCCCGGAATAAGCGTATGTGTGCTGACGGTGTTTTGCGGGCCAATAAAGCGCAATGCAATCCACATTTGGGTGACGAAGAAGACAGAAGGAGTCTCGACGCAAGAGAGGTCTGCCTTTTTGGGACAGAGCACATGACTTTAATGGCTTGACCACCATCTTCTGTTGCAGCGGCGGCCAAGAGTCTTGGACGACGTTGAATGCTGCAAGTCAACTTGCTTGCTTCGAATTCTCTAAACCTTTGTCCACAAAGCAGTCGGTTCAAATGCTACGATCATCAGCAAAGAACCACTGGAGCATGCATCTGAATCGTGTTCAATCTTTATGGCAGAAGACGCTTCCAGTTGTGCTTATCTATGCCTCACTCAAGTCAACCAGCAGCTTTCCGGCGGAAAAGCCTGTTTCCGTAGCCCAACGAATTGAGGCTACTCAAAGCAATTTCGATCCTCGGGCTTTGGATGAGCTGACCTCTTCTCTTGATATTCTACCGAACAGATTCAATGGACTGAACAGTGGCATTGCAACCACCTACATGTCCACGGTCCGTACTCGCCCGACATGTTATATAGGGCATCGATACCTTTCATTTTTCAACGAGCATGACTGTGCCCCCGAAGAAGACTGCCTTGGTCACTGGCGCTGGTATGTCTCTCGTACTTATGGCCGCTTGTAGGACTCGGATATATCCGACATTTCCAGCCCAGGGTATTGGCAAGGCCATTGCTTTGCGTCTTGCGGAAGACGGCTTCGCAGTCGGTTTAAATGACATCAAAGACAACACCGAAAACCTTGAAGCTGTTGCCGATACAATCAAAGCCAAGGGCGGCATTGCTACAATCCACATTGCAGACGTCTCAGTCGAAAGCCAGGTGGCCACGATGATTTCTAATGTGGTTGAGCTGCATCATAAGATTGACGTTGTTCGTACAGCAACTGTTGTCAACTTACTGTGCTGTTGACGAGCTCTAGCTGGTCGCTAATGCTGGCGTGTGCAAATATGCTGGATATTGTGCGTCGAAATTTGCTGTGCGGGGACTAGTTCAAGCAGCTGGTAGGTGTGCCATGGAATAGACTTGGTTTTGCCATCAATATCTTTCTTCTCCAGCTCACGAATTCGGCCCACATGGGATTACGGTCAACGCTTATGCTCCTGGTGCAATTGACACCGACATGTGTAAGTTAGCCAGCTCTTTCGATCCAGTCTAACCGGTTTGACAGTGCATTATCTCGCGACAACTCTGCAGGAATGACCAGCAAAGCGGTGAGTCAGAAGCTTTGACTGACTGATCCTATGTAATCAAATAATACTCGGTAGATGCAGGCAGGGTCTGCCCTCGGAATAACTGGGTATGCGAAGCCATCTCCCCTTTTCATGATGACCACTGAGCGATATGTTTCCAGAACAACTGCAGATGTTGCGCACCTAGTCTCATACCTTGCTTCCGATTCGTCTCGTTTCCTTACAGGTAGAGCGCGATCATATGCATGCATGAACATCATCATCAGAACTCATTTTTTCAGGACAATCTGTTTCGATCAACGGTGGGCTTTATTTCGATTGACTGTCCTATTCGGGACGAAGAGGGCTCGATGCGAGGGGTGAGGTTTTGGTGGATGGGTTAAGGGCCAGATTGTATTGGGGATAGCTGGCTGGCGATTTGAAAAGGAAACCTCATTTTCCGTGATTACGAAGTTACCATGACGCTTCGTCCAATTGACACTCTACCATGACGTTGCATTTGTGAGTTCTCTCAAACTGAGTCAAACAATGACTTTCCCCACCCGCAAGATTGCTGGTCAAGATGTTTCTGCGATTAGCTTTGGAGTCATGAGTATGGGCGGGGCATATGGGACATTTGAGGGTGACGACGAAGCGCGATTCAAAGTATGCACAGTTTGTCAACCTCACTTGTCGTTCAACTTTGTTTCGAGGTGCTCGACGCTGCCTTTGATGCCGCGCAAGGCTGCACACCTATGTTCGATACCGCTGATATATACGGAGACGCTGAAGACCTCCTTGGTAATTGGTTGGTACACATGCACCGGTCCTTGTCCTATTCACTGAACCCTTGTTAGGTTCAAGCGGACCGGAAAGCGCGACAAAGTCTTCCTCGCCAGTAAATTTGGCTTTATTGCGTTCACTGGCGACAAGGTCATCGATGGAAGTCCTGCATATGCTCGTCAAGCCCTTGAGAAGTCCATCAAGAGAATGCAAGTCGACTGCATTGACCTCTACTACCTCCACGTTTGTGTAATCTGCCATTCTCGAGTTGCCCTTATGGAATTCGCTTAGCGCGCAGACCGGGACGTGCCCATTGAGGTATGTCGATTTTCCACGATGTGAGTTTTGCTCAGTGGCACTCTGCAGCATACGATCCGCGCTATGGCAGAGTTTGTCAAGTATGGCCTAATGTGTCCTATTCACTGTTACCAATTCTCTGTGGCAGAGAGGGCAAAGTCAAATATCTTGGCCTTTCAGAGGTTTCTGTGTCGACGCTTCGGCGCGCACACGCTGTCCACCCCATTGCGGCCGTTCAAGTTGAATACAGCCCTTTCACTCTCGATATCGAGGACCCAAAGATTGCCTTGCTCAATACCTGCCGGGAACTCGGTGTGGCTGTCGTTGCATACTCTCCACTTGGTCGAGGACTGCTGTCAGGAACCATTGTGTGTGTCCTACTCCGTCTGAACTTGAGCAAGCTCTTATAATAGCGCTCCTACGATGATATTCCTGCGGGCGATTTCCGGCGTTTGGTACCCCGGTAAGCTGTTCATGCGACCCACATCATTTTTCACAACTTACCCGGGCTTCAGGTACAGCGCCGACAACTTCCCCAACATCCTGAAAATTGCGGATGGTTTGGCCGCGATCGGCAAAAAGTATGACAATGCCTCTGCGAGCCAAGTTGCTCTCGCATGGCTCCTTGCCCAGGGCGAGGATATAATTCCTATTCCTGGTTCGAAAACTATCAAGGTATGTCCCAAGCATTGACGAAACACGAAGCTTTCTCAGTTTTTTTAGTACCTGGAGGAGAACTATTCTGCGGTGAAAGTAGCCCTCAGTGTCGAAGATGTGGCTGTGATACGCAAATTGGCTGTTGAGGCGGACGCTAGTACAGGAAGCCGCTATCCTCCTTCGTTAGCCGCCGAACTCTTTACGGACACACCAGTCCTTTGAAGGAATGTTGCATGTATGGATCACAATGGAATGACTCTTAGCCTCTGCAGAGCCATCAACTCCGATCTGTCAGTTTAGGGGTTGGCGTTGATTCCAGTGGAGCTTCCGGGAGGAATCATAGTTTCTTCTGTCGCTTCGAAACCATTCAGTGCCTGGTTTCGCATGGAATGAGATTCGGGGGAACGAGTTGCGCCAGCCTTTGCGCGTCAGGATGAGCGCTTTGCGATACGGGTGTCTATTCTGGTCCTGGCATATAAATGCAATCGGTTCTGTCGCACAATACTTGGACGCTATGGTGAGACTTTGTCTCCGTAACGATCCTTTTCTCACTGATGATTGGCAGCCTCCAACCAGTCATTTCCTCCAGTACTTCCCTCTGGTGGTTCGTCCATCGTTTGTGTTCGTTGATTGACTTGCTGATAATAAGGACTAGCTCGATACTTTCACTTATGGTGCATGCACTAGAGTGATAAGTAGTAATGGTTGGCTAACCTTACACTAAGGCATCTACTGTGCTCTCTTCGTCCAATCCACTCAGATGCTCATAAATCGGCGGCGGGCCAACTACAAGGTCTATCTAGCATGTCTTTCGGCGTTGTTTGGCTTGTCAACGATGCATATCGTTGCGGCGTACACTTGGGCGTTCATCACCGACACCGCGACGACCGGGATTTACGAGGTCTTGTCCTTGAGGAAACGGCCACCGGACTTATATGGCGCGGACGATCCTATGGCGGTCCACAGGCTGGTGCGGGTGATCAGAGCTCGATATGCTCTTGCAAAGTGGGTGCTTTCAAGCCTTCCCATAGTCACTGGCTAACGGGATGAAAAGTCTCCTCGCAGATGCTGTTCTTGTTAGTTTCCGTTGGATTTCATGGCGCTTCTGCTCACCGAGTCGAAGATACACCGATGCTATGTCATCTGGGGACACAATTTGCGAGCCATAGCGTTTTTGCTTGTTGCATACATTGTCAACATAGGTAAGCATTCGAGTTGGTCAAAATGGAGCCCATGTTTACTTGGTCGAAGGTGGTATCGTTGTTGGAGCCTTGCCCTTTGTTGGTCCGTCAGAGCGGATCGCAATAGCGGTTTGCATTGGCACGACATTTTTCACCAATGTCGCTGCTTCACTTATGGCGGGTAGGAATGATGCCATTCTGCGTGAACAGACTGATATCACCATGCAGCTGGCCGCATATGGTGGATTTCTCGTCGGGCATCAGTTGTCTTGAGTCGAGGGTCCCGTCGGATGTATTACAATTTGACGGCAATCCTGTAGGTCGTTTTCTCTGAGAGAATTACTTAAGTATGGGCTTAGTCACAACTTGCAGTCTTGAAAGTGGACTCATTTACCCAATATCTATCGTCATAGCCATCGCTATGTTTGTCGCGCCGCAGACTTCCACTGAGGCTGTCTTGATATCCATTGCGCCCATCTATCATCTTGTGGTTCGTTCCAGGGCCTGCATTTGTTTTTACTTGCTTGACCCCTTTTTTATAGGCAATAGCACCGACATTGATCATCGTCCGAGTTGGGCTGGGGATGAGCACGGAGGGCGTTGACAGAGCCGTCACTACTGGTCCGGATCGCTTTGGGGGTCCTGGGAGTTTGCATTTCTCTCCTCCAATGACGGATCAGGTTGGGACTATCGAGTTGGGAATTGGGGGAGATCTTGAAAATAGCGTGAGCACGGCCACGCGGACGCTGGACAATAGCTTCAAAGTGTAGAATATTTGGGAACAGAATAAAATCTAGGCCAACATTCCCGAGCCTATGGTACTACTAGTATGCGGCATAAGGTTGCCGCTCAGGCTCCCAGGCCTTGCCTAACAGTAGTACTTTCTCGTCTCGACCACCATGTCACCTCCCCCAGAGTAAGTACCACCAGCGCGGTTTCCTGTTGCTGGCTCAACTATTTCCAGGTTTTCTGCCTCCTGTCCTAACGCTCACGGTTGAGTCTCCGCCAAACTACGAGGATGTATATGGGATGAGAACACGTCGATTGCGTGGTAGAATATTAATAAAACAAGTTTTGCGTACGTCGACATCGGTGACCAACAGGCGCGGTGCTGCTGGTAGCCTGGTATCAAATAGTAGGCTGGTGGCATCGGTCTATCCCGGGCATCGACAGTCAAGAATTGATAATTGATTTGACTTGCCACGCGTCCACGTGGTCGCGATTCTCATCATCAACGATCGAGTCGACCTTGAATTCTCCCACCACACTCAAGTCATTTTTTGTCTCGATGGTGAGAGTCTCCCACAGAGCTCTCAAACGAGTCAGAAGCAGATCTATATAAGGTTGGTCGTCGTCGTAGGGCAGCATGATATTGCTTCGGTGGAAACAATAAGACTTGATAAAAAGAGCTGTTTCTTTTTAATCCACACCTGTAGCCGTCGCCCTCCAGCCATGTACCGCCACATTTCCGCCCCCATTCTTGCATTACCAGTCGAGCTCCTCAGCCATATTTTTGTCCTCGCCACACACGACACTGAAACGGTTGATGACGACTGTCCATCCTTCAACTCGACTAGTGTGCTCGCCCCGCTCGACTATGGCCTGGTGTGCAAGCTCTGGCGCTATATCGCTCTGAATACACCAGCCTTGTATACCAGCATTTGCATCACCCCCGAGCTCCTGCATGAGTCGGACAGTTTGGATCTTCGAGGAATTGCAACTTACCTGAAGCTGTCCCGAAACTATCCTCTCGACATTCTCATCGATGCGCGTGATCAGGATTGGGACTTTGATGATGAAGGGTGCGCAATTTCTAGCTGAATTACCTTGTTCTCATTACTCTAGTCTATATATGCCCTGGTTTACGTCTCAGCATATGGCAGAAACTGTCGAGCTGATCCTCCCCTTTATCCACCGCTGGCGGTCCCTCTCCATTTTCACCGACATCTCATCACCAATGCACACTGCTCTAAGAATGATTGAAGGTCGACTTGACACCACCACCTTTTCGAGTTTGGAAAGCCTTCGGTTGATGCGCTGTGACGCATACGCTGCCTACGGCGAACCCAACTCAAGCTATTCATTTCTCGAGACACTGTCAATGAATCGCCCATCTATTCTTCCCTGTCTTCGCCAACTTACTCTGCGTGGCGTATCTGCAGCTTGGACACCACTCTCCGCACACCTCACAGCCAGTCTTTCCGCAGTCGAACTTGCATTTCTACCGAATTCTCTGCAGCCATCGCTTTCAGAACTCTCGGGAATGCTTTGTGCAACTTCAAATCTCGAGCGACTGACACTGAACGTTGCGGGTCCCGTCGAGACAGAGACCGATGATCTGCCCACGTTACCAAAACTGGCGTCTTTGTATCTCGGTTACACTTCCATTGGAGCCGGAGCTGCAACGCTCCGTTTCATTTCTGCGGCAGCTACCTCGCTCAACTCGATTTCGCTCGAAGATGCAAGTGATCCAGCGTCACTCATCCCACTAGACGCCGCCCCTATGCTTTCACTCCTTTTCTCATCATCCGAGTCGCAACGACCATTCCCCAACTTGGCAAAAGTTGCATTGCGCCGCGTTATGACCGCTGCTGTCCATGTTCCAGACGATGTGCTTGTTCTCGACCATCTCGAACTCGTTAACGTCAGCGAAACTCTGTTTGATCTTGGTCGCGCTGCACGCCATATTTGCGTTCGCGGGCGGTTCATTGGGCCGTTCACTGATAGCATCACCCAGAGCCCAACAGATGATTGGCTCGAACATGTTACTCTGAGCCTCATCAGCACGAAGACTCCTCGACTGATTGAGGCGTATGAGGAGGTGTATTCGGACCCTCTTCAGCAGTCGGTCCAGGAATGGGTCACGGGTGATATCCAAGTCCGTGTCGTGAGGATGCACGATCCAGAAACTTCGGACTCCTCCGCCTCTGACGAAGACGACGACGAAACGATGTCATTGGGAAGCGACGAGGAAGATTGGTCGCCATTCGGCGGTTCCCAACCCCGCTCTAATCCGTTGGTCGCGATGGTACCAAGTTGGGCTGGAATCCTTGGTGGAGGAAATGTGGTTGTTCGCCTTGGGTTGTGATTCTAGCTGATCTCTTGTACCAACAATGGACCTGTTTTCTCATAGAGAGCATGCCTACCTAGTTATGGACTTGTGGTTGCAATCAATCGTAAATTTGTGCAGCTTGACAAATGCTTTGAGTCGGGACTTGTGCGCTGGCTTTTGCGGTAACTTGACTAAAGTGAACTTCCCAGCCTAGGGAGGGAGCGAGGGAGTCTTTTGTCTATTCCTGGCTGGTATCACCACGGACTCCACCAAAAGTCTGCTTTATCATGCCGTGGTGGAGGTCGATGGCACTTTGCATACCGTCCTCGATGCTCCCACCACCAGAGCCTGCACACATTCTCTCGTGAGCCTCGCGCTTTTCGACTATTTTCTCTAACTGGAAATCAACGCGGCCGATAGTTTTGACCCGAAAACCGCTCCTCCGAATTCCCGATGGGTTCCGCCTAAATGGTAAGATCGTGCAGAGCCTGGAAAATATCTTGAACATTTGCGTTACAGGGTCACTCAGTCGAAAGAAAAGTATTCTCATGGATTTCTTCTATACATCATGGCCTGATAATTGCATTTTTGAAGCACCAAGACTATGCCAACTCAAAATGGACTGGGTCAGCCATGGGATTTCGCGAACCCCAAGATAAATGGTGTGGATCTGGCAAGTATCTCTTGATATTCATCATTTTTTTTCTACTATCAGTATTAATAACACAAAACAGACAAAACCAGACACTCGTTTGAAACTTCCCAACATTGAAATCACTACAACAGAGAGTGAGAAAACTATTGCTTTAGTAACAATTTTTCCCCTTTGAAATGAAAATGCTTAAATATAACATTTGAGGTGAATGTCAATATTTTGGACTGCACTGGCAATGAACCATTCCCTGGTGATGTATTAATCAAGGGGAATAAGATTGTTCATGTTGGTGGAAAGTTGTCAAAAGAACAAATTCAAGGTGCACAAGTCTTTGAAGGAAATGGGAAGACTCTCATGAGTGGTCTGGGTAAGTAGATGGTTTATTTTCCTTTCATTAACTACTTATAAGATAAATATTGTGATAGTGGATGCTCATACACATTTTACTTGGGTATGTACAACTGTTGACAAGATTTATATTATGCTTATTGCTAAATAGACTAATGCACCGAGCCTTGATGCTCTGTCATTGTTACCCTTGGAAGAGCATACAATCTTTGCTCTGAAAAGTGCTCAGACTTTCCTTGATTGTGGCTATACAATGTGCTGTGAGTAGTGGTTATATCCTATATTATGATAAGTAATCTTAAGCTGTAGTTGGTGCTGCATCTGCACGGGCTCGGTTGGATTTAGTAATCAAGAATGCCATCCAGAATGGAACTATCCCAGGCCCACGTTTCTTAGCAAATGGAAAAGAGGTAACTTGTCCAAGCTAAATACAGCTTAATAACAAGATATAGATGGCACCAGCAGCTGGATGTCTTGATGCAGGAATTACTCAATTTGTTGAGACCAAAGAAGAGATTGTTCAAATTATCAATCAGATGGCAGATATAGGAATTGATCAGGTTGGCTTGTACTTGTACTGACATTAGTCTCCTGATACTAATCAAGCACTGGGATAGTGTAAACTTTCAATGTCAGGAGAGGAAATCACAGAGCATCTTCGAGCAGAAGACACTACATTTTCTGATATTCTTGTTGCTGCTGGTGTAGAGGTATAATTTGGTTTTAGGTCAAACTCTTGTGTTTATAGTTCTTTTGATCCTAGGCTGCCCACTCTAGAGGCATGCGTGTTTGCTCACATGCTAGATCAGATGAAGCAGTCCTTCAATGCCTTCAGTATGGTGTTGATATGATTTATCATGCATCTTTCATCTCTGATGCAACAATGGATGCCTTAGAGGCTCAGAAAGATCGTGTTTTTGTGGCACCAGCTATCAACTTTTTAGTAGCAACACTGGAGAATGCTGGTGAAGAGTTTGCATGTCTGGTTTCATTATATGTTATTATGAATGAACTTATAAGTTATATAGATCCAGCATCCAAAGCAGAAGCTGTAGGATATCAACGAGAGCTTGAAATTGCAATTGAAGCATTGAAAGAGATGCATAAAAGAGGTATTAAGGTTTAAAATTAACTAATTGATTGATATTATAAATTGAATTCACAACTAGATTCTACCTGGGGGTGACTATGGGTAAGATAGCATAGTGTTCACCATACTCATATAATGTTAACATATCTAGATTTGCATGGGTAAATATCATGCTTAGCTGTTTATATTACTTAACATCACTATAGACTCCTCATGGTACTTACCATGATCTTGAACATTTTGTGAATCTTCTCAAGATGACACCTATGGAGGCTATTGTTTCAGCAACTAAATATGGTGGAGAGTTGCTAGGTCATCCAAATCATCTGGGAACAGTCACAATTGGGGCTTTTGCAGATTTAATTCTAGTCAATGGTAATCCACTAGATGACATTACTCTGCTATCAAATAAGAAGAATCTGGCTATGATTATTATAGTAGGTGTTTACTTGAATGCACTACCTAAATATTGAATCTTTATAGAATGGGAAAATCCATAAGACATTGATCAGTGTCAAATAAAGTTGTGAAAATCAAGGTTGACAAATATATACAATTTCAACTATGTAAAGTCAAGAACTGATATAAACTCTTCCCTCATATCCCTGAAGTTCCACCTCCTCTTCAATCTCAATATTAGTAAGTGGATAATTACTCAAAATGAGAGAAAGATTTGTTTGAGCTTGTGTAAAAATATTTGTGTTAATCTTGAACTTAACACTTTGTGAGGTAAAGTTCAATAGAATCAAAGCACAATGTTGTTCCAGTTTGCGCTTATATGCAAAAATCTTCTGGTTTTCTGGATCTAGCAAAGTAAAGTCTCCATAAATCTATGATAAGTAAGATATCTGAACTTGATATAAATTTGCAACTGTACCAGGACTTTATGCTCTTTACGAAGAATAAGAGTCTTTTTCCAGAATGTAAGCACACTGTTATTATCTGACAGTTGTGCTTCTGCATTCCACAAGGGGTAATCATCATTGACTCGCATCCAGGGTATACCAGTTGTAAATCCAGCATGACTTTGTGCATTCCACTAAGATAAGATAATAATCAATTGTATAATATTAGATGAGGTAATAATCAAACCTGCATAGGAAGACGTCCATGATCACGAGCCTTTTTCTGAAGGCCATCAAGAATATCATTCATATCTATATCATCTTTTCCTGTCTCTTGACGCCGCTGATCAAGAACTCTGAATTGCAATATAATAAATGCAGGATTCCACAACTTAAGCTAGAATTAGCTCACTTTTTATACCAGTTTTGAGAGGCAATATCATGATACTCCGAAATATCCCAGGACCGAGGAAAGTTGCAGATTCCAATTTCTTGTCCTTGAAATATATACTGTGTTCCACCAAGAGTCACTTCCAATAATGCAAGCATTTTTGCAGAGATTGCACGCCATTGATCAGCATCATTGCCCCAACGTGAAACTGATCGCCCCTGATCATGATTCTCAATATATACTCTAGTTGTAGTTGAGATAAGATATTATATCACTTTCTAAAGATTAACTTACGCATTCCAGAAACCAGCACTTCTTTCTAAATTCTGCCATCGATTTACAATGGCCATAAACTCTGGAAGTGTCCATTGACGATGTGTAAAAGACTGATCTGGAGCTGCATCAAGAGTGACAAGCTCAAACTGGAATATCATATCAAGTTCTTGATTTGCTGGGAGAACATATTTTGCAAGAGCAGCTGTGTCATTAGAGTATGGGGTTTCTCCCACAGTTATAAGATCATGCTCTGTTATTATTTCAGGAATTTAACAATGTTAAAGCAAAGTCTATACTTGACAAAACCTTGAGATTCATTTCCTTCAGATAGATATGCACCTGTGGGCTAACAAGATATGAAAAGAATCCTTAGAATTCTCTTTGAAATGTTACCCATTGGCAAACAATGTTCGAGCATCTTGAAACTTCTCATTTGGTGCACTTATTGGTGCATCTGGAAGGCCATCAACTTTGGAAATAACATTGATCACATCCATCTGGTCCAAATAAATACTGAGTTAGAATTATTATAACTAGGACTTACCCGAAAGCCATCACAGCCTCGACCAATCCAAAACTCCATTAGATCCCAAACAGCTTGCCGAACATCAGGATTTTCCCAATTGAGATCTGGCTGCTTAGCCAAAAAGAGATGCAAATAGTATTCATCTGACAGTGGGTCATACTCCCAGACTGAGCCTACCAATTTGACTTGAGCTATGTGTACTAGTGATTTATCTTTTCTTGTGTAATTCACCTTGAAATTGTGCTTTCCAGTTATTTGGAGGTTGCCGATTACCCAAGTTGTCATATCTTGGTGGGCGCCAAATGTACCAGTCTCGTTTGGGGCTTGACTTTGATGACTTGCTTTCTATGAACCATTCATGCTTGTAATGATATAAAAATAAGATTGGTTTTGAAGAGTCTGGAGTTACCTCATCCGATGTATGATTCACTACCAAGTCCATCCTATACTGTGTAAGTCTCACTACAGACTGTGTAATTGGACGACATACATAAGCTTCATGCCACGGGAGTGTAGACCCTCCACAAGACGGTCATAATCAGCAAGATTACCGTATCTTGGATCGATATCGCGGTAGTCAGAACTATTTGAATGTCATTCTATCAGTAGCCAGGACTTTAATAAGACTGGCTCTTACATGTCGTAACCCATGTCTGCTAAGGGCGACTTGTAGATGGGAGAAAGCCAAAGTACGTCGACACCGAGGTCCTTTAGATAGTCCAACTTTGAGATTATGCCTGGGAGGTCTCCGATACCATCCCCATTCGAGTCACAGAATGAGATCGGGTATATCTGATAAACAACCGCGTCTTTCCACCACATCGTCTTGCTGAATCGTGCTTAAGCTTTGGTGGCCTCGATTTTGATGTGACTGGCACGTGGCGCGGCGACAGTATCTCAACCACAACGCCATCCACCGCATTTTTCGATGACAACGGCGAATAACGACAGCCCAGGCTACCCGAGATTCCGCTCCTATTGCCATTACCATCCCGACAACGATTCTGTCCAACGCAACGGCGATGTTACAAGACCGCCCGCTCGCTCGTCGACAGCCAATTTCCTGCCAACGCACTTTAGCGGCTACCGCGTTGTTGTTTCATTTCAGTTTTGGACTACAACACCGCTACTTAGTGACTGATGCAACGAGACATGGGAACCGTCATCATTTCTTCAAGTATAATGAGGGGATCCTTCGCCCACCTCGACTTCCCTCCCTCCATTCACGCACCCAGAAATGTCTCGACAGTATCGTCCACACAAACTTTACCATAGGTCTGTTTGTGACACTTCATCCAACACCCGCTTACCTTCTCGTAGTATTTCGAACAAGCGTGCCCGAAACAACTGGAGGCATCAGCGCAAGTCCGCGCTGTTTACTCTCCAACAACGGTGAAATCTGACTTGTTCATCAGATATGCCGCTCGCAGTTCTATGGCCCGAGCGAGCAAGTCCCAACTTCTCTTACGCACTCTTCGTCGACGAATCGGTCAGCACTTCATTTTCAGTTTGATAGTGCTTGACCATGCCACAGTGAGACGGAGTCTCCGATCTGAGGGTCCAGCACGTCTACCTTTGTTCGTCAGCTTGCCTCCCGACAATGCTCCACTCCCAATCGCTATACCTCAACTTATGTTCCCCTTGTCTCACCCCGAGACGGATTCCGGCTACTGCTCGTGCGTTCAACCATCTCGGCTAATTCCTCCTTATTGAACCATTTTATAGAGATTTGTCGCGGTCACCATCGCCATCACCCTTTTCACTACCCGCCACGATGCAATCCTCCCGACGATACATCCTTCCTGATCCCTATATCAGTTCCCCATTCGACCTATATGCTGCGCAAGAAGTCTGTGTTCGACTATCTTCATATGCTACCTCGCTTCGCATACCCCCTGTTCATTTCCAGTCAGTGGTCGTACCCGCTTGAAGATATACCCTGCCACCAGCTTTACCTTGACTTGTCCATGATTTGAATCCAAAATCTGGTTTTCTCCACCTTCAAACCGATGGCGAGTTTGTCCTTGAATAAATTTACATATTATAAGGCTACATTCTTTTCGTTACACTATCCTACATCCACTTCAACTACGGAGCTGGCTAAATGCGATAACCGGAAGGAGTGGCCTGTGGTTGGCCGCCAGGTCTAGACCTGTTTGGAATGTCAGCAACTGATTAGATAGACTGCCTCTCAACGTACACATTGACATTGTTGGCATAAACCGGTGTGCGATTGGGGCTATGTGAGGTTTGATGAGACGAGGCTTAGGGACAGAAGCAGGTGGTACACACAAGAATGGCGGTGGCGTGTAACTGTAAGAATAGCGAGGTTCGGATGGTGGCCGATCCGGGGCAGTGGACACAAAGAACTTGAGTGAGCCAGAAGAATCGCCCCGTTCGTGACACAAGTCGAACAGCCGTGTGTCGGTGAGCGCGCCGCCAATGCCAAAGTGGCCGACTTCCGATTGGTAGATGGAGAAATTCGACTGTCTGTCATCGGAGATGGCGAGCTACTCGGAATGGGACACGTGTTTCGGAGCGGGGGTGGGTGGTCGCACCTTGGAAAACATCCTTTCCCGGATAGACGCGCCTGAACGCGCTCCCGTAATTTCTACAACGAAATAGTGCTCTCCGTTTGAGCTGACGACGATGCGGGTTGTTGACAGAGCCGGCCTAAGATGGGATTGTGGTAAGTAGGCCATTGCTGGCTCATTTGCTTGCTGACGCACATGAGAGAGTCTTCACGATGGGGGCTTGCAGATGCTGCTGCTACCCTCCCTTTATGTAGTGAATACCAGTGAGTCCGGAGAAATCAAGATTGAATAGGACAGTTGATGAAACAACTGTGAAGATTGATGAACCAGATATCTTTCGGTTAGATGGACTCCCGGAACGGGGCAGCTCCCGTTCTTGGTGGCACGATGCTGGCACTTCTCATGAGCACCATCCGAGTTACTCACTCGTTCCTGCAGCGTTTGCTCGAGGTGGACTTCGGACGGACGCGATCTCGTCCCTGCACCTGTTTGAAGCAGACATTCATTGACGTGTCGAATCCCCCTATGGTCAATGTGCCTGTCCAAGCCGGAATCTCAGATGATGCACAATTAATAGCCTTGATTAGCTGTGGGCGAAGCATCCTCTGGGTTTTCAGCCGCCCGTGTGAATATTCTCGAATTGATTGAGTTTGGAATCGATCCTTCAATAGTGGTGTGATTGACACCGGAAAATCTCTTCGTCTGAAGCACTCACTTGTCATGACGTTGTGGTCAATCAATTCGTCTAGTCGAATGTTGCCCTAGGCCATTTTACTGTCCGACAAAACACCCCTCCAACAACAGCAACCGAGTGTTGCGTCCAAACCCCACGGGATCTGATAACTCGGGTTGGGTATACCATTATTATCAGCTTCGGGACGCGCTGGGAAGGGCATCAGAGCCGCAAGAAAAAACATGAAAAAACGACGAATTTACCGTCATTTGCATGAACATAGACAAGACACCTCATTACAGCCTGGTCATAGTGGCATGGCAGAACGACGTCGGCAGCAGCTGTCGGCCCTGAAAATCGAGCGGTCGATACTGCACATTTAATTGGCTATGCATGTGTGTGTGCCTGGGGCTTTGTAACGAGGCTCGGGCCCTTCGGGTTGGGTGAACAAAGGTGACAAGTATAACATCGACATTTCCGCCACCTTCGAGTCAACCATCAGTCAATGCGGTGTTGGAGGTTGCCTGCTTACTTATTATTGCTTCGACGACCCGCAGGTGCTCCAGCAACCATCTTGAACAATCTTCGAATGCCATTTACAGTCCGAGTAGGTCGCGACAGGTACTCCGAGTTCACACGCACACTTCACCGAGTTATATAGCGCGTTGTGATCGGCGAAAGGAGGGCGTCGCGGTGGATATGGTGATCCTCGTAGCCGCGCAGCCGCTTCAAACATGAGACTAAGCTCTTGGGTGTCAGTCACTCGCTCACTCACCTGATCGTGTTTGGCCACAGTATCAAGTCCACGATCAACGATGAATCGCGGCGACGCTGATCATCCGGAAGTCGAAACGAAAAATGAACTGCCAGGGAAAGTGTGCGTTCAAGATGAGCCGAAGAGCCTTGCGCTAGTGGTGCAGGAACTGTAGCCGGACGGAACCTGACTTCAATTGAGCCTGATGAACAGCAAACACGCCAAATTTGGAGCGGAGAGCTCACCAGTATCAGATAGAGACGTTCAACAATACTGGGGGGCGGGTTGAGTGAGGAAACCGGACACACACGCGCGCCGCGCCGAGTCCCGTCTTGACTTCCACCGCCACCATATCAAGTACATCGACTTCTTCACTCCGTGAAACGCCTTTGCGCAGCTCAAGCTCCCACTTGCACCCTTGGGTGAGATTTGGGCCCTAAATGTTATAGTTTGGGTGGCGAAGATGGGCTTCTCGTCGGTTCCTGTTCGTAGAGTTGACTGGGGACCGAGGGCCATGGTGAGTGCCATCGATGGCTGATTATCTAGTGGCAAGGCGCTTAGTATCGGAACCGGGACGGTGAATGGACGAATTCCCGCGGAATCTGTATGCCTACCGTGTCCAAGACTTTTTCTTTTTTAACTTGCCGCGAAGTTGAAAGCAAGCACATACTATCAACGATCGCAGCAGTCTAAGAAGCAGCGAAGAAAGATTGATACAAAACATCCCTATAATGATGTGGGGTTCTAAAAACGAATATGGTCAACGATGAGAAACACGCACGATGCGATTGCGTACTAGTAGGCACTATTTCCGAGTGATTCTTGAATGCCGGTGGTGCAATATACTTCCAAGTCCGCTACCATTTATGCTTCATCAGTCCAAGGTCGAGAGACTGATTACCGTAGATATGCCGGCTTGGATGCGAAGCGTTTGTTGGCCACACTTGATAATTAGCTTTGGAAGCGCGGCGACTCAGCTACCCGACTTGCACAGTTTGGAGCATGTGGTTCGTTGGGTTGCCTTGTAGATATTTTTGGCCTCTAGTTTCACGGTCAAGATCATCGCTGGATTTGAAGAAAGTCGAGACTCGAGAGCAAGTTTTTTCGGTGCACGTGCCATCACGCTGCACGTGCCAGTCTATTTGCTTCGATTCCACCTGAAGGACGACCTTTCCGACCAATTTTCTGCGACTGAAAGAAAGAGGCTCTTTGGCTTCACACATGGACTGTTTCCTAAGAGGCCAGCTGGCTGGATTGCAACTTACTTCCTAAAAAGGCAAATCACCCCATCACTCTGCCTGATATAAGATGGGACGCTGTGACATTTTCGAAGCTATCTTTCTTCCTTAACACCTCCTTCCTGGCGAAGTGACGACCTTTTCTTCTTCTGACTTGAAACATGTTTGCCCTCACAATTCTCGCTGTTTCTCTCGCGTCTTCGCTTCCCGGTTCAAGTTTTGTCAACGCTGTTGCTATTCCTGTTCGTCGGTCGGCTCGCCATGTCCCGATGCCACTGCTGCAACGAAACTCGGGTGGACAGAAGGTTCTGAAGATGGTTCGTGTTGTTGTCTTTTTTTGGTCTATTACTCATCTCGATTCAAAAGAAGAAGCGCTCGTCGCCAGATGGTATTCCTGGTCATATCGACATTGTGCGTTTTCCTCTCTCTTTTTTTTTGTAACACAATCTTTGACGTTTTCTCAGACGTCGATGTCCAATGGAGTGGAGACGAAGAAAGGCTATTTGCTCGCCAACACAACGCAAGAACCCTACACACTCGACGCTTCCCCAACCGAGTTTACTCAGCTCTGGCTATTCCCTTCTGACGAAAATCACGCTTCCATCCATCTGCCTCTCAACAACTCTACGCTGTGTGCCTGCTACGATCCTCATCCAGTCGCCCCAGAACCGCTTACCCTTCGCGACTGTGACTTGTGTTCCTCTGATGGCAGCACCGTCTTTGCTTGGAATCGCACAAGCGGCGTCGTAGCTCCCATCTTCCAGTGCGTTCCATTTCTTGGTCATCTAGTCATTTTCTCAACCGCTTTGGTCCAGGCAAAACGACACTGCACCAGCTCCTCCGGTAAGAATTGGTTGTTGTTGTTGTTGTTCATGATATCTTAGTCTTTTTTCTAGCCTCTGGATCGGAGACAGACACAAGAACCCCCGATGAGCGTCACTCTCAAGTTTAGACCCGACACTGCAGAAACCAAGGCAGCCCAGGCAGCGACTGTGCCATCAAGCTCTTTGGATGCTACGACTACGACAACCACCGTCACCGTCTACACATCTTTGTCATCGCCATCGCCATCGCCAATGCTCGCTCAAGCAGAAGAGCCTACGACAACAATCACAACCACGGTCACACTTTCTGCCAGCCAGTCGACGCCATCTGCCAGTGCCCTCGCCACTGAAGAGCTTGCAGTCGCATCAACCACCAGTGATGGCATCAGCACCGCTTCGTCTAGTACAGCTCCGTCACTCGCCTTCCTTGCAGCAGCACCAGCAGCAACTTCAAGTTTCCCGTCAATACTCGGCAGCTCGTCGTCGCTAGTCAGCAGCGCATCGTCATCTGCTTCTTCTTCTTCTTCCACCCAATCATCGGATCCATCGATCGCCACCCCAGGAGTTCAACCAGAGCAGGCAGAGGCAGTCTTGGTCGGCGGAGTCGCGCCGAGAGCTAGAGGATCAGAGGCTTACGCACCCTGGTGGTGAAAACAATTGTTGTATATTTTTTGACGAATTCATATTTTACAAATTCTTTCAAATGTCGCGCAGCGTTCCTTTGGTATTAAAGGGACACTAGTGAGTACTACAGCGCTTTCAATTGTTTCATGCGTGATGGCCTGAGGTGGGTGGCACTAGTTAACGCCTTCCAAGCAGCAGACTGCAGGAGAGAGTCAACGTCAACAAGTTGACATCGAGCCTGTCACGCGGGTCACATTCACGGTCTCTTGATCCTCTTCCTCGATGACAACCAAATTCCGGAACCGGCTGCACAACTTCGAGGAAGAAGACGCGTCGCAGCTGAAGCTTGGCACTGGCAAGTCTATCCTCCGACCCCTTCGCGCAACATGGGGCTCACAGTCAAGCTGAAGAATTCAACAATGCTGGTTGTTTGCTCATCTCGGAAGTCAAGTATCTACTTGAGAACCGAGATAAGGATGCCCCAGACACGAAGTAAACACCGTTTACAAGGGTTTGACAGTACTAATGAGGAATAGAGTGTACAATAAGACGTTGGAATATGTCAAGACATTTGCCAAATTCAACACGACTGACTCTGCCAGCGCTGTCCGAGAGTAAGTTTCGAACTACGAGTATAGCGCAACCGGCTGAGTCTTGTAGTACTCTGCGTCGTGAACCCGCCCTGACCCAGTTCGAGACAGCCCAAATCGCCAACCTTTGCCCCGCAACCGCAGAAGAGGCCAAAAGTGTTGTGCCCAGGTCTGTGAACCGCTTTTATCCCTACCGAAATGTGTTTTAACCACTCCCAGCCTTGTGAAAATTGACGATGACCGCTTGGATGCTTTGTTGAGTGATATACAAACCATGCGAAAGTATCAATCATGAATATACTGCTCTTGCCTCGTTTTGGAATCCCGCAGCACACTTACTTTCAGTATCCTGCGTTGATTTATGCTAGAAGCTAACTACACTCTGCTCGAATGCAGAGTATCGCCCGTTCAACCCGTCTCCGACTTCTCTTTCCGACATAACATAGACGTAACAACGACGAGCTCTCAGTCAACGCGATGCTCGCTATTTCTGCTCGAGGTCACGTTCGCGAAATGGTGCCCGCTCCATTCACCGCCGCATCAGACCATCGACACCTGCGCAGCATTTCAATGCCACCTTGCTCCCACATCGGTCATTTTCCAGCGGCTTAAAGGCGCTCTAAAATTCGATGTGACATTACCTCCCGCTTTTGACTCTCATTGGGACCATGACCCGCTTGCTTCACGTTTTCTCCATCGCTGCTGTCGTCGCTACCGTCGCCGCTCAAGACCTGACTATCAACACTCCTCCGTATCAGTCTTTTGCTTTTGCCTGAACCGTCAATTGAACAAATGTCGTCAGGCAATCCCAAGCTCAACAATGTGAACCCCTCCAAATTACGTGGTCTGGAGGCACAGGTCAGTGTGCTAGAAGCCGCAAATCATCTTCACATCGTTCGAAATTACCCAAGGTCCATATTTTGTGGTGTGTACTTTCTCCACTGCGAAAGCGCCAGGACTGACGTCGTTGCGAGTCGTATGCATTTTGCTTGGGACCGATCTGCGCTTGTGTCTCAACGTTGCGATTAGGGTGGAGAACAGTCCCGTCACGTCTACATCCTACGTGAATTTCGGCCAGCAAACGGGCACCGCGCTATCATGGCCTCAGGTCAACGCGACGATTGGTCAGTTCTGTCGTTGTCTGGCTATCTCTGCTCTACATTCCCTCAACCCGTCGTAGGAACGCAGCTAGTGCTGCAGATCAAAGACCAGACTGGAGCCACCAGAAATAGTGCGCCATTCACCGTTATCAGCGGAGGTGGGTTGGCCGCTGCTATAATATATGGCGCGCCGTTGATCGAGTTTTCTATTATTTAGTTGGAAATAGCTGCCTCAATGCGTCCGGAGGCAGCGGTCCAACAAGTTCTGGCCCGTCGGGTACTAATACTTCGAATGGACAAACATCAACCTCGCACACCAACACTGGCAGCAGCACGAGCACTGGTCCTAAGTACGTCACTTTCCAATTTTGTCGCGGCACGCGTGTTGATCTTTATATCCAGCAAACCTTCAATGAGCCCCAGCTCGGCCGAGAAAACAGTGGTTGCGATCTCTGCTGTGGTTCTGTCTTCGATAGCACTGGCAATATCCCTTTACTAGTCTTCGATCTCCAACGTGTCGATGTTCCAAAATGAGCTCTATCAAGCCTTTTGAATGGATTGCGCGTTGGTTGCAGATGCTAGTGAGTACAATCGACTGTGTCGATTAGATAAGATGTACACGATTTGTCATATCTTCTTCATAGTCCCATCAAGAGCCCTTCACAGTCTAATGCGCGTGCGGGAGCCCCGTGCCAGTTGGATTGGCAATTGTCGTGCTTGGACTTTGGCTAGTCGGGAGCCACTTGAGCGAATGCAATGCGGTTCAAGTGGAGACTCACGTCCATGTGATTAAAGTCGTTAACGTTACGAAGTATGGCGGCACCTGCTCATTATTGGGACCAACCGACAAAAGTCGTGGACGGTATACTCACATCCGTCAGCGTCAAGTATTCACGCGTCGCCGTGAAAACGGGTGGCTGGTAAGGGAGTGAGCTGGATGGTCTGACGATTGTTGTTGTAGAGGACAAACATTGGCATCTTGAGGCAATGGGGCAGCCTGTACCGCGAGGGTGGAGATGGCAAGCAGAAGGAAAGCTTTGAGCGCAAACATGTTCTGGAGGGCACGCGAGGCAAATGCTCCTCTCCTGCTCTTATAGCGATACCTCGGAAGCTTGGTGTGCCCCATGCGGGTCTGGTTCTCTTCGGCCGCTAACATGCATCTGGCACATGGTCTGACATTATCGGAAAGTCGCGCACAATCTTCTCCAATCTTCTGCTCCGAAAACGCAAAAAAGACGCATCGGCGGCGTCATGTCGACATGGAGAGCTCGGGTAAAATGACCGCATGATCTGCATTGCTGAACTTTCAGCCGTCAACTTGACCGGAGAGTTCATCGCTGCTGTGATTAGCAAGTAATTAGAGTGCGGAACGCCGATATACTTGGATGAAATTTCATTGTGCCAATGCTACGCGGCTCGGAGGCGGGGATGAAGTTGGGATGAAGTTCGTCAGCCCAAGCAACGGTCTCTAGAAAATGTGGCACAACGAAAATTTTGCATATTTCGACCGACAAAAGACCGAGTTTCAGGCTTTGGAGGATCATGAGTTTGTGAAGCCGACAGTGTAGCACGGAAAACTGAATGAGTGCCGCAAGTTGTCCCGAATAAACCGCCGCCTGTGTTTGTAAGGCCCATGAGCTGAGTCAAAGGGAGAGACAACTCGGCATCTAGCCATGGGGAGCTACATACGCGCCATAAAAGTTAAACATGAGCGCAGCATGAGCGCGGTTTCCACTCGGGGCTTGTCACAGGAAGTTGCTTGGAAGTTGCAACGTTGCAGCAGATTGTTGCGTCAGCATTGTGCATGCAAGTCGTCGTAGTTGGGGGGCGCGCAGTCCCGCATTATATATTACCCTCGTGGGGATAGGGAGTTCAATGCGACACTGTTTTGATTCCGAGTCGTATATGCGTTTTTGTCAAAGCTCGGCGATGAAGGATGGGTGTGTTATGTAACGATCATGAATCAGTGATCGGATCCGGAGACGGCCCGGCGACCTCCGTTGTTTACTTGAACCTCGAGCTAGCTCTCGAGCTCATGAACTCGCAAACAATGATTGATGTATATTCTAGCTATACAACAGTCTCCGTCAGCTCAAACTCGTTGTTTCGATCTACTATTCGACTAATCCATGCCCACAGCTTGCACAGTATATTCTGCTATAGAGTCTTGGCAATGTAGAACGGCAGCGGTGTACCTGGGGTCTTTTCATCTGTGAGTTCTCCCATGTGCTCTGCGCAGATTGAGCCCCAGATTCTGACCAACACTGTAATCGAAGAGCTGGGATTGGGCCAGCGTTACAACAAAATAATCAGAACCAGAATCAGACGTCTGATGTGGGTCCAGCGCGGATGTTGGCATGGAAATATCCATCGTGCGGTTACATCGTAGCAATGCAGCAGTTCGGCGAGGTACTTACAGCTCGACATGCAGGTTAACAAGGAATTTTATCTGACCTGAAGTTTCAGCGTGGTCTGCATGAAGTATTATCACTCTTTTGTTGTTGCACTCATCGCAGGACACTCTTTGGTATTAATAGTCCTTGGAAAGCTCAAGCCACGGGACCTAGCCTGACCTAGCACAAAATACATGAGGCTATTTTTATCTTTGAACTCGCATCATTCTTATCGTGATTGGAGCTGGGGTCCTGATTGTCACACCCAAGTCACACTCACGCCCTTGTCGAATGACTCCAGCCTTCGACCGCAATGTGTTGCGTTCGACCATTCCAAACGTTCAACGCGTCTTTTCTGCCTCCACTCCTCCTCTAGATCCTTCTTAAGGGACCTCTACGACGGATTCGACGCATAAAACCCAACAAAGAAGTGGCAAAATATGGACGAATGTGAAGGCGAATGTGAAGGCGCGCATACGTTCTCTCCTCTTGATCCCGATTGACGCGCGACTCAGATACAATCGGGCTACAGAATGGTATAAGATGAAAGCTGGCGTCAACTCGGATTGCAAGTTCGACCATGGATGCACCACTGAACCGCCTTGAACCCTCTGTGGTCCCCACTCACTACGACCTCGTTATCCGCACCGACCTCCGCACACACACATTCGACGGTCTTGTCACCATTACCCTCACCCTCAGTAATCCGACTTCCAGTATCGTGCTGAATGCACGCGACATCGAACTTGGTGATGCGCTCCTAGCCATCGAGGGACAAAAAATCCCCGTCACGAAGACCATCCAGAAAGAACTAGAGCGTGTGGCTCTCGATATCGAAACACCCTTGGCTGCTGGCACGACCGCAACTATCCGTCTGCCATTCCGTGGCGATCTGGGGACGCTGGTTGGCTATTTCAAGTCGGAGTGGGAGCATGAAGGAGTAAAGAGCTACTATGCAGCAACCTTCTTCGAGGTGGGTCGTCTCAACATCTCAATTTTTCGTCTCTCACTCTTCAACATAGCCGACTTCCGCGCGACGAACCTTCCCGTGCTTCGATGAACCGAATTTCAAGGCTGCTTTTACTGTGTCCCTCATTTCGCGACAAGGCCTCGTCAATCTCAGCAATATGCCCGCTGTTTCCGAAGGCCCTTTCAACGACGCCGATGTCCAACTCGACCCATCCTTCGCTCCAACTACAACCGATGACAATTGGATAATCACTCGTTTCGCCACGACCCCCAAAATGAGCACATATATTCTGGGATTCGCATGCGGTCCTTTCGAATATACCGAGAGGCACTATACTAGTGCACTCAGTGGTCGTACTGTGCCTGTGCGGATCTATGGTATATCGTTTTACCCTGTATCCCATTTAGCATTCTCACTGTTCTTCCATCAGCCACTCCAGACATCGTGAAAGACACGGAATTTGGGGTCGATTTGGCGGCGAAAGTTCTTCCGATGTTGGAAGATATGTTCAAGCTCGAGTACCCACTTCCAAAACTGGATCTGGTTTGCGTCAGTGGTTCAAATATTGTGTGATCTTTCTCTTATATTGCATAGGCTACAGGCCCTATGGGTGCCTTGGAAAATTGGGGCATCATCATCGGTGAACCGGGGGCGTTCCTTTTTAATCCGGAAACTGGCGCAACAACGACCAAGAAACGCGTCGTCGACATTATTAGTCATGAACTCGCCCATCAATGGTAGGTCCTTGTTCAAATCTCTATTAGTATTGCTCAATGCTCCAGGTTCGGTGATATCGTTACCATGGCTTGGTGGGATAATCTGTGAGTGTTTTTTGTTCTTTGGGAAACTCTGCTGAGAATGGTTCACAGCTGGTTGAATGAAGGTCTGCTTTGGATACGAATTCCATGCAATTAGTCTAAACAAATGGATCTGCTAGGATATGCTACTTTGGTGCGTGAGCTCACAATGATTATTTCACCATCTGAACGGATACGACAGCTTGGAGGACTCATCTCGGGTAAGTTGGTGCTCATTTGCTTCTCGTTATTTTATCCTATCCTCAGAGCGGTATGTTCAGCCTTTCGTTTGAGTCACGATTGGCTCACTCAGTGCAGACTTTATCCCGAATGGAGGATATCAGCACACGCTGTGAACCTCAGTCTCGCGCGTGCGTTGACGGTGGACGCGAAGCTGTCATCGCATTCTGTCCAGCTAGAATGTCCAGATGCAAACGATGTCCATGAGGTGTGCTATTTTGAGAGTCATTGACACAAATCACTAAACACCCTTTAGACACTAGATATGATATCATACATGAAGGGGTGCTCAGGTAGGGACCGAGTTTTCCGCAGGAATGCACTGACACGTATTATCTTTTAGTCTTGCGTATGCTTCTGGAACTCCTTGGTGAACAAACGTTTTTTGATGGAGTCTCCCTGTACTTGAAGAACCACCTCTACAGCAACAGTGTCCCAGAAGATCTCTGGACTGTGTTGGGGACTGTCAGTGGAACCGATGTATTAAGCCTCATGAACAATTGGATCCTGGCTGTGAGTTTCGCGTTTGGCTGAGACTGGCGGTGATTCACACGTGCCTATGCAGACTGGTTATCCTGTACTCACGGTGACGGAGGTTCCAGGTGGTATCAATATCCGTCAAAACCGCTTTCTCGCCGGTGGACCTGCCGCAGAAGCAGATGACACGACTCTATGGTTGGTTTTATTGCACAAGTTAGCGGCCTGATGACAATGTTGTTAAGGACGATTCCGCTCAATATCGCCACAGTCGGTGTTGCTGACAGTGTTGCAATCGATAAAACTCAGTACTTGTCTACTCGGGAAGCATTCATCTCTATCGACACGAGTAAACCCCTGAAGCTAAATGCTGGGTCGACGGGCTTCTGTATGTTCTTTTTTTCTTTTTCAAGTTGCAGAACATGCTGAACTGAATTCCAGATCGCGTTTTATATGGCTCAGTCGGCCTAAACTCTCTTGCTCTTGCCGCATCTCGATTCGATGTGCGTGATCGCGTTGGGATGATGAATGATGCCATAGCACTTGCCAAAGCCGGATTGGCTCCGGTCGGCAATGCGTTGACGCTCATCGAAGGGTTTGCGGGTGATGACGAGTGTATGTGCTTGCTCGAACGATACAGGTGGACAACTCTTGACTTTATTCTAGATCTTGTTCTCGATAGCATTGCCGCAAACATCTCATCGCTATCTGATTCTTGGTGGGAGAACGATTATGTCGTCTCCAAACTCAAGAAATTGGACTGCGTTAGTCGATTGATTGCTAAAGCTACCGAAGAACTAAATGCAAGTTCTGCAGAGCATCTTCAAACCTATTGTCGACAAACTTGGTTACGAATATATCTCAGAAGAGGCATCAGATGTTGTAGCTCTGCGCACTCTGGCAGTAAAACGTGCTGCCTCTGCGGGGAGATCCCAGGTCTCTAATTTTGTTGTCCGATCATCTATATCGTCTGACTTCTTTCCTATCAGTGTGGTTGCTGAGCTGCTTCGCCGCTTTCAGCCGTTTCTTGCGGCAAACGACAAGTCAAGCATACCACCAGATCTCCAGATGATCATTTTCAAAGTGGTACGTTAGTTTCTGCTCGCATACTCCGACCTTGACAGTATATTCAGGCAGTGCAAGCTGGGGGACGAGAATGCTATGAGAAAATATGGACTGTGCTTCGTGCAACCAAGTCACCAGAGGAAGAGATGCATACTGCGTGAGTTTAAAGTTCCCACATTGTTTAACTCCGCCTATTTCTCATATTGTAGGCTTGCTATCGGTTCTGCGACAGATCCGTCTTTGATAAGCGACACCTTTGCTCGTCTTCTGGGCGAGAGCGAGGGTAACATGGACTGGCTGATGCACTCGCTCACAACGAATCCAAGTTCCAGACGGGCGATGGCTCAGTTCTTGAAGGATAACTATGATGTGGTACGTTTACACCAACTCCGTGCACGCCAATCTCACCGATGATAAAGCTTCTCGAGCGGTTTGACATGTCCAGCTTCTCGCATTATTCTCAGGTTTGTTCGAATGCCTCTCCGCACATCCCTCGTTGACCTTGGCTTTCCTCTAGCAACCCTTCCGACTTTTCACGTCGCAAGCTGATTACGACTCCACTGACACTTTCTTCCAAGTAAGTCATCTCTTTCGAGAACAGGCGGAGTCTCATGCTTTCTCCTAGACGAAAGATACCTCCAAGTACACTCGCCCGCTGCAACAAACTCTGGAGATTATACGCGGGAATATCCAATACCTTGAGGTCTGTGTGGATCTGGTGCACTTTTTGTTGTCTGACTTTTAGCAGCGTTCGACCGCTGAGGTGCTGGAATGGCTGCAGGACTGGGAGGCTCGACATGCATGACCCAACCATTTTTTTTTGTTTACACATTATTATTTACCGAACATTGTTGTGGACTTAAGTTGAACGTGATGCGGCGCACGTTTGCGATTCGCGGTTGTCTAACTCCTTTGGTCCACCAATCTCTTTATCCCGCCACCTTCTCTAACGTGTGGCAATCAAACGTTAAAATGCCTGCTGGGTTTGCTCTTCCCCTCCCATGGCCACGTCGTCGACACCTGGGCCAGCGATCATGCTCTTCACGGCGTTTGCTGGCTTATGCCTCATCTATGCATTCTTGTCACCGTTCTTCAAGAAAGTTCGACAGGCTGCGTGGATTCTCACCACAGTCGCCAGTGGAACGATGACCGTTTTGAGTCTCCCTTTTGTCTTCGACTACGTCAAGGGCGGCCTCGCCAATGTTGATGAGAGAGCCGCTCTGGCTGGAGGCATCAATCGGGGTTTCCAGGTGTGTTATGTTTTTAGCATTGGTTGTCCCCTTCTGACGCTGTTTATTAGTCGGCTCTATTTTCTATCGCTCTGAGATCACTCTCCTCACAGGATGGACACATCATATCGTCTATCTTGGAATTTGCGAGTTTGCCATTCGCGCTGGCTGGAGCTACATTTTTGGTTTGGCGGCCATCATGGAGGTTCGTCTTGACCATAACCATGTGTTCAACTACCCACAGTCGAGTTTAGCTGCCGACGTTCTTGTTTGGCATCGGGACTCTGTTCCCTCGCCTCCGATCTGACAGCCTCTTTGCTGCAACATTTTTCGCAACACGCATTTGCTTGCATATGGTGCTCATCGTCACTTACTACCTTCCCACCCATCGACCACAAGACTCCTTTGTTCCCGCTCTAATTCTCACATCGGTATTCCCTCTACACGCCATGTGGTTCCTGGGCTGCATCAAGGGCTGCATCCGTCGCTCCAAAGAACGCAAACTGGCGCGGCTTGCTGTAAATACGCGCCGTACTGTTTATTTGGATACTCCTGGTGTCACCCTGCGTTTGCGCCGACTTCGTGCACGTGTCGGTCACTGGGTACACACTCGAGCCCCAGTCAATTGGGTTCGCGAGGGTAGAATGGGACGGTGGGTGTCGGGTCGTCAACCAATTAGACCACGCGCAATGGCTCGTCGGATGAGTGAGAGCATTGTGAATGTGCTTCCATCTAAGGAGGCTATGATGGACTTTGTTGGCTGGGGGTAGCTAGAAATCCTCCTTTACAACGCAACTTCACGATAGAAATGACACGTCTCTTGATCATCTTATCCGATAACAATTTGTGTTTGCACAGCTTCCGTGTCATCACTGGAAATGGCTTTCCTTCCCAGACTACCAGCACACCTGCACTACGCGCCGTTAAACACGACTTCCACTCCTCTCTTTCTACCAACGAGCAGTCATGTTCTTGCCATTGTTTCCTACTTCGGTTTGGGCGGTCCAGGCATCGCCTCTGCCTTGCTATTCCATCCGACGCTTCCGAATGCTGGTATAATCATGGATGAACTCGGCCGTCTTGTGCCCATACTCGAAGACCGCTGGCTTGACTTCGAGCGGGCAGTTGCGGGTGCCCAGGATGCAATTGAGCGTGGCTGGGGAGGGTCATGGAGTCGCCCGCAAAATGTGAGTTCCGTTGACACAGTTGGTTGCAATCTTGACACGGATTTCTGTAGTACACTTGCCCCACTGACGTGTACTACGACCTTGGCCCTTCCATATTGACGCGCTTTACGCTCACTGGCCACACCGTGTGGGGCTCGGAACCCGACAACGTGCGATGGTTCTTACCCGAAAGAGGCAACCTCGTCGTCGACTCTGTCCCATCGCCATTTCTCGAGGTCGAGCGCCTTATTCAAAACATCTCCGATGAACACCTGCCTTATCCCGCGCGGGACGCACCGCTTTGTGTGTTCTCGTCTCCACCGCATTTTCTTTTGTTTCTCATACGTGGCAGGGAGAGTCAGGCCTGAAGTCCGACCCATGGTAGAGGCTGTTGCAAAGATGGCTCGGGTCCGACTCCGGCAATATATCGAGGACTATGCTTGATTTACCGTTACCCTTAAAGCAGCACGCCCGGGCAACAATCACGCGTCGGGACTAGAGTTGCTCTCAAAATGCCTGGCGCAAAATTTCTCATCGGAGAAGTTCTATGTCACAAAGTCTGCTCGAGCTTGTGGAGCTTTGAGCGAGTCGACATTGCTCGCTAAACAGTAATGGATCCACAATACCGAGGCACTCCATAACGCTGGCGAAAATGAAGCTAAATCGCTGCGATTGACGCAGAGGTGAGCACTTGTGCCTTGTCTAGATTTACTGTCCGTCTGGGATCCAATCAATTTTGGTTTTCTGACCACACTCAATGTCCGACAGAACGAAAGGCTCAAACGAGTGTACAGTAATGCTTTGGACTCAAATACTGTTTAGAGCGCATTGGACGATTCCGTCGGCCCTTTGATGGCACCAATAACACGATAACGTGATCTCTGTCAGATCTAGACATTGAGACGCGTCGTTCAACTCATTGCGCTACACTCTGACATTTCTCCGTGCGCATAATTCCAACCATGTCAGAGAAAGTCTGAGAAACCTCCGCCACAACTCGGCAACACAACTTTGCCGAGGTGTCTCTCTGGCCATCAGCCTAATAGTTATTATCAGGAACAAGAGGTCCGAGTCGTCCCTTGCAGAAGACTCGAATGTGGAAAGCAACACTGATTGTGCTCGGTTGCGGAAGGCTTCTTTTGCAATCTCACGCTTCAACGAGTCGGCTTGTGAGTTGTGCTTACTCAAACTAACTGAGACACGACAAGTTATTTACAAGCCCCAGGTAAACATGCCCTCATGTTGCTGATGGTCAAATGATAATTCGCGCTTCGACCTTTAAGCGATATATAACAAGGCCCTTGGGATTTCTTTCGGTCAGTTATCAACGTGAAGCAAATATTTCTGAGTATACACCTTCACAATCAAAGCTTAGTATGGTTCGCTGACTAGTAGTAGGCGCGACCGTCGATGAGAGCTCCGCGCCTCGTTGTCGATTTTACGTTCATTGGGTCTCTCCTCCATATGTATGGGTGCGTAGAGAAGATGTCCCATGTCAAGAAGCGCCACAATGAGGCCATCTCCAAATGGCCCCGGCGAGCAGTATGTGTGACATATTTAGCTCCCAAGCAGAGTTTAAGCGTCTCCTTAGACGTCGCGTCTCTGAGGATACCCCCTGAGAAAGTCTATCTTCTTGTAGCGACCACCATGTCTGTAGTATTCAACTTGACCATTTTCACTGAACCCTGGCGACTCAGGATAGCTTGCTCTTAAAGTCCTCTCTGCCTCGCATTTAAATAGACTCTGTCCATCGGTACCGTCACGGTAAACGTTTCAGCAGGTTCGAATTGTGAACTTGTGAAGATGCGAGCCAATTTTGTACAGAGTATTTTCGTGCGCGCGTCACTCAACAAGCTGCTCCCCAAGATATCGATATTCCTTCGGTGATCTGATGTGGTTGACACAGTCAAACCAAAAGGTCAGATAATAATAGTGAATTTTTCTAGAATGCGACGGTCATCCTGAGACAGCGCTGCTGCGATAGTGGCAGTTGACGGGACATAATTATAACGATTTGGTGGCTTTGGGAAAAAGTAACCCAGTGAGGAGAGGGGTGGTAGCGGAACCGAGGACATGGTTGGTGATATCGGAGGAAGGATGTTGGCCGATTGCAAAGACGACGGAGGCCCGCAAATGTTGTGTGCCTGACGTGGAAAGTCATTTGGCCGCTCAATCCGACTCGGACGAGGAAATACGTCAACGCGTCCGCCACAAGACCTAATATTGTGCCCGCCAAAAACACCTCCCGGTATTTCAATGTTGCGCAGATAATCATAGTCTTCCACCACGGGAAGGAGTGACGACTCATGAGCCTGCCAATGAATTTAGATGAGAGAACATCCACATATGAGGGGACAAAGTACCAGGAAGTACGCGACCAGGTGCCATTTTCTAGGCGGAGCGTGATTCGGAAACTTGACCGTGACCGAGTAGGTATGCTTGGTTAAGCCGCCCACTTTCGTTGGTCGGTCTTTGCGTTTCAATGGAGGTGGTGTGGATTGAGGTGATTCCGAATATTTAGAAGCCCTTGACGTAGTAAGGTTAGATTAGATGCAAAAGATGTCTTGGCCGACTTGCCTTCGTGTGGCTTTATCCCGCTTCTCGGCCTCGGTGACCTGAACTTTCTCTTCGTAGACCAGACAATCGCCCCGCATCTTGCTCTGGGACCTAAACCAAAGTCAGTATTGAAAAGAAGTTTGAGTCAAGTTTTACCATCGTTTACCCTCTGTCCAGCGAACCAAGCCCTCCTCCGAGTCGGATTCCTCCCAAACAAAGACATGGCCGCTTTGTAGACTGTTGCGTTCCGAAGGCGATAAACGCCGCTTGATCAGCGGTAGGATATGAAGTCGCACCGCTTCAAAAACACGATGAGCGTCTCGGATGTCTCTGATGTCTGTGCTTTTGATGAGCTTTACGCCTCCGGCCAGGTAGAAGGGATACTCGCGGAGCGAAGGGTGCGTGACACGCAAGTTGTGGTGAGTAGACGGGTTCATCTTTAGCTGGGTGACTTCCCGAAACAGGAAGTAAAGACAGGTCAAGCTTATATGTTTTTTCATTGACCAACTTCTTGGGATTGATACGGATTAATATTCTAGAAAAGAAACCAGATCAGTTTCTGCGGCTCCGTTTATTCAAGAAGCACGCACGGTGCGGGTGGACCGAAGCGATGAGAATAGTCGCTTACGCAACCTTCTTTGGGGCAAAGTAGCACTCGCGTGGGAGTTGGAGCATGGTTTGAGGAACAGACAGAGACCGATGAATGTTTTTCTCCGAGGAGTGTTGTTCCTGGTGATATCTGCAATATTGCTTCCACACTATTACTATTGCAACGCCAGTTAGATAATTGAGACGACAAGTCACCAGACATTACGCTGGCTGGCGCCATATATCCAGATGCTGCCATTTCATGAGCACATAGACGCAGTCGTGGTCGTCCGTCCGTCTGATCAACCAACAGTTGACTCTGTCCGCACCCGCTGCATGGTCGCACACGAGAGTGAGTTGAAATGCGGTCTGAACACGGATTGCTTGGCTTCAAGAGGTGGCGCGCCGCGCATGTGAACAACCACAAGATGAATGTCAACCGACATCCATTGATAATCTTCTAGACCTGCGCTGGTTCTGAGAATCGCCCAAAGAGTCCGGGGCTCAGGAACAACGCGGAGAAACTAAAGCAACCAACTCGTAGGAGGGCGATGTTGACAGGCAGAAACTATCAGAATAGTCAATGTATGACGCCAACAAACCAATAGTCTGAGGCGCGACGGAACTACGGGGGGCCTTTGGCCAACTTAAAAGACCAAGTGAACGTGCAGAGGCCATGTTTGTCGGTGTCAATATAAGTCTGGTTTTGAATATATACTGTGAGAGTTACCAGAGGCATCAGCAACGGCGCGGAGTTTGAAAGACTCTCACCTTGTACCACTTGCACTTGCGATAAGGGGCGCTTCCTCAAGCAGGCGAAACACTTCGAATGCTGATATGCTGCACTGACATGAAAACAAGAGGTAACTGACGAGCCCCGATTTTGAATGGCTGGACCCATCCAGGCTCAAGAGGAAGTAAGAATGTATTGTTAGCTCTGTTTAAAAGTCCGGAGTCTCGCAAAACAGATGTTGTGAATGGCCTGGCGGGTAGCGTTCTCCTTCTATCTCTGCCTCCTCCGCCAGCTTGCGAATCGCCTTGTTATCTTCGTCCGTCAATTGAAGGGACGCAGCTGCAACGTTGTCCCTGAGATACTGAAACAGTCAATCAACACCACATGCATAGCGACCATGGATATCGATGACCTTGATAGTCTTCGTTCCAGGAATAGGGATAACATCAGGTCCTTGCGCGAGCAGCCATGCGAGTGCCACTTGACTAGATGAAGCACCATTATATTTCTCAGCGCCAAGCCTGGCTAAAGTCCCAACAATCTTGAGAATTTTCGGAAAGTTTGCAGCGCTGAACCTTGGAAGATGTTACTGTGGTAAACCAGAGGCAAGAGCGACTTACTTGGGGATTACAAGTCGGTGGTCTTTCTCGCCAAAATCCGCTGGGGAATTCTGTGTGTTTATCAACAATCACAACGCGGGTCAGAAGAATGCGCCATACATAGCTGCCGGTCAGCAGGCCCCGACCGAGGGGAGAATAGGCGACGATGGAAACACCAAGTGAACGAGCAACCTCAAGGACGGCGATCTTGGGGTCCTCGATGTCCAGCGTAAAAGGGCTGTATTCAACTTGCACCGCAGATATGGGGTGGACTGCATGTGCTCGTTGGAGGGTGTTGGCTGATGCCTCAGAAAGTCCAAGGAATCTAACTTTGCCTGTTCTACATTGCGTTCAGTGTCAACATTCCCCGGCAGGGCTGTTATCAACATACTTGACGAATTCGGCCATTGCTCCTACAGAGAGCTAATCAAGATATAGTGAGCCAGCTTATTGACAGCCGAAACAATACGCCATACCTCGATTGGTGTACGGGTATCTGCGCGCTGCGAATTGTGAACAGTCCTTTCTTTCTTCTCGAGCAGTGAAACGCACGTGAAGGTAAAGAAGGTCGATGTAATCAACCTGAAGTCTCCTCAAGCATTTCTCTACCGCTTCTCGAATGTAGTCAGGTTTGCCATTCACCGCAGGTTTGCCGTTTTCGATGACTGTGCCCACTTTGGTGCAGAGAAAGATATCCCCACGGAGTCCAGTTCGCTGGAACCTAACAAAGAGATGACGGTGGGAATGAAGCAAGGTGGAATGTCCTACCATTTACCCAGGATTTCCTCGGATCCGCCATAGCGGTCAGCAGTATCCCATAGAGTGGAACCTGTTGCATGAGCGGTATTGAGGACCTGCACTTTGTGAGCCCAATCAGTGGTAAATTATCCCCTACGTTGAACATCTCTTCCTCCGTTACTGGCCCATAGGCACCAGCAATGACCATCGCACCGAAACCAACAGCAGAGACATTGGCACTGCCAATTTTTCGCGTGGGAATTGACATTGGATAGCTCCTGGATGTGGAAGGGATGTGGAAGAACGTAGTTATATAGTGGTATCGGCCTCTGAGCTGTTACCCATAGTGGATGGTGGGGCGAATGGCGCCGCAAAGTGGGCCGCTCTGAGAGCGTGAGTAAAAGACTGAGTCAGCTGGGTTGGGCCACTTCAGATGCTCGGATCAGGGATGATCGATGATCGTGTCATCAATTCATCATCATTGACATCAAAGGCCCGGGCCTCGACTGTCCCTGGACTCTGTTTCTTTGTTGTGAAAGTTTTAAACAGTTGAAAACAGTCGCTCATCGATGCCTGAGGAAACGGGGGATTCTAACTACTGTGTAATCCACTATTTGAGAAGAGACCTTATGGGTTTGTTTGCTCACTACTTATCGGAACGATCCATGAGTGACGTCTGGATCAGTGGTTATGCCTCATCCTCATCATCTTCCTTCTCACCTCCAACAGTCGGCTCCTCCGTACCTGAAGCACTAGGAGGACCGACTGGCAACACCACAATGTCCTTACCTTGGAACGTAGATGTTCTAGACCTTATCATCTCTTACCTCTCCCCGCGAGATATTGCGTCCCTCGCGCTCACCAACACTTTCCTCATGGCTCGCGCCTACCCACGCTTATACTCAACGCTATCTTTCACCTTTTCTATGGCGCGGGGATATCCTAACGTCATGACACCTTTTTCCACTGTTGCCGCCCACCCTGAACTGGCTATGCATGTTAGACATATTGGTGCGTGAAACTCAAGTCAGTTTTACGAAGGCTCAACTGGGTTTCAGACATTCGCACCATCCCCTTCGCTGGCTCGAAATTCAGTGCCGTGTTTCTACGACAAGCAGACCAAGCGTTGCAGTTGTGCGACAACATCGTTTCGTTTCGATGTAGCGCCAACGCAGTCATCGCCTTCATTCCAATTCTTAGTCACAAACGTCGCCTCTCCAGAATACGAATCAACGTCGACACCTATCCAAGGGTGCGGTGCTGGGAGCTGCTTTGCATAACTCATCTGTCCGACTTGTGCCTCGATTGGATTCCTCTTCACGTTGCCAACATCCTCCCTGTCTGGGCCATCGTGCTTGGACAGAGGCTAACCTCGTTAACTCTGTTTGTAGGTGGCTTGATCCTCTTGAAATTGTCATCCTGACACTCACTTGTAGATGTCGACTTCCATTACCGAAGACCTACTCAAGTCGACCCTTGGCCAACTGCCTGGATTGCTGTCCCTTCATGTCGTTGGATGCCCTAATCTCTATCATGACGTGGTTCTAGGGCTCACCAGCCTTACCCCACAACTTCAAACACTCTCAGTCAGCGCCAAGGTACATTTTTTTTACCTTATGCTCATTGACACGAGCTCAAGACATATGATTCAGTTCGACCTAACGAGTGAAAACCAACCCTTACCACTGTCTCTGTCAAATCTTCAACATCTTTCGATCGACGTTCGCCTAATGTCTGCTCCAATGGGAATGAGCTCGGAACTTTCAGCCATGACTGTCGCAACGCTGCTTGAACGAATAGCAGAGCTACCCAATCCCCCGCATCTCAGATCTTTGAGAATACGGACCCCAAGCAATTCCAGTCTACATTTCATTCTACTAAGTCAATTGGCTGCCCTCGTTTCCCCAACGGTGTGCTTGGAATCTGTCGCTTTCGTGGACTGTACTCTGGACGCTAAAGGCCTTTCTGCCTTCGCCAAATTCTGCAGAATGTCTTGCTCGCTCGAAGTGCTTGAGCTCGCAGTACCTAAAAGAGAGCTGGTAAGTATTCAACCTGTTCAATCTCCCATCTGGTCTGATCAGAAACGAGACTGAATTTGCACGCGCTCTCCAGAGCTCACGCTCCATTCGTATTCTTCGCGTCCCACAACAGACTCTGGCCCAAGAGGCTGTGCATTATATTTTCGTCACTGTGGGCCAGTTGGAAGTCATCAACACAAAAGGTGGAAGGTGGATCATGGGCAGTCAAGGAAATTTACTTTTTGAGGCCAGTCTACCCAGCGATGACCTCGATCAGTATTGGTTTTCACGGTAAACGCACACCGGAGTTTGTATCACATTCTGTGTATTTTTATGTCGACTCGATGTCTTTTTAGGACACGTTTTTTCCTGTTTACATGTACTACATACGTCTATCATACGACTACGTTGTTTGAATAAGCTCCGTCGTATTGTGCATCTCCCGCGGCTACTTGAACTACTGAGTCAAATAATTCGATGAATGCCACGTGACGAGAAGAACATCATCTCTCTCTTGCCTCCAGATGCACTTACCTTTGATTCACCTGGCTGAGTCTCAACGCTCAATCTCATCTGCAAAGCTCGTTCCCTGTTTCCAATGAAGTGTAATGAGTAGCGCATCCAGACATCGGCACCTTTCCACGGAAGCGAGACACGAATTAACGGCTGAAGACATTCCGACCTCTTCTGGAGCCATTTATCCGAATAGCGACAACAAGGACGCCCATATTTGATAGGGAGGTGTCCAGGGGTCAACTTATATTGTCGTAGTCCCTTTTCAAGTTTGTCCGACTCCTCTCGTTCGTTTTCTGGAACGTTGACATGCGCCTCAGTGGTCTGGTTCACCAATGCCTAATCATTAGTATCGTGGTTGCTGCTTCTACTCTTCAAGAGGACACTCTGGCGCTGCATCGTCAAATTCGGGACCAAGCTCAGACACGACGTGCAAACGAGTCAAGAACCTATCAAGATAGTCCCACCGAGCTTGAGCGACGAGATGGAACGAAATATGTGTTTATGCACCACGTATGTGCTCCTCGTCTTGTGTTATTACACCACTGAGCTTGCGTTCAGATTGTTGGCAGTGAGTGGCCCCTTCTTCCCTATGTTATATCGTCGCTCAACTATTCTCTCACCCAGACACGTTCGTACGAGTTCTTGCTCGAGAAAAAGTGATTCCGAAGGCGCTTTCAGGTATAGCTACACGCCAGAAACCTGGTTAGACGACATCAGTCGAATTGCAGCCAAGGGAGTGTGCGTCCTCCATTTTTGTTCTCGCCTTGTTCTCAACCTCGTTTAGTGATGCGATCGCTCTGAACATCGGGGGTGATGACTGGCAGAAAACACAAATCGGGTACGCCTACGCAGCTGCCCAATCACTCGGCGTCAGCACCAAACTCTTCATTTCGTTTGACTTCACTACCGACCTTGGTTGCTCGCTTCCCGACATCGTTGCTCGCACACGCCAATTCTCCTCCCACCCATACCAGTTCAAAGTCAATGGGAAGCCGATGGTTTCGAGCTACGCAGGCGATTGTCTCGGGAATTCCGGCTGGCAGTCGTTGAAGGATCAGACGGGAGCGTATGTCATGCCTTTTATCTGGGGGTTAGAGGGCAAGTTTGGGAACTACCCGTCAATGGATAGTTGGTATTGTTGGGGGTGTGCATGGCCCCAGGGCAACTATGCCAAAAACGTGTGTGTCATTCCCTTTTCCGGTTCAATGCTAATCTTAACTAGACGGATGACGATAATTATTGTGGGCACAGGTTTCTCCTCAGGGACTTTTGTTGACCATCCTCAGACCTCAGTCAACTCGGCAGCAAGTATGCAACCACGGTCAGCATGTGGTTCTTGTGCGGACTCTATCCTCTTCCATTCTTCCATATCGAACGCGTTTCAGCACACACTACACATATCAAAACCGTATTCTTCGCTCTGATGACTGGCTTCTCAATAACCGATGGGAGCAACTTTTCAATATGCGGAATCAACTAACTTTTGTCGAGATGGTGACTTGGTATGGCTCTCTGATACTTTCCCCTTATCCGTTATGCTTATCATCGCCGTAGGAATGACTTTGGGGAATCAGACTAGTGCGAACTACTAATCAACTTGTTGACGGGGTTTGACGAACCGCCTTAGCTTTGGTCCTGTCCGCGTAGATCAACCAACTGGAACAACTTGGACTGACGGATTTCCGCACACTGCGTGGTTCGACATGAGCGCCTACTACATCCAAGCTTTCAAGACAGGCGTATATCCACAAATCACTGTTTGAACTTCCCCATTCCTCCAGACCTACGCTGAATGAAAATATTCTCTAGCAAGACGTCATTTATTATTGGGCTCGACCACATCCCAAGAACGCAGTCGCTTCAAATGATATCGGCCGTCCAGAGAACTGGGATTGGACCCAGGTTCGTCTCAGCTGTACTATCATCATCACTAAACAGGCTTACGTTCTCCAGGACTTACTTTGGGTGGCAGCTTTCTGTACCTCCACTTGCACGATCACTCTTCAAGTTGGGTCATCATCAGCAACTTTCGCGAACCAACCTGCCGGCGTCAACAAACTCAAGCTTCCGCTCGCTGCTGGACGAATTACCGTTACCATGACCCGTGTGAGCATGAACATTTCGTTCGTTCGTTCGTTCTAGTCTCTAACCGTATATGTGGCAGAATGGTCAAACGGTCATAAGCAAGACCGATCCCGACTACCTGTATGTCCTCAACCCAATCAAATGTACGATCCAGATCTACTCAGTTTTGGGACAATGTTGAATATCTTGCCAGATAATTTCAATGCTTATGTTAACGCTGCTTGTACGGACTTTCTTCTGGAATGGCGGTGGTTTGATATCTTCTCTTAGCTGCTTCGGGAACAACTGCGACCACAACATCGACCACCACGACAACAACCACTACTTCCAGTGCACCGACTCCGACCAGCACAACGATCGATGGGGTCGCATGGACGTACCTAGCGTGCTATACGGACTCGGTCAACTCCCGTACTCTGGGCAACGGGATATCATCTTCCACAAACACCAATACTTTGTCAACCTGCCTCCGAACTTGCCGGAACGCAGGCTATGTTTACGGTGGTGTTGAATACGGCGTCGAATGCTTTTGTTCCAACTCGATAAGAGCAGCAGCCAGTGTTGCATTTGCTGATGACTGCAATTACCCCTGCTCTGGCGGAAGTGTGTATCATTTGTTCTCCGTTCGACGAGCTTGCTCACGGTAACTTCAGCTGGACTTTGCGGAGGATCCAATCGGATCAATGTTTACAATGCCGCCGAGGGTTTGGGGATGAGCACGACTATCACAAGTTCCGCTGCGTCTAGTACTCCGACTTGGTCTTACCTTGGCTGTTATACGGACTCAGTCAACTCTCGAACACTAAATGGTCTCTCTTCCAGCTCTCAAAATGGACAGACAGTTTCTGGCTGTTTGGCGACGTGTGCAGCGGCAGGATACCCTTATGGTGGCGTTGAGTATGGAGTCGGTTTTTTTCTCCTGAATGCGTCTTGGAATAGCGACTGACTTGCTGATAGGTCGAATGTTTCTGTGGCTCGGCGATATCAAGCGGCTCATCTAAAGTCACAAATACTGACTGCAATATGGCTTGCTCCGGAAAATGTATGCATCCACCCAACTAAGTTGCATCGATATGCTGATCTTCTGTAGCAACAGACATTTGTGGATGTAAGTTTCGGTGATTCACGATCCCCTCACTTTATTTACTCATCCTATCTAGCCGGTAACCGCCTTAGCATGTACCAACGAACCAGCAGTCCGCCTACCGTATCCTGGAATTCTCTGGGCTGCTATACGGATTCGATTAACGCGCGAACTTTGACCAACGGGCTCTCCTTCACCTCCTCGTCATTGACCATTGCCAGTTGTCAATCTTCGTGCGCCTCTGCTGGCTATCCGTATGCAGGGGTGGAATACGCGGTTCGTGGTCCGGCTTCTGCTCTTGTCCATGCTCATCTTACCCAGCGAGAATGTTATTGTGCCGCCGGAATCTCGAGCCCAGGCACGAAGACTGCAAATGGGGAGTGTAATATGGCCTGTGCTGGAGCCAGCAGTCAGAGTTGTGGCGGCGGAAACCGCATCTTCATATACCAAGCAGCGAGTAATGCTAGACGCCGACGTGTTGATTACGGGACATTGGATTAAAAACGTAGTTACTATAAAATATTTAGTCCCATAATATATATCCTAAGGCACTTTTTCTTGTAGTATCCAGTTTTGAAACGGCGAGCTACTGAAGCCAATAGCCAGTCGTTGAACGTGACCAGACTATCATTCACCTTTCACGTGACCGCGCTTCATTGATTCAAGTACAAAAACAAAGTCCATGCTACTTAGCAAGGCAAACGATACATGATGGGTCCGTTCATTTCGAACTATATCCTGGTGGGGTCCCAATTCGCACACCGCTATCTCTTTGCTGGAGGACCGCTGCAGCTGGGTTACGATCGAGAGCCAGACCGATATTAGGTTTGCTATCCCTCCGAGCAGATGCGTGGAACGAGCTTGAGTTTGGAGTGGGCGTAGCATCAAGCTCCGCGTGCGGCAAGCTTGCGGCAAACGATTGCTCGGTTGACAAGTTGTTACGACTTGAGGCTGCGCTGGGTTGTAGTGTGGGCGTTGGCGGGTTGTGAGAATGCCATGAGCTCCGGACGTCGGAGGAAGGCTGGAAAAACGAGGCATTCAGCGAGTCGGCATACATCACGGATGGATAGATGGTGGAGGGGCGGCTAGCGACCGAACGAGGCCGGGCTGAGGCATCGGGGCCAGGCAAATGAGGCACTAGTTGAGAAGATCCAACGCATGCGGGAGAGCTCGTGGCCACAGGAAAACGGTTGGAGATTTCCTGTTTCCGTGTTGTGAGCGGGAATGGGGTTGGGTGAACGGCCTCGAGGGCTCTCTTGCGCCGTGTTTGCCTCAGACAGAAGGCAACGACAGCGAGGACAGCCAAGATGAAAGCGCCTGCGATGGTTCCGCCGGTAATTGCACCGACAGACGTATATCTGGTTGCTTTGGAGGCCCCGGAGGATGCCGTTGGTGGAGAAGACGAAGTGGAAAGATGGATGTCAGGGGAATCGAAAACGTAGAAACTCTGGAGGACAAGGGGTGTGTGGTCTCGATCCCCATGGTAGGTCACGACGAGGTTGTGTTCTTTGTCTTCAAGAAGCGGAGTGGTGAAAAGCATCACGTTGTACTGCGTAGTAGTATCGCTTGCATCGGCCAGGCCGCGAAGCGTGAAATTTATAGGTTGGCCATTGTCAATTGAATATGATGCACAAGTCGCGTTATGTGGCCTTTCCGTCGGAACGAAGCCATACATACTCGCGGAAGTCCCTAAATAAAGCTTGGTGAGTGCGCAGAAGGCTGGGTGCCACAACATACCACGAAAATGGAGGGCTACTTGGGCTCCATTCACATCTGTTGCATTTTCGCCACCAAAGGTGACCCATCCTGTGCTAAAACTGACGGCGGGGTCGGTGTTGCTGTATGCTACAACGGAGGCAGATCGAGAAACCTCTCCCGACAAAGGCCGATACTTGATGTAGTCCAAGTAGAAAGGACGGCCGGCAGAATGAACTTGTATTCTAAGGGTATGCGAACCCTTGGATATAGAGTCCTCGGCGCACAACAACCAGTTGTTTTCCTCGAAACGGAATGTTGGGTCTGGATTGGGTATTCTGACATCGTCCACATAGCAGTCCCAAGACGGGTCGGCGAGATTGTTCGTTGTCGCCACTGAAATGGTGCCCCAAACCTCAATCGAGGTGCCTTGCCTATGTCATTTATCGGGTGAGATGTTGGGACATGCAACACACCATTAAAAGGAAACAAGAGGGTGGAATTATTGGATGTCGTCCCATGCGAGGTTCCGTTGAAGATGGAGCCAAAATTTCCGCTGGTCAATGTGTTTGGATCTGCAATGAACCAGTCCTGAGCCCCATACTGGATTCGAGGGTCAGTGTCGTCTACGACTAGTTGACGAGTCGGGGCGAAAGAGCCCATGGTAGGGAAAAAGCGACAGACAGAACCAAGGGCGCCGGCCCAGCGTGGACATGGTGTCGGAGGCAGAAACCGACATAGCGACCATTGATGGCTGATCTCTTTTGAAAATTTGCGCTCTTCATCTTCTGAGTTGACATCTACAAATAGGCAACGACTACATTAAGGTGAGTGCTCATTTGACCACCGAAAAATCACTCTGAACGGTGCGCAAACCTCTTGCCAGTCTTTGGATTATTTGCAGGACATGTGGCGGTCTCCATTGGGATTATTGGACCGTCATTACACCGAAGGTTCCGTGGCAATGTGTCGGTAAGTAGTAGTCGTGGAGTACATAGTTCATGTCATATCTGCCCAACTTCACTTGAATTATGGAGACGGTGTTTATAGTTCATGTCACCTTGCTTTAGTAAGGTCCCCCCAGGGTCACAACCTGGCACGATCATGATCTATTGATGGTGACCCAGCCAAACATGTACAAACCAACCCGAACGACCGTGGCCAAAAACCCCAAACCTTCGATGAAACCTCGGTGAAAGTCTCTACGTAATGCATATTACATAAAGTCACATGTTGTCACCTGTCGTCATTTGAAAAACTCGAACAGAACCCTCTGTTCTGCTGAGGTGGCAAGGGTATGTAGCAGTGTGCATGCTCATATATTTATCTAGTCAGATTGCGCCTAAGTTGATATGATGGTGATCCAGCTCAAAATGGAGGCTATTATCTGATTTAATCAATTTGTAATGATGTCACAACGCGTCACAGCTGCATTTAGCTTGTGTTCTGTCCTCAATAATGGTTAAAGAAATATGGAAAATTTTAATAATACTTGCATACTATTATTCCACATTATAGAACCCTCCGTTTAACAGAAATAATTTAAATAAAATTTCTGTGAGGATCAAGTAATTGTAGAAACTGCGTAGTCTAGCTTAGAAACACCAAGGAAGACACAGATATTCTGGAATAACAATGAGAGACAGTGACTAAAGAGGCAGTGCCAATCTTACAATATTGCAAATACTATAGTATTTCAATCAAGTGTCTGTGACTTTTTGAATTTTTGAACCTAAAAAAATTTCTTTTGGTTTAAGGTGATTTTTGACAAGGAGTTTTTTTGGTCATTATAACGTGTAACACAGACACTTGATCTAACCAGTACAGTGATCTATATAAGATCTTAGATTTTTAGTAAGTAATGTGAAGGGCTATAATAACATTTCAGCAGATGTGTGGACAATATAAGCAATTAACAGTAAAATTTCTATGAAGAGTATACTATACTAAAGTGTATTACTACAACTGTCACATAATTATAACACACCTGTACAACAATAATGCCCTGAGCATTATATATTACATAGTGACAAAAAGTATCCCTTGTTGACCAGATTTAATAATAGTTAGAAGCTTGACCACCATACTGTAGTATTTTAATTAATTCAGCGCCCAAAAAGTGTGTGACATCAGCGCCGAATTGAAATTTTCGGCGTCCGAGGCCTCCGAGTGTGACCGCCGAAAATTTCGCAGGGCCGCGCCAGCCGAAAAAATGGTCAATTTACCAGGTGAATTCGGCGTTTGTTACTGTTGCATGTGACTGCCGAAAAAATTTCGGCGTTTTAACGGCAGGTGTGACGCGTGACCGCCGAATTGATTAAAATGCTACAGTAATATCTCTAGAAGAAGAAGTCAATTTGAGTGCAAAAATATCAATTATCTGAAGAACTTTCCAAGAATAGACCAGATCTGGCAAGCATAACCATGATGCACCTGGCCTTTAATAACAAGCCTTGTATCATCTGCTACACTTACCATTTAATGGACCACCTGTTATGTGTTATGTCAAGGAGAGAGGAAGTAGAAAAACTAAAGAGTATATACACAGAAAAATTAAGGGCACACAGCTGGACCATGCATAACAATTGCCTATTTAGGCAGGTGCTTCACAGGATCACAGGATTGACTCACTGAGAAATCATGCAGACAAACTATTGTAGTATGGCCAATTATTATAGCTAGTATAAGGAAAGAATAGTCATAGGATTAGACTTGTATCAATAGTTCAAAACCCAGATATGTGAATCTGAGAAGTATCAGATCACAAATGTGACAATATGAAAGTTTATTAATCAAAGGAACTGTATGTATAGTAAGAAAGTTAGAGTATAGACAGAAGAATGAATTCCAAATTTATCTATAGGTTTTTGGTATAATACACCACTATATAAATAATAGTTTTTCACACAAGGAAAATTAGATAAAGCTGATTTTTTCTCAGCACAATCTGGAAAAAAGACCTGGGGTTATTCTGCTAGATAAAGCCACAGAAACATGTACTACAAAGACAAGTTTATTTGTATCAAAGAAATTACAGGGTTTTCCTGCAGATCAATACTCAAATATATCTAAGATTTATCTCAAGCTTTTTTTTCTTTGTAAAGATCACAGATTGAATAAGTAAATAAATATGGTTATTAGACAACTTTACTTCAAGTTTCTCTACTGGAAAAAGGATAGCTTTGTCCATAGATCTCCTTTGTGTCAAAGCTACTATTTATATAGCAGTCTCAAGAGGTCAGCAGGATTTCTGTCATGGATAAGACCCGGCCCGCCTGCTCTGGCGCTGGGTGCGGGCCATTGTGGGCCCATAACATGCAGCACGTGATGATGGGGAACATGTGCCCCAGTAGAAGGAATGCACACGTGGGAAGCATGTGACCGAGAACGACGTGTCGAGTCGTTGCCGAGCCCAACTTGACACCAGGGGACTGGGGAGGAGTGCTAGGAGGTTAGGAGTAGTGCCTGGCCCACAAGGGATGTACGATCGTCCCCTCTGCAGCTAGGAACAGGGGCGAGGAGGAGCAGGAGAGGCCAGTTGCGAAAATTCCGCCCTTACCCCTGAAGCGGAAAAGGAGATCCGGGCCCGGGGTGACGCCGATGTCACAGTGCCACACCGAAGATCAAATGTGTCGATAGTAGATACCGAGTACAAGCTTAAGCCTGGCTAGGCTTATACATGTTTGTGTAGTAGTAATGAGAGCTGGCTGATTCCTTTGATGACCAGTCACTTGAAGGACCGGAGCCAAGAGCCTCAGGTGCCAACCTGCGAGGTTCATGCAACGTCCGAGTCGGCTGAACCGGGAATCTTTCCATAGAAGAAGTAAAGGCTTGTAGGTATGGTGTCGAGGCAGGAGCTTGAAAGTGGAACTCGTTGGCAAGTGGTAGAGCACTGGCAGCCACCGGCATGGAAACGCGCTTGCGCTTCCTTGCTTGCTTCTCATCAGTTTTCTGTGACTGGCTTGGTGCAGCTTCTTTTGCCTTGAGTCGAGCGCGTGCACTTGTCTTCACACCAGGCATAATTTTGGTTCGAACGGTTGCCCAGTCCGTGGTAGCGTTTGGCTGAATATATTGCGCAGGTGGGAGAATACCACCCGAGTCGGAATCACCCAAGGCAGCATCAACAGCATCATTGAGGTTTTGAAGGGATGGAAACTCTTTTGCTTGTGGACGACGCAGTCGCGCAGATAGCCGTTCAAGCTTCTCTGCAACCACTTTGAGCGTGCTCGGGTTTGGCAGTGCTGATATAGATAGTGTTGTGTTCGCGTCCGAGTCGCCAAGTTCCAGATGGGATTCAACATCAGAGGGTTTGCTGGCCACGGTGGTTGTGGAAAGAGTAGAGGAGTCCAAAGTGTATAGGCTGGTTGGGCCATGATCATTGGTACTGCAAATGGGAAGCGAATCAACAAGCTCGGGAAAGTGGTATTGAACAGCACAGATATGCTTGCAGTAGTTGATTAGCGGAAAGTCGAGGCATGTACAAGTGTACACGTCAATATCGATTTCGTAGGTCTTGCCCTTTGTGGTTTGTCAAGTGACATGGTAGAGATCCTTGCCGATGCTTTTGATCTGGCCTTTGGCAATTGCTTTCGAGTGCTTGATGATATCTTGACGCTTTCGCACCTCAAGGTCTTCACCCTCGAAACCACACTTCTGTCGATGCTGCTTAAGCTTGTAATGCGGAAGTACCTCAAACATAAGTGTGTGGATGAGATGGTCCATTCGCCTATTGCGTTTCCCCTCGCAGAACTTTCCTTTGAACACATGATGCCAGGCCTCGACAATCATATTTGTGTCGCTCGCCTCAAAGATTGTCCGGTCTTTGCGATATATACCAGACCATCTGCCTATCATCTCTTGCGACAACCATGTTCCAGTTAGATAGTCGATGAACGGTTTGGGAGCCAACACCTGGATTTTGCACCATTGAGACTGGAATTCGCTGGGCTCAGTAATTCGGATCCATGCCTTGAGTAAATCCCAGAGCTCAGCGTGGTCGGCTTTCTTGATGTGTTTTTGCCATGCATGGAGTACGTGCCACCAGCATAACAAGATGACAGAGGAGTAGACGCTCTTCAGTGCATTGATTTGCGCATTATCAAAGTCCGTCATTACCAGACGTGGGATACCGGGGTTGCGAGCGTAAAAGAGAGTAAGGAAGTGGCCGATCACTTCTTGTGTTGCGTATGAAGCCAGCATCCAAGCAACAGGCAAGCCATGTCCGTAGTTATCCCGCACCATGATGGTGGTTAAAAGTAGCTTTTCGTACATCGTCACATTATGTGTTGCATCGACGTAGAAGACGGTGGAGCCATAGTCTTGATACATTTGACGTTGCCAGTTCATTTGAAGCATGAGGAAGAAGGTATCATTGGGAATATTGGAGCCTCTCGGCGGTGGGTCTGAACGTGCTTTGAAGCCAAGGACAGCGTCACGCCAGCGCAGTCGTTCTTCCCATAGCAGTGTAGATTTCCCGTCGTCTCGATCAAGTCGAATCTGTTCAGCTTGTATTGCCTTCTCAATTCGTCGGATGTCCCGTAATTCGACACAGTCTTCTCGCCGAGGCATCCCTTCCGCATCGTCAACCTCGAAACCATCGTGAGCGTCTCCATGAACATGCTTGAGCTGCAATATCATTAGAAAAGATAAACAAACAAACAGCG